CTTCCACAGGGCCAAAAGCAGCAACCTCCGTGGACCTTGGGGAGGCAACTCCTTGGACTATGGCACCTCCATCCCGAAATAATGTTTCCATAAGGTCAGAAAGTGTTGTCTTTATTGGATTGAAAACAACTACCTCAATTGGACTGTGATGCTTCCAAAAATTAGAGAAATGTTGCCTCCACAAGATATAGAAAGCAACAGCTTTCACAGATCATGGAATAATTACCTCCGTTGGTCCTGGATTAATAATTTTGTACTTAATATTAGTAGAAGACCTATGCACTTTCATACTTTATTCAAAAAGCTCAATGGAACAAACCAACAAGAGAAAAACCGAAGATTCCATTTAACTCGAGGTTGTTGGGGATACATCCCCGTGGACCGGTTAGGAGTACGATGAAAACAAGTTGGAGTAAGCGACAGATCTGGTCCAGAGGCAATGGAAAAAGTTCAGAGCAAGTGGAACATGATCCAGAGGCAATGGAAGAGCTGATGGAAGAAGGTTACCAGGGAACTGATGAAAGAAAGTTACCAAACAGTTAGAGGCAGTGGAAGGAGGTTACCAGAGAGGTTACCAGACAGTTGGAGATAGCAGTGGTAGGTTACCAGGCGGTTGAGAGTGGTGAAGGAATAATTGGAACTGCCCTTTTTAGTGGGAAGAGACGGTTATTCTATCTTAGGATTAAAACTATGAAAAAACATATCACACGCACAAGAAGATGAATTCGCATATTTCTCTATTTTCTTTTCGTAGTTTTTAGTTTTCATTTATGCATTTTAATTCGAATTACTTGTTTTTATGTTTCTAGCATATTTGTATCTGCTTTCCAGTAGATTTATCCGAGTTTTAGTAGATATTAGTTTAAATCCATTGAAATCGGTCGTTTAGGCTCTAAGCCTCGTTTAAGATCGAAGCTGTGCAGGCTCCATCGCAGGAGCCGCCCCAAATCCGACGGACAAGCTCTTTGGAGTACTTTTGGAACCCACATCGACAAATTGATGAATAGTCTTGGAAACTCCGAATTTTAGGTTCCAACAAATACTTTCTCACTCATGATTAATTTGTTCATCAAAATTATAAATTATGAATTTTAAAATATTATTAAAATGTATAATTAATTTATTTTTTTAGAAAATAAATTATATATGTAAAACAAATAAAAATATAAAGAATAAACAAATTTGATGGGACGAGATAATACTAAGTAACACGAGACCAGACCAGTCCAGACATATATAGTTATACGTTTTAAATTAATTAATTGAAGATCCCATCCCATCCCATCCCGCATGCCCAAATCTTGCTACTCATTCCGTCCGTCCGCCCTGTTCTACGTGCAGTATCAGTATGCATGCATGCATTTGTTCATTGGTCGACAAGATACGTGTGTAATAGTAGATACATAGGCACGCAGCCCATTTGATTGGATTATATTGAATTTGCTGATATCAATATAATTGGGCCGTCATGAACACTCAGTCCCCAATCCAAAACCAATTAATTAAAGTACAGATCCAAATTCACTTCGTCTCAATATATATATATATATATATCTATTTTTATTAATAAAATAAAAAATAATAGTATTTATTAGTGATAAAAATATGTAAAATAATTTTAATATTTTTATTTTATAAATAGAAAAAGAAATAATTTTATAAGAAAATAAAAGATATTTTGATATTTATATATAAATTATTTTTTATCAAAATAGGAAATTGATAAAATGATAAAATAAAAAAATAATAATAAATTGAATTGGGATTGAGATTGAGATTGAGATTGAGATTGAGAGAGCATAACCTGCAGGCATGCAAGCTCAGCTCCACGCACCCCTAACCCCTAACTAGCCTAGCCTAGCCTAGCCAAGCCAAGCCATTTAGCTTAATTGATTCATTTTTGTGCATTCTCATCGATCAGCTAGCTCCACGCACCCCTAACCCCTAATCCGGCGTGGGTAGGCCCTATCATATATATATATATATATATGTATGAGAGAGAGAGAGAGAGAGAGAGAGTGTGTGTGTGTGGTTGATTGAGAGAGAGAGAGAGAGAGAGAGAGAGATGGATAGATACACAAAAGGGGGATAAGATCTGATAGATAGATAGAGAGATAGAGATAGAGGAGAGATACAGATGTCTCCAAATTGAAGGAGCCACAATTACAAAACATGGCTGTAATTATATCTATCTTAATCAGTAGAGTGTGAGTGTGACGTCGTTATAGTTAGTTGGTTGGTTGGTTGGTTATTTACCTTCTTATTATACACTGCCGACCAAATCAAATCAAATCAAACCAACCCGGCCAGCTGCAACGGTTGTTTTGAGTCCCAACTGCCCGCCGGCCACCTCACCTATCATCATCCTCTATCTTTATTCTAGCATTACATTATCTTACTTTCGTCTATTTCTTGGTAATGCTGTATATATTACTAAATATACACTATATATTTTTATTTTTACACAAAAAGCAAAGATAATATTATTTTTATAATAATAATAATTTATTAATTACACTGTTACCTTAAATTCACGTATATATAAGAAAACAAGCAAGGACAATGGGACAAAGATACTCCCGCGTCCTTTCTCTTTCTCTGTTGTGTGCATGTCTGTGTCCACGCCCACACACTTGGGTGAATGAATGCCGAGCCGACCCCAGGATCAGATGTCGTATTTGTTTTTGTCTTTTTTTATTATTATTATTTTCAATTTACTACGACATCAGTCTATTTCTCTATCAATCTGCTACTCTAGATATATATATATATATATATACTTAGAGTAAGTAGGTAGAAATGGATTGGTATACTATTGCTTCCTAATTAGTTACCAACTCTCTCCATCCTCTTATATTTAGACCACACACGTCAAACAACTTTCCAAAAGTTTCTCGACATTTCCGCATACCACTTTCCTTTTTTCAGGTCGCAATTTTTTTTTCTTCCACCTTAATAGAAAAGTACAAATATTTTTATATTTATATCAAAATAATTAATATTTAAAATTATATTTAAATAAATTATTTTATAATCTTATAAAATATGAAAAAATAAAGACAATGAACTACTTATATAGAAACAATTTTATCTGTTCGTCAATTTTATGCTCATTTTCTTTGTAATTCATATAGAAAATGAATTTAAAATTAATGGACAAAAAAAATATTAAATAAAAAAGAGTTAGCTCTGAATATATACAAGATTTGATTTTCAAAGACTTCTCTCAAGCAATGTTGTTACATAAAAACTTGGCTGAAATTTGGTGAAGGGGAGGCGATGGGGAGGCCTTTCCGTCTTTCCGATAATGGTAAATTTAGAGAGAAAATATTATATATACCGTTGCGAATTAAAAAAATTAAACAATCTAATTTCATAAAGACACCTGGACAGATAAGATACACATCATCTTTGAGGCTTTTTTGGCAAGCATCCATTGTATATTTTTTTCGTTTCGTTTCGTTTATTTGTTTGTTTTGATTTTGTTTTAATTTACATTTAGCTTATGCAAATTTCTCTTAAGGGAAGTGTTGGTCCCAAACGTCTTGAATGATCAGAAATTCGATTCGATGATTTGTGCGTTGATCAAACAACTAATGAAAAAGAATACACAAGAATATAAAACACAAACCAATTGTTCACCCAGTTCAGCCATCAAAGACCCATTGTTTCAATATAATTGTTTTTGTATATATATAAAAAAAAACCAAAACAACAATTACACAACTCAATCGATAAGTATTGTGAACAATCTCTCACCAGTATTTGAGCGTTGTCTGCACTCGGTACGAACCACTCAGGACACATCCCCTTATCCAACTTGTGATTTTGATTGAATTTCCACCTAAAAACCTTCTTGCAAGAGCTCAATGAAAATCAAACTTAGATTTCAAGTTATTCTCCAAGTTTCCAACATAAAACTTCTTACAAAATATATGACCATCATTCTAAAGAAAACAACGAACATCCAGGTAGAGAAACAATTATTTGCTCACGAAAATCAACAATTCTTTCTTGAATCGTGTGGAGTTTTTTCATTTTCTCGTTTTTTTTTTTTTCCAAATACTCACCCCATCACCAATTCATTCAATCCTTGCCTGTTCTAATATTGTCTCTCAATCCCTGAGAATTCAATCTCAAACCTCAAGAATTTCTATAAGGTACGAGTCAAATTAAAGAAAAATTTTCAATCTATATAATTTTTTCTTATAAATCTTCAAATTTCTTTTTTTTTTTTTTCAAAATCATATCCATATTTATCTCCAATTATATCTAAAATTTGAATGAAATATCAGTAATTATTTGAGCATCGATTGAATGTTGTCTAATAACATAAATCAACCAAAATATATTCTAACAAGAAGAAACCATCCAATACAGTTGTCCTTCCTGCATCTCCAATGGAGGGGTTAGTCTCAACTCCACCCTATCATGCATAGAAAAATTAAACCCATTCGACTCGGTTTAGAAAATTGGGGCGGTTGAATGATAGACTCGTTCAATTTGATAGACTGTGTCACTTTTTTTATTTTTAGATATGTTAATTTTATATTATAATATATAATAGTATTTAATTAAATTAATTAATAATATAAATTTTAAAAATGATAAAAATAAATAAGTAAATAATATGAATGATGAAGAATTGAAAACATATCAAATTAAGTGGAATGATAACATTATAAATAATAAAATGAATTGAATGAGTGTGGATATACATATATTATTTTGAATGAGGAGGATGGGTGGGACCGGCCAAAAGAGACTTGGTGATTCCGTGCCGTCCATATATGATTATGCAGTGGTGGAGCCACACAGGGGCTCTGGCTCCAAAGGTCCTGATCCCCTTCCAACTGTCGTTACAATTGTTTGTTGTCTGTCCATTTAAATTCAGATTTTTATATTAATTAAATACCTCAAAAGTACATATTTTTTTATTATTTATCAAAACAATAAACTAAATATATATATATATATTTTTAATGAAACTTTCGGCTCCTCTGATCTGACGAAATAATTTGGACTCCGCCGCTGGGCTGGGTCTGGGGGTGAGGAGGGTGTGGATCCGATGGCGGTTGAGTTGATTTGATTGTGTGGGTCCGTCGTCGGTCATACATTGCCCTTGGGCTGGCCTTGCCTTGCACCACCGACCCAATTTCTTCATACGTCATTCCCCTTTCTGTCTCTGTCTCTGTCTCTCTCAAACCTTTTTAATAGCAGCAGTAGATTGATTAGATTAGATTAGATGTCTTGTCTATAAATGAACGCTGGATCCTCCCCCGCTCTGCTGCCGTACTCATTCCTTCATTCCAGAACTCCTCCACGTGTATCTTCCCTTCCCTTCCCTTCCCTACCCTTCCACCGATTTCCTCCTAGTTCCTTCCTTCCTTCTATACATACATACATACACCATACTGCTTAATTTGAACCAACCATCCCTTCCCCTCCTTGCCACTCGATCATTTCTCTCTTTCCTCGAGTCTAAACTCAACCGTGTCGCTCGTCATATTCATCTATACATACATATACAGGAATAGGAGCTAGCTTTAATTCTTCGATGATGGCACCTCCTCCTCCTCCTAATCTGATTCTTGAAAAGATTTCTAGTTATTTCCACAAGGAAAAGGAAGAGGAAAAGGAGCCCCCTTCCAGATTTTCCTTGTCTTCCTCCAACAGGGAAATCTCCGTCGACGGAGTCACTCTTCTGTCCCATGTTCCCGCCAACGTAACCCTCTCTAGCTTCTCATCCACCCCCCATTCATCTGCTCCTGCTGCCGATTCTCTGCCTCCCAAACACATCCGAAAATCAGTTCAATCCAATGCCCCAAACGGAGCCTTTCTAGGCCTCTCTGTCCCGGAGCCCCTCGACCGGATCCTCAACCCCATTGGGAGGTTCAGTGGCAGAAAGTTCTTGAGCCTCTTCCGCTTCAAAACATGGTGGTCCACCATGTGGGTTGGCTCGTCGGGCTCCGATCTTCAAATGGAGACTCAGCTCCTGCTCCTACAACTTCCCGAACTCGATTCATACGTACTCATCCTCCCCCTGATTGAAGGAAACTTCCGATCAGCCATCCATCCCGGCTCCGACAACCAGGTTGTGCTCTGCGTCGAGAGTGGCTCCACAAAGGTGAAAGCGGCCTCATTCACCTGCTGTGCGTATTTCCACGTCGGCGACAACCCGTACGATCTCATGAGGGATGCCCTAGCGGCAGTGCGTGTCCATTTGGGGACGTTCCGGCTGCTGGAAGAGAAAACGCCCCCGGAAATCATCGACAGGTTTGGTTGGTGCACTTGGGACGCCTTCTATCTCACTGTGGAGCCCGTTGGCATCTGGTGCGGAGTTAAGAGCTTCGCCCAAAATGGGCTCCCGCCAAGATTCCTCATCATCGATGATGGCTGGCAAAGCATTAACATGGATCACGAGGACCCTCTGCAAGATTCCAAAGACCTGACAGGTCTGGGATCCCAAATGCTCTGCAGACTCTACCGATTCCAGGAGAATGAAAAATTCGCCAAGTACCAGCCCGGCGCAATGTTAAGAAGTGATGCGCCGGAGTTCGATCAAGAGAAGCATGACAGGATATTCAAAGAGCTGATTGAATTGGCAGAGAAAAAGAAGGCCCTTGAAGAAGCAGGCGGGGGTGGCTCCAATGATTCCAGCCTCCTGCCTGAAGGAACTGTCATCGAATACTTGAAAGAAGAGGAAGGTGTTGAGAGAGGGGGGTTGAAGGCATTGGTCGCCGACTTAAGGAGAGAGTTCTCCGGTTTGGACGATGTGTATGTGTGGCATGCTCTGTGTGGGGCATGGGGTGGAGTTAGGCCTGGAACCACTCATTTGAATGCCAAAGTGACTCCTGCAAAACTGGCTGCTGGGCTGGAGAAAACCATGTATGATTTGGCTGTGGTTATGGTCGAGAAAGGTGGGATCGGACTCGTCGAGCCAGAACAAGCTGCAGATCTGTACGAGGCTATGCATTCCTATCTCGCTGATGCCGGCATCACCGGTGTCAAGGTGGACGTCATCCATGTAAGTGTTGTTTTGCTTTCCTTCCCCCAATTATAGAGTATCTCCCATAGACATGCATGCATAAGAATAAGATCCTATCCATCTATAGATGTGTATTATATTTATATAATTTGAATAAGTTTGCTGAAACTGACAAAGCAGCTTGCTTAATTGCCTTACACATATATGCTTCTTTATAAACGCATATTACTAGAAATATTTGATGTACTTAGTTAGTTAGATAAACATGTTGCCGTCATCATCAAATCCATTTTACCATAGGTACTTAACAACTTAAGATAGAGATCATCCTTCATCATCATCAAGCCACTTTCATACAATTTAAGAGAGGAGGGCTGCTTGTTTTTTATTGTGAACACTGCAAGAGTATAAGCAAGTTCTGGTAAGTCTTGTAATTGTAAATATACCAAAGGGAACGTTTCTCCTGTAGAATCTAATGGTTTGTAGTCGAAATTGTTTAATATATATATCTTCTGATAATATATGCATCTCCTTGAATCCATTAATCTGTCCAGACAGTCCAGTGCTTTGCAGAATTTACATCTCATGGAATGAAACGTGCTTCTTGTAAGTTTTACTGTATTGAGAACCACACAGTTTATTGCATCTGTAGAGGGTGTTCTCTCGTGCTTCTTGATTAGATCAACACATCATCATGCAATAACTTTCTATCAACATCCCATTTGTGACACTGCGTGTGTCTCTTTTTCGCTCTTTTCTGAAAAATTTCATATATAAATACAACCAATTACTTTCTTAAAGGACCAGATTTCAACAGGTTTTCGGCTAAAAACTTTGAACCTTATTACGGACCAACTACACAAGACGTAACAATCTATCATGTTTGAGATCATGATCCATGCTTTTCTGTAAACCATCATGTTTCCATCTGAGAATTTTGGTTTCGATTGCCTGTTGATTTAAATTAGACATTGGAGTATGTCTGCGAGGACCATGGAGGCAGAGTAGCGCTAGCCAAGGCATACTACGATGGTCTAACCAAATCCCTCAAGAAAAACTTTAATGGCACAGGCCTTATTGCCAGCATGGAGCAGTGCAATGACTTCTTCTTCTTGGCTACAAACCAAATATCCATGGCCAGAGTTGGTAAAGGATTTTTCCTCGCCTCCTAGACTTAGATTGAGGGATTTAGTCGAATGCACTCAAATGGACTTATTAAAATATGCTGCAGGGGACGACTTCTGGTTCGAGGATCCTAATGGCGATCCCATGGGGGCATACTGGCTGCAGGGGGTTCACATGATACACTGCAGTTACAACAGCTTGTGGCAGGGGCAGTTCATTCAACCTGATTGGGACATGTTCCAGTCAGACCACCTCTGTGCCGACTTCCATGCTGGATCCCGAGCCATATGTGGGGGGCCAGTGTATGTCAGCGACAAAGTTGGGCGCCACAACTTTGATCTATTGAGGAAACTAGTGCTGCCGGATGGAACCATACTCAGATGCCAGCATTACGCCCTTCCAACCAGGGACTGTCTGTTTGAGAACCCTCTTTTTGATGGCAAAACCCTGCTGAAACTCTGGAACCTGAACAAGGTATGATAGATAACAATGAGGAGAACATTTCAAATTAGTAGCAGCATTTGATGAGGCTAAGTCATGCATTTCTGCAGTTTGGCGGGGTAATAGGGATCTTCAACTGCCAGGGGGCAGGATGGTACCCTGAAGAACACAGGTGCAAGGCGCATCCCGAATGTTACAAGACAATGTCTGGACATGTGTGTTCTGACGATGTCGAGTGGGAGCAGAAAGAGTTCACTGCCGAATTGAGGAGGAGGGGCCATGGACAGTTTGCTGCTTACCTTCACAAAGCTGGAAAGCTCCATCTGGTGCAGGCAGGGGACAGATTGGACATCACTCTCCAGCCCACCTGTTATGAAATCGTTACCATCTCACCAGTGCACAAATTCAATGACAAGGTCAAGTTTGCTGCAGTTGGGCTCCAAGACATGCTCAACAGCGGGGGAGCTGTTGAGTTTCTCCAGCACACCGTGGAGAAGAGTAGTCGTTTTACCACGCTGATGAAGATCAAGGGGGCAGGGAAGTTTCTGGCTTACTCCAGCATGAAGCCATTGCAGGTGATGTTGAATGATGAGAGTGTGGAATTTGAGTGGATGCCGAGTGGAGCTTTGAGTTTTCAAGTTCCGTGGACAGGTGGCCACCTTGCACGTGCCCGTGTATCCTTTGATAGCAGTAGCAGCATATAACACACAAGCAAGCACACAGGCAGACAGCTACTCTGTTGTTTTGGTTTGGTTTTGGTTTCCCTTCCTTCCCCCGGTATTTCATACTTAGATTTGATTTGTGTATATTGCTGCTATGCTATACTCACTTGCAGGTTTCTGCAATGCATGATGCGAGTATGTACAGTTTGTGCTGGACTCCTTTCTGTACCAGAAATCCCAACATCTACAGCTAAAATTCCATCATCAAATAAAATACTATTTGAGATGAAACGAATAGTCTGTGTGTGTGTGTATTCCTCATCTGCTGCAACTTGGTAGAGATCAGTTCTCACTTCTTACCAAGTACTGGCAGCAAACCATTTCATAAATTTATTTATCCAACAAAAGATTATATATATTTAACTCAACATATGGAGCATGAAGGGGGCCAACTGCACCAGAAAAAAACAACTATCATTACAACTTGGATTGCTTCTTGGTCGAGCTCCGGCCTGCTATAAACTCCTGCATATTCTTGAACTGTTCTTTTGTCATCCTGTCATAGTATGCGTGCGCCCTTTCCTGCGACACAATAACAGACAGAAAAAGTGGTGGGGTGTTCAGATCATGCCATATAACCAATCAAATGCGTTCTTTCATAAGCAAGCAAGTATCAACTACAACACTTCACAGACAATCTGATCGATGACTGTAGTACTTTTCTTCCCAAATGACTGACTGGCCGACCTTCTCATATTTACAGATCAAACAATTAATTATATGTGAACTGATGCACACAACCAACAAAGATAGTCAGGATGGAGTTAGTAGTGGGGTATGTGTATCTTGTATATGCAGAGGAAGACGCCAGGGGTGGCGTATATTCCTTTTTCCTGTCTCTTGTTCATAACAAGTCTGGTTCTCTCATTGAGTGATGGCTGAGGGAAATGGCTGAAAGGGTTCAAAGACTGACTCGGCAAGATCAAGGGTATTCAATAATTGAAGTGTAGCTCATGAGTTAGGAGGAGCACAGCGAAAAGTTGGAAAAGCTACAGGCAGACTGACCCAACAACAATTATTAAAGAGGATTCTGCCCGTGCAAACTGTGTGAATCCTCTCTTCACATCAATTATTTTCCAATATGCAGCTAAACGCTATCCGCTAGAAATAAGACACAATTGAATGCGCTTCTATTCTACGTTAAACTTTGGACAGGAAAGGAAAGAATCGTGGCTAGCAGACTAATATAAAAATGCCATTTGACACAAGTGGTTTGGTTACACAATTTAAGGGAATGTCTGTTACCTTCTCCAGGGCAAGTGCTTGACCAAGATCCAGTTTAAGCCCATCATTTATAACTGCTTTGTACCTCAGCACCATGTCTTGATTGTTCTTCATTATGGCTTCAGCAACTTGTTGGGCTTTCTTCAAAACCTCACTTCCATCAACAAGATGGTTAACTAAACCCCACATCATGGCTTGTTCACCATTTATAGGAACAGCAGCATATGAAGCTTCACGAGCTCGATTCACCCCTATTATGCGGGCAAGCTTCTGAGACAGACCCCAAGAAGGAAATATTCCAAACCTGACAAAAGAGAAGTTACATAAAGTCTACAGCAGATCAACAAGCTTGCCGAAAATACTCTACGCTAAATGGTTTGGGATCGTAAACAGCAAAGTCCTTTCAGTTCATATGAACTCAAGACAGTCTGTATATATATTTATGTTCTTTCAAACAAAAATGGCTGATTCGATCGATCCCCTTTCCATGTCAATATCCAATCACAATTCACAACCTGCCTGCAAAGCATAAATGATTTCCATCTGATGACAAAGTGCAAAGCAAGGGAAAATCTACCTGGCGTGAGTGTCCAGAAACTTGGTGTCCTTGGAAGCAATCAGTAAATCACACGCCAGAGCAAGCTCGAACCCAGCGGTCACTGCAAACCCGTTTATGGCCCCAATTATTGGCTTCTTGCAGCGCTCCATCTGTAATACGGGGTCGATTTCGGGATCTAGGTTCCCCTTGAAGACTTCCTCGGCGGCCGTCAAATCGACGCCGGAGCAGAAGGCACGGCCAGAGCCGGAGAATATAATAACCCGCACAGAATCATCGGCGGAGAGGTCCTTGAATGCCTTGGCCAAGTCGACCATCATGGAGCGGGTTAGGGAATTGAGGGATTTGGGGCGATTGATAATGACGTAGGCAACGCCATCGGAGCGGCGGTGAAGGAAGATGAGCTTTTCCGGCGGGGGCAGGGGAAAGTCCATGGATCGCGCTGCTGCTTGCACGGATTTGTTGCAGACTTGCACTTTTAGTTGCTTGCGGGGATGATATATTTACGTTTATATCTATACATAGCGCTTTTATTGAATTGTGTGTGGAAGATAAGGCACGAAATGTTATGGGATCTGTCCGTCAGCGAGTCAGCGCCTATCATCATCATCATTCCCCTCTCTGCAAGATCGATCGATCAGCCAATCGTGTTAGGCTGTGTATTTCTACTTTTAGTTTTAAATTTGAATAATTAAATTTTAAATTAAAATGATTGTATTTATAATAAAATATAAATGTATATATTAAATTTTTAGTATTTAAAAAATAATAATATTTTAATCATAGTAGCATTCGAAAATAAAATTGTCGTTTTTTATTTATTTATTTGCTAAAAGCAACCGGCCACTTTGTTCTGAGAGGGAATATCTTTTTTTTCTCTCTAACAAAACATGCCCTGGACATGCAAATCGATCTCCTCCTAGTTAAAGGATGAAAGTGGCTGATCATGATGGGAACTCCCAAACTTTCTTCTTCTTCTACATAATAAGGTTGTCTTCTTTACTAATCTTACCTTTTGCAACAAACAAATAGCATGGATTCACTTTGTTAGGTTGGTTAGCTTTGGTGCGGTTTAAGTTAAATAATTACTACCACTATTGTTTTGTTTAACAATAGAGGTTGCCACTGATCTCTCACAACACCCAGCAAGAAGGATAGCAAGCTGTGTGTATCTTATTATTCACAAAGACAATACAGCACAACGCATAGACATAGACTTAGTAACATGACATGCATATTTATAATCTCGCAATAAACAAATCACTTGTAAAGCTTTCCAAGAAACGCCCAATCAATACACCATCTATCCCTCATATCCTGTACTATCCTATCATATCCTATCATGTCCTAAGAACAACAATTTAAAATCATTCTGATAAAAAAAAAAAAAAAAAAGGTCTACTTACTTGCTACAGAGTGTGTGTTGTGTATCAATCACATAGTACGAACATCTGAAATCATATGCACGGATGCACCACTGCATCTTTCTTGCCACTTGCTCGACATGAATTTGTTATCAGTCGAATCTTGCATTGTCCGGGCTAATAGCCTAATATCCTCCACCTCCTCCTTCATAGCATTTCACAGTTCCAACTAAAGCAAGTGATTCCATAAGCTCGTTGAGAAGATAATCGGGGTAATTTTCAAGGTGGGGATGCCTATCCTCCGATTGCAATGAACTCAGAACCCTACCAACTATCTGAAGCACAAAAATAAGTTGAATGGAATTCAGAAATAAGACCAGGTGAGAGAGCAATTTAAATACAACACTTGCCTTTCGTGGATAGCCACCAAATGCAACTCCACTGATCAAAGCCTGAGATGGCTCCAACGAATTTAAAGGAGCATTCTTACTGCTTGTCACCTCTGGTTACCTGATCTGGGGAAGTTAACTTTACCTGCAATGTATTAATATGCAATGTTTATTGCTAAGAATAATGAGTTTCTATCACATCCAAGCTCCATTTCTATCACATCCAAGTTTAAAGGCACAGTCTGGCATTAATAAACGTCCATTTGTGATGGATAGCTATCTTATGTTTAAAATTTTGAACTACGCATTATTTTAACCAAGATTCATGCAGCCTCAAATAGCACAGTACACTTAATATTTGAGCAACTTTTGATGTTATTTTCAGATTCGCAAACCATTTTAGGATAGCAAAATACAAGCCGAACGTGAGAATGAAGAGCAAGAAAGGAAATTCTTCAGCTAAACAAGAGTGCCAAGCTACAAGGTCGTGGACCAAGAGTGACAATTGTAGAGATAGAAACAAATAAAGGAAATAAGCAATAGAACCTTTGAAGCACTGATGTTCCCTAAATGAGATTGCATCAGCCGGACAAATATTCTCACAAGGCCTTGAACAATCCATCGGGCAATCTACCGGGTTGAATTCTGACAAAGAGCAAATATACCATGTTAATGGTCATAACCGATATATATATATATTTGTATCTTTTCAACTCATCACTCTTGATGCAGCCCAATGTGTTAATTTATATTTGAAAAAGAGCTACTTTGTTATCTTATAAACCTGTTGGGTTTGGGTTCTTTCTATGTGTAGGAGGCCCAACAATTCAAGTTAGCCCAAAAGAGTTAAGAGCCCACTCTTGCCAATTGTTGCCCTAGCCGTCATAGTTGGGAGAGGGGTCAATTGGGTTGAAGGGTTTGAGAGAGAATCGTTATCCACACACGCGAGAGAATCAACAAGCAAAAGAGAATTTCTTCAACTCGGTTCCGATCAACGGTCCTCGTCATCTTCGGATATTTCTTTTTTGGTATCGTTGATTTCTCACTATTTGTTGGATTCAGCTTTGAATCTTATTGGTTGGTGATTGGAATAGGTTGTTCGTAGTTGGGAGATCTTTTGTGGTTGAGGTTCAATTTTTGTAATTGGGTGTGGAGTTTGATAGCCATTTTGGTTTGTGGTTATCTTTGATTGTACGAACCTTTTAATATAGTGGACTTTGCCTTGGGTCGGACGATAGGCCTCGTGATTTTTATACTTCACTTCGAAGGAGTTTTCCACGGTAAAAATTTTGGTGTCTCATATCGTTATTTTCGTTGTTCATTGGTGGTTATCATTCATCTTCTTTCGGTAGAAAAATAATTGATTGAAAGACAAAGGTTTTGGTGGAACAGTTTGAACACACTGCTTAGGCGTGACCACGCTTAAGGAGTACATCGAATCTGATTTTGGTTTGCATTTTGGCCTTCTTCCGGTATTCTCCCAACATAAAGTGGTATTAGAGCAAGGTTGTTTGGGAGTGTTATTTACCATTGAAGGATGGATGTGAACTTGCGAAGAATGGTTTTCTTATATGGGACAAATTATCATGTTTGGAAAGGGAAGATAACTGATCTTCTATATTAAACTACGGAAAGTTGTAAAGAAAAGCGGTAAAGTGAGCGATGGCGAGCGGAGCGGAGGCGAGCGGCGGGGTGCCAGTGATGGTCGAGCGAGAGGGGCGGGAGCGGATGACACAACGTATATGTATATAGATTGAGCGGTAGGGGGTGAAGGAGAGGTGTTGTGTCTGAATTGTGTGTTACTTAATGGCTAAGTTTTCCTGGATGAGATGAACGAGCGGTGCTGGTGTTTAAATGGACATATATGTATAGTACGGAAACGGGAAGATGAGATGATATAATCATATAAACCAGATTATAGAGAATTTTTATCACTGGTACTTGACCTTAAGGGATTTATAACAAAACTTCAATGACACCAGAATTAGAACATTATAAAAAATAAATACTACTGTCACTAGGAGTTTCTGTGACCCAATAGACCACCCCTATGCCCCATTAATTATCCCAAATTCTGCCTCAATTAGTGGTTTTACCCTTTTGTTACCTCTCTTTAATCAAAATTGAACTTAAACCAGTAGTTAAGCAGGTCGACAAGGCTCCCACGTACTTAACTACATTGAACTACCTTACATATGCTTGATACAAAAAACAAAGCTTGGATAATCAATTTTCTGTACTCTAAACCAGTGAAGTGAAATTCTTTACAATTAAGGTTTATATAAACGTGAAAAAATGGGGAAAAAGTGAAAATGAAGAATTGAATGATATTTCATTACTTGCTAGTAAAACTGGAAATTCTAATTCTACAAAACTGTAATGAAAGCGATAAACTACACTAAGTAAGCAGTAAAGTAGTTGCCAAGGGAAAAGACGAATCCCAACTCCCTTGGCTATTCCTGTAGAGAACTCCCTTAAATGGTTGGAGCTCTCGGGGAACAAGAAGACAGCTAGAATGCACGAAAGTAATTGCAAGTTTACTCATCTCGAAGTAGTTTTTACATACAGATATCTGGTCCTATTTATAGCAGGTAGAAGTAGCGATTGCAAGAAGTTACAAAGTGATTTCAACCGCCAGGCAATTAGGCAGTGACGGTTATTCTGCTGACGCAGTTGCTTGTCATAACTTCCAGGGTGCTCGCTTCGCTTGCGTGGACTTGTAAAGGTGCAGATCTTCCCCGCTTGCCGGATGAATTGAGGGCATCAGCGCAGTTAAGTGGGCTTGTTTGTGCTGGCTGGTAGTGGAATGGTTGTACCGCTGCAGTTGGAACACTTGGGCAATATTTGAGTTGAGATGCCGTCGCTTCCCTTGGTGGGTGTCTGGTCGCTGGCCTGGGCGCTGGAGTGTCGCTCACGAGCGGTAGAGGTTGTCGCTTGTGAGCGGTGGAAGCTACCGCTTGCCTCTATTGCCTTAGTTTTTCTAAGTGATGGGGTCATCGCTTGCGAGCGGAAATGACTATCGCTCATTTCATCTGTCTTAGCTTTTTGGATCCAAAACACTGTTTAAATGGCAAAAATTGTTAATAATCTCAACAAACCAACTATGGACATGTCAAGCGAGATACATCAACAAAGTATGCCATAAATCAGTTATTATGATAATTTTTATATAGAAATTAAAGTAATACGTAGTTTTGTCAAGCGAGGAATATGTTTATATTTGGAGTCATCATGGGACAAGCTGGAAAGCTTATATGCTTCGAAGACTGGCAACAATAAGTTGTTTCTACTCAAGCAGGCTATACGATTGAGTTATCATGAGAGCAAGTCCATTTCCGATCACATAAATGAGTTTCAAGGATGTTTCGATCAGCTGTCAAGCATGGGAGTGAAGTTTGATGATGAGGTACTTGGTTTGTGGCTACTTAATACTCTTCTAGATTCATAGGAAAGTTTCAGAGTCTCTTTGCCTAATTCTGCGCCCGATGGGATAGTCACTTTGGAGTTTATCAAAAGTGTCATTTTGAATGAAGAGGTGAGGAGAAAAACTCTTGGCACTTCATCTTCTCATTCGGAGATCCTAGTTACGAATAATAAGGGGAGAAATTGGAATATAGGCCGAGATCATGGGAATCGAGAAAAGAGTCAAGGAAGAAGTAAGTCAAAGCCAAAATACAAAGACCTTGAGTGTCATTATTGTGGCAAACGGGGACACATCAAAAAGTATTGTTTCAAGTTAAAAATGGAGCAGAAAGGCAAGGGCAACAAGTATATGATAGAGCAATGACCGTCTGAATACGACAATGCCGGAGGATCTCATCATTGTGTATGAGGAAAAGGGAATTCATCTTACCCAAAATGAGACTAATTGGGTTGTGGATAGTGGAGTTGCATTCCATGTGACTACCAATAGGGATTTCTTCACATCATATACTCCGGGAGACTTTGGAGTCTTGAAGATGGGAAATGATGGTTTGGCGAAAGTAGTAGGCACATGAACAATGTGTTTGGATACCAGTAGTGGATACACACTAGTGCTGAAGGATGTGAGGCATGCTCCCGATGTTCGACTGAATCTAGTCTCCACTGGTAGGTTGGATAATGATGGATATTCCTGCCATTTCGGTGATGGAAAATGGAAGATTACCAAAGGTTCTATGATAATTGCTCAGAGTAAGAAAAAGTTCAGTTTATATTGATTTTATGCTATTATTTATGCGAATGGTGTTAATGCAGTTCAGAATGGGAGTTCTTCAAGCTTATGGCATAGGAGATTGAGTCACATTAGTGAGAAAGGACTCGATACTTTGGCGAGAAAGAATCTACTTTCTGGTGTTAGACGTACTCAACTTAATAAGTGTTCATATTGCCTTATGGGAAAACAAAGACGGGTTTCTTTTGTTCATCACCCTCCTACGAGGAAAAGAGATATTTTTTTGAATTGAACCATTTGGATGTGTACGGTCTTTTGAAGGTAAAGTCTTTCGGAGAAGCAGTTTATTTTGTTACCTTCATTGATGATCACTCAAGAAAATTATGGGTTCGAGTGTTGAAATCGAAGGATCAGGTTCTTGATGCTTTTGTTGAGTTTTATGTTTCTGTTGAGAGAGAAACAGGTAAGAAATTGAAGTGCATTAGGACTGATAATGGAGGTGAATATCGTGGACTGTTTGATGCTTATTGTCGAAAGCATTGTATTCGACATCAGAAGACGCCTCTTAAAATTCCATAATTAAATGGCTTGGCAGAAAGGATTAATAGAACGTTGATGGAGAGAGTCAGATGCGTGCTTTCGGATGCTAAATTGCCTCAACATTTCTGGGGTGAGACCTGATTCCTACAGTGGCTTTGCAGACAGATGTTCCGGACAGAATTTGGTATGGAAAAAGAGTATCTTATGATCACCTTAAAGTTTTCGGATGCAAGTGTTTTGTTCATGTGCCTAAGGATGAACGATCCAAGTTGGATGCTAAGACTCGACAGTGCATCTTTATTGGCTATGGTGATGATGAATTTGGCTATAGGTGTTACGATCCTATTGAGAAAAAGCCTGTCAGAAGCCGTGATGTTGTATTCATGGAGAATCAAACGATTGAGGACATTGAGACGAACCATAAGCCAAATGTTCAAAATAAAGACTTGATTTATTTGGATCGAGTTCTTACACCAAAAGTGGGTGGTGATGAAAATCAGTCTGTCGGCGATGATGTTGTTGATGATGTTGTTTGTCCACATTCAGTGGATATGCCAGAATCTTCATTGAGAAGGTCTAACCGGGATAGACAACCCTCCACTAGGTATTCATCTACGGAGCATGTGCTCTTGACCGAGAATGGAGAGCTTAAGGATTATGAAGAAGCCGTTCAGAGTCTGAAAAAGAAAAGTGGATTGCTGCTATGAAAGATGAAATGCAATCCCTACATGCTAATGACACGTATGAGTTAGTTGAGCTTCCAAGTGATAGAAGGGCCTTGAAAAATAGGTAGATCTATAAGGTGAAGCATGAAGAACACTCATCCTCTCCTCGATACAAAGCTAGACTTGTTGTGAAGGTCTTTAGTCAAAAACATGGTGTTGATTTTGAGGAGATTTTTTCACCAGTTGTCAAGATGGCTTCTATTCGTGTTATCATAAGTTTGGCTGCTTGTCTTGACTTAGAAGTGGAGCAAATGGATGTCAAGACGACGTTTCTTCATGGTGACCTTGAAGAAGAAATTTATATGGAGCAACCTAGAGGTTTTGTGGTGAAAGGGAGAGAGAACCATGTCTGTCGATTGAAAAAGAGCTTGTATGGATTTATACAGGTTCCGAGGCAGTGGTACAAGAAATTCGAATCTGTTATGCCGACCCTTGTGTTTTCGTGCAGTGGTTCTCAGGTACTGATATAATCATCTTACTTCTTTATGTACATGATATGCTCATAGTAGGCTGAATTTGAAGAAATAGTTGAGCAAGCATTTTGCGATGAAGGATTTGGGGCCAGCTAGAAGTATTCTTGGGATGTATATTTATCGAAATAGGAAAAAGAAAAAGTTAAGTTATCCCAAGAAAAATATATCGAAAAAGTGTTGCAGCAGTTCAATATGGACAAGGCCAAAGCTATTTCTACCCCGCTTGCTGCTACGTTTAAATTGAGTATTGAAGCAGTGTCCTTCTATTAAGAAAGAAAGGGAAGATATGCAGCGGATTCTTTATGCCTCAGCAATTGGAAGTTTGATGTACGCCATGGTGTGTACTCGACCGGACATAGCTCACGCAGTTGATGTTGTCAGCCGATTCATGTGGAATCCTGGCAAAGAACATTGGAGTGCAGTGAAGTGGATTCTGAAATATCTTCGGGGAACTTCGAGTATGAGGTTGTGCTTTGGTACTGGAAAGCCGGAGCTTGTTGCTTATACAGATTATGATATGGCCGGAGATATTGATAATAGGAAGTGTACTTCTGGATACTTGATAACTAATGCATGGGGAGCTATTTCATGGCAGTCCCGATTGCAGAAATGTGTTGCACTCTTGATACCACGAGAACCAAAAGGCTAAACTTTATTGATAACCAAAGAAGAACTGCTCTTCCGACCAAGCCGAAGCCGTGAAACTGAAGAAAAATTCGAATCCTAATAATGTCTCAAAATAATACTTAAATACTAGGGCAAAACGACTATGGGGCTAGGCCCGACCAACCTAACAATTTATTCAAAATAATCAAATAATAAATAAAGAACTAAGGTAATTAATAATAAACTCAGGCTTCAGGCCATCGCCACAATTAGCCCAAAACGCACTTGCTCTTTCCTCCCTCGTCGTGAATAAACTTTTGGTTGTGCCCACCGCATATCAACTCTCTTCCACCGAAGCGGAGTTTATTCCTGCTATCGAAGCTTGCAAGGAGTTATTATGGTTGAAGAATTTTGTGAGGGAAATTGGTTTCGCTCAACAAAAGTATATTTTGTATTGCGACAATCAAAGTGCGATCCATCTTAGCAAGAATCCAACATTTCATGGGAGATCGAAACATATTGATACAAGGTGTCATTGGATTCGAGAGGTTTTGGATTCTAAGTTGATTGAAGTTGATAAAATCCACACGGATGAAAATTGTGTGGATATGTGTACTAAAAGTCTTCCGAGAGACAAGTTCGAGTTGTGCAGGATGGCTGTAGGGTTGGTTGCCTCCTCACATAGTCGGAAGGGAGAGAATTGTTGGGTTTGGGTTCCTTTTATCTATAGGAGGCCCAACAATTCAAGTTAGCCCAAAAGAGTTAATAGCCCACCTTGCCAATTGTTGCCCTACCCGTCATAGTTGGGAGATGGGTCAATTGGATACAAGGGTTTTAGAGAGACAATCGTTATCCACACACGCGAGAGAATCAACAAGCAAGAGAGAATTTCTTCAACTCGGTTCCGAACAACGGTCCGCGTCATCTTCGGATGTTCCTTTTTTGGTATCATTGATTTCTCACTATTTGTTTGGATTCGGTTTTGAATCTTATTGGTTGGTGATTGGAATGAGTTGTTTGTAATTGGGAGATCTCTTATGGTTGAGGTTCGATTCTTGTAATTGGGTATGGAGTTTGATAGCCTTTTTGGTTGTGGTTATCTTTGATTGTACGAACCTTTTGATATAGTGGATTTTGCCTTAGGTCGGTGATAGGCCACGTGGTTTTTATCCTTCACTTTGAAAGAGTTTTCCACGTTAAAAGTTTTGGTGTCTCATATTGTTATTTTCGTTGTTTATTGGTGGTTATCATTCATCTTCTTTTAGTAGAAAATAATTGATTTAAGGCAAAGGTTTTGGTGAACAGTTTGAACACATGGCTTAGGCGTGGCCACGCTTAAGTAGTACATCAAATCTGATTTTGGTTTACATTATTCTCCCAACAAAACCTACCCCCTCAATGTTCTTAACAAACAGGACTCAACATCGTCTATTATACTTGCAAAGAATCATGCAAGCTCCAGTTTGTCAAATATATCAAACATTTAGAAGAAATTCCTAATTAGAGCGCAGAATATATATACCAACTTTACGAAAATGCAGATCTTCATTATCATTGACACTAATCATCACCCAAGGCTTTCTAAGTGGAACAATAGCTCTAGCTGCTCTGATTCCCTCATGCACAGCATTCACAACTGATGCCTCAGCAGCACAATCAATGCAGTCAACTGCAAAAATCACATGAGAAGATAACTAATCTCCAGAAGTACAGAAATTATTGCGGTATTAGCTCTAGAACTAAACCTCTTTTCAAGAGAGTAGTGTGCACACAAAGAGACAAAGTTTTCAAGTCTCATAGAGATAATAATTCACCGATTCAAAGCTTAAAACTTTCCATAAGAAATCAGTTGACATTGTGGTATATGTTTCTCACCAAAGAGATTGGACTGGAGAATGTAAAAATTGCATCTTTAGTGATCAAAATGCTTACTTATCCATTGTCACAAGAGAATCTTGTTATGGTTGAGTTTGAAGCTCCCACAGAATGCTCCTCGACAAATGAGACAGGAAATTTTAATTATAACTATGGATATTTTACACACAAATATATAGAGGAGCCCCAGAATCAATTTGCACCGGGTACAGCATTATTAGTATTCTTCCATCAAAAGGTTGAACTCTCTCCATCCTCACCCACAAATTAAAAATTAAGATTGCTAACGGGCAGTCACGACCTTTGTAGTTAAAATAACAGCTCACCTCCAGCAAGAGAGTAAACAAGAGAAAGGTTCCTGACATCCACCAAATCCTACATCAAACCAGCACTGTAATCCCATCCACCCATAAGTAAACTTCTTGGACTTTGAATGCTTGAAGTTAACAGAGGTAAGATGATGGCCCTCGGAAAATACCTCAAAACTTGCACCTCAAATAAGCTTAACCCAGTTGCCCTTTCGGAGGGATTCCAGCGGGGAGGTTAAAGCTGAAGGAATTCCAGTTTTAATAACCAGATTCATCACTTTATCCAGACTGCCACCATTACTTATTCTCGCTGGCCGCTGACCTAGAGATAACCAAACAAGTAGAAGAAAAGATTCACCACAATTGAGTACCTAGAGATTGTCAGAAAAGGAAGGATGGTAGAAGAGCGGGAGTGTAGAGTGAGACTTGGAAGTTGAGGCGACGGAGAAGCAGAGCAGCAAGGGAAACAGCCGAGAGTCATGGGGAAAGAGCTGCGAGAAAGACGAAAACTTGGCAGCAATGGAAACAGCCCAACACTGTAGAACCAAGATTGTCAGACCGTCTGTCCTGGTGCTGTTCTAAAATCAAATTACCATTACATTAGGCAAGCCATCAAGCAAGCATTACCAACCAACCAAAGAGCCAGGACTGAACGATATAGTCAAAGCCTCAACGTCACAGAGAGGCCGTCATGGTGATGACACGGGATGTATGTAGCCAATGAAAAGCTTACACCTAACAAAGAGAATCCAAGTTTAAGATAGCAGTGGGGCCGTGACTGTGATGATGATCGATGAGGAGGAGGCAGCCAACGAAAGTCCGGGCGACTTGGCCAATTCCTAGCCAGTCAGTGGCTACTTCCTCGGAAATGACTTTTAACTCCCTCTTCTCTTCTCTACTCTTCTCACGAAGACGAGACTCTATACATCAATCCGTTCATTATACTCTCTTCATGGATTGATTAATAGTACTAACTAAGAGCTAGCTAAGACTGAGCAATTCAAGAATATAGGCTTAACTTCTTATAGGATTCTACTGTAATCTCGGTCATCACACACACACGTATATATATATATATTGATGATTTACAGAGAATGGTTTTATTAAAATATGGATCCCGAACTAATCAACGTACGTATGTAAGGATCATTTGGTCATTCAACGGCAACGTAGTCTGAAAGAAGGAAGCTCCTGCCAGTACCAGTTCCAGTCCCAGACCGACGTCTTCCTCTTCCTTCCCATGTAAACAACGAAAGCTCAGAATCAACATATCAGAAGAAGAAGAAGAAGGAGAAGAAGAAAGAAGAAAGAAGAATAAGAGACTAGAGAGGAGAAGGAATGAACATCTTCTTCTCTTCTGCTCCCTCAAATTCCAAGTTCCCTCTCTTTACTCCTTCTCAAAACCCCAACTCCTCGAAGGGCCATTTCGTTCCACCCCTAAAACCGCCTTGTTCTCCCCCATCCCATCTCATCTTACTTCCCACACATTCTCATAATTCATCGTCCCCGCCAACTCTTCAAGAAAAGACTCAAACTTTTCCATCACAAGCTGATGGAGCAGATGAAGATGAGGATGAAGATGAAGAGATCATAAATGCCAAGAAGTCCTTGGAAGAATTGCTAGTTGTTCGTAGGCCAGCCATGGAGATTCCAGTTGAAGAAGCTGAAGGAAATAAAATATCAGACAGTGATGGAAATGTCAGTCAAGTAACTGGTAAGCAGCTAAAGGAGCTTGCAGTATCTAAAGGGCTCTCTAAATTTGCAAAGAAGATGCCAATTTTTGAGCCTGAGAGAGTTATGTCGAGTTCTGGGGAGAAGCCTCTTTTGGTGAATCTGGATTTGGCCTTGTATAAAGCAAAGATTTTGACGCGGAGATATCGGTACGAGGAAGCCGAAGAGATACTCAGGAAGGTAGAGCCCAGATCATGAACTTTCCTGTTTTCCAATGTTCAGATTATGAATAATTTAATTCTTCTTCTTTGCTTTGAGCATATTTCATAATAATGTTTGGCTTTGTTAACTTAACTACTAAACAAATTGTTGGGCAAATCCTGGATATGAATCTAGTATCATGAGTGGTGTTGATGGCTTGTGAATTTGTTGTGATCTGGTGTATTTATTGAAGTGCATAAGCTATTGGCCAGAAGATGGAAGGTCCTACGTGGCCTTAGGGAAGGCTCTGAGTAAACAGTTGAAAACAAATGAAGCCAGGGCTGTATATGAGAAGGGATGCCAAGCTACTCAAGGGGAGAATTCTTACATTTGGCAGGTTGCTACTATTACATTACATGTGTTTTGTATTTGCTTGCAGTGGGCATGATTCTATGATGTAAAATGTGATTCTAGAGCAGTTCAATTGAATATTGTTTTGTAAAATAAATGTGTTACAAGTGTTGGGCTGTTCTGGAGAGCAAGATGGGGAATACAAGGAAAGCTAGAGAACTGTTTGATGCTGCCACAGTTGCGGACAAGAGGCACGTTGCTGCCTGGCATGGATGGGCTGTCTTGGAGATGAAACAGGGGAATATCAGAAAGGCAAGAAATCTTCTCAGTAAGGGTCTCAAATTCTGTGGTGCAAATGAGTACGTATACCAGACGCTTGCGCTGCTTGAAGTTAGAGCTAAGCGCTATGAGCAAGCTCGATACTTGTTTAAGCAAGCAACCAGATGCAATTGGAAGAGCTGCGCCAGTTGGCTAGTAAGTCTGATTTCATTTCATTTCATTGGAACTGATAACAACAAGAAGAAGAAATGGCTAATACATGTATGTATGTATGTACTCGTTAGGCGTGGGCTCAGCTTGAGGTGCAGCTGGAGAACAACCTTGCTGCTAGGAGGCTTTTTCAGGTAATGTGGTGTATTCATCAGTTGATCAAAAATGAAAAAGAAGGGGAAGTTTTTTATCTGGGATTTGGTGTGGTATGGTTTGTTGTGTTGAAGCAGAAAGCTGTGGGTGCGAGTCCGAAGAACAGGTTCGCATGGCACGTGTGGGGAGTGTTCGAAGCTAACGTAGGAAGTGTAGAATTGGCAAGAAAGCTTCTGAAGGTGGGGCATGCAGTGAACCCCAGAGATCCAGTTCTTCTGCAGTCCCTTGCGCTATTGGAGTACAGATACTCGACAGCCAATCTAGCCCGAGTCATCTTTAGGAGGGCCTCTCAGCTTGATCCAAAACATCAGCCAGTCTGGATTGTGAGTGAATTCCGTTCGGTGATCATAGCATCATTATTGTATGTCTATGTCTACGTCTATGTCTGATATTCGGTGATGATGGTGCTCGCAGGCCTGGGGTTGGATGGAATGGAAAGAAGGAAACCTGGGCACAGCTAGGAAGCTATACCAGAAAGCACTATCAATTGATTCAACGAGCGAAAGTGCTGCAAGGTGCCTGCAGGTTAGTACTACTCAATTGATTCAATCGCCATGGTCTGTGTGTTTCTTTCTTTCTACTAGATAAGACTCGGGTTTAAACGCACGTGCATAGGCCTGGGGAGTATTAGAACAGAGGGTCGGGAATGTGTCGGCAGCCAGAAGATTATTCAGGTCTTCGCTTAATATAAACTCACAGAGCTATGTAACATGGATGACTTGGGCATCTCTGGAGGAAGATCAGGGGAACTCCATCAGGGCTGAAGAGATTCGCAACCTCTATTTCCAGCAGGTAGTACACAATCATGCTTCTCTGTCCGACATATATATATATATATGCATACCTTCATCCCGGCTGTAAGTGTAGTAAGTAAGAGGGTACTGAGTTGATCTTCTTGTCCAGCGTACCGAAATAGTGGATGATGAATCGTGGATGACGGGGTTCCTGGACATCATTGATCCAGCCATAGACAGCATCATGAAACTCTTTAGCAAGGAGAAAGTGAAGGATTCTCCAGCAGGGGCGGGTGGTGGAGACGAGCAATCGGCTCCTGTCAGCACAGGAAGTGAATTCAACTTGGATGAATTCATACGTGACAGGCTGATGTTGGACCCTTCAAAACTGGAGCTTCAAATGGGGAATTCTGCACCAAACCTGTGACTGTAAACTTCCAAATATCTGAATTTGTAAATCGAGAAACTGCAAGTGATTCATTCATATGGAATGACAAGAATCATAGCTTTCAAAAGACATTTGAATTAGTAGTTTCAATGCAGTTCAGTTAGTTCGTGAACACGAAGAATAAAGTTCGGTAGAGAGAAAAACATCAATTAAGGCCCATTTCCAAGCAGAACAGAACCAACTTCGGCGTAGGCAATCAATAAATTATGCTGATGATCACTGAAAGACTTCTGCATCTAGGAATGGGTTTGAAATGTAACGACCCTAAAGTTATAAATATAGCAAGACACTCAAATTATGTGCAGCCAAGTGTCAGCTTCAGTCCTTTCTTTTGCCATCCTTAGGAGTGTTGTGTTCGGAAATGAGTTTCAGAACATCAACCAATGCTCGCAGCCGGTCACGGATATTTAACCCATACAGTGCTTCCACAAGTGATTGCTGAAACTCAAAGCCATTCTCTGAAATGGGATACTGTAGAATGCAGGAGAAAGTGAGGAGGGTCAGTCTGAGACCAAAGTGTCAAACTTCTCTAGAAATAACTCAATGAATCTAACCTGAATAGGCTTCGGAATCTTAGTTTTGATGAGTGGCCACCATCGATCTTCCACTACTGATTTCACAAGACAACAAGCTCGCAACCCTTCAACACCAGCGAATCTTCCAAACCCACTGTCTTTCACACCGCCAAATGGAAGGGACTGTGACAGAAATGAAGGATTATGCACAAAAGGTGAGCTCATAAAAATATGTAAGATATCACCCTTTGACACCAACATGCACAAACAAAAAGATATTATATGACATGCGACTACCAAAACTTTGGTCTTACCTGACACATGTAGTTCGATGCAAAATCATTAATTGCAGCAATTCCACAGTGCAGCTGAGAAGCTATTGTTCTGGCACGCTGCTGGCTGCCAGAAAATACAGCACATCCAAGCCCATACCTTGAGTCATTTGCAAGAATGATTGCCTCTTCATCAGTACTAAATTTCATTATTGGCATAATTGGCCCAAAAGCCTGCAGCAAGAAGATACAAAAATGCATCAGCACATTTTCATTTCAGTATTTAAGCAATTGCTACAATTAAATAATACTGCATACCTCCTCTTGCATCAGCCTCATTGTGTGGTTGACATTTACAAGTATCGTAGCAGGGAAATATTGATCAACAGCCCCTTCACCAATATTCCCGACACTTCCTCGACCAGCAATTTCTGCTCCTTTGTCAAGGGCATCATTTACCAGACTCTGAAGCTTTTCAGAATGCTCTTGCATGCATATGGCTCCCATGTCATATTTTCCTACAAGTGGAGGGCCCTGCACATTTTTATCCATTAAGCATGTGTGTCAACTAACTATAAGATTCTATATAAAATCCATACAGATTGAGAAGCATGTATCTACTTAAGTCTAGCTCATGATATCTTAAGAAGGTGCAATGGACCAGATTGAATGATACCAAGTCTCAGCAATCAGCAAACAAGAGCAGATATTACACAAGATAACCATGATAGCAGAACCAAACTACTGCACATATTTACACCAATTGCATGTTTCCCCAACAGATATCCACCTTCTCACATATCATCTGGTTGCACATCATTCAAGTAAACTTAAATATTGGGGTTTGATTATTTACATCTTTTATACTTATTTTTTACTATTCAATCTATCAATTTTTCTCCAAAAACATCACATCCCACCCCAAAGCTTCAAAAGCATCACATACAACAACCATTTCGCCTAAGAACATCAAAAACAAAACACACACACACACACACACAAAGTCTGTTTTTGCCCATTGTCAATACAGTAAAAAATCATGGATGGAGATCAGATGCCTGATAAATTAAGAAATCTCAAACAAGCTGCTTAAGTCTGATATTGGAAACCATAGAAATCCATATAACTAAGTAGAGTGCTTACAGCAGAAACAGATTTCACAATTTTGACAACTTCAGCAACAAACTTGGAATAAATCTCTTTGTGAACATAAAACCTCTCAGCACCAGCACAATTCTGCCCACTTGACTGCAAAGCTCCCCTTACAGCAATTTGAGCAACCTACACAACTTACAATATATCAGACATTTACCCAGTCTACAAATTAGAATCTGGAAACCATATTACAGTAATTAATTTAGTCTATGCTGACAGGTTGTCATACATGTTGCACATCAACATCTTCACAGACAATAAAGGCATCTTTTCCGCCAAGCTCAAGTGTAACTGGTATCAACGTGTTTGCAGCACTCCTCATTATCTGTAGTTAAAAGCAGAAGTCAAGGCATTAAGGAACCTTAAAAACCACGATATATCAAGAGAAGTGAGTATAAGTAAAGTTTTATCCAACAATCAGTTATCTAGCTCAAGAGAAAAGACTTGCCATTTTACCCACGCCTGGTGAGCCAACAAAGATCATTTTGTCAACTGAAGAGACTAGGGCTTCTCCTGTCTCTGCAAACCTGGCAGGAAATGGAAATACAAATAAAATTAGACAAGATAAGTAAGTAAAAGATCCCAAGTCATAAGAATCTACCCCGTTATAACTTCAACAAGATTTTCTGGAGCTCCCACAGCCGAAAGAGCAGCTTTGATTATACGCAAATAGAAACATCCTGACCAGCTTGCGTGCTCAGAAACCTGCAGTGAAAAAAGCCCAAAATCCTTGTAACAAATTGATAAAGGCATTTCAAACAACCAACTTGCAAAATGAGCACTGCATTACATGTTGAGGCTAATTTAAACTTTATAATGGTATACTATAGTCTATATTACATGGAGAAATTAAACACCAGGAAAGTTGATGATAATGAGGATTACAGGTCAATTCCATTACAAAAAGTACACGAATTAATAGGTGCAAGCCAAATGGGAAGTCTATTCTTCCAAAACCTTAATCACAATGCTGTTCCCAGAGAAGACTGCTGCCAACATTGGATTGAATATATTGTGAAATGGATAGTTCCATGAAACAATGGCTCCAACAACACCAAGGGGGTGAAACTCTACTTTGGCTGTCTTGTGAAGCATTGATCTTCCACATGACCTGCGATATTTTGTCATGGTGATCAGTTTATGTTGATCATTTGTGCCAAAATTTTGTGATGAAGACTAGACTAGAGCCCCAGCCATATATATGTAGTAGACATATACCACCAAATGTAAATTACAGCCCAGAGGAAATGATTTAGTTTTCAATTAAGTAACAATGAGGAATGTATGCCTCTTAATTTTAGGATCAGGTAAGATCTGAATCACAAAGCAATGAGGTAGTGGATGTATTGTTACAGCAGTTACAAGTACGGGAAAGGCAACAGAGAAACTTAGACTGGTCTATTTGGGTGCTTTTAGTTTTGAGTTTTTATTAGGTGAAACTCATTGTCGATATAATGTTCTTAAGAAAAAATATTGATTGAATAATAAAATGAAGGGGAAAAAAAACATGTGAACAACCCCAAAGTTTATTATTAAAAAATAAGCAGTAATATGACATTTAAGCTCAAACCATACATTGTGATAAAAGCAGTTACATCAATCATGAAATTATTAAGGAGGAAAGAATACCTGTACTCAGGTTTCAGCCACTTTTCTCCTTCCGAAAGAAGCCATGTAATTTTCTCACAAGTTGTCATGATTTCTCCCAGAGATGCATCAACCATGGTCTTTCCAGTATCACGTGAAGAAACTCTAGTTGACAGAGCATATAAATAAGCTACATATCATTTTCGATTGAAATACTCAATAAGGTATAGTGCATCTAATGTAGGCATAGCTTAGTAAAAGAAGAAAATAGTGCAAACAATTAGAGCTATTAAAATATCCCAGGATGCTTACACAAATTAGATTTATGATCCAAACAAGACCTGGTCAAAATCTTATTACACATGAATAAAAAACACATGCAACTTAGACAGAATCCTTACACGTTTCACATCCCCACTTGCTACGTCAAGCATGCACTCACAATAATTGCTCAAGTTTCAGAAACTTAAAATACCAACTTCAAAATCCCATGCCATGTTGTAGTCACTTGTTAGATAGGATGTATTCACATAGACAATATTAATTGCTTATCAAGAAAAATAAGTAAACCATATGTCTCATTGAGTCCTCACTAAAGATCTCACCTTACAAATTCACAAGGTTAATAGGAAAGGTCACAGTAATAGAGAAAGGCTCTCATGCAAAGAACATCCATGCATGACGACATACTTCAGATTAGTAAGTACAGCCGTTACTTTCCGGTCATCAGGGCATTTTTAATACATTGATAATTGAAATTCATAAAAGTTGGTAGGAAAGGAGTCCATACTCGCATATAAGCTCCTGGTGTTCAATAATATACTTCAGTAGTATCCTTAGAAAATGGCGTCGTTGCTTGAAGCTACTTTTAGCCCATACTTTTTGAGCTTTTCTTGCCTGTGCAACATGCTCCTTAACCTGTCCATATCTTTTGAGTTCATCAGTTTCAATAAACATACTACATACTACATACAATAGAATTATACACAGAACCTTTACTACACTAACCAATAATACAAATTGAATCAAGAAGCTGGAGAGCATTTTCAGTTTCCCAACGACAGATCGAAAGGTTAGCTGATATGAAAACTAACTGGATTTCCCTCTTCTTCTTCATTTTTTGGTTTTCAAAATTTTTTATATTTGCAGCCTCAAGATATCAGATTTATTCATGTTGGAACTTCATGAATGATGCATTACAAAGAAAGTATTTAATTAATTGACTTGGAACTGATTTCGCTAAAATATAAGCAGTTGGTCATGCTTATGATAACGTTAGTAGTGTAAACTTAAGCAATGTTGTTCAGATGTTTCAGATGCATGGCAAACCAAACAGTTCAAATTAATCACTGAAAACATGAGAGAAAACATTATCGCGAAGGTGTAGGGTTTTACAATATATCTATATGATTCACACAACAGAGTAAACAAACCTCATCAGGTTTCAGGGCTGGAAAGAAGCCCAAATATTTCATTGTTGCAGGCTCATAGCATTGGACTTTATCTGTTTGTCTTCTTGATGGTATCTGCAACCAATTCCCATTCCCCCAACAAGAGAGAAGTCAGTCCAGAAATTTCCGCTATACCAGAATAATGAATAAAAATAAACAGTGAAAAAATATAACAAAAAAATAATTTCAAAAATTGAATTAAAACAACCCCTAGACTAAGGTCCGATAATGCTTCCAGCCATGTCAATGGAATTCACAGTGCAGTAATACTTGAAGTGAAATAAGATGATTTGTGGAGTGAACACATATTTCGTCATTTTGGTCAAAACCATATTGAAATCATTGATAGAGATTCAGATACAATATGGGTGATGTTTGAGGATCAGAAACCAAATTGAGGATAGTAGCTATGTGGCTTCATTACAAGATGTGTGTGGAGTACTTGATACACTAGGATCTTCAAAACAATCTTTAATGCTGTGAATTTATACACTAGTAACAAGTACAAGCAACAATTATTGAAAGCATATTCCTCATAGCAGCATTTCAACTAGCTTCTAAGCCAAGGTCTATCAACTTCTTTATTAAGATCAAAACGACTTCCCAAATATATCAGGCAGTGGTAGATCTCTTGACAAGTAAATACCAAACATGGATTGCCTCTTATATGGACGATGTAAAAATGGAATGAGAAAGAGGGGAAGGTTACATAGATGAAGCTGTTTTCCCTCGTCTGATTCCCATCATCCACCACTGCCATCAGAGAAATCATAAAACAATTAGCTAGAACACAGTACAAACAATATTTTGCTAAAATCTGAGCTACTAGCGTCAATATAAGAGCAACAAGCCTGTTCCTGCTGATTCAAATTACAAAAACTAAGAAACAAAAACCAAACACGACTACATACACAAGATGCATCTCACCCTAGAGGGCTAAAGCAATCTGATTTCATCCAAACTTGAGATTTTTCTTGACTGGGTTATCTACTAAAACAACTTAAACGAGCATTAGATGAAGCTGGCAGGGGGCGACCTAGCCGGTTCAAGGAGACTAACTTAATCTATGAAAAGGCGAAATGTGATCCATAATACTACTTTCAGTCCAGACATGTTCCTATGCATAGAAAAGAGGTAGGCGTGGGAATCAAAACTGACACCAATAAAGAAAGAGAAGAAAAATAAAAGGGGCAAAGAGAGGCAAGCATACCATCGGAAGCATCAACGTCAATAGAAGGGACATTGGATGGAACAAGCATGAGGAGGAATTTGCAGATCGCAAAAGCGAATGCGATAACGAGCAGCGGCCACCAAAAGGCCATGGTATTGTTGTGCGGAGATGGAGAAATGTTAAACCCTAGAGATTGAAATGACAGAGAGAGCAGCTATAGGAATGCTGGGGAGAGAGAGCGCTTCTAATCTGTGCGTGCTTGGGAGTGGAGCCTCGTCGTCGTCGTCTCGCCCCTCTACTGTGCCGCTGTTCTGTTCTAATCTGCATCTACTCTCACTCTGTCAGCATCGCCAGTAATAGTTAAGTGTGATGTGTGTCAGTGTAAACTAGTGCCCGCTGCCCGGCCGGGACCGGGACCTGGGCTCCTGTGATGAGTGTTAATATGTGATGCGCATAAACACAACACAAAACTAAAACCAACTCCCTAATTAATTAATAATAGATTAATACAAGCGGTGGAAATAAATCATGCAGATTCATTCACTGCCATATTATATATATATATATATAGATAGATAGAGAGAGAGAGAGAGAATTTGTTTAGTTGGTAGTTTTTTCCTTCAGTGACGTAGCAGATCAACATTCATTTTCATTGTGATTGTGATTGTGATTGTGATTGTGATTCGAGAGATTAGAGGATGGGAGACAGCAGCAACAGCAAGAGCAAGAGGAGAGTGGGGGTGGCGGTGGATTTCTCCCCGTGCAGCAGAAAGGCATTGCGATGGGCTCTGGAGAACCTGATACGATCCGATGATGAGCTCATCCTGATCACCGTCCTCCCCCAGGCATATTACGAGACTGGCGAGATGCAGCTCTGGGAGACCACCGGTTCTCGTACGCCCCGCCCACTCCATTCTCTAATTTTTATTTTTTTTTTTTAATTGTATTATCAATTGTGTGTGGAATGGATGGAGATGGATCCATTCGATATCGTGTTATTTATCGCTTTTCTTTTGATTGCATGGCATAATTGCATTGGATTAGCTTTGATTCCATGGAGTGAAGTTTTGGATCCCCATGTGATGAAGAAATATGAGGCCAACCCAGATCCTGAAACGCTTGAAATCGTCAGTAATGCCTCCAAACAGAATGGGGTAAGCAAAAAGTTTTGCTTTGCTGGCTGTTAGTTAATTAGTTAGTTAGTCAGTCTTCTGCATCTGCTTTGATCACTAAACTAAATGGTTGAAAGCAGATGAGCGTGTTCATGAGAATCTTCTGGGGAGATCCCCGAGAGATGTTGTGCGAATCAGTGGGCAAGACTTCCCTCGACTGTCTAGTCCTCGGCAATAGAGGTCTCGGCACACTCCAAAGGTACCTACCTGCCCTGCCCTCACTTCCCTCCTTCAGAACTACTTTTCATTTTAACTAAACTCACTACACTATATAATAATAATGTGGAATTGACGATGAAATTCATGTTCGTGCACTGTTATGTTTGCAAGGGCTATTATGGGCAGCGTTAGCAACTATGTGGTGAACAACGGTACCTGCCCTGTTACCGTCGTCAAGAGCTAGTGAGTGGGTCGGGACAAATCATCATCATCATCATCATCATCCAGATGAGGTTAGTTTTGTTCTTCATATGCTTTTGCAACTTGAGGAGGAAGAATAAGTTATAGACAGAGAGATATAGTCATCATTCTTTTGTTTTTTTTGTTGGTGTCTTTGCTTGCATTAATTGTGACTGTGGCGAGAGGGCTACGCAGACAGTAGTGTAGTGTTCCTTTTACCTTGTTTCCCTGGCTGAAAGTGAATCATTATTATTTGATCAATAAAACAACTCATTGTTGGAGTCTCATCATATTATCTCCCTGGCCCCTGCAATGGTGTTCATCCATTTCAACCACAACAAAACCATGGATAGGCATTGTCACAGACTAGACATTATGAACACCAAACATTCATTTATTTATCTATTACAATTCTGAGAAAGATACATGATGCCAAGGATTCTCCTCAGATTATCATCATCAATACAGGTGCTACAACCACCTCCTCCCCCTGCCCTGTCCTAACATTCTTTAAATATACACATTTATATACGATTCGGTCATCCTCTTTAAACTACACATTCATTCTGAAGCTGACCGGCGAAACTAAACTTTCAATGTAAAGCAAGGATGCACGCAATCCTCCATTGCAGTTTCGAAGCTCAACGTCCCTAACTGAGCCATTCTTCAAGTCAAATATCACAATCCTAGGACCACAATCCAACACAACCACCCCATCTTTCAGCACATACAAAACCCTCTTATAAGAGAACCTTAGAAAATCATCTAAGCAAGGGATGCTAGCTGCCTTGGTCCATGACAAAGCCGATGCCTCATAATCCATAATCCACACATCCGCATGAGTTTGATTGCTGCAGAGCACAATGAGGCTGCCCTCCGACGCTCCCAACCTCGAATAGTGTTCAATTCTAACATAACTAGGTAGCTTCAATGTCCCACTCTCCTCAGTCGCTAAATCGACAAAGACGATGTCCTTATCCGAAGTCGTCATCCAATGTAGCTTCCCATGAACAAATGAAGCAGGATCGTCCGTCAGTGAGGAGCTACTGCAACTCTCGAGGCTTCTCCACTCATCATCATTCCTCACACAATAGACCTTTGCCACGGCCTCAGACAAGTGGCTGTTGATGTTGAAGAAGACAACCTTATAATCGTCGCTTGCTTCATCATGCCCAAAGCCATAAGTCACGTAGCTACGGAAGCTAATGTCCACGCCGGAATCAGGCAGCTGCTTGCGGATTCTTGTGGAAGGATTCCACAAGATCAAATGTTTTCTATTGACAGCAAGGCAAACCAGGCCGTCGCAAGAACCCACCACCCAAACGAAATCTCCCGCGAACGGGGATGAATAATCTGTGTCGAATGCTTCAGCAGCTGGATCCCGCAAAATGGAAGGGAGCGAGCAGTGTTTAAGTGTGCCGCCGCGACAGTTTAGGATAATCCTATGGGACGAGGAAGCTAAGTCTTGTCTGGATTTTCTGAGATGGGACATGGCGAAGTGGCGGGTGGAAATTAAGGAAAACCATGACCTGCAAACGCACTTGAATTTCAAGAGGGACATGAGCGGGAGCCATGTGAGGATTTCGACGATCACGTCGTTTGGGAGTTTGGGGGTTGTACTCTCCATTCTCGACTCAGACGATCAGCTGTGACTTGTGATGAGCAGAATTTTCTTGGAAATTAAGGAAAATTGATTGCACGCCATCCTGATATTTTCTTAAGATATTTACCCTTCCTGAATGATTTGGCATCGACTTTTCTTCCCTGATATATTGTGAACCCAGACCAGAGTAGTACCGTACCGGACATCCAATCCAATCCAAGTCCAACACCTGTGTGTCCCTGTTGTTTTTCGGCCACAAGTTTGTTAGGATTTTATTACTCTTAAAACTTAGAGAAAATATCTGTCTTGACCGCATGCATTAAGATGTAGGTTCGTTGAACTAGTTCATCAACTTTGTGTTTTGTGTATATGATTCTCTTGAGTTTCATTACTTATCAGAATCTCAGGTTACATTTGAGCTAGAGTCCAACTCAAAATGAGTGATCGACTGACTTGCAATTGAGAATTTCCATGAAATTGATTTTGGGTTTTGGACGATGCATACCGAAGATTACTTGCATGGCAAATAATTATAGAAAACATTGGAGGATTAACCTGGAAAGATGGACAAGCTACTTACAAGAATATAGACAAAAAGGCATTCTTACAATGAGCGATATGCCAAGGGTTGTGTTTTACACAACGAGGACTGAAATCAAGATCCTCGAATCTGTTATGCCAAATTTAGTTATGCGCTCTCGGAGTTTGATTTTACCGCGTGCACTTACGATTTCGGTTGTCGTTGTTCCTCGTGGATAATTATCTTTAGCTTTGTGTCAATGATTTGATCATCATGGGAGATATTGCGTTTGCTACCAGATCTTATTGTTCGTCTCAGTCTCCAGGTTGACTATCAGAAAGCTTCCACAATACTTTCCTACTACATTCAACTTTCACTTCATAATGTCTCTCTTTGATGATCCTGTCTTGTATTGTCAGTTTATTGAAAGTTTGATCTATTTAATTGTTACTCAATTAGATATCGTTCATACAATTCATATCGTGAGTCAATTCATGGCCTCTCAAAGACCTCTCACCAATCCGCGTCGTATATATTCTTACATGGTTTACACTTTTCATTTCACTCATTTTTGAGCGGTTACTTTGAGAGCCGATGATTCTACCTATCGTCGTTCGACCACTAATTTTTACTTCTTCCAGAGTGATTATCTCGTCTCTTTAGCGCAACAAGAAGCAAACTTTAGTTTTTCGAACGAGTGCTAAGTAAGAGTATCGTACTCTTTGTATCATACTTTTATGGCTTCGTCGAGTTACTTCTTCCGATTGCTATTTGACAAATTCAAGTTGATTTTAACAGCAATACTTGAATTTGACTGAATATTGAAATATTATTTATTTTGTTTATTTATTGTTATTGTTTGTTTTTATCATTTACCGTTGATACAATTTTATACTTTTCAAGCAAATTCTAACATTGAAGTTGGATGTGATGATACAGCATTGAGTGCATCGTTTGTAGAAAAACTAAATTCTGAGAGTGAGGAGATCCAGACAAGAGCTTCAGATTTGAATACAGGATTTGGATGTGCCCTAAGAACCGAAAATAGGTCTGATCTAAGGCAAGGAAAAAGTCAAGAAAGATTGAAAATGAGGCCAAAGTGCAAGGACAAGAAAGATTTGAGTAGGGTGGTGTTGAAATTGTGAGAAAATCAGAAACCTCAAGAGTCAATGCTAGGAGCCGAAAACGGAACTTGATTTCTACGGGCCAACTAGACAAGGAAACTACCCCACAGCCTTCGAATCAAACTGGATAATAAAATTTTGTTGAGTTTTCAATTTGTTTCTTTTGTGGTTTGTGATATTTTCATAACACCTCCTACCATGGATTTCTGCATCAACCAACGGCACACATTAAATGATGAGTGTTCAATAACTATTCGAACTCAAGAGTGATCCATTTCTGTTAAATCTTCATTTCCTTTGTGACACTTTCTTCTCGACATGGTTTTCTACCATGTCAAGATTATTACTACAAATAATCTTCTTATATGCACCTTGTTTCCTTGGTTGTATTATTCTTTTGTTTTAACTTGATTGGGATTTGATTTGCTACCCAACATCAAAACAAATATAGATAGGTGTCAGGGGAACCTACCCCAGCTGCTTATTTTCTAAAATGGCATTTGGTGCTGTCAACTTCTAGAAGATTCCACACACAAGAGCTGAGATTGAACTCGTATAAAATGCCGAAACACCACTTACTCCCAGGCCCCAGCTGGCTGGGTATATTAAACAAAACCAAACCAAGCCTGTCCCCTAGTGATTTTCTCATTTATTTGGCTTACTCAGCTTGTCTTGTTTTAGTTTTCCTGCTTGGGAGGCCCTTATCGGCAAGTTTAAATTAGTAGCTAATGTATAGATCTAAACTCTGTAAACTATCCTTATGGTTGTTTGACAAAACCCATTAATTTCCAGGAAATAGCTTTGAATCTCTAAAGGTCATGGGTGATTCTATTCCTTTGGAGGATTTGAAAAAAGGTGCTGATATGGAAAACACTCAACATTCAGGAGAGCCAATGGGGGTTGATTCATATTTTTCTAGCCTTGATTTTTCCCAGGACCATGAGTATATCAATGATTATGGTCTGCAGACTGATACACATCATCAGGAAGAATTAAGACTCCTAGCTCAAATGGGGGATCTTGATGATCTCCACTTTGATATTGTTTCTCCTCCATTTCAAGCTTTTGAGGAGGAGAACACAATACTTTCCAGTGACAAACCTCATACTTCACAACCATATGATCCTCAATCCGGGTGCTATTCATTTCCTTCACTCTCACTTGGGATTCTGAAGAGTTGTAGAAGCAGAGTTGCAGCGTCTAATGGACGAAAGGTAAATGAGCTGTTTAGTGGGTCACAACAGCAGCCGACGCCCTTGCCACAGTTGTCAACTAATCATATAATTGAGTTGGCAGCTGGAAATTTTCTTCACTCCTATGCTGCAACAAAAAATGAACCCTCTGCAACTGACCATCCATATGCCAGTTCACTTTTGGGCCTCTCAACAGATAATGGTAAAGATGTCCAACTTGTTCAGGACCTCCTCTCCTGTGCTGAAAAAGTTGGTAATAAGCAGTACAAATGTGCAAGCAAGCTCCTAGAAGAGGTTACCAAGCTGAGTTCTGATAAGATAAGTACCATTCAACGATTGGTGCATTGTTTTGCGGAAGCTCTTAAGGAGAAGATTGATAGGGAAACTGGAAGAATTTCTGGAGAAGGCAAGTTCTCATTTAACATGATAGCCGCAAGCTCGGCTACTGCTGCGTTGCAGAGAAACTTACCTGTAACACAAGTTGCTCAATTTACTTGTATTCAAACAATTATGGACCATTTATCATCGAGTAGAAAGCTCCACATTATTGACCTTGAAATCCATTGCGGTCTTCTAATGGTCATTTTAATGCAAGAACTAGCATCAAGATCTGATGATCCAATTGAGCATTTCAAGATAACTGTTGTGGCAACCAACTCAATATCTTTGATTGAGGAGACGGGCATTCGTCTAAAAGGTGTGGCTGAGTCCTTGAAGCTCAACTTTTCTTTCCATGTGGTCATGTTAGAGGATATCATCAGTCAGCCACAAAACCTCTTTCATCTGGATGCTGATGAATCAGTCATAGTTCACGCAGCGTATGCCTTGCAGTATATGATTTCAAAACCATCTCAACTGGAGACGCTTATGAGAAGTATAAGATGGACCAAGCCTCGTGTGATGATCATCACCGAAACAGAATCCAATGTGAATTCCCCTATTTTTGTCAATCGTTTTGTAGAAGCGTTTTTTTACTTTGACGCTTTTTTTGATTGTATCGGAGACTGTCTGAAGAATGATACTGCAGATAGAATGTTGGCTGAGTCAAGTCTCTTTAACCCTGTAATAAGAAACATCGTGGCAACTGAGGGAGAGGATAGAAATGTTAGAACTGTGGACATAAACATCTGGAGAACATTTTTTGCAAGATTTGGCATGATAGAGACAGAGCTTAGCAAGGCAGCTATCAATCAAGCAAGATTGATATGCAAAAAGAAGGAGTTTGGAGATTCTTGCACACTAGGTCTGCGCGGAAACTGTCTCACACTTGGTTGGAAAGGAACACCAGTGTGTTCGATATCTGCATGGAAATTCCATGGCAGGCGGTCCATGAGAAGATTTGGAATGTAGTCTCCACTTCAATGCTCTTGTTCAATTCTGTTACTTTTTTCCATACATTTAGAGGATGGGTAAAGCCTGCAATCCCATGATTTGTCTCTCATATGTAGATGCATCTCATCAATCAGATGCCTTTTTCTGATACAAGCTTGATTTACCACAAATTGATATCAGATCAGAACTTATGTTTCTGTTCAAGAAAATAAAAAGAAGTAGGTTGAAATTGAAGGCATGAGCTTCTTTATTTGCTTTGTGTTTTCAATTTCTATGAATTGTGAATAATTTCATTTCTAGGTGTGAATTGATGCTTGTGATTGAATATGTGAGATTTGGTTTTGTTGAATTTGGTATTCATTGATATTGATGTTGGGTATTTTTAATTCTTTTAATTTACAAGTTTAGAATTTTTGAATTGATTATTGTACACATATTAATTTGAAATTTCATAGCTATTATAACTCTAGGAAATAATTAAAATCATCGATTCAGTAATACTATGGTCATACTTAGGATTTTCACTCGATTAGGGAAATAGCTAACGACCGTACCTTAACTATTGAAAAAATAAGAAAAAGTTGACTGTGAACAGGTGTAGATCAATTATAACCAATTTATCCAACTATGAACTTGATTTTTGTCAATGAGCAAATTTCATATCTTGAACAGAAGATTTATTCTTATGCTAGACTTTAATCATCTTTGGTAAACCGATCATCTGCATTTTAGTTTATTTTATTTAATTGAGTAAATTTTATTTTTCTATAGTTTAGTGTGATAAACCAAAATTCCCCCATTCAACCAAGTATTCAAATCGTTATTGTTTTCCTGCGGAGACAATTCTGTTCACCAACATTACTGCATTTTGTATATTTTGTGACGTAGGACCTAATATTCTATTTTGCAAGTGTGCGACATACTAGCAGGATGACATCATGATTGAATGTTGAAAGTCACCAGAATTTATTGGTCATGGAATATAGTTTCCTTCCAATGCTACCAAACAAGAAGGATTGTGATATCCTGGACAAAAGATTAGTAGAAAGTATATATGAAAGTGATTCCTATTTTAGTCGAGGACCTCCGATTATTAACCAAACGATTCAAATATAATAGTATTGTATTATCACATCTGAGTCAGTTTTGAATTATGTATAACAAGTTGTCTCAAATCAATTGACAAGATCATTTGGATTAATCTTTGAGAATGTTTGAGAACTATCGACAGCATACACTTATTGTCACTTTTGGATCTGTTCATCAATCTGTTTTCAAGTAAACATTCCAAGATCAACCATTTGGTCTAGAATTGCAACCCTGTGAGGGCAATCAAAAGTCCACCAATAAACAAGATACCAATTCTACTTTAAAGCTTACTCAAGAAAAGGAACTATTTATTTGCCTCCACAATTTCCTGTGCTATATACATAGATTTATGTTATGCAAACACCTAAGTTATCATTAGCTCATAATATATGCGTCGATGCATTGCGTGACTTAAGCAATCCAATGCTGGCATATAATGATCTCATTCTTCACCCCTGTCCTCTCTCTGCTATTCCTCTTTTTTCTTATGGTGGGGGATCACAACATTTCCATCCAGTCCTTAACTTATCCAAACATTTTGTGCTCATCAAAGTCTCACTGAGCCACCGGAGGGGCTGTAACAATGCAGAAGGATGAGGTAAATTCATTGGGTCTGTCACTCTATACAAGGTTTGATTGTCCTAGGATAGCTAAAGTCCAATACATGTCAATATCCTGGGAAATGCTAAATTACTAAGGGACAAAATATTCTTCTTGGGAATAGGATAACATTGTTTCTAATGATCAACAGCTGGACTTTTGGTTGTTTCAACATGTATTGATGATAACATCCAAAGAAATAGCACAGTTCTGAATCACTGTGTCCTATGAGCCGGATGAGTAAATAACATCGAAAGAAAATTGATCATCTAGTCAATTTGTCTCCTTGTGCTTGTCTGCTTAATGTCACTCTCAACAAGTCTGCAGTGCAGATATCATGATCATGATCTCTGAGCCATCAACAGTCGCACGGGATTGTTCAGATTGGCACTATAGATCAGGCAACTTCTCAAAGGATTACTATGCAATCTGGGTTGAAATGCCAAAAGGAAATTCAGGGAAACAGATTTGATTCTGTTGAGGCCATGAGCGACTTTAGTTCTATTCAGTCTTATGAGAAAAGAGCTGAAGTGGGCTTAAATGATGACGGTGGTTCGTGCTTTCTGGGGATCGAGGATATTGCTGATTATGACCTTCTAAACTCAATATATCATCAGGAAGAACTAAGACATCTAGCTCATGTGGATTGTCTAGATGACCTTTTTCATGATATTGTATCTCCTCCACTCCAAACATTTGGAGACGACACCGCACTTCTTTCCAGCACCAAATCTCAAGATTCACGGCATGTTGATTCAAATGCTGAGAGATCCTTTACATTTCCTTCTGCATCACTAGAAATTCTGAAGAGCTACAGAAGCAGGTCTTCTGCAATACATGGAAAGAAGTTTGGGGGCCAGTTCTGTGATTCAGAGCAATGGCCTGAATCAACCTCGCCGTTGTCGATAAACCATATCATCGAGTTGGCTGCAGGGAATTTCATTCAGTTCAATTCTGCAACTACCCCTGATCTCACTGCAATCAACCATCCATATGCCAGTTCTTTTTTGGGCCTCCGGATAGAGGATGTTAAAGATGTTCAACTTGTCCAGGACCTGCTGACATGTGCGGAGAAAGTAGGCAATCAGCAGTACATCTGTGCAGGTAAGCTTCTTGAAGAATGTAGTAAGCTGAGTTTTAGCAAGACGAGTGCCATCCAACGATTGGTATACTATTTCACTGAAGCTCTTCATGAGAAGATCGACAGAGAAACTGGAAGATTTACTGGAAAAAATAAGAAATTTTCATTCCACACGGTTGCCTCAAGCCCTGCTGCTGTTTCATTCCTTAAACACACACCCTTTGCTCAGGTTTCCCAATTCACTTGTATTCAAACCATAATGGACCATGTATCGTTGAGTACAAAGGTTCATATAATTGACCTGGAACTCTGGTGTGGCATTAGAATTGTTCTTCTGATGCAAGCTTTAGCATCAAGATCCGAATGTCCCATTGAACATATCAGGGTAACCACTGTAGGAACTACATCACAGTTTGAGGAGGTGTATCGTCGTCTGAAAAGCATGGCAGAGTCCTTGAAGCTCAACTTTTCTTTCCATGTGGTCATGTTGGAGGATATCTTAAATAGTAGGAAAAACCTCTTTCATCTGGATCCCGGGGAAGCAGTTGTTTTACATGCAGCTTATTTCTTACAAACTATGATTCCCAAGCCACATCAGCTGGAGAGACTGATAAGAGCTGTGGAGCAAACCAAACCTCGGATTGTGATCATTGCCGAATCTGAATCAAATTCTAATTCTCCAGTTTTTGTTAACCGTTTTGTCGAAGCTCTTTTTTTCTACGGTGCCTATTTTGATAGTTTGGAAGAATGCCTGAAGAACGCTGCTTCAGATAGAGAAGTAGTTGAAGCAGAAATCTTAAGCCCTGCCATAAGAAACATTGTGGCAACTGATGGAGAAGACAGAAACATCAGATATGTCACCATTAATATCTGGAAGAAATTCTTTTCACGGTTAGGCATGGTAGAAATAGAGTTCAGCAGGCCGGCCCTCTGTCACGCGAGTTTAACCCGTGAAAAGGTCAACTTTGGAGATTCTTGCACACTTGGTCTGAATGGAAACAGTCTCATAATCGGTTGGAAAGGAACACCGCTTACTTCACTATCTGCATGGAGATTCCATCGTCGGCGACCAGGGAAAAAGGATTAGAACTTGGGGACTATCTTCGTGCTTTGTCCCAATTGTGTATCTCTTCCCAATTGCTTTGAGCTGCCCTCTTATTTTCAGTTCAAGTTTGCTGCAGCTTGCAGTGGATTGATTATACTATTGACAATGAGATGGATTTGACCATTTCTCTGTGATTCAAATTAAAATTTAACTCATCCTCCCCACATGCCAAATAACAAATTCCACCACCAACTGCTCTATGATCTTAGAAAATGTGATTGCTGAGAAGGACAGGTATTTGTCATGACTGCTTGTCAATGAGGTTCAATAGAATAATTTTCTTTACGCAATCTGCTGGGGTTGTTCGAATTATATTATCTTATTGACTAAGTTCATTGATTTTATGGAATTCAAACTCCTTATGGTTTTGAATTTCCCTGCATAATCTATTCCAAGGACAGCAACATTTATTCTTATCTTTCATTTCATTTTCAAGGCCACCTTGTTTTGTATTCACTGAAAATGATTTAACAGCATCATCAGCTTGAGAGCATTCAGTAAGGATCCACTTCTTCTATTGATTCACATATCATATGTAGAGAAAGGTATTCTCGAGTATTCAAAGAAACTATAAAATATGAACAAAGAACGTGTTTCCATCTATATCCAGAGCTTGAAGCCTCCTCCTGCGACAACAATGGAAGTCTCGAATACTAAGAGAGGATCTCTAACAAAAGGTTAGAATCAGACAAATTTCCTCCTCAGCAACATATACTTCTTGGAAACCTTTGGTTCATTCTATATATAAAGACATTATTGTTACAATATTTTCGGCAGAATGCAAATATGTATCGGAAAAATGTCATGCAAGCATATGCATGTGTGAGTGAGTGAGTGAGTGAGTACAAGCCATCAAAGTAATTCAATTCAACATAAGGGGTGCATCTCATCGAGACCTGAAAAGAGGCTGCTGCTGCTGCTGCCATGGCGTAGGTGAAGGCACTTGGAGGATATCCTTTCCAGAGCATTTGGTGTCAGAGCTGTTAGAAGAAACCAAAAATTGGTCGAGCAACTGCAGCCTCTTGGTCAGGTCATCAACCTGCATTCTGAGGGCTTCATTCTCCACTGCAATGGCTGCATAGCTTTCCTCGACTCTGTCCATCTTCTGAAGTATAGTAGCTCTTTTGGTTGTGTAATATGTGACTTGATCATTGAGATCCTTAATGTGCTGCTCCCTTTTCATCCTGGAACGCCTTGCCGACTCACGGTTGGATATCATCCTCTTCCTCTTCTTTTCATCTGTGATTGATGCGTACCGGCTTAGATCATCTTCTGAAGAACTTGAGTGGTTAGTTATTCTCCAAGAAGACATTACTACTACTATTACTATTTGGAAATCTGTGAATGATGCAAAGGAAGGGCTCAAGAGAACACATAAAACCAATACAAGAAAACAACTGAGAATGATTGAAGCAGCCTTATTCTGCAAAGAAATGCAGCTATGCCACCACACATCTCAAAAGTGGTTCTTTTGCAAGAAAAAAATCATGGCTGCTGCTGCAATCATTTTATCAAACCAAGAGATGATTGGACTGGATTGGATTCTTGTAAATGAGTCTAGAGATGGTTCAGAAGAAAATTGAGGGTGGGGATTTTGAGGGTTATCCTGTATTTATTTATACATGTATGAAAGTTTTCTGAAGAAAATATAGACACTTCCAAAAGCATACACATTAGGTAAGAATTGTTGGACAGATGCGAGGATAATGATAGCACATAATCCATATATATAAAAAAATAAAATTGTAGTATATAATATTGAAAACTTGTGATGTAGATAAGGTTTTTTAATAAAAGAAATGTAAAAAAAAAAAAGGTAGAGGGACAAATTTATCTTTATCATCTTCTTGATGTTGACTTGTAAAATAAGACAATTGAAACAAATCAAAAGGGTTGGGGGTGAGGAATAGGCAGTAAGTGCATTTTAAACTTAAGAGGCTGTTTTTAGTTTTTACCATCATCATCACTGTAAACATCCTTTTTCTCATTCGAGTACATTCATACTGTATTTTTGCTATTTTGCTTTTTTATTATTGAGACAAAGAGACCACCCTATAAATGAAAGAAGTTGTGTTCAATTTAATTTATGGTGTGATCTGCTGCTCATCCATTACCACTAGATTAGGCATATCCAGACACATTAACAAGTTTGTTTTGTCCTTGTTATAATTTACTACTTGTCCTCCACAGATACATTGCAAAGTCAAACCTCAAGTTAACAACTTCTACTTCATGATAATCTCCTGAAAAAGTCTATGATTACTTGCTTGTCAAATAATTAATAATCAAAGAAGAACAAATCATCACGCATCATCCATCCCATGCACTTCATTTTATTTTATTATATGTTAATTGTCACTAGAATTGTCCCCCAACTCCTAATCCCCTTCCACAAAACACCACTCAGCCTCAGGTTCTTTCTCATAACCAGAACAAGTTCCATATCCATGGATGCTGTTTCACGGAATGAGAAGAACAAAAACAAAGCAGATTGCTTGATTGATTATTGCCACTCAAAAGCAAGCAAGCTAGCTTTTTTACATTAACATTTTCAATTCATTCAATTAATCCCTCCTTTTTTTTTTTTTATAGAAAAAGAGGTTGTGCATTGAAGAACTCAAACCAAATAAGAGGAGGGAAAAAAACTAACTGCAAAACATTTCTCATTATTCATCTTTGATTTGTTTCTTTTTGTGGCAGGCAGTCAGGCAGGCCACTTGATGATCAAATGATGATCTCTGTCTGTCATTGAACATTTATGTCAAAAACCTTGGCACTGCTAGTTGCCTTTGGTATAATTATATACAGGACACCGTCCTTAACCTCAGCCTTAATTTTCTCAAACTGCACATTCTCAGGCAGGGCTATTCTACAACTGTACTTGCCATAGCTCTTAGCAGACCACTCCTCCTCATCGTCCCCACTTTGAGTCTTGGGCAGCTTCTCTGCCCTGACAACCAGCATCTTCTCCTCCACCCAAACCTTGACATCCTCTTTCGTCATTCCGGGCATGTCAAACCTCATCTTGTATTCCGATTCGCCTTCCTTGATCTCCCATGGCGTCCTTCCCCTGCTGTACCCTCCACTGGGCTCCGCAGCCGCTGAAGGCGATGCCCATCCGCTGTTGTATGCAAACGGATCTTCCATCATTCTCTCCATGGTTTCCATCATTTGTTGTACTGTTCTGGCCGTCGGGAACCTGTCCCATAAACCTGTATGTATGTATGTATATATACACAAGCACACAGACACACTAGTAATATATGTGAAAATGGATCAACGAAAGAAAGAAAGTAGGAGAGTGGAAAAAGCTGCGTGAAGAAATAATGGTAATGATTACCAATTGGGGAAGGCGGCGGGGATGCTCTCTTCCTGGGCTGCTGCTGCTTGTTATTCTGTCTTTGCAAATGATCGAGATTGTCACTGTTCTCAGACGCCATAGCCTTGACCACTCCTCCTCCTCCTTCTCCTCCTCCTCCTGTCCCTGGCCAAGTTAGAGGCTTGGAGCGGGAGCATCTTGGATAAAGACGAAGGTTGGGAGGAGGAGAATTGAGAGCAAATGGAGGGGCTGCGCCTGCTTGGGACGACAAGGAGGAGCGAGGAGCCACCGAGGAGGGGCTTGGCGAGCAAAGCATCATCGTCATCATGTAATATCCTCCTGTTTTCTGTTTCTGACAGCAGCCGGATAAGAATTTGTTGTTAGATTGATTGCTGAGCTCAAGGCAGGCACGGGAGAGGGATGGAGGAATTCATTTAAAGCTAAATGTGTGTGTGTGTGTGTGTGTAAGAAAAACTCTGGAGAACTCTGGAAGTATGGATGCAATGGGCGTCTGTCTGTTCAGTTGAGGTGCTTCTGGACTTGTCGAGAATCAAGACTTGTTCTTTTGCATCACCGCCTTCATTTTCATTTCCGGTGGAGTATATAATAGTATAATATTTCTACGCTCGTATCTATTTGGGCTTCGATTTGGGCCGGTTCAGATCCAGTCCGGGGAAAGGAAAGCACATGCCTAATACATAAATTATATTCCAATGAAAATTCTACTCTCAAACAAAAACTAAACAAACTTACAAATTTGAAACCCTTGTTTTATATGTATTTGGTATTTTTCCTTAAATAGTAAATTTATTTAATATTTTACCAAAAAATAATATATTTTTATAAAAAAAAATTATAAATAAATCTCTGATGTTTCAATATTACACAACATATCATTCAAACTACAATCTAAACAAAAAAACCAAATCAAATCAAACTTCACAAAAACACATTCTTAATTTTAATTCAAATTATAAAGAAAAAGGATATTGGATACTACCACTAATTTTTAAGAAATTCAAGAAATTATAGTAAAAAAAAATACTACTACATATATATAACATTAATGGATTTAGGAAAATTGTTAAAATTAATTTAATCTAATATGAATTTCGCATATAAACCTAATAGTACTAGATTGACTAAAATAACCTGGGAGTCTTTCCTTTTTCAAATAATACTCCATTACTTTTCCGTCACAGAAAAAAGTCAAACAAGTAAATCTGAATTTCACGACAATACGAGGAGCAAAATGAAATATCCGACGCTCTAATATATATATTTTTTTCCTCCAGAGTAGGCGAGGCGTAAAGAGATATACACATAGGCGCACACACACATATAAACCGCATCGTTCTCTCGACAAGCCTTCCCTTCCCTCTCTCTCTCTCTCTCTCTCTCTCCCCCCCCCCCTCTCTCCCTCTCTCGTACAAAAACCAAAACTGCGGCGTTCTGTGAGAAGAACAACTCAGAACTTCCTCAATGTATCTAATGGTTAATTAAGAGGAGGAATTCAAATACAACCGAAGCTCTCCACTCTGCTTCCTTTCTTCATCTGCCCCCTTCACATTCCCTACAGCCAGACCAAAAGATATCAACAGGGATTTTCTGATTTTCTTCAATTGGATCTTTATTCTCCTCTTCACCTCACTTGCGAGCCCCATTGCCCCCTTCTTTCGAGGCACTCCACTTCAGGTAAATATATCGATTTGGGACCCTGCAAATGGAAGTTTTGAGTGTTTACATTCTGTGTGTCAGGGATTTTGCGGCCGTGTATATATGTTGCGGATTAGATCTTCAATTGGCTGAATTTTATTGTATTGTGATGGTTTATTCTATCCTTCTTTGGCAGTTTGAGATGTGGCGCTTTAAGCCTTGAAGGGTTTTGTTTTTCAATGGTACAGCGCCAGGCCAGTGGGAGATTCTTGCCCGGGGTTTTGGGATTTAAGTTTTCGGTTTAGCTTGGACAGAGAAACTGACAAGTATGATTCTGTTTGATGCTTCCCTCTCTTTGATTGTTCGAACTATTGCATTATTTGTTGACTACGTTTTTGCAATCCTCATATTAAAAATAAAAAATAAAAAAAATAAAAAATAAATAAATAAATTTGGGTATATATTGCCAACTGATCTTACACTTTTTACCATGTATGATTTCGGGTATGCTCTGTGTTTGGTAGAAAACATTTTTATCCTACTTTATGCACATGGTCGATGATGGTTGTTGACATAACATTATTTGTTCGAAGCAGGCAGTGCCAGGATAAAAGATCTGACTTACATGGTAAAAGTTACAAGAAAAAAACTCGTGATCATAGAGTTACTACCTAATTTTTAAGTTCCAGGGTAAGTTCTTAACTTTCATACCTTACACAACTGCCCGCCGCCGTAACTAACATCTCATAGCTATCTTGTTTTGTTCGAACACTTAATAATATCTAATACTGGAAACTCCAAAAGCATCTTGTAATTTAAAATCTTATAAAGCTCCTCCATACCCCCCCACCCCCCCTGCTTGTAGTTTTACATCTAATTATCAAATATCTTCTCAATGTGCTGTCATTAAGTTAGTACTAGTTTTCACTCATGTTTTTAAGAAGGGTTTGATCATGTCAAACAATTTCAGGTCATATGGCTCTTAGGAAATATGTTCCCCCGGGTAATCCAACTTCAGCCAACATTAAATCCTTGACTTTCTCCAATAAGGGAAACAAAGCCAATGAAGCAGATTTACAGAAAAAAAATGTCAAAGCTGATGTGGAAGTTGACCTCAGAGAGGTTTATTTTCTGATTATGCACTTCCTCTCGGCTGGACCATGCCAGAGGACCTCTGGTCAGTTATGGAATGAACTCTTGGAGCACCAACTTTTACCTAGAAGATACCATGCATGGTATTCACGCTGTGGGATGCGCAGTGGAGATGAAAATGATGATGGCATTTCATTTCCCTTAAGTTATAATAATCTGGTGGAGAGGTAACTTTTTTGGTTTTCATATATCAACCATCATAGCTATTCTACTATTACTGATACGATATAGTCTTTCTTCCAGTAGAATTCAGAAGTATTGTGGGGTTCAGCATGTTTCTAATATTTCGATGGATGTGTTTACAAGAGTGAGAGAGTGTGTGTCTCAATCTATGTCAAACTTTTGTCACTGAGCATTCACGAATTTTAGGATTTTTCATGCCAATCACCCTTAATACACTTTTTCTTGAATTTTTAATGCCAATCATCCTTAATACACATTTTCTTGATTTGGACTACCATAGCTTGGTGATGACAATTCAACCTATATTTTTAGGCATTCCCATGTTGAAAAAGATCACTTAGTAAAGCTTCTGAAGCAATTAATCCTAGGTGCAGCGACTCCTTCACAAGGTTTGATTGGTGGAAATGCACTGAATGCATCTATGGTTCCAACTCTCATGGGAACTGGATCATTTTCACTTCTGGCAAGTATGTAATTATAGCTTGATGAGGTGTCATTTCTTTAGTATTTGATATAGTTTTCCCCATTGCTTTAGTATATGGTGGTTTTTTTGGATATATTTGAATAATGCTATTAGCTTATTTTATCTCATTGGGGCACTTATTTTGAAATAGTTTGGATCACATCATTTAAAATGAACACAAACTTAACCAGTACTTTGTTTTGCCACCAGTACTTTATTAAAACTAATAGTGGAGATGATACATTCCTTTGTCTGTGCTATTGTTAATTTCTTGGAAATTTCTGATAGTTCTCCTATGCTAAGGTGATCACCACAAGAAGGACAAGAAAGATAAACATCCTCCTCGGTACATGCGGTGGCCTCACAGATTGGCAGATCAAGTGCATGGGTTAAGCCTAAGAGAAATTGGAGGTGGTTTTTCTAGGCATCATCGTGCACCATCTACCCGTGCTGCTTGTTATGCAATTGCAAAACCATCCACAATGGTGCAAAAGATGCAGAATATTAAAAGTGTCAGGGGACACAGGAATGCTGTTTATTGTGGTAAAATGAAAATTGTCAATATAATTAGATTTTCTTTCATTGTATTCTACTGTCATGGATAACAAAACATTCTATAAAACATAGTAATTCTTATTTTGTTTCTTAAGTAGATTAACTTGGTCTATGTGTTCTTATTGTGATTGAACATACTGATTTGTGGATAACAGTGTTGTTGCTTGAGTTTATACTTCTGTGTGTTTTCTTCTGCTTGGTTACCTAGGACTTGGATGATTCCTTCGTAAAAAATGAGAGTGTTCTAATTGAATAAAGATGAAAGTTTCATTTAAAAAATAAAAAAATAAATGTTATTATCTTTTTTTTTTTCCCCAATGTTGAATTGGTAGCATTTCAAAGTCTCTAATATTATACCATCTTTCAGGCTGGCTCAGATTGTTGTAGCACTAAACTACATCATACATTAGATTTACTTTCTATGTCATGCAGAAATTTATTTATTTTATTTTTTTAATTTTTTTCTTGCCTGTAGCTGTATTTGATCGATCTGGGAGATATGTCATAACTGGTTCTGATGATCGTCTGGTCAAAATTTGGTCAATGGAAACTGCATATTGCTTGGCCAGCTGCCGAGGTCATGAAGTGAGTAAAATGTCATACTATCAGTCTCTGTGGCAATGCATTATTGATTCTTCAGTTATATTTTGATTTCATCTGTCTGTCTTCTGCGTCAAGGGTGACATCACTGACTTGGCTGTCAATATCAACAACACTTTAGTGGCTTCTGCTTCTAATGACTGCATAATTCGAGTTGTGAGTTCCCCTAGTGTTTTTACTTTTTTCCCCTGATCTATCTCATCTTATTAGCTACGTGAATCATTATCTGTTTTTCTTAATGACAGTGGCGCCTGCCTGATGGATTACCTATCTCTGTACTGCGGGGTCACACAGGAGCTGTCACTGCGATTGCATTCAGTCCAAGAGCAGGCTCTTTCTATCAACTTCTATCGTAAGTCTTCTAGTTTTGGTTAATCATGTGCTCTGTTGACCTTCTTGAATCAGGTACAGTTTGGGGTTTAGGCTCAATTGCTCACAAAGTTGAGAATCTGTATGCACACAAGTGCATAGTGTGATAGGCTATAATATATCTTACTGAAGTTTCTTTTGCAATATGTCGTCAAGAGCTGAATTGAAGTACTGTTACTGAGAAGTATTGCTTTGTTTACAGATGTACTATCTTCTGTATGCAAACAGCAAGCTGTCTGGATTTGTCTCCATGCCAATGAAAAAAACCTGTTCTTATAAGTTCCGCAGACCATTAGTCAAGTCATCAATTGAATTGGCTGCTTATTCCTTATTTGTTTTTTTTTAAACTATGGACTCTTATTTTTTAATTACCTAATATATTTGTTCATACATAGTTTTGCTGTTATCTTATCTCTGTGCATCATTTACTGTTCCCTTGTGTATTTACTTGTGTTTTGGTTTTTTTTTTTTTTTTAATTTTTTATTTGGTGCTATGAGTTGTTTCAAGTTTTGAAATTTTGAGGTGAGAATGGGTGTGATGATTTTTGGAGGGAAACTGGACACGGTATATTGAACAGTATGATTTTTTTTTTAATAAAAAAAAAGAAAAGAAAAATGACAGCCCTCTCAGTATCCGTTTGAAGTTATGATATGTGCATGCCAATATTGTTGGTTTATTTGACTGTGATTCTGTTTCCATTGCAGGTTCTAAAGCTTTCTATTTACTTGGTTCCATTTAAATTAAGGCACATACTTACTTTTCTTTGGGTTTTAAACATCATTCATATGTGGCAGGTCCTCTGATGATGGAACTTGTCGAATTTGGGATGCTAGATATTCACAGTTCACCCCACGAGTATATGTACCGAAACCTTCAGATTCTCCTGCCGGTTTGTTGCTGGATCAATTGAATTCATTTTTCATATTACTTTTCAGTATTGCAAGTGATATGATTTGAATATTTTAGGGAGAAACAATGTTCCCTCGTCCAACACTATTCAACCAACCCACCAGATCTTCTGTTGTGCGTTCAATGCCAGTGGAACTGTGTTTGTCACTGGAAGTTCAGATACTCTTGCAAGGGTATACTCATTCATTAATTAAATAATGTGTGGTTTAATGATCTTGGTGTTTTCTTATACCGAACCATCTATGCTGGATCACAGTACATATGATATATTTTCTGCATCCATGTTCATCAAATCACCATAGAAAATTACTGTCTTTATTCAACACTACACTTTGTACTCTGCTGTCATTGGAGTGCTGAAGTCTTTTTCTCCTCTTGGAACCCTGCAGGTATGGAATGCTTGTAAATCCAGTTCAGATGATTCAGACCAACCCAGTCACGAGATAGATGTTTTAGCTGGTCATGAGAATGATGTAAACTATGTGCAGTTCAGGTTTGTCTTAGTTAATATTCTTGCTCTTGGGTTTATTGGGTATTGCTTATGTGTTTTCCTCTGATGAAATGCAGTGGCTGTGGGGCAGCTGCTCAGATTTGTTCCTCTGATTCATCTAGAGAAGACACAGTACCAAAATTCAGAAATACATGGTGTGTTTATCGCATCGATTGCTGTATATCCTTATTTGAAAGCAGTTGTACTATTTTCTTGTAGAAATTACATTTTAGTTACACTTACCAATTCATTGTGGGACATCTTCAGAATGAAAGCTTTATTCTGACTCTTCTCATTTCTAATGAGAAAATCCACTTGCTGCTTTTGTTGAAAGTTATATTTTCCTGAAGACGAGCCAATATATTATTTCAATTCTTCTGATGAATGCACCGTATGTTAATGTATATTTAGCCTCATCAAGTAAATAATGGGACTAGTACTAATTTTTCTTCCATCTCTGTGAAGAGTTTAGGCACTGCTGTTCAAAAAAAATATTAAAAAGAATATATGCTGCTTGATTTTCAGGCTTAATCACGATAATATTGTCACCTGCTCTCGTGATGGAAGTGCAATAATTTGGATACCAAGATCACGGAGATCCCATGTGAGTTCTATGCTGTACTATATTAGTATAGGAAAATTTGTACTTTTAACATCTAAGTTTCTCCTGCTTATTCATCCACCTAAAATTGCACCCTTTCCTGAATCTGTACATTTCTCTTCTCAGGGAAAGACTGGGAGGTGGATACGAGCATATCACCTGAAAGTTCCACCTCCTCCTATGCCTCCTCAGCCACCCCGTGGAGGCCCCCGCCAAAGAATCCTACCTACTCCCCGTGGTGTAAATATGATTACATGGAGCTTGGACAATCGCTTTGTTCTTGCAGCTATCATGGGTATGTTCCAAGCATTATGTATCTAATTGATTTGGCATGAATACATGTACAGACATTGCATCACATCGTGAATATCAGTTGGGTGTCATATTTTTACTATTAACTGCTAAATCCATGATGAATCCTCAACTGTTATAAGATGAATTGCTAATGAGTTGAATGAAATGACTTTTATATGTGCTATAGAAATTCCTTCTATCTTGCTTGCCAATTGTATGCATGGGCTTCTGGGCCAATACTGCCTGTATGCTCCCTGTACTATATTTTTTTTTTTGGTCATCTATTTCTGTGTGGGATGGGATATACTTCAACTTTTATTCTGAAAGAAATGACTCTTTCTTAGGTGCTTCTTAGGAATTAGAAGCACACAGAATGTTTCCTTTGGCAAGCAGCTTTGCTGTGCATACTGAGTGTATATATACTTCCATGTGTAAATGCATTGCATAATGGTGTTTCATTTATTTTCAGATTGCAGAATATGCGTGTGGAATGCGGTTGATGGTAGCTTAGTGCATTCCCTGACTGGTCATACTGAATCTGTAAGCCAGTTATCATGACATGATCTATGTGAATGATTCTCATGTTATATTGCCATTACTATTATTATTCATTTCATTGTAGTTTTATTTTATAAACATTGATTTGGCATTCTGTTTTAGTTTTAAAGTGCATTTGGTGGCATGTTGGTTGAATGTATGTTTATTCTAAAAAGTGAACATTGAACAAAGTATCTTAATTTTAACTTCAAATCACATTAAGAACTGAACAACTATTTCATTATATCTCTGTTGAATCCATAGACTATTTATTACATGCTTGATAGTTACATTTTCGGCAACATCTAATGATGATATTTGCATTATTTTACTCTTGTTTCGTGGGACGTTAACCTAACAAGTTCGTGGCACGGATCTTTGAAGTGCTCTTTTAAGCTATATAGTTTTGTGTTTCTTTTTGAAGCATTATCTCTTCTTATATGTGCTGTTGATACATGGAAAAGTTGCATGAAGTGAATATATTTCTTGTTTATTTACACAAAATGCATCTTCATTTTTATTATTATTATTATTATTATTATTATTATTATTATTATTATTATTATTTCTTCTTTTTTCCTAATATTCTCAAGAAAAAGGATGGAATGTGAACTAGTTTGGCCAATTTTATCTTGGTGTGGAAGCTCTGTCTCCATAATGATCTTTTCTGGAGAGTTTTCCCTGAACACGGTTTTATGTAAAACCTTATTGGATTATCAATCAATTATGAACCAATGTTTTTGCTGTCTGCAACTTTTCTTAGCTTTTTGTCAATGTGTACAAGTACTTTTTATTCGGATGATGAATGTTGAGTGAACCTATCTTATTCATGGGCGCTTGGTGTATGGGTGGCAGTGACTAATACCTTTTATGCTGGAACTATCGATGAGATCTTTAGTGCAGTCAGTCTTATTCATGTTGTTAGTACTTATACATTTTCTTTGGGGTACTTCATAATAAATCTGTTGAGGTAATTTTATTTTTGTAGACTTATATCTATTTCCAATCTGAATTTTTGTAGACTTATGTCTTGGATGTTCATCCTTTCAATCCTCGAATAGCAATGAGTGCAGGATACGATGGGAAAACCATAGTGTGGGATGTGAGTTTTTATCTTTCTTGTTTATAAGTGTATCTCAAACGATTGTTCTGTTCATATTTTTCCCCAGCATGACTTCCTATTTAATTAAGCAGATATGGGAAGGCACACCGATTCGTACATATGAAATTGGTCCCTTCAAGCTGGTTGATGGGAAGTTTTCACCGTGAGTGCTTTTTAATAAGAAACTCACTCTTCTTTTGGTACTCATTCTGTTGCTAGGATTTTGCTAGCCATCTAAGTCATTTATTTATGCTTCATAACTTTATCAAAAGTTTTAGCACACTTTTATCTAGTAATTTTGTATGATATAAAGTGAGGTATCTACATGTCTTGGAATATGTTTGTTGCATTCATAAAGTAAAATAAAAAAAAAAAAGGAAAAAAAGTTAAAATCCAATGGAGACCCCTTGTAGATAGACTGTTCTTTAGATTATTCTTTCAAATTAAATGCATATTTTTCCTTGTAGATTTAGCTAGCAATCATGAATTGCAGTTTAACATGGAAAATGCAAATCACTTGCCGAGTCAATCTTTTATTATATACAAGATGCCAATGTGTAGCCCCTCAATGTTTTTTCAAATATGATTTTCTTGATCATGCAGAGATGGGACATCTATCATTCTGTCTGATGATGTGGGACAACTGTATATATTGAACACTGGGCAGGGTGAATATCAAAGAGATGCTAAATATGATCAGGTAATGTAGCCTTTTTTATGAAAAAAAAAGGGGAAAAAAGTTGACTGCATTCATTGAATTGCTGATATTGATAACCTCTTTCTGACAGTTCTTTTTAGGGGATTATCGTCCTCTTGTTCAAGATACATACGGAAATGTCCTTGACCAGGTCATCTTCTCTATCCTTGAGATGATCATTTAGGTTTACAAGCATACAACAGACTACAAGTGCTCCTATCTTAATTATCAGAAATTCAGTTTTCAATTTGTTCACTGTGATGTGTAACTCTATTACTTACAGATCTTAGCATCTGGACAGAAGAATGATTCTTAAATTTAATATGCTCGTTAAGGCATTTTTAGCCTGATCAATGTGGTGCTTTTGTCATTCATACAGGAAACACAATACCCTCCTTATCGACGGAATATGCAAGATCTCCTCTGTGATTCCGGTACCAATTGATACTCTTTTGCAAAATTTGTAGTAGTTTACCTGCAGCTCAATTATTGATTTATAACATTTCACCATGTATTTTTGTTGGGAATCGCAAAGGAATGATACCGTATCCAGAGCCTTATCAAAGCATGTACCAGAAACGGAGGCTAGGAGCCCTTGGAATTGAGTGGCGCCCACCATCTGTTAGATTTGCTGTTGGGGTAGATTTTAATGTGGACCCTGATCATCACATGCTCCCTGCTGTGGACTTGGATGCATTATTTGTTCCACTACCTGAGTTTTTGGATCCAGTGGATTGGGGACCAGAAATTGATGTACATAGTGATGATAATGATTCAGAGTATGACCTAACAGAAGATTACCCATCTGGGGGTGAGCAAAGTTTAGGTTCCAATTCTAATGATGAGGAAGAGTGCAGCTCAGAGAACAGTGAGGACGACCAGGACTCGCCTAGAGATGGCATGCGCAGATCTAAGAGAAAGACGCAGAAGGTAGTCATGTTCTATGTGGCTTGGTTGTGCCAAAATGGCATTTTTTGTAATTTGTTCCAACAGTTTTTTTTTTTTTAATAATCGATTAGGTGGAGATTGTGACATCTTCTGGGAGGCGTGTAAAGCGGAAGAACTTGGATGAGTCGGATGACAATTTAAATACAAAGAACCAGACCAGAAAGCCCCGAAAGGCTAGAAAATCTCGGAGAGAGAAGTCCCCATCAAATTTGAGGCCACAGAGAGCTGCTGCCAGAAATGCTCTGCATCTGTTCTCTCGGATCACAGGGACATCGACAGATGGAAATATAAATGGATCTGCTGGTAATTCATCTGAAAGTGGGTCTCTTTTACAAGACTCAAGCTTCACAAGTGAAGAGTCTGACGTATCTTTGGAAAATGAATGGTATGAGAATTCCAAGGGAAAAGAATTATCGTTGGATAACAGTGCTGGTGTAGAACAGCAGCCTAATTTTTATCCTCAATCTCAATCGAAAGGTGAAACAAAGAAGAGATTAATTCTGAAGTTGCCAAATCGTGATCCAAGTAAACTTGTGTCTGGACAATCCTCTGGATCTAAATGGGGTGAAAACCTGTTAGCCATAGCTGGATCATCATCTACAGTTCCTACAACAATGGATGAAATAAATATTAACTTATCGCAAGAGGAATGTGGCATTGAAGGTGATAACAAGGATAAAGGAAAGATAGGGAAGCCTTCTGAAAATCATTTAGACCTTCTTGGAGGGTGCAATGCTGGTAGTTCAATTACATGGGGAGGGGTTAAGGCTCGATCTGCTAAGAGGTTTAAGAAGGGAGAACCCTCATCAGCAGGTGTGCCTGCAGGATCTGGTTCAGTTCTTGATCAACATCTTAAAGGGGCAATTATTGCCAACAGCCATTTGAATTTTGTCAAAGAGCATGGGGTGGAGAACCCAAGTTTTGGGACTGAAAATCAGGTAGGAAACTTGGAAGATGATGTTTGCAACCAGACCAGTTTGGATGGAGATAAAATTTTTGATGGAAACTCCTCATTGGATGGGGTAAAGAAGGATGATACAACCTCAAGTCAACTTCATGAAGTATGTAATGGCACAAATACAATAATGCCTTCTAGTCCCCGTGTAAACGAAACCGAAAACCTCCATAAATTGAGAGAGAGTGGCGCCCCTATTTTGACAAAGATAAGAATAAAATCTAGTACTCTTCTAAGTGAGCATGATAGGCCTTGCAGAGCGACTTTTGCACGTCCAGTTAAGGACAATGCTGAAAGTGATACAATATGTGAAAATTCCAATATTGTGGAGAAAGAAGAGTCGCAACTCCCAGCAGATGGTGTCAGGACACCATGCTCCGATAACAAAGATCTAAATGGAGTGGCAGAACCAGAGGATCTTGTCGATAGAGCTTCTTCCAGACTCATTGTACGAGACTCTTTGAATATGGATTCAAATAACAGGATTATCAAAGCTGTTTATAAAAGGTTGAGGCCTACTCGTGGTAGAAACAATCCAGAAGGTGGCTCTAGTAGCATGGAGGCTAGCACCTCTGGTGTTGAAAAACATCAACTGGAACAAGAAATTGTAACTCCACCCGAAGGAATACGTAGAGCAAGATCTATTAGATTTAGGTCAAGTGCTGCAGATCTAAATGTGTCCGGAAGCAATTTTAAATTCAAAGAACCGCTTGATCGCTCAGAAGACCAGTCAATTGATGTTGATAATGCTAGTCCTAGCCTTGGTGAAGAGAACTCTGGTGAAGAATGGCGAGCAGGAGGATCCAGGCATTCCATCCGATTAAGATCCACAAAAAACAAGAGAGGTAACAACCATGTTCATGAGTCTAGCTCCCCAAGGAAATCAAACCAAGCTGGGAAAAGTTCCTGGTTGATGTTATCTGCACATGAGGAAGGATCTCGGTATATACCACAACAAGGGGATGAAGTTGTATACTTGCGACAGGTAGTTTATTGTTTGTTCTCATATATTTTTATGCAGTTTTGATAATTATATAATTATGTCAGCGAGTTTCTGGTTTTATTCTTATTCCAGGGCCATCAGGAGTATATCGATCATCTTAATTCAAGGAATGTGGGACCTTGGGAAACTCTTAAGCAAAACATAAAACCTGTGGAGTACTGTAAGGTTGACAGGCTTGAGTACGCCACACATCCAGGTTCTGGGGAGAGCTGCTGTAAATTGACCCTTAAATTTGTTGATCGATCATCTGATGTCTGGGGGAAATCATTTAAGTTGACTCTGCCAGATATGACTAGTTTCCCAGATTTTCTTGTTGAAAAAAGTAGGTATGATGCATCCATGGCCAGAAATTGGACCTGCCGAGATAAGTGCCAAGTCTGGTGGAAGAACGAGGGTGAGGAGGATGGGAGTTGGTGGGAAGGTCGAATATTGAGTGTTAAGCCCAAATCTCTTCAATATCCTGATAGTCCGTGGGAAAGATATAGTGTAAAGTACAAAAGTGATCCAACTGAAACACATTATCACAGTCCATGGGAACTCTATGATATGGATACTCGCTGGGAGCAGCCTCATATAGACGATGATATCAGGGACAAGCTTACTCGGGCTCTTGCAAAGTTGGAACAGTCCGGTAACAAAGTTCAGGTAAAGCTCCCTTCCCTCGGTGTAAAAGTAAGCCAGACTGATCGAGACGGATCTCACATCCAAATCTTTCTGTTGCAGGACTATTACGGCATAAACAAATTGCGACCAGTTTCACAGAAGGCAAATTTTATAAACAGGCATGTCTTTGCATCACATCTCAACTGTTCTCTTTATTCCTATCAAGCCCTTTACGAAATCAGTTCATGTGCTTTAGCAAGTATATGATGGATGCTCGATTGAAGCCATAAACGATACATGTTATTATTTCCTAACTAATATGAATGTCACAGGTTCCCAGTGCCCTTGACTCTTGATCTGATTCAAGCAAGATTAGAGAATAATTACTACAGAAGTCTGGATGCGATGAAGCACGACGTTGATGTGATGATATCAAATGTGACAACATACTTTGGAAAAAATGCCGAGGCTTCAACAAAAGTTAAGCGCTTGACTGAATGGTTTCGGAAGACTTTCTCAGCTGTATAGTTAAACCGAAGCGAACACAGTTTTGTAGACAGAGCTTAGCCCTACAGCATGCCCTGCCCGTGATCCACCATGGCTCCCTCCTATTTCATGTATGATCTCTGTTTGCCCGGACAGTTGAGGAGATATTCATTGTACTTCTTGAAGATGAGAACCTTTAAGAGTTGTGTATTGGATTGAAGAAGTAAAACCAATTGACTGCTGGGGGAAATCACCACCAGAGAAAAATTCATTTTCAATGTACAGCGCAGCGCAACCCTTTCCAAACCTTGTCAAATGAAGAATATATATATATATACACACAGTTAATTTACAAGTGGTTTGTGCTTGTTACTTTTCGAGGTATCTGACGAGTCTTTTTGTTGAATCACGATAACAACTCATTCCATATGAAACCACCAATTAATGGATCTGTAAATCATTACACATTCAATATTGTTACTTATGAATAATATGCAATAGGAGATGTTGTGCAGACTCCACTCATATTAGGAGAGATCTAGAAAAGCAAAATAAAAAATATTTTGTCCAATTTCTTTTTCAAATTTTCTCCAAATTTCAACTACACTCCAACACACTTTATAACCTCACATATATTTTTAAATAATTACATAACTTTTATTTATTTACTTATTAACCTTAAAAAATATTTGTATAATATAATGTTAATTTATTTTATTTTATATTATATAATATTTCAATAATGACATATTTATTGCAATATGAATAATTATATATAATTTATAAAATTATACAAAATATAAAAAAAAATTAAAAATACTAAAAACTTTCACTCCAAAATTGGAGTAATGCTACATCATTCCTAAACTCATTCGTACATTGCAGCCACCTAAAGTATAGCTTGGTGATGTGAGATGAACCTATGACTATCCCGACGCCTTAAAGTCTCACATACCACACATATTCACCCATTGCGCGCTTGAAACACACATATAATAGTATGATATGTACAACACATGTTTTCAACAACCACCATGTGTGTAAAAAAATTGCAATGTGCTGACCCACAATTAACACCATAACCGGTACCAAGCCAACAAAGCAGCCTCCTCACAATTAAAATTGAACCAAGCATGACTTAGTTGATTTACAAACGATCCTACTCCTATCTATACTTGCTATCTCTTTAAGAGGTAGCATTGATTCAATCCAATGGTAGTAATTAATCCCCCGACTTCTTCCAAAACTACTAAATTGTCCAAGAAAACCACAGAATATTATAGAATCTATTGATATTCACAAGTATACACCATCTTTGGTCATGTGTCAGAAATAACTAACAAGGATCCAGTGTACTCTTGATTTAAAATCATAAGCTTAACCAATTAGACATCAACAATAAGCAAAGCCATTTATGAACACCAAGGCACAAGTTTAAAGGAAATTTTTTTTTGAAGTTATTCATATAGTATCAATCCTACAAACAAGATAGAAATAAAACATATATATACCCCCAACAATGCAGATGAATTCTATTCGATGCAACATAATTTTTCAACCATATATGTTCAAATTCTTAAAGAATCAATGCTACAAATGCAATAGCAATAAACAATCTTCAGCAATTTGGACGAAGAATTGCCCATGAAGCATATACTATACCATAGCAAATAAATTAGAAAAGGATATGCACTCAGCCTCAAACATGTACCATCAAACTGAAAATTCTTAAGGAAAATCAAGCAGAAACTAAAACCAAGATTCAACAAAGATCGAAAGGTCTCATACTAGGCAATAATATAGATCAAGAGTCACCGGAATAACAGTAATTATAATCCAATCCAAAATCCTAAAATAGCATATTAACTAAAAGATAAGAAACCAACCGCTCACTCCCCAAAAAAGACAAAACAAAAAATTTGAATCTTGCATTGCTGTAACTTCCGGAGAGGGGTTAGGTAGGGTTCAAATGCAGAAGCCCAAATCTACTCTTCACTGGCGGCATCGGCGTTGTTGCTGTTGTTGTGCTTCCTTGCATACCTCTGATTCCTCAAAAACTTGGGATCCATCTACAGAAGAGAAAAACATCATAAACTTCAATTGACGCGGTCAAACACATAGATCAATACAAAGAGAAGAAATGAAAAAAAATAAATACCCCTTTGGTGGAGGTGCGGCGATGACGTTTGGGCTTCTTGATGCCGTTTTTGTGTGCCTTGTAAGACTGGTTATGCGCGGTGTGGTTCTTCGACTTGGCCATGTCTTACCTGTTCAAAGTTCTGATTCAACATCATCATCATCATCATCACCATCATCATCAAATAAATAAGAAAGTAGGAAAACGATAGACAGAAATTGAATTGAAACTCCCTAAAGCATACAAAATTGAGTGGGACTGCGTGCAGAAATCACCTCAAGGAACGCGACGATGATCTGCGACTAGGAGGAGGAGGAAGAGATTGTTTATGTTTGATATATGAGCCTCGGAAACCCTAGTTTAGTTCCTTAAATTACTAAAATACCCACCCCATGGGCTTGCATTATACAGTATGTTGGTTTAGTATCTATGGGCCTAGGCCTCTCAATTAAATTGGGCTTTTGGGTTTCAGTTTCAACTTTAAATTAGACTGGACTGGACTGGACCGGACTGACTCTTCTCTTCAAACAAAACGCCCTAGTTTACAATCAATCAATATTCAATGACAAGCAAACATTTGTTCGGCTATTCCATTTGATATAACTAATGTACAAGTAATAATAAAAATTAAGGTATACCTGATAAAATTTCTATATTGTCTATGATAATAATAATAATAATGTCTCTGTCTTGTGTGTGAGAACAAGTTAAGGTAGGTTTCCTCATCAGTGTCTGGTCTGGTCTGGTCTGGTCTGACTTTTTAGGAGATAGCCATTCAGACGATGGAACACTGGACAACAATAACAGAGCTTATGATAGAAAAGAGAAAAGAGGAACAAAGGAATAGATAATTAAGTTGTAGTATTTGTATAGCTAGCTAGCTAACTATCTAACTAACTACACAACACTGCTGCTGCTACTTCTACTTCATAGTAGTATATATCCAATAACTAACCCAACCAACCTCGTAGCAGCTACCTTATCCAAACACACATGATGTGATGTGATACAATCAGATCCAATCAAATCAAATCAAACCCAACCCAACCCTTTTTAAGTGCAGTCAGTCGGACTAAGAATGAGTGAATTAATTAGGAACGGAAGAGGACACAGTCTCAGCCTCACACACAGTAAGCATTGCATTGCATTGCAGCAGCAGCAACCAGAATTTACATACATACATATGTATATACACATGCAATTAATCACCTAAGAAACATACATGCACAGCACAGCACAACACAACACAACCCCAGTGAGTCAAGTGGTCGGAACACCCATCCCGTCTCATCCCACCCCACCCCACCCCTACATAATAGTGATAATAATAATCATAGACATAATAAATAATTGCACCAAATAACTAACTAAATGGTTCCTCCTCTTATCTGCACTGCACTGCACAGCTTTTTGTTACTTGGGTTTCTTCTACATGCCTGTCTGCCTGCCTTCCTTCCTTTTTATCCCATGTCTTCATCTGGGTGGAGAAGTTCCTCATATTCCAGCTGTCAACAACAATTGGGAATCAGTTTACTTACTAACTGCTTTCTAGTGGGGTGGGGATGAGAATAATAATGCTAATGCTAATACGAATGCTGCTTCACCCCGACAAAACTATTTTTGTATTCTTTTACCTTCACTTTGTTATGTTCTAATTTCATTCTTCTGTAGGCTTCTTGTGCTTGTTTTGACCGGAACATGGCCTGCACGCTTATAACTGATCTCTCAACGCGCTCCTCCGCTTGCTTTCTGCTCGCTTGGAAGAAATCCTCTTCTCCATCATTCTCTCCATCTCCATTTCCACCTTCATTCTCTTCAGCTTTAATCTCCAGCCCTCGGATGCCTTTTCTCTTCAGACGCCATCGCAGAATTGCTTTCTCTAGAACCCCAACTGACCAAACTATTTTACTGTACTGCTTTCTCATTCGGTATCCTCTGAAATGAGACTGCACTCATCATCATCAAGAAGCAGTTAGTACACAAACAAATTGGCCACTTCCCAATATATTTAATTAGATTCATCAAATGCATAATACATATGCATGTTAGCTAGCCTTTTTAGTGCTGTTAGCTTACCAAGATCAATCTACTTCTGATCAATTGGATTAGGAGGATTGTAGAAATTTGTAATTAAATTATTTAGTTTTTCCAGTACTGTTGGTTCTCATAGAAATTCAAAAATAAAAAAGCAACATTGGATGTGAATATATGGACCACTTACTTGAATTTTAATGGCTTGGCGCCGCATGTTGAGGAAATCCTTGCGTATCTTCCACGTGCGAAACCTATATTGGATTCTACCCGCAGCTTTAATCCTTTTCTGCACCTCGTAGTTGCGAAAAGCATGCTGGATCTTCATTGCTGCAATAATATGGCGTGCTTCATCCTCCGGATTTGACGACTTAACTGTGTTAGTCCGGACTTTGAGCGAGTGCTCCCTGAATGCAGCCTGAATACGAGCAGCTGCATCAGCAGCAGTCCTAATAGCCGCAAGAGTATCTTTTAAAACCAGCTCCTCCTCAGTGACATTCCCAGCGTCTCCTTCATCCTCATTTGTTGTTGTTTGAAGTGATCCGCTAACATTACCAGCTAATGTCATATCACTAAATTGGGCAACTAAAGCCTTCTCAGCAAGATAAGCCGCCAAACCATCATAACCACTTCTAGAAGCAAGATCAGCAGCAGTGTATCCACCAGGGTATTTTGGGGTTGGATCTGTAACTAAATTTGGCTTTGCGCCAGCAGATAATAGAGCTGCCACCATTTTTTCCCTGAAATTTTGAAGATAATGTCATAGAACTATAGCAGAATAAGTAACATAAGTGATTCCTAGACAGTTCGTTATTGTACCGTCCATAGTATGCAGCCCAATGTAAAGCTGTCCATCCAAATTTGTCTCGATAATCCAATGACAGGCCAGCGCACGAAAATGGGTAGATCGCCCATGTATAACCTAGGATAGCACACAAATGAATTACACCTTGACCTTGTTTATCTCGTTCAGAGACTTTATTCCCGGAAACTACTTTTTCTAGCAACCATTCCTGTAGTTTATTCATTAAAGTCAACTCAAATAACCTATCTTTTGCCATGGGAAAAGGCACCTTGCTGTCTTCAAGAAATTTACTCAGTTGCACCCAATTGTTCATGATGTGCGAAGTTTTCTGAGCAAAAGCTTTGGCTTCCTTCAAAGCAGTAGGAGATAATTTCGTGGAATATGTACTCAGGCTCTTAGATGATGAAAAAAGTAAGTGAGCCAGCCTCATCTGAAGTTGGAATTCTTCCCAGTTAGCTTCATTGTCCGAAGGGATGGGAGCACTGAATTTAAAAGATACCACTTGGCTAATAGGGTTTCGCCCATCAAAACTCATATATAGTTTCACCAATCCTGGGCTTTGCGGAGGAATTAAACACCTAAATACTCCCGGTTGGACAACTTCTGCTCGAAGAACAGAATCTCCACACACAAGATATAATTTGGAATTAGAGGGCGGTTGATATCCTTCACTAAAATAGCCTACCACCAACAGCTGCAACCAAATACTGTGTCAGCAAAGTGTTGAGACAAAAAAATAACGTGCCCGAATCCAAGGATAATGCAAAATGTAATTCAGGAAATTTACATGAAAAAATTCTGCAAGATATTATTTCAAGACATAGTAATCATGCTTTAAACATTAACACCACTTTTTACTTTATGCCAGCAGAGTCTGTGATGATGTTGATGCTGTATCAAATTGAGTCTGGGAAACAAAAAAAATGTGCTATTTGTCGCAGTATATTTTCATGCTGCACATACTAATTTATTCTATATCATCATTAAATAGTAAAATTCCTCGACCTTAAGTGGTAAAGCATTTTATGCTGTATCAAATCTCATCATGCCTTAAACTACTCATGTAATAGACATGATCTTACATCACAATAAGTGGTAAATAAGCTCATTTCATTCTCCATAGTAACATGTCTTATGTAAATGGTAGAAAGTAAACAAAGTTAAAACTAAAGAACAGATAACCTTTGTTTCCTCAGTTGTGAAACCCCATCCAGGTGAAACATCTGTTATGTTGAATATCTGCCCCAACGGAGAAGGGTCCAGACTGTTCATCATTTGATAAGTGAAACACTGATCTTCAGCTAAAACTGTGGATTCCTCTCCAATTAAAACTCTGGAATCCAGCACTTGATCATTTACTGATTCTGGAGAGTCAGCTATCATATTTTCCATCCACTTTCCAAAACTGTCCTGTGTTTGCAACCCTTCTTTCACCTGATTATGCAAAAAAAACAAGCTTCAGCTAATGTCAGCGGTAAAAGATCATAGTTGCTGAATTTTCAAAAACCCTATGTACCACTACAGAGTAGTCATTTTGATAGGCTACTATCCTGTAACCAAATTCCTTGTAAATCATTCTAAAATCAAAATAAAAGCCATGTTGATAGGCTACTATCCTGTAACCAAATTCTTTGTAAATCATTCTTAAATCAAAATAGGCTACTATCCTGTAACCAAATTCCTTGCAAATCATTCTTAGATCAAAATAATAGCCAAGTATTAAACCCGATGATAGCTCCATCAACACAACTGAAGCCAGAAGAGAATAGGTACTACCACCATATGTTGTTCATTCGAGTCTCGGTGTAATATATTAGCATCAAGTGATATAATAACAATCTAAACAACCTTTCATGGATGGACTTAGGATCTAGTTTTGTCAACTGGATGGCTGTCATGTCATAGGTTGGACGATATTATCATCTTCAAACAGAATCTAAACTTGAGGAATAAATTAAACAGAGGATGCACAGCACATTTACTCAACATGGGCAAGAAAAGTACAAAAAGAACATGCACTTACACTTATGTAAGTACTCATCTGAGACGGATTTTGCAATCCAATGTCTACAGTCCTTCCTGTGATAGGAAAATTGCATGTCAAAAGGCTGATATTTAACGATATCTTGATAACATAAACATAAGAATAGTAGTACCTTCATGTGGCGTGATCAGCTTTTGTGTATCATCATGCACCAAAAGATCATCCCATTCAAGCGTATTGATCTCGTGCAGTCTCTGTTCATGATTTTTAATGGTCATGCTGTCTTGCCGACCTGAAAAAGAAAAATTTAGGATTTAAACATTAGCAATGTGGGAGAGATATTCACATCAAATCTTCTAGCTAACAATATGATTTACAGGCAACACATATTCACAACTTGTTCAGGGTCAACTTTGCACCTTACTGAAAATTCACAGTAAGTTGTTACAAATTAATGCAACTGTATTTCAAGTTAATCTCTGCTAAAGCATTCAACTCTCTGAGGTATATTAAAATTTTCAATATAGTAGAAACTACAAACACTAGCAAGCACTCTTAATGTGCTATAACAAAAACCTCAATGGATTTTATTTTTTATTATTTTGGTTAGGGTCTCTAAAGAATATACTGTTTTCTTTTCTTTTAAACACTATTTTCTTCATTACTTAGGGATTACACATTTTTCTTTTCTCTTAGAATTGAGTTTCATGCATTAAAATTTTGTTAATTCTTTGTAAGATCATTGCTGATTGTCCTTAGCAATTTTCCTTGATGAACTATTTTCTGAGTTATAAGTGAGCTGACTAAGTCCATACTAGTTATGTCACAAACTTTGCAAAGCCTTAAATCACCTAATAGAGTTGTGTGTTGGGCATAATACGACTGCTGCACTGCAGAAGCAGAGTCCTCAGACAAAGCCCAAGTGGCCGCCAGTTGCTGAGCGGTGGAATTAGAATTAGAATTTACAGGTGTGGCTGGGGAACCCTGCAGCTGCTGAAAAATGCACATAAGTTATGATGCAAACAAAAAGAAAATTTTGCAATTCAAATAAATGAAAATGCCTGCAAATCTGATTTCACAATATTATGTTGCACGTGCAACATGACCGCCAAAAAGCAAGAATAACAAGAGAACTACAGATAAACCTCTCGAGTTTCACGATAGTGCACAAGGACAATATGCTCCAAAGACCTGTGGTAACAACAGATGAATTAATGAAAATCATTAATTTAAATGAGTTTGATTTATCACAAACAATCATACTTGTCAAGTAGCCAGTAGCATCTGCGAACAAAGGTTGGGTTGTCTTCTCCATGTGCATAATATACATGAATTCTTTCCTCGTCGCCAACCTGCAGCACAAACAATATAGTTTCTTTCATCTCAATCAATCTAAAACATGCCAACTAATGACACACCAGTATCTTTAATAAGAAAGAAGCAGAAAATTGGACAAGTGCGGCCATGCAGTCACAAACAAAATAAAGGAATACAAAGCAGGAAAAGATTAACCAGACTAAGAATGAACATATAGGCAAAGCCTCTAAAAATAAAATTTGTGGACAAACAAATTATTTGTAAATAGCCCTTTATGGATATACCTATATATACATATATACAAAAAGAAAATCTAAACATCAACCCTGGATACATAGATCTTCTCGGTTAGCAAATCAACCTGAAACATCCGGCTATATTACATACTTCAGTCCAAACAACCATCCAGCATATGTAATGGTATTAATGCAAGAAAATAATGTCAGGGTGGGTTCAAGCATCAATTTAGTTGGATGAAATAATCTGCATTAGCTCCAGAAAATTATTAATTCAAGTCAAGTCACTTTCCACCAAAGTTCAATTTTTCTGGGGGGCTGCTAAAAGTAAACACACATTTAGCTAGAAAATCATTGAAGGAAGTCCCATATAGTTTCCATTAAATGAGTTATTTAGTTAAAAGAAAAATGAAGAACTACTTTTAAGTGCTCATGAGCTTCTTTGACAGTTTTCCCATCCTTTTTCTTCTTCCAATTATGGCCATCTTTCCGAAAATTCCGCAACACTTTGCGGTCAAACAACACAATTGTGCCACCTGTTTTTCCAATACACGAAAAATACCTTAGTCAGACCCTAAGATCTTCGAAAAATCACTTCGATTTACACTTAGTACCCATGCATGATTTTTGAATTGATACAAATGACTTCAAATTTCATTTAGCCATTTAGAAATGTCAAAGAAAAATCCACTTATACAAAAAGCATTACTTTCTGGTAAATTCATTGGTTTGACGCGAACAGGAAAATGCCTGTAGTTACAGAGGATGGCATAGATCTCGTTTGGTCGGAGCCATCTTGCCTTGGCTTCCTCCATGATATTGGCAACATCCAAGTCTGTCATGTAGCAAAGTTCAGTTGTGTTAGTTGCTTTATCTCAAAGTATTTTTTAAGAGAGAAACATGCACACCAAGCACAACAATAACATAAGAAATTAGGCAGTTGGTTTACACTGCCTTAATTCCACAAGCTACTTTGATTAATCAAACTAAACATTGAAAATAACCACATACGTACAAGCCAAAAATATAGCAAATGATACAGTAAAAAAACCCTAAAAATAATATTAAAATAAAAAAAAAAAAATCCATTCTAACAACTGCCTCAATTCTGGGAAACATCGGCAACTAAAAAAAATACCAAACCAGAAAGCACAACCCCTAAAACTTGCGTAGTAAGAGCTCCACGTACCTGCCATGGAGAGGAAGCCATGAATCCCCGTCCCAATAAATTGATTCGCCATCAGTGATTAACCAGGCATACAATCCTACAAAAATCCCCGGTCAACGAACGAGGTGATTAAACCTCCGTCGTACACACACGGCGGCAGGGATGGGTGGGTGGGAGGAATCAGATAAAGCTGAGATTTTTGGTATGAGCAAAGAGGCGGAAAACGCACAGTTACAAGTATGAAGAAGCAGAAGAGAAGTGAAAGCAGTGTGAACGAAAAAGGCCTGGCCTGGCCTGGTTTGAGAGGGACAGTGATTCGTTGTCTCCGTGCTTTTTTTTTTTTTTTCTTTCTTTTTCTTTTTCTCTGATACATTGTACATACATAAATACAATACCCGTACATACATAAATACATAGACAATGGATCGGATCGAAGAGCCAATTGGCAATTACAGGCAGCCGGCCGTAGGTAAATTAGATTCATTTTCAACGTCTCCATAGCCACAGCGACGGTCGGGTCGTGTCTTGTCGTGTCCCCCTCCTGCTTTTTAGTCTTAGATCATCCATTCCATCAACACCACACCCCCAAAATTCCATTACATTACTCCATTTATTTTTACTGCCGTACTTTTTACCCAATTATCCAACTACCAACATTCATGTTACCGAAACAGTGGTCCCGTAAGAACAGGGTCGGCCCGGCCATGGGCTCCGAGGAGAGACGCCAGCTCAGGACCAATATAAATGAGAGATCGTCAAATATTTATATTATATATAGAATATTTGATTTACTTAAACTAAAAGGTAATATAATTTGGTAATGTGAGATTATGTTGTATTAGTGAGCTTATAGATTTTATAGAATTACAAAATTTTTTGAATTTTTTTTTTAATACTGCTTTTATATCTAAAACTATTAGAAAAAAAAAGCATGATCTTTCCTACAATATTCACAAGAGTTATAGCAACTAACAATGGAGGTATAATACTCTCTCCGTCTCAAAAACACATTTTGGATGAATAGTGGTTGTAAAAATACTTTTAAGAAATCAAAATATTAGTAATTAGTGTGAACAAGTAAGAATAGTTTTATAAGAAAATGGAAGTTGGGGTTACTAAAAATAAAAATAAAATTATTGCTTTTAGACGGACGAAAATAACAAAAATAACATTATTTTTTGAGACAAAAAAGTATTTAAAAAGAAATATTTACAACAAATTAGAAATAATGACATAATGAATGTCCTAATATCCAAATTTAGAAATTAAACAGGACTGGTCTCTTTTAAGAAATGAAACAAAAAGATTTTAAATTATATTTAAATTAAAACTGCCTTAATCTTTTCTGTTTTAAAAAGTTTCTAACGTATTTTTCTATAAAAAAATATTATATTAAAATACTGTTTAAACAAAAATTTCAAATAACACATTCATTTCAAATAAATTTCAGACCATAATCAAATAAATATTATAAGTGGCTAAAATTATTTATTATAAATAAGTTATTTATAAATTTAAAAGACATTATGGTAAATATTATAAGTGGCTAAAATTATTTATTATAAATAAATTATTTATAAGTTTAAAAGACATTATGGGTGTGTTTTTATATCAAACTTTATCAAATTTCTATTATCTATCAATTTATTTTTAAAACATTAAATTAAATAATTTTTTTCTATATTATACTGCAAAATTAATTTTAATTTCAAAATAATACATTAATATATATTTATATTACATTATACAACTATTTAAATTCATCATTTTTACTATTTATATATTAAGTCAAAATCCAAACTTTCAAATTGGGTATTTTTTTTACCTCAATTTTTCCAAATTTTACTATTTGGATTCTCAATTTTTTTAAAAAAAAATACATTTTTTTTTACAAAACATTCCATCAAATATTATTTTAATATCAAATCTAAACCAAAATTTTTCAAACTCAACCAAAAGAAACACACCATCGTAATAATGTGGACAAAGGAAGTACTCCCTCCTATTTACATTTTTCGTCAATTATTTTATTTTTGTCCATCCTATTTTATTATTTTTTTAGAAAATATAATTATATATTTTAATTGTATTTTAAATTTTATAATTTTTAAAATTTAATTATATTATTCGGTTATTCTAATTTAAATTTATAATTAATTTTATAAAATAGCAGTATAATTTTTTAATTATTACTTAGATTTAGAGGTGGGAGTGAGGGAATATTATTTTATTTATTCAATAGAAATTAATTATAGAGGGGATATTCAATTGTATTTGATTTCGTCCCAGCATTAAATAATACTAACTCCTATCTGTAAAAACGTTACGTAACAACGATAATTAATTTATGTCGTGCTGGTGTCATATGTTTGTTTAAATAATTTATAAATTTTTTATCATTTTAAAATCTGAAATTCGAATGGAAACGGCAACCAAATTATTCCTCTCCCGACCCGATAAGATAAAATGGCGATTCGAAGACAAGTCAAACCATTATTTAATTAATTAACAAATTTCAAAATTTTCGGAAATTAGGAATACAAATATACTCATTTTTCCTGTTTTTGTTTTTATTGAGATAGAAAACTCAAAATTAAGAAATAAATTATTTTTATTTTATTTAAAGAAGAATAAAAATTAAAAATGTGCAGGGTGTATTTATTTGTTCGTCTTTTTTACACTTTAAACAGCTATGATTTAACCTTTGTTTTATTTGTTTTTCTACTATTATTTAATTTTTAATATTTAAATATTATTTTGATCTCATCAAACATTACATTTAAATTATTACAATATTAAAACAACAAATTTAAATAAGTAATAACTGAGTAAACACATTAATATTTCTTTTATCATATATATATATATATATTCTTTTTATAATTGATCATTTTTATTTTTTTCTTTCATTATCAATATAACAATAGTTGTATATATTTTATTTTATTGTTTTATTATTTATTATCTTCTGTGTCGTTTAATTGTGTATTTATTTTAGGTAAAAAATTAGTAGTATTTTTTTTTATATAAAGAAAAATAACAATAAATAAATTTTTAAAAAAAAATAAAATTGAATAACTTAGAGAGTATTATTTTTTTTTTATGCAATGATTATGCCGATTCTAATTTGGCATAGCTATCCACCCGCACACCTCAAAATCCAATGCAGCAAGTAATTTATACTTTTGGAGTTGGAGGAGGACGACCACCACTCTCCTAATTTTGTCAGCCCTCTCTCTCACTCTACAAATATTTAAATATATATATTTTTATACGCACGAATACCAATCCCGAGGATTGGATTGCTGCTGTAGCAATCGATCGACGCGGCGGTGGAATCCATCCATCTTGGAGCAAGAGCAATAGCAAATGGAGAGGGATATTGACGATCTGCCCAAGAATCCAGCGAACTACGCGTCTTTGACTCCCCTCCGATTCCTGCAGCGGGCGGCGCTCGTCCACCCGAACAGGAAATCTCTTATCCACGGTGGTGTCTCTTACACGTGGCACCAGACTTACCGTCGATGTCGCCAGCTTGCCTCTGCGCTCACCAAGCGCGGCGTCGTCCATGGCAGCACCGTGAGTCCTCCTCTCCCCCCCTTGTAACTGATTTTGCTTTTAATTCTATTTTCTATCTGATTAATGCTTACTGATTGCTGCGATTATCGATGATTAAGAGTTAATTTTCCGTGTGGAAAGTACTATGTGGTTTTTTAAATATAAAAGTAGTTAGATTTGTTTGAGCTGCCCAAAGTTCAAGTACTTTCTTCATGCTCAAGTGGATTTCTGATAATCTTTATGCTCTGATAATCTTTGCCAAGATCTCGTGAGTTGTTTAATGATTCCGATTTTTTTATAAAGGTAAAAACCTGCTACACTTAAATAATTACATCACTTCGAGAAGGATTCAAGCTAATTGTTAAATCTTAATTTTTTATTAGGTGAAACCATTTTTTTCTCTAAGAACAGCTATGCAAACCCGTTATTAATTTGTTGTCTTTGTCCTTATTCTTTCTTGTATTAGTGGTCACCAATCACTAGGAATCGGATGGAAAGATAAATGATTGAGTGGCTCTTACATGAGTTCCGGTGTTTCTAACCTTACTTGAGATTCATCATATTTGTCTATTCTTGCCCGTTCATCTTTTTATTTATTACGTCTTGATTTTGACATTTGAACTGGTTAGCTTATGGCAGGTATCATACATGTGGGGTAGATAGAAACGCAACCTTATGAAAGTGCAAATGCTTGATTAATTTGGATTGTTGTAGCCTTTGGTCTTTGTGGTAAAAATTTGGTATTTTGTGATAAAAACTAAGCTGCAGGTTCCTAGAAATGGGCTTAAATCTATTACAATTTCTTTGTTTAAGAACAGTGATCTGTTTCAGATTAGCAATTTTATTTGTGTTATAGAGGATGGATACATGAACAAGACATAAGAAAATTAATTGGACAAAGGGAAACATTGTCTTAAGGATTCTGCAATTAGTTAATTATAAGCAAGATCCTTTGACAGTGTTATGTATTTTGTAGTATTAGTTTACTTCCAAAATCCGGCCAGTTGGCTGGCTGTAAAATTTGATGAAATTTCACCGAGAAATGTTGGAACACATATATGCAGCATATTCTGATGGAGAAAGTTATCCTCGTATATTACAATTTGGCATTTGTTGTTATGAGTTTTAGGAATGAAAAAATGAAAGTATATAGTATCATCCCTTCGAAGTTGTTTGTTGTTAAGAATGATTTCTATCTCAGTTATAAAATTCTTGATTGGCAAGTTGGAGAAGAACCACCCATTGGTGCTTTCGAAAAGATGACAAAATTCTGGGATTAGTTGTTCATGGTTCATTTCTACTGACAGTTGCATCTCTCTGCATATATTTTCAGGTTGCAGTGATTGCACCAAACATTCCAGCCATGTACGAAGCTCATTTCGGGGTTCCAATGTCGGGTGCTGTAATAAATGCTGTCAATGTCCGTCTAAATGCACAGACTATTGGTTTTCTTTTGGGACATTCGCAATCTGCTGTTATCATGGTGGACCAAGAGTTTTTCACATTGGCAGAGGAAGCTCTGAAAATCATGGCTGATAATGAAAAAGGAAGTTTCCGGCGTCCTATTCTGATTGTCATTGGCGATGAAAACTGCGATCCGAAATCACTTCAGTATGCACTGGAGCAAGGAGCAACTGAGTACGAGAAATTCCTGGAAACTGGCGATCCGGACTTTGCCTGGAAGCCTCCTCAGGATGAGTGGCACAGCATTGCTCTAGGCTATACTTCCGGGACAACGGCTAGCCCGAAGGGAGTTGTGCTGCACCACCGGGGAGCGTATCTCATGGCTGTTAGCAACCCCGTAATCTGGAATATGAGTGAAGGAAGTGTTTACTTGTGGACTTTACCGATGTTCCACTGCAACGGTTGGTGCTTCACCTGGACTCTCGCGGCAATATGCGGCACAAACATATGTCTTCGACAGGTATCGGTGCCAATCCCTTTTGTTTCTAACATAAGAACACTCATATCAAGAATTTGTAACCTCGGTTTCGCTATTATTGTTTAGGTCACTGCTAAAGGTGTCTACTCAGCCATTGCGAACCTCGGCGTGACCCATTTCTGTGCTGCACCGGTTGTCCTCAACACGTTAGTAAATGCCCCTAAAGGAGACACCATCTTGCCCCTCCCACGCATTGTTCATGTGATGACAGCCGGCGCTGCCCCGCCCCCTTCAGTTCTTTTAGCAATGTCGCGGCGCGGCTTCAAAGTAGCGCACACCTACGGTCTGTCTGAAACTTACGGTCCCTCGACTATATGCGCATGGAAGCCCGAGTGGGATTCACTGCCCCCGGAAGAACAGGCGCGCCTGAATGCAAGACAAGGAGTGCCGTACACTGCCATGGAGGTTGTGGAAGTGGTCGACACCCAAAACATGATGCCAGTGCCTGCGGATGGAAAGACTGTCGGAGAAATCGTATTCCGGGGCAATGCTGTAATGAAAGGGTATCTGAAGAACCCGAAAGCGAACAAGGAAGCTTTTGCGAACGGATGGTACCACTCGGGCGACCTGGCTGTAAAGCATCCAGATGGGTACATCGAGATCAAGGACAGATCGAAGGATATCATCATATCGGGGGGCGAGAACATCAGCAGTGTGGAGGTGGAGAACATTCTGTACCAGCATCCGGCGATATACGAAGTGTCGGTGGTGGCGAGGCCGGACGAGCAATGGGGGGAATCGCCGTGCGCGTTTGTGACGCTGAAGCCAAATGTCGATGCGTCTGATCAGCAACGGCTGGCTGAAGAGATAATGAAGTTCAGCCGGTCGAAGATGCCGGCGTACTGGGTGCCCAAGTCCGTGGTGTTCGGGGAGCTGCCGAAAACTGCGACAGGGAAGATACAGAAGCATCTGCTGAGAGCCAAAGCGAAGGAGATGGGACCAGTGAAGAGGAGTCGGATGTGATGATAATGATAAGTTAGTATAAATCTTATTTGGATCACAGACAATATAGTTATTGTTATTAATTCTGTTGTGTAGAGATAACGAGGAAGATGTACGCACTAATAAATTTCTTCGATCTAAGAAGTGAATGTCAGTCAATCTGGTTGCCTTGCCTGTATCGATCGATCAAGAAACAATAATCATTTCAACAATAAAAGAGTAAATTGAAGTGTGATGGAGCATTCATTAAGTGCCGCAACGACGAGAGGTTAGAGGTGCAAGGAGGGAGGAGGGAGGCACCATCGATGATATCATCAAAATTAATGATTAACATCATCATCGTCATCGTGTGGCTGTTGTTTAATTTGTTCTATGTTCAATCAGGCCGATCGAGAGATGACGACGACGGCGGCGGCAAGTTGCATGCAATATTTATTTATTAATTATATTTTATGTGTATATAATTGTGTGTTGATTGGTTGGCAGTGTTATCCATATGATCTGATCTTGTTTAAGATAAGAACACTGAACCTGAAGGACGACCATCTTCCAAAGATAGACGACACCACAATATCGATCCATGTAGTTCCTGTTGAGTTGAGTTGAGCTGAGTTGGCTTCCAAGTCCACCAATCATTGAGTGAGTAGAGGTGTATGTATGTATATATATATATGGAAGTGGGGGCACCCTTGCCCCCCTCCCTATCCTCTCAATCAATCCTTAAACACACATTCTGGATATATATACAAAACAATTCGCCACGTCACTCACATTCACATATAATAGAATCTGCCTCTTGTAATATATATGTATGTAGTTGTGATTTTGTATACTAAAACTACGTTAATAATTTAGTCATATCTGCCTATCTATCTATCTATATTGTGATAAAATCAATTCCCTTTTCACGTAACTAACTAATTACTGGCGTGGCGTATGTAGTAAGAATCTACACGCGCTACTCACTAAATGAGTCATCGCAAAATTATATACATATTATCATTATGCTTAACACCAAATAGTCATTCAAAATCTAACATCCAAACTATTATTTTACCAACAACAAAAAATAAAGTAAACAAAATGGATGCTATCAATTAAGCAATTGTTTATATAAATAGCATTGATGGTGCTGATTTTTCTTTAACAAAGAAATCTAGATTATAGAATGGATCTGAATGAGAAATGCTAATATAATGATATATCAAAGGGAACATATTAGATATGTTTGGTAACCACAATAAGAAAAATATTGTACATCTAATAATAATAATAATAATTAGGTTTAGAAACTTTTTGGTTTAATAATTGTAAATTGATTGGCAATCATTCATAATTATTAGGAATGGGCTTCAATAATTCGAATGAAAGACAATTAAATGCAAACAGCTGTTGATCATTTGAAATTTAATTTATCCATGCATAATTCACTAATCACTACGTAACATATACTAATACTACACTCTTTCTTAATTACTTCTTGACAATAATAAATAAATAAATAAATAAAATTCTTAATTAGCTACCAATACATATCATATGCTACTAATTATTTAGAGGGTCAAGCTCAAATGGCAGAAATGAAATATCTATGAAGACATGTATATATAATTAATTAAACAGCATGACTATATATATATCTATATCAATCAAATAACAAGTAATTACGTAGTGATTAAGAGTGCATGTGTAAAGTAACTAACAAGCCAACCAATGTTAATAGAATTAATTTTGAAGGTAGAAGAAATAATTATATATATATATATATGTAATAAGAATATGGTGGCAATTATTAATGAATGGTCAAAACATGAGAATTAATTAGAATAGACTATAGCACCTAAGGAGAAGTTAATTATATAAAATATAAATAAATAAAATAATAATCATAATGCATTTGTTAACCTATCTAATCTAATATAATATATGTAGCCCTATATATATGTGTCTACTGTAATTATTTAAGTGCCTACATTGACCATACATACATACATAGAGCTGTCTTTTTTACCCCAACTAATTTAATTATTACTCAGTTATTGGATCATCGGATGTATGCAATTTTGATTTATTGTTGATATATAATTAAGCATGTAATATTTATTTAATTTTTGTTAACCCAAAAGTGAAATTCAGACCAAAGCTTGGAATTCGATGATACATATATATAATCTTCTAAGTGCAAGTGAAATTAAAAAGAAAACAAATGTTGAATAAAATAAACAAAATTCCTCTTTTATTAGAATTCTCAAGAAACCCTTTGATAGGCCAAAATTGCATTCAATTCAATAGCAAGTGACATGGGTTTGTTTTTGTGGATCGAAATTTGTTTGTTTGTTTATCTATTTATTTTTATGATACGAGAACTGGCAATTGCTGCTGAAAATGAAAATGCACACCATTGAACCCCATCGTCAGCAGATGGAAATTTGTTTATTAATTAACAATTTTGTTGATATAGAATCATGAAATTGAATAAACCAATAAAGGCAGCAGTGCAGGGAAGCATAGGCGTGTTTTACTAACTCACTCAATCATTAACACCACTCTTGACTCTTCTTCCCTATCCTTAATTAATTTCACTTCACACAAAAACGACTCTCTATTTTATACAGATTAAAAAATAATAGAAAATAAATAAATATACATATAAACGTACAACAGTTACTGACACTCACATCGATCTACAATGATGGATGATGTATCTATATAAAGCTCTCCATCGCCATGCCCCAATTCACATCCAATTTCAATAATTATAATAACAATGATAATTACAAAAGCTTGGTTCCTGCTCGTATGGCTCATCTGCGGCATTCAGCTCCACGTCGGCCAATCGCGGCCGCCGTTCGCCTGCGATCCGGCGAGCGCCGCCTCGAGGAGCTTGCCCTTCTGCAGCCCGTCGGTGCGCATGGACGCGAGGGTTAGGGATTTAATCGGACGGCTCACATTGCAGGAGAAGATCAGGCTGTTGGTGAACAATGCCGCCCCCGTCGACCGCCTCGGAATCCGGGGGTACGAGTGGTGGTCCGAGGCTCTCCACGGCGTCTCCAACACCGGCCCCGGCGTCAAGTTCGGCGGCGCCTTCCCCGGCGCCACCAGTTTCCCCCAAGTCATCACCACCGCCGCCTCTTTCAACGCCTCACTCTGGCAAGCCATCGGCCAGGTCACTCTCTCTCTCTCTCTCACACACACACACGCATGTCTCTCTGTGTGTTTTATATCTACATTATTTAATTAATATTAATATTCATATTCAAAAACATTTATGCTTCAATGGAACAGAAGCATAGTATAAACTTATAACCTTTAATATAATAATAATAATAATAAAAGTTTCAAATAAGTTCACGGGTTTGAACAAAATCTTGGAATTGGATTATTGTTTGACTGCTGTGAAAATGTATTAAATAATTTTTCTTTTTTTTTTTTTTGGTGGTTGTTGTCTTTAATCAGTCGAAAAGTTTGGTTAGGAACCTACACTTGTCTAAATGATTATTTAGCAATCACTCTCTATATGTCACTTTACTAGTGGCAAATTAAATCCCCTCTTAATTAATTTTTTCATCAATAATTGAGGCTTAACGTACGAACGTACAAGTAAGTATTTACTAGGTTGGCTCCTTCAACAACTCTTCTTAAGTCCTCATCAGCTCAAAGAAACTACTCATTAATGTATGGTGGTGGTGGTGTAAATGAAAAAAAAAAAAAGAAAAAATAATAATAATAAATAAAAAAAAAGAGTGTTTAGAAAGTCGTTCTTTTGAAAAGGGCCATGAAAACTTCCATCCAACTGCAAGAATATGACAATAAAAGGAAGGCATCTATCAATTTTTTTCTTAAGGCAGACAAGACACTTTTTGGCGGGTTCAAGCTGTGCATGTGACTCACTCTCATAAAATAATAATAATAATAATAATACAACATTTGGTGCAGTGTCCAAAAGAACAAATGTGAGAAATGATCCAAATTGGGTGGTTACATACGACAACTGTGTAATTTTAATTTCATTTTGTAATTAATTATATAATAAAAAGAAAACAAGCAGCAGCAGCAGCATTCGCAACTGGCTCCTTGCCCATACCTGAAATCATCTAGTGTGCACTGCATGCTCATAACATATAGTCCAAAAAAAGCAAAAGATTCTATGGAATTAAAAGCTACCATTCTTGATAACATTATTTAACGTGTTGTCCCAACAGGAGTAGGACCACTTTTGCCCATTATTGATAGGTTTTCGAACGTAAACGCCATTCCCTATTTTGTGCTCATCATCCATCCTATCCACCTCTTCTACTATTAATTAATTAATATTCATTTAAATACAAGTAATTAATTACATACTAGTACTAAATAATATTAGTAATTAAAAAATAACTACTTTACAGGTGGTTTCGGATGAAGCGAGGGCAATGTACAACGGTGGGGTGGCCGGCCTGACCTACTGGAGCCCAAATGTGAACATTTTCCGGGACCCGCGGTGGGGGCGCGGCCAGGAAACTCCCGGCGAGGACCCGGCGTTGGCCGCCAGGTACGCCGCCAGCTATGTCCAGGGCCTGCAGGGCGGCGGCGCCGGCGACAGGCTCAAGGTTGCTGCGTGCTGCAAGCACTACACGGCCTATGATCTTGATTTCTGGAAGGGCATCGACCGCTATCACTTCAATGCCAAGGTAACATATCAAAATCATCTGATTGATGAATCAATCCATCAATTAATGAATTCGTGCGTGCAGGTGAGCAGACAGGATTTGGAAGAAACATACAATGTGCCGTTCAAGGCGTGCGTGATGGAAGGTAAAGTGGCGAGCGTGATGTGCTCTTACAACCAGGTTAACGGCAAGCCTACCTGCGCCGACCCTGCCCTCCTCCGCGGCACCATCCGCGCGCAGTGGCGCCTCAACGGCTACATCGTTTCAGATTGCGATTCCGTCGACGTTCTCTACAATCAGCAGCATTACGCCACAACGCCGGAGGATGCAGTCGCTGACTCCATTAAAGCAGGTTCCTTCTTAAAGCTTGCTGCTGCTAAAGCTAAAGCTAAACCTAATCAAGACTTAATTAGGGTTTAATTTATTACTGTTGCATTGCAGGCTTGAACTTGGACTGTGGGCCTTTCCTTGCCGTCTACACTGAGAGGGCCGTCCAGCAGCGCAAACTCAGCGAAGCTGACGTGGACCAGGCCTTGGCCCAATTACTCACCGTCCAGATGCGTTTGGGCATGTTCGACGGCCCAAAACAGCCTTATCTTAATTTGGGCCCAAGAGACGTTTGCACCCCAGCCCATAAACAGCTGGCCCTCGAAGCGGCCCGTCAAGGCATAGTCTTGCTACAAAACCGCAACCGCGCTTTACCCTTCTCCACCACTCGCCACCGCACCGTCGCTGTCATCGGTCCCAACTCCGACGCCACCGACACCATGATCGGAAACTATGCCGGTAGGTACACATATAATCGCTACTCAATTTCAAAACTATATAAATTGATTGTTACAAATTACAATCTAGTCATTCTGTTGGATCACCTGCCCTAGGAGTTCCATGTGGTTACGATACCCCTCTGCAAGGGATATCGAGATACGCGAAGACAGTTCACGCGGAAGGCTGCACTTCCATAAGCTGTGAAGGCAGCGAGCAATTCGATCGGGCTGAAGTAGGAGCTCGTCACGCCGATGCAACGGTGCTAGTGATGGGAATCAACCAAGCCGTAGAGCGGGAAGCCCTAGATCGAGCTAGCTTACTTCTACCGGGACGACAGCAGGAATTAGTATCAAGGGTGGCTCGAGCATCCAAAGGCCCTGTTGTGCTGATACTCATGTCCGGCGGCCCAATTGATGTTTCATTCGCCAAAAACGATCCCAAAATCGCCGCCATTTTATGGGCGGGCTACCCCGGCCAGGCCGGAGGAACCGCCATAGCCGATGTCTTATTTGGAGCTACAAATCCAGGTACCTCTAATTTATATATATATATATATATATATTTTATAATACAAAAATATGATATATATATATATATATGTTGCTGTCTATGCAGGGGGGAAGTTGCCGATGACATGGTATCCTCAATCCTATTTAGCCAAAGTACCTATGACCGACATGGCCATGCATGCAGATCCATCTCGAGGATATCCAGGGCGAACTTATAGATTCTACAAAGGTCCAAATGTCTTCCCTTTCGGATTTGGGCTAAGCTACACAAGCTTTAGGCACACATTGGCCCACGGCCCAACTAAACTTTCGGTCCCATCGACGAGTCTAAAAGCTTTCAATAGCACGACTCGGGCAATTAGAGTGTCACACACAAGTTGTGACGCTTTAATGCAAGAAATGCATATCGATGTGGAAAATATTGGAGAAATGGATGGGTCGCATACGGTAATGGCATTTGTCACTTCTCCGTCTAAGGAAGATAAACAATTAGTGGCATTTGAGAAGGTCCACGTAATGGCCGGAGCCAAAACACGGGTTAGGATCAATATTGACGCATGCAAACATTTGAGCGATGTAGATAAATTTGGAATTCGAAGAATTCCTATGGGCGATCACCATGTGCATGTGGGGATCGAGGAAGATCTAAAGCACGTCATTTCACTCGAGCATATTGATGCGGATGAAGAAATCAAATCTTAACTTCCAAAGAACATTGGATTCTTTGAAAAACCATATTTGTTATAACAAACAAGTGTATGATACATGTTGGCGAGTTTACATGTAGCATAGAATACATTTAGGCTAAGGAATGATGGATGAAAAGAAAAGGGTGATTAATTATTATGTTGATGCAATTGTAAACGTAAGTTGTAATTTGGATTTATGAGTGAATGGAAAGTATGTATGATTTGGATTGGTATACTACAATCTATGTTTGGATATATATTAGTATCATTATCACTTATATAGTTTTATCTTTTTATTTGGATATATCTCAGATTGTTAAAAATTTAAAATTTGAATACCCTATTCACTATATTTTCATGTTATTTTTGAAGGAGGAAATGAATTTCACTATTAGTCTTTAAAATGATTGATTGGTATAATTATTTATATATTATATGTGCAGTGCAGATATAGATCCTATTGTATAATGTTGATTTAATTATTAAATGAAAAATCTTTTGGATATATAGATAGTATAGAAGGGACGAAATCTAAAGCAAATTTAAAATCTTGGATGGGGGCAGATACCCATACCATACCATACCATTTCCACTTGGAAGGAATAAAATTAACAAAAAATATTAAATACTAATAATAACAATAATTGTAGGCAGACTCCAAGTAGTGCTGAAAATGATGTAGTAACGCTCATTTGATTTGAAGTATAATAATATGAAAACTTGTCTTTCTCTATCTAATCTGTTTAGTTGGAAAAAGTGTAAAAAGTTAGTATGATACCTTTTGTCTCTCAAGGGTAGTGTGTGTGTGTGTGTGTATGTATATGTAGAGATAGATAGATAGATAGATAGGTAGCTTTATTCATTAATGTATGAGTGTGTGGGTGTGGGTGTGGGGTGTGTTGCTTTTGGTTGGTTTCTTTAGTTGAAGGAAGAAAGTAGCTAGCCTTCCTATTCGTCGCTCCACTTGGAAGAAAGGTACCACCATTCTTTCTTCTTCTTCTTCTTTGTTGGTTTCATATGGAGTATATTCATGTATTGCAGCAGAGCAGAGTGGTAGTATAGTATTTTGATGGGAGAGCAACACATGAGTAATAGCATCAATGTCAAGGAGATGATGGAAAGCGGCGAGGAAACACCACAACCACAATCACAATCACAATCATCTCACCACCATTACCATCAGCTCCAGGTAGGTAAGCTAATTCATCCATCCAACCATCCATTTTGTGTTAATTAGTTTTGATGGATGGATGGCAGAGGCAGAGTAGCAGTGCTGGTGCAGCAGCACCAGAGATTGACAGAAAGTATGGAGGACTTGTGCCAAAGAAGAAGCCTTTGATCTCCAAGGTCTCCCACTAGTCCCTCTGCCACTGCCATTACAGTACATGATGCATACATATATATATTCATACTCATACTCATACTCAATACTCATACTCTATGCACAAAGCAGGACAAGCAGAGGGCCTTCTTTGACTCAGCAGATTGGGCTTTGTGCAAGGTGCTGCTGCTACTGCTACTGCTATTTCATTCCTTCTCATCTCATCTCATCTTTCTCCCCTTGATTCTAATTTTATGTCTGGCATTGCAACAGCAACAGCAACAGCAGGAGCAAGGTAGTGGTGGTGGTGGTGGTCAAGAATCATCAAGCAGCATTAAAGCTATAGAGACACTGCGCCCAAAGCTGCACAGAACTCCTCATCACCAACTCCCTCCCAGAAGGCCTCCTGCTTCCTTCTAATCTAACTTCTTCTTAATTCCTAATTACAATCATCTCATCTCTACACATTACTTGATAATTACTACTGTAATAACAACATCCTACTTTGGTTCTTCCTCTCCTCTCCTGTGTTATTCGCTAATAATAATAGTCTATACCCATCCCCATTATTATTAATTACTACTATTTGGTTTCTTTGTTTTTTTATATGTGTGTATATACATGGGTTATTATCATTATTATTCCTTGATAAACAAACTAAACGAACGAATCAGTAGTAGTTGCAAGCATTGATAAATAAATGATAATGGTGGTGGTGGTGGCGGTGGTAATGCACTTCACTTCACTGCACTGCATTGTAGTAGTAGTTGTAGTAGCTGTACTATTTCTTAACTAACTGCTCCTCCATCTCCATCTCCATCTTCATCTCCATCTCCATCTCCATCTTCATCTTCCGTGATGGACTACTCATCAATCTTCAAGAATCTCCCCGGCACAGTCCTGGTCTTGCAGTCCTCAAGAAGCTTCTTCTCCGCCTCCTCAAGATCAACATCCCACTACCTCTTCACCATCCTCATCGCCCTCATCCTCATCATCACCGTCTTCTTCTTCTCCGCCTCCGGCCCCGCCTCCCCCGCCGTCATCTCCTACACCAGTCTCGCCTCCCGCCGCCTCCACTCCCCCTCCCTGTCCCCTTCCCACCCTTACACCAGCTGCACCGTCTCCGCTGTCCCCCTGCCCTCCCCCCCTCCTCCTCCTCTCACCGCCCTTCCCACACACACCCTCGACATTCTTCACAACAATGACGACGACGACGACGACCCGCAGCAGCCCACTTCTTGCAACGTGTTCGACGGCAGTTGGATTCAGGACGAAGGAATGGAGCCATTGTACAGGCCCGGAACCTGTCCCTTCGTCGACGAAGCTTTCAATTGCTTCGACAACGGTCGCCCCGATTCGGACTACCTCAAGTTCAAATGGAAACCTCGTGCTTGCGAAATCCCAAGATTCGATGGCCTCAAAATGCTCGACCTTCTGAGGGGGAAACAGTTGGTGTTTGTGGGGGATTCACTCAACAGGAACATGTGGGAATCCTTCGTCTGTGCAATTTGGGAGTCTTTACCTAATAAGACCAACGTCGTCCAAGTCTCCGGCAGCCGCCAGTTCAGAACCCAAAGATTCTATTCCATCAAATTCCAGGTCATAAACAAACCCGCAACTGCTTTCCAGTTCTTGATCAGATGACAGAGATGATAAGTTTAATCAATTCTTGTTTTTGATTGTTCTCAGGATTTCAACTGCTCTATAGACTTCGTCAAGTCCCCCTTCCTCGTTCAAGAATGGAAGTTCTTGGACAAGACCGGAATTCGCAGAGAAACTCTGAGATTGGACGTTATGGAAAGCTACCACAACGAGTATATGGATGCCGATATTGTGGTTTTCAACACAGGTCACTGGTGGACTCACAAGAAAACCTATCAGGGGTAATTACAGAGGAGGAGTATATATGTGTTTAATTAATTATGTATGATGAATTGTGCATTGATCTGTATTTGCAGGAAGTACTACTTCCAAGAAGGTGCTCATGTATACAGCAGACTGAAAGTGGCAGATGCATACAAGAAGGCCCTGCAGACGTGGGCTAAATGGGTTGATTCCACCATTAACACCACCAGGACCACCATCTTCTTTCGAAGCTACTCCTCCTCCCACTTCAAGTACAAACATCATAACCCACATTCAAGATCTTTACGTACGTGCCTGTTTTTATATATGTGTATTCACAATGTGGTGGTGATCAAGCAGAGGTGGGCGATGGGACTCAGGAGGGAGTTGCGACGGCGAGACGAAACCAATCACCGAGGAAGCTCATCTGGCGCCGCATCCATGGATGGCGAGGGCCTTAGAATCCGTTTTATCGAAGATGAAGACGCCGGTTCAGTACCTGAACATAACTAGGATGACAGACTACAGAAAAGATGGGCACCCTTCAGTATACAGGCAATCAGCTTCATCAGGGAGCCATGACCATGTCTTGGCTTCCCAGGACTGCAGCCACTGGTGCCTTCCTGGTGTGCCAGACTCCTGGAATCAGTTGCTTTATGCAATCTTAATTAAGTCCCAGAAAGAGATTTCTCCTGTTTGACACCAGCACTCGCTGATCTTGTTTCTGCATTACAGGATATGAGGAATCTTCTGCATTCTTTGTAATTGAGTTGGATTCAATTGAATGAGGAAAAGAAAAAAGCAACGATTTTTAGAGCAACTTGCAGATGCGTGACAGGGAACAATAACCAGAACTCGACCCTCTAGAACAACGTTAAAAGGGACCACTAATATATAGATTCAAATCCCAGAAAACAATCAGATACAAACTCACCTCAGCAAAACACCATTACATAAATAACGAAGCTTTTCAAAGGATGTTTTATATCTCAATTCATTAATATCCATGAATGAAGAAGGATGCACATTTGATCTTAACCCATCGAATACTGCTGCGAATGGATGCCTTAGCTCGTCCTTCAACAGCATACGCCCTGTAAGCTCTGATCCTCTGTTTTCTTTTGGCCTCGGAATCTTTAGGAGGGATGTAGAACGACGACGAAGAAGATGATGATGAGGGGATTCGCCGATTCATAACGTTGCTGGATCGCGGTGGCGCTGCCTGCTTCTCCTCCACCCCTCTCATTCTCTGCCTGCCAACTAGCTTGATCGACGACAGACAGAGATGAAAATGGGTAACAAGGTTCGGGGAGTGGAATGGAAATGCTATAGGGACGTGGGGGGATTGCTTGTATGTATGTATGCGTTGAGGACAACCTTAAACTTCTCTATTCTCAAATTCAATTATTGCTAAAGTAAGCAAAGATGGTAATTGTTAATGATAGTTTGGAGATCTTTTAGAAAGTAAAAATTATAGATGGGTGATGCCCTAGAATGAATTCGACGTGTTTACTTTTTCATGTTATCGGCGAGAAATCAAACAAACAAAAGGTTGGGTCACCCGATTGGCTCTTGGCCCAGAGGTAGCAACCATTTTTCCTCAACGTGCGGGTGGTTAAATAGCCATAAATTTCGGACTGCTCGCCTCACCAATTCAAAAACCCTTCCTTTGCTTCGACCTTCGTTCTCTACGCACTCTCTTTCTCTCTCTCTCTCTCTGGTTTAAGGTATGGCGGTGATTGTGTAGCATAGCATGTGTATTTGTCTGCCTTTGTTTATGTGTATTTTTGGTCGATTGATTAATGCGGTGTTCGTTTTTTTGCAGGAACGATGTCATTGAGGCCGGGCTCTAGGGCGGAGGTGCGGCGGAGCCGATACAAGGTGGCGTTGGACGCCGATGATGGTCGAAGAAGGCGGGAGGACAATATGGTGGAGATTCGAAAGAGTAAGCGCGAGGAGAGTCTGCTGAAAAAGCGAAGAGAAGGCCTCCCGCAGCCATTCCCAGCGTCTCTTCACTCATCGGGGATCGAGAAAAAGGTCTGATTTCTCGCCGATAACATGAGAAAGTTAACACTTCGAATTTTTGCTTCGATCTTTCATTTCATGAGTATGTCCAAGAAAACATCCGTTCTTCACTTCTCGATTTTTTTGAATTCTTGAGTCGGTGGTTTTTTCTTTTGTGCTTATTGATATTATAAAGTGATTCTGATAGAGTTATCTGGCTATCCAGTTCAATCGTATTTAGGGTTATGAATTGCCTACCGTCGCATGCCCTTATTTCGACTTAAACCGTTAAAGGATATTTGGCTTGGAAATTATGGATAATTAATTAATTCATGTCGTGGTTTGGATTCTTGGGGTGTGGACAATGTTGAAACAGGACTCACAGTATCCCATTTTTATTTTATGAATAATAGAATAGGGATTGCAAATCAACAGATGATGTGAGTTTGATTGTTTATCATTCTGAATCTTTGCCTTTCTTTTTTCTCGAAAATTGCATAAATATTATTAGATAATATATGTTTTTGTCATGAATTTCTTTATGATTGAATATACTGGTTGTAGGTGAGTCTGGTGTCCATAAACAGAAGTATTTATAATACGTGATTGTGTTTTGACAATGCTTTAAGCTATATTTTGTGATTTGTGTGCAGTTGGAGACCCTTCCTTCCATGGTTGCTGGGGTGTGGTCACATGATAGCAACTTGCAGCATGAAGCAACCTCGCAGTTCCGGAAACTACTGTCAATTGGTAAACCTCGTGGTTTCATTTTGGTAGTTTAGCCTATGATATGATGGTTAAGGCCTTATTTTTCACAATGGCTTTTCGAATTGAATTTATAGAAAGAAGTCCTCCTATAGATGAAGTAATACGAACAGGGGTTGTTCCTCGATTTGTTGAGTTCCTGACGTGGGAGAATATGCCCCAGCATCAGGTGGAGTTTGCTTCAAATATTATTACAAAATAGCTAATGGTTACTGTTTGGAGCTTTTGCTCACTCTATGAGTTTTGTGTAGTTTGAGGCCGCTTGGGCTCTTACCAACATTGCCTCTGGCACTTCTGAGCATACCAGGGTGGTTATTGATAATGGAGCGGTCCCCATTTTTGTAAAGCTTCTGACTTCACCCAGTGAAGATGTCCGGGAGCAGGTGTTACTCTATGGGACATATTAAAAATTATATTGTTTTTATATTTCCTTGTGCATTCAATAAATCTCTACTAACATAATTTTATCTGTAGGCCGTGTGGGCGCTGGGTAATATCGCTGGTGATTCTCCTAAATGCCGTGACTTTGTTCTAGGCCATGGGGCCATGGTTCCTTTGCTTGTTCAGTTGAATGTGAGTTCCAAGCTTTCAATGCTGAGAAATGCAACATGGACACTTTCAAACTTCTGCCGAGGCAAGCCGCAGCCTCCCTTTGAACAGGTGTTAAAATGTCTTGTGGTTAATTGGATAATAGCATCCGTAAGTGAACAAGACCCGATTGTGATTTAGTTCATGATATTATTTTATTAGGTGAGGCCAGCACTTCCAGCCCTTCAACGTCTTGTAACCTCAAACGATGATGAGGTGCTTGCAGATGCATGCTGGGCTCTCTCGTATCTCTCAGATGGTACAAATGACAAAATTCAGGCTGTGATTGAGGCTGGTGTCTGTCAAAGACTTGTGGAGCTTCTTCTGTGAGTGTGATTTTTCAGAATTATTATAGAAAAACGATTTAACTGAGCTTATAGTGCTGACAATTTACTCAATCTTTTAAAATAAATTTTATGTGCCAGTCATCCCGCTCCTTCAGTGCTTATACCTGCACTTCGTACAGTTGGCAATATAGTGACCGGTGATGATGTCCAAACTCAGGTTCGAAGTCTCTTTGCATTCGACTGTCAGCCATTTTGCTGAACATATTCATGTTCGAGTATTAGTTAGCTTGTCTGCTGGAATATATATGTGTTTGATCTTAAACTGTGTTGTGATTTCCAGTATATTATTGATCATGGTGCACTTCCGTGCTTGTTGAACCTATTGATTCACCATCATAAAAAGAGCATCAAGAAAGAAGCCTGCTGGACTATTTCAAACATTACTGCTGGAAACAAAGAACAAATACAGGTATAAAAGTTCATCCTGATTGATGTTCATCACATGCTAGTATTATCCTGCCTCTTATCCAATCATCTGTTGTAGAAAGCTTCTTTTATGTTGTAAAGACTAATTGAATATTCTTTGAAATGCCAGGTTGTAATCGATGCAGGCCTGATACAACCCTTGGTTACTCTCCTCCAAACCGCAGAATTTGATATAAAAAAGGAGGCTGCTTGGGCTATTTCGAATGCCACATCTGGAGGAACCAATGAACAAATCAAGTAGTATTTGCTTTTTATAGTTTTGGTGTATTCTATCTGCTTTTGCTCGTGATCTAAATATAGTGCACCGTGCACATATATGATATGGCTTGTAGGTACATGGTCGAGCGGGACTGCATCAAGCCACTGTGTGACCTTTTGATCTGCCCTGATCCGAGAATTGTCATCGTATGTTTAGAGGCCCTAGAAAACATACTGAAAGTTGGGGATGTGGAGAGAGGCAACACTGGAGAAGTAAACTACTTTGCCCAATTAGTAGATGAAGCTGAAGGATTAGAAAAGATTGAGGAGTTGCAGAGTCATGACAACAACGACGTCTATGAGAAGGCTGTGAAGATACTGGAAGCGTATTGGGTACAGGAAGGGGAGGAGGAGGAGGAGGTTTTACAAGGTGCGGGTGGTTGCAACCGACCAAGATTCAACTTTGGAGATGGCAATGTTCAAGTTCCACCCGGCGGATTCAGTTTTAGCTGAAGGTTAGCTCTCAATATATGCATATCTCAAGAATTTATGTTCTTTCCGATGGCTTAGGCCTTATCAATATCCATTTCAGTTGGTGGGTGAATAAAGTGATGTCTGATCGGATCAAGTGATGAAAGTCGGGTACAGCTCCTCTCCTCTCCGCGAGTTTGGTGAGTTGGGTTGGGTCCAGTCCAGAGTCTATTGTGGTTTGAATGAGGTGCTCTGTGCTGTGGTGGTCGGTCAGGTCAGGTCAATAAACAGAGCAAGGAGTGCTGGTGTCGATAAAAATGTCTCCTTGGTTCGTCGGCTAGGTCTTATTTCAGTTCCGGTTGAGTCTGGTTTTTTGGGTTGGAAGATTTATCTTCGACAATCGATAGATATTGATGATGAATTCTTTACTCTATGGTCGTCTGTCTGTCTCTCTCTGTCTCTGCCTGCCTTCATTACTGCTATGGATCATTGCAACCTGGTGTTCTTGTCTGGTGGAGTCATGGATCTTATTTTTCCTATTGCAGTTGCAGCGTTTGAGCATGCTTTTCTAATCTTTGTGAGGTTGTGGACAATTATTATTATTATATCTTCAATCATATAGTATGATTTCGATCTTACCCAGGTTGGGGTTTTTTAATCCATCGTACAGGCAGGTGTAGTAGATCATCAGCATCAGCTAGCTTTTCCAAACACTTCGAAACCAGTTCTTTTTTGTTTTTAAAAAAAGACCCGTTAGTGCTTGCAACATTATTGAGTTGGGGGGGATAAAGATTAAGACATGGCTGCACCCTGTCACTATTTCTTTGTCTTCTTTTCCTGGCAATATATTTTTTTAATACACCAAAATTTGTCCTTGATTGGTGACTGTGTCATGGGTGGAACAAAAGCAAAACATGCAGCTCCATGGAATAAGGTGGTGTTAATTTTATTAACTCACGATCTTGGCTGTTGATAGAGGATTAATTGGATCATCAATGGCGGCCACTACTGCATTGCAGACAGACCTGCACATGAAGGAAAAGCCCAAGTCAAGACCCCATAATATATATATATATATGTTTGTTCACCAGAATGAGAATACATACGTATATAATATATATATTAATTATATATGAATGATATCTACCGACGACATATTACTTGCCAGCATGATCCTTTCATCGCCCTCAACTACTCACTGTCATTTCCATAAATGGATCGGATCGATAATTCCTAAATCTAGTCCCCCTTAAGACAAAGACGACTAAGAGAGACAGACCATCGATCCTCATGACAAACAGCGGTCTCTTCTTCAACAACGAAGACCCTAATTTGGTGGCCAAATCAGCCTTCTGCTGGTGGAGAACTCTGGAGGAGTTCGACGAAAATGGGCATTTCAAAGTGAAGATCTCCGACCTCTCCTCCAACCTGACCCCACGCCTCAGAGTTCTCAGAGAAATGGAGCGGCTGGCCTTCGTCGCCGGCGAAGGCCTCGATGAGCTGAGGCACAGGCTGATCAGCTACCGCTCCGGCGACTTCTGCCTCCCCGTCGGAGGGATCGAGAAATCCGCCATGGACATCCCACCTGTCATCACCATCCTCCTCACAGGCATGATCGCTTCCGGCAAGAGTGCCTTCGTCAACATGATGTACAGTGTTCTCGGAAGATCTGGAGTCATCCCTTTTGCCCAAACTTCACCTCCTGAAGGTAATCCATTAACCTAATTCAATTAATTACTACTTTATCGATAATTAGATCATCAATTTCACACAATCCAATCTGCAGGCGAGCCGACCACGATGTACCTTGAAGAACACAATGTCCTGAGATCATCCAGGAGTGGGTTCTGCGTGTACGACACCAGAGGTTTGGACCAAACCCAGATGGATGAAGGATTGGCCGACGTTTCGGAATGGCTTTCCGGCGGTGTTAAACACAACCACCCTTGTCTCCGGCCACACGATCACTTCCGAGGAGGAGGAGGAGCCATGTGGACCTGCCGGGTTAGTTCCAGCAGGTTCATCAAGAGACAAGTCAACTGTGTAATGGTTGTGGCTGATCTCTCCCAGATCCAAAAATCCTTCAAATCTGGCAACACCAGAACAATCCAGGCCATAAGAGATCTCTTCCGTTTCACAGCTACCAAGAATTCTTCAAGTAAGTCAAAATTATTACAGTCCACAGACAGAATCAGTAGTCAATTCCACTAGTGGACACAAAGGGGCTTTTATAATTTAGGGTTTATATCGTATCGAAATTGCAGATGAGAATCCAATCTTGATTCTAACACATGGAGACACTTTGACCGCCGAGGAAAGGATCAATGGGAGGCTTAGAATCTGTGAATACTTGGGGATTGTGGAGACAAGTGGGGCATACGATATTCCATGTCTGACTGAGCAAGGAATCGTGGCTGAGGAATCTGATCCCGTCGCTGCATTTGCCCTAACTGAGGCTGTCTACAGAGCCTTGCTTCAATCCGACAGAACCCATCAGCCCAAGAGGAAGTTCAAGGATTATATTATCCTGCTCTGGTCTTGGATCATGGCCTCCATTGCTGCGTTCTTTGCTCTCCTCGCCAAATTCTTCTCCAGGTTCGGACATCAGAAACTTAAGATGTGATCTAATCAAACCTAAAATGCATCATCACAGTTTTAGGGTTTGTTACCATTCCATTGTATGGACTTGTGTGTTTTGGGGGTGATTTGAATTTAGTTTATTCTCATTTTATTTGTTGATTTATCGAAAGGTTTTGCTTCTTTTTTTCATGTGGCCAATGCATTAATTAATTATGTATTCTTTGTATGGGTGGGCGTAATCTTGTCTGTCACCACACCACACCATGTTGGCAATTTGATGTTTTTAAATTTAATTTGACCTCCACCCCACCCCACCCAATAATGTACATTGATATGATATATGATGTGGCATCGTTCTCATTAGTAGTTGACATTTGACAACTGGATTAAAAATATTATAATTGCAATCTTCTCCGGGCGTGTTTGTTCGGGAGGTTTCGATTTCAAAGTGGGATTTGAATAGCTTGAATAATTGTATGATATGATATTTTAAATATAAAATTATTTTTAGTATAATATAAAAAATAAGTGTTTAATTAGATATTTTTTAGGGAAATTTTTTGTATGAATAATGTGAATCCTCCCCTAACAAATGATTAATAATTTAAATTATTACCAATACTATAGGAAAAATTATTTTAAAAGATAAAAAACAAAAAGCTACTTTTGTGTCTTGAACATTTTATCTTTTTCATTTTCTTTTAAGAATTATTTTGGGATGAAAAGGAATTTTAGGAATAACTGGGCCGGGCCTTCGAATTATTAATTTGAAATTGGGCCAGCCCAAATTGGCCCAAGCCCTAATAGAAATATATGGATAAGGTGAAGAGAATCCAACGGCTAGAATTGAACGATCTGTTAGAGGGGGAGAGAGGATTAAATTTGTGATACATATCTGTCAATGAAGGCTGTGGTCCACAACATGTCTGGTCATACTTACCAACAACAAAATGGCTGCATCACTCATCACAAAATTATCTGCTAAAAAAATATATAGCCCTATTTCAAATTAGATATTTGTCCCTTTTAATGTCCATTCTTGTAAATCCCAACTACACCTTTTATTGCTATTTGGAAAAATAAAATAAAAAATAAAAAATCTACATGTCACGCACACAGTCACTATTTACACTTACACCCTCCTCCTGCCTGCATATGTTGGTAGAACATTTATTAAATAAAATTGTACATGTACTCAAAATTTAATTTACTGTATTCAATTTGTTTGCATCTATTTCTGAATTAATTCGTATAACATGAAATGGAAAGGAAAGTAGTTAATTTTGTGGACAAATTTCCATAATTTTCTTTTGAGTCCAATTTGGATTTTATTAATTGGGCATCAAAACCCTAAGGAAAAGCAGGATCTTGTATGGCGGCAAAGACCAATATCACATTCCGAAAAACACCCCCATACGAAATCCAAATTTTCAATTGCGCCCGCCCTTTTACCTCAACAGGCGGGGAGGACTTTTTTATATTTTTCGTGCCCTTTTTCGTCTTTTCACTCTCCCGCGCGCCGTAGGGTTTTCATAAACTTATATATAAACCCCGCAATAAAATTTCTTTCACATTCGCCCCCCAAAAAAATTTCCCCTTTTTCTCTCTCCCTCAGAATCTTTGCCTGCTGGTCTCCATCTTCCCCAGACTCTTCACTCTTACCTTCTCACTCTGCCATTGCCGCCATTGCTTCTTTACGGGGATCGCCGCCGGGGATCTGTTGTTCCGTTGCGACGTTTACTGCTGATCTTGGTTTTCCACTTCGGCGGAAGCTCGATCGTATTTGATTTGTTTTTGGAGCTCTGCGAGGTTGATTCGTTTTTCGCTTGCTCTTGGCGAGCTCTCCGCTGAATCTGAAGTGTTTCTACTTCCTTCCATTTGATTCTGCTGAGTAATCTGGTTTTCGTGGCGTGATCGCTCTGGCTCTGCCTCAATCAGGCGTTTCTTCCGCCGGAGGCCTCGGTTTTAGGTCACAGCTCCGTTCCTTCCTTCTGGAAACGTCTCAGATCTTCGATTGAGGTCCTGAAAATGACGGATCTGAGAGATAAAGTAAGTGATCAACTTCCTTTTCACCATGCCTACTTGTTCTGTGTTTACAGATGCACGATCAAGTGATTCCGATGCTTAATCAAACTGATTTGATGTATGTTTTCAGAGCTCCGACTGCGAAGAATCGACGATCCAAACAACCACCCCCGATCGAGCTTCATCCGACGGCTCAAACGTGAAGACATGTGTTGATTGCGGTACCTCGAAAACCCCCCTTTGGCGAGGCGGTCCAGCTGGACCCAAGGTATATTAATAATAATATGTTTATTTATTTACTTGTATGTATGTATACGGATCTTGTGTGAATCTTGATAACCAGACCTGGTGGCCTCTCACGTGACTCACGTGCAACTGATAAATGTCGTCTAACATCATCACCATTTCAATTATTAATTCCAAAAATGTCAGCAGCAGATTTGCCTCTTCCCTCCCTGCCCTCCGCCATGTGAACTGATCTCTGATCCAATCTGTTTTGTGAATCTGCAGTCGCTCTGCAATGCATGTGGGATTAGGAGCAGGAAGAAGAGAAGGGCACTGATGGGCGTCGCGAGGGAGGAGAAGAGAACAAAGAAAACGACGACAGGCGGAGGAGGAAGTAAAAACGCCGTCAGCAGCAACAGCAGCCACAGTAGTACCAGCAGCAGTGGGGATAGTGCCTTGTGCCCTAGCAACAAGAAGAAGCTGTGGGCCTTCGGAAGTGATGTAGCTCTGCAGAGACCGAGATCCCATTCCAACAGACGCAGAAAACTCGGTGAGGAAGAACAAGCTGCATTCCTTTTAATGGCGTTGTCCTGTGGCTCTGTTTATGCTTAGTTAGAGATATTATATTATTATTTTGTACTCTACCCTCCATTGAAAAAGGAAAGGAGGTGACCGAGGAAGAAGAAGAAGAAGAAATAAGGGGGAAAATGCAGTGGATGATGATGATGATGATCTTTTGTGGGGTTGAATTCCAATTTAATTATTGTTATAATAATTATATAATTAATATCCAGATTGTTATCAACAATCATGATCATGTTTATGTCAACAATCTCCACCATGACTAATTAGACTTGACAGTAGTAGTCAAACAACAGTGTGTGTACAGCTCCATCTAATCATTGCTGATTTGCCCTTTTTCTTTTTATCACAATTCTCTATATTCATTATTAATTGGTTTGAAATATCATTCTCGTTTGCTATTTAATTTACCATGAATGATGGGCTATCAAAAGTTTTCATCAAATCTTGTTCTTTTTTTTCTTCTGAATTCATGTTATTCTACTTATTTAACGGAAGCATAATAGATTTTCCCCCCTTTTTTTTTGTAAATCATAAATGACACGAGTATAAATAGTAGTACAATTCAAATTTAAAGTTTATACTGTTGGGATATAAATATGGCTAACTACCCCAACTTTTATACTCTCCAAGAAATGCCAATTACGAAAACATAATTTATGCAAATGTGTAATCACAAACCCTAACTAAAATGTCTTCCAATGATCCAACAAGATTGCTTTATAATTATGAAAGGTGGCTTGCAGGATTGATAGTGCAATCTATATGAAAGTAAAACGTTGAAGTTCAAAGAGAATAGTCAGAATATGTACACAACAACCATTTTTAGATTAACTATCAAATTAAACTCCTATATCTGAAATCACCAACAAAAACTCCAAAGAAATTACTACTATAAATTAATGTTCTGTTACGGGTTTGTTGGAATTCAATGCTCTGGTTGCCAAACGATATTGCTATACACTATAATACTGCTATTATCAATGCCCTATTCTTTTCTTTTCTTTTTTTTCCAAAAAAAAAAAAATTAAAATAAATTTGTGTATAAACATATTCAGTTATTTGGCACTTCATAGATTATGCAAAATTTGCTTCTTACAAATCCTATAAATCCTTACAGCAAAATAAATCTTTCCTGAAGAAGAAAATTTAAAGAAACCATGGCTAAGTTGTGTCAAGAATTTACAGATTCCTTACTTCAGTGAATTTAATAGAGAGAAAGAGAGAGAAAGAAAACCCATACATTTACTAGAGGAGCCTGGAGCCTGAGTCCAATGGTTGAAGATGACGACGATGATGATGTTGAGCTAGGGCAAAAGGGCATTCTTGGAAATCCACGAATTTGTGATCGATCTGCAAGAGCCTCAGCTGCCCGATCTCTTTCTTCTTCTTCTTCTTCTTCTTCTTCTTCTTCCGACCTCGATCTGATCTGATCTGTGAATCCCCGACACTACTAACTTCTTTTATTTCTTGTTAATTTGAAACTAAAAATGAAATTAAAAATAATGTAGCTAGATCAAGAAGGACGAGCGCCATACGGCGTCGTCTTTTAGTACAAGAAGCTGCCAAGAACCATTATTATTACAATTATTGTAGTAAGAGGGCAGCAGGGTACAATAATTTCCCCCAATGCCGATGGCGGAGGCGGCGGAGGGATATGGTAATAGTACGGAAAATAGGGCACTATAGGGTTCGGGGGCGGCGGCGTCGGCCCCGTCGGGTACATCTGCAGCGGCGGCGGCGGCGGCGGCTTGTAGTAGGACCCGCCGCCGGTGGGTGGTTGCGGCGGCGGGTAGTAGTATGTAGAAGGGGTGCGATATGGTGGCGGTGGGGAGTTGTAGTAGCCTCCGCCGCCGCCGCCGGAGCTTGGCGGAGGAGGGCAGATGGGCGGCGGAGGCGGCGGAGTGGAACATGGGTTGTCGCAAGCGGAGCACATTGTGCATTCTATATGGTACTTGGATCCCACCCAGGTTGGGGTTGCAGAAATACTATTATTATTAGTATTACTATTATTGGTAAGGGCTGTGGTCGCCATTGCCATCTTGAGGTGCAAGAAGAGGACGATGACGATGAAGATGTGGTTGTATGGTGGTGTCGTCATCTTCTTCATTTCTTGAAAGAGGACGAGGACTGAGCTAGCTAGGGCTTCTGGCCTCAGCTTGTAGTTCTATTATTATTATTATTATTATTATTAGTAAGACAAAGAAAGAAGAAGAATCAAGAAGATCGAGTGGAGTGGAGTGGGGGTAGATTTATTTAGGACATGGATGAGGTGAGACACCCTTTGCCATCCATGTTTCCTCATAATTCTAATAAATTACTTATTTACCAATCTTTCATATTCCACTAAAATAATGCTCCCTCCGTCCCATATCTATATATTTATTTGTTTTTTATACGAAATTTTGAGATAAAGTAAAAATATTAAATTAACTATATTAGTATTGTATGATATAAAGGTAATAACATTTGTGTAATATATTGTAAATTGGAAGGGTATTTGTTTTGTTAGAGATATAGTTGTATAAAAAATTAATATCCAATACAGACACTATGACTCTCATACCATGTTTAGACAGGATTTGAAGTTTTAACTTAAAATCAATTGGTTATAAGTGGAGTAACCTTCATCTCTTATAAAGTGGGGAAGTCCTAACATCATATCGAATATGGGATACTCAACAACTATATATCTGTTTGATTTTTGTACTGAGTTTAATGTATATTAGTATTATATTAATATTGTATAATATAAATATAATGAGATTGTGTAATATATTATAAGTTGTAAGAGTATTTATAATACCAAGTAACTTATACATCTAAAACATGGATACTTTGTTATAAGACGAACTAAAATAGAAAAATAAATAATTATATTTATTGACGATATCCCCTCCAAATAACAATATGAAGTATTATTTTATTACTACAATGAGTAAGATAAAATATTCTCATACACTCTTATACTATTAATAAATTATGTTTGGGATGAGCAGATGGTGTGGGGAGTGGATTTGTGACCAAACTCGACGCTTTTAGGCCCACATGCTACACATGGTACCTAATGTGACTTGATTTGTCCGATTTTTGATAATACGAATGATGTGTGACAGGTTACCTAAGTGATCGAAATAATTAATGGACGGAAGCATAAAGAAGAGTCTTGTTTACACCGACACAATTAAGCTTTCCCTTTCTAAAAAGTTCCCCGTTTTATTATTATTATTATTATTTTTTAAAAAATTGTGTAAATTCTTTTCCTATCAAGTGGATTGCATGTGGAGTATTATTATTTATGCGACGTTAAAATTGATTATAATTAATGTTACGCGAATCAATAATAAGATTCACCTCTGCCTGCCAAGGATTTATTTATTTTTATTTAGGGTAAAAATTATTTATTTTTACGTAGCAGTTGACCGTTCACACGAGGGGTGAGAGTGATTTAAAGTTAGGTGCGGTGCGGTGCACTCATGCTGCCTCACACTCACAATAATACTCACCAATTATATGTTATGGGCCAATATTGACAAATCATTTTAACCCTTATTTCTTTTTTTTTGCTTTTTCTGTGACAATTTTGGAAGAAAGGGTCCCCACAAAATTATATATATATATATATATATTGTGGGTTCTGTGCAAACGGTACAGCTAACGGGAAATTTAATTTAATTTTATTAATTTCAAAGATTAGATATTTCCTTCTTCACTCTCCAACTAATGACTTTACAGTTATAATTTATAAATACATTTTTCTTGATGATGTTGATCCATGGCCACCTCTACCCTAAATTCCATATTACATTATATATATATTCATAAAGTGCTAGTGTATATTTGTATGTAGTATTATACTTGCATACAAAAAAAGATTGGATATAACTAGTGTGATTTGTCTAGTTTGTATTGCAGACTATTAAATTTATCTAGAAGACATCTGATACATAGCGGCTATGACCCATATTATGAAAAATAAAAATAAAAATAAAAATAAAAATATTATTATAATGATGAAAAGTGGTTTTTGTGACAAGGATTTCCAATATGTATAATTGTTGTGAGAGTGGGGGTGGGACATTATAACCCTCTTTGTCTGGACACCCCCACCCCCACCCCCACCCCCACTCGCCTTTTCTTTCATGTCATTTCTTCCTTTCTTCTTTCAAATTATTATTATTATTATTATTTTTTGTTGATTGATACGATTTATTTATCATATTTCTTGAATTGAATGAGGGCTAAAATAGTCCATCCATACACTGTTACTCGACAATTTCTTTAGACACAATTGAATTTGAATTTGGAAGAATGAATGAATGAATATATGAAAATAACGAACGTTGCCTATTTTGGTAACGGATAGGAGGCTAAGGCCGCGTCATTTTTATTGGGCTGAAAGTGACCTCAGCCCATTATAAAATTTCTTTTGGGCTTCCTAAATGCAGCCCGCGTATATTATAATAAATATATTTCAAATTAAATTATGGCATAATCCACGGAGTGGGAGTGGGAGTGGGAGTGGGACGACGTGGTGAGGACAATGAAGCCAGCCTGTCATGTTTCTTCTTTTGTCTTCCCACTCCCACCAACAATTTTCAACTATTCTTTAGTCAAAACAATTTCATTTTATTAAATATATAAATAATTATACTTACTTAAATATTATATTTATGAAAATACGTAACAGTACAATGGATCGTGGTGAAATTATCGATATGATATTTTATTCAAATACACGCTTTATGAAAAAGCGACTGATTTTTACTTTTTTGAGTTTATTTACGGTTTTGCCCCTGGACGACGCTGACGCTGCCACATTTAACGTTCAAATTTCAAACCCTCTCCAACGTCTCAAACGAAATAAATAATAATATTAAATGGATCCAGCCCAACCCAACGGCCGAAAACGTAAGGCCGTGTTTGGAACGTATTTTATAGTGTTTTTTTTTTTTTTTTTTTTTTTCTTGCACAACTTTCTCATTACAGCTTATTCCCCGCTGTCTGTGACTGTCTGTCTTCCCAATTCCAAAATCCCCAATTCCCTCTCCGCGTATCTCAAAATTCCTTCTTCTTCGCTGCTCCTTCACCCCCACGCGGACACCACAAATTGATGATCTTACCTACACTAGATGCTGATTATATAGCGTTTTTTTTTTTTTACCTTCTTCGGCGTCGACTTAAGTTTCGAAGATTTGGGGCGGGTTCAGAGTATCCATCCATGGCGGCCATTGCTGTTCTTTTCCACTTTCTGTTTCTCTTCAATTTGGGCGTTATTGAAGCCCAATCCCAACCCCAACCCCCGCCGCCGCCGCCTTCCGACGCCTGCAACGGAATATTCCTCTCCTACACATACTCCACCGGAAAAGCCGTGCCGCCGATTCTCAAGTCGGATCCGTCGCGGCAAGCGTACCGATTCGAGTCGGCGTTTTCCATTGTCAACAACGACCGGGATGAACTCAAATCGTGGCGTGTGTTCGTCGGATTTCAGCACGACGAGTATCTGGTCTCCGCTTCCAATGCCGTGCTCGCCGACGGGACTTCGATTCCCGGGGGAGTCGGAAACGGGTCGGTCTTTGCGGGCTACCCGAACCCGGATCTGAAGACTGGAATTGAGACTGCCGGAGACTTGACCCAGATGAGCGTCCAGGTCAAGCTTGTCGGGACTCAATTCGGCGTCGCGCCGCCCCAATCTCCGATGCCGGCGAATATATCCCTCGCGAACGATGGCTGGGTTTGCCCTAAACCCGCCATGAAAGGTCAGTGATGTTCGACTTTAAATTAAGGTTTGGATGCTTGAATCCATGGCAGACAGACTCTTTCATTGCATCACTGTACTTTGCCCAATTCAAATGTAGACATTTATGTTTCCAGGGAACAGCACAATGGAAGTATGCTGCATCAGGGATCCGAAATTCAAGACCAACGTCACCACCGGCGACGAATTCTTGCCACGACAACAAGGAGATCTAACGATAATGTACGATGTTACAAGAACCTACGAATCCAATTACTGGGCACATGTGACGATCGAAAACCACAACCCTCTCGGCAGGCTGGATAATTGGCAGCTAAGTTGGGATTGGATGGAAGACGAATTCATTTTCGCCATGAAAGGAGCTTATCCATCTCTGGTAGACACATCCGCCTGCGTCCTCGGCAAGCAGGGTCAGTTCTACCAGGACCTCGACTTCTCGACGGCATTGTCCTGCGAGAGACGGCCGACAATAATCGACCTGCCTCTCGCCAAGACAAACGACACGAACCTAGGAATGATCCCGTTCTGCTGTCGGAACGGGACAATCTTACCTCCGGCAATGGATCCGGCCAAGTCGAAGTCGGCTTTCCAGATCAACGTTTTCAAGATGCCGCCGAATCTGAACCGTTCGATCCTTTCACCCCCTCAGAACTGGGGGATCAAGGGGAGATTGAATCCGGATTACAAATGTGGTCCGCCGGTCAGGGTCAGCCCGAGCCAATTCCCTGACCCGAGTGCCCTGCTGCCCGACACGGCTGCGATGGCCAGCTGGCAAGTCGTCTGCAACATAACGCAGCCGAAGGATGCGAGTCCGAGATGCTGCGTCTCCTTCTCCGCCTACTACAACGAATCGATTATCCCGTGCCCGACGTGCGCCTGCGGTTGCCCCGACAATACAGCTCGAACGTGCAGCACGTCGTCGCCGGCCCTGTTCCTTCCGTCGCAGGCGCTCCTCATCCCATTCGAAAACCGGACGACACTGGCGACGGCATGGGCCGATATCCACCATTTTCCCGTGCCACGACCCCTCCCGTGCAGTGACAACTGCGGCGTCAGCATCAACTGGCATTTGTTTACTGACTACAGAGGCGGATGGTCTGCCCGGATCACCATCTTCAACTGGGACGACGTTCCATTCGTCGACTGGTTCACTGCCGTGCAGCTCGACAAAACTGCTCCCGGCTTTGAGGCAGTGTATTCGTTCAACGGAACTTCGCTGGCAGGCGTGAACAACACCATTTTTATGCAGGGGCTCGAAGGACTGAACTACCTGGTCGGGAAGACAGAGGGTCCCAATCCGCAGAAGGATCCCCGGGTGCCCGGAAAGCAGCAGTCCGTGATCTCATTCACGAAGAAGACGACTCCTGCAGTTAACATCCCCAACGGCGATGGATTCCCTACGAAGGTTTATTTCAACGGGGAGGAGTGCTCGTTGCCGAAAGTGCTTCCGACCAGTGGCTCGCAGAGATTTGCGGCGTTGTCGTGGTCTGTTTTCTTACCGTCGGTGGTTCTTCTTGCTCTGGTGTTCATTTTCCTGGAACAATGAGACACGATTTACTGATATCTCTATACTAGATGATGACACTGCCTTCTTGATTATTCATTCATTCTTCTTCACTTATACTTGTTTTGTATAATACTACTGGAAAAAACAGGCTGTTCTTCTGGTTGGTTGGTTGATCCGCCATTGTTGTAATTACGAAGCACACCAATATTTTAAGCAGATTGCTAGTGTTTGTATAACCTGTAAGATTCCAACTGTATTATCCATCTCTTAATTGGTAAAATGGCCCAATGAATAGTAGTCAAAACAGGAAATTTGGACAAAAGATGTGTAAAGATTATTATCCATCTAGATTTACATTCAATCAATTAAAATTGACTCAAAGGGAACATAGAAACAGTAGCAAGCAAAACATGTTAGTAAAATATATTCCAGTGTAAAGATAGAAGATATACATAGAGTCGATCAGCAGGAAGAGCAAGGGTGGTGGGTGATGGTAGTAAGGTGTAATTCAACATAATCAACTCATTGTGAGAGAGATTGAGAGAGAGAGAGAGAAAACAACAAAGGAAAGAGTAAGAGCTTTACAAAAACTAATAGCCCACCAAACAACCATATCACAACATGCAAACCTATACTATATTACCAAATGGTAGCAGGGTTTGGGATGATTAGGACCTTTACAGCTCAACTATTAAGCAATAGCAGGGTGCATAGTTGCTTGCTTACACTGATAAGCCATACAAAGTCGCTTCTTTTTACTCCATCGACCTGTCTATCTCCGATGGTATGTGTTGTGGGATGTGAAAAAGTTGTAGTCAGGGTGATTAACATGTAGCAGTCGAAGCCAGTTGTCTGCGGCATGCAGTAGGGAGTTGGCCTTCTGACCCTCATTAACTCCATTCCCATTCCAATCAGACACTTTGAACTTGTACGATACAAGTCCAAAAGACGGTAGCAAGAGCTTACCACCAACATCATGCATCATGCCTTCACCACCTGCACATATGGAAGTCGTTGTTGTTACGAATATACCTCCTACTAAGTTGGAAAAAGACATAATTTTTTCTCCTTCAGACAATGAACTGCGCCTGTACTGAAGAAAATATATGATGTGAAAGGACTTACTTTTAACAGGTTTTGAAAGGGAATGAAAGGTCAAGAAACACGCATCAACATTTTGCAGAGTCGGGCCAACAGGGATCCTGTATATAGGGTACCTGAATAACAAAATCTCAGTTTGGATAAAATGTCACTGATGCGTGGTGGATTGACTCAGTTAACAACAAATGCTTACCAAGCAACAGAAATCCAGCTTGATGGTGTCAGATCACAGCTCCTGTAAGACTTTAACTCAGGAAATCGAGCTGCGAGTGATGACATCTGTCCAATGAAAGCAAGCCTAAGCACTTTATGTAGATGCATCAAACCTAACTGCAGATTGGGAAAATGGAAGGCACCACTTACCTTGTCTGCCAAGGGTTCCCGGTGGAAAGGAAGCTCCCTCTCAAAATACTCAAACACAAGCCGACCAGGGGGGTTAGCAATGTCATCCCCATCAACTGAAGATCCCATAGATACGTTGTTTCTTCCTTGTAATCTGCTATGTGCTTTCCCAATTGTGTTCTTTTGGTTCCAGGATCCCTGAACAGAATTGGTCCATCTATCACCTCCATATTCGCTATCACTATCACTACATGTCTCTCTAGATGAATTAGTAGCATCACTCTCTTCACCAGCTCTCCTGTCAGATTGCAGAAGCAACCAAATCCAAACATCAAAAAATACAGTAACTACATATATGGCCCTTATTCACCATAAATGGAAGCGATTACATGGCATAAAGCATGCAAACATATTATAATGCAAGGCTTGGAAACATCTCAGCACTATTAAAACTGATTCTATTTGCATGTCAACACCATATATGGTCTACTAGATACTCTAAAACTGCCTTCAACAGAACGGAATTTTAATGGGGGATCTCACTCTCATATTACTGAAACATCTAACTCAGCTTTAGGTCCCAGTAACATGGTTCTATTAGCACTTGCACAAGTTATCTCAAGCTGAAACAGGTCATACACAATTTATAGATATGCCCCTACCATATAGATGCATTAATGAATACTAACTAATTTGGTCAAGATAAAACTATTTTATAGAGATATAGCCATATATGGAGCAGGATGCATACATGTACACCCTCACAAAGCAAGGAAATTTTGATCAAGGCTAACCTTTGGTCCATGGCATGTCTGGTGGGATCTACATAGAGTTGAATACCAGACAGAGATGGTACATAATACTGGACAACTGAATCACAGCCATTCCAAGGCAGGGGTACGCCAACTCCGTATACACTCCACTCTCTAAAAGATTCCCAAAGATCTCCTAGAATGAAGAAAGGCTGTACCTCTTTACCACGATTTTGCCAAGACCTTATACTTGTCTGCAGATTTCCAAAAGCATTGAATTAGAGAAAGAAGTATCCACACAACTAAATTGATAAAATAGGCAAAATAGATTGAATGAAGTCTTAGATGAAACCCTGCCTGAATGGTGCCAACCATCCATTTCAGTTCAGCTCAATACAAGGAGACACTTGAATATTGTTTACTTTGACAATTTGTGTTGCAACCTTACAAGAAGACATGATATTCATACCTCCCCCAACATTCGCTAAATAACAGGGGAGAATGACATCATACAAGGACAAGTCTAAGCTAACTCTGTTCCCATCCACTCAGCTATGCATGTCATAAAGCAGAATAACACAAAAGGGGTGAGAAAGGAAACAATGAAAGTTGAGAATGGCAGATATATGAGCCAGGTCCCCAAATAAAAGTGCAAACACAAAAACAATAGGAAATTCACATTTTCAGAAGCAGAAGGCATCTCTAACGTATTGCAAAAAACATAACCTTGGCAGAGCACACAGACACAGAAAGCCAAAAGTACTTAAGAAACATGCCAAAATTTCTTCAGAAACACTAAACCATTCCAACTTTCATTTGCAAAGAGCTTATATCTTCAAAGAAATTCTCAAGCCAATAACCAAAGTTCTGGTCACATTCATTAATCACATTTTCTCTCCTTTTATCCCCTACAAAGTTCTGAACTTGATATAGGCATTTCACACATATTTCATTCACGAGAAGATCTGCAATAACCTCCTTAAAATCCTCCAAATTCTTTAAGGATCAAACTAATAGGAAAAAACATCGATAGTTCCAACTTCAACCAATCAGATCAATGTCCAGAACACAATTTATAATGTGCATTACTTTACATAGCATAAAGCAACTATGATACGCAACGCCCTTTGGACTAGTCGTTGTTCATGATCTGTAGGAAGGAAATCATACTGCTATCATTTGGACAACTTTTATTGTAATTTTCCATGAGGCAGTCTACTCAATAAAGCAATTGTTAAACACTAAAGCCTGAAGGCTTCATCGGAAAAGGGAACGCGGCTTTTCCACATGCGGCTATATTTTCGCCATAAGAAACAATTAAAAAATTACCCGAGGAAAACGCTGAGCTGCTACAACCGGAGTGGTGTGATCCAAGAACCGATCCAAATACGAACCCGATGCGGATCCTCTTCTCTCGCTTACCGATGAAGTAGAAGACTTGGCCTTCAATTGCTCCTGCTGCTGCTGATTGTTCTTCCTCATCGCCGGAGGACTGTAATACAGCCTCTCCTCCCCTATTCTCCTCCTCGTCGACATTTCCAACTGCTGAAAAGCAGAACACGCACCGATGCAGTTCCGAGGAAGAAACGCTCAAGAAACCCCGCTTGATCTCGGAACTCGATTTACAACGAGCCGGATTCCCAACCACAGCCTAAAATTTAGGGTTTTGAGGGGTTTACAGCGAAATCCTGAAATCGGTGATTGCTTGTTGTTTTGGGGGTTAGGGTTTTTGAGGAGTGGGTTTTGGTGTAGGTGCAGATCTTAGAAAATCAAGGGAAAAGAAAGAGAAAATTATGGTGTAGGGAGAGGTGGTGCGATGCCGAGACTCGATCGAGAAAGAGAGGAGGTGGCAGTGCTGCAGGCAGGCTAAATGACTATCATCCGGGTCGCCGTTCCAGAGAACTCCAGAACCTTAAATGACTATTCTACCCCTCAATCAAATATCCACCCGTCCCTTCAAATTCCACACGTTTTTATTTTTTATTGTTCATTATTTCGATACATTTTGATTTTTTTAAGAAATTAAGTATATCTTGAATTTGACATTTTTGAATGTAAAAATGTTTTTACAAGAAACAAACGTAACCCTAACATTCATCATTTCTTCCTACTTTCAGACACATAACATATCTATCATATTACAGCCATTTTCTCAAGCTCCCTGGAGCTCCTCCCAACACAAGAACAACCTTGGGTCTCGGCCATCCATACAATGTTGTCGTAGATCTATCTGGTGTCGAGAACCCGGGAGTTTCGGAAATAATCCTCACCTCACATGGCGAGTGCACCGACATTGTGCGTGTGTGTGTACTTTTCCTTATTCATTACAGTGTAATAGTAATACGGAGTAATATTTAGTTGTGTGTAGGTGGGTAGGTAGGTCAGATCTTCCATTAGTGTTGTTAATATTATTATTATTATGCTAAAACATACTATTAAATTACAAAAATGATATTTAGATTACCATGAACTTGTAATAATTGGTCAAAGTAGCTAATCCATTATAATGTCCCTACAATTTGGGCCGATACGATAGTATATTAAAATCTTATTTTGTTTGGGCCATGCAGCCCCCATTTTTATTATTCAATTAACCCTACATTAAGTCGTTGATTGCTTTTATTTGATTTTGAAGCATAAGGTTGAAATAGATTGATTAATAAATAATGTTTGCATACGAAAAATTACAAAGAAAGAAAATACATAAAAGACACACGGGACAAAATTTTTAGTAAGGGCTATTGCAGCTGCAGCTGCAGCAGCAGCAGATGCATTTAATCATTCATCACTATCGCTGCTTGTCTGAGAATCATCTTCATCGTCGACGCCATAAACAGCTTCTTCTTCATCATTGTCATCGCTTTGATCTTCTTCCATGGCGTGTGGCAAGACGATACTTTTGTTGTCCGAGGCCTTGTTCATCTGTTCAAAAGCTGGAGATTTTAAGATATGGAACCATGGCAGAAACTGTCATGTAAAGAGATATGTTTATAAATAACCTGTGCTGATACGAGCTGCAGACGACCGGACAACTGCAATAAAGAGTTCATAGCTGATTCTTTCAAATTGGCGATCTGGAAAATACCAATGCCAGTTAGCTGTATCAGGATGGATATACACTAAAGGTAAAGCTTTAACGGCTAGTTGGACCATATTCTAGTTCTACCTTGTGCACGGAATCAAGAAGTTTCGGATCTTGAGTTTTTACATACTCGCCATGATAAACTAATATGCAAGATATCCAGGGCAGGACATGCTTGCTGTTGTGAGATCTGGTAAGAGAAATGACAAAAGATTAAAATGGGGTGCCGGAAATTGTTTGCCTGAATACTTGATAGGGGTTGTTTGTGCTTGTTCAAGTGTGTTTGGGGAAAGGGAGTTTTGCACTAACCTCGATAGCCAAACATCGACTAAGCTCTTCAATAAGCTGATTGCATCTTTAGGTTCCATAGATGAGATGGTTGACTTCACCTATATAGCTGGGGAGTAAGTTTATTTTATGCAAACAATGTCGTTAAAGAGAAATAGAGATCAGTAACTCTAATAAGACCGACCTTCTTATTCGGTGCAGTTCCATCCAGATTGATGCCCTTCAACATTTTTGATTCCATGGTTTGGTTAAGTGCTTTATCGCTGCTGCCAAGTATTCCTAAGGATCTGAGACGGTCCTCCATGCATAGAGCGGCTTTGTCTAGCCCGACTTTATCTGCATCATATGATAGAAATGAATTACATTGCGTAAGGAAAAAATATCAGCAAGTGAAATGTGTAAATAAAAAGTCAATTCATTCAGATCAAATGTTTTTCCATGAAGACAACAAAGTAATATGAAAAAGTAAAAAACTTATGATGGATAAGTCATATAAGCATACCTTTTGCTTTGGTTTCTGATAGCATTACTGCATTTTTTCCTTCATGCTGATCATATATCTTAGCCACAGGAGGTAATGCACCAACAGCATTCGACCAATCAAGAGCAGTAACTGTACATAAGCATAAGATTTTACCAGAAATATGGATAGGATAAAATGGACATGGAATTAAACACGGCCTCAAATTCGACACATGAAGACCCCGAAAAGATGACATGAACCACAATTTTAAATTGGGGGAATTACGAATTTTATTAGCAAAAACGCTTGTCAGGAAGATATCTAAATTTGTGTGCTTGTCTATCTATCATAACTTATATGCATGCACATATATACATATATATAGAGAGAGAGAGAGAGAGAAGGAATTTGCCTTGATTGTTCATATTTGACGCTTTTTTCAATTTGTTTGACTGAGAAGCAGGTAAAAGTATTCCATCTAACGAGACAGTTAACTTCATGTCTGCACCAGAGTGCACCTGAACTTTGTCAAATGTGGGCTTTATAAGCAACCCATAAGCAAGAAACAGGTGGCCGCATGCAGGCTCAGAAACACTTTGTAGCTTTGCAGCAAATACATTAGGAGTTGTTCCCTTGTATTTCCGTGAAACTCCATCATCACAAGGTATGCATATTTTTGTGGGTTTGGCATTGTGTAGGTCATCAATAGTTTTTCCATACCAAAAATAGCAAACACCCATTTCTGATATAGCCAGAACTGATAAACCAGCACCATCAGCACCGTCGCTGTTGATGGACCTGCTATCCAAGAAGACAGCAGGGTGCTCCATTGCAAGAGACAAGGAGGCTGTTTTATTCTTGCTGCCATCAATTTTCCAAACTGCAATATACCGTTCACCGGAAGCAGAAGAAAGTACATATCTACCGTCTTCAGAGAAAACCATACATCTCACAGCCCCCTATATATACATAAAAAAGGCCACAAATGGTCAGAGAAACAGGAAAACTTAATCTTTGATAGTTTGGAATATATCAGCCAGAGAAATGTGAGATTGGACTAAGTGAAGCCAAACATAGAAGTTAAATCTCACAGGATGGCCGGAAAACTTCTGAAGCTTTTTCTGATTTGACCAATTGAAAATCTTCAATTGGCCCGCTGCAGTTGCAATCCTGTTCCCATCTAGTTTCAAATTGATAGCCAAGGAATTGGTCAGTAGAGAGACAAACATATAATACCTGTTATATGCACAGGAGCAGCAGGAGGCGAACAAAATTTTTTCTGGGATTAAAAGTGCATTGCAATTAGATGATATGGAGGACTATTTACAAAGGGTTTACTACTTCATAATAGATAGACAATAATTACATACAATCATTGAACATCATAAAACCCTTTAGTGGGAAGTTTGTGTTGCCAAACAATCTTGCGAACCACAATATACGCCCAACCCCAAAATTTTCATCAGAAATACTAGGCCATCCACTAAACAAAAATCAAAGGCCCAACATTGAAAAAGTATCATTAGTAAGACCTGTGGTATGAAGAACAAGGTGTGCGCTGTATCAAGAAAAAATAATAGAAAATAGAATGTAGGGAATACCTGGGGAAACAGCAAGCGATGATATTGCTCTTGAAGTAGCCTCAAGCTTGTTTAACAAGTTCCCTGAAATTGTGTCCATCTGACACACCATTCCATCAGCACCAGCAGTGTAAATGTGTGAACCATGCTGAGGAAATGAAACTGCAGTCGCACCCCTATCATGCAATAGGATGAAGACATAATTAGCCTATGTAGTTGGGTATCTTTGCTTGCATCCATGATCCACCTACATTTGTTTACTCTGAGCCATTTTGATTTGGTTATCATGAATACTCAGACTAAAACATGCCACTTCAAGCTTTGAAACATTTGGAACTACATAATACAAGTTTGGCAGTAGGGCTTGTTTGATTGCCAAAGACAATTGGACGACTGAATATGAAATAAATCTAATACACCTGAAAGTCAGGATACAGAACTCACCCGGGATGGCAGTTGTTAACCCTCCATTTCAACTGACCCGCAGACACATCCAATGCCAGAACATCTCCGCTGCCAGTTCCCAGCACCAAGAGGGAGGAACTCCCAAACTTCCTTTTTCTCTAAACAAATTTAGCAAACCAAAATGAATTGTTATTCGAACAGTATAATTCAATGACAAATATTAACACAGAAAAGCCAAATGCCAATGACTATATGCAAAAACCAATTCGAACCTTTTTCCCCAAGGACAACCACTTCATACATGTATAATCAATTGAAAGATGTCCTCCTTCCTCTCTCCCAAATATACTATCTGTGTCTGTTGAAGAAACATCTGCAAACTCATTCTGAAGCTGACCCTTCACCGTGTCCCATATCTGAAGATTCCCAAATTAAACCATCAACCAAAGCTCAACTTCACAATACCACTATCTTCTAAGCAATCTCATAGCTCGAACCTTTCCAAGTTTAACACTCGTACCTCTCACACATGCATGCAATCCATAGCATCGAAACTTTAATTAAACAACAGTAATAGTGCAGCACACAAATAGCTACAGTGGACAATACGCCAAAGCTTGTGCAAAGCAGGCAACAAAACATACCTTTATACGACCATCACCAAGACTGATCGAAAACAAGTCCAGACTCGGACTAAAGGAAGTTAAAATATCCCTGATATGCAACGTCCCCATTCCCTTCTCCTGAAAGCTCAAAAATCACAATAAAGATCCCAGGAATTAAAGCTGTTTGGTTTATAATTCCAAGTCTGGATTCTTTCTTCTATTTTGGAAAGCTCTGTTCCGAAGTTACAAAAGCAAGCAAAAAACTTGGCCGACGGACAACGGCGGCGATAGTATGAGCGGCGGCTTCGAAGCTGCAAAAAATTGTGAAGTGAATTGCGGAGGTATGCACAAGTTCAAAAGTGGTGGGCTTTATAAATGGGCCATGCTATGAACAAATTACTGGGCTCAATATTGGCCCATTTACGAAATCAGCCCATTACTAAAATAGAGAAAAGTGAAATAAATTGGACCCGCAAGTCATACCTCTTTCACTTCAATTACCATTTTATCCCCAACCGTTAGCAGCGGTGTAAGGATATATTGGTAAATTACGATTACTATTATATATTTTAATTTTAATTTTTTATTATGTCTTTTCCGGTTTGCTTTGTGTGTGAGGAAAAGGCAGACCGCACTGCAAAAGCTGAATCGATTCGACGGATTACACGAATAGTGAAAATTTTGATTTTCGATTATGCGTTTCTTGGGTCGGATTGTGATTTGAATGCTAAGTGGTTTGTGAATTTTGGTTGATTTAAGTGGGAGGAGGGTTTGGGGAATAATCCTGATGGCGGCTACAACAGTGGCGACAGCGGCGGGGGCGGTGCTGCTGCTGTACTACGTGTTGAGCCGACGGATCGCATCGGTTGCGGAGGTCGAGGATTCTTCGGAGTCAAAGAGTAGATCGGCGAAGAAGAGGTTGTCCCGAAGGCCAGCTCAGGCACCTGCTACTTGGCTGGAGACGATTTCGACTCTGTCGGAAACTATGCGGTTTACATACTCGGAGACGTTGGGGAAATGGCCGATTGGTGATTTGGCTTTTGGAATTAACTACCTAATTCGGAGACAGGTTCTCTCTCTCTCTTTCTCTCTCTCTCTCTCTCTCTCTCTCTCTCACACACACACACACACACACACACACACCCGCGCGCGCGCGTTTACCTTTTTGTAATTGCTGAACTTACATATACTAGCATGTTCTGTTTTGAATACTATGCAAAAATTTCAATTGTTTTGTGAAGTTGTGATGTTGTATGGTGAAAATGAAACACTAATTGACATTATCTTGGCTAATTGAGATAAGCATTTAGCCTATCGTTTTTATGCTAATATTTGGTCCCAGTTATGAAAGATATTGCTGCATCATGAATTTTACAGATATTTATGATATGAATTTTTTAAAATGTATTAGTTGGATCACATTAGTGACCGGAGTTTCAGTTCACAAACGAGTTCCTTGATATTCCATTGTTGCAAATAATTCCACAAACTGAACATAATTGAGTGCAAAATCTTGCAGGGCAATCTACAAGTTGCAAGTGTATATGCTGGTGAAACGTCTGTACGGCTTAAAAGCCCTGAGATTATTGATCAATTGCACGACTATTTAAGATTGCTAACCCTCTGCATGCTTTTCTCCAAGAGGCCCTTTCCAGTCTTTTTGGTGTCAGCTGGTTTTTCTGAAGCAGATGTCATTCTCCAGGAGCCCAAAGCAGGGGTATTTATTGCTGCCATACATCTGCTGTTGTTTATGCACGTCAGATGGATGTTGATCCTTAAGTTTGTTGTCGCAGATTCTGAAGCCGGCGTTCACAATTTTGTGCGACGAAAGCTCCAAATGCTTTCTTCTTTTGATTCGTGGTACTCACAGTATTAAAGATACACTGACTGCAGCAACTGGGGCAGTGGTCCCTTTTCACCATTCAGTTTTGCATGATGGTGGGATAAGCAATCTGGTGCTGGGGTATGCACATTGTGGGATGGTTGCTGCAGCCCGATGGATAGCAAAGCTGAGCACACCATTTTTGGTCAAGGCTCTCGAACAATATCCTGCCTATGAAGTTAAGGTAGCGAAGTGTTTCTTTATTCCATTGTTAGTTCCTCTTGAAATGCTACAATAAACAAGTCATCGCATGTCATTTTGCAGTATCACTATTATCATCCATATTCGCACATTTTTGCCTGGCTTTTAATATAATAACCAAATGATTACAGATTGTTGGTCACTCACTCGGCGGTGGGACAGCTGCCTTGCTAACATACATACTACGGGAACAAAAAGAATTTTCATCAGCAACTTGTGTTACTTTTGCACCAGGCATGCCGTAATTTATTCTTCATTGAGTCTTAAACTGGATCTTCCTTGATAAAATTGATATGGTGTGCACTGTATTCCTTATATATGTTCTCCCTTCAGCTGCCTGCATGACGTGGGAGTTGGCAGAATCAGGTAAACACTTCATTACGACGATAATCAATGGATCGGATCTGGTGCCCACGTTCTCAACGTCTTCCATAGATGATCTTCGTTCAGAGGTCCGCATCTATAAAAAGTAGACGCCTAGACAGCTATACTCTATTTCTTGTCAATTTGCTTTAGGCTCATTGGTTTTAAAAGTTCTGATCAATCCTCCCGGTCGTTTTTTCTCAGGTAACAGCTTCATCATGGGTAAATGATTTACGTGATCAGGTGGAACGCAACAGAGTTTTGAATGTCATTTATCGCTCTGCTAGTGCTATTGGGTCTCGATTGTCATCTGTATCGAATGCAAGAGCGAGGGTCGTTGGTGCTGGTGCACTTCTACGGCCAGTCTCAAGCAGCACTCAAGTAAGATACAGCAAAACATTTTCGATTTTCTTCATATAATCTAGAATTGATCTAGTAATCAAATATCTGCTGGAAAATTAATCTAATCTTCGTCAGTACCTATTTTATTAGATTGTGATGAAACGCGCACAGGATGTAGCCCAGGCAGTTGTCATGACCCGGTCATCCATATCATCATGGACATGTATGGGTCCTCGGCGCCGCTCAGTTTCTCCTCCGGACAAAACCAACGAACTCCCTGAGGTTCCCCTTGCCCTCAGCCGGGCATCTGAATCTCGTCCAACTGAAGTAATAACTCTCCATTCCGACCCAAGCAGCCGAGCAGACCATCCTCCTTCCAGTGGCAGTGAAAATGAGACAGACGAAGAGGCAGAATTCATCCAATCAGATAAAGCCATTCCCACTTCTCCTATAGACGAAATAAGCGAAGGCCTGTTGTGGTACGAGCTACAGAAGGAACTCCGCAGGGAGGGGAGCGAAATGGATGCTCAAATCCAGGAAGAAGAGGCTGTGGCGAAGGAAATAACCGAAGAGGAAAAAGTTTTTGCCGATGCTGTCGAAAACCACACCGCTGTTTCTTCCTCGGATAGTCACCGATTCTACCCTCCGGGGCGAATAATGCACATGGTTTCTGTGTCTTCATCAGAGGACAGTGAAGGCAAAGAGGAAGTTGGGATGTATCAGACGCCGAGAGATTTGTACAGTAAGCTTCGATTGTCAAGGACTATGATAAATGATCATTACATGCCTATGTACAAGAAAATGCTGGAACTTTTGATCAAACAGGTTGAGGAGGATGACAAGAATTCATCTAAGAATGTATAAACAATGTAGTACCTGTATCAGTGTGCAGTCTGCCAAAATTTAGAAGTAATCACTGGTAATTTTTCATATTTATTGTATGCATGTATAAGTTTTTTGTACCAAGTGGAGCAATATGTAAGTAGCTTATATGGGCTGACATAAGGCCCAAACTAAATTGGGTGGAATAGCCCAATTATGGGCCCTTTGCTATGCCCATTTCGCGGAAGAGTTCATTCAATTTTCCCGCCAATGCCATCATCGATTCCTAACCCTAGATCGGAATTCCCGGGAAATTCGATGGGATTTCCGAGCAGATGACCTCCATTACATGTCCCACGTATTCTTCTGGATCGTCCGGACAATGTTTTCTCCCTCACGTCTGCGTTGTTGGATCAGCCATCACACTAGCGGCTGCCGTTCCGTAGATATGGAAAATCTTGTTTGGTGATGGATGTGGTAATAATAATGGTGGCGGGTTTACCGGGAGTGGCGGGGGGGGAGTGGGAGGGGTGGAATTTTGGGGGATAATGGAGGGGGAAGTTGGGAGGATTCTGCAGATAATTCGATAGCTTATCCAGCTTTTGATTTTGTGTACGAGTTGGATCGCCATGTCTAATTGCTTGCATTTTGCGTTCAAGAAAGTGCTAGGATTTATTGCTGATGGTTTTGGCGATCGGGAAAAGGCTCTAATATCTCCTTTCTGGTAAAGATTGATCTGCTCGGAATGCTCTATGAAATCTAGGTTATTAAATATACAGTTAATGGTTCATTTTAATTAAAGGTAAACAACATAAAAATATGATGTACACACTGGGTGTCGTCTGGATCAGTTAGTCACATTCTTATGTGGAAGGCCTGCTTGTGGATATTTTGATGTCTTTGATTGATTAGAGAATAAAATTGTTGTATGTTGTTGATAGTGGATGCTTAGCCGAAGCTTGCTGAAATTGGGCTTAGGTTAACGTGCAGTAATTGGATTTTTCTGTGGATTTACTGTAGAATAGGTTGGAATATTTGTATGTGTTGAGCACTTGCACCCAAAAGCCTGGTCGCTAGTTCTCATGGTTCTTTTCTCTCTCTTGAATATCCACAGCATTTATTTACACTTGCTTCTATTTGTAAAAATTAAATCAACTCCTTTGTAAATAATTATGCAATCTCTTTACTGAAATGTATGTCCCGGATGCCGAGTTGCATCATAGTGTATTTTGATATTTATCTTAGTTTTACTAGGGTGTGTTTGTTTGGGGTTTGAATTTTGAGTCGGGATTTGAATAGTAAAAATTTTGAATTTGAATAGTTGTATGATGTGATATAAATAGGCGTTGATGTGATGTTTTGAATGTAAAATTGATTTTTAGTATAATATAAAAAATGAAAAATAGGTGTTTGATTTGATGTTTTTTGGGAGAAAAATTGGATGAATAGTGTATTTAAAATCCAATCCCCCAAACAAACACAACCTAAGTGTCAGCAGCCGCAGCAGTGTAGTTGTAGTAGACTAGTAATAGCAGATCGTTTCTAGAAAGGGGATAAAAACTTCATAGGATGTTTATTATTTGATATTCATAATGAGCTATAGAGATTTGTTTATAATTTGTAACAGTTTTCTTTGTAATGGTTTATTTATCCAATTAATGGAAATTATCAAAGGTTGCGTTAAGTGGGGATGTTAGTTTAGTGTTCTTGGAGATCTCATATTCTCTCTACTCTTATTGACATAATATGGCAAGCTGAAATTGAATTTATTGAATCATCTGAAGGAAATAGGTCACAATGGTAAACTTCATCACATATCTTTAATCAATCATTTGCTATTAGGACTGTTAAGGATGTTTATCGATCTAGATATTAATACAAATGAGATTTTACTTCTATAGCGCTTTGAGAATGATTATGCTTTATGACAGAACAAATTATAATTAATTGATTAAATATGCAGGAATGTGGTCCTTTTCTTGTATAAAGCCCCACATAGATTGCTAGCTGATCCACTGATTTAAGGTTCACGCATCTTCTCTTTTTTCTTTTCCCCCTATCATTTCTTTTGAATATTAACCTCCATTTGTACCAAATTCCAAGTGGGAATTCTTAATCAAAATAATTCCTTCGATACAGCTTCCTCCACACACATCATTAGTGCATAAATAATTGTTGATTGGCACGGTGTTTCCTTTCTCTCTGTCTTATTTGAGCCGCTGCATATTTGCTCTCTTTCACAAATTGCACTTGTTGGTGTTATTAAATATTGCACCATGAAATACAGTTAGCTGTGAAATAAATTGGAGATGTTCCTTTTAAATGTTTGTGTTCAGCTGTTTAGGTGCTTCTTTGCTCTATATTGTTAGATTGGTTGTTGATTACTGGCTGTATATTTGTGGCTAGGCTTAACATTTAGCTCGTTTGGTTAAGCTTGTTTAGTATTCCAATTACATCTTGTGATGGCTTTAAGTTAACATTGTTTATGAGCTGACATTAAATTCTTTGAAAATATTTTGTAAGTTAGGCTCTTTTGACTGAAAGGTTGACATAGATGCCATTTGATATACTTGGTAGGTGAAATGGGAATCAAACAGTTTTCTACATTTGAATTGGCTTATTTTACTTTTCTCACCTCACCTCCTTGAATTTGTATTGATTATTTATATTTTTTCAGGTCTGTTGTATTTGAAAGATAATCATGCAATTATTGATCTTATGATTAAATTTAAGGGGGAATAAAATACATGACACCATACACAAGTTGAGGATGAGAGATCATCAATTCATCATGTTTTTGGTTGCATTTCTTGCTGTGCATCATTATACATTCTGACCAAAACTCCTCTGAATTATTTAACAAGTCCTTTATTCTTTCTCCTATAGCAGGACGAGAAACGTCCAAACACACCTTGCTCGTACTCAAATTGTCTTGTGGTGCATTTATATATTTGATCATGTCACTGTCTTAAAAAGAAAAGGTTGAACCTATGCTCTTGTTTGTGGGCCTTTTGTTTTTGATTGTGATTATACAGTGGTGTTTAACCATCATAATGTTGTCTTCTTTAATGCACTGCTAAATAATATGTATCTTATAGTTTATACTATTAATGTTAAATATTCCTGATTGGATGATTAATGCTTATGGTTTTGCTAATAGTCTGGCAAGACTCTATTATTGGACAAATAGTCATTTTAATATTTTCTGACTGTGATCATTATGTCATATTCTTGCCCTATCTCTCTATCAAGAAGTTGGAATTGGGATGAGGACAACTCGCAAAGAAAATTTATTATTATATGATTGCTGTGACTAAAGTTAGTTCAACGATTCATTGAATAAGTATGCAGTTAGATCCTTCAATTTCTAGAACTTCAAAAATAATCTAATTGCTAGATTCTCTTTTGATTACTCAATGATATCTTTCCTAGGACCCCTATGACATAATTACAAAACTTTTATCATTTTATATCTCATACAAAGTGACAAAACATGGACTGTATATACATCAGGGTAAATGCATCATGAGCAATCCTAATCAGATTAACCATTCTTGTACATATAAACAACAGCAAAATCTAATCCAAACATTAAACATTACACAACACCATAATAGCTCATTCTTCTTTTATAGTCTTTATTTTTGTTACACTCATATATGTAAGTATTATCTCCTGTCCTTCTCAGAAGAAAAGATTATCATGCTGACCTGCACTATATTCATCCATCATCCAAAACTCAACAGGGTCTACCACTGGTCCAGCAAGAGGCAGTTCCAGTTCCGGTTCAGGTTCCAGTTCCAACCCCAAGAAACTCTCCAAGCTAGTCAGCTCATCCTTGATAAGCTCACACCGGGTCGGGTAACATGGCTCCTGGAGGCTGGAAAACCCACGATGCATTACAGGGACTAATGACTCAGCAGGCGACTTGGGAGCAGTACATTGCTTCTTCGGATAGGGATGAAGATCATCTGGAAAGTTGAGCTTAGCCTTGCTTCCACGGATACGCTTGGCAGCACCATCATAGGCTCGAGCAGCTTCCTCAGGTGTATCAAAGGTCCCTAGCCACACCCTTGCTCCTTCCTTGGGGTCGCGAATTTCAGCAGCCCACTTTCCCCACGGCCTCTGCCTTATCCCTCTGTACATAGTCTTCCTCAGCCTTCCGATGCCCTTCTCAGGTTTCGAATTCTTCCCTACACTTTCACAGGTTGGCTTTCTATCAGATCATGAAGTATTTCTTCTAGACACACACAGAGACAATCATGTACATAAATTCTTTTTGTGGACATGTAGGGATGGGATGTAGCCAAACTTTGTTGTACATATCATATGTTGGATGAAAATAAATGCAATTATTTGTTGAGCCACCCTAAACTCATCCCCTTTTTACAGACACATGTTTTTACTATAAACAACAACAGGAAGAAAATGAAGATTCTACACTACAAAGAAATCCACAATTCATTAATTTGAATCTTCTCTCTTGATGCTGTAAAAAGGGTAACGGCTAGTTTTAATCAGGCAATAATACTTATACACACACTACTTCAACCATAATCTATTTTCTTTGTATGTTACGCAATACTCAATTTTACTCCCAAATTCAGCAAGGAATTACATGTCCATATATATATATATATGTATGTATGTATGTATAGTGTGTGTTGCATTGAAAGAGAAATAGAGATGAAAAGCAGAGAGAATTGGTGGGTAAAAAAGAGTGACCTTTGTTGGGAGGGATGAGGTTTGAGGCGTGTTTGGTGTCTTCATTGGAGCAATCGAAGCCCCAAATCTGGGAGATGTTATCGAGCTCTTCCCAGAACTCCTGCGCGCTTAATTTGCCCCTTCTTTTGATTAAGGGCTCGTCGGAGATGATTGAGCCTCCACACATCTTGATGTACTCACCTCTGTTGACGACGATTCAGAGAGATACAGACATAGAGAGAGAGAGAGAGAGAGAGGGAAGAATGCATTTGTTAGACTTTTATAGAGCTCAATTTAGAATCGACGGTTACAACTATTTGGAAGAAAGGACAAAAGATCGACTCGACTACTTGGGCTTCTCTGATCCTACGGTGCAGAATGAAGGGGCTGGTTTCAATGGTTAGATCTCAGGGGAAAAAAAAAAAAAAAAACAGGAAGCCAAATCAACGATGATGGAGTCCAGGGAGTTGCCAAAAAAACCATCACACGCCAATTCAATCCAGGATCAGCAAAGGGTTTGTCCAAAATGCAAAACCAGATTCTTGGGACTCCAAGAACTACATCCCAAATCAAGAAATCATCCCTTCAAATCAAGAGGATTATTGATTTATGAACTGATCATGTCCACCAAATTCATGGCTTGTTAAGCACTTGTGCAAGTTGCAAGAACAGATTACAGACACTAAAATAGGTAGCTTTTTGCATTACAGTCACGCATATTAGCTTGCTACATGCATTACCTTACAGGTTTCTTACACAAACTGCTAAGTAAAACCACACACACACATAGATACATAGATACATATATACTTATCATGATAGATTTTTTCTAACACAGTTCCTTTACTCGAAAGTACATCAAGACTAGCCATTTTTATCTATGCTCGATGATGTTGTCGACGCCAGTCCATGATCAACACCCCTCCACCTAGTTTGCCAGCCTTCTTGCAATCAATTGGCGGCTTCGCACCTCTCCGCTTCGGGGGATGATTCTGATCATGTGGCTGTCTTTCCTGCCTCTGTTTTTGGCCCAGCAAATCTTCCTCCAAAATATTGAACCCATCCTTGGCAATCTTACTCAGCTTTTCTTGATACGCCATGTAAGATACAGACTGAGAATTAAGAACTTAACTATTGAAAGTGTTTTCTTTCTTGTGTTGGCTCTTGAACATAATGTGGCTCTCCTTATATAGAGTCTCGAAAGCTCTAATAAGGAATTCCTCCTTGTTCAGTGCCCCTAATTTGGTTTTTAACTCAAGACTAGTAAATGCAGAATTGATTTGATTTGATTTATTTTTTACTCTTTTGTATTGTTTGTTGTACTTCCATAAGAATTTTGAAGATAAGTTAGTATAAAGAATCTTAGAAGGCTATGTACGCTTTTTGCAAGATTTATTCTTCTGGGAATGGGACCAGAGAGGGTTGCCTTCAAGAAAAGTGATTATAATCATGAGCACTCTGATTGTTGTTCCTTTTACACTTGTAAGTTACTCTACTTAACTTCAAGATATTTACATGATTCTGAACACACACTTTTGTTATTATTTGCCACTATAATATAGCTGATTAGGTTGGAATTTATTCCAATAATGTTGGGTAAACACATTCCTAATTAGTTAATTTTATTCGGTATGATCGTTGGAGACGGCGGCCATCTTTGAATAGACCAGTGGAAGTAAGTGGTTTATTGCACCATTCTTGGATTAAGATAAAGAAGAATAAAATCTCTACTACATACTCACATGATGATCAATTGATCATTACCTAATAATTACTTGATGAAAAGAATGTACCAGAAGATGGATTAACAATTATTGATGCTCTTTATTCAATTTAGTATAGACCTCTTTATCATTGCAACATGAATGGTTCTTCATTATCCAACTAATAGTTAACCATTTGGGAAGGAAAATAGTTTTAAAAAATGGAATCTTGTTTTTCTTTTACTGAGTTGATCAATCATTGAATATTTTTCCAGGTGTCTACTTCAGCGGTAAGTTGTAATGAAATTATTTAGCTATGTGATGTAACTTATGAGTAGCTAAGACAGCATAACATTGATGATGACATCATATTCTGGACATGTGGTTGCTGCAACTTGTCTTGAATCTGTTCTTCTTCTTTCGGTTTGAGGTTAAATTTGATCTCTTTTGTCCAGAAAATGGATATCCAACTAGGAAAGATTGTGAGGTTCATTAGCCAGATTTAAAGCTTCACATCTTAAGCATATATGATCATGGTAAAAAGTTTCGTCGATAGTCTGTTAAAATTAGGAAGAACAGGTGATTATTTACCTCAACATGGAAGAAGTATTAAATACTGATGAATGTTCTTATTGTCTTTAAAGAAACAACACAAAATCTTGTTTAAGATAAATATAGAAACCCTAATTCTGATAAGGGCTTGTTTAAGTTAGCCTTGTGTTCGACTAAATTAAAATCCTACTTAAGAAAAAACCACACAGAAACAATCTGAAACTGAGAACACCTATAGCTTTCCAACTTGTGAGTGGATTCCTTTCAGATTGGTCTTCATCAATGTGGAAAATCAAGAATCTGAATATTGGCTTTGGCCTTTGGAGAGAATTACCTTTGCACATATCCTGATTACTGTTACCCGGAAGCTGTCCAAGTGTTCCAATATCGATAAGGCTGGTCAAAAGGATTCCTTCTTTTTCTTTTTTCTTTCATTTCTTCACACAAAGGAAAGGAGAAAGAACAAGCAAAGGAGGTCCAGCAAAATCACATCATATCGCTCGATAATTTTGGACCGTGTTTTGCTCATTTCACCTTTGAGTCTCATCAATTTCTTCTTGAGAGTTAGAAACAATACGCAAAATAAAATAGTGGAATGTTTTTTGCCCGAATACACAACATATTCTGAGAGATTTTCACATCAAAAGTAATTAGTTTATGATGTTTTATACTGGTATTAGTTTTGGATTGTATCCTATTGTTCCTTAAAGAATGACAGTGGTAATAGAACACAAGAAAGTTATTTAATTTCCATATAATTTCATCTTGTCTTTCATTTATCATAACAATTTGCTACTGAAAGCAATCAGAAAATTCAGGCTGTCTCTCCAAAACTGCAAGAAGAGGTATAATCCCTTCATAGATTATTACAAGACTGTAAAAGATAGTTCATATTCCATCAATACTATGTGAACTGCGCATCGAACCAATGGTCAGCTCTGCTATTAATGGAGGCGGCCTTTTTAGTCGGAGACGAGTATATTCTGATAGCAGATATAACGTACAGATAACATTTCCTCCAGATCACCATAAAGTGTAATTTGGTCATATTCTTGAAAGAGTGTTCAAATTAAATCCAGCAATAAGGTAATGAGTTTGGACATTTTTATGATCATGGTGAGAATTCTGGAAACAAGATTCATCATGTAGGTGAAGCCAAGTGCACTTTTTATTGATTTCAAACTACACAAGTGTTACAGACTTCACCGACAGTCTACAGCCTACAGGCCAGTAAAGGCTTTGTCGATTACACTATACGTACAAAGTAAGCATGCTTAACTCATACATTACATGTACAGAACTACTTTCGGCCGAGGCAAGTTTTAATCTAAGTATTCACAAAAACTAGACAGGCAGGCAGGCGTAATTGGAGACGACACAGCTGCAGCTTTCCTCTTAGAGCAATCCACGATTGATAGATCCTCCATCGCCAAACCTGGCCACTTGGTAGCAAGGATGATCTAGTTTTACCTGATAAAGAGGGTTCTGCTGAGGCTGGTACTGGTAATGGCAGCCATGGCTTTTCTGAACATGCTGCTTCCTCTGAGCAGCTGCCGGGGCCGGCGCATGCCTTCCCTTTGTGGCTAAGTACTTCTCCACTATGTCGAATCCATCCAGGCCTGCTGCAAGAAGAAGCTCCTCCTGAGTTGCCATTTTTTAGTGTTCGGATTGGAAGAAAATTGTAAGTGTTAGATTTGGATTTAGATATATTTGTGTTTTGGTTGGAAGTGCATCAGCTAAATGAATGCCTGCCCTTTATATAGATGAAAATATATCACAAAGAGATTTTTTATTTTTTATTTTATTTTATTTTCTTTAATATTGGATACAAAAATTAAAAATATATATTCTTGTGTGGCCAAGGAATTCATGACAAGTTGTTAATATTCCTTACCGATTAGATGTTTATGATTAGGAGAGGTCTTTTCTTATAATTAGGAAAAGGGCATTATAATTAATTAGGGTTTTTGAAAGATTGGTTATTTTTGGAAAGTTTTAATTTAATTTTTACTGTTGTAATAATTGCAAATTATATGATTATGGTAAAGATGAAACTAATGGTTTGTATGGTTTTGATTTTTTATAAATTTATGTATGTATAATCAAGATTGTGTGAGCAAGCTTATTTCTTGACGTTTCGACTATTGTACTGAATTAGGGTTTGCAGAAACTGTATATCTTAATACTTGACTTGAATAAGCTGTCAAAAAAGATTGATGTGTTTATATATTTAATTTAATTTAATTTAATTTAATTCTAGTTTGCTGCTATTATCAAGAAGAGATGAATTATTAATTACCACTACACTCACGAGTAACACGAGAAATATTCTGTTACAATATTATAACAGTGAATATTCGCCAAGTAGATTACATATCATTTATGAACACCTCAACTTTTATTAATCATTCTTGATCGTTTATGCATTATATATATCTGGATTCGGTTCCTTGCGTAAAGCCTTAGACAATACGCTCATAACTAAATATTCATTTGCCCGTAATGATGTGTGAAAATGACTAAGGAATGTCTAATTTCAATTTTGGTTCATTTCAAGGGACAAATAACAAAATTATTACTTGTACAAATTAAAGTTCAACAAATTCACATAAGCCGTTTTCATATAAATTTTTTAAGTTTTGGAATTTCAAAAAAAATTAAAAATAGTAAAAAAAAAGTTTATTTGATATTTCATAAGATAAAATATTAAAAAAAAAATACTTTAAAGAAAGCCTAATGATTATTAGGGATGAGAATTGTTGGTCCAAATTGAAAAAAATAGTTTCTTTTTTTTTTTTATTTGAATTGCTCCGGGCTTAATTTTGTTCGATTCAAAATCGAATTTATAAAGTTGTTGTTAGATTTGGTTATGATTTTCAAATTTTTAATTTCGGTTAATTGAAATAATGGAACTCTTAAAAATATAAAATATATATTACTATATAAACAAATATTTTGGTTTTGTTAATTCAATTTTGAAAAAAAAATCTATTTTTACAAACTCAAAATCAATTAATAATTATTAGCTTTTGATCAAATCAAATCAAATGAAAATAATAATTAGAAAGCACGTGTTTAATTATGAAAGTATATGTTTATTGATTAAAAGAACAATGTTCCTGGTAAATATTATAAGTTATTCTAATTAACAAATTAAAGCTGAAGATAGATACTTGAACAGGTAAAACCAGGAAATTTTCTATGGCCATCTTCTTCTTCTTCTTCTTCCTACAATTCATGACAGCCCTGCAATCATGGAAGCCCCCGCAACTGCCGGGGCAGAAAATCCAGGCTCTCCACCAACATTGTCACCCCCAAACGCTATATAAAGCCACCATCGTCTTCTCCCATCAATCAACAACCTCAGAGTCGGCGGGGAACAGCGGCGCCACTAATAATTTCCCCATAGGCTCTGTCGCCGGAATAATACATACAGTAATAATACATTACAGATAATATATATATATATATATATTTAAAAAAGAAATGGCCGACAAAAAGAAGATGGCCATAGCCGGCCTGGCTTCCATCCTCGTGGTGGCCATGGTGGTAGCGGTGGCCGTCGGCGTGAGCAAGAAAAGCACCGGCGGCGATGAGAACCTCAGCTCCTCCACCAAGGCGGCGCACTCCATTTGCGCCCCGACTGATTACAAGGAAACCTGCGAAGCCAGCCTGGCAAACGCCACCTCCGACGATCCGAAGGAGCTCGTCAAGGCAGCGTTCGAGGCCACCGTTAAGGACATCGAGAGCGCCATTAAAAGCTCCTCCCTTCTTAACGCCGCCGCTGCCGACGACCGGACCAAAGGCGCCCTGGAAGTCTGCAAAGAAGTGCTCCACGATTCCGTCGACGATCTCCGGCGATCCTTCGACAGAGTCGACGAATTCGAGATGAGCAAAATGCAGGAGTACGTCGAGGATGTCAAGACATGGCTGAGCGGCGCCATCGCCCACCAGGACGCCTGCCTCGACGCCTTCCTCAACACCACCGGCGAGACCGGCGACAAGATGAAGATCTTGCTGCAAACCTCCGGCGAGCTGCTCAGCAACGGCTTGGCTATGGTGGACAGCTTCTCTTCCATGTTCTCCTCCTTGGGACTCGACAGCTTCTTCTCCAGCAGCCACCGCAGGCTGCTTTCTGATCAGCCGCCGCATTGGGTGGACGCCACCGCCAGAAAACTCATGGAAGCTTCTCCGGCCGCCGTCAAAAAGGATATTGTCGTCGCCCAGGACGGCAGCGGCGATTTCAAAACCATCACCGAAGCTATCAATTCCTTGGCCAAGAAGAGCAACGAATCGATTGTGGTTCATGTCAAAGCTGGCGTTTACAAGGAGACTGTCATCGTTCCTAAGAACGTCAACAACGTCAAATTGATCGGCGATGGACCTCTCGTCACCAGAATCTTAGGCAACAAGAACTACGCCGACGGCACCTCCACCTACCACACCGCCGTCCTCGGTGAGCTCAATTAATCATCAATTCAGTTTCAAAATTAGGGTTTCGAAATTCCCCCAAATTAATTTGACCTAATTTTAACCTAATTCCCTTCCGATCGCAGCCGTGAACGCCGACGGCTTCATGGCAAAGGACATCGGAATCGAGAACACCGCCGGGGCGGAAAAGCACCAGGCGGTGGCCGTCCGCGTCTCCGGCGACAAGGCGGTGTTCTACAACGTCCACATGGACGGCTACCAGGACACTCTCTACACCCACAGCTACCGCCAGTACTACCGCGACTGCTTAATCTCCGGCACCATCGACTTCATCTTCGGCGACGCCGCCGCCATCTTCCAAAAGTGCAAGCTCGTCGTCCGCAAGCCGATGGAGAACCAGGCGTGTATGGTGACCGCCCAAGGCCGGAAGGACAGGCGCAGCATCGGCGTCACCGTCCTCCAGGGCTGCGCCATCGTCGCCGATCCCGCCTTCCTGGCCGTCACTCCTCCAGTGAATGCCTACCTCGGCCGCCCATGGAAGGAGTTCTCCAGGACCATCATTATGCAGAGCTACATCGGCGGCTTCATCTCCCCCGACGGCTGGTCGCCATGGATGGGGAGCTTCGCCCTGGACACTCTGTACTACGGTGAGTACCAGAACAAAGGACCCGGAGCTGACATGTCGAAAAGAGTAACCTGGAAGGGAATCCAGAAGATGACTCCAGAGATCGCGGAGAGCTTCACCGCCGCCAAGGTCTACCAGGGGGATGAATGGGTGAAGGCCGCCGGAGTCCCCTACGATGCCGGAATGATGAGCGCGTCGTCGCTGCTGAGCCCTAATTAATTAAATAATTAATACTATATATATATATGATCGACCATTTCTTTTCATATTGTAAACTATATATGTATATATATTATCAATGATATTATTCATATTTATTCAATAATAAAAGTGAATTTCACTTTATGATGGCTGTTTACTATTCTCTTTACATTTAATTTATTTAAATAAGAATGAATGGATAATCTAAATACAATATATATATATATATATGGTATAGTTGTAATTCTTTCAAGATTATATATTTACTGTAGTTGAAAATATAATAAAATTCAGTTTCATCTAAATTGTTGATGGGTTTATATAAAAATAAATAAATAAATAAAGTAACCCATTCAACTCTTATATTAATATATAGCAATCTCATAATTTTGATTTTTTTTAAAAAAATAATAAATTTGGATAATTAGCAAAAATTTGTTATGATAACAACTAATCTAACAAAATTCAAATTTTTCGAGATAATAAATAACAAAATATATATAAAATTAGGGTTTGGACAACACCTAATTTTTTATTTTCTTATTTCTTTTACCTTTTTTAAGGGTTTTCATATGATTATTTTTTTCGTATTTTATTTATACATAAATTTGTTATCTTTCAAAAAAAGTGAATGATTTTTCACATAAAAAAAAATATTATTATCTCTTTTATATATTATTTATGCATATAATTTTTTATTATTCCTTAATTTTATAATAAATTTGTTTTCTTTAACTTATAAATTTTAAATTATATGAAAATTTTTACTAATTAATTTTTTTATCCATAGGATGCGAAAAATCTTAAAAAAGAAGAGAAAAAAAGAATGAGAAGAAAAAAATAAAAGAGAGAAGTAGAAAGAAAAAAAATAAAAAAAATTCAGGTTATAGTATTTTTTGTCTTTTTATTTATTTATTTATTTTATTATGTATAATAATTTTATTAAATTAATTTTAATTTTCTACTAATAAATTCTTTTTATTCTTATTATATATTTATTTTATAATACTTTACTATTATTGTATATATATATTTTTTAAAATTATCTATTGTGTTACCTCATTTTCTACTAATTATTTTTGTATCTATATTATGTTTGAGTTTAAATTGTAATAGTATATTTATGAAATTTTGATTTACTTACTTAATATTTTTTATTTGATTTAATTACCGTATTTTTTATTTGTAGTTTATCTTTTATATAAATCAATTTTTGACTATTTTCATACAAATTTATTATTTAAAATATAAAAATTAAATTAATATCATAAATTCTATAATTACCCGTGTATAGCACGGATAATAATAATATAAAGATAAAACTAAAAGAAATAAATTGACTATTCTTGTGTTAACATCTAATTTGGGGAAAAAAGAGTAAAATAGTAAGTAACGAATTGATTATTATTTATTATGGTACCAGTGATAAATTAAATTGTAATTAGATAAAGTTATTTAATATTATATATAAATTATACAAAATTTAACTGACAATAACAAAATTGACATAAATATCTCAGAAGAATAAAGTATAATTTTATAGAAAATTGTAAATATTGCCTAAAAAATCACCTAATAAGTAAATACTAAAAAAGGCTAATATGAAAGCATTTTTTTTTTTAATCTAAAAAAGGCCATTGTTATAAGCTGCTTTTAAAAAAATAAAATTAAATTAATAATAATAATTAAGATTATATTCTTTTGTGGATTTTGATTTATCAGCGTATTTTTATTATTCATATTCTTTTTTTCTTTTCAAAAATATCAGATTAAACAATAACTTATATATATATTATACTACAAATTCACTTTACATTCAAAATATCATATATAACTTCTATTTATATCAAATCAAAAAATTATTCAAATTCAACCTTTTATTATTAAAAAATTCAAATTTAAAAACCCAAACCCACAAACACACCCTCCAGGGTTTTTTTTTTTTTTTATTCAAAATATTAATTTCTACTATTTGAATTTTAAGTTTTTATAAAAAATACAATTTTCTTCTCAGAAAGATCTAGTCATATATTATTTTAATATCAAACCTAAATTAATTTTTTTTTCAAAGAAGAAACATTACCTAAAAAATCATTATAAGTTGTTTTAGGTATAAGATTGTCTTTTTTAGAAAAGATGTGTATTGGATAAATAGCCTCTCGAAAAAATAAAAGATACAAATCTTTAAAATCTTTATAGATTTGGTTATGCTTATTTCAAAAACATAAATCCTTTACTATTATTATCATTCAATATTCAAAATTTTCTAAAAAATACACATATAATCTACCTAAATATTACATTTAACTATTATTTAAACACAAAATACACCCATATATTACATAAATCATATTCTTACTATTTTTCTAATGTCAACTTAAAAAAATCATATATATAAATTTGTAAAAGTAGAAGAATTATATATATATATATATATATAATTGAATAATTCTATGAATTTATAAATATATATAGAAGGAGTTATAATACAATTTGCATTTATAGCAAAAATTAGATTAGGAAATCTTTTAATTTCAATAATCGCAAAATGCTGGCTATCCGATTTCACCGCCACTCTCTCTTAGTACTACATGTAAAAAACGCGATTTATAAACTAACGCTTTTAGCAATTCCAATCCTTTTATTAATTAGCGATTCTTAACTTTCTTACTGTGTTTTTTTCTCAGACCGGCGGCGATGACGCCCGGCCGGAAAACGATTGCCGGTCTCCATCTCCGGCATATTTCCGACGACAACCGGCGGCATTCTGATTCTCGTCAACGACAACTGATTCGCCACAGCATTCTGACTGATCTCGTTCTCCACCGTAACTCTCAACGGCGGCATCTCCACCCTCACCTCCACCAATTCCATCTCCATCCGCCGCCCCCCGGGTTGCGCCGCCGCGCCCCCATCGGAATCTCCATTTCCGTCCTCCGGCGCGTAATTGAACTTCCAGATCGGCCGGATTACTGTCCCCGCCACCAGCTCCACCGCCGACCGGCAAATTGGGCACGTGGAGTGCGACCGGAACCACGTGTCGATACACTCGAGGTGATAACAGTGGTTACATTTCGGCAACAGACGCACCACGTCCTGAAATTCAAATTCCGACAGGCAGACGGCGCACTCCGCCGCAGCCGGCGACTGCTCCGGCGACTGCTCCGGCTTCGGCGTGTAGATATAGAGCGGCAGAGAATTGAGAACCTGCGGCTCCAGCCCCCGGTCCACGGCGGAGAGGCTGTCGATGTACATCAGAATTTGCGACCGGCTGACCAGCATATCCCGCCGCCGCTCGTATTGCCGCCGGCGAAGGCGGGCGATGTACCATTTCGCGATCAGATGGAATCCCAGCATCAAACCCACCACGGCGAGGAGGAAGACGACGGAGATGAAGATCGATTTTCCGCTCAAAACATATCCGTCCTGGGGATCGCCGCCGACAAACCACACTTTCCGATGACTGCCGCCGCCGCTTTCCGCCATGGCCGAACCTTCAAGGATTGAAGAAACAAATAGAAAACTTAAAAGCAAACGATTAGGAATTTTGATTTGGGAAAAAAAAAAAAAAAAGAAAGAAAAAACACAGACAATTGAACAAGAAACCGTTGTTTACTGCGGAATCGAAAAATTTTCTGAAAATATAGTCAAGAATTGGATTAGGACTGTCGTTATATAATCTGGTCTCATTCATAGTAATAATCATAAAACTCCAGGATCACAACACCAGGTCAATACAGACCATTAACATTAGGGGCCCACAGATATGTTATTCATCCGGTGTTCAGATCCTGGGACTTCAAAAGGATTAGTAAACAGTTGTGTGGAGTGTTGACCGGATAAGGTGAAATGACTAAAAAAGGGTAGAAGACAAGAGTTGATGAGGAAAAAACGATAAGATTTTGTGAGGGTAAAAATGGAAAAATGTCTTACGGGCCTCTGACTGGATATGGACTGATGTCATTATTGCCGAAATTCTCTGACAGTCCAATGTTTTAATTTCATTATGTATTCCTACCTTTAATTATTAATTATTACTTACTAACTGAAGCATTTAATTCTGAACAGTCGAGCCGGAAGCCTTCTACCCTTTCCCCACGAGGCCAAATCCTGTTTTCTGGCATAATCAATTCATGGATGGAAGGTCCCGGTGCTGCGGCACCTACAACCATCGGACGGTTTCTCTGGATTGGGTGCAGAGAACCGGGTCCTTTTATTTTTTTTCGGTATGTTGCGTCTGCTGGATCATGTTGGGCTGGCCCAATAGCCCATTTCTTTGTAAAGTATCATTAAGCCCAACTCAAGAACCAATCTGCACCGTTGATAGCACGAACGGTGAGGATCTTCCCTGCCAGTAATAGCCAACGGTCGTCCCCTTCCTTCCCCTCCCTGCACATATAAATAGCGACTCCTCGAAATCCAAACGAAATCAACTCACCAATGGCGGATACGAAACTCCTACTCTCCCACGGATTCGGACCTCGTGTTCAGGTACTTTCTCTTCATTCATTAATCTCACTCAATTCATTGCTTCTTATTTGATTGCATGATATGTATTTGAACAAGGTTATGGCCGACGGAATCAAGCACAGAGCATCGAGACCGATGGATCTGAAGAAGACCTTCAAGCGACAGAAGGAACACCTTTTTCAGAAAATCAAAATGAGCAAAAAACGCTGTCTTCGAAACGCTCTTCTCTGCCTCAAGCTTCCTAAGCAGCAGGCGGCTCAGCCCCAGCCCCGCCGCGCAGGTTCAATCCCCGGCCAGGTTTACTCTATCGATAGCAGGACGGCTGCCTCAATCAGGCCGGGCTCTGGCCGGAATTTTCCATACATCAGCCTCAAGGAGCTGAATATGGAGCGCGATTATATTAGGGTTTCTGCTCCCATTTATATAGTCACTTGATCAATTGAATTCTTTGATCAGATTTGCCCTATGCATTCCTGGAATTTTAAGCTCACATTGTCTTGGAGAAGTAATTTTGGTATGGTACAGTATAGTGGAAAAGTCAATACTAGCCGTTTGCTAGATCCAAGAATTGAACCTACAATTTTGAAAATGTTACCCACAGATTGTTTGTTTACTGTTGTATTTGCTTCTTAATCTGAAATGATAAATTTGATTTGACTGTTTGGGCCCAGATGCTTTCTCTGCTCTGTTACACTTGATGATGATAAAGGATAAAGTGTTGATTAAAGTCACCATCTTTAGCCCACCTGGTTTGTCTCTGTCAATAATTCAAGAATTTTAATGGCGGTGGTGCCTTTTTCCTGTCGTCCCGGTCTCTCCTTTCCTCTGTTTTTCCTTCAAAAAGCAAGAACACATCTCGAATCTTATTTTCCACGTTGTTTATTCCAATTCGGGAGGCTGTCAGTGTCGATTTATGCTAAATATTCTTTTTCCATCCTTGAAGCAACTGCTTTGTTTAACTTCTGCAGTCTCGTCGTCTCCATTGTTCTAGTTTTCTTACAGGAAATCATCAAATGGACCGAATCGAGCACAAGCAGCTGAGCTTAAACGGGCTTAGCATCCACGTGGCAGAAGCGGGCCAAGGCCCGACGATCCTCTTCCTCCATGGCTTCCCCGAGTGCTGGTACGCCTGGCGCCACCAGATGATCTTCTTCTCCAGCCATGGCTACCGCGCCATCGCGCCGGACCTCCGCGGCTACGCCGGCACCACCGGAGCCGATCCGGCGAAATCCACCACAGTGCACGTGGTGGGCGACTTGGTTGCCATAATTAACGCCATGGCCCCCAACGAGAAGGTCTTTGTTGTCAGCCATGATTGGGGGGCAATCATGGCGTGGGCTCTGTGCCTGTACCGGCCGGACAAGGTGAAAGCCGCCGTCAACATGAGCGTCACTTTCAGCCGGAGAAACCCTGACAGGAAGCCGCTCGAAACTCTCAGAGCTGTCTACGGAGACGATTACTACATTTGCAGATTCCAGGTTCCAGGTTTCGATCCATTTATGAATTAATTAATGCCTGCCTGGTTCCTGAATTTGGAAACTGAACTTGCACAGGAGTCTGGAGAAATCGAAAAGGAATTTGCTCAATTCGGGACCAAGAACGTCCTGAAGCATTTCTTAACCTACAGAAATCCAGGGCCACTGTACCTCCCCAAGAAGCAGCCATTCCCCGACACTCCAGTTTCTTTGCCTCCATGGTTGCAAGAACAAGATGTTGATTACTACGCCGAAAAATTTGATGCTGCTGGATTCACTGGAGCTTTGAATTACTATCGAGCACTCGATCTGTAAGTTTGTTCATCTATTACATGAAATCAAGCCATCAAGATTCAAGAAATTCAACTGAAGTTCATATGTATGATTACAGAAACTGGGAATTGACAGCAGCTTGGACAGGGGATCAGATCAAAGTCCCGGTGAAGTTCATCGTGGGTGATTTGGATCTAACCTACAATGCGCCAGGGGCGAAAGAGTACATACACAAGGGCGGGTTCAAGAAGGACGTCCCATTGTTGAAGGATGTGGTTGTGATGGAAGGCATCGGTCATTTCCTCCACGAAGAAAAGCCCGATGAAGTAAATGCTCACATCCATTCCTTCTTCAAGTGTGCATCTTCATCCTCTTCTACCTGTCTAGCATTATGATCATTGATCAATTCCATTCCATGTTGTTCTAAAGCTATATATACACATATGTGCTTTGTGTGTAAGAGATAATATATCGACTGCTTGATTTTCATCCCTTCTTTTGCATTGATGGCAACGCAGCAGTTTCTGCGTTTGTTGAGCTGTGGATTGATCTGAAATTCATTAAACTGTAAGATTCGATCAACGGAGCGTGTATTGTGTAATGATTCGTATTTTGGAACCCTGAGAGTGATTACCTTTTGGAGCTTACTTGATGTCCTCTATGTAATAACGGTAACGGGCAATAACCAGTCGTCAATGGCTTCCTTTCTCCAGGGGAATCCTCAGTCACCTACATTGAGCCATTAATCATACATTCTCTGGATATGATGTTGAAATTCTAACATCAAAAGATTTTGTAACAGACTGAAGGTCGAAGGTGACTTACATATTGTTTGATCTTGGACAATTCGACATCCTTAGCTTTCTTCTTCTTCTTCTTTTCATGGACAAGAGCAAATAAACATTTGCAAATGAAAAACAGAAGTAGAAGGCCAAGTATAAACACCATGATCGATTCGATTATGATTACTGATCCTAAAGCTGCATTCACAATCATTAAGTCATGATGAGCCGGAAACAAAATCAATGCTTGACATTAAAATGAGGTGAATCATTTGCCGCATCTTACTATGAGCTGCCAATGAATTAATCGGAGCATACTGTAAGATATTCATTGTTGACTCTGCAAACAGCGAAACAGACATTTTATCCTCACAATTTGGGTAGCATCCATGGTTTCCCAGATCATTTACAATCACCGTCAAGACAGCGCCGTACGCACCTTCCTGCAAGAATTTTAGGTGAAAAGATTCGATTTTCATATATAGGGAAAGAAAGAAATGTTTACCAACAAAGGCTCACATGATAAGATAGTTGCTCCATGACACCGTTGCAATTGTCAATCGTGCCGTAGAATCTGATGCCTTTTGCTTTCACCGTGAAATGTTTTGAGATGGTAACAAATGTATTCAGAGGCTGCCATTGATAACCACTCCTCAGCTTCACTTCAGTTGATCTTTCGAGCTCTGCAGGAAGCATTGTCGATAGGAGCCCAATGCTAACTTCAGCAGAGAACATAATCCGAAAGCTAGACCTGTTGCCTGAACAAAACAACATCACATGATCAAAATCAGATTAGTTTTGGTTTTGGTTTTGGATTTACAGACACAGAAGATTTCAGCAGTCTGGACTACTACCAGGGAAATTTCGAAGATCAGGATCTGCAATGAAGTCCACCTTACTATGAAAGATAAGCATTCCATCACTCAAGTTGTCTAGGACAATGAATGGAGGGATGTTAATCACAGGAGGATCGTTGATGGGGTTGACGAATATAGGAATGTGTACGTCGTTCCTTCCATTCCGGTTTATGGCAGAAATCCTGAGTGTATCGGAGCCATAGAAATTTTCATTTCTGTTTCAAAGACAAGCAGACAATGTTGATCCTGTATATCAACAAATTCAAAGAACTAATGTCAAGTGGAAGTACCCTAAGTACTGAATGGCCTGAAGAGCAAAATTGATCATGTCAAGACAGCCGACAAGCTTTAGTTCACCAGTCATGTCGACATCCTTGTACACTAACAGTTGATTCCATTTAGGCTGCCAAAATTGCATCTGTGTAGGAGATAGCAGCACCTTCCCGGATTTTACACCGAGGGTAATGCTGATGTTTTCATTCATATCAGAGTAGCTGATTTTGAATCCAGAGAAGCCTCTGTATAAGAAAAAAAGAAAAATGGCTTTGTAAGTAAAAAATGTGTGTTCTTCCTGGTTTCATCTTCCAGTAAAAATAAAATAAAAAATCAAGTGCATCTAACCCGAATTTCGGACTAAGTAGATCTTCTGTGGCTTCCAAGTTACTTGGAACTGAAACAAACTGTGGCGGCCTGCAGAGGACTAACAGATTGACAGCGCCAGTGGCGCGGTTTTCGTTCACATCAGCTATTGTGTATAAAAAAGAATCATTCCCATAGAACCCTTTAAATGGTGTGTACTGAAAGAGGTCGCCATATTGTAGAATGGAACCATGGCCTGGCTGCAACGGAAATTAACAGTCTTTTACACAACCTCTTACACACAAAATTTTCGTAATTTCTCAACTAAATGCAGCTCTTACTTTTGAATAATCAACAATCTTTGCATTGACACCGGGAAAACAATCATTTTCTAGAACCGTGAAAGCAATTGACTCATCTTCCCACACTGAGACTGTATCGTTTCGCACTTCAGGAAAATAATCCACTGGGAAGCATTCGATAAGTTTTGTTAGAGCATACGCTAATAAGATAAGAGATGATGTGGGCTTACCATCGTGCACGCGCACGCCAATGGGACATGGCATGAACGGCTCTCCATCGTGAACGGCGCATATTTCATACGCACCGATCTCTTTGCCTATGTACGCTGCAGTGTAAGTCCCGTCATTGTTATCAGAAAATGCCTCAGTGGAAACATGAGATCGGTTGGTTGCAGGAAACTGTAATTGCAGCTTGGATTGTTCTTGCAGTATAGGATTATGATTAGAATCCACTAGCTTGACGACTACTTTTGTTTTTGTTAGCTGTGGAACTTTCTGGTCGAACTTCACAACACCGGACATGGTCACATTCACAGCTCCTGGAATTACTTCCTTCTGAAATGGATGGCCGCCGTTCAATGGAATGTTCCCACAAAAAACTCTGATTTTGTATGCACCACTCTTCTCAGGTTTACAGATGATGTCGAACTCGCTAGCCTTGTGCAAACAAAATCTAAACTATGATCATCTTGTCCAAACTATGGATCATGTGATTTCATAAACAGAGTTTGATGCTTACAATGTTACGCGCCACGCCATGGTTTGGTCTTCCGGAGAAAGATCGACTATCTGTTGAAAGATTTTTGCTTCCATTACTACACAAACCATAACAAAAAAACTTCACATTGAACTGGCTATCAAATGTTTACAACGCATCGAATCTTTTATACGTATGATTGGAGGCACAATCAAGGAATCGGACTCTCCAACAATTCGTACTTGAAGCCTTTCCAACTCAACTGGCGAAGGATACATATAAGCATCCTTCAGGAACACAGAGAAGTTCACAGTTTCGCCTGCGACAGAATTGTTTAGACCTGTTCCATTGACTATGCTGTTTGTTCCATCACAGTAACCTGTTAGAATCAGCCATTACAATCATGTTGAAATCTCAGCAATCACTGGTTAGAAGTGAAGGAATTTTCTTAGCACCTATGTATACAGTGAAATCATAGGGCATGCCGGATATGAGGGTGTTCTTTTCTTGATCTGATATCAGCAGCACGAAGCTTCCAGGCTCGTCTAAGCTGAAGGAGAATGACTGGACACCAGGTTGCATTTCTTTCAAGGATAGATCAGCCACTGGCATAGACAGATTAGTCCCTTTCTCCATAACTTCAATATCAAATTCATGTAATGCTGAAACTAAATTCCCAAACTGATCATGCCTGTGTATGAAGCCTTCCATCACCGAAAACAATTGGAAATAATTTGTTTCGACATTCCATTCAACTGTACAGCTGTAGACATCCATCTTTCCTGTTAATTAAAAAGAATGTGAACAATTGATAATTTCATAATGTCGAATCAATAACTCAATCATGATTCACCTGGATTCACTGTGCATGGTAGAGGAGATCCACGCAGGGTTTGGTTTTCAATCTGTACATGAAGTAGAAGGATTCCAGCTGTGGCAGGAATGAATTCGACAATGAGATAGCCATACTGATTCCAGCCTTTGTGGGTTATATTAAGCAAATCTGCAGGAATCCCTCTTGATTTTGAAGCAAACACAGTGAAGTTATATAGCATTGATCCTTCAGAGGATGAAGACACATTGTTTCCATATGCATCTTTAGGAAGAATCCATACTTCAGACTTTGTTCCAGCCATAAACTCGTCGAATCCATCTCCCCACGACACAATTCCACCTGATGGATACATTGGACCTATAAAAAGCACCAAATTAGTCGAAATCAAGAACTCTGGCATTGTAATAAGGGGGAATGAGAATCAGAACCTGGGTTCACTAAGTAGTGCAATGACGAATCAAAGACTTGGAAATGCTCATCGGTGATGAGGACATTGAACAAGCCAACCATAATAGGAACAAAGCAAATCGTCCAGCCATCTTCGAAATGGAGAGAAACCCCAGTGACAAAACTGCTATTCCCCATCTTATCATTCACAGTGATGTTTGGCTTAAAAGGGAACTCATACATTCCAGCCTCATAATTCCCAAGAACTCTCACTTTGATCGTTGCAGTGTCCCCCGCCGTGAAATTGTTATTGTCGTTCAACCAACTGAATGCAAACGCAGGCATGGGTGCATCATCTACCGAAAACAGACGCATTATAAACAAAATACCATGAGAAACTACACTAAAAGACAAATCTTGACATCCACACAAGGTGTTTGATGAAAGTGCCTCATACCTGATTTCGCTTGTTGAGGTTTGAGAAAGTGTATAAAGAATGGTAGCAGAGCCAAGAACAGTACCATTCGGGACGCCATGGTTGAGATGATACTATCTGTTTCAAACTCATGGTTTTGAGTCGAATTACAGTGAGAAGTTTGAACAGTAGGAGTAGGAAGAGCAGTTAACTGATGCCCCACGTCCCATTTTTGCAGTTTCCCACATTGTAGTAAAAGAACTGTCTTTTTTACTGTTGGAGCTGTTTAAACAGAGATTATGGAGGATTTTTTTAGATTTTTGAAAATATAGAATTAAAACAAAAATGTTAAAAAAAGAAAAAAGTTAGATTTTGATTTACATTTTATATAAAAAAATATATTTTTTTTTATAATCATATGAGTATTTTATTATTCAATTGGAAATTATTTTTGGCGACAAGATTTGTAGGATCTATTATTATTACCTTGCAGAAAGTAACAAGAAAAACCCTTTTTAGTTAATTTAACTTTTTTAACTTTGGTACCTTGTCTTGAATCTAATATAAGAGGTAAGAACAGGTCACTGGGCCACTGCAAATTCTCAGGGTGTGTTTGTTTGGGGGTTTTGGGATTTTAAATTTTGAATTTGAATAGTTGTACGATGTGATATAAAAATGTTTTGAATGTAAAATTAATTTTTAGTATAATATAAAAAATAAAAAATAGATATTTGATTTGATTTTTTTTAAAAAAAATTGGATGAATTAATTTATAGTATAATATAAAAAATAAAAAATAGGTATTTGATTTGATTTTTTTGAAAAAAAAATTGGATGAATAGTGAAAATCCAATCCCGAACAAACACACCCTAAATACTAAAACCCTGGATCATGCTGAGCCGCTCCCTCGCGGGTTTCCCCTCCTGAGAAAAAAGTTGCTCCCTTTTTTGTTCGAGCAAACCTCTTGCCCTCACCCGCACAACAGGGCCCGAGTGACAAGCGTAAGAATTTCTTGGTATAATCCCTGCTTTCTGGGTCTGTACGCGCGAGTGTTCGCGTTTTGGTGCATGCGGATAGAAACCCTTTGGTAGGCACTTCCAAATTGCTGAAAGTAAGGTTTTTGAAGCGAGTTACGGCTTTGCCTTTTCGTTTTGAAGAAACAATGGCATCGAGGGTTGCTTTGAAATTGGTGAGGGAATGTTCGTTGTATAGGACGGTCAAACGCAGTAATGTCTCCAGACATTGTTTTTCCACTGCTTCTTCAACTAATAATGGCGCCCCACAGTCTCAGATTCCCAAAAAGGTTCCTCATTCTTCCAAAAAGGTAATTTTGGAGATCTGGGATTTTTACTTCATGAAGTGGTGATCCTGTGGTCGTAACATCTCATACTATGTGGCAAGAATGTAGTTTTGACATAAAATGTGTCTTTTGATGATCAAGTAGAAAGAAGTCCTTTAACCTTGAAGCCAAGTTAATGCCAGATGAAGTATAATGAAAATTGGGAATATACTCTATCTGTAAATATAAATTTGGGAATGTCTTTTGATGATGAAGTAGAAGTCTTTTAACCATGAAACGGAGGTAATTCCAGCATTCTGGTCTTTGGTCTTATGTTTTGTAGTTTGCGTCTATCTGCATTTGGAGAGCGTCTTTACCTATACGTACGTACAAGAGTGACACTAAATAATGTTTGAAGTTTGGTTTCCAAGTATCTTGTATTAGTTTTACTTATGGGGATTTACCTTTGAGTTGTTGAGCATGCTTTCTCCTTCTACTTAAAGATTTTGCCTCATGGATTAAGGACCTATTTGTCATGCCACTTATGAGTTAAATTCAAGTAGTCAATGCTTTTATCATGTAGGGAAGTGAACGTACTAATTAAAATAAAATGTTACACTAAGTAATAGCCCATGACTAATCCTTAATGAAAATTTATGTTCATATAGCAAGTTTGTTAAATTCACAACTAAATCAATTTCAGTATTCAATTTTACCAAACTCCACTTATATTTAACGCCACTGTCATGAGTGCTTCATCTTGGATGTTGATGTGCTTTCCGGTCCTTTCTTATTTTCAATCCAAGATGCTTATGTGTTTTGCTCTTGTACTTCAGGGGAGGTTATTTACTGGAGCTGCAATTGGTCTAGTTATAGGTGGAGGTGCGTATGCAAGTACGGTGGATGAAGCAACCTTCTGGTATTTGGATGGATCTTTGTTACAAATGCTTTTACCATGTATTGCACATAATATTTACGTAGGAGTGATGTTTCTTTCTGCCCTGAAACATGTTCTTTTATTTATTGTTTTTGCAAGAAGCTTGACTAGCACTCTTATGTCACTTTTTCTGTACAAGAGATCATTGTTATAAGGTTCTTCCAGCATTGATTTGATGAAGAAATAACGTCTGGTATAAATTATGTGTGTAAGCATCCTTGTAGCAGGGCATTCGTCTTTACTTGATAGGAAAATTATTATCTTTCAAGACAAGCCAGGAAGCACTTAAAGTAATTTTGTTTCAAAACACGTTATAATATCAAGCTATGATCAACCTATGTCAAGAATAATTAACACATGCATCTTGAATCATGCAGTGGCTGGCTATTTTCGGCAACAAAATTAGTCAACCCATTTTTTGCCCTGCTGGATCCAGAGTTTGCTCATCGGATGGGAGTCACTGCTGCTTCTCGTGGATGGGTTCCAATAGAGAAGAGGCCTGATCCACCAATATTAGAACTCGAAGTTTGGGGGAGAAGGTTCTCCAATCCAATTGGTCTTGCTGCTGGTTTTGATAAAAATGCTGAGGCCATTGAAGGTCTACTTGGTCTAGGTTTTGGCTTTGTTGAGGTTGGATCAGTCACTCCAGTTCCACAGGAGGGTAATCCGAAACCTCGTATATTCAGACTGCGAAATGAAGGGTGAGATTATATGTTTTTAACTGATTTTCTTCTTTTACCAAAATAATAATAATAAATGCTCTGCCATAGCATTGTGTGTATAGAGATTTTATCACTTAATCATTGTCCTCTCAAATTGAGACTCAAAAGGTTTGTATGAATTTGTGGCAGTGCAATAATCAATAGGTGTGGATTCAATAGTGAAGGAATTGTTGTTGTTGCTAAGCGGTTAGGTGCACAACATGGTAAAAGGAAATTGGAAACATCAAGCACCTCTTCGCCTGTTGGAGATGAGATTGTACAAGGAGGTAAAGCTGGCCCTGGAATTCTTGGGGTTAACCTTGGAAAGAATAAGACAAGTGAAGATGCTGCAGCAGATTATGTACAAGGAGTCCATACCTTATCGCAATATGCTGATTACTTGGTTCGTGATCTATATGTTTCCTCTCTATAAATACATATTCTTGCAAAACACTGTCACACTTACAAGCATGTAAGTCGGCTTATAATATTGTGCCGTTTGAACTAAAATAGGTGAACATATACGAATAAAGTTGTAGTTTCTTAGAAACTATGGTGATTGAACTTTCATTTGAATGGCTAGTGGGATCTTAGTTTTCAGTTGTACCTTACTGAATGCAGTAGGCTTATAATTGATGGCTGACTTGTATATCTTCTTAAAAACTTGTGTACTGCTTTAATGCCTGTTATTTTATATATCCCTTGTGATTTTTTTTAGTCCTCATGTATCCGATCTATAGGCAGATCATATAATGCTCAAGAATCATCTTGTAGGTTATCAATATCTCATCCCCAAACACTCCTGGCCTGCGACAACTTCAGGGAAGGAAACAGTTGAAAGATCTCGTCAAGAAGGTATGGATCTTAATGTCATCATTTGAATTTCTTCAATATAATTATCACATTGGTTAAGAAAATATTCGTCTTATGGACTCACTTTATTCAGGTTCAAGCTGCCCGCGATGAAATGCAATGGGGTGAGGAAGGACCCCCACCTTTGCTCGTGAAGATTGCTCCAGACTTGTCCAAACAGGATCTTGAAGATATTGCAGCTGTATGAACATAATTATGCACCTAATGTGATTTTTCTATGCAACCGACATTTAAATTTTGCTCTTTGCACTGTAGGTTGCTCTTGCTCTTCGGGTAGATGGATTGGTATGTTTATCTGCACCCCCTGTAGCATCTCCATTGTTTGATAATTTTGATACATATTCATGATGCCTTGAGTTTCATAAGGAGCCTTAGGCCTATTCTCATATTTCCAAACAAGATATATTGTTAATTTACATTTCTATATTTCTGTTTAAAATAATGTCAATTATCTTCACCCTGTGATGCATTATGAAATATGCTTTATAACTTGCAGTAATCAACCTTTTACATGCCAAGTAGTTTTCTTAAATAATGTCTTAAATATGGCTATGTATAGCATTTATTTATTTTTTTGTTTTTTTGTGAATTCACTTCAATTTATGATTTATTTGGCACCAGTTGCTTCTTGAAACACATGCATCTCATTTTGAAAGTCCCTTCGTTCACACAATTTGATTTTTGTTTGCCCTGTGTATTCTCTTGTAGATCATATCAAACACTACAATTCAAAGACCGGATGCCGTGAAAAACAATCCAGTTTCTGAAGAAAGCGGTGGCTTAAGTGGCAAACCACTCTTTGATTTATCCACAGACATACTCAAGGACATGTATATTCTTACAAAGGTAATCAAGTCTCAAAATGTTTCTTAAGTACATCATTGTACCTTCATTACACCAGCTTTAAGATTTCATGATCAGGTGAATACAGCTTATTAACTAGACACAATTAATCTTGTTTTCCTTGCGACAGGGAAAGATTCCGTTGATAGGTTGTGGAGGAGTCAGCAGGTAACACATCCTTTCTCAAATTGTCCATTGCAAGTTCTGTTACACTTAGAGAAGCTGCCGTGAAAATTGTTTCATTGTTTCAGTGGTGAAGACGCATACAATAAAATACGAGCAGGAGCAACCCTTGTTCAGCTGTATACTGCATTTGCATACGGAGGACCTGCACTTATTCCCTGCATCAAGGTTCTAGCTGCTGCTCTTTTCAAGAGAAAAAAAATGCACCGATTAGATTCCTTGCTTTTATATTGTTTTCAGCCTCTTTTGAGATTGAAAAAGAATCAACAGGAACTTGATGATACCACATACTAACCTGGTGTCATTTCTGTTTCTTTTATAGGCCGAGCTTGCAGCGTGTTTACATCGGGATGGTTTCAAGTCTGTCAATGAAGCAGTTGGTGCAGATTGCAGATAGCCTTCCTAAAAGCTTGAATCCAATTTTCAAATGATTTTTTCTTTCCTTTTTTTTTGGCTTTTTGTTTTCTCTACATGCTCTGTTGCCAATTGATTACCACTTTGTACACAAGCCCTTGTGAGAGCTTTTCCTTCTGTTACAAATATCTTGTTTAATTTTGTAATAATCTGTTGGTCGAAACAATAAGCAAAATTTTGTACCAATACCTGATCAATTCTCCATAAGTTTTATTAGATATTGGATGTATTCACTAATTCTGTATTGTTTTATTCTCATTATCTAATATGTTCTCTACCATTTTAACAACAAATGTAAAAACTTAACAAAGCAGATCATAAATAAGAAGAGCCTCAACATTAATGGCATGTCTTTCCTGTGTACAGAGTTTGCTAAATCCCACAATAACATCAGAAAAAGAAACATAGGTCCAATTTTTGCACACAGGCACCTGATAATTTGTATATCTCTTGCTTCAGTTTGGTCGAAGCAGCAATCATCTCATGAGTAGCATCAAGAGCTCGGGTTTTTCAATGAACCTCTTCCACTCATTGCAAAACTTCGCTACAATTGCCCCATCTAAAACTCTATGATCTGCGCCTATATTTACCTGACAAAGACATACAATGTTAACCGAGTTCTTAAGTATAGAACATGACTTGTTAAGCATGGTGTTCCACATTAATTAATACAAGGGGCTGAAGGATTTCTTACTGTCATAATTGATGCAGGACAGACATTTCCATCTTCATCGAATACAGGAGTTGTCTGAATCCGTCCCATTGCAATAATGACAACTTCAGGCACATTGATAAGGGGAGAACCAAACTTCCCACCAATCGCGCCAATATTGCTTAAAGTGATAGTTCCACCAGATACATCACTAGAGCTAAGCTTGTTAGCGAGGGCTAACTGTTGCAATCGAGCCAGCTCTTTTGTTATCTGGTAAGAGAAAAAGAAAACATCAGGAGCAAAACAGTTTGGCAATGGAGACCACCATGGAGGTTCTTATCTCCTTAAATGCAATATTAACTACCAAACTGACCTCCATTATGGAAAGATGCTGAACATTCTTTATGTTTGGCACTACCAAACCATGTGGAGTCGCCATTGCAATACCAATATTGTGCGATCCTTTTGACATTCATTATAAAAATTAAATAAAATTTAAAAAAAATAAATCAATGTAATAATAATTCAGTTGTGTATGGTGTATTGTATTAAATACAGCATGATACTCTACCCCTAAGCTACTGAACTTGTGCAATGTCAATAACAGTCAGCATATTAAACTATAAATGATATTAAACCATCAAATTAGAAGAAATAGATTTTTTAAGTTCTCAATTCACATAATTCAATAAGCAGCTTAAATTTCAATCAGCACACAGTGAAATCCTTCTACATCTTTGAGAGGGACTACATATTGAGTAGAGAAAAAGGAGTTTGCTGTCCTATAACTTACTTTCTTCAATAGCATATTATACCATATTTAAACATTATGAAGAATCTGCTGAAAAACAAGATCTATTGCAGTTTGCACACGTACCTTTGAGTATCACCTCTTGTATTTCCTCATTGAAGCAACTATTAAGAAATGGATATTTGCTTAGTGCCATTGAGAGAGACTTTATCAACACAGGAAGGAAAGTATATTTGATGCCTGGTTCAGAATTCTCTTTTTGGAAGGACGCTTTAAGCTCAATAAGGGCATTGCAATTTATCTCATCAACATAATGAAAATGTGGGATTTTTGCAGCCAATGTCATATACTTGACCATAGCCCGTTGGTAACCCCTGAAAATGTCAAGCAGTGGAGAATTTCTTAGCAGCCGAAGCAAAGAGTTCAGATGGTCAATTATAGTTAGCTTCATCACATCAATCCTCAAATTTTTGTTTTCCATACCTACTGAACTTGTCACCTCATCCATTTCTCTATTTACATAACAAAATTGATCAAACTCTATGAAGTGTAACTATGCCTTGAGATATCTACATCCACAGCTGATTTAATAATGTTCGACATGTAGACATGTGGATAATCTGTAAAGGGCTCTGCTATCTAAATCATATAAAATATACCTGAGAGGAATTGTCTTGTCCTCATATTCCCGATGATATGTTGATGAAACCGAGTATATCTGGTCTGCTTTAGGATACTTTTCAGGAGAAGCATCAGCTAATGTTGCTGGGTTTTCCGCCAGAATTCCTGCACGTGCAGCATAATTAAGGACATCTTCTTTCATCACTCTTCCCCCAATTCCAGTTCCCTGCACATCTTCAATATTAACACCCATCTGCTTTGCCAAACCACGAACTGCAGGCGTGGATAATATTCCTCTCATATTTGCTTGTTTGAGACATGAATCAACAACTTCTAAATCACTTTTACTTAAATCTGGTGTCTTAGTAATCTGTGAAGCCTCAAAAACTTCATTGGAGGAAGCATCTTCAACCGCCAACTTCAAAAGTGTTTCACCAACCTAAAAGATAACAATAAGATTCTGAGTAGATCACCAGGTTTTCTCCAAGTGGCTTACAAAACAATCAAACGTAAGGCATAGAAGTCCTGCCCCGGACTATCAATATAATAGACACAGTTTAAGAACAAAAAGCTATCCCTCAACGACATCTAAATACAGAGTTTATAATATAACCCAAAATGAACTAAACTTTCCGAGTTTTAGTTGTGTTCTGCAGGCACTCACTTACTCACTCAATTGCAACACTTATTTCAACAAGTCAACAACCTTATCTATCACTGAAAATAGCAGAAAAGGAAGGCACTATTGACTGATTCACCATGGTATTTTTTTCAGTTTGCTAAGTTAAACAATTTTACCTTTACAATGTCCCCAGGAACATGAAGGGTTTTAGAAACTTTCCCTCGGTAGCGACTAGTGATCTCTATAGTTGCCTTGTCGCTTTGAACCTCACACAAAGGTTGAAATTCCTCAACTTGATCCCCCTGACAGAAGACTCACAAAGACAAATCTTTCCATGAGAGGCCATAACTTGAACAAATATGTAGTTCCATGTTTATATATAGGTTGTGCAAACACGATAAAAATTTAGATCGTAAGCCCTGAAACCAAGGTAGGAAAGTGTCTCCCAGACACTATGGAAAGAAATTTATTGGACAGAACATAGTAATGCATCACTGATGAGTCTACGTTTGAGTTTCTTTTCTTGATGAACTATGATGCTAAACTTAATCCGACGACACAAACCTCAATAATCTTGAATGATAAACCTGAAGAAAGAATAAGAAAAGTGCATTTACTAACCTCCTCTACAAACCATTTAAGAAGCTCACACTCAGCAATGCCTTCTCCTGTTTGCGCCAAGGGCACATCGATATCCCCACTAATTGGAAGATCAGCAGCGCTTTGTGTAGCAAAGAAGCACCCTTTAATCCCAAATGAACTGCTCAACTGGAAACACATGAGCAATAACATTCAACTACCACAATTTCGACAGCGCAGCATCAAAACTTAATAAAATTCACATCTCCCAGCTTCACTAAAACGTGGAGAACATTGTAGTATAATTTTGGTGAATTAGATCATCTTTTAGCACAAAGAAAGGTGCTTTTAAAGGAATAACATTTACCCCAAATTTCCATCGACTAATACAACAAATAAAGCATAAATAATAACTCCAGAAAGCAATCAGTGTGATCAATCGTTCATCGGAAGTCTGATGGCTACCTCAAATACACGAAAGACTACACAAACCCAAATTAACATCACACGAAGGATAAGATTCTAGAATCTAAAAAAGAGAAAGCTTTTTTAAACGACACGGCTTACATAATTCAGGCCATGGCGACTCTCAGAAAAGTACAATGTTCTACGGTCAGAAATGATGTTGTGCGGATTTCGAGATAGAAAACCCGTTCGAGTGCAGGCTCTTTGTGCTGTAGCTCCGGCAGCAATCGACGGCGGATTGGAGGCGGAGCACGCACACCGCCACCATTGGGTGAAGCTCAATGATTTCCGCCGACAAATTTTCCCGCAAATCATCGGTTACGAAGATGTTATGCTATGGGAAATCTGCCCGCCTTCTTTTATACAATCAGCAGCTTCAAATTTGCACGGAACTTGCAGATGATTATCGTCTATCGATAGAGTTTAACAGCAAGGACTGACATGGTTTGTTTGGTATTCTTTTATATCTTTCTTATGCTACTACTATTATATATCTACTTAATAATTCGTATCCTTCCTCACAGATATAAATATTTTTATTTTGGGTGTTAAATTAAAAATTAATTATATTAAAAGTATTTTACTTCCATATGTCATATTACAATTTTTTATTTTTTTTTAATTTGGATTATAAATATATGATTTTTATTAAATACCTATTTCTCAGATATTTTTATTAAATAATTGGTATTATATTGATTTCTCCAAATTATCATATGTAAAAAAAACAAAACTTATGTGATTTTTGCTTATAGTTGTAAGTATTCTGTACATGAGTATAATACGTGCAAAAATAAATTATAGTATAAATTATGTGATACTATATTGTTGTAACATATTTATAATATATTATATTAATATAAATAATGAATTTTATATAGTAATATAATGTAATATCTATTAATACATAATATATTATTAGTATTGTGTTGAATATTATTAACCTTCAATTAATTAGTCTAATACAATACTAACAACACATAAAATACAAATAAGTAACATAGCACTATGACTATAAACAAACAACATAATTGTAATACTAATAATACTTATCAATCCACAGCACATAACACATTACAATAGTATAAACAACTTATATTATACTACTTGTCTTTGGAAATATAATCATATACTTTAATCGCATTTTAAATTTTAAATTTTCTTAATTTTAATTAAATTATTTACTTATTTTAATCTTAATTTATAATTATTTTTACTAAATAATAATTATTTTTATTAATACACTTCTTAATTACTTACTAATTATATCTTACCTAAATTTTTATGTCTACGGTAATAAACCCATAGGGAGTAATTCATTTCAGCATATAATATTTAAAATCACCCTAACCCAACTTGCTAAGCAGCCACCCTAAACCCATTAATAATCTTAAGGTGTTTGGATTTGGATTAGGATTAATACCGTAGGGCTGACCCTACCCTACCCTACCCTATCAGCTGCTCCCAACTCCTAACTGAATTTAAATGCATATAATTTATAGCTTATTGGGCCTAATTAAATAGGCTCAGGCCCAATAATGTATGGCCCATAAAACTAGATTAGCTTGAAGTTGGTCTTGTCCCAAAAATCCATATGTAAGAATAAAATCTAGGTAAACTTGATATGATTCTCTTGCAATTTTCCTTTTACTTTTTTTTTTACGATTCTTCAACTATTTGGTGATATATATATATATATAGATATTATTTCATTTGTATTTAAATTGTTTATTTTAAATATTAGAATAGAAAAAATAAAAAAAAATGTAGTTTGATTGAAATGAATTTGAATTAGTTTGGGAATATTTTAATTTACTGAGGGCATTAATTGTGAATCCTGCCCCGCGCCGGCTATGGCTTTGTACGGAATGGGATTGCACTGCAATTAATACACCTCAATCAATTTATTAATCAATTAATTAATAGCCCTACCCTACCCTACCCTACCCTAATATGCCCTTAACATAACATGCTTTATTTGGCATTTTATTTATAACACAGCAGCAACTCAGTTTGTTTAAAAGGGTTTTGATATTTTAAATTATTTAAAGAATATTTAGGATTCGATAAAAAACTACACATATATATATATATATGAATTGCATTCTTGATTTTTCGACTTTGTACATTACTAAGAGCTGAGGTGAGATCAGATCTGCCGGTCAAGATCGGACGGCCCAGATCGCCACCCCGTCTTTGTCTGTCTCAATCCCACCGTCCATTTTTTTAACCACTGTCAAAAGTAAAAGTGTGCATACATAGATGGATAGATAGATCCACCTCTATTTAGCAAAACCCAGTTGTGGGTTGTTTACCGTAACCACCACAAAACGACAAAATTGCAAATTCTTGAATTTATTACACTATGTCAGCAAAATCGATTGCAAAACTGGAAGGCTACGTGGCAGTTAGCAAAGCACTACCAGTTCACCGATTGATTCTTGCCGACTCCATGGACCTCAACTCCAGATTGTATCCGTATAAAACCAACGGTACAGATTCACCCAGGAATCAAACTCCCGGGCGCTCCCAAGAATCACGCCCTACTTCAAGCCCTCTATTAATTTCACGCCATGGTTTCATCAACCAAAAGTTTCCCCACCGTCTCCTCCTCCACCTCCGCCGCCGGCGCCGCCGTAAGAAAGGAACATGAGATGGTGGGCCTAAGCGTAATCCTAGAAACCTGCAATGATCAGACAGACAAGAGAAGCCCACAAATTATCAGAAAGGGTTCAATGATAAAACCACCCTCCCCGATCCCCCCATCGTCCATTTTCAGTGGCTTTTCGAGGTCAAGAACTCCGTTGAATCTCTCCACTTGTTTCCTCTGTAAGCAAAAACTCTTGCCCGAAAAAGACATCTACATGTACAAGTAAGCACATTCGATAGCTTCAACAAATATGTATATATATATAATGTTTGTGTATGTATCGGTGGTGTTTTGTGCAGAGGGGATAAGGCATTCTGCAGTGAAGACTGCAGGTGCAGACAGATTTTCATGGATGAAGAAGAAGCCACCTCTTCCACGAGCGGTTGTACCCTAGAGTACAACTGCTCCATTGCTTCTGCAAATGCTTCTCCTCCACCTTCAACTTCTAGGGCTTGTAAAGGGTCAAGAAATCGACGTAATGCCTTCGTTTTCTGATCTTTGTTTGGAGAAAAATAGGAGTTTTGCGATTTCCATGTTGGTTGGGAAATGGAGCCGTACAATTCTTGGAAGAATAAGAGGTTGTCTTAGCCACGTTGGCAGACACTCATATATTTCATATTTAGACCATCTGTAGTTACTTTTTATTGTCGATCTTGCAACTTGGGTATCATCGAATACATACAGTTTTGACATTCCCAGAATGTCTGTCCCTATTAGTATTTTCTTGTTCTTTTGCATTTCTTTAACATGACCAGAAACAACCACCAAACAATCTCTCAAACAAGCAATACATAAATCCAGAGGTGTGTATACAAGTGATACGAAAGCTAAAAACCCAAATTCCAACATCAAATTTTGTTTTGTTTTGCTTTAAAGATTCTCATTAGAGAGCATAATTGGATACATACATAGAGCGCAAGTAAATTATGGCTGTCTTTCGTCGGAATTCTTTTCATCGCGCCGCAAACTCATCCGGATTTGAACAGAAGCACAGCCTTCGAATCCAAATAGAAGTAGACAAAGTGGTTCGTCTCATGTGTCACGTAGGAACCTAAACCCAATCAAACAAGACAGCAACAAATCAATTCCATCGGTTCTATAGAAACCGAGAAAAAAAAAAAAAAAAGCTCACGATTAGCTTAAATGGCGTCGCAATAAAGAGCACATTTATACTAATAACAGTTGCTAGGAAGGAGGACTTGATTACCAATTGCATACATGTGATCTATCGAATGCTTCGACAGAAACTACAGAAAAGTGTAGTGGAATCTGTTGTTCAAAGAATCAAATGCCAAACAATCTTTCGAATTAGAACTGTGGAAATATGTAACTCAAGGAAATAATTGTAAATAGTACTCCCACTGTCATACAAATACGCTTTAAATTTTGGTCCGTCATTAAATAATGTTCTCTTTCTCTTTTTGGTAAAGAACCATGCTCCCTCCGTCGCAATACAATAGTCTTTGTTTATTATTTCTGTCATTTTTGTCGGTCCCAAAATAATAGTTTCATTTCTATAAATACTTATATCACCATATAATTACATATATTTTCATTAGTATTATACAAATGTCAATACTTTTTATATTTCTTAAATCTCGTATCCAATATAAATAGTACTATAGTTCTGGGACAGAAGGAGTGGTATTTTTTATATTTTTCTACAGTAAAAAAGTAGTAACAAAATGTACACATTAAAACGTGTCCAGAAGTTTGAGCACAAATTTAAATGACGGAAAAAACTATGCGCTAAGCAATCTAGAAGTAAAATTCAAAAAAAAGAAAAAGCTAGATTTAGGGAAGAGGATCTCAACCATTTTATTGTCTCAATAAACAAAATCTTTATAAAACCTCTAGTTATTTCCATAGGCATCAAGAGATTGGAAATTAGAAGTACATGGTTTTTTTCATCAGTAGTAGTGATCATTAAAATAGTTTCATACATTACTTCTTGTTTACGGTGATCAAAACTGCAGTATAATTAAATTACAGTTCTTTGCTAAGATTGTCCATAATTTCTTTTTATACTTCAACACCAACTTCCTGAGGCATTTAACTCTGCCTTAAAGAACGTGAGTTTCGCATAAAGGAATTTCAATCACTGCCTGCTCGAATAAAACAGCCGACACTAACTACTTATTGCTGACCACTAGACAGTTCGATGTGAATCAACAAACACGTGCGTGTTATCCTTAACCAAAGACAGGGCATAAGACAAGCTAAAGAAGTTAATTTGAAGTGCTTACGCAACGGGAAAGAAAACAAAATAACGTAATCACTGAAGCATATGCTAGAGACTTTCGGCAGTCAGACGACAAAAGGACAGGTAAGGATAGCATTAACATGGCAAGCCAAGTTGCCAAATATGAATGAATGTTTCTTTCTAACATTCGGCTATTGTAATCGCTTAACGACAAAAAAACCAATGTAATCCAAACGGGAACAAATTTCAATTTTATCTTTATTTCCTCGACAAAGACTAAAATCAAAATCCCAAATCAATGCACTACACATGTCGAGTCCACGAAAATGTACACAAATCATCCTCAACAATCACTTGACGACAAAAAAACCAATGTAATCCAAATGGCAACAAATTTCAATTTTATCTTTATTTCCTCGACAAAGACTTAAATCGAAATCCCAAATCAATGCACTACACATGCAGAGTCCACCAAAATGTACACAAATCATCCTCAACAATCATACACTTCTACACAAACACCCATCTCCAGTCATCTTATTTTATTACTTCATATTTCCTAAATGGAAAGCATACATTTCAACAGATTCGAACATTGGAAAATTTGATAGCAAATCAACAGATATAAACATATGCATTCTATATTCACACCCCACTACAAGTAACAAGATCATAGAAGCACAAATCCAAACTTAGCAAAATAACAAATGCAACAAAAGAATTTTTTACAAATATAATTAAACATCATTTATTTTCCCAAAGAAACAACTAATAATTGCCAAATCCATAAGAATTTCAGAAACTAAGCCAGTGAATAACCTCTGAACTTAGGGTTCATAAGAACAAGAACAGTTTAAGCCCAGATCCATTATTACACCGTAAAGAAGGGCAACTAAAAGCAAAGAATCACAACAAATGCAAATCAAAGGAGACTTTCGAAATTATCTACTCAAGAATAGAGAAATCGAAGAAACAAGTGATGGATTACCAAAATTCTTGCCCACAATGCAATGCCAAGTGGGTCCGTACTTCTTGTCGAACATCTTTTTAATGTTCTCCGCTACATCCTTCTCCACGCTATGGTTCTCAAAGGCCTACGAAATCACAAAAAGCTACATGTATGCATATGAAAAAAACGAAGTACTAATCAAAGGGTTCTCGTTATTTTACGAAAATGCTTTATCGTTTCACAGTTTTTGAGCAGAAGGGTGTAAAGAAATTACATCAATGGCAATGTCGACCGCCTCTTTTTGCATATCCTCCTTCATATCTGCGCTCTTTATAACAACTTTCTTGCCGGAATTCGATCCGGTTGAGGTTGATTTCCGATCATCGTACAACGTCAGTGCTCCACCGCTGCCCCTTTTTGATTCATCGTACGACGGCAGCGCTCCCCCACTGCTCCTTTTCGAGTCTTCACTCATTTTCTTGTGGGAATTTTTGTCGCCCCTTTTTCTTCGAGCAAGCGATAAAAATTCGTCAAAAAAAAAAATCTTTAGAGAGGAGAAGATGTGGTGAGTGTGAGATTTATAAAGCCCGATTCCTCAAATGGCTGACCGCTGACAGGGGGGTTGGGGTTTAAAAAAGAAACTTTTTTTTTTTATTTTTCGTTTTTTGATTTACCCAAAGTAAAGTGAAATGGACAGGAGATTTTTCTTGATTTTCACCCTCCATAGAAATCTTTAAACATTTTATTCGACTCCTTGCTGACCTTTGTCGTCTGATAAGACAGTCAAAACAATGTTTCTATGACTTGAAGGTTTTATCATTAGTTTGATTCTTGGCATAATTTCTCATTTTATGTTATTTTTTTTAAAAAAAAAAAAAAAACACACACACACTGACACACACTTACAATTTCTGCTTGCTAGAATAAGTGAAATGAATAATACGTGCAAATAAAGTTAAATATACTTAGCTCGTAAGGGATAGAATGAGATCTTGGTCCATTGATTGGGTAAGGTTTACCAGTAAAGAATGATATGACAATATAAGCTGAATTTGTGATAGGAAGATCATTTTATTCTGATGTCTATAATTTTTTGATATAAAATATAAAGATCGAATTAAAAATCGTAAATTGGAAGAAAAATTAATTACAATACTCTTTAAAATTTCAATTTTATCTACGCTTAACCACAAATTTTTTTTGAATTATTATCCTATTATGATAACTATAAAATTGATTGGAAAGGACTTTCTACTTATGTTGGTCTTACGAGTCCAACCCAACTCCATGCAGTCAATCAGTGACCGAGCCGAGCCACACATGAGCTCGGGGTCCAAGTCGTTGTGTATATTATTTTTTATGACGTTCGTCAATATAATAATTCAAAGCAGGATACAAACACAGTTTGATGAAACCGCAATACATAATACATGCAATCCAAAAGAACAACAAACCATACAAATTAAGAAAAAACCTTACAGAAGATAAATTATCATGTCCTAGTGAACAGTTTTCACTTATTTCATAGATAGATTGATTGATTGATTAATTCATAGTCATGCTTATATGCACTACATTTCTGCATGCAGTTACTTCACATTGGCATTGAACTGAAAATCAGAGGCGCCAATGTTGAAAATTTTCAGTAGTCCAGAGAAAGTGCTTCCAACAAACTGCAGGTTCGACACCAGCTCTCCGACCGACGGCAGGCTGGCGTTGCAAGAGGCCAGCGGCGTGTTCACAACAGCGGTGCATTTATTCGTGAGCGTGTTGAGGGCCATGTTCAACGGATCTAGAAGGAACGAGAACACTCCTGCGCCGTTCGTCGTAGTAGTCGACACCACATTGCCCCCACACTGCAGCTGCACCCCGGCATCTGCACAAAGATCGGATGATTTTTAAAGTGCTGATTGAGACAAATCAACAGAGCGTGTACTATGTTCATATTTATATGATTGTGTTGTATGGATATATCTCATTTGCAGTGATCAATTATAGTATGTGTTGTGTAGACTATAGTGGTGAATTGTTAGTTTATTTGAATATTTGTATTATATGAATATAAAGGGTAAATGGATATATGAATCTGTTGCAAACTAGTTTCGTAATTAAAAAAATGTTCGCAATTTTAGTTTTTCGGTGTCGGAGATGCTTACTTGGCACCCATGTAGTTCACCGGAGGACACGTGTCCCCCAGGTCAGTGACACTTGACAGACACGTGAATATATATATTTTTAATATTCTTTTGAAATTTTTTTATTTTTACGAAAAGATAATAAATAAATTAAATTCTTTTAAAAAAAAATTAAAAATCCAGGTGTCCACCACGTCAGTGACACCTGGCGGACATGTGTCCTCCAACGAGTTACATGGATAGGCATCTTTAGCGCCAGAAAACTAAAATTGCAAAAAAAAATCACTTAGATAAACTTGAATTACTGAACTAAAACAATAAAGGTCCAAACAGGATTTAAAAATTTTCAGTACTATAACAACATCCTCATTTGAACCTAAAACTTTGAAGTTTCATTTAAAAACACTTAATAAAAGCTCTTAACACTATTCGATTTCACTTACTCGCAAAAACTGGCGTGGATGTTCCATTGATACCGATGTTCCCATTAGGCGTGCAGTACACGATACCTTGAATACGAAGTAGGCCCAAAAGATTACCAAGAAGTCCCCCGAGCGGCTGCGCTTGAGCTACAGGGACAGCGATCAATACACACAACAAAAGGATCAATTTGAAGGCCATATTGTATATTGACGCCGATACAATTTTACATAGCATAATGTGCTAACTCCGTCTATTTATAGGGAAATTTTTTGGAAGGTCTATTCATACGCGTGCTCGGCTATCCTGTTTGATCAGTAATCTGATGTCGATGCATCCAAGTTGTAACTTCAATATGTCTTGTGTTTTTATCCGGGGGAACGCATCGCGATTTTCTACGTAAATCAGCATGCAATGCAATGCAAATAATCAACTTTAATTTGTGGACTTTACCCTATAGCCTAACTCTACAAAACAGGTCCATCCTCTGAGTGAAGCCTTTTTGAAAATTTAGCTTCATTTGAGAGCTCCCTTCTTGTATTTATCTTAGTGAATTAGCTGGAAATTTGTTACAACTTGATTCAACTCACCATAACCACAATTTGAGTTTTTGACACATTATTGAATTCCCATTTCAGTTTATTCTAAAATCTGGGAGCACAAAAAAAAATAAAATAAAATAAAAAAGCCTGGTTTAAAGAATACTGCTTTAGTAGCAAGTAACAAACTCAATGATCCATAAGCGCAGAGAAGCCATTTGAAACAAAAATATGAATAACTCCGAGAGGGTATAAGAAACAAAATCATCACAAACAATATGTCAAATATGAAAAACTTTAAATAATATTTTCTCCGCCATCGAACGAAAATTGTCCCCAGCAGTTGTCTGCCTTCCCACATTTTAAGTGTCCCTGGTTATACGGTTCGAGATTTCTTTTTTTCTCCGGGTGGTTACGGTGTAGATGCAGTAATCTGATTTAAATCGGGCAGGGCGGAACCTCGAGAGTGATGCCAGCTTGGATCTGACCCCAGCCAATCAGACGCCAGTGCCTGTCGATTCTGCGGCTGAGCGCAATTTTTTCGCCTTTACTGGTGCACACAGGGGAAGTCAACTGCAGCTTCGCAAATACGTTCTTCACAGCAAGAACACGAGCTCCGGTGGACATTGATCCAATGTTCAACATTAGAATCTCTCCCTTGGCCAGCTTTGATACTTTTCCTTGCCTTTCTGTGTCTTTTGTCCTCACACCCAGCAATCGACGCAACAAAAAGAAATTAACCTGCATTCAAGGCAAGGTACAACAATGAAAACAGAGTTTCATAGGGAATGAATTCGCTGAACTGGACATTTCGATGACTAAACTTTTATTTTTTATAAGAAAACTACTAGATCTTGTTGGAGGCAATTCAAAACTATATTACGAAACTTAATGAGTTGGAAAATGCTATGAAGGGACCCTTACCTCTAGTTCAACATACACTTCTGGGAGCGAACCAACCTCTCCAAGAACCTGGCCCACCAGCCTATCAGCACGGGTAAGTGTGGGGTCCATTGTAGTTCCAACACCAATGAGACCCCCAGGAACAGCAAATTGTAATTCATTCTGCTCGGCATACAGCGAAATTATTCTTGAGTATATGGGGGTGCATTTGATGTTGTCCTTCTCATCCTTCACTACTATACCGGGACGAACCTCAATGTACTGATTTACCTTCAGAACACCCTGCAGGAACAATTCTCAAATCATTTGTATTGCTACAAATAACCAATTGAACTTCAAGTGGCTATTATATGAAAAGGATTTGTTTGAGAAACCAAAAATGAAATGTAATCATAACTCTGCTGAGCAAGACCAGGATATGCATTTTAAATAGACGTCCAAGCTATGATATAGATATAGATATATATAATGAGCAAAATGGAAATAGGCTTTTCTACTCAAATACGGAGGCTGAAAAGATTGCTTTGCAATAGTACTGAATAGACATATAAACAGAATAACAGAAGTAATAAGCTGAAAAGATTGCTTTGTTTAGGTAATAAGCAAAACAAAACCTACTTTGAGAATACTTCCACCAGCAACACCACCTTTGATTTCATCAACTTCAGAGCCAGGCTTATTCACATCAAAAGATCTGATTACAATCATATTTGGGGGTGAAATGAAGTTCCTCTCTGGTATAGGTATTTTCTTCACAATATATTCACATACAACATCAACATTGTACTTCAACTGTGCAGAAATTGGCACTACTGGTGCACCATCTGCAACAGTTCCCTGTAGAAACAATTTAGAAAAAGATGTTACATACATATAAAATATATGTTACATATAAAAATGGGAAAAATCTGTATTTCTGTATTGCATCATATGCTTTGATTTACCTGAATAAATTTCTGAATGGCTTCATGCTGGTTGATTGCTACATTTTCCGGGACAAGATCAACTTTATTCTGAAGAATGATAATGTGTTGTAGTCGCATAATTTCAACAGCAGCTAAATGTTCAGATGTTTGTGGTTGTGGACAACTCTCATTGGCAGCAATAAGAAGCAAGGCTCCATCCATAATAGCAGCCCCATTAAGCATAGTAGCCATGAGAATATCATGACCCTGTAGAAAAGGACAATCCCAGGGAACATTAAGTCGTGAATATGAACATGGTTTAGCAACCAGACTAATGAAGGCATTGACCCACACTAGGAAGCAACATTGTTTAGGGACAGACAGAACTCAGGATAAAATTCTTTTCAGTAATTGTGAACAATTAAATACAAATGTAAATGGTAAAAAATACCAATCAGAAGCCTTACAGGGCAATCAACAAAAGACACGTGCCTAAGCAATTTCATCCTACTGTTCTCAAATCCAGGAACATCACACATTGGACTATCTTCTTTTCCACTTCCATAAGCCCTGAAAAGATAAGCACATTCAGTGAGTATCAGGAAAGAAAAACACAAATCCACATCCTGCATGCCAAATCTTACTTGTAGCACATGGGTCGAGGGCATCGATCATCCTCACACTTGTATATCTTTGCATTGGCATATCCAAGCTTGATGGTAATATTACGTTCCAGCTCATTTTTAAAGCGAACAGTCTGATTTTAGAACAATAACAATCTTAAGAATTTCCAGTACAAAGTCAATCAGGAGGAAATTAATCTTCATAGCTCGATGAAATTACATCACATAGGATCACTCATAAGTACAAACTACAAAGATAAAAGAAAACCACTCATGTGAATTAATCGTCCTTTTCATGGGTCGATCATTGCAGGTTACGTGAGAGGATGGCAAATTACAAAGTTTGCCTTGGTAGGAGATGTATTTCTATTATGTTCCAGATCATTTTTAAAGTGAACAGTCTGATTTAGAACCATAACAATCACAACAATTTCCAGCACTAAGTTAACCCTGAAGAATTTAATCTTCATAACTCAATGAAATTACATCGTATAGGATCATTTATAAGAACAAAGTTCATAGAAAAACCCCTCAAAAGGTGTAGAGGGAAAAAAAAAATAGCATAAAGCTACCAAAAGAAATGGGCAATTTCATAAAGCAAAATTTCACTTTAAAAAAAAAAAAACAAAAAAAAAAAAGAAAGAAAAAAGATGACTCTGGAAATAACTTCTCGGAATCAACTCTAGCATTTAGACAGTTGACAAACACTGCTCGCCGCCAAATATTGTAAGGTAATGATGAAGAAGAGGCCAACTCCTTTTCTAAGCTCAATATCCTCTACGGTTAAATTTATGGAAAATGCATACAATCCACTAAGAAAACCATCAAGAAATTTATTACAACTGAGAAATTATTTACCATGCTCACGTTAAAGATAGGAGGTCAATTATATAATCCCAATTAATAATGAAACATGTTCAATACCTGAACACCAGATATGGCCTTCACAACTGTTGATTTCCCATGAGCCACATGACCAATAGTGCCTGAAGAGACAAATAATTATTTTTTTAAAGACAATATTCGAAGTAAATGATATAGGGGAAACAAAATCACATAGATATACAACACTGAAATTGTCAAAACATTCAAGAACAAGGAGCTACCAATATTTATTGTAGCCTGGCGAGAAATAACCTCAGGTGAGAGTGGATGTAGTGTTGATACATCCAGCTTATTGAGGTCCTGCTCCATCAATCCCTTTCTAGACATTTTTACTGCCGCTGGTATGCCTCTCTCCAACTCAAATTCAAAAATCTAGCTACAACCACATGAAAGATTTGTAATCAACACCGCGAGTAGATTGCACTAAAGAGTAAAAGCAAAATAATCAATGTAGTCTATCCATTCGCCGTTCCATCCATTTTCAAACCCTAAAGGCAAGAATCAAAAGTAGAAATGAACTATTAAACCACCTCATAAGGATCAAATCGTTTCCACCAAACCCTAATCGCCAAATAACATCCCGAAGACCCAGAGGAAGGCTCTAATATTTAAATCAAAAACCGAAAACACGAGACATGCTCAAGAAAAAAGTCTTTGACAAATCAATAATCCATTCAGTATTAAAGGAGCTCACTTTAAGGAGGAAAGGAAAACTCAAAACCCTCACGAAAGCATGAATCTATTCAAAAAGGTAGGAATAATAACAATAAATCGTAAATAAATACTAATCGATACGAATGAGGAACGGGAACGAAGATGGGAACGGGCTCACCTTCGCCTGAGCAGCCGCCGGCGCGCGTCGCAAGAAGTGAGTGGAGAATTGGGGTTTTCCAGCGAATCTAGGGAAAGATATAAATGCTAGCAATAAGCTTATAACATTTCTCATAATGGCCCCTCGGCATATTATTTTATCATTTGGGCCCCAAGAATTTCATTCTTGGGCTTTACATAATATCACTTGGATCCCAAGAACTTCATTCTTTGTCAATCTTTATTATAGTGTAACTTCGTTGAAACTTAATCATTTTTTCTTTTTTTTTTTTTGCTTAATAATTTTTTTTTAAAATAATAAGATAATCAACACAACTCCAACTTATTCAAAAATGTATTTTTTTTTTCTTTTTTGTTAATCTCTCATTTTCTATTTTGCATAAAAATATATTGTATGATTTATTGATAAGATCATGTCAATGTTAGTAAGTTGAATGAGTATCATTTTATATACACTTCATTAGAGATGGACAATATCTAAAATATATAAGTTATTTTATAGTAACAGATAACATATAACAATAGTCTATAGTACATATTACCATCTATCACAATACAAAAAATATATTCATACAGTACATCATAGAGCCATCAATGTCATTGAAATTATGTGATGTTTGTCCAATTTTTATATACTGATTAGAAGTAATCATCGTCATGTCATGTCGTAATTAGCACTTCAACCATGACTCAGCTATCAAAAATTTTCTTTCATTTACTCATGCATTGCATTACTTTGAAGAAAAAGATATTACCTTCATCAAATGTCTCCAAGAAGATAGAATTTAAGGTTGTTCTGATAAAACAATAACATAACTATCTAATGGAACAACTGAAGTTAGGAAGCTAAAGGCTTTGATCTGATCTGCAGGTGTTATTCTGTAGTAATTCGGATGCGGCATTGCTTCTTTTATTACCGCAAGAGCGCGCGATATATATATATATGTGTGTGTGAAAGTATTTGTGTATAGACTCTACTCGATGTCCTTGTCTTCGCCAAAAATTCGCTGTCTGAAGTCGGTGACCATGTTTGGAAGCCCTTCCCTTAAAGACACTTTAGGCTGCCATCCAAGTAGCTGTTTCGCCCTCGAAATGTCCGGTTTCCTCTTGTGAGGATCATCCTCCGTATTCGGCCTGAACTCTATTTTTGCATTTGGATCAATCACATCTTGCACGACCTGCGCGCGATATTTATGACTTATATGTTGTCTTCAAAAGACATAAAAACCTTTGTGGGAACAACTTACCTTTGCAAGTTCTAGCATGGTGAATTCGCCGGGGTTCCCGAGGTTGAAAGGGCCGACGTGGTCGCCTTCCATTAGCCGCATCAGTCCTTCTACCTGTGTTGTAGCAGTAGCAGTAAAAATGTCGGGACTAACTTGTGTTGTCCATTTTCTTACAATGTTGGAAAAAATTCAAATCGGTTACCAAATCAGAAACGTATTGAAAGCTTCTGGTTTGCTTCCCATCGCCATATACGGTCAATGGCTCCTTCCTTAACGCCTGCAATTGTTATTACAACGGTAGGATCAGAGTGCCGATTAAGGTGAATCAAAATCGTGACTAATTGTTAGTTGAAATTATATGCTGACAGTTGTATTTTATAATGTATTGTTGGCACAGTATTGGGGGGCGGGGCGGGCACCTGAGCGACGAAATTGCTGACGACGCGCCCATCATCGATGCACATCCGCGGACCATACGTGTTGAAAATCCGAGCAATCCTCACCTGATCGAGACAATGCCGGAATCATAGTAAGCGCACGAGCTCGGGTAGTGATTCAGACAGGGTAGAGAGTTTCCATACCTCGACGTTGAGCCCTCTGTGGTAATCCATGGACAGCGTCTCGGCTGTTCGCTTCCCCTCGTCATAACAGCTCCGGACACCTGTTCGAAATGGATCGCAATTTAGACAACTCAGTACCTAGTAGCCCTCATTTTTTTCCACTTTCAGACAGGACGGCTCACCTATAGGATTCACATTGCCCCAATAACTTTCGGACTGCGGATGCTGCAAGGGATCGCCGTAGACTTCGCTTGTGCTCGTGATCAAGAACCGCGCCCCGATCCTTTTAGCCAGGCCCAACATGTTCAATGTCCCCATCACATTCGTCTTGTGATTGCCACAACAAATGTAAGTCAAGGAACAGCGGCAGCTGCTGTGCTGGATTTAAAATTTTGCCAAAGAGCAGACCGTGGGTTGTATAGTCATATGCAAATACACAACAGTTGATTTTATTACACACAACACATGTATAATAAGAACAGATGTTGCTTGTATATATTATGGGTGTTGATTTGAATTTTCCAAATCAGCACGTAACCATTCCCTTGATGAACCATCCAAGAACACCGATGAATTCGACATTGACCTAATGAAACAGTGTAAGAACAAGAAAGCGCAAAATCGAAGGATATGATTGTCTTGACGGGGTTGAACTTGTAATGCACGGGAGAAGCCGGGCAAGCAAGATGGTAGATCTGATCAACTTCGAGCAGAATTGGCTCGACAACATCGTGGCGAATGAGCTCAAACCTCGGATTACCCGAATGATGCAGCACGTTCTCTTTTCGACCTGTAAAAAAATTATCGACCACAATTACACTGTCTCCGCGATCTATCAGCCGGTCGACCAAATGGCTGCCGACGAAGCCTGCGCCGCCTGTCACCAGAATCCTCAGCCCCCTGCCTTTCAATCCCAACGGAACCTTTCCACCTGCAATAATCATTCATCATTAAATTCTAACTTTACAACAACAGCATTACCTTAAAACAATCGAACAGAAAACATAGGAGAATTCTCAATCACATGCCTGCACTGAAATGGCCTAATGATCCGTGATCCAACTCATACCCGATGCGATGATGGACCTGATCTGATGCAATGGATTCCTCCTTGTGCGTCGGAATTTGGACAACATTAAAACCGACGCCGGCGATGGTGATTCCGACAAGAAGGCAAACAAATCTCTGCTCTTGAATGATATACTCGAAGGGATACTTCCATGAAAGTCTCTTCTTGTTTTTTTTAAGGTATCCTTTTCTCACCTCGTGGTCAGTCCCCATTAGGGTTGATCTCTTAATTATGAAAATGAATATGATGATATTTTTTACAGAAGAAGAAGAAGGGAGTTCATGGAAAGCAAGAGAATGGAAGAAAATGAATTAAAATTTGGTGAGGTAAATGAATCCTTAGTTTTTGCGAGCGAGTCTTGTCTGAAAAACAGAGAGAAGATGAGATCTGAAAATTCGCGTAACATCGGTATAGGCTGATTTTTCACCTCAAAATTCAGTTTGTTTCGATTCCCAAAATAGCTTAAAAAGTCATAGATATTAATTAGATAACTTCATTCAACTCTTTCTTCTTATGTATGTGATCCAATATGCGTAAGAAGCCCCCGTTGACATGATTGAAAGACCAATCACACTACCCTACCCTACCCTACTTATGGTGGTGTTATTGCAAATCAAGATTGTTATTGCAAATAATCCCTTTACAAAATAAGTACTACCATTTGTTCATACACAAAAGAGTTGACCCATAATAAATAAATGATAATATATGGGGAGAATAACAAAAAGAAGAGACACATTCAGATGTTATGTATAAAAACAACATATATATTCAGATGCACACATTAGCAGTACTATTATTATCATCAAATCATATCTTATCATATCATAAGATGAGATCTTAGTTAGCACCAAATGCTTCCTATTCTATGCATCTTCATAACCAACCACAGGCAGTGGCGGCCACAACAGCGCTACAAAATTTCCCGATCCGGCAGCCAATCAGAAGGCTTCAGTCTCTCAGAGATGAATCACCATCACCGTCCCGGGAAGTCATCCACTTCACAATCTGCTCGTGTATAATGCAACGAAGAAACTCATCATTAATAACAAAGAATTGTAAAAGCTTCATCCATAATCTTCTCCATTTACATAAGCTTTTGGAACTTTTACACTATTTATCCACAGTAATCTTTTCAAAAAATATTACATCAAATACAACTTTCCTTTCGCGAAACATTGCCTCGAATAACCAACCTTTTTTTAGTATTTTCAAAAATCTTCCAAAAGTTCCGCAACTTCTCTAATTATCGAGCCAAAGTCAACATATTGATGTAAGGCGAACCAACACAAACTACTTAAAGGGTAACTGAATGAAGGCAAATAAATTTTCATTCTACAGGAAGAAACTCCACATTAAATAACAAAAAATCACTTCTCCAAAGTAATAGTTGAAAGTAAACTCAATCTCTACTCAACGAGCCAAAGTCAACGTTTAGATGTGAGGCAAGCTACTTAAAAGGTAATCAATGAAGGCAAATAATTTTTTTTCCACGCGAAAAATTAGTTCATTCTACAGGAAACCCCTTTGATCAAGATAGTTACTTAACTAAAGCATCAACCGTTACTTAGAACTTGTACATTAAAGATCACATGATTGGGAATGACAAAACAAACCATATGTAAAAACTATAACACAAAAGACTGAGCTCACTTTCATGCAGCCAGACTTTGAAGCTTGTCGCAATGGGGAGTCGGAAAATGCCTATTCCAATGGCGCCTCTGCATTTCCATGTGGCAATATCGCCCGAGCATATGCTTGTAATCCTTGATCACACTATTCTCAATCTCATCCCGACCAGGGCTTCCAATAGGATAACTCTCATCAAATTGCTGCGACTTAACAAAGAACTCCACTCCATGTTTTTCTGTCGTCTTCCTATACTGGTAAGAATAGTTTCTCTGCAACGAGTACTCGGGCTCTGAAAAAGGGAGATAAGCAAGAAGAATGATTAACAAAAACGGAAGCAGCTGAAGCAGCAGCAACACACTCGGGCCTCCGCCCAATTCCTCCCTCTGATTACCACCGGCAGCGTGATTATGTGTTCGAGTCCGATACACATGACCATTTCTAAACATGTCTCGCTCCCCGAAGAATGCTCGGAATATCTCGTCGGGATCAAACTCATCGTCGAAGAAATCATTCCCAGTTCGCCTACGTCTCCTCCTAACTGGATACTGCTGATTATGCTCAAACTCATCGACCAAACCAGTCTGATCATATTGCCTCCTCGATTCATCGTCGCTTAAGCATTTAAAGGCCTTTCCGACTTTCTTGAACGCCTCCTCGGAGCCTGGAGCCTTGTTCTTGTCAGGATGAACTTTCAGTGACAGTTTTCTGTAAGCCTTCCTAATCTCCTCTACGGAGCAGTTCTTTTCTAGACCAAGAATGGAATAGTAATCCTTCTTCATCCTGATCTGCCTCACCAAGTGCACATGCTCATCTGTGTAATTCCTCTCCCCATTAGGTAGTCCGCCATTGATGGAGGAGCTTTTGTCCTCTTTCACCTTTGCAGCAACATCCTCGGCGTCGTTGGAAGGGCCAGCAGTGGACGATTCGTCGAGATCATTACACGCAGCGTAAAGCTCGTCCAAAGGTAAACTCTGATTTAGGCGGCGAGCAATTCCGAGGAATTTTAGGGCTTTTTCTTTGTTGCTTGCTGCGAGTGCCTCTTTGGCGATTCTGATGCATCTCAACGCCTCGTCTTTGTTGCCATCCATAATTGCTTGCTATCTATCCCCAATATTCAAACCCTAAAAATCAATTCACATCCAAAAACGCAATCAATTTGCAAAATCCAAAACCCAATAATAAACCACACAGGATCTCTCAATCGAATTCAGCAAATAAGTTGAGAAAAAAGTGAGACAAACGAAATGGACAACGGAAGCAGTCGATAAGAAAACCCTAGGTTCCATCTAAACCAATCGATCGTTCATTGAAAGGTATAAAATCAGATGAAAATGGCGATGATTTACCTTAGTACCAGATCCGAAATCCCATGGCCGGCTGGAAAGGAGGGAGAGGAAAAGAGCGTGGATCCACGAGATGAGAGTGCGGTGGGCGCGACTGCTACTCATACATATAACCCACCACACTACAGGCTACAGCTCCGTTGTTGTATTGTTGTAAATTTAAGGGTCAGCCTCAGCCATGCCTGTAAATTCCTTACAGGTCCAAAATTTCAAGGCACTTACAATATTCCCTTTTCACCCATCGCTCTAGTCAAATCTTATTATTACTCCCTCTCTCACGTAAAAATAATTTTAATTACTAGTAATTAGTAATAATAATGTAAAAAAAAAAATCTACTAAATTTAGTGGACGTTCTAAAAAAAAGTGAAAAAATAAATTTGATTACAGATAAAATATTATTTTTTTTAATAAAGTTGAAGGACAACTAAATTATTATTATTATATGACATGAAAATTTGTAGTCGGATATTCTTTGAATAAATCTAAATTTATGATTTAATAATCACAAATTTATTTTCACAGATCAAGGCTATCTTTGAAGGAGTAGTCACATTGTATAATTGTTTTTTTCCTTTTCTTGAATTAAAGAGAACCCCACATCATCAATATTATTTTATTTTTTTAAAAAATTATATAATTTTTTTTTTTTAATTTTTAGTTGAAATATGTAAAATATATTATATTTTATCTATTCCATAGAATTTGGGTTAAATTAAAATATGCACAAAAGATTTCATGGGAGAATTACAATTTTGAAGATGTGGTATTTATTAGTGAATGTTTGGTATATAAAGATAATTTGGACGTTGCGTTGCATTGCGTTGTGGAAGATCTGGAGTTGGAGATTTTCTAAACCTAAAATATTCTATTAAACAAACATTGCTTTGTGCTACATGGCATGGAGGGAGTAGTTATTTATTTTATTGAAAATATTATTTTAAATATTTTTTTTTTATTTTTATAAAAATTGCATAATGTGAGCTTACAATTGAACATCAATTTTGGGCTTATATAGTGATACTCCAAATTTGATAGAGATAAGTTGGAGAGAATGTGATACCCAGAGTTGAATAATGATGAGTCGGAAAGATGTGATATTCTCGAATTTTAAATAAAAGTTAAATAGATTGAATAGATTATTCATGTATGTACAATTTTTTTTTTCGAGAATCCACGTGAAATACTTTTTAAATGAAGCGTGTCTACTCTAAGTTAATTTTTTTAAAAAATGAATAGAGTGAAACACGCTAGAAAACTTGTGTTGATTTGTGGAGCGTGCATACTTTAATTTAACACAATAAATTTCACTGAATAAATAAAATAATTTTGTACATTTTTACTAAAATATAAAAATATTATATTAAAATGTGGTGATTTTATAATTAAGCTCCTGATTACTTAAAAATAATTATTTTAATTATATTAATAATAAAATTAATATAAAAGATTACTGTATAGTATATTATTTTTGGTAATATCAATATATTCTTGGTAACTAAATTACTTACATCCTGTGTAATTTGTCATTGCCAAAGTTTATTATTGATAATTCGAAAATTTTGTTACTTTTAAAATATAATAAATTATTAATAAAAAGAAAAAGAAATCAAATCTGATATTATTTTGGAGATTATAAATATCTATTTAATATTTTTTTTTTGGAAGACCTAAATCATATAATAAGGAAATAACATAAATAAATTAGTAAGGAATAAAAACATGTTATAAAATCGCTAAATCTAAGACGGATACGATATGAATATGAATATCCCGGCAAAATCTCAACAAACCCACGCGCGGGCGCGTGGCCGATTTAATCTCTCTCCCTTCATCTTCGCGCTATTTATACTCAATTATGATCACAACTTTGATAATCTCTTTCTGTGTAAAGGTTTTATTCTCTCCGAAAAGCTTTCGCTTTCTTCTTTCGACCAAACGCCGGAAGCTTTGTATTGTGCCAACATGTTGGTCTATCAGGATTTGCTCAACGGTAATTTAATTTCTTTCGTTTTGTCTGGAATGAGACGTCGAGGTTTTGGAGGTTTTGATTTTATTCTAATTCTAATTTGAGTTTACATTCGGGATCAATCGTGTTCTCTGCGATCGTGTTGCTCTAGCGAGGGCATGAATTTGTTAATAATTTCGGCAATTTGTCATGCGCTCCATTATATATTCTGATCGGGTTAGTATTAACTGTATAGGTTGATTTAGAAATTAGAGATCCTCTGTCAGCCATTGCTAATCGAGCATCACCTCCGAGTTTCATGATTCCAATACAACAGATCATGGTTTTGCTTTCTACACGTCAGAAACTGTTTCCTTTGGTGAAGGATTCGTGATTCTATAAAATTAGTGTTTCCGTGTGTGATCGGTTCATTCGTTTAGTGTATTAATTCTGAGAATTATGCATAGATTGGCGGCTATGTTGCAGATATTGCAATTCCTGCTATCCTTTTTAACTCATTCTAAATCTACATCTAAAAATTACAGGCGACGAACTTCTTTCGGACTCCTTCCCCTACAAAGAAATTGAGAATGGAGCTCTTTGGGAGGTTGAAGGAAAGGTTAATATCTTTATTACACTGTTTACACCTCTTCACTTCACCATGTGTTAATTCTGGCCATTTGTGTTTGATTTCTGTGTTACTCCTATTCTACAATACATACATATATACTAACCACATACTCAATTTTCTTTGTTGATTTACAGTGGGTTACTCAAGGAGCCATTGATGTGAACATTGGTGCAAACCCTTCTGCCGAAGGAGGAGAAGAGGACGAAGGTGTGGATGACCAAGTAACAAAAGTGGTCGACATTGTTGACACCTTCAGGCTCCAGGTTTAGTCTTACTTTCAATTATTTGTTCTGCTTTACATGGATTACTTCCATGTGACCTAATAATTTGTACATAAAACATTCACAGGAGCAACCTTCTTTCGACAAGAAGCCATTCATTGCATACATGAAGAAATACATTAAGCTGTTATCCGAGAAGCTGGAAGGGCCGAAGCAAGAGGAGTTCAAGAAGAGCATTGAAGGAGCAACCAAGTACTTGCTTGCTAAGATCAAAGATCTCCAATTGTAAGTCCTAATACATACTTAAATTTCTCCCCACGGAATTTTGATTATATTTTGCGATGCAGCTTTGTGGGAGAGAGCATGCACGACAATAGTGCCATGGTGTTTGCTTACTACAAGGAGGGATCAACAAATCCGACATTCTTGTACCTTGCACATGGTTTGAAGGAAGTCAAGTGTTGATGGTTGAGGAGAGGAGCATCCGCAAGAACACAAGAAATATATTTTGCTGATGAAAAGTGCCCTTCTGAAGCCATGGATTCATAGCTTGTTTATTTTTGTGTTCTGTTCCTTTTGCTTGGTGTCTTTGTCCTTTTTTTATTTTTTGGAAGCATTGTGATACTTCCTGCTAAAATTTTGTCTGGATTTAATTTTCAACTTTTTATTTGCCGAATTGTGCAGTACTCCCAAGGAAATTTTGTTTGGTGATTTGAGAATCATGTTGCTCTATGCACCTTTTTCTTTCCCTTTTTTTTTTTTTTTTTTTTAATTACAAACATATCATACAATTACAACATATAGTTAAAAATATAAGACAATTTTATCTTTATTTTTTTGTGAAAAAACAATTATATGATAGTAAAATATTTAGTTACTAAAAAAATAATTTATTTATAATTAGATAATCTAAAATATAATATATATATATATATTGTAATACGTTGTGAGTAGACTTAAAAAATAATTTTCTTTTATTATATATATTACAATAAATTTACTTTTAGTGTCAAATCATTCCATCAATACATTAAAAGCTCGAACCAAAGCTTAAACCTCCAAAGTGTTCTGTTCTGAAAGATTTCCAGAATCTTCTCCATCCTAAAACCTTCCACAAAATTTTTTCATGACAAAACCATCAGATGGAACATTTATGTTTTATTAAAGATATTATACAAAATACCAAATTTTCATTCAATTCAAATTATTACTATTCTCAGAATCCAAATCCAAACTTGAAGAGAAACGTACCCACAGTTCTTTAATGTTGTATTGGCGGAGTAGACGACAATTCTTTAAAGTTAGATCGGAAATAAAAGTTTATGCACCATGTCAGCTAACACGATGTAATGCAACTCTTCTAATCAAAATAGCATTCACTTAAAGGCACAACACAACTTCTAACCACAAATTTCACTTTTCAAACTTTATAGAAGTTTCAAAATAATCTTACAATTTTACTCTAGACTCATTTTTACACTGAAAAATATGAAATGTTCCGGTCTCAAACCATTGCCTCATACCTGGATTGAATTTTGCGTGACGCTTTCAACCACCCGTTACTGGCATTCATCAACGATTAATGATTCATAAGCAGTCGATTCCGATTTCAATATCTCCTTCAGATAAGCCATGTGCACTAGATTCCGGTGATTTGTTAACACAATTGATCTACCAATGAATCTCTAATCTGCTTTCATTCTCAAAATTTCCTTCACTGTCCTCTGCCTAAAATAGGGCATATGTTCCTACATAAATTAAAACATCAATTTCACCTCATCCCGGAATGCACTAAAACCAGATAAATATAACGATGACAATTATCAATACATGTAGCCAAGGCAGCAGTATAAGATTTTACCTGGTTAAAACACAGCCCAATGTCTCTGCTATAGAAGTCGGCATACTTGATCATGAACATACCGCAATCATACCTGTTAAAGAGATCATGTTAGGAAAGCCCAAAGAGGTTTCTTTTTCACACGATCATTCACTAGATGATCAACTCAAGTTAAATAAAGAAGCCAAAGGAAAGAGAAACAAGCATGCTATCAGAAGGAAAAGAGTACAGATGACATTTACCAGATATGTAAGTGATTATTAAGCATGCAATTAGGACTTCTATTTTCTAATCAATTATGGACTATATTTAAGGTGTGTTTGTTTGAGGGTTTTTGAATTTTGAGTTGAGATTTGAATAGTAAAAAAATTGAATTGGAATAATTGTATGATGTGATATAAGTAGGTGTTGATATGATATTATGAATGTAAAATTAATTTTTAATATAGTATAAAAAATTAAAAATAGATATTTGAATTGATATTTTTGGAAAGTTAAAATTTGGTGAATAGTAGAAATAGGGGAGAATCTTTCAAACAAACACACCCTAAAGTCTACCCAACCATTTCCCTCTAAATGATTTGATTTGTGGCTGAAGAAATTGAAAGCGCATCGCATCGTTCAAAGCACCTTAATAATATAATGAAACATTTTCTATTTCTTGATTCATTTCCATCTATTTTAGATTCTTCCTTAGTTCCTTATACTATATCTTATCTCACAAATGTTCAAATGCCTTGGTCTCGATGGACCCAATGATAATATAAGGTTGGGACCTTAAAAAGTCGGTGGAATTTTGAATTCAACAGCAGAGTATCAAAGAGGGTTGCTATGACTTGAGCTAGTTCATTGCACATTATCACAGAAAAAAAATCATGTGGCGTTTATTCAAGTTATGTTTAGACTTTCAAATGCTAAATATTTAGAACCAAAAAAAATCACATATTTACCCATTCTCCTGCTCAGGAAGATCTACAACAAATTCTTTGTCCCATGAGCTAACGTCAATGGTTTTTCCACACTTGTCTTTCACCTCATCAACAAAGTACCTGGCCTGGATTTTCATAAATCATAATTACATAAAGAAGTCATGCTATGTAGAAAAAATTCAAATCCAGCTTGCCAAATATTATCAGATAGGAAAAAGACTATTACAAAGAGAATATATTTAAATTTGGAAATTTTGGAATACAGAAACTCCAGCATCTGACGAATAAACACGTGGAGATTTTTCTCAGATGGGGGTTACAAAGAGAAAACCATTCTAATAACTATCTTAGAATGCTTGGGAATACATATATAGAAACATATTTATGCACAACAACCCATTGCACATGACGAAACACAAACATGCAGCATATGGATGTCAGCACAATTAAAAGATATTATGAGTTCAATCCCTACATAGTTTGTCACTAGTATATCCTAGTTTTTCAGCTTTTTTTGTCACAAAAATGTCAATGTATGAAGGTTTTTTCTCTACCGTAAAGCAGAACTATGAAGCTCCAGTACCATAACGACCTACTTATTTCTTCAAAATGAGTTAGAGCATAGAAGACACCGTCTTGAATTGTCAATAAAAGTACTAACTATAAATCCACATATCATCGTATATAGTTCATGACATATACTAAAGCAATAAAAGAAAATATATTCAATACCATACCAGACAGTATAACATACCAATACATTCAGAACTTGCTTGTCATTTCCTTTGAGTGAATCAAGATACTGAAACTTTTTCTCCTTCTTGTTGATAATTGCTAAACACCAATGAATTTCTTTGTGGATAGGAACAAAAATCTAAGAAAAGGAAACATGAAACATGTGTCAGGTAACTTCTGCTAACAGAACTAAGAAGTTTGGGAATTCGAAGAGAGCAATTGAACATGAAACAACATAATGCTTGGAGAATTTACTTTGTCACATTCTATAAGTGTATATCCAAGCTTTTTTTGTGTAGTCCATCTTCTCACTGATTGATAATTGTAGCCGCCCTTACCACTTATCAGCTGTGAAAAAAACCAAAAATAGCAGGAATTTTAAACTTTCAAGTGCAAACTTGATTTCCATACTAGAAAATGAAGGTGGAAATTGTACAGGCTCCAAGTGACAGATGGGGATAATTATATATAAACAAAGTGTTGTTCAAAGTTTTCACGGCGGCCTTTTGCGGCGTGGCGCCTGTGAACCGGCATGGCTATAATATGGCAAACACAGCACACACATATAAAAACTTATATATATTATACGTTATAAGGAATTAATGCCTATAATTATTATTTTATAGTAATATGCCAAAAAAATACAAAATAACCTAACAATAAATAATTAATTTGGAATTTTAAAATAAATAATAATGTAATACACTAAATATTAATACTAAAAGTATAAATAAATAAATCGATAATAGCACTACCAGAGCAATGAAGTAGATAACAAATTAAAAAATATATGAAATAGTGAAAAAAAAAATTCCAAGATGGGATGACACGGTTATTAGCTACTAAACCAGAAGAGAGCAGGGGAGAGAGAGGATGACAAGTTAAGGGTTCGATTTCAAGGTTGATGTCGATGCGGTTTTTGGGCTTGGGTTGGGCTTTACAAGGCTGCTCTGGTCTAGCCTTCCCAGTGCCCTAGCATCGTTGAGGCGTCGCCACGGCATTGCTAAAGCTTCTCCAAACAGCCTTCTTTAATAAGGCGCCCCCTAAAAGGCGCCAAGACGCCATGGCGACGCCGTGACAACAATGGTTCCGTTGCACACGAAAGTAATGGATTTGCTTCATTGCATAAGCCAATGGAAATTCATATACAATCAGATTTAAAAAAAAAAAAAAAAAAAAAAAAAAAATTCCAATTAGAGAAAGACCATTTATGGGGGCTGATGCCTGCCCAGTGCCGGAAGGTCAAGGAAGTTGGACGACCAAACACACCCAAAAACAAATCATCAATGCAGATTTCCACCACAACCACGTTTAAATGCATGAAATTGAAAAGATGTGCATTTAAGTTGTCAAAGGTAATCAATACGTCAACAGAAGATTCTATATTCTCTACTGAACCTATATAAACGAATTCTGAAACAAATCTGCCATAACGTATAGAAAGCAAAGGATCAGAGAGCAGCAGACAAACCTTCTTGTAGAAGAAGGTGTTGAAGAAATGGCATTGCAGAAACTTCTGTGGCTCTCTTCTTTCCCTCTCTTTCAATAATTCAAGATACAAATTAATGACCTGTAATCGAGGTGTACAACAAACATAAGTTTGTCCAAAAGACTTCAACGACAACTTGCAAATCACACTAAAATCTTATATTCATTCTAACCAAATAGCATTACCTCATCATTAAGCCATGCCCCGGGTCTCAAACATTGCAATATTTGTCCAGTAATATCAATATTTGAGTTTTCATGTTTCACAATAACTTTTCGCCTGTAAAGATAGTGTGAAGCTAAGATGCATAAAAATAACTCAAGCAACCACATCAATTCAACTTGAAGACTAAATACAAAACCTATTGAAATTCGATAGGGCATCGGAGATTTCTTTCTTTTCCACCTCAGTAAGAGGCACAAAACATTCATCAGCCACATCCTGCAAATGAATGAAATCCCAAATATCAAATGATGGTCAATTTAGTAATATATGGAAATAAATGCTACCTTCTTAATCTCCTCCTCTTCTTTCGTCTGAGGTCGAAATAAATGGAAACCTTGAATACGCTTTTCAACCAATTCTATGCTAAAATGTAAGCTAGTAAGCTTGTCATCTCTTCGTTTCTTTATTGCTTCAAGCAACCTTATATATGAAGGCACCTCAAAATCATCCCGAACCTCATCCAGCTGCCCTAGTCCCTTCTTTTCATCATCATCATCGATCTTTATTTTAACATTACTTCCACTTCCATCTGTAACCAAAGAAGACTCCAAAGACCTCACTTCTTTCTCAACTTTCTCGACATTCGGTTCCTGCACATTCTCCACATCCCCTTTCTCCAATTCCTCAATACTAGAATCTTCTGAGAGATCATTTGGTTTCTTCCTCTCCTCCTCCTCCTCGTCGTCACTGTCGATTTCGATCACCTCCTTTTCCTTATGTTTCTCAGGTGATAACCCCTTTTTCACATCAAAGTATCTCAGACTTCTCATTGCTGCATCCCTCATTCTATTATACAATCGAGAAAATCCACTAAATGTCCCCATTCTACCAGGCGAGCTCTCCTTAGAACAACCCGAGAGAGTTTCACTACTCTTACGCCTAAATCTCGTATTTCTTACAGGGGCGTGAACTTCCCTTGAAAACCCCGTTTTCGAATCCGGATAACGTGCAATCCTCGAAACCACAGAATCTCGCGATGCTGACCGGCCACCGTCCGGCGTGCATTGCTCCACGGCAAGAGAAACCTTTTGCTTCTTCAAAACATGATCACGAGAATTCGGAATTGGGGGTGTGACCAAAGCTAGGGCTTTGAAATAATCATCCCGGCGCTTCCTACTGTTGGTTAGAGCTCCCATAATCAAGGGCCGAGAAAGAAATAAACCCTAGCAGCAAGAATGTCAGACTCTCATCCACAACTCGGCACTTTTCGCACCAAAACTCCCGCGGTGCTTCAGAAATAGGGGAGAAGGGTGATTTTGCTGATATTGAAATACCAAAAATTAGGGTTTCGCGGGCGTGTCGATTGAGAAACGCAAATAGAGTTTTCGACAACGAGTATGTCTTCAAAATGGGAGACGAGAAGTTCGCACAGAAGATCAAAACGCAGATGAGATTTTGATGAAACTGACAAATTTCATTCAATCTACAGCGGTTTCGATGGCATATCGACGCACCGTACTCTCTTTCTACTGTTAATCTGTTATTTTTTTTTTTATATATATATATATAATTACTAGTACGATTTTATTTCTCAATTCTCGCGTTATTTATATATTTTTTGCTCTATTTATATAAAAATAATATTATGTCCCACGTAGCGTGACTATTATTGTTCTAACATATTTTAGAAGGGTGTAAATTAATAGATAATTAAAAATATATTAGTGAAAATAATTATTATATAATATAAATAATTATAAATTAAAATTAAAATAATTAATTAATTTAAAATAAATTAAAAAATTTAAAATAAAATTAAAATGTATAATTATTTAAAAAAAAAAAATCAAATAGTATATAGGAGGTGTAATAAAATTTTAAATATTATCGTAATTCTTTTTATATAATATAATAAATTTGATATTGATTATAAACACATGTTTAAATATACTATAATCATATAAATAAAAAAATGAGTTCAAACATCAACTCTTACATATCACTTGTTATCATGAATATAATTTGGATTACATATTATTATCAAAAAATTATATTAAAAATATTTTTAATATTAAATAAAATAGTAATATTTATTTATTTTTTTAAAAAGATAAGAACCCACAGCCGCTGACTAATACTTTTTCAAATTAAATTCGACCAAAAAATCACTAGACAAATTATATGTGGCAAATAACCTGATATCACGTTTAACTTAAATATAGTAAAATTTGTTTTATGTAAGAGAGGGAGAGAATATATTTTTTAACTTAAATATTTACAATTTTTATATTTTAATAAAATATAAAAGTATTTTATTTTCTTATGATAAAATATAAGGAATATCTACAAGTTATGCAGTAGTCGTGCTTTAGTATTAAGCGCTTTCTCTTATTCTTATTTAAAATCGCTAAAATTAATTGTGATTTCGATCATCCTAATAAAATTGTTAAAGATCCGGTGGGTTTAGGAGTAAAAGTTGCAGAGCAGCACCCAAACATGGCCGCTCTTCTGCGTCGCCTCGCCCAAAATTCGGATGAGAACTGCGTCTTTTAATCCGCCTGGGCGTCTCAAGCTTCCACGAATGAGGACACTCATCCGTAATCGAGGTAAGCTTTTGCAGTTTTTTTGTTAAAAACCTTCATAGATGCCAATAGAATAGGAAGCAGGATAGATGATTCCAGTTGTTTCTCTCATTTTCTTGTCAGAATCTATTGCTATCCTTAGTTCGGTTATTTTATGAGAATGTATCGCGGCTCTGAGTTGTTAGATAATCGATTCCTAGGGTTTTGGTTGATTTGGGGGTAAATTATGCATTTCGCACTGATGTTTTGACCTTTGTGGACATTAGTTTCTACGCATTTTTTTTTTAATTAAATTTTATGTATCTGCAGTGTTGGAATTTCAGCTTGAGCTGAAACTCTCACGCCTCTGTAGCTTTTGTAGGAGATTCACCATTGTCAATGATGATCCTTCTGTCAAGGACAATGGAGGGACTTCAAAGGAAGGGAGAGGAACAAGTTTACAGAGCCTTGCTGAAGCTTTTCAGGGCAAGAAATACGAATACATTAGTCGACGAGAAGTCGATAATGTATGTCAGATTTTGGAAAGTGGTCCTTGGGGATCCTCCTTAGAAATTGCTCTAACTTCATTTGTCCATCATTCTAATTTAATAACTGGAGTGTTGAGAAGATTGAAGAATGTCGACACTGCTTTCGACTACTTTAGATGGGTTGAGAAGACGACTAATCGAGTGAATCCTCCGGGAGCATATGATTTGCTTCTCATATTAACGGCGAGGGCAAAGAAATTTGATCAGCTTGAACTTATTTTTGAGGAGATCAGTCGCTCCGGATATTGTCCTTTTTATAGAACGTCCGTGGAGCTAATATCCATCTGCGTGAAAGCTCGAAGATTGAAAGAGGCATATGAACTTATCCAAACAATGAGAAAGTTTGAGTTTCGACCAGCATTTTCAGCCTACACATCTCTAATCGGTGCAATGGCTGTGGTTCATAACCCCGAGCACCCGGATCTCATGCTTTCCCTCTTTAATCAGATGCAGGAGTTATGTTATAAGGTTAATGTTCGTCTATTCACTACTTTGATCGGTGCATTTGCCCGTGATGGCCGAGTCGATATCGCTCTCAACTTGGTAGACAAGATGAAGGATAGTTCCATTGATGCAGACTGTTTTCTGTATAACGTCTGCATTGACTGCTTCGGTAAGGCTGGTAAGGTGGAAACAGCTCGGAGAATCTTTAACGAGATGAATGACAATGTTCTGTCGCCCGATCCTGATAAAGTGACATATACAAGCATGATAGGAGTTCTCATTCGAGCAGGTAGGATAGCCGAAGCAGTTGAGTTGTTCGAACAGATGGAGCTGAAATGGGAAGTTCCACCCCCACGGGCTTGTAGTGCAATGATAATGGGCTATGGATACGCCGGAATGTTCGATGAAGCGTATAAGTTATTGGAGAAACTAAGGTTGAAGGGGTCGAAACCGAGTGTAATTACTTACAACTGCCTTCTTACTTGCCTTAGCAAGAAAGGAAGAGTCGACGAGGCCATAAAAATCTTTAACGAGATGAAAAATGACGCCAAACCGAATGTATATACATATAACATTCTTGTGGACATGCTTTTCAGGTCGGGGAACATCAACGCAGCTTTGGGAATGCGAGACGACATGAAAACTGCTGGATCTTTCCCGGATGTTGTGAATACAAACATTATGATTGATCAGTTGTGTAAAGCTGGAAAAGTCGATGAGGCTTGCTCGATCTTTGAGCGCTTGGATCGGACAGTTTGTGTCCCAAATAGGCGTACATATTGTTCTTTGATCGATGGCTTGGGTAGGCAGGGAAGAGTCGACGATGCTTATCGATTGTATGAAAAGATGTTGGAATCCGATGAGACGCCGAATGCAGTTGTCTATACGACCCTCATCCGAAGCTTTTTCAACTCCGGCAGAGAGGACGTAGGACACAAGGTTTACGAGGAAATGATCGATAAAGGCGTTTCTCCGGACGTTACACTACTCAACACGTATATGGATTGTGTTTTCAAAGCGAACGAGACAGAGAAAGGTAGAGTTTTGTTCAAGGAGATTAAAGCGCGGGTTAAACCCGACACACGGAGCTATACGATTCTTATGCACGGCCTCATGAGGGCGGGATTCGCACACAAAACGACTTTGCTCTTTGATGCTATGAAGGAACAAGATTGTGTTCTTGATACCCCTGCTTATAATGCCATTATAGCCGGGTATTGCAGATCGGGTGAAGTCGACAAAGCTTTCCAGCTTCTACAAGAAATGAAAGAAAACGGTAACCGACGAACGGCAGCTACCTACAGTTATCTCATCAACGGGTTCGCCAAGATCAACAGGCTCGATGAAGCGTATAGCCTCTTTGAAGAAGCAAAATCGACAGGGACAGCATTAAACACAGCTGCCTATAACAGTCTAGTCGATGGATTCGGAAAGATGGGAAGAATAGACGAAACGTATCTTATCGTCGAGGAAATGATGGAAAAGGGCTTAGTACCAAACATACAGACATGGAATTCCTTACTTGATGCATTAGTGAAGGCGGATGAGGTCGATGAAGCTCTCGTCTGCTGGAAGTCGATGACGGATATGGAATGCGCACCAAGCCCTGTAACATACGGAATCATTATAAACGGATTATGCAGAGTTCGGAAATTCAAGAAAGCGATTGTGTTTTGGCGGGAGATGCAGCATAAAGGGGTGAAAGCTGATGTGATCACGTGGCGAAACATGATCGTCGGGCTTGCGAAGGCGGGATATGTGTATGAAGCTGATGAGGTGTTGAAGAGATTCATAGGGGAAGGAGGTGTAGCTGATTCAGAGTGCTATAATAGTGTGATTAAAGGGTTGTGCAGAGCTAATAGAGCAATGGAAGCGTACCGAATGTTCGAAGAAATGAGGTCGAATGGCTCTCATCGTTCGTGTGGTAAGACTTTGGGCATACTCGAGGATGCCTTGCACAAGGCGGGATGTCCTGATCTGGCATCTACGGTTAGCGATGTACTAAGGGAGAACAGTTGAGCGTAAGAATTTCTCCTGATGCTCGCATCGAATGCACCCTTAATTTTTTATACATTCGGCTCAGTTTAGAGTGTTTTTAGACGAACCGAACCATTCGTGAACTTGATTCATTTTGGCTCGATTAAAACTCGTCCACGAATATTAACGAGTCGAGTCGAGTTAACGAACGAACCCGAGCTTTGTTAGTTAAAGTAATATATTGAGGGTGTGTTTGTTTGAGAGTTTAGATTTTGAATTTACATTTAAATAATAAAAATTCTAAATTGTAATAATTATATGATATGAAATAAATAGATGATGTAATATTTTGAATATAAAATTAATTTTTAATATAATATAAAAAATAAAAAATAGGTATTTAATTTGATATTTTTTTAGAGAAAAATTTTAAATGAATAATAAGACTTTGCCAAAATTCTTTAAACCATCGCACCCTTGTTATAAATATTATATATACATATAAAATTATAATTTATAAATAAATAAATAAAATTATTTAAAAATTTTCTTTTTAATTTATATATAAATTTTAAAAAGTGAGACAAACTCGTTCGAGCTTAATCGAGCCGAACACGAGCTCAAAAAAATAAAAATCTTTAACGAGCCGAGCTCGAACACTACGAACGAATTCGAAAGCTCAATGAACGAACACGAGCCTTGTTAACGAACAAACATAAACACTTAGAATTCGCTCGGCTCGTCAACAGCTCTAGTTGCCGCTTCGTAGAGTTGTCTTCTTATCTACAGTTTCAAGAATAAGAGAAGCATATTGGTTTTCTACACCTAGTACAAGTAAACAAAATCACAAAGCAAGTAAAATATCTCAACCCCAGCTCACAAAGAATTGCTATTACTATTATCAATATCCAAAAATACACTACCAAAGAAATCTGGGAACAGAGCAAGTAAATTAGAAGACTTACAAAATTGGGATATATCTTTGAGTAGGCAAATTCATATCTGACAAGAGACAAGCATCATGATAATGTGCTGTCAACTTCGCTTAATTACTGGAAATTATTGCAAACAGGGAAGATAAAGAGTGTTACGTTTTCGCGATATTCAGCCTCGCTCGATTAAAGAGCGCAAAGCCATCTCAGCGTCACTGAGTGGTTGTCCGGCATAAAGTTGAAGTTGCCCTTTCTTCACAACAATCGGCCTCATGGCACGTGATTTCACTGTTTCACTTAGTTCCTGCGATCAGAAATTTATTCCACAGTTAAAGACGCAAAGTAACACTGATAGTTTAAAGGGATGATTCGTTTATGTAAATGCAGTTACTTGGGCTGTTAAAGGAACAACATCGGCTCTGAATCCTTCCATATCTTCGAAGAAGGACTCCAGAAGATAGCAGAAATTGTTGGCATCGGCTTGGTCTTCAAAAGCAACAATATGAGATGTTCGATTCTTTGAGCCAGAAATACTTTTTAGTACATAAAACCCTTCACTCCCCTTGTCATAGTCACCTCTTTGAATTATGATAACCTGAGTTCAGAGAGCAGCACTAGTTAGCTGTAATTTTGTTTCTAATACTTGCAGCTGTCGACATTGTCATTTCCTTATGTCCAACAAACCAAGGAAGAAGTTACACGGCATTAACATTTGCTAAGGGAACACAGAATTGTTAATTTTAATATTTAGCAGAAGAGACTAATCATAATATGTTAGCATAAAAGGAACCATATCCATATGCTATACTTTACCTGTTCTCATTACAATTTATAAGGAAGAAAGTGAAAAATAGCACCCTTCTGAACCTCGCTATATGCATCAAAGTTGAAGTATGAAACCAAATGCAGGAGCATAATTGAATATTATATATCATGATTCATTGTCTTGAAATCGTCGTATTTTTCTAATGCCACAAATAATCAGGCAGAGAACTCAAGGATAAAAGTGTCAATCTTTGAAGTCTATTTAAGAAATCCTACTGACATAAAGCCAAGAAACAAAATCCGGAAAAAGCAACAGTTGGCGTACCAGAACGTATGGAAGCTTCAACCACCAAAGGCCAGTTTTGCTTTTCGCTGCCGACTTAAAATCTCCGATTCTTTCGTCTCTTACACCATTCTTTCTATCATTAGGTTTTCTAGACTTCAGAACTTTGACATTTGATTTCCGAGGCTTTACTGCTCCAAGGGTATTACTCCCACTATTTTTCTCCATAAGCATTGCCTGCTTTCACAAATTAATCAGAGCTCTGGATCGATACTTATACATATGCATCTTTGTAACTCACTTCGGAAACCACACTAAGCATAGATGCAAGATATAAAAATTTTAAAGTAGGATTAACACGTTGCAACAACCCAAAGCAACAATTTTCGTCTGTCAAGGGACTCAACAATATCCAGTTTCTCTACGAAAAATCTAATAAAGCTAATAACCAACAGAACATATAATTTAACCATTAAACCAGGTCAGTATTAAAATCATCAACGATTAGACTGTAAAAGAGGTTCTAAGAACTCTACCATTTACCACCTTTGGTTTCGAGGCATCTATTCCCTTTACTTCCTTGCTATTACCCTCCTCTTCCGTTACATATCTCCTAGTATTCTTCATGGGCTCACTCATTTCTAGCTCAGTTTTCTCTTCATACTCCTCCACAACATAATTCTCATCGCTGTGCTTTGACTCAACATCGAACGCATCTTGTAGCTTTTCTTCATCTCCTATATCAACTGCTCTATCATCACCATTCCCTTCGAGCAACTCATCCTCCTTCCTCACCCCGCCATTCTCCTCAGAATTAACAACTTCATAACCAACTGAACCTGTAAACCCCTTTGGCTTCCTCACTGGATCAGTTGGAGAATCTTTGAACTTATACTTCCTCCGAAACAACAATGCTCCATTACCATCGTCTTCGTCAGATTCGCCCTTTTTAACCTCAGCTTTCCCAATACTGTCCTTCACTGAATTGCCAGCCGATGCCATCGGCATTTTCTTACGCGCATTTTCTAACTTCTTCCGCAAACGAATCAACCGATCATCAACCTCCTCTTCTATCACACTCTTAGAATGCCTCTCCCCATCAGCTTCATCCTCACTCTTCTCACTATCATAGCCACTCTTCTCTGACTCCAATCGTTCTTTCTCCCTCACCTCCCTTGCCATTGCCCGAATTTCTACAATTTTACTCTCCATTTCCAGCTCATTCACATAAATAAATGAATCGGCAGCACCATTTTCGCCTTTCAGAACAACCCTAACGCTCGATCTATCCTTTCCATTTCCTACCAGTTCAGTTACGGAACTTTCCTCGTTCACAGGCGCCGAAGTATTATCACCAAAACCAGATGAACCGAAAGCCCAAACCGCACAAACAGTTTGGAATAGAAAAGCCCCAAGCAACCAAACACCATATTTCAAAACTGAATTTTTATCCGGCACAACGATACTTCCAACCTCTTCATTTCCAGCACGCACCTCAGCCTGCAAATTTTCAACCTGGTCGTTTCCAGCACGCACCTCAACCTGCAAATTTTCAACCTCTTGGTTTCCAGCACGCACCTCAACCTGCAAATTTTCAACCTCTTGGTTTCCAGCTTCAGAGCGTTCACACTTCTCTTCTAGTCCTTCCTGAATCGTGCCAGACACGCCGGCTTCTTCAACAGGCGGAGAATCAATAGGAATTAGCGATGGCTTCGTTATATCGGGCAGTTCTAGGGTTTTGAGGATTTTCTCGCGGAGGCGGTTTTTTCTTCTGGTAGTTTTAGAGGGGAATGAAGTGGAAACGCCACAAACCACCATATTGGCTGTTCTAGAACAGATTAGCTCAGGCGCAAACCGGCGACAGCGGTGGCGAGGGACGGCGGCGGCGTGGTAAGAAGCCGCCATTCTGCCATCTAATGGCTAATGATGGAACAAATTCTAAACGGGCATCCATTCCAGTCTCTCAGTTTCATCACGAACAAGGGTAAAAATGTAAATTAAAATTTCTGAATATAACATATTATATATATTTAGATTTGGCTCTGTTAAACAAATTTTGAAACTTTCATATTATTTCAATTTTCAAATATTAAAATATCAAAAAATCAATGGATCTATTTACTCATAAGATTTTAGGCCAAAGTTGATTTTATTATTCCAACTTTTTTTTACTCCAAAAATATTAAATCAAACACTCAATTTTTATTTTTTAAATTACACTAAAATCTGATTTTATATTCTAAACATCACATATTTATATTACATCAAACAACTATTTCAATTTAAAATTTTATTATTCAAAATCAAAACTCAAAACTAAAAACACACGAGTAAACACAATATTTTTTTAAATATATATATACTCAAAATTATTGACAAACTTGCTTCAATTTCAACATTGGAATTGAATTATTTTGCATGCTTCTTCACCTGTTCCATTTTCCTACAGAAACACAGCAAAATTTCAATGATATATTGCAGCGATTCAAACCAATACTATTTATTAAAAGATGAGATGAGGCGAGAGCTTGTATGGTAATGGAAGGAAATCCAAACGGGTTAAAGGGTAGCAAGCAAACCATATAAGTAATAAATATAATGAATACTACAGCAGCAGCAGCAAAGTTACAACAGTGTCAACAGATTCTCTCTCTCTCTCTCTCTCTCTAGCTGCTGAATCGGTTCTGATACGATACACTTACATCGCTTGCTGCAACAAATCTGAAACTTCTTCATCCTGAGATTGTATCTGTAGATCCTGCAATTCACCATTGTAAGAATAAGTCATTCCAGACTCAGTCGAAGTCGTGCAAAATATGTAAGCTTACCTGTGTTTGCAGTAGTTGAGGCTGTTGATCTTGGGACACGGGATACGCCTGTGGTTGGGACATCCGATAGTATGGCTCTTTGAGATCGAGTTTTCCTGTTGATGTCTGGAGAATTCCGCCTTGTTCGGCACCAGGACCCCACATTTTAGCTGTTTTAAGTAAAAGTAGGGTCAACTAACAGCAGAAACACAGCAAACATGAGAATCGGATTTGTGCATACACTAACCTGACAAAGTAAGGTATAGGGTGTAACTTTGAGCTTGATGGGCAACCATGTGAAGTCGACCGGTTATCTCTTGACCGGGCATTACATAAATTGGTTGAGAAAGGACACATCGGAGCTGATACCAGTGCGTCGTGAGAGCCCCTGGAGCAGTGGTGAGCCACCTCTGTACGGTGCTATCGATGATATGTTTTTGGCACGGTTAGTCTAAAATCAGAAGTAGGAATGTTTGGTTGGCAAAGGACAGGTGGGAATATTCAGCGGTGACTCTTACCTCCCATTGAACAAGACATCGAACCAACAGGCCAATCCATGTATCCTGGCACCGACAGTAGATGTAAACTTCAGAGGGATGTCGAGTTCATACAAGTCTTCCTCCTGTCAGAAAGTGTTTTAGTTAGTATATTAACAAATAATTAAAAAGAAAGAGCGAATCTACCGGCACATTGTCTACCATAACATTACACTAATTTCTACGCTAAGTAGTATGGTTGCAAATGGGAACACTGTTAGCGTGCTCTATAAATATTCTTAAAGGACCAGGCCATGTGCCAAAATTACACACACAAGGATCAGTATAATCTAGCAACTTCATTTTTTTATTATTTTTTTCTCTGAATTCCTGAAACAAATCTAAAGTGAGAAATTCACTGCAATGGTGAGATTAAATAGTATCAATTTTGGTGAAAGGACAAAACAAGAAATGCTGTACCCAGTAACATGGAGCTGAAAATTCAATGTATTCAAATCTGTCTAGAGTTTACCTTGGTAGACATGAAGTCTATCACATGGGAGATTGCAGGGGCCACTAATAATCTAGGATCAAAAGCATCCACCACTGGCTGCAACATTCAGAAACATTAAAACATAAGTCCAATGCATTAGGTTGGTATTGGTATAGTAAGCCAAATGAGGGCAAGGGGAACAGTAGCATGATGTCAGAGAAATTATGCATTTGACATTAAAATTTCAGCATGAATATCCACTAGAAACCACCAAGAAAAACACAAACAAAACTACTGTCATATTATAGGGAAAATCTTGATGAAAATTCAAATGTAACATGCAGAATTTTAAGCAACCTTAAAGTGATAGCAATTGTTTATTTTCTGGGAAGAAGACGCCAGTTTTAGTAATTATGACAAAATACATACTACATGCTCCTCAAATAGATCCTTCCAAAGATAAATATTCATAAATCATGTGATGAGATGGCTAACTTGACCTGGACAAACTTGTTATAAGTGAAGCCATATTTGGAGGAGAGGGACATTACCATTAAACTAACATGTTGTGATATATTTTATAATAGGTGTAGCCATGTGGCATTGTTCCAAAGCATCTTAGACAGGTATAGTAAAACCCAGTAATGAACAGATTAGGAGAACTCTAAAAATAAACTTCACAATTATTGATGTCCCTGTTTTAGGAGAAACATAAGTTTGGAAAAACAAAAGTGAAATCCCGAGAAAAATGTACGTTTTAAAATAACAGTCAGTTTTAGCCAATCAAGTTCTATCAACCTAACAAATAATCTACACATGATTTATACGAACAAAAAAAAACACCATTATAAAGTACGCAAGCTCAAGCCATATGAAGTTACAGATAGTATCACAAGTACTGAGATCACAAAAGTAACAAGAATTTAAACCTGGGAGAAGTATCCTTGAAAGGCAGTGCTATGTAAAGGTGTCAAGTTGACACCATAATAATTTTGTTGCTGCCAAAACAAAGCCTGTACAGGAAATGAACATTTCAAGTTGTCGTCATAACAGCAGCATATATGTAGGCGTAAAATGTAAATTAAACTTTTTTCTGCAAATCAAACTTCTGTACTCTAGCTACAAATTAAATCTCTCCATGATTAAAAATGCTCACCCTCAAAACACTGTTAATATGCACTTTGTGTTGTCTCCGAGAAGAAATGCTGAGACAACAAAGTTATAAGAGGAGGTTACCTTATTTGCAATCTCAATATATAAGTACTCATCACTGAATGGTGCCATGTGTATCCTACAAGAGCAAACAAATTTGAAGATCAGACAAAGGAAACTGCAAGGTAAAGAATGATTGTTCACATTACATCCTCTAATAAAAGTTTTGTTGACAAGTTATAAAGGAACATCAAATAATTTCATAGGATGTTCTTTACAAACACAAAGTTAAATAGCAATGTCGTTAAGACAATATTACAATAAACATCTTGAAAAAAGCAATATATATGTTCAACATTTCGATAAACTCTAAGTTCAGTATATCCTTGAAAATTACATGAAGATTAAATCAAGCATATCCTTTGTATGTTAACATAGAAAATCCGTCTGTATGATAACAAACAAAAACAACTCAAGTTCAGCATACATTTCTAGTAAATAACCACAGCATCATGCAGAACATTTAGGTTAAAAAAGGGCACGGCCATAAATAAAGGGAATAATAATAACAATAAACAGAAGAAAAAAGAAAATATATCGTGCAATGGTCACCTTCCTATGCTTGGAAACATTTTCCCGTTAGGAACAAGGAATCTCTCTCTTGCAATTATGTAGGACTCTAACATCCTTTCATTGACTAACAAGGTGCCTGCAGGAGATAAACTGTCTTCAGTAAATTCCTTATAATCTTATTAAGATTGCACATTATTACAAAGAGCATCTTGTGAACCTTAGAAAGGGCATTGCAGATGTGTTTTCACTTTATGAAATTTAGCTAATAAATCATATCCAATCATCTGAACGTTATCATCCTCCAGAAGACAAAAGAAAGAGAACCAAGCATACCCATCGGTTCAGAGATCAAGATATCTGCTTTTTCAGGTAATTCAACTTCTTCTACTTTGCCCTTGATTACCTGAAAAATAGGCCAAATACATTAAAAAATAGAAAAATTGTGTAAAATACATTAAACTCATAAACATGAGAATTGCAATAAATTAAAACCCACTGTTATTCTTTGCCCAAGTGATGGATTCCCAGCTATAAGTTTCCGAGCATATTCTGTCATCTCTGATGCTTCTACAGCATAAACATGTTTTGCACCAGCCTTAGAGAAAGTATGATTACATCAGCATGTGTGTCATCATTTGTAAAAATGTAACTATCATAGAATGTATCATCCATGAGAGTGTCCAAAGTCAATCATATGATTCCGAACCTGAGCAGCAAATAATGACAAGATGCCACTACCAGCGCCAACATCTACTACTACTCGATCAGTAAAATCAGCACGATTTTCAAGAACTGCAGCATAATATGTTCCTGAAACATAAATTACAAACACAGCATCAATCCACAGAAAGAATTAAATACGCTACATAATTACAATACCTTATAAGCTTCTGAATGGAGTGTTTTTGTCCACAAACTTTCAATGAACCAAGCCTTAGATATTAAGGGTCTAACATAGACAATCATGAACAAGTACCAAGGAACATGAGAAAGAAAATGAATGGGTTATCAGCTCAGAGATGTAACCTGTCCTCACATAGTCTTGCAACATGTTTTGTTGATGTAGAAGTTGTCCATAATAGTGAAAGTACATTTTAGCTGAAGATGCCTCGATTTTGTCATCAAACTTGCTTTTCAGTGATGATAAAGTTCCGTTAGATAACAAAGACCCTGAAAAAAAAAAAAAAAAAGGTATTCAGAAATAAATAAATAATGTGTATTCTTAATTAATTTGCACACCATTGAGTAAAGCTCAAATCATATTAGTTGCTGCCAAGAATGAAATGATAATTTACTCATCATGTTAGAAACAGGCATGAAAATATACCCTGTGTCACATAGTTATAAACATATGAGAAATGCACAGTCTCTTACAAAACTAACTTTTGCTATGAGATAAAATTTTACAATTACGATGCAACGCATCAAAGCACATGAATTCTTTATAGGATATCCAAATAACTAAACAATCAAAAAGTGTCTTGGAAATATAGCTAGAACCTTAATCAATAAATAATGAGAAAAAATCACACCAAATCCTGCATCAAAAACCGACAAAACATCAACAAAGAAAACCTTGCACACCTGCTTCCTTCTTCCACTGCTCAAAGGCATGATGGAAGGCTTTACTTTCCTCCTCATTTCTAAACTGAATGGTAATTCCCCTGATATAGCTTTCCTGTTGATGACTTGTTTCAATATAAAATGCCATAAAAGAAAAGAATATTTCTTACTTTTGCTAATTTGATAGATGGTGTTGAAAATCCCATCAGCTTTGATACAATAAAATTATAGCAGGGTAGAAAATAAACAAAAACTGCTAATATAACAGTATCCTCAAAAGTAACAAAAAGTCATCTGTTTCTTCATTGATATATAAATAGAGGAGATAAGCTTCATACCTCTTTATTTGGTTCAGAAGTATCAGATAAGCACAGTGATTGACATGCACCTAGCTTGAAAAGCTGCAGGTAAGACCAAAATAAATAAAATTACTCAACAAAAGACAAAAGTTGGGAATCACGAGGGAAACAATACAAAGAACACAGGTTGAACAACTTGAGAATTCAACTAGCGCAACTCACCCCCAGATCATGTCATTTTGAAAGAAAATTAACCAACTGTGAAACAAAATAAAACCAAGAGCCCCAAAAACAAAATATACATACATATATATATATATACACCCACACACACTAAGACTTCTAATTAGACTTCTAATTTCAAAACCTAATATTTCAATAACCTTGTCGTTAATTGTATGTAACAGTCAATGAATGAGAATTTAAGTCCAAGCTGTATCAGATTTCAATTGCTTACACCTTTTACTCTTTTGCTTTTATCTTCTACAAGCTACTTGAAAAAACACAATATGAGGTATAACAGAAAAAGAATGGGGAAAAAGCTAAAAATAAAATAAAAATCCATCTTCTTTTTCCCTTATTGGTCATTTCGCTTTGTACATCCCATTGGTCTTTCAAATGCCATATTCCCTATCCCAAAGTTCACGCATTCGATTTATTGGAGAGAAGAGAACGACAATAATGAAATATTCGCAAAATATGGAATGCAATTCGCGGCGCGCATAAAACAAAAATGGAATAACATTAATGCACTCAGATTTTCACAAAACTCGGAACCAGACTAACTAAAACAATTACCAGAATACAAAAGAAACCACTGCACTTAAAACAGATATTTCCGAACCTTGCAGCTGCATATTTCGAGCTGAACCGCGTCATTAGAATCAGGCGTCGATCCAAATCTGAGAGTACCTGAGCAAAACCGCGCCACCACCGGCGGCGACGAACTCCCCGAAATCGAGAGCTCCGAAATTGAGGCCACCAAAAAATCCTGTTCGCTCATCCTCTTACAGTCTGGCTTGCAGAAGCGCCACCGAAGAATCCGAATCACAAAATTGGAAAAAAGGAAAACGCAAGTGCAGGTCAGGTGGAGAGAATTAGGGTTTTTTCAGTGGAGGGCGAGAGAGCATGGGAAGGAAAGACTGATCAAAAAATAAAGAAAGAGAGGTTTATTTTAGAGTTTAGTTTAGTGTGCATATACACACCAAAGGCTTTTGTGCTGTCAATTCCTGATGCTTTCTCTCCTGTCCATTTTATGATACTGTGTTCCCGTCATACACCTTCTCAGGTGCAACCGGTGACGTGGACCAATAAGATTCTATGCTACACATTCATTTATTTAATTGCAATAATTTGGCTTTGTTTGTTAGATTGAAATTTTCGGTTCTTTTTAAATTTTTAATTTAAATAATGTTTAATGATATTGATAAATGTGAAAATCTAATAGTAATAAATTTTGAAGTTCGGATATAAGTTCAAACTTAATTTTTTATAATTTGAGAAAAAAAAATATATATAAACTATTATAAGTGTCAAAAATATTAAATGTGAAAAAAAAATTAAAATAATAATCCCAAATAAATTCTAAAAAAAATAATAATAAATGGTGTAACAGTGTAAGATTGAAAATGCTCAAATTGTCATGATTGTTATTTATTTAAAGACAACTAATTGAGCAGTTGAAAATCTATTGTTTTTAACCATATAATTCAATTTTTTTTGGATAACTTGATTATTAGTTGGAATTACAATTTACAATCCAAAAAAAAAAAATTGCTTCTAATGTTTATTTGAGCCAAGAATTGGTTTAAAATTGACTCTTATTGATATGTATATGTCAATTTTGATTCATCTATCCTTCTGATTGAAAACCAATTTAAAGATTGTTTGATTAATCGATTTTTACAATATATACCATTTTGAAAGTTCTACTCATTTTGTTCAATTTTTGTTCATATTTTATTGTGTAATAAATTTTATTTATATGGTGAAAAAAATTAAAAGAATCAACTAATAAATAGCTTATTGGTGTGTGTGTGTATTGTTTTTTTTTGTTTTTCAAATAAAAACATCATTATAGAATCTGTATAATTTTATCACAATATTATACTATTTAAATCAAAATGTAAGCCAACTCTTTTATTTCAAATTAAGTTCCAATTACAACAAAACAAACCAGCACCATAGCCAATTTCTTTTTTGTACAAAATGAGTATTACTAATAAGATTTATATACAAATGTTTTTACTAAAATAGGTAATATCTTTTTATAATTATGTAATACTCTCTGTTTACCTAAAGTAAAGAATATTAGATTCGATCGAAATTTACTCAATGCACATTTTCGGATAGCAGTTGCGGATTCTACCTTATAAAAAAAAAAAAAAGTAAAATATTTTGTTTTGTTTAAATGTGAAATTATTATATAATATTAAAATAAACAAGTAGCAAGTATATTGGATTCTATCAAAGTGGAACGCGGGCTCTCAGGACAAAAGCAGATACCACCGTCGTAAATCCACGACATATATACTAAACTTGGTATCTCTAACCTATCAACTCTTTACACTAATTTTATTTTAATCATAATTCTATTTTTTACTATTATTATTCAAATATTTAATTTTTTTTATTATTTTAAATAATTTTTTATTTTTATAATTTAAAATAATTTTTTAAAAACAAAATTAGAAAAATAAAAAATAAATTTAAAATTTTATTTTATTTTATTTTATTACTATTGTTTATTATTATTATTTTTTTTAAAAAAAAAAAGAAGCTACGCCATTTTTTGGCGTGGCTAGAGTGCAACACCAAAATTGACACTAGATTTGGAGTCGGTTGTCTGGCGCTGAATTTGGCATCGGTTGTCTCATCCATTAATAACGCTGGGTTGGAGATGCCCTTAGATGCAAACACGCACATATTTGTGTATTTGGTTTAAATTTTTATTATTCATACAAAATAATATTCGAGTAATATTCATCATCTCACTGTTTTTTTTTGTCCGTCTCATAATATATACTACCTTCGTCTAGTTAATAAGCTTACATTTATTTTTTACATCGTTATACTTAAAATTAAAGATATTATTATAATTTGTATAATTTTTTATATAAATATCATTATAGTTACATTATAAGACATTAGTAAAAATATTTGTCTTTATTGTTTAATTTGTACAATAGTTTAATATAATAATTAATATTCAAATATCAACATGCATAAAAACAAAAGTTTATATTTAAAATGGACTGAGGGAATATTTTTTTTTTATTTTTGATAAATTTATTCATTATATTTATAAATATATTTAATAAATATAAATTAATTTAGTTAAATTTTTAATCTTTTACCTATAGGATTTGTTTAAAATCTCTTTATTTATATATTTTTTAATAAATAAATATTTTATTTGTATTTAAAACTTTAATTTATTTAATGTAAAACTACTTTTATTAAAATAGAAAAAAAAAAAAAAAACGAGAATGACAAAAGTGATAACCATAGTATTTGAGTTAGGAAAAAATGAGTAAAACTTTATATTACAAAATATCATATCTAAATTAAGATTATGTTTACATAAAAAAATTTGAAAACTTTGGAATTATTTAACTTTTATATAAAATATATCTTTATTTTACCAAATATCATATTAAATACTATTTATTTTATTTTAATTTGTTTTTTAAATCCAAGAAAAGTCTATCGTCTAAACGGAAGTTTCTACATATATGGGCTTTAGGGGAAAAAGGTTACTATTTGGGCTTTAAAATGAACTGTTTCCATCTCATCTTAAGGCCCAGCCCAATTTATTATTATCCTCCTCGCTTGAGAATTTGTGCCCACAAAATTTCAAAAACCCCCTCAGCTTTTCTGCTCTAATTCCTCCCATTTCCGCTCTCTAGGGATTTTGAAAATGGTAAGTTCTGGGCAAAGGTTTGGATGTTTGATCTAGATTTTTATTCGTACTCGTTGATTGTGCGCTTGAATTTTCGTTGTGCTGGTTGTATTTTGCCCTTGCTTTTCGTTGATGCATTTGGTTTTGAATTGTTGTTGTTGGATGCGATTTTGTTCGCATTTTGCATCTGCGTGATGTAGGAATTCATCTTAAATTTGAATTTTCTTTCTTCTATCTTGTTTATGCTGCTGTAGATTTTCGAACCGATAGGTCTTTGTTGAATCGCTAAGTTAGTAGTCCGGTGGATCTGAGTGTAGTGTCTGCCGTGAGTGAGTACTTAGAAAGTGGTGTTGCTAAGACATAAGTGTTTTGTTCACATTTTGAAATTGGATGGTTGCGTCTGTGCTATATGTCCGATGCTTAAAGCAGTGGCATGTTATCCATAGATGTATTAGGTCGGGAATAATTGATTTGGGCCCATATTGGTTTATTGCTATAGAATTATTGACAATTCAGTGAGCTTATCTATCTGCTTCATTTGTGATGTTTCTTGACACTCTACTGAAGTGATAGTATTTCAGTTTTATCAGTGTTCATGATGAGAATATATCTTGATTATCTTCTTTATTTGCTGTCTATACTTGTTTTCTGTGAAATACTCCAACTGAAATTTAATAAAGTGATTGCTTATTGTTCTATCCTGTATTTTGACATGAGTTACTGAGTTAGAAATCAACAGTATTTAGATCCATGTTTCCCTGGTGAATGTGGTTGCTCATGCTTATTTTCTTTACCTCTTAACATATTCTTAAATTGCTTATAGGATGGACATGACACTGAAAATGCTAAGCAAAGTACTGCCGACATGACTGCATTCGTAAGTCCTCTTTGAAATTCATTTATAGCCAACGAATGTGCTCTGCCAACATATATAGCTGATTGATGTGTTATGTCCTTTGAACTTATATTATCTTGTTGGATAGTTAACATTTCTGTTTCTTAGTGATGATTCCTCTATTTTTTCCTTATGTTTTAGATTTTATTTTATTTTTTCTTTAATAATTATTCTACCCAAATGTGCTTGAAAGAACTGATTTTCTTCATTCTGCTAAACGGCCATTTCTAACATGCATCTCTTAATATTAGGTGCAAAATCTTCTCCAGCAAATGGTGAGTAGCTATGCTAAAGACTAAATTTCATTTTGTCTATATTGTTTCGTATATTACTTACTTATTGTCTTTTCTATGCAGCAATCTAGGTTCCAGACAATGTCAGAATCCATCATTTGTAAAAATATCCTTAATTTAGCCTTCTTAATCAAATCTTTTCTAGACACAACTAAGATTTTCACAGACAAAACCACTACATGATGTGGAGAAAACCTAGAACGGTTTCTGCTACTGGCATTTTATATTTTTTCATTATTGTTCCATTTCTGTCTTCATCAAGCCAAAAAAGGTTTTAATGTATCTGTTAGTGTTTAAGATAACAATAGCTAAGAAGTTAAAAATTGGTAAGGATGTATATTACTTGTGTTTTGGGATTTTTATTTCTTTTTAGATATTATTGTGTATTGGATTTGAAAATTTTGGGGCAGAAAAATTGTAATTTAATGTGATATTTTGTAAGGATTTTAGATGTTGAAAATGATGTTTTTAGGTGGTTCAAAGTTTTTTGTTTTCCGTAGATTGCATGGTACGAAAATATCTGTTGAAAACAGAATGAACAAAGCTCAAGTCTTTCTTGAGTGAAAATTCATTCGAGTTTTAGCTGCTGTCCTAGTCTCCTAAGCATGTTCCTTAACTGCACTGCACTTGATGAGATGGGAAGCCGAATTGACGAGTTAGAGCAGAGCATCAACGATCTTAGAGGCGAGATGGGTCAAGAAGGAGGGTCTCCATCTCCTTCAGCTCCAGCAAAGAGTCGGGAAGAGCCCAAGTCGGCTGAAGATAGCTAAATGCTAATGCAACAATGGGTGTGTACATTTCCTCACTGAGCATCCTAAACCTATTATTGGTTGCAGTATCACTCTTATCAACCAGTATCTCTACTGGATCTTAAAACTTTCATTCGAAAATATTTGGTTTGTTTGTTGTGACACCAATTTGATGCAGTGCTTTGATATATAATATCTATTGAGGGACATGTTGCCAGACAAGAAAGAGCCCACCTTCATTGCTTAATAGTAATCTTGCTTTGTTTTTTTTTTGTATTTTGCATATGTATTTCTATGCTTATTGGAAGTTTTCGATGAGACCTGTGTTTATTCTATGAGATTTTCCCTTGTTTTGGAGTTTTGAAAAAATTTAGAAATGGTAAAAGATTGGCATTTGAAGTATGTTTTGTGACCGAGAAGAATGTATTTGATGTGATCTCGATTAGCTGAAGTGGCTGTAAGCAAATTGTTTATTATTACTACATCCTTGAGAAGGAAGTTAAAGAAATTTCTAAGGAAATGGCTTCCTCAGTATTGATTTCGATATCTTCATATTTGATTAAAAAAATAAAAATAAAGTTTTCTAGAAATGGTCTAAAATGTACAAGGTTTCATTGACCATTCAAAAATAATCAACCAAAAGACTGGAGAACGGTGGAAATTCTTGCCAAACTGATTAAATTTATTGCAGAAAGCTAACCCATGGAAACATAGAATTAATCAAATTACAGCAGCTGTCTGCAGCTTTGAATCCATAAATTAAAAAAGCATAGATCATGAATCAGAAAGAACAACACAACATGGCCCAGGAAACGTTCTTATACAGCTCTGTCTCGCGCGGCACGGCGGTATTGGCCGAGCACGTGGAGCTTTCCGGAGATGGGAACTTGCCGGCGATTGCTGCACAATGTCTGCAGAGGCTGCCGCTGACCAACAACAAGTTCACTTACAATTACCATCGCCATAGTTTCAATTTCTTAGTCGAAGATGGATACGGTACGTAATATAAATAGATACTTCATTCGTCCCTTTTGTAAGAAAGATTTGACATTTATAATAGTATTTTTGTAATTTAAGTAAAAGTTAAAAGTTATTTTAGTATTAGTGTTTTCTATAAAATAGGAAATGAAAACTTTGAAATGACACAAACAAAAATAGTAAAAGAGTACTTTAATTAGGACGGAGGAAGTATATGTTAATATAATATAAATGCAATATATGAATTTGTTGTGGCAAATTAGATTAATGATTGAATCACAAACAAAAACGTAAAGAAAACATATATTTAATCCGTCGAGGACGGCTAAGTTACAGTATCAATATAATTTGTTATCAGATACTACCTTCGTTCAGCTCTAAATGTACCATTTACTTTTTGTGTATTTATTTTTTAATATTAATTATTATATCAAAATATAGTGTAAATCAAAAAAAAAAATTGTAAAAATACTTTTATAAATATTTCTATAAATTTGTTTATAAATATAAAAATATTTTTAATGTTAAATATAATGCAACAATAGATAAAGGTGACAATTTCCTCTTCCGTACTGTGTGTTGCAGTGTATTGCATCGTGTCGAGGAAGGAATCGGTGGGGAATCAGATAGCAATGGCATGTCTGGAGAGAATAAAAGGCGAGTTCAATAAACGGTACGGAGGCGGCAAGGCCGACAGTGCAATTGCAAAAAGCCTCACCGCAGAGTTCAGGTATCTATTTATTACATAATCAAAATTAAAATTCATTTAAATTAGGGATCGGACAGAGAATGAAAATTGCTTATACATGCAGTCCTGTAATGAAAGAGCAAATGCAATACACATTGGATCACGGTCATGAGATAGAGAAGCTGGCTAGGGTTCAAGCACAAGTCTCCGAGGTCAAAAGCATCATGCTACACAACATCGACAAGGTATCAATCAATCAATCATTCAACAGCAAAAAATCAATATCGATAATTTGTCCAAACATAGAACATATCTAAATCTAACACTGCGATAAATGTTCAGACAATCGAGAGAGGTGCAAACCTGAGCAGTTTGAATGACAAGGCCGACGACCTGCGCAATTCCGTGAGCTATAAACTAATTAATTAATTATGATGTCTGTATATATATATATATATATAATTAATTTGGATTATATATGTATATGTAGGCTGAAGAATTTAACGTAAGAGGGGGACAATTGAAAGGGAAGATGTGGCGGCAGAATATGAAAGTGAAGCTGGTGGTGTTTGGGATTATCTTTCTCTTGGTACTCATCATTTGGCTATCCATTTGTCGTGGCTTTAATTGCTCCAATTAATTCATTATATGCATAATAGTTTCCTACATATACTGCTAATTAGGTTAATTACTCATTATTTTGTTTGTTATTGTAAGATTTGTTTATTTGTGTGTGTATTTTTTAATCATTATTATTCCATCAGAAAAATAATAAAATAAAATAAAATTATATAATAGACATTTATGGGCCAGCAGAATAGAGCTGTAATTATTTTTATTTTCTAGATACACTGCCCCCACCAACTTGTCCAATTCTTTTACAATGCAGTATCAAAATTACAGTTTTCACACTATTGTCACTTCATCAATATTATAAATAATTAGTTTCGTAATACAGGATGAATATTATATATAGAAAATGCCAAAAAGCAGTCAAAATCAAACCCATGAGGGACAAATTGTTAAAAGCATTCATGCATGCATGCCCTTTACTTTGGGGATAGGATATGTATATATATATATATATATATTATATGCATGCAATGCAATGTAATACTATAAATTATAATGTAAGAAAGTGCCAGAATATATATATACATAATGTGACTGTGGTCTGTATTCAATAAAGGAGTGGGCATTTTGTCTGAAAGGCCTATTTCTGATTTCCTTTGATTTCATTACAACATCATATCTATAAATTTTATTTTAAAAAAAAAAAAAAAAAAAAAAAAAACCCTTATCTCATCATCTTCTTCATCACAGCCTCCATATATAGAGATACTGATCATATATATATATATATATATACACATACAATGCATCCTTCAATATTATTGCCATTGATAAATTCTATTTTCCTTTTCCCATTTTGCCCCAGAATTGATTTCAAGAATATATATATTAAAAATTGAAAACAATAAATAAAACCCCATTGACCTTTCCTCAAGTTCTGCAGATATTTTGCCAAAACTAGTACAATACTTGGGACAAAAATTTCCTGTCTCATTTCATTTCATGTAGCATTCTTACAGGCTACAGGGTCAAGACAATTATGCTGTTCAAAAAATCCTAAATAAGATAGATAATATAATCTATATATATATATATATTATAGAGAATATACACACTTTTTGGCTGCTTTCCTTTCTAGTGACAGTTAAAGGTTTCCAGTTTGGGCCACAAGGAAAATTAATCAAACAAAAAACCAATAATACAGTAGTACTAACAAGTATTAAATTAAAGATAACTAACAATATTATATATATATATATATATTAAAAAAAATAATACACCCCGTCATATAATAATGTTGTGCTCGATCAAATATATGACACATGTTCTAACGAGAATAATTAATGATTATCTTAAAAAATAAGAAAAAATATACTCCATTTTCTTTACTAAAAAGAAAATATATATATATATTATTTCATGACAGTTAAAAAAAAAAAAAAAAAAAAGCGAAAATAAATTTTGATAAACGGAGTATATATACATTTATATTATGATCATTGCAACCTTACCCTTACTTCCATCTCTATATACACTTAATTTATTCACCAAAACAAGTCAAAAGCAACTGCATACATAAACTCAAATTATATAATAGTTAATTATTTTTGTTATATCAAATTAATTAATTAGATGTCTCTAACTTCGAACTCGTTGCGATTCTTGACGACGATATCGTACATATGAATGGACTTGAACTTGTTGAAGTCCCTAGGGAGGGAGATGAGGTGAATGGTGGAGGCCTTGTGGAATTGGATGAGGTTAGGGTCATGATCATGATCATCGTAGTCGACATTATAGTACCTTTCCCATCCAAGGGACAACAAGATTCTCTCCAAAACCGAGTATGATGTAATAACCTCCCCCGACGCCACGTGGATTAGGACCTTCCGCCGCCGGGGGCACTCTCCCTCCACCAACCGGACCACGCCGTTGTTGAACATCCACACGCCGGCCATATCTATATCTATATTTATATATTTATCTAAGATAAGATCAGATAAGATAAGATAAGATGTATCTGTGTATATATATATATATATATGTAATAGAGGTTAGTTAGTTTTAAGGTTGTAAGAGGGAGATCAAAGATTATGTGTAGTGGTAGTAGCTAAGCTTCTTGGAGGTATATAGATATATATGGTGGGGTTATGTATATATATATATGTTGGAGGAAGGGGAGGAGGAGGAGGATGATAAAATGGTGAAAAATAAATAAATAAAGATGAGATGGATAAGGGAATGCATGTGATGTATAGTACGTTTGGGGGAGATGTTTTTGTTTTTGCGTGTGGGTAAGTTAGGTCCCCACCCCACCCCACCCCACCCCACGAGAATGGGGGGTGGGGCCATGGTGAGTCAGAAGATATCTTGTGGGTCCCTCCTGTTTAGACATGGATGGATATATGTACGCGACGTAGTTGAAGAATTAATGAAATTATATGAATCTTGGGGGGTTTTAGAGTTTGGAATTTTTTTAAATATAATAAAAAGTTGATAGTTAATGTGATTTTGAAAAATATATAGTATTATCGATAAGTAATAGTACTATATTTTAAAAAAATAAAAAAAAAATATATAGATGGAAATAGGGTCTAGCTTTTGTTGTAAGAAACAAGATTGTGGATTGGTGAATTGAAGAAGAAGAAGAAAAAGTGGATTTGGATTGGGAAGAATCCAACAAAGTTTAATATAATTAGCTACCTAAGAAAATAAAAAAATAAAAAAGCAGCTAGCTAGATTGGGAATCTCTTGCCTGTCCTAGATGAGATGCCATATATATATGTGTGTGTATATATATATAGATCTGCTTATATATGTAAATATATATATACATATTCACGTATTGAGTTTATAAGTAGTACGTAGAACAATTGAATTGATGATGAAGGTGGATTTTGCATCTATAATATAATATTCATATTGGATCCATGGCTACTTAATTAATTATATATATATATATATATTATAAATAACGAAATAACCAATAATACACAAGGAACAATGCAATATTATAATGACAGCTGCCAACCCCATACTAAGTTACTTATATATGTAATTAACCAGATCAGACAATAATATAGAGATTCTTTCTTCTCAGATTCTGTGATAGATATACAAGATTTTATATATTCTCGATTCTTGATTCTTTAATTCTCTCTCTCTCTCTCTCTCTCTCTCTCTCTCTCTCTATATATATAAATTCTTTTTTTCTTTCTTCTTCCCATCCATCCAATCCATTCAACCAAATTATCTGTATGTATTTGACCAAAACAAACAAACAAACAAATACTAAATAATTATATATGTATTAATAATAATAATAATAATAATAATAATAATAATCATAATAATAATATTCCCGACCAAGCCCAAACACTGTGTTTTGTCCTGTCGTCTTTCTATTACCCAATAGCAATATTACATAATTTTTGGTCTCCATTCACTGTTCCCTTTTATCCATATATATACAAGGTTTTCTTTATTTATTTTTTTACTCCACACACGCTCACAATTTACAATTTACCCATTAATTAATTAATAATCCCATAATTTCATTTCAGCATCGATTATGCTTATATATATATATATATACATACATATAAATATACGATCAATGTTGGATTGGATCAACAACTCACTCATTCCTCATTACGTATATTTTTCACATTTTAAATACTTTTAATGATTTAATTAATTAATGTATAGTTGTTCCTTATAATTAGGTATCTTTCAATAAAAAAGAGCATTTTATTATCGAATCAACTCACCGTATGAATTTTAAAAACCTATACATAGTTTGAACACATATTTTTTTACTTTTTTGTGTAAAGTATATGAAATTGTATAAAAAAATATAAAAATAATAATTGTGTGTAATATATTAATTTTTTTTTTAAAAAAAAAAATGAGTGTAGTTTGTTAGATGTAAACTTAATCAATTATTAATTTATTATTATTTTAATTTCAATGTAAAACTTTAGTTTGTTTTTCCAACAACCTAAAACACCAAATATCGTATTAAAAGTAAATATAACAAAATTATTGACATGGATGACATGAAATGTAAATGCATGCATATTAGATATTATTATTCCGATAGCTGATTGTGGCCACGTGGCAGATTCTTGATCCTCCTCTATCTACTTCACCTCTGCCAACTCAACTATGACTGTCTTCATTTTATATTTTTAAATATGTGTTTTTGTTATATTAATATAAAAAAATATTTTATTTTAAATTTTAATAAATGAACATAGTATATAGTGTATAAAAATATGTATATATATTATTTTTTTAATAAATACTTATTGAGAATTGTGTATAAAAAATATATATATATATATATTGGATGACCACACCTTCAAATTTCCAACCACAAGTTCAACTATCAACCAAGCATACAATAAATTTCTAAAATAAATTGTGATTGAACCTGTCTTAAATCAATGGAAAGAATTATTCCATTAATAATTAAATCAAATAAATTCAACAATTAGGTCGTAGAGTTCAATAAACTAGTCAATTTTATTTTATGACCATATATTTATAATTATTTGTTACATGTATAATAAAGTAAATCTTTTATTGACTAAATTGTTTTTTTTTTATATTTATTGTAATTTAAAAGGTTTCTTTGGTTAGTATTTTTGTGATATTTTGTGAAAAAATAATATATTTTTATAGAAAAAAATCAAAAAAAAAAGTGCAAAGTAAAAATTTTGAGAATAATTATCAAAAGAACACACCATAATTAATCAATCAAAGTAAATATGACCATAGTTAAATAGTTATACACTACTTTTATGTGTGAAATTTTTTAGGTGATCGTAAGGAGTATAATAAATTGTATGAAAAATAAATATTTAATGTATTTTTTTTTTTAATACTGTAAATAGATAAAATAAAAACTTTCAAAAATATTAATGTAACATAGTCTTATTCTATGTAGTTCCTCTCATTACGCAATGTCGCAATGCAAACAATTGGGCTTTAGTCATTTTATTGAAAACGTGGACTGCTTCAATGGGCCCAATTTATCCTTAATGAACTAAATGGGCCTGTATTCACAAAATCAAGCCCAAATAAATTATTACTTGGGCCATACTTTCAGCCTGTCGTACCCCAGCCCAAATTCATTTCCGACAAGGGTGAAATTGAACAAATGCCAACAACTATCAATACTTCTACTTTATGAATATACAACTGCAGTCAATTCTTTGAACCAGTCGGAATATTCCACGAAAGTTCATATTATATATATCTATACAAAACGCAATAAAATAATATTAATAAATTGAAAGCAGCTATGATTCTAGTCCCATCAATTCATCACACAATTCACAAAGCAGAAACATCGAAAGTCAAGAGGATTTTCGCAAGAAAATTACACCATATTTGCAAAAACTGGAATCCAAACATATTTGAAGATTTAAAAAAAGAAAAAGAAAGATCATTATTGAAAATGGAACGAAAACCGGTATGGATTATGCAGAGTTATTAGAAATCAAACCCGCCGTCGAAATCAGCAGCATCGGAAATCATGTCTCCGACGAGCAGGCCACCAATGGCGCCGCCGAGCAGACCGGCGCCTAATCCCAAACCCCCAAACTTATTCTTCTTCGGCTGAGCCGGCTGAACCGGCGGCCCATATCCGTAACCCGGCGGAGGAGGGTAACCATACCCAGGTTGTGCCGGTGGCTGGGGATATCCGTATCCAGGCGGCGGCGGCGGTGGGTAACTGTATCCTCCGGGCGGTGGTGGTGGATAATAACCGCCGCCGTCGGGTTTAGGGTATGCTGGTGGTGGAGGGTAGTGCGAGCCGGATTCCGGTCCAGCGTACCCGGCCGGGGGAGGATAAACTCCGGTCGGTGGATAACCCGAACTCGGACCGGCCGGATAAGCCGTAACCGGTTCGGGTTCAGCCTTACCAGACTGAGGCGCAAACGGAATTGCAGATCCGTAGGGCGGCGGCGCCGCCGCCGTCGCCGTCGCCGCACTGGTAGATTTTTCGCTTAAATTATAGGAGAAGGTGAGCTGACCTTTAGGCTTTCCGCTCGGCTTCCTGACTTGGTAACTCGCCGTCTTCTTTCCGTCGGCGGCGCCGCCCTTCGATTGCGAATCGAGAAGCTCCTTAATCGGTATGGTGACGTCGCCGACGTCTTTGTCTCCCAAAGCTCGCTGGCAAATAAGCTTGAAATTGAGCGCGAGGCGGTTCATCTGTAGCAGCGCCTCGTCGATCGTGAATTTCATCGGAAAATTCCAATTAGGGTTTGCATCTCCGTCGTGATCCACCGGCGACTTTGTTTTTTGAATTTGGTTCACATCCCCGCCGGAGATCGAAACGACGACGTATACATCCATCTTAGTGAATAAATTCACCTTGTTCAGATCCATTCCGGACTGCAGAATCACTTCCAGCGTTCGATACTCCATGGATTGGATCTGGAACAGAGGAAATTGCAGAAATTTTTAGAGAGAGAAAATGAAGAACTTAGGAGAGGGACAGGGGAAAAGAAGAGACGGAGATTACGATGAATACGAAACGGCCAAACCATAGAGATAATAACCAAAGTACTTATATATAGAAGCTCCTGGATTCCAGATCCGGAAATCCATCCAACGGTGTTTAATTTACTTCATACTATTCAGCGTAGATGATTGCAAGGAGCGAAACTCCCTGGAGCTTTCTAGAAACTCAACTGCCTTAACCGTGTTAAGAAACCGTGAAGTCAACGCTAGCTGAGGTATTTGGGTATGACCCAATTTTTTAGGGTCTGTGATGTAATTTTCGTATAATAAATAATGAAGGGTGTGTTTCGCACGGTTTGTTTTTCGAAAATATAAATAAATAAATATTACCTCAAATATTATTTTAATATTAAATTTAAATTATTTTTTTTTTCAAACTAATTAAAAAAGAAACACATCTTAAATAAAAATCTAAAAAAATTAATATATTTGTGTTGTTAGAATTATTTTTTTTATAAATATTACTGATATATTATTAAAATATTGATCGAATTCAATTCAGGTCCAAGTTCAAATAGGATTTATCTTTACTTTTGGGACCCAATTAGAGGATATAATACTCCATTCCGTTCATATTCGAATAATTGGATTGTCTTCAAATAAATATGTTGAATTTGAATTGCATTTTCAGTCTATCCAAGCCCATTTGTTTCTCTAATTCTTCTCTAGCTCTTTCTTATTAGTGGAATTGTATTTCCTCTGGTTCAATTCACAATGTAGAAAATTTAGGTAATTATAATTAGAAAAATATATATTAATAAAATATATTGTATAATAAAATAATATAAAATTTAGATTAAAAATGGTCTAAGATTAGAAATTATGAAGTTTAAAATATAATTAAAGTTTATGATTATATATTCTTAAAAGAAATAACAAATTATATGAGATGATTAAAATAGAAAAAATAGACATTCTATGTGTAACGAAAAAATTAAGAAAAAATTACAAAAATATTTTCATTAGTGTCTTATAATACTAATATAATAATATTTGTACAAAATTTTTTTTATACAAATATAAGAATATTTTTAATGTTAAATACAATGATTTAAAAGGTAAATGTGACCCTAACTGGACGAAGGTCTAATCAAATGTCACGATATTCAATTCAATATATATGAAACTATTAAATAATATAAATTCATAAATATATATTAATTTATAATTAAGATAAAAATAATTTTATTAAAAATAAAAAGTTTTAAAATTATACAAATATAAATAAAAATATTTTGAATGAATCATAAATGTATTATGTTCTATGTTACTATTAAATTAATTAAATTAATTTATATTTATTATAAATTTAATAAATTTTACTAAAAATAAAAATATACCAGTTGAAATTGGATGGACAAAAAATAAGAAAAATAGAACAATTGACATTGGATGCGGAGAGAGTATTATAACTACAGACAAAGTGGGTAACTTCAGACACGACACTTTAAATCAATTTGTATGGTATTAGGTTCGGCCAAAAATTTACTCAGGGTGTGTTTGTTTGGGGGTTTGGATTTTGGATTGAGATTTGAATAATAAAAATTTTGAATTTGAATAGTTGTATGATGTGATATAAATAGGGTTTGATGTGATGTTTTGAATGTAAAATTGATTTTTAGTATAATATAAAAAATAAAAAATAGGTGTTTGATTTGATGCTTTTGGGGGAAAAAATTGGATGAATAGTGAAAATCCTCCAAAATCCTTCAAACAAACACACCCTCAGTACATACCACTATGAATTTCTATGTCATAAAAAAAAAAAAAAACAAACAAAAAAATAAATACAAATAATAATCACTCGATATGAATCAACTAAATCAAAATAAAATAATAACATATCAAAACCTATAATCAAATATCTACAATTCTTATGTGTATATATATAGCGAGGAGCTGAGAACTCTCTCATCACCTGAGAATAATAACTCCGACGAGAATGGGGGCGAGCTTGCCTGGTTTCTCTTCTGATGCATATCTGATTTCTGAGGATTTGTATTTCAGACATATTTTCGACAATGGATTTTTTTTCAATCGTATTTTCGACGAATGGATTTTCAGCCATATCTTTGAAGATGAATTTTTCAGCAGTATTTTTTACGACTGGTTTTTCGTTAGTCCTCTGGTAGTGGAAGGAATGAGAAATACTTACAACTGTGAAGATTGCGTCAATGAAGAGAAGAATGGGAAGAAGCTGACGTCATCGTTCCACCCTTGCGTTAATGATGCTGTGATAGTCGGTTTCAGGACACAGGCCGGTCCAATTGGTCGACCGGCCAGTAAACGCAATTGATCGAGTTTTCCTAGGCCGAAGGGCAGAAACCGGTCCAATATGTCTGGTCACAAATTTAGGGTAATTCCAGTTGATTTTATCACTCTATTCTCCGACACTAATTTTCAATTCTCATTCCAAAATATAATACTGTTTCATTTCGATTTTACAGCCACATTTATTTTTTGCATCTTAATATTTATATATTAATTATTATATAAAGATATAGTACAAATTAAAAAAAAATAACAAAAATATTAATATTAGTTTTTTATAATACTATTATAACGACGTTTATGAAAATATATATATATATATACAAATATAATGACATTTTTAATGTTAAGTACAAAAGGTAAATGAGACAATTGAGCCGAACGGAAGGAGTATTTCCTCAGTCTCACTTATCGTGTCCATCTTTCTATTTCTATTACATTTTTTAAAAAAAATATTATATACTTTAATCTCATTCTAATTTTTTAATTTATAATTTTTAAATTTTAATTAAACTAATTTGTTAATTTAATTTAATTTTAAATTATTTTTAATATACAATAATTATTTTTACTAATATATTATTAATTATTTATAATATATATTCCCGTATTTGTAATAAAAGAGATAGGATAGCAGGAATGAGGAGAATAATAATAATAAAAAAAATAAATAAAACTTTCTATAAAAGTTAAAAGAAAAATATTATAAAATTATCAAAAATTCTTATACAATTCAATTAATAAATAGCAAATTATTATTTTAATTTATTATAAAATTCTAAAAAGTAAAATACTACAGAGAGTATTTCTTTTATAATATAATTATATATCATTAATATAAAAAAATACATCTATTCAAATACACAAAATAAACAAATCATTTATTTATTTATTTATATTTTAAAATTATATACAATAGGGTATAACTAACATAGTATTAATTATATATAATTATACCCTATTGGAAAAAAGGCTAATTAGTATTTAATGTTTGATCTGTTTTTTTTTAAAAAAAGGTTTATCCATATTTATGCATATAAGCATTTCAATCATAATCTTCCCCAATGTATTTGCCCTAAATTCCCAAATCCCAATTTCCCTCCCTAAATGAACCATATGCAAATTCATGCACGATTCAAGAATGTATTTAACCCGCCACCTGCAGTAATTCGCCCCAATTAATGGCCGTGTGGTGGCTATAGGCCTATAGCAGAAGTTCAACATCACAATCCCAATTCCATACGACGCTGCTCCATATTGTCACTTTTGTTGGATGCGACTGTCCAATTATTCGTTTTTTCCACTTTTAACTGTTGAGAAGGGCTGAAAACGATTCAACGGTGTGCAGACGTGACCCATTTGGGCGTGCGCAGTTAGGGTTTGTTCGATTGTTGACGATTCGTTGATGCCTTCTTTCTCCCCTTCATCCTGTGCAGGTTTCTTTACCGTTCCTCTTTGTGGATTTCTGTTTTCGAGTTTGCGTGAACTGCTAATAGTTTCCGGAAATTTATGATGTATTTGTTTCAATTGTGTTTTTGCCAATGTTTATTCGATCGATTCTGGGCGGGATACATATATGTAATGTAGCGGACAGATTTCTTTGTATGTAATTGTTTCTTGGTTTTGTTGAAGGTTTTTGAAGTGCATATTGGAGGAGGGGAATGGAAGAGACGGGCCAGCTAAAAAGGGCTTTGATTGACGCCTCAGCTGGTGCGATTTCTGGGGGAATTTCGAGAACGGTCACGTCACCCTTGGATGTGATTAAAATTAGATTTCAGGTTGGAGATTAGAATCCATTGAAAAACTATAAATCGATGTTCTTATTGATTTAATATGTTGTAACTCATGATTCTTAGATTGTGTAACATATTCTTTTGCACAAATAATCACAATTGCTTCAATCAGGCGTTGGAATTAATCATCGACTTCCTGCGCTGGAGGTCTGTTATAACCAGTGGAAAGTTTAGTTTCTTATGCTGAGAGTGTGTGTAGGTTCAGTTGAACAACTGTAATTCGAGATTAGAATCCATTGAACAATTATAATTCCATATTCTTGTAGATTTAGTTAGTGTCTGTTACATATGCATTTGCACAAATAATAACAGCTGCTTCAATCAGTCTGTTTGAATTAACCATCCGACTTCATGCTCCGGAGGTTTGCTATAACTAATGGAAAGTATAGTTTCTTATGCCTAGATTATGTGTGGATTTAGTTGAACAACTATAATTCAAGATTAGAATCCATTGAATAACTTTAATTCGATGTTCTTGTTGATTTAATATGTTGTAACTCATGATAGTTAGAGTGTGTTACATATTCTTTTGCACAAATATTCACAGCTGCTTCAATCTCCGGAGGTCTGTTTTAACTAGTGGAGAGTGTAGTTTCTTATGCTGACATTGTGTGTAGGTTCAATTGGAACCGACTGCCCAATGGGCATTGCTTCGGAGAGATGTATATGGTCAATCAAAATACACGGGGATGCTGCAAGCAACGAAGGACATATTTAGAGAGGAAGGCTTGAGGGTATTGTTTTTATTTTTTAATCAAGTATATTTTTCTAGATATGTTCTGAAATTATCGAATGGATTGTTGAGATTCTCATTCTTTCTTTATTAAAGTCCAGAAATGTTCCTTATTAATGTTGAGATTTCTATCTTGCTGCTTTGCTAGTTTGGAGTTTCCATTTGCTAAGGTACTTGAGAACAAAAAGAAACAAAATCTGTGTCTCAAGTTACAAATTCATGAGATGTTTGGATCCTGTTGTGTATAATGACGTTTAACTGGAATAATTGGCTGGAAGAAATTGCTATTGCACTGTATTAACAATTTAAAAGTTTGTTTCAACAAGCATTGTTAGTTTTGATTGCTGGATGTTGTTGGGAACTTGCCATTACCCTAAATTTAGTTTCACTCTTGGCCGTTTGTCATTTATTTATTTTTACTTGAATCAGGGATTTTGGAGGGGTAATGTACCAGCCCTGCTTATGGTTATGCCATACACAGCAATACAATTTACAGTTCTTCACAAATTGAAGACATTAGCTTCTGGTTCTTCCAAGTCAGGTTTGCTGGAATTCTTCCCTTCCATTCAATTGCTTTTTGTAATTATTTCAACTTTGTTGCCGTGTGCCTTATTTTCGACATTCTGTAATGTTCTGTTGTGAATGCAGGAGATCATATCAATATAAGCCCATACCTCTCTTATGTTAGTGGGGCATTGGCTGGATGTGCTGCCACTGTTGGATCGTATCCTTTCGATCTTCTAAGAACCATTTTAGCTTCTCAAGGGGAGCCTAAGGTACTAGGCATTAATTTTCATATAAAGATCATTATTCAATTTAATTTCTTAAGATTTATAGCCTAATCTACTGAACTTTGCACGGTAAATCTCCCTGAAATTTAGGTTGAAGTCTATTATTTAGTAGCTATAGTACACTAAATAGTAACTTGGCTACGAGTACTTAATCACTAACTCACTACCCCTATGTAAACTAGTAGTGTATGAATCCAAAGATTATAAAGTACAAAGTTGCCTTCTTGATCAGGTTTATCCGAACATGAGGTCTGCATTGGCCAACATACTTGAAACCCGTGGCTTTCGTGGGCTGTACGCTGGATTGTCACCCACACTAGTTGAGATAGTTCCTTATGCTGGATTACAGTTTGGGACATATGACACATTCAAACGTTGGGCATTGGTAACTCTCTCTCTCTATTCATATAATATATATATATATATATATAACACATACAGCCATGTTTGGATTCAATTTGATTTTCGTTTATTGCACTTCTAGGCCTGGAATAGACACGGATACCCTTTTGCATCCCCATCTGTGAATACGCTTACAAGTTTTCAGCTTTTCCTATGTGGATTAGCGGCCGGGACATGCGCTAAAGCTGCTTGCCATCCACTGGATGTTGTTAAGAAACGTTTTCAGGTACGGCGTTGTCTCCAAACTCTTCTATTTAAATAAAACCTTTAGGGTAAATTGCATAATACAAACTTATGTCACATTAAAAATGCACAAAATACCCATTATTTTCTTTATTACTTGAAATCAACTTTTGTTATATTAAAATATGCACGAAATATTTTCAGGAAAAACTGATGTTGGTTGTAAATGAAAAATTGATCAATACTACATTTCACAGTTTAAAATAAAGACTGCCTAATTTCGCAATCCTTGACTTGAATTTTCTGTGCATACTTTAACATTTTGAAATGAATGGTCGATCAATTATTTATTTAAATAAGGCTATTTGAGACATTCTGTCTTTTATTTGTATAATACAACTTTGAGGCATTTTTTGCATTTATAGTAAAACACATATGGGTGTTATGCAATTTATCAAAAACATCAACTAGTGAATAACATCATACTATTGCAGATCGAAGGACTGCAAAGGGATCAAAGATATGGTGCTCGGGTTGAACACCATACATACAGAAACATGTCCGATGCCCTTGTTAGAATCCTACAAGCCGAGGGCTGGGCCGGTCTCTACAAAGGCATCGTCCCGTCAGTCGTCAAAGCCGCGCCTGCCGGTGCCGTAACGTTTGTTGCTTATGAATTCACTTCAGACTGGTTGGAGTCCATTTTGACTTAGATTTTTCTTCACTCTTTTTTTGGTTTTTTTTGGCAACAGTTACTATATTCTTTTTGTCTTCACCACAAGATATAGTTGAGGGTATTTATATTTGATACCCACCCACCCACCCACCCCAGTTAGAGTGGGCTATTGCTATATAAGTGTTTACGAGGTAGGCAGTAGTTTTATTGCCTGGGAAAAGCTCCAAAGCCATAGAGATTTAATTCTGATGAGATCTTAAGATTGTAATGGAATTGCAGTTACCATTTCTATTTGATGCAATCATAAGATTCAATATTTTTTAAGTCGTTTGTAGTTTGATCCATCAAACCATAGTTATCCGTGTCGGATTGCGTTACATTGTAATTAATAAATGTAATGTAAAAAAAACAATTAGATTATGTTGTTGGTTATTTATTTATTTCTTCCCTTATCTATAGATTTTAATGTATTATAACAAAATAAAAAGTAATATAAAATAAATATTTGATTTAATATTTTAAAAGAAGAATTAATAAATATAAGAAAGCAAAGTTTATCTATTACAATTATCACCGCACATAATTAAATTTAATTTATGTCATCACGTTTATTTTCTTTAGAATACAGAGGGGAGTTAGTTTTTAGGGGAAATATCAATATAAGAAATTTTAGATGAAGATTCAGTTTTTATTTCAATATTTTTTTAAAAAAATTTAAATAACATTCTATTATAAATATTATATAAATTAAATTAAACTAATTAACTATTAAACCTTAAATTGATTAGTAATATACTAAAGTCCTCCTAGAGGAATGCATCTTTTGTGTTTTTTAGTAAATTAAATTAAAAAAATATATATTAACAAATAAAAATATATAAAATAATTTTGATGTTTTTCATAAATTAAAATAATACTTTTCAGTTAAAAAAATATAATATAATATAATATAATATAAATGCAATTTTACTTTTGATATTAAAACAAATATAGAGCCACTATTCACAAATATAAAGTAAATATTTAATTTAACTTTTTTATTTTTTATAATATGAGAATTCGCGCGTGAGTAAAGTAAACATTGATAGCAATGATAAAACTTAAGAGACTAAACCCAAAAAAAAGACTATAAGGCGTCAACAAATATTCAAGAATCCTTACTTAAAATTCGACGATGACCACTATGGTGTAAATGTAGCATCGCAGAGTGACGAAAGATTAGCGGACTATTGACAAATATGATTCAGACAATGATAGCAATTATAAAAGTTAAAATTAAACCGAAAGACTATAAATCATCAACAACAAGTATTTAAGAACCTCCTACTTAAAATTCGATGAATTGCTCGCAAACTAACTCAAACGGCGGATAGTGACAGTGACGATAGGTTAGCGCACTACTGACAAATATGATTCAAACATTGATGACGATGATAAAAATTAAGATTAAACCGAAAGACTATAAATCGTCAACGACAAATATTTTTTTAAAAAAAACTACTTAAAAATTCGACAAATCGTTCGCAAACTCAAATCAAGTTCTCAAAGTCTATAAAACCGAGCGCGAAATTTCAGCTCGAGTAGAATAATCCGGTCTATCACCATCCCTTATTATACCCCTTCGAAAACACAGCAGAAAGTTCATCTAAAAAGCTACACTTTCATACACTATGCAGTATCATATCAAATCAGAAAGATAGTCTTAGCCTTTACCCGTTTCGTTCGCCACGACGAATCATCGATCGAAGGTTCTCTGCGGATTAATTTTAGTGCCCACATTGCGCTGAAACGGACTCGTCGTTTGTCTGCGACGCCGCAACTTCAGACCCGACAAGAGCATTGCAGTTGCTGCTATTCGACGCGCCATTGTCAGCTTCCTCGATTCGAGATTCCATGGAACTGTTAGTCGACTCGTTCGACTTCACCGCAAGACGAGCACGTTGAGAAGGATGTGAGTTAATATCCTTCCCTTTACGCTTTCGGTTTACGGTTAAATACCCGTCTGCCAGCGCCTCGAGCGCTCTCGACGTCGGGGGACGGTTCCTCGTGCTATGTCTAAGAGGATTCACATTCTGCGGCAGCGGCGGCGGTGGCTCCGATCTAACCTCAGTAACGGGGGACTTACGCGCGGAATTTTGGTCGTGATTTGCCGCGTCAGGGGGAACTTGAGGCAAGTTGAGATCGATCATTGTCTGATTTTGAGGATTCTCGATGCTCTCGTCCGGGCTGCCTCTCGACGAGCTCGTCGACGACAACTTATCGCGATACGACCCCGCTTGAAAAGACGAATTACCCATAGCATCGTGAACGCTTGTGCAACAGCTCGGAGGCATCCCGTTCTCCAGCGCCGTACTCGTTTCTTTCTGATTGCAATGCACCAGAACTTGCCTCTGCGGTTTGACGACGGGAACGTCTGCATTGCCTTGCTTCCTGTTCCGGCTCGTCTGCGATTTCGCGGCGGTCATTTTCGACTGATTGTTCCCTTTTGAAGCCTTCTTCTTCTTCTTCTTCGAGTCGTTGCTTTTCTTGGAAGGAAGCGTTTTCTCGACAGATTTAGCTGTTTTTGCTCGGAGGTTCTCCGGGACAATGTTTGATACGTCGCTGGTCTCTTCAGAAGTCTCGTCGTCGCTAAATTCAACGCAAGCCCGAGAAATGAATACGTCGGAATACTCGGACGGGAGAGTTCTCAATTCCCTTACTTTTCCGTCGGATAGACTCGTATCGACCACGGTGAATTTCAAGACGGCGACGTTGCGGTTAGGCGTCTTCGGTTGCAAATAAAGAGGCCTTTGCTTCTTAGGGAGATGACCGTTGCCGTCATCGTTTTCATTGTCGTCGTCGTCAGATTTCTTATTTACGTCAACTCCTTCGGCTTCGAGCTCAATCAGCTCGGGCTCCTTCGCCACTCTGCTCAAGATATCGGTCACGGAATCGTAATAATGTACGCCTTTCTCGAGCTTACTTCTCGAGAACTTCTTGACTCCCGGGATTAAGAAAACCAGACACTGCTTCGATCGAGGCTTCTCCGAGCGCCAACCCCGCTCCAGCAAACGCGGCCAAACCGCTTCATAGAACAAGTCGTTCGACCTAGCTTTGCTGAGCCGATAATTACCACTCAAGAACTTGACAATGTCCGTAGTTGTAAGAGACGAGCAATCCTTCCCAGTCGGGATCTCGGGGCGTGCGGCGATCGCATGATTGGATTTTGAAGATTCCAATGCCATTCCCGTCAAATCGTGCTTTCCCGTCCCGATTCCGATAGCTTCGATGAGAGTTGCCATCCCAACCATGGCCTTCAAGGAAGAGACGTAGTCGGATAGCGACGTTTTTTCTTCCACAAACGTCTTGGAGACCTACACGATGAACCAAAACGAAAGGTTAGTCGAATTTTTGCGAAATTAAAGAAATCGATAACGAAATTCGAGTACCTCCAGTACAGCATTTCGGCATTCTTCCGACACTTTTGGAACTATCCGAGACAGCAGTTCCTGCTGCCTCAGTCCCGTGAATATTCTCTGGCCGAAAATGCATCTCCTGTTCTTCATCTTTCGGCACTGCGTCCATCTCTGATATTCCTGCGATCCGTAAAACTTCCCATAGTAGAACGACAGCAGAGAGCCCATCTCTTTTGTCCCGACGAATCGCCTGACCTCTACAAAATTCTTCTCAAATATGTACAACCCGAGTAGGAAGCTGTCCTTCTCAATTGCAGTCCAATCTTTTTCATCGAATCCCGGGACAAGACGAAGCCCCGGACCGCCGCTGAAATTCTGACTCGTTGAATCACGCGTATGATCAATCTCGCTGCAAAAGATCTCGTTCTTGGTCGTGATTTGTGTCGAATCCGAAGTGGTTGAGCTGCCACAAGTTGCTGGGGCGTCAGGTTTTCCATTTCCGACCCATGTCAAGAACACGGGCATTCCAACCACGAAATTTTCAGCTGCTCGTTTTTTTTTATTCGGCATGTCATAAAACTCTTGAAAAAGTGGAGGAAGTTCAGCTTGGTATTCATCTCCAACTCGCGGCAATATTTCCGGTTCTCCAAATTCGTCGATCACATCCGAAGGAATGGACATAATTTCAGACACTTCAATCTCTGCCCCGGAGTTGCCACTGCCCGGGGGAAGTAACTTCTTGACATGAACATTCTCAGAAGAAGCTGCATTTCGATTTATATGAACCGAATCCATCTGAGAAACAAAGCAAAACGATTTACAATCAGAAAATCAACAGCCTGCAGTTTCTCGACAAAAATTTTACTTGCCATTTAAACAACACCAATAGGTTCAGACTTAAGAGTTCAATTGTGGATTTCCGGAAACAGAATTGGACAAGGTAACAACATTAGTGTCGAAAAAGACTACAAAAAAACTCCAAGAAACACACAATTTAGACAACATAGAAAGACCAAATCTACAAATGATAATCGAACCCCAAAACACTACTAATCGAAAGTATCCACTATTTTAAAATCTTCACAACCTTTGTTTTCGTCTTGTAAAAGAACTAGATGAATAGTTCAACAAATGTAATCCATACACATACATAGGCCTTACAGTGCTTGAAAAATCGAAACAAACATAAAAGGAAAGAACTTCATAAGTAAAGTGGAATAAATCTAAACTTCGGCGACGAGCTTAGGGAAATTCGAAGACTAAATCTAAAAGAGCAAGAACGCAAAAGTACATTTCCTTTAAAGTCTTGCAGATTAAACACTAAAAAACCTACAGATTCGAGGCCTCGACCCGAGCCCTCAAGAACACAAAGCCACTAATTAACATTGAGTAATCACAGTCAACCAAATATCGAATTCGATCAAACATAATAACAAATCAGGAATCACTTGAGCACAAAGACAAGAACTTTTAATCAAACTTAAACAAACAAAGAAAACATCCAAAAATCACCAAACCTAACGCCCTAAATCCCCTATTCGGTGGCCCTAACTCGATTCCAATTCACAATCAAACTAACAAACAATCAATGAAACAAACAAACAGCAAATCCCATTGCCATAGCCATACAACAGAAACTCAAACTCAAACTCAAACTCAAAATCAAAATCAATCCATCAACAAATCTCCAACAAATCGAATCAACAAGAAACAATGCACAAATAAACTCTGCAACTCCACCAAAATTCAATGCGATCCCACCAAATTAACCTCCCCAACACAAACTCAAAAATTTCTATTCCCCTAAGAAACAAAAACACAAAAACACATACAAATACATTTATGCATGCACACACCGTACAGCGACGGAACGGCGCCGACGGGAAGCTCACAAAAATGGGTTTAGATGTGAAGCAACAGAGCCGTGAATAAAACACACATAAAAATAACCCATACAAAATACACGCACAAGAACACATACAGTAAACGGTTAATTCATCTGGGGCGGCTATACATACAAGAAACTGTATGTATACGCCGAGGAGATAGAAAGAGAAACAAAAACCTGGGTTTTCCTCAACAAGAGCAGAGCTTTTCTTTTCCTTCTCTTTTGTTTTTTTTTTTTTTTTTTGTGGAGAATTGAATCGAACTATCGAAGAGATAGAGAAATAAAAAGAGAGACTTTCGTATTTCTGAATTTTTTTTCCGCTTGTTGCTTTGTAGTGAGAAGAATAATTTTCACTTTTATATATAGAGAGAAGAAAAAATTAGGAAAAATTAAAAATTAAAACAATAATAATAATAAAATAAAAGAACCAGATATGAAGAACGAGGGAATTCCCACGCGCCGCGGCCGAGCGTGCTTCCACGCGCCGGGAAGTTGCTTGCGGCAATACTATTTATAAATCTGCATTTTTTTAAAAAAAAATTTAAATTAAATTTAAAAGTATGCAAAGAAAGAAACCATTTATTGTCTATTATTTCATATTAACTGCTTCCTACCTAAATAAAATTACGTATACAAAAAAATATAAATATATGTAGAAACAAATGGGTGTGTTATTTTGTGAAAAATATTATATATATTCATATATCATATAAATATAATTATATATTTTATTCATTATAATTTTAATATAAAAATATTATTTTTTGTATTACCGATACATCTTTTTATACGTAATATTAAAAAAAAATACACCCAATATTTTGAAAATGATTTTGCATAAAATTATTCTTGCAATTTCATTGCAACGATCGAATTCGCGAATTATTATATCGGGGCGGTTGTCGGTGGAATCATTCCTTTGTATTTTTTCTTTATAATTTTACTTTCGAAATTTTGTTCTATTAGATTTTTTATTATTAGTATTATGTAATCATTACAAAATATTTTTTAAATGCATAAAGCATTAATGAAATGCATAGAATTTGTTTTTTAGTTTAAAGTTAAATATTTAATTTGAATTTTAATTTTAAAAATGTTTTGATATAATATATTGTTGAAATAAATAATATATTATTATAAAGAGTTACATTGAATAATGATAATTTTTGTTTCAAATAGAAAGTAAATACACTCATATTTCAATTTGTCTGATCCAAATTTATATGTAAACATATTTAAAGAGCTTTCTTTTTTTTTTCCCTTTTCCTTTTTAGATTTTTTAGGTTAGATATATATTTTAAAATTCTTTCAACTTTCCTATTATGTAATTAATTTGAAATAAGATATTGATTTCAAATTTTATTTAAATAGTATTTTAATATGACATTTTATAAAAAATAATAGGTTTTTTAATTAAAAATTGTAAAAGTAAACAATGTTAATTTTATTTTTTAATTACAAAATAACAAATCCATAGTAATGTTGTAATAAATACCACTATTATTTTCTCTTACATAAAATTACATTCAAGTGATTATTTTTACAAAAAAATAAAAGATAAAATAAAATTACAACTAAAACAAAAACAAAAACAAAAAAGCACCAAAATATATTTCTATTGATTAGATACATAGTAAAAATAATAAATAAAAAAGTAGAGCTTTTATATTATTTATTTTACATATATATATATTAAAGGGATTATAAATATGATATTATATCTATAAAACATTGAATGAAATATTTTTAAGAGAAATATAAAACATACAAAACAAATGTGAGTGTGTGTGTTTTTATCATTTTTATTAAAAATATATTAGTTTTTTTACAAAATATTACATCAAAATATTATTTAAATAAAATTTAAAATCAATATCTCATTTCAAATTACAACCAAATCCTATATTAATTATAAAAAAAAACAAATATAAATATCTAAAATGCTTCAAAACACAATAGTTTACTTACTTAGTTTTTATTGTAACATTTATCCATTTTTTATTTTATCTATTTTTCAATATTTTGAAAAAAAAAAAAAAAAAAAACTAGAAAAACTTAAAAAAGTTAGGAAAAAAAAACTTTTTGTGTTTTCGTTTTGACTAGTTTGTTTGACCGGTGAATATTTGGTGAGAATTAATACAATATATTTTTATTGAAAAATAATTAATTAAAAAGAATAAATCAATTATTTCTAAATTTAAATATTGTGAATTTATTTGATTTTGATTTGAAATTATTTTATATTAATTTTTTTAATATTTTAATGTGATATTTGTCTGAATAATATTAATTTATATTTGAAATATAAAATAAATTAATGTTATAATGTGTTCATTTTTTTTTAATCTTTTATTGTTTAATACAATATATTTATTTTATTTCATAGAAAATATTATACCAAAAAATATTATTCAAATAAAAAATAAAATGACAAAAAATCATCGGAGGAAGAAAGTGGGCTATCGTATACTTACAAACATGAAGAACAAACTTCATTTTCGAATTGGGTTGAAATTGTTCTTATTATTAACCCGAGCTATTTAATTTTTGGGCCTAAAATTAATTTAACCCAATAAACGGAAACATAATTGTGTCACGTAATCAATAGTCAATCTGTTGGTTGACTATTAATTCTTTAAAGCATATACAATAGTCAGCAATCTAGAAGCTCTTAAAGCAGTGGAGAAAGTTTTGACAAAAAAAAAAAAAAAAAAAAGTACCCATTGCAATGATTTTTCTATCGAAGCCAAAAAATTGATGGGGTTTTGAGTATCTCTCGTAAAGTCGAGGCATATAGAGCAACAACAATGGTTTCAACGGTCCATTTTCGTACTACAATTTAGAATGTCGAACGCTCCATCATTTCCGAAGTTCGATTCTTCGAACTTGCGAGGCTACAAAATGGATTTGAAAAGTACAGAGTGTTGAGATATTTAGATATATAGTTTTATATTTAGTAGATTTATTTAAATTTGATTTTATCTATATATTAGATTACTTAAATTTGAGTCTATCGAGTCTGTTTTGTATTGCCGGTACATAGACTCTTTATTTTAATGATCAATAAGACAATTTTATTATTTTTTTCCTATTTTTCTAACAATGAGTCCGAGAGAAATTAATTTTATAGAGAGAAAAAAAACTATTTACTTTTCTACTTTTCGTATATAAATGAAAAAACTCATTTTTTGGAATATTATAATTTGAATTTTACAAAGTAAATTCATGTCGTGAAGATGAAACATTCATGCAACAAAAATGGGCTGTATTTGAGGGTCTTTCGTTACTTTTTAGAATACTTTATCCTGATTTTACGAGTTATGTTTTTTTCTAGATAATATGACTGGCGAAATATTTCTTATATACACGTTTACTCAAATGATCGTTGTATCATTCTTCTACGAAGATTATGGATTTGTTTCCTTTGACAAGAAATCACATTTTTTTTGGTATTTGAATTCTACGTTACATTATCAAATTAAAACCAAAATTTTTCTAAACTTTTTCAAAAGAAAGATGCTCTATGTTCTTTATTATATATACATCTCTTGTAGACTTTTGGTGAATCAAGTGATCAAGTCAGAGATGTGCCATTGGATCATTGGTAAGTTCTCACAATATCACCATATTTCCCATATTAATAATTTCAGTACTATATAAGTAATAAATACATGTGTAGATCAAGAAATTGATCTAATGATCTATATCCATAGCCCTAAATTTTTGAGCTCATTTAGGAGTTTATTTTTACGATATAATACAAAATTTATAAATATATGTATAATATCAAAAAATATATATTAAAATTAATTTGGTTGTATTTAAATTTAAATTTCTTAATCATGGAAGAGTGGAACCTCTCCTTTGATTATGCTTGGTAAAAATATTATTTCAGTCCTTAGGGCTGATAAACGGATCAGGTCGGGTCGAGTTCAGGTTCGGGTCAGTTTAAACGGATTACAAAATTCTTGACCGACCTATTTAATTAAATGGGTTGATATTTGTAATTTTAACCTAATCTTTTATTAATCGGGTCAACCTGAATCTGACTCATATAACCCGTTTAAATCTAAAATATTTATATTTTAATTTAAAATTACAATTTATACTAACAAATTTTTAAAAGCATAGTATATATACATATTAAAGTAAAAAATTATTTATTCATATCATGAAACCAATATTCAAGAATTGAATTAACAAACACTACATAATAGTACACAACACAATCATTTATTTTTTATTGTTTATTTTTATAAAATTGGCCATAAATATTGAATTTGTATTGATAAAATTTTAAAAATATATTTAAATTTAAAATAATATTAATTAAAAAGGTTAGACGAGTTATTTTCAGGTCGAAAATGTAGACCTTAACCTGACCCATTTAATTAAATAGGTTAAACGAGTTTGACCCAATTATTAATTAGGTCAAAAATCTCAACTCAAATCCAACTATTTTAGGTCAAATTCGGATCAAATTATCAGGTCTGGTTAATTTTTGCCAGGCCTACCTATCATATAGTACTTGTTATTAAAGAAATATAAAATGCTCAATTATTATTATTTATACATAATAAATATAAAAGTTATATAGATTAAAAATAAAAACCAAAACAAAACAAGCACACAATTCGAACTAAAGTTCACAACAGACTGCGGCTGCGCCCCTGAGCTGTGTTCTGTGAGTGTTACTATCCCACATCGAAAGAATACAGAGATAAGCTAATAAGCAGCCTATAAATTAAGACGTCCTGGGCCAGTCAAGCTCATACCTTTCTCGGCCTTTTGGCTAAGATCAAGTGTAGTATCTGTTCTTATCAGTTTAATATCTGATACGTGGGCCAATGGCCCACATGATATTAAATTAATTTTTTTTGAGGGAAAGCCCATTAAGTCAGCTTGCTGGCTGGGTTTTCACGTGTCGCTCATGCGTTGCACTATTGCACGAGCCTGGCACACCCCACCATTTCGTAGTAAAGTTGTTTTCTTATTACGTAAAAGCGTTAGCGATTTCTATTATTGTCATTTATGTATGGCAAAATATTAAGTAAAGTTGCTACGTAATTTCCAAAATCGTGTTTGCGTTTTCTATTATTGATATTTATTGTTAGATTGTTACTTAATTCATAAAAGCGTGTTGCGCCGTATTATGTGTAAAATTGTACATCTGAGTTCTTTCATTTTTATACATTCCTTCTCTCAAACAACTTCTGTTGCTTCTGGTTCAAAACGATGCTGTCCGAGCTCCCCCGAGATATCATGATCGATATCTTCTCGAGACTTCCGGCAAAGTCCGTAGGCAAGTGTAGGTGCGTAGCTAAGCCATGGCAGAGTCTGCTCTCCACCCCTCAATTCATCAGAACCCACCTCAGTCGAAAACCCCATCAAGAAACCCAGCTTCTAATAGCCGGCACTCATTCTATGTTCTCATCTTCCGAAATTGGCCGTAGCAGTGCGTCGAAGAAAATCGAATTGGGCGACACATGGACAGAATTCGTGGGTTCTTGTGATGGACTTGTTTTGCTAGTCAACGAAGTAGACGAGGTATTTCTGGTGAACCCTACAACTTTAGAGCAGGTATACATGGCAGATTCTCCCCTGGCTTTGAAATGGAACGAGAGCTTTAGAATGCACGGGTTTGGATATGATAGTTGTAGTGATGATTATAAGATCGTTACACTCTCTTACTACAACACAGACAATGAATATGAGCCTGATTGTGCCGATACATTTGTGGACGTGTATTCTGTTAAAAGAAATCTTTGGAAAAGGGTTGATGTTTCTCCTTATGATCATGCCGTTCCGGAGCTTTCTCCGGGAGCTTTTGTTAATGGCGCCATCCATTGGTTAGCCAGCAGTAGGGAAGCAGGTTATCGCTCTGTTATTGCTGCTTTTGATTTGGCTCACGAGGTGTTCGACGAAATTCCTCCTCCAAATGGTATGGATGTGGAGAAGTTTGTGTTTTTTACCCTTGCTGTTTTCGATGGGTGCCTCTGTATGGTCGATATTCACAGCTGTAATCTAGCGGATGTTTGGATTATGAAGGTGTATGGCTCGGCTGATTCTTGGATGAAAATTAACATTGCTGCTGATTACGAATGGAATGTGATCAAACCTCTGTGTTTCGTTGGCGGCGTTAATGGTGGTGATATGGTGTTGATTACTGAAGGGGAAACTTTGGTTGTGTATAATCAGGCAGACGGAACATTGAGGGATGTAGTTGTCGATGGAGTTCCCTTCGCTTTAGATGGAGGCACCTTTGTTGAGACCCTTGTTTCGCCTTCTTTTCATTTAGGGGATATGAGTGGATGAACAAACTTGGGTAAATCTCTTTGGAGTGGAGTTTGTATGCATCTTTCGATCTTTCTTACTAGTTAATTGCACGTTCTTGGGTGTTTATCAGTGTCACAGTATACGCCTCTACTTAGATTAAATTCCATCTTTGTGTAAGCTTTACACTCTACGCGCTGCTGTATTAGCATTGGTTTGTTTGTTTGGATATTTTATGTGCTTCTATATTGAGTGTTAATCTCCTTCCTGGGGTTCTTTCATCCAATAATTTGGTCTTTTGTTTCAACTCTCAATAATTTTAAGCCCGAAAGTAAGAGTCACTATGATATTTGGCTTTGCAACGTTTGTATATTCTGCCAAGCTAGATGGCCAGATGAATGTATTTTCCGGTTCTTTTGATGGGCTGGTTTTGCTAGTCGGAAGGGCCGGCAGGTTCCTGATGAGTACCACAATACAAGCAGGCAAAAAATCCTCGATTTCATTTCCCCTGGTATTGAAAACGGACCTATTCTATGGAATGAAGGGATATTTATGTTCTTCCACAGCAGCAGGTGATGATTATAATACCGCGACTGTCTTTACCGCAAAAACTAAAACTGCTGCTATCATTTTCAGGTGTCTTGATTTGCAATCTTTGCTCGGTGGTCGTTATTCTCACTTGCCGATTGGATTATGAAGAAGGTTAGGCTAGTTCTTGTTGTTTCAAAACTTAGTGTCACTCTAATGATTATGGTTGCCATTTGTTTTGTATCGATCATTTGCATTTGATGTTAACACATTTCATGATTATTAATAGCAGCAGGATAGTATGAATGGTCACTGAACATTCAACCTCATCCATCCATATATACAAATTCTACTGCTGCCTTTGCTTCAGATTCTGACTGTTTCCTCCTTGTTTTACACAAAAGTCTGATTGTGCTGTTTTCTTTGAATGATGTTGTTCTGATCCTTCATGTTGTGTGTTTCTATAGTGTTTAGTTATATAGAGTTGGAAATTGCAAAGCTACTTTCTTGCTCTGTAATACTATACTACTATAGACTCGTCCGTCCCACATCGGAGGGACAGGAGAATGGGCTAATAGGTGAGGCTATAAAAGAAGACGTACTAGTTCTGTTCAAAGCATACCTTTCTCGGCCTTTTGGCTAAGATCAAGTGTAGTATCTGTTCTTATCAGTTTAATATCTGATACGTGGGCCATCGGCCCACATGATATTAAATTAATTTTTTTTGGGGGAAGGCCCAATAAGTCAGCTTGCTGGCTGGGTTTTCACGTGTCGCTCATGCGTTGCACTATTGCGCGAGCCTGGCACACCCCACCAAATTAATATAAATATTTTTGCTCACAAATTTTATTTTTTAAATATATTAAATTCAAATTATTTTTTATATTATTATTATTAAAAACTAAATTTACATTTATAATTTGGTTTAAGTTGCGTTTGTCTTGTCTCGCGTACTTTTCATTTCGCACCATCACTTGGATCTTTTTTGCTTGTTTGTTTTTTTACATATATAATGTTACATAATAGTGAAGTTAATCCATGGATGATTTTGAATGAAATTAGTGGTGCCTTTGTTCATATTTCTGATATTTTCATTTTGGTTTACATATTCGAATCATTTCAAACTTTCTTTGACTTTTTATATTTATACTTGTCTGCTACTTGGATTAAACTCCATCTTTGTATAAGCTTTACTCGCTACGCACTGGTGTATTACCATCAATTTGCGTAGCTGGTGTATTACCATTGCTTTCTTTTCAATTTGTTTCAATATTTCATATTTCATTCAATAATTGTGGTCTTTTGTATGAACTGTTATCGTTATGCTATATCAGAAGGACAGGAAAGAATATATAAAGGTATGGAGCACTGTCACCAAATTCAACTCAATAGTTTTAAGCCCAAAAGTGAAAAGTCAGTGTGATATTGGCTTGGCAACTTTTATATATTCTACCATGTAATTGTAAATGGTTCTTCCAAAAGATCTGAAAATCTAAAACATCTTTCTCAAGTGATCTCCCAAGTTGATGTCCAGATGACTGTATTTGCCGGCCCTCGTGAATCGTGATGGGCTGGTTTTTCTAGTTGGAATAGTAGACGGTTTCCTGATAAATCCGACAACATAAGAGCAGAAAAAAATCAATGATTTCATTTCCCCTGGTATTGAAAAGGGACCTATTCTATGGAATGAAGGGATATTTAAGTTTCACAGCAGCAGCAGCAGCTGATGATTATAATGCCGCGACTGTCTTTATGAAAAAACAAAGACTGACCCTCTCTTGAATGGAGCTGTCCATCGTTTACAGGTATCTTGATGCAGAGGACTTGTGATATTACCATCTTGCAATCTCTGCTTGGTGGTCTTTCCTTTCACTGGCCTACTGGATTATGAAGGTTAGGCTAGATCTTGTTCAAAACTTGATATCGCTCTAATGATTATGATTACCATTTGTTATGACCTCTTTGTTTTGCTGGGGTTAATGATGATAGTATCGTCATTTTAGTGAATCAGGAGGAGATCGTGGCTGTGTAATTGGGAAAACAGAACACTGATGGAGATCCACTTGTGAGAGCAGCCATGGATGTAAGCTTCTTTATCTAGATGCCGCCCGGTATACATCTGTCTACGCTAAATCTTTGATTTCTTGATTCATCCTTGCAGTAAAGTTCATCCATCCATTTTAGTTAGCAGCACATGTTCTAGTGCTACCTTTGCTTCAAGGTTCTGATGATTTTTATTTGGGAAAAAAAATCAATTTTGTCCCAATATAATCAAAATTTATCAATTTTGGTCCAAATATAAAAAACTCATCAATTTTGGTCATAATATAAAAAATTCATCAATTTTAGTCATAATATAAACAATTTCAATCAATTTTGGTCCCATTATAAACAATTTTTATCAATTTTGATCCTACTGTTAAAAAACTAACGAAAATTGCTGACGTGGACATGACGGATGTGACGTGGCAATTGACTTAAAAAGTACACCATGTACAATTATACACGACCATGTATATTTCAGTGTATAATTATACATGACCATGTTGTTACACGGCCATGTACAATTATACACGGCCATGTACATTTCTATTTTAGTTTAATTTTTTTTTGGTTATATTTTTTTTAAAAAAAATTATTTTGAATTTAAAATAGTTAGATATACTTAAAATGGACAAAATCAATAGTAATTATAATATAATTAAAATTTATCAATTTTAATTCAAATATAAAAATTTATATGATATATTCTTTTGAAAGATTTTGTTTAAAATTTTATTATTCATACAAAAAATTTCACTTACAAACGTCTAATTACACAACTATTTTTTAATTTTGTATATTATAGTAGTATTAAAAATTAATTTATTATTTCAATACATTTAATTGGATGTTTGTAAGCTAAATTTTTTTGTTAAATAGTAGAATTTTAGATAAAATCTTTCAAAAGAACATACTCGATAAATACTTATATTTGAACTAAAATTGATATATTTTAATTATATTATGATTATTAATGTTTTTTTTTTTCATTTTAATTATATCAACTATTCTAAATTCAAAAAAAAATTTAAAAATATAATAAAAAATTAAAATTTTAGACCGAAACAGAAAGGTACACGGCCGTGTAGAATTATATATGACCGTGTAATAACATGGTCATGTATAATTATAAACTGAAATATGCATGGTCATGTAATAAGATGGTCGTGTATAATTGTACATGGTCGTGTAACAACATGACCATGTATAATTATACACTCAAATATACATGACCCTGTAACAACATAGCAGTATATAATTGTACATGGCTGTGTGCTTTTCAGGTTAACTGTCACGTCACCTCCGTCATGTCTACGTCAGCAATTTTCATTAGTTTTTTTTAACAGTGAGACCAAAATTGATAAAAATTGTTTATAATAGAACCAAAATTGATTGAAATTGTTTATAACGGGACCAAAATTGATGAGTTTTTTATATTGAGACCAAAATTGATAAATTTTGGTTATATTGGGACCAAAATTGATGAATTTTTTATATTGGCACCAAAATTGATTAATTTTATTATATTGGGATCAAAATTGATTTTTTCCCTTTTTATTTTATTTTTTATTTTTTTACTGTTGTTATTTTATCTTCATGGTGTAAGGTAGTGCCACGTGTGAGTGTGTTTGTTTAGGAGTTGAATGTAGCACAACTGAACAATGGACGCCTGGAAGGAATCGTTGTAGACTTGTAGTGTGTCAAAATAATTGTCTTAACCGAATATATCTTAGTTCCCTTCCTCTTTTTTCTTCAGCTATCCCACATCGGAGAGACAGGAGAATGGGCTAATAGGTGAGGCTATAAAAGAAGACGTCCTAGGTCCATTCAAAGCATACCTTTCTCGGCCTTTTGGCTAAGATCAAGTGTAGTATCTGTTCTTATCAGTTTAATATCTGATACGTGGGCTATCGGCCCACATGATATTAAATTAATTTTTTTCGGGGGAAGGCCCATTAAGGCAGCTTGCTGTCTGGGCTTTCATACGTCGCCTGTGCGTTGCACTGCTGCATAGGCCTGGCGTACCCCACCAAACTAGCTTAACTTTGCGCGCAAAATTACAGCCCTTTGGTAATGGCTGTGTTGGTTTATAAAATTTTATTTAATTTTTACTATTTATTATTATTAAGTATGGAAACGTTAAATTATGTGGGAACGTAGAATTATTTGTTTAATCTCCATTGTTTGCTGCAGCCCTTCACTTATCTATTTCTTGTTTGTTATGTTACATAGTATTGTTGCCTATCTGCATTTATAGTAGTACCCATTAGCAAAGTTCATCCATGGATAAATTTTGGTAGGAATGATTGGTTCCTTTTGTTTATACCCATTAGCAAAGTTCATCCATGGATAATTTTGGTAGGAATGAGTGGTTCCTTTAGTTTCCTTTTAGACTTTTAGTTACATGTTCATCCTCATTTTCAAACTTTATTCGACTTTGTTTTAATTTTTATACTTGTTTGCTTCTGCTGGTATATGTTACTGCAAAGAAATTCATTATATAAATAAATTATATAATGTGCGCAATGAATGCATCTTTTGATCTTTCTAACTTGTTATTGCGTGTTCTTGTGTGTTTTATCAGTGTCATAGTATCCTCCCCTACTTAGATTAAATTCCATCTTTGTGTAAGCTCGACGTTACGTACTGTTGTATTAGCATCGGTTTGTTTTTATTTGTAAATGGTGCTTCCAAGTTCCAACGGTTCTGAAAATCTAAAACATCAATGTCTCAAGAAAGCTCCAAGTTGATGGCCTGATGAATGTATTTACCGGTTCTTGTGATGGACTGATTTTGCTAGGCTAGTTCTTGGTCAAAACATAGTATCACTCTACTTAATTATGGCTATTTACATTTGTTACGAACTTTTTGTTTTACTTGTGTTAGTGATGGATGATATCATTCTTGGCTGTCCGGAAAACAGAACAATGGTGGGGATCCGGTTATTGATGGAGATCAAGCATCCATGGATGTAAGCTTCTTTATCTAGAGCCTTTATTCGCCTACTAAGTTAATGGCTTAGTTAGTTGATGCCACCCTAAAATCTTTTGATCTCTTGATTCTATATTTATGCATGTATAATTTTATCGATCTTTTGCACTTTGATGTTTACCACACATCTTGCTTGCTTATGATCTCTTTGATTCTATAATCAGGTTGGGAATTCGCCTATACATAGTTTCTGTACTGTAACCTCAGCTTCCCACATCGGAAGGACAGGAGAAATACGCTAATAGGTGAGGCTATAAAAGGAGACGTGCTGGTACCGTCCAAAGCATACCTTTCTCGGCCTTTTGGCTAAGATCAAGTGTAGTATCTGTTCTTATCAGTTTAATATCTGATACGTGGGCCAATGGCCCACATGATATTAAATTAATTTTTTTCGGGGGTGGGCCTACCAAGGTAGCTTGCTGCCTGGGCCCTCATGCGTCGTCTGTGTGTTGCACTATTGCACGGGCCTGGCGCACCCCACCAAATTATTTATATTATTTGTCTCTTTTTTGTATATATTTTGAGCAATGAACGTGCTCCCCAAGCGCCGGTGTATATATACATTTTCTTATCTATATTTTATTTTCTAGTTTTTGAAATTTAAGTTTTATTCCAAAGTTTTTATTTTAATTATATTTATTGTGTAAAATTTATGTAAATAATAATAGATTAAATTGTTATAATATAAAAACAATTAATATAATAAGTTTAATAAGTAATTAAATAAATATTTGAATTAAAATATATTTCTTGTGTGTTATTTTTATCAGTTTCATAGTATCCTCCCCTACTTAGAAAAGTTATAGTTTTGTGCGTACACATAATGTTCACCTAATTGTAGAGTTCAGCCATGGATAAATTTTAGAGACTTGGTGCCTTGGTTTATATTTCTGATTGTTTCCTATTGTTTTTGTGTCCTTTTGCTTTGCTTCTGCTGGTGTGAATAAATTATATACCTTAGCAATGATTACTGTATTGAATTCTATGGAATGAAGGGATTTATGTTCCACAGCAGCAGGTGATGATTATAATACCATAGACTATCTTTGAAGTTACTACTCTTGGCCTTTTGGTGCCTGGGTTTTTATGCAAAATTGACATGATTCATAACTTCCATTGATCCTAGGTTTATCAAAAGAGATGATTTGAGGAAACACATTGGTCATGTCCTGGAAATAATGGGTTGTCTCTGCTGGTTGAGGTGAAATTTTGTGGTTCTTGTTATGGATTTGCTTTGCTGGTAGAAGAAGTATTTGTGGGTAATGTCTTGGATTTGCATGTGATGAGTCTCACAATAAAAGAGGAGAAAAATAAATTTGTACGGTTGTCATGAATTGTGTTTCCTTAGGGATGATGATGGTGAGGTTTTGCCATGTTGGTGATAAATTGAGAAAAAGTTGGGTTGAATATAATCGAGAAGAGCAAATGATGAGGGATGTATATATTGTTCTTGATGTAAATGGGGTTGGCCTTGTCTTGCTTACTTTTGATTTAGTTGGTCCCTATAGTTCCCTTCTTCCTTCCTTATGTTTGTTGAGTGCAAGCTTAGTACGGGGCCTATGTATGTACGTTTATTATAATGGGGATGGGATGGTTATTGATGGAGAGCCATTTGTGAAAGCAGCAGCAGCAGCAGCAGCAGCTATGAATGTATATAAATATAAAAGAATCTTTCATCTCTTGGGTCTATCTGCTTTTATTGATCTTGAACACAAATTCTAATTGTTTCCTGTTCGTTTTACTTTTACCTTATCTGCTTGACTTGTGCTGTTTCTGAAGTTTTCATTCTTCTTCTCCTCATTCATTGTATTTGTATGAATACTAAATATAGTACTCCATAAATCCAGTCTCGACATCCCACATCGGAGTGACAGGAGAAAATAGGCTAATCGGTGAGGCTATAAAAGGAGGCGTGCTGGGACCGTCTAAACCATACCTTTCTCGGCCTTTTGGCTAAGATCAAGTGTAGTATCTGTTCTTATCAGTTTAATATCTGATACGTGGGCCATTGGCTCACATGATATTAAATTAATTTTTTTCGGGGGAGCGCCTACCAAGGTAGCTTGCTGCCTGGGCCTTCATGTGTCGCCTATGCGTTGCACTACTGCTTGGGCCTGGCACGCCCCACCAATTCAGTATTAAACTTGATAGTTATTAGTATATTTATTTTTATTAATATATTTTTTAATTATTTATTAAATATATACATTTTCTAAGTTTTTGTGACATGCAACGTGGGATGAGCTCTCTCTACTGTGTGCTTCATAATTAGTCCCAGGCAAGTCACATGGTGAGTAGATGAGAAAGTTGTCTCATTTACTTTTGATTTATAGTTGATCCTAATTCCTAAGCGTTGGTGGTTCCATTCTTGCTTCCTTCCTTATGTTTGTTGACTGCAACCATCTCCTTATGTTTTTCTTGCTTTGTTAACACTAACACTGTAAAGTTGATCCATGGATGATTGATTTCAAGAGAAATTACTTGTGTTCATATTTCCGATTGTTTCCTTTCAAACTTTCATTTGTTTGCTTCTGCTGGACTGGTGGTATGAATAACTCTCCAGGAAGATTTTATACTCTGCTGTAATATCATACGCACTAGTTGGATTGGGTTTTTCTGTGCATCTTTTTGGGTTGAAAATCTTGTCGCTGGTTCAACCGAGAACACCCACACACACACACATATATATGTCCGTATGTATTCGTCAATTTTACTTTTACTGATTTGCTTCAGCGACGGAACTAGTCCTAAAATTTTATTGTATAATTAGTAAATAATTAAAAAATATATTAGTAAAAATAATTATGATTTAACAAAAATAATTAAAAATTAAGATCAAGAATTTAATTAAAATAAAAAAATTATAATTATGAATTTTAAAATATAATTAAAATGTATAATTATAATTTTTTTTTTAAAATGATAAGTTATATGAGACGAACGAAAATAAAAATATATGACAAATTAAATGGAATTGAGGGAGTATTGTCTTTTTCCATTTCTCCCCGTGCAACAGAATAAACAAGAATAAAGGGAAGAAATAGTTAAAAAATTAAATTTAATAAAACTAAATAATTTCTACTAAAAAAAGATTAAAATTTAAAAGTATAAATCAATAAAATTACAAAAAAATATTATTATTTTTTACACTATAGAATAAAAAATAAGGAGAGCAAAATAATAAAAGAATACATAAATTTATTATTTATTATATTAAAAAAATCATATATTTTAGGTCTGGGAGTCAGCTGTCCCTCCAACAGCTATGTAGTACCGTCCCTGCCTCGGTGGATTTCAGGACTCAGGTGTATCGTCTGGCATGTATTACGTCTTGAAATAACGGACATGCCAATAACCTGAGGTGTGTATTGCTTGGAAGTTAGTGCTGCCGAATTGCCAATAGGGTGGAATTAATTGTCCCACATCGAGGGACACTGGGGAAATAACAATGGGACGATGCTATAAATCAGGACGTTCTGGGCCTGTTAAATTCATACCTTTCTCGGCCTTTTGGCTAAGATCAAGTGTAGTATCTGTTCTTATCAGTTTAATATCTGATACGTGGGCTATTGGCTCACATGATATTAAATTAATTTTTTTCGGGGGAGGGCCCACCAAGGTAGCTTGCTGTCTGGGCCTTCATGCGTCGTCCATGCTTTGCACTACTGCTTGGGCCTGGCGCGTCCCACCAAATCTAGTTTTCTTATTATTTTGAGTTCATTTTATTGTGTAGAGATATTATTTAGATCTTGCTATTTGAAGAGTGTAAAAATTTGACTAATTATTTGTGTATATAGTATGTAGGATGAAAATATATGTATAAATATGGTTGTGTAAGTGAGAGAGAGTGAGAAAAGTTGAGTGATAGATTCAGGTATTTTTCTTTGGATAAGTTTGAAAAATTTTAATTTAATATTAAAATAATATATTATGATTCTTTGGATAAGTTTGAAAAAATTTTAATTTTAATTTAATATTAAAATAATATATTATGATGTTTTGCCAAATCCGAAGTTTTCATATTTTTTTAGCTTAAATAAATAATTAACATATTACATATATGTTACTGATATAGGTGACACACTACATGGATTACATTTCCAATATATATAGCTCAAGGAACATTTGAGGACAAAAATCAATCAAAATGTGGATCATCTTAATAAAATATACAATTTTTTAGGGGGCATAAATTGCTCCCCTCTAAAACTCACATCCCCCACTGTACAACAAAAGCCATAGATAGAAGAGGGAACAATAATAATAATAATAATAACAATATACTAGACACTGTCCCTCATCAGTAAGAAGTTAATATATATATGAGTGTCAAAACTGAGCCCTTCATATAAAACATGTAAAGGAACCATTTCTTTCTTTCTTTCTCTTGCATGATTCCCATCTAGACATAGGCAAAGTGTGTCTGAAACTTTTCTGCATATATACATGCGCCCTTATTGTTATATAAGGAGGAGTTGAAGATCTAATGTCTTCAAAAAGAATGGCGAGAAGACGATGACGATCCCCGTACGAAGAAGAAGATAGATTCATCACAACCTCACTAACCTCTATTGCCTTGGTTGATTATGTTAAATGCATTCAACACCATGCCCACGAGTTCTTTCACATTTTGGAAACTGAATTCTACGACCCTTTTAAGGGCGATTATTGCCTCAGTGTTCTGTGACTCTTCTACTTCTACCATAGCCGCCGAGAGTGTCTCTTGCAACTTTTTCGCTGCCTCCATCGCAGAATTTACATCCTTAGTCTGCCACAATGATTCCCACATCAAAACTAATCGATATACATACATAAAAAATATAAAATTTTTGAAAAGCAATGCTAATAATAATAATAATAATAATAATAATAATAATAGACTGCAGCAACTAAAAGAAGATAAAAATCACTATGGTGAACCAACTTACAAAGTCGAGCAGCCGAACAACGTTGGGGCGGTTGCGAGCTGGTATAATATGATTACCAGTTTGAGAACCACCGATTTTTGCCAAACTGCCCTTCTCAGCCGCTGCCAAGTTGTTTAAGTTATCTACATCAGATGCTGAAGATGACGGAGAATCACCTACATAAAAAAATATATATATATCCTTCAGGTCAAATCAACCGAACAAGAAATGTTCAGAACTTAAAGCAAGCCAGAATAAAAAATCTTTCAAGACAGGCACGAAGATTGTAATCATACATCATCCCATTCATGCATAAAGAAGGATACAAATTAGTATACGAAAGGGATTTTTAAAGATGCATTATTTAACTGAGTAACGATAATCGTAAGATAAATTGGTGCTGCCATGAAACATAACACAACTTTTGGAACCAGTAACACCCCCAGAATGGGTTATTCCGCTATGCTTTATCGTAGGAAAGGAAAACTAATGAAATACCTTGTGGAAGTGTAAGCAGATTTGATTGTAAATCACGCCAAACTCGATTAGTAGTTGAACTTTTGCAGTAAACTACCCTCATGTAAGCTATCTCCACACATTTGTACGCCAAAGTGGCTGCAGCCATTTCACAACCTTTTTCGTATTCGGAGGCACAGTTCCTGGAAATAGTGTAAAGTCAGTGTGAGTCAAACAAAAAATACAGCATAATTTATTACTTCCCCACCAGATTGCTCCCTAGTAAGGATTCAAAGCAGTAATAAGAAAATAACTCATCAATAACCTAAAATTTTTTCCTGTGAAACATGCTCGTGTTGTGTGTGTGAAGGAAGACAACACTGGAAATAGAAATATCTGAATTCCACAAAAATCCTTTCGTAAATCCATTATACATAGAGAGAAAGCCTATCACGAAATGAGAGGACAACAAAGATGACACAATTTTACTCACCTGAAAATCTTGGCGGCATTACCATACATTTGAATCGGACTCATCACTGGATGTTTGATACTTTCCCCATTGCACGTTTCCAAAAGAGAAGCGCCGTGAAGAAACTTCAAGGCAGCCTTGAAGTATTCATAGTTACTTTCAGAACTAAACCCAGTATTCTGCAGTTATGAAAATAGAAATAACAACACTTAGCAAGATATCGAACATGAGAAAAGAAAATGACATAACATTGACACCTTAAATAGGGAACAAATAGTGATATAGCTCAAGAAATAATAAGAAAGACCTTAATTAAATCGGCATGCGTCCTAAGTTTTTCAGCTTCTTTCCAAGCATCTTCAGCTTCTTTCAAGGCAGTACACATATTTCCGGTATTCTTATTTCCATGGTTTGCATCAAGAACCATAGATTGTTCAGCCTCATTATTGCCGCAGTTTCCAGTACCGTTCTGAGTTGCAGTCTCTTTTGAAGCCTTTGATGTCTGATCAACTAATGATGCACCAATCGAACTTTTCGAGGGTCTCGATGCTCTTGATCCATGTTTGCTAGGACCTAACACACCTTGGTTGTCTCCTTGACTTGAGTTGACCCACAACTTTCTAGAGGTTTGATCAGTTGAACTTCTTGGAAAAACCTCTGTAAGGTTTTCCTGAGTGACACTGGCTCGGCAAGGATGGGTGTCATTCTTATCATGCTCTCTCTTCGCAGACTGGTTCTTCTTTTTAATATCACTCGATTTTCCAAGCTCCTTCTTGCCACCATTTGTGTCATGCTTAGCTGATTTGATGCTAGAACCTTCTGAGAAGGCGTGCCTTTTGTTGCTTGAAACTTCTCGTTTAGATGCATTATAGTTATCATCTGTGCTTGTAAATTTCTTCGAATTAGCTTCTGTAGAAACATTATTGGTCCTCGAATCGGCTTTTCCCACTTTATCTATATGCACAGCCTCATTCATATACTGAATCCTCACAGGGGAAGAAGAAACTGACTCCTGGGGCGACACTCTTACCCCCATGTAACCATTTCTGTTTTTACGGGAATCAGAGACCTTAGAGGAGCTTGAAGTTGCAGTTGTTGACACCTGTTCCCACCCCAAATCCTTTTTCAATTTATCAAGATCTTCGACAGAGAGCCGCTTCTTCCTTCTTTGTTCATTCATCCTCTCTTCTTTCCCAACATCCATATTAATAGGGCCTTCTTTACTCCCTGATAAACAAATCCTGGGTTCCGAACTTTTTCTTTTGGATATATCATCACCCTGATTTACTTTGAAGCCGTCTTCCACCTTACAAACTCGGGCTTTCTTACTTTTGTGCAAATAGCTGCCATTGCTGTCCTCTTTGATTGAAGCTTTTCCATCTTGGAGGTTTCCATTGTTCTGCCATACCTCCCCTTGACGCTGATTATTATCCAGAGAGTCCTTTAATTTGATCCTTTCTGTGGATACTTCTGAACAGTTGAAGGGTTTTGAATCTATGGGAGCGTTACCGGGCAAATGTTGCATCTGATCCTTTTCTTTCTTCCCATAACTTTCAAAATCGCTCACTCCAGCAGATCGTCCATCTTTTTGTGTGGTTCTATTCATCCCATCCTTCTTAGCTATCTTTTTAGGTAAATCTGACAACAGATCCTGGCCATTATGAGCTATGTTTTCCATGGCTGACTGCTTAGATTTGATCTTATTCACCTTCCCTTCTGTCTGCTGAGCAGGAGTTTCCTTGATTTTCTTTCGAGGATTCACACCATCTGCAATACATTGTAAAAAAGTTAAAATATAAACAACAAAAAGCAAGAGTACTGATCACTGAAACAATTACCGCACCTTCAAACACATGCTCAGATTTTCGTTTATTTGATTTTGATACGTTTTTATTTGGATGCTGCAGCATATCTGATTTGTTTGTTGTGTTGACTCCGTCAAGAGATTGCTTCACCTTCTTTTGCAACTCATCTTTCATGGCCATCTGCTGCAAGTGCTTTTTAGCTTTAGAATGGCCAGGATCACCTGCGCTTGTTGCATTCTGTTTTTCTTTCAGTTTCGGCTTCTTCAGTTGATCATAAACAGGAGCGTTCTGGTTGAAACTATGCACACCGGCTGAAATTACTCCAGTCAATGCTCCATCGACATGTGTTTGAAAATCGGGTTGATTGTTGGGAACAGGAACTGGAACTAGATATAAATCCTGAACAGCCTTCGTGGTCTCATCTTCGCTTATTTCACAACTATTCATTCCTGGACTGAAGATATGCATGGTTTCGACAAAAATCAATCAAAATGTGCAATAGATAACACCAATGACTTGAAACTAGTAATGAGGTGTAAAAATAAAAAGACTTACAGCCAATCGAGCATGCTGCAAACCCATTTATCAGGCAGTTGGTTGGACTGTACGCCATAAGGCAGAAGGCGCCACTTCTGACAAACATCACATCCGACCCAGTTATCCTCTATGATCACAGGTTCCACCCCTGTAGCATCGATTGCTGCAACTGGAGGATCCACAGGCTGCACAGCTGTTGTCGCCTTGTCAACATATTTCTCACTACTTGATCTTGCCTTCATATGATTACCAGACGTCGCCTTAGCCTTAGCAGAACCAAGTGAAGAGTTTTTTGGCCTGCTACTGGAAGACGGCTTCTCCACTGAGTTCTTTGGGTTATCCATATGATTTAACCTTTTCTGAACCGTATCTTTTTGGCTGAACTGAAGATTATGACCATCCTTCTTCCCACTGCAATTGTTTTGAGGTATGTCACAATCATCATTCCTCAAACTCTCAGCTTTTAGAGCTGACTTTCCACTAGTTTGACTTCCTTTCAACTTGTTTTTACCATCTAATGACAACCTTGGTTTTCCAAGTCCATTACTTTTATGAGACGTTGAATTCAGACCAACTTTCAAACTTGAGCCATTGGTGGTTCCTCTGACCCATTCCCCTTCAGAATTATCTGAAAGGGCAATGGATGAAGCACGATTTCTGTTGCCCGGTGTCCTGCTGCACTGCCCAAAATCAACTGAACCATCCTTACAAGATTTTGCTCCATGTTTCCAAACCTTATCCATAGAACCATATCTCAATTCTGGCATCTCAGACTTAGCACAACTGTGGTCCGAAGCATGTTCCAAAGAAGTTTCCTTGACCAAATCACCTGAAACTGCTCTTCCTTTCACTTTATCTTTATTCCCCTTCCTATTTTTCAGTCGGACATCTTTCTCAGATTCCCTAACAATGCCAGGAGAGTCAAGGAATGGATGTAGGTGCTCAAGATCATCGCCACCAAAAGTTTTCAGCTTATTCTCATTAAGATTCATTGCGAAACCATTATTTGACTTCATTGCTTTCTTTCTTTCAATAACTTCCTTCTCCTTTCCCGCAAGAACACCACCATGTGAACTCTTAGCAGAGATACCAAAACCATTGGCGGCAGGCTTATGTGCACTCTCTACCAAACATTCAGTTTCTCTGTGTAAGTTAATCAGATCTTCGTTGAGAGGTGAAAGCAGCAAGCCACCACCAACCAGGGGTGAAGTCATAATCTGCACCAAAGAAATAAAAATATAAATAAACAGAGACAGTCAGACCAAAAAGAATAACTTATTATCACAAAAGACAGTTTAAACAGCTGACATCAGCATTCCTCAGAAAAAATATACGTAGACAGGTATGACAGATACTGTAGGATGAAATAGGATGGGAAAATTTTCAATGAATCATTTTTCCACCCAGGAACTTTCAACTTTCCAACAAATTCTGTACTTCCCCACACCCATCATTTTCCACATGCACTCGCACACACACAGAGAAAAATAATAATAAAAAATTGAAAAAAGAAAAAAATCCATGAGGAGGGCATATCAATACTAACTGCAAATGCAAACACAACAATACCTGAAGAATTTCAGTAGATTCATTGGGAATCTCATGGGAATCAAGCATCAAGTCATCACTTTCATCTTGACTGTCTCCCTCCGAGGAAGATGGTGATGTGAGCCCCAGATTATATATTTCAGCATTATATTGAGCCACCCGGTCTGTTCCCACTTTGATGCGAACTTTAAGTGTTTTCTGGTCAGACGGATTACAAGAATTACTTATAGGAAGTTTGTCCTTCCCAGGAAGGGCCTCAGTAACTTTATCGGAGAATAAGATCGCCTTCTGTTTGAGTCTAACCGAGGCATTATCCAAGGAGCTTCTCATGTTCTGCGGTACGCTTATACTGGGGGAAGGAGAGTCATTCTGTTGAGTAGGAGCATCAGAGACCACGTCAGCATTACGGGCATGGCCCTGCGTCGAGGCACACTAGATAGATGTATTTAATGAACTTCACACACTCATACATACAACAAATAGATGAAGTGCTCCCACATACCTCTGGAGAGATGTGGTTTGGAGATCTGGGTAAATGGGGAGTTTGCACTTTTTTAGGAGATTTAGGCTGCGGCAACAAAATTGAAGGAGACCACCGTTGCATGGGTAAAAATGAGCCATATCCACCATACTTTGGCCCTGATGAATCAAGAAAAGATATTGATTGATGCCTTTCTCTTATAGAACAAACAAAGACACATTTACAATTCCCTGTTCCCTTACCCAAATTTTCTGCAGACATCCCTCCTTCAAAATCTTTTTGATGATGCCCCAACAGACTTTGAACCTTCTCTTCCTATTCAGAAAGAAAACACAAACTGTGTTATTGTTTGATGGCATTATTATTTATTAATGCTTCTAAATATCACAAGAAACACACATGGATTGTTCTAACTACAAATCTGGTCCGTGATCACCTTACAACACATAAATGCAGAAAACATAGCCACAAACAACAAATGTAAGAGACCCTCTAAAAATCTGATCAAATAATATTGTAAAAGTAGCTGCTGCACTTTATGGATCATTCTTATACACATTTCACTTCTGACTCCTCGATGGAGTTCCTAGTACATTTGGTCAGACAGAGAATATCCAAAATACTCTGCCTAGTTATAACTAAAATACACAGCTGAATCTTAAAGTAGAAATTTCTTATCTTTGTAGTTCCAGTGATTCATTTGATAAGTTTCTTTTGAGCTTATTTCAGATATAAATCACAAAGACCATATACCCTGGCATGGACAGAAACTACTGCATAGATGAATAAATAAAACTCTTACAATGTAAGAGAGGGCTATATCAGGATTAACAGTAGTATCATCCTTGCAAAAAGCCTCTCCTTCCTCAAGCTCAAATTCATGCATCATCATCCTTAACCCACTGATTAACCCCTAGATCAAAATCCTTACTGCTAACCCTAAACTTCCCTCTAAATCCTTAAATTCCCCTCAAACCCTAACCAGCTCCCTCTCGTGAAATGAATACACCACTCTCCAATCCAACAATCCGACTTTAACGCAATAGAACACGCCCAAACACCACGAGAATCCACTTAATAACTCCCCCAATTCCATCCAATCCGCCAAGAATTTGGAAGCCCTAATTTCCAAACTTGATCACCACCCCACCCGCAGCAGACCTGAATCGCATTAATTCGTACAACCAACGAGAGTAATAAGAGATTGCAATTCAAGACCATCCAAACCCGAACCACATAGCAGCAATCCAACCGATTCTGCTCAGCTCTGTTCTTTGATGTGTATCTGATTCAGACAGACTCCATACGAAAAGCGGAAGAAGGAGAGCCCTTGGGTCCCCTTTTTTTTTTTTTTTTTTTTATTTCTCCCCTTAATTTCTATTTATTTTTTAAGTTTCCTTCCAAAATTAAATCTTAATTGCCCACATGCCATTTTCATATTTAATATTTATATAGATAATCCACTAGTTAAGAACAGCTAATAACACAATTAATATTTCGTATTTCTATAATTTTTTAATCAAAATTTATTAAAAAAATATCAGTCACCATAAATACATTCGGATTACATCATTTTTTTTTGTCTACCAATAAATGCAATGCATTGCGACAAACTTAAGAATTTGTGTTTTTTTTAAAAAAAAAAAAAAATTTAAATTAATAGTAATTTTTACTTGATTTCAGTGGAAATATTATTTATTATTATAAAATATTATACTAAAATAGTACTCAATCCGTTCCAAACATCGTGCAACATTTTCTTTTTAGTATGTCCAAACACTTGCAATATTTCCAAAATAGGAAATAATTAATTATACTTAATCTCTACCCCACACTTTATCCCATCACATCACCCAAATAAAAAAACCTAAAAATCTGTACCCAAAACAAATGTTGACCTTATTTGGAATGGAGGGAGTATTTCTTTCGTCTCATTTATCATGTTCATTTGCATTTATATTTTAACATATAATTTAGAGTTCACTAATTCATTCCTACATCACCAAAGACAAACTATATACTACAGATAAGATCTTGAGGCATATGGATTTGAATTAATGGTCAAAGACAAACTATACGTGGCAGACAAAATTTTGGAAACCCTCCAGATTGAACCACCGACCTCACGGTCACAAATTTATTTCACAATAAAAAGTCATAATAAAAAATGAACACTTTAGAGTAAGACGGATAAAAACTATTAAAGAAATTACTTTGAATTGAGACAAAAATAGTATAAAAAACAATGACACTTTACTACCATCTCCAAATATAATTAATTATGCATGAACTAACCATATTCATCTTAGACATGTAGCGGCTAAACTTCAATATTTTCCACTCGACTACGAACTGAAACGTACAATTTTGCTTTTGCTTTTGCTCTTGCTCTCTCTATTTCTTTTTTTTTAATTCAACACACAATGTTCCAGTCTTCCCCCTTTAATTTATAACCGTATATTTTTAATTTTTTTTTACTTTAGTCGTTGAGTAATACCGAATTTAATAACAATATGGCATACGAGGCGCCATTTTGAACTGTCTTTCATTTATTTATTAGTATAAAAATATTATATATATATATATATTATCTAAATTATTGCTCAAACTTAAGTAGTAATAATTATTTTGAATTTTTTCTTTTATTTATTTACTAGTATAAAAATATTATGTATATATATATATATTATCTAAATAACCTCTAAAACTTAAATATTAATAATAATAAAGTTATACTCATCTATTATTTTTTAGATGAATTGATTTTTGGGGTGTGATATTAGAAATTATGTTAAAAGTATAAAATATATTATTTTGAATTGAACATTTAACTTTTTTTAATCAGTATTTGATTCTTTTTCTTTTTTTTTTCAATTTTTTTTTTTTACTTTTAACAAAAGTATTTTATATTACTCCATCTGTAGTCTCTAAAGTCACATTTATCTTTTTTATTGTACTCAATAATAAAAATATTTTTATATTTGTATAATTTTTTGTACAAATATCATTATATTAGTATTATAAGACATTAATTGAAATATTTTTGCAATTTTTTTCATAATTTGTACTATGTTTTGATATAATAATTAATATTCAAATATCAACACGCAAAAAAGTAAATGGAACCCTTAGAACTTGACGAATATAACATTTAATACTCCATCCGTTCCATAACAAAGTATTCATTTTTCCATTTTAATCCGTCCCATAACAAAGTATTCATTTCCTCTTTTAGTAACTGTACTATATACCTAATATTATAAATACCCTTACAACTTACAATATATTACACAAATGTCATTACCTTTATATCACACAAACTAATAAGGTTATTTTGGTCATTTCTACTTTATTTCTACTATATCCCAATATAATACTAATATTTCTAAAACTATGTGAAAAAGCAAATAGATACTTATTTGTGGGTTTTCTGGAATCGCAATTTACAAATTGATTTGGGTGAACAAAGTTTAATAATAACACACCGCAAATTTTCCTAAATGTTCTGTCCAAAATGACTCATGTGGTCAGAGACACAATATTTTAGACAATGAGTTATTAATAATAAGTTATTATATTATTTTATTATATTAATAGTATTGTTGATATTTTAAATATTTATAACAATAAAATATATACAGTATATATCATTTTGTATATAATAAAATTTTATATAATACAAATAAATAAAAAAAATTATTTATTTATTTATAATTAACTTAAAACTAATTTTATAAAAAAATAAAGAATTTTAAATATAAATTAAAATATTTTATTTTTTGAGAGAAAGAAATGAAATAATTTTGAGCCAATCAAATCCCATGTAAGAATATAGATTTAATTAAAATTACAAAAAGATGGAATATTACAATGCATGTTCAGTCAAAATAGACTACTTCCTCCGTCCCATAAATAGATATTTATTTGCTTTTTGCATGTAATTTTAGAAATATTAGTATTACATTTGGATGTAGTACGAAAAATAAAAATGACTAAAATAACCTTAGTACGTATGATATAAATGTAATAGTATTTATGTAATATATTGTAAATTGTAAGGGTATTTGTAAGATTAGGTAGATAGTACAATTACTAAAAAAAATATATATTTTGTTATGAGACAGATTAAAATAAAAAAATAAATACTTTATTATGGGACGGAGAAAGTATTACAAATATTTAGTGTGTTCTTTTTACGAAAATATAAATATATATATTGTTTTTATATTATTGATATATTTTTCTATACTTTATAAAAAAATTAAATTAGATTATTTTTACAAAACAAAAACAACTATTGTTTTTTCCAAAAATATATTGATAAGATTATTAATTAATATTATAACAAATAAAAAAAAATATATTTTATTTAATTACAAAAAGTAATAGTTCAACATATTAATATCAATATTTATATTACTAAAATATAATGCATAACATAATTTCAACTTTTCTTCGAAAGAGATTCCTTGTTGGCCCGAATAAAAAATATTTTAAACAAAAAATACAAAACAAATACTACAACTTTATAGTAACACAATAGATTTTATGTAAGTGTTTTGTTTGTATTTTTATAGTGTGTTATTTCTATTTTTTTAATATATACTTTTTCAAAAAAATTAATATATTATATATATTCATTATTTTTATATTTTCTATATTTTATATAAAAAAAATTATTTCAACAATTTTACAAAACAAACACATCTTAGTAATTGTTTTTTTTAAATATAAAAAAATATTTTGTATCATAAACATTTTTATAAATAGATACAATATATTATATATATGTGTTTTTGTAATATTCATTAAGAATTACACTAGAAAAAATATATATATGATTTTTTAATTCATGTTTAATATAAATTATTTGTATAAAAAAAATAATTGTATATACATATATTTTATTGAAGAAATAAAAATAAAATATTTTAAATGAGTCCCATATATCTCAATTTAATAGTCATGTTTTGTCTATCATCAAATAAGAGTTACATTTTTATAAATAGTTATATAACTATAATATTATGCATATATGTTATTATTATTACACAAATACAATTATTTTTTTTTTATAACAATATAGTTGGAAGGAAAAAAAAAAAATTTCTATACATACTTTTTACCAAGTATAAATATAATATTACTTCCGTCTCATAAAATTTGCGTCATTGTATTTAATATTAAAAATATTTTTATATTTGTATAGTTAAACTGCAAATATTATTATATTTATATTATAAGAGACTAATATAAATATTTTTGTTATTTCTTATCGATTTGTAGAACATATTAATATAATAACTAATATCTAAATATCGCAAAAAATCCACAACACTCTTCTTGTAGGACAGAGTTAGTATTAATATTTTATGTCTAATACAAATAAATCTGTTATTTCAAAACAAAAATGTATAATATTTGAAAAATAATAATAAAGAGTATAAATTATACTCTTTATTTGTATAATGCCAACTCAAATAAAATAAATAAATAAATCAAATCAACAAAACATAAGATACTAGTTTTTAAATATTATCAATATAATTTTTTATTTTTTAAATAAATTATAAAATAAATACATTGTATATTATTAAAAAAATTATTTAAATAATATAATGATATAATTTTCTTTTTAAAAAGTAATATATTTTTATTAAAAATTATATTTTAAATTTTAATTTTAATTTTAAATATTAAAACAACAAACCTATACATCCTTATTTTCTTCTATGAAAATATTGGCGTGGGAATGATGACGTGGCAGTGAAGGGCCTACATTGAGGCGCGTCGCACCTGATCATTTCTACCCACAAAATCTTCCCCCAATTCGATACGGAGCTTTTAGGGTTAGGGTTAGGAATTCCAGCGCCAATTTCTCCGCTTGATTTTCACGAACGATGGAAGGGCTTACGGAAGATGAGAGAAGGGCTCTCAGAGGGAGCAAATTCGCTCCTCTTCCATCTGCAACCGTCCAGATACGACCGCAACCCAGGTTCTTAAACCTTCCCCTAATAATGTAAAATTGCTGGGTTGAATATATATATATATATATGTTTGTCTTTGTATGTTTAAATGTCAATTGGTTGCTTTTTGCGGCCCATTCAAGTTCCTATATTCGTGTATTTTGCTTTGTGTTCGTGAGATTTGTTAGTGGGAAGCTCTTTGATGGTTTTGTTAATGTTGGTACGATAATAGTCTAGTAAATTTCACTATGCATGCATCTTTGGATGAACTGAACTGCGCTTTATCAGTTTGTACAAGCTTGTCTCTTTTTAATTTTTCTTTGCTTTTGCTGAAGAAATTGCTATTGGAAATAAGATATTTGATCTGTATCGTTCTGCTATTTAGTTGTGTTGATGTAACTTTGTGTCGATGGATTGCATACATAGGCAGTTTGCGGTAGTTTCCGTTAGAGTTGTATACGAATCGAATGTGAATACGGTAGTATCCGATTCAAAATAGTTTTCAAATTATTTGATTCAATTTTTTGAAATACAATTTTAGCAAATTTATTCAAATATTCGATTCGTATTTTCCCTATTCGATTGGATTCGAAATTTTATAATTTAAAAGATTCAAAATAATATTAAAACAATTTGATAGAAAAAAAATTACACTCATCTATTATTTGTCAAACTTTCAATTGTCACAGAACTTCTAATAGAATAAGATATTATAGTATAGTTGTAATTTTAATTATATTATATATTTTATTACCGACTCGAATATTTACTAATATTGAATAGAATATTAAAATTTTATATTTGTATTTTTTATTCATATTCAAATCGAATCAAATATTTATATTCGGATTTGAATCATAATTTCGAATACTAATATCAAGACTTCGATTCGAACAAAATTCGTTGATTCAATTACAACCCTAGTAGTCATACATTACCTTTGACATCTGTGGTTGGAGCCTTTATATAATTGATTTTTTTATTTGAATACCCTAATTCCATAGGGAGGCTCACCCTGGGGGACCAATGAAGACAAACAAGGCTGCTGCATTGGCTAAGTTTCTTGAAAGAAAACTTCAGGAGCCAAATGGGTTAGCTTCAATTGATCCAAAGCTCGTTGAATTAGCTGTGAAAAATGCCAAAGAAACTGTTCAATGCAGTATGAATTTCTCAATCCAAAGCTGATCTTTGTTTTCGATAAAATGATTTCCTTTCTCTGGTTGTTATTTGGTTATTCAGAACAAATGGTAAGCCAAGAGTTGAAAGGAATGTTTACCAAGTGGAGCTGGAATTAAATTTAAAGAATTTCTATTTCTTCTTAAAAGATTTTATGCTCTACCGGAAAATCGAACTTAAAGTGACAACTTTTGGGTTTGTCCTTTCATAGTGTATACTCATGTAGTTTATTATTTACCCCTTTGAATAAGAACTATGTCTACAAATATATTTCCGGGGAAAATGACTTGGGAGCATTTTTCTGGAATGTCTTTTGTGGACAAATTTTTCATAGACGTGCATTTTGCTAAGTGGTTTCGGAAGGTTCTTCTTGTTTGGTGTATTTGAGAGGAATTATAATTATTCTCTTCAAATTAGGCTTTTTTTTTTTTTTTTTTTTTTTTTTTTTTTTTTTCTGTGAGTAATTTCCTCATCTTCTTCCATTTGTCACGTCTATCGATGTTGAGGAATCATTTGCTGCATTTTTTCTGTGGTAAACTCGTGCCTTGTTTATGAGGTTTTATTGCGCAATTTGAAATTCTAAAAGACATGGCGGCAAGTGATCATGTTTATATGTCCTGAACTTGCTACTTTAAATCATGCAATCAAACATATTATAGTTCGACCATAGATGTTTGATTATAAATTTCAATTCGATCCTATGTTTTAGTCAAAATTTCTTGTCCCCTCCATGCTGTCCATTCTTCAGGTGGATCATCAAAATCCGGAAGAATTGTTCACCATGTTAAATCCTTTGGAGACATCGAGGTGCACGCTACTTCTTACATATGCCGGTTTTTCTTATTTATACAATTTCCCCCCTTCTCATTTACTGGTCCCCTAATGTCGATTTGGCAGCCATTGGAAGAAGAAGATGCCGAGAGCTTAGACACTTGTTTAGCCAAGAAACAAAAGCAAAAAAAGAAAAATAAAAACAAAGAAAAGAATCGAAAGAAGAAACTGAAGGTATGATAGTTTGTGCTTTCATTTCAGCAGGTGATATTCGTCTCAGGGTCGTCTTTCTCATCATCAAGGCACCGGCTCATTTTCAGAATGCCGAGACTTGCACTGCAGTTGTCCCCGGAAATCCGAAAAAGAAAATGAAACTGTGATAATTTTAAATGTGAATTTGGGATGATGCAATTTTTTTGGGATGATCCTCAACTCTAAAATGAAGATCCCTTTTAGATTACTTACAGGAACAAACAAGAAATAACTTTTGTTGCTATACAGAATCGAGCATTAGGTCTCTGTGAATTTGATGCATTTTTTACTTTGATGATAGTTCTTGGTTTATAATTTATTTATTAATGAATTATTATTATTGTTAATGTTAAAACGGTATTAGCGCTTTTTGCTCTAAAGTCGTTATGGAATCTTAGCGCTTTTACCTCCTAAATGATGTACTCTTGCATTTAGCTACCGGTGGTCGCACGAGTCATGCGTTTTAAATTACTCACTCTGTTAACTTTCCAACGTACACTAAAAAATAAATTGTAAATTATGTTAAATTTATTTTACAACATTTTATAGAATAATAAACATAACAAATTGGTACGATATTTTTTGTTTTAAAACAAAGTTTAGTATTTTATATTTAAAAAGAGATTTGTAAACATAGCTATATATATATATATTAAAATAATTTATGTATGGTGTTTTTCTTTAAAATTTATCTTTATTTTCTTTATTATTTATCTACAAATTCTAAATATATATTCATATTTTTTTATAAAATAGTACTCCATTCGTTTTAAAACAACAATTTTATTTACCATTTTTTTTTCATCCGAAAATCATAGTCTTATTTTTATAATTAATCTTATATTCTAATTTCATACATATAATTTTAAAAACACTATACTATTGTTTCTTTTAGGTTTCTTTTTTTATTTTTTACAATTTAATTTTTCACATTTTTTTGGCTTTATTTTCAATTTTTTTCTCATTCTTTAATTTTTATAATTTCTAAATAAAAGTTTGCGTGTGTGTGTTTTTTTTTGGCATAATCTTGCACCAAACCATTTAAAATAAAAAATTAAGACAAATTTCAAACTCAAAAACCGCTTAACATCTCCAATTATATTTATTTTAATGGATGAAAACCACATGGTATGTTTTAGATATATTGTAAAATTATTTTGGTAGATTCAAAATAAAAATATGTATGGAATATATAGTATTTTAGATCAATTTTTTTTATATATATTATATTTTACGTAAAAATGACTATTGGATGTCTTATTCAATAAACAATAAACCAATAATATATATTTGTTTTAATAATAATTTAAATGTAATTATTGTAGACAAAAATAATAAAATTTAATAAAAAATTGTATATGTAATTAAAAAATATATATATATATATTTAAAAAACACACCTTAATAAGCTAAAAAACTCATTACGAAGTTAGATAAACAACAGCAGTACAGCAGTCGGCAGGCAGAAGAAAATTTTGCCAACGAAGTGTAAGGGCATAAGAGTCATTTCAGCTGGAGTAACTGCTTCCTGAGCACATCATGACACGAGTCGTGGGATTGCTGTTTGGTAAGAAACTAAAATGGAAATTAAGGAAAATGAGAAAATATATATATATTAAAAAATAATAAAATCTCTCTCTCCAAAATACATAACGTCACTGCAGAGTCCACATTGCAAGACACCCGTCTCTCTCTTGTTCTTCGCACTCTCTCTCTCCTCTGATCAAAACCTCCTCTGCTCATACTCTTCCAGGTTTTCATATCAGCACATACTTTTTCTGCTTATCTATATATATATATATATACTGGTTTGTCTGTACTGTGCTATTTGTGTTTTCTTGAGAGTAGAGTGAGAGGGGGAAGGAAAAAGCGCGTTATGGACAAGCGCGGCGAGACCACGGCGGCGGAGGCGGTTCCGGCCGAATGGGCGTCGCCGAGCGGGGAAACCGGGCTGGAAGGCGAGTTTGCATTTGAATTTAATTTCAACTGAATTTCACTTAAATTTCAGTTGAATTTCGGGTGAATTTGAGCTTCGTGTTCTGTAAATTTCGATTGATTTTTGGAGTTCGATTTTTCGTGAATGCAGAGTCCGTGCGGCAATTAGGGCTCGGCGGCGGCGGTTACCCGGAGAGGTCCGGCGAGCCGGATTGTATCTATTATGTAAGGACTGGATTCTGTGGCTACGGCAATCGCTGCCGCTTCAATCATCCTCCCGATTGTACTGCGGTAAAATTCTTACATTTATTTTTTTTAAAGCTTATTGACCTTTTGATGCATTGTATTCAATGGCGATCGCAGGGATGAGATTTTTGGTATTGTTTCTTTGTAGAAATTGTGTGTTTCTTTTTTTGATTAGTAGGCTAAATTGGTTTAGTTATAATCTGAGGCCACGAGGATTAGGATCGAGTTTGTTGCGATTTTGTTATTACTTAATTGATTTAGTTAAATCTAGCTTCATCGGATTCTCAGCTGCAATAACTTTGTTCGGTGAACGAAAATCGCTGTAAGAACTACACGTGTTGGAGGGGTGGCCGTTGGTTGCTTATGCACGGGTTGATTGTCCATAACGACACGTGTAGGATGGAGTCGATCGTTAGTCGGTTATGAATTCATTTAATCGAGCTATTATCGTGTCGAGCCGTGTTTACAGTTTTGGTGAAGGAAGAGTTACTAATTAGGCGAAGGAAGGAAGAGTTTCTAATTAGGCGATCATAGTGCGCGTAGTTGTAAGGCATGGCGCAACCTTTGTGCCACTTGCTATGGCAATGGAGTGCGATTAAGCATGAATTTCGATATGTTTTTTTTTTCTTTTTCTTTTTGTGAATGATTTAGTTAAATCTCGCTTTATCGGATTCTCTGTTACAATTAAATTATTTGGTGAACGAAAATCGATAATATGGTGGAACAACTACACGTGTCAGATGGATGACTGGTAGTTGGTGATGCATGAACGGATAGGCTACGATGGTCCCATTCGTTTTGATGAGTTTGTTGAAGGCCGATTTGATAATTCGGGGGAAAGACACAAGGTGGCCATAGGCGGGCGCCCCTCCCCTGGGCCTGGGCGAGATGGGCCGTTATATATTTATGTTATATATGTATAGTTTTTATATATATAGAACTTATTTGATATGTATAAATATAAAAGGATGTAGTTTGATGGTGTGGGGTGGATTTACAATGGTTAGAAAATGTAGTTTGGAATTTTTTTAATATTATTATTCATCTAAAAATGTTAGAAAAAATATTTTTGTTAATTATTTATATTTTTATAGATAAAAAATAATTATTTTTATATATTTAGAGGATCTTACTTTTATTTCGCCTTGGGCTATTCGAAGGTTAGGACTGGCCCTGGAAAGACACGTGTAGGGCAGCCGGACATTGGTTATGCATGCATTGAATCATTTCACAACGGCCCATTTGTTTTGATGGTTTTAGTGAACAAAAATCAATACTTTAGGGGAAAGAGCACACATGTAGCATGCATTGAATTGAGCTACTACGAGCCATTCGTTTGATGGTTTTGGTGAATTTTTTTCGATAATTTAGTGAAAGAGCACACGTGTAGGATGGTTAGTGGTAAGTTTGTTATGCATTCATTCAATCGAGCTACCATCATCTACCCGTGTTTATGGTTTGGGTGAAGGAAGAGTTGCTAATTAGGTTAAAATATATCATTCGCCGAATGAATTCATCAATTTGTTGACATGCATACCTGTGGTATTAATATGATTTGGTAGTTTTATCATTTGCACGATCATAGTGCTGCACATTGTAAAGCATGGCGCAACCTTTGTGCCACTCGCTATGGCAATGAAGTGTGTTTAAGGGAATAGTTTCTAATTAGGTGAATTAAGCATGCGCTTCGATATGTTTTTTTGTGAATTGGTTTAGGCAAAACTAGCTTAATTGGATTTATGCTACAATACATTTATTTGGTGAACAAAGATCGATGATTTATGGAAAGAGTAAACGTGTTAGACAGATGGCCGTTAGAGAAAATAATATTTTTGTGTTTGGTTCATATGAATGAGAATGAATAGGAAACTAAGAAAAATAGTATTTTTTGTCTTTGTTAGATATGACAAGGAATGAAAATAGAATAATTTTATTATTTTGTCCCTGTTGAAATATGAAGTTGAAATTCTCTGCTTCAATCGTGATAACTTGTACATATTTATAATGATACACAAATTATCTAAATATGACTAGAATTCTATAAATATCTTAAATAACACAACTACCATAAATATAATATGTATTTTTTAAATATATTTTAACACTCCTCAAATTCAACATATGATCAAACAAATTTGAGTTTGTCAGAAGTGACCGAAAAGAATATAACCGAGATCTTCCACAAACGAACTTGAATTTGCCAAGATTGACCGAAAGTGGTGTAGCTGTCCATTGGATCAAAGTCAACACTCCTCCGCTTCTTTTATTTCTCTTCCCCTTTCTTTTAAGAAAAGTTGAACCAAATGAGCTAATTTTAATTTTCCCCCTCTCCTTCCCTCCCCTATATTCCCCTCAAACCAAACAGAACCTTGCTACAACAATGGCGTGCGTGCGAAGGAAGAGCTACTAATTAGGTGAAAATGTATCATTCGCACAATGAACTCATAAATTGTTGACATGTCTTGGTATATATATCGTCCGTAGTTTTATCATCTGCACAATAATAGTGCACAAACTTGTGCGGCATGGCACAAGCCTTTCCGGCTTCATTGGATCTCATGCTACAATAAATTTATTTAGTGAAAGAATTTTTTTTATAATTTTGGCGAAAAGAGCACATGTGGACGACCGGTTGTTAGTTGGTTATGTATACATTGATTCGGGCTACTATGGTCTACTCGTTTTGATGGTTTTAGTGAAGGAAATTTGGTAATTTAGGGGAAGAACATCCATGTAGAATGGCCGGCCATACTTGGTTATGCATACACTTAATCAAGCTACTACGGTCTACTCGTTTTGATGGTTTTGGTGAAGGAAAAATTGATATTTTTAGGGGAAAAAGTACACGTGCAATTTTAAGTGGAGCACTACAATTTTTTAATGGCATCACAATTGTTGATTTATAAAAATTTTCTTTTGGTGAAAGAAAATCACTGGTAGCCATGCTACTACTCTCCAACCTGTAGATCTGCCCCTGCATTAAATTGTACTTACAGTTGTTTATCGACTCTAGACTAATTTGGAGAAATTGAGTACTTCTTGTTTAGATTAGTAGCCTATACCGGATAAGTTGAAATCAAAGTAGCAACTATTAGCATCAAGTTCATTGCATTTTTATTACTTATATGGATCTTGAATTGATTTTGTTAACTCCAACATTGTTCATTTTCCGTTCGATGATACAATAACTTCATTTGGGGTAAGATAATTTGTTGCAATAACTTTTGTTGCTTGATTTTTGTTTACTCCAAGTATTTGTTCCATCGATCAACCTCACATTGTGTATGCATTTATATATATGATCATAGGCGATCGGAGCTTTTAGAGCAAGTGGAGATGAGTACCCCGAGCGCACCGACCAGCCTGTCTGTAAGGTATCCAATCGATTTTCCGAATGAAACATTTAGTCGACATTGTAGATTACATAAATAATTGAATAACTCATGGTACTTGGATCGAGTCGCATCTTATTACACTCTTAAATCACCATTTTATAGTTTTCCAAAGTTGTCTTCAATTCATTTCTTCGATCATCTTTTATTTTGCATCGTAAGGCAGTCCTGTCCTGTTAATTATAAAGTCTATTTTTGTGACCGCAATTCATTGTCCGGCGGGAAGACATTTCCTTTAGCTGTTTTCGATTTAGCGCAACCTCGGTTCTCCTCTTCGAACATTATCTGTATTCTTAGTTCTATTACATAAACATTTTTTGTTTCAGTACTACATGCGAACAGGACTGTGCAAATACGGCGCGTCGTGCAAGTATCACCATCCTAAGCAGGGCGGCGGCGCGTTCTCAGTTGCATCGGCACTAAACGTTCTCGGCTACCCTTTGCGCCCGGTCAGCTTCGTCATTTCACATATTTCTATATTTTCCCTTAAATACAGCCGTCTCACCGACGCAAGAGCTGTCGTTATTACAGGGCGAAGACGAATGCGCATATTTCAACAAAACCGGGAAATGCAAGTTCGGCATTACCTGTAAATTCCATCATCCGCAGCCCGCCATTTATTCCCCGGAAAATTACCATCTATTCGTCCTCCCCCCGCCAGTTCTTCCCATTCGCAGTTGGTCGTCATATCAGGTAACCGAAAACGCAATATTTCGATCGTAATTTCTCCGTTTCTATACGTAAAATGTTGAAAGCGCAACGGATTATTATAGGCTCCGATTAGTCGTATTGTCCTCCCGAGGACACGGACGACGAGTGCTTCCATTCGCCTTGCTGGTACCTATCAGACAGAACATACGTTTCCGGAAAGACCCGGAGAGCCGGAATGCAGATTCTATTTACGGACCGGGAGTTGTAAATTCGGGTCGGGATGTAAGTACCATCATCCACCGATGTCGTCTGATCTTATGCAATCGGTGAGCATTGCATCGAATTTCTATTACGCACGCACGCTCCTCTGTTATCGCACGGTTTTATCATGACAAGCTGAATCCTCGTTTTCTCAGAGCACGCCGGTGTGCTCTCGCTTTGCGGAAAATGGATTTTGCAGATTCGGACCATCGTGTAAGTACGATCATCTGGTGGGAATTTTTCAGACAAATTCTTGACTGTCGGGAGGTGGCAGTGGCAGCGGCTCTATTTGTGGAGGGAGGTCCACGCAGCGGGGGATGCAAGTTTCGGACTAGGACCGAAATTCCGGGGCTATTGGATCCGATCGATCTGGGTTCGTATTTTTCGCTGCTCGATAGCCCTTTTCGCATCGAATTAGCGTAATCGGACAGACGAACGCCGTTTCAGCAGGATCGAGCTGAAATCGCACGGTATTCGCATCGACGCCGCTCGATTTTCGGAGCTTCTTTCGATATCTATTTAAGGAAGATGATCCTAAGTTAATGTCTATATATATGAATGAGTGTCTAAACTCTTTACATTATGGTTCATCATGCCTTTGGATTTTGTTACCCCTTTGGGGCAATTAAGGTTGTTGCTTCAACGGCTATATTTTCTTGAATTTGTTGAATTGGATGTGACGAGAGAGATCTGAAATTGAATAGCCAATTTACTAGGTAGAAAGAAAAACATGTAGGATATGTTATAAGTATTTAATGCAAAATAAATAAATAAATAAATAAAATTAATGTTGAATACCATAAATGAATGATGCGATGCTGTCACACACAAACAGATGAATATAACTTGATGGACAGACAGTGACCCCTATGATGGATCAAGAAAGTACTGCTATCGCTATTGCGATTATGTTATTTAGATATTCTTTGCCCAAATCTTACTTGTCAATATCAACATCTAATAATCTCGTAAATGCGTGTATTTTTACTATTTTTTATTATAATAAAAATTAATTATATACAAATATCAAAATATAAATATATTATTAAAGATACAATCAATTTATACTAAAACACATATCCAAAGAGCAAAAATATCTAATAATTTTATACATTATTTTTACCCACCAATAAAATATTAGTATATATTATATCTTGTGTTTATTGTTAGTGGATTGTCAATTATATATTGTATTAATATATGATATTATATGATTGTATCACACGATGGCATTGGCTATTGTTACATCATGAGTGTATTTGTTTGGAGGTTTGAATTTTGAGTTATGAACAGTAAAATTTTTGAATTAAAATAGTTGGATGATGTGATATAAATAAAGTGTGATATAAATAAAATATTGATGTGATATTTTGAATGTAAAATTAATTTTTAGTACTATAATATAAATAAATAAAAAATTAATATTTAATTTGATATTTTTGTAAGAATTTTTTTTAATAAATAGTAGAAATATGGAGAAGTTGTTACGCACCCTATATAGTTAATTACCATCTTCTTCATTCAAAACCCTAGAATAATAATTTCATCTGCAAACCCTAATTAACAGTACAGTAGCAGCAGGAAGGAGAGAGACTAAGGATGGTATATATTAATTAATTGCAAAACATCCATTATACATGAGATATAGATACACTCAAAACAAACACAATTACAATATATATATATATATCTATAACATTAATAGATCTTAATTAAATAACAGGTCTGAAATTAAAATAGAGACTGCCCTAAATCCAGTGCTTCCCCAAAAGCAGGAGCAAAAAACGACGAGGAAGACGACGACGAATAATTATAATTATTTGCAGGCGCTGCTGCATCAAATTCAGCAGAATTATTACCACTGATCATCTGATCAAAACCTGGAAGATCATAATCATCAATCTGACACCTTTGATCATCATCCCCAATGAAATTAGGGTTCTTGATCACAGCCGACAGCTGATCACAATCGCAGGAACTAAATTCCCAAATCTGCTCATTCTGATCCCAAAAACTACTTCCATAGAAACCCCCAATTTCTTCACCACAATTCGTCGAAAAATCAACAGGAATCATCACCTCATCAATCTGATTATCCTCCTCCGCCGCGCCATTGGAGCAATTCGAAGAATTTGCAGAAGAATTAGGGTTTAAATAACTGCTGGGAACAATGCAATCAAGGTAACCCGAATTAGCTGTAGAGCTGTTGAAGAAGCTCTTCTTTTCATCTCGACACGTGTCATCCCCTGATTGGGCGGAAGGCTTGTTAACGCCGCCACCTCCGGAGGCGGCACCGGCGGCGGCGGAGACGACGGAGGCGGAGGCGGCGTTCTGGTGGTTGATTTGGGAATGGAAAGCGCTGTGGAATTCGAAGGAGCTGAGAATGGAGTGGAAATTAGTGTGATCGGTGTAGATAAAATTGGTTCTTGCTTGAGTTCCTTTAATGGCGAGGGCTGCCCGATCGTAGGCTAGGGCAGCTTCCTGGGCAGTGTCGAAGGTGCCCAGCCAGTGGCGTTCTTTGGTGGTGGGGTCTCGAATTTCGGCGGCGTAGCGGCCCCAGGGGCGGCGGCGGACGCCGAGGAACCGGCCCGGTTCGGCGAGTTTTTTCCGGCCGCGGCGCTCGGTGGGGTGGGAGAACGCCGCCGTGTTGCGCTGGAGCAAAGTGAAGCCTGTTTCGGTGAGGATTGGCTCGAAGAGGGTTAATGGTGGCTTTTCGTGGGGGGGTTTGGGGGCTGACATTGTGTGGTGGTTGGGGAATATCAGACTGAGTGTGGAAGAATTGTGGGGATTAGGGTTTTCTTATAAAGGCACTCCTCCATGGATACCCTAAATTTTCGAGGTCCCGGAGTGAGGTTACGTCCCCGTGCTTTGTTGCTTTCTTTGGGAGTTCGAGTCCCTGGAGCTTTTGAGAGTTTGTCATGGAAATAAGGGAAAGGATAGAAAGGGAAGACAGGACTGCTGCTTAGTGTCTACTGTCTACTGTCTACTGTCTAGTGATCCAATAAACTTTTTATTATTATTATTATTATTATTTATATATATATATATATTAAAAACATTTAATTACATATATCTCATTATATATATCATTAACTTTTAATAATGACAAATATTTTACACAATTAAATTTTACCTGCTACTATCAAATGTTAATGTTTCTTAATTTTACATGTTGAAAGCATATGTACTTCTTAGAAGAAGACAAGAAGAGTATTATTTATATCTTTACAAATAACAAATATATTAAAGGCGTGTTTGACAAATAGCTTTTTTTTAAGAGCTTTTAGCTTATTAAACAATTTTTAGCAGTCAAAAAGCTAATTTAGGTGTTTGGTAAATTAGCTTTTTGGAATAGCTTTTTGGATCCAAAAAACTGATTTCTGAAAAGCTAACTTATCCATCGTTTTGAAATAGCTTTTTCTATAAAAATTTTTTTATTCCTTATATGCCCTTAAAAATTTATTATACATTTTATACAAATAAATATATTTTGATTATTTATTAATTATATTAGAATATTTTATTTTATTATAGTTTTACTTTTATAAATTTAAAATAATTAATTTTTATATAAAAATTATTTTAATTGTAAAATATATAGATTTATTAAAACCAACATAAAATAAAAAATATAAATATTAATAATTTATTTTTTTTATTAAAATTACATTATATAAATTTTATACTAAAAATAAATTAAATTTATTGAAAATTATAAATATAATGAACTAATCTATAGCTAACATAATAAATATATACACGAAAAATTTATTATTTTATATTTTACGTCATTTTCAATATAAAAAACTATTTATATATTTTAATAAAAATATATGATTTTTTAAATATAAATGTAATAAAAATAAATACTTTTATAACACTTTTACAATTTTCAATAACTAATAACAAAAAATTTTAAACATTCTAAACTCAAAAGAACATAATTGAATATATTAGAAACAAGAATAAAATATAAATGTCCTCAATTGTCATTTTACGTATAAACAGCTAATACCAAACAATTGTTTTACCAAACATTTTAATACAAACAGTTAATCGAATCAGCTAGTCAAACTAGCTAATTGAATCAGCTAACAACTAATAGCTACGCCCTAGATTTAATTATTTCATACACGGTAAAATGACATTTTAATTTTTACACCCTATTTACCATATATGCAAACAGAAGTCTATTATTAGCCAATAAAAGTTTTTTTTTTTTTTTTTTTAACATTTAAATATTGTATGACATTAGAAGAATTATTAGTGTTTTCTATTTTATATTTTTTAAATAAAATATATGAATAAAATTTCAACATCCCAAAACATAGGTGAAGAGAACACATTATTATTATTATTATTATTATAGTCATAATATTTTATATATAATGTGAATAATTATTGGCTTTTTGGTCAGAGCAATCAATATTCATAAAATGAGAACAAAAAAATTGGTACAAAGACAGCTTTTTCCGGAGTATCAGTTTTTGATATTGACTATGTTTTAATTAATCAATTCAGATTCCAATCCCTTTTACTCCCCACTATTAATTTATATTTATATAATCATCTTCAATATTAATATATATATACTTTCAAAATGTTAATCGTTTAATAATGTAGTCAAGAAAGTGATCAAAAGGAAAAATAAAATAAAATAAAATAAACAAAAATTTCCTTAAAAAAAAAGTATGACATCAGCTAATTATTTATTTTTTTATATTATACTATAAATTTATTCTATAGTTAAAACATCGTATCAACTTCTATTTATATCATATCAAACAATTATTCAAATTTAATTTTTTACGGTTAAAAAATCTAAATTCAAAAACTAAAATCCACAGATAAAAACACACCCTAAGAGTGTATTTGAAAAGCATTTATATTTAATTCATACTTCCTCTGTCCTACTGCAAATATGATATGATATCATAATCCTAGATCTCGGAGTTCTATTTTTGATCGATTGGGTGAATGAAAATGATAAAAATAATACAATGAATTTAAATGGAAAAAGTATTAAGTATGATCTTTTATTTCCTACCCCCAGAGAAAAAGGTATTTCCCTTTTGAGCCGGTTCTATTTTTCATATAATCTCCTCTTAATAGATAGACTATCGACTAGAATTCTATTTCCACAAAAAATAAAAAAATAAAATAAAATTATAAGATTGTACTCTAAATAAATTGAAAAAAAATAAAATTAAGAAATAATGTAGTTTAAATTATCCTTTGTGAATATTATTTACATTGCAACCATGACAATGTCAAATCGTGTTAATGAAAAAAAAAATATATTCTTTTTTTCCATAAAACATCGTATTCAAATTATATATCATTTAAATAAGAACTTTTTAAAAATACACACAGTATTTAAAAACAAAAACTTGGCAAATATTTTGACATGAATCCAGTAATAATATAATATAGATATTATAAATAAAATATATACTCTCTCCGTCATTTAAATATGTGGTCATGAATTCTAACGTTGGCAAGCACTTGTGTTATTATTTATTTATTTATCTTTTCTTTTATTGTAAATATATATATAGTCCTCCTAACTTTGTCATTAAATATAAGTTTAAAATTATGATTAATAGTAGTTAATACTATTATTTAGAAAATCCAAAAGACGACACCGTCAATAATTTGTCAGCATATTTATTGAGAAACACAAAACATTTTGAATATTGTGGAACAAATTAATTATATTTATTTGTCACATGATTAATAATTTTCTTCGATCAAGACTTTCAAAGGGAGCAGTTTGGGACATCAATTTTCATTCAATGATTATATTAATTAATTAATTAATTAATTTGTTTGTATTGTTGGAATATAATATTATATATATTTATTGTATGTAATTAATTGATGATTAATGCATGGCATTCATAAAATGGATCTAATTAATGTCCAATAATTTAATATTAAAATTAAGCATAAAAGTAAGTGAAAAGAGTAAATGGTTAGTGATGGAGCGGCTGCAGTCTCCTCCAAAAAGCCTATAGTCAAATTAATCAATTATATATATATATTTAATTTAAAAATGATTATACTAAGAGTTTATTTAATTTCAGTTTAGTCAGTATTTTATAAAAATAATAATAATAATAATTTTGGTTTGAAATAGGAAACCAAACTCAAGTTATATATTTTTAGTTTGTTTTTAATACGTATTTTCTCTAATAAAATATCATATTACAATATAATTTAAAATAAAATTCAAATAAAAATCTCAATTTTAAATTAAAACCAAACAAACCCTCTACTTAATTTTATTTTTTTGAATTAATGATTTGATGATAGTGACATACACAATAGCGTTACTCTTTCACATGGGTAAATGACATTGGAAAATACACTAAGCATATTTAATTAATTAAATAAAACATCAACAAAAAGGGGTCAACCTAACATATAAAAAACCCTTAGCTTTTTGTCCTAACTATCTCCATATCTCATGATTTCCACAACAATTAATTTAATATATCCCATCCACTTCATTTATCATTTAAATTTATTTTTTTATTATCACATAAATTTATTTACGTTTCTTTTCTTACTAAAAAAATACTATTTAAATTTATTTTTTTTTTATCTTTTTTACTTTAAAAATAAAAAATTTTATTTTTACATATTTTTTAAAAATTCATATCCAGACAAATAAACATAATTTTTTCCCGCTAAAAAATATTATTTTATTTATAAACCCTAAATCCTAAACTTGGCCTCGTAATATTTATATATATATATAATCTTCAAAAATCATAAAATAAATACTACTCCTTCCGTCTTAGTTTTATTTTTCATTTTCGTCTGTTTCAAAACAAGGTACTATTTCCTAATCGTATTACCTACCTAATATAATAAATATCTTTCAAACTTACAATATATTACACAAATATTACCACCTTTATATTACACCATATTAATAAGGGTATTTTCGTCTTTTTTACTACAACTCAATATAATACTAATATTAAAAAATCTACTTACAAAAAATAAATATTACGCTTTATATGGGACACTATTTTTTTATTTAATATTCGATTATCTAAATGACCAAATTTTTATTTAAAACATCAATATAAACTTATTTATTTCAAATCATTAATTTTTTTAAACTTCCGATTCCATGCTCTATTATATTTACATATATATTATTTGTATATAATAGACCCAAATGACAATATATAAAAAAATATGGTAATATATATATATATTTATATATGATAATAACAGTAATTTAAGTGTGGATATTACTTAGAAAAGAAAGAAGAATGCATGAATGATGAGTCAAAAATGATGTTGAAAAGAGGCATGTGATTAGCCACTTGGTTTCACTTATTTAATTAATTAATTAAATATTATCAATTATGATGTCATTGCCTATTTCTGATTAATTAAATAAATTCCATTTTAGATCAAAGAAAAATGAAATTAGTGGGACTATAATAAGTATTATATATATCATCACTTTCTGCTGTCTGCAAATAAATAAATAGTATTATTATAAGAGTGTGTGTGTGTGTGTGCTGACAAATGAATAATGAAACTGGGGGATATGATGATTTAATTTAATTAAATTTAATAAATAAATGGGTCAGAGATAGAAAGAATTTTGCACAATATTCAAAGAAACAAATACTAATATTACATTGGAATTGAAATTGAAATAAATAAATACGAAAGGCCATCCGGAATTTAGGGAAAAAGATTTTGTGACATTCCAAGAGGACCAAAGACCTCGACTTACACTTTGACCCACCAACATACCATTCATTTTATTATTATTATTATTATTATTCATATATTAAAACCACTATATATATATATATTATAGAGTATTTTTTGATATTTTTTAATATTTTAAAAAATAAGTATTGAACAAAATATTTTAAATAAAAATAGAGTTCAAATATAATACTATTTAATTATATATATATACTAGGTATGTTTACTTTCAATTTGTTTTAACGATTTCATTGTTTTTAATAAAAACATATTATATCTCTTATAAACATATTTAATAATAACCATTAGTTTAATTTAATTTAATTTTTTTTTATATAATTCCCATGGTTCTTTGTAAAAATACATATATAATTTTATTTTATAAAATATTAAATTAAATTAACATAAATAAATAAAATCCAAAAGTACGCATCCAAAATTAACAAAAAAAAAAAAAAAAACCCATAATTTCATGTCATGTTATTTCTTTGACCAATCATGCATATGTTTGGTTGTATTTTTTTAAATGTTATAAATTCCTCGAATGGTTTTAGATTTGTTATTTTATCTGTTTGCTTAATCAATTATATGTAGTATTATTGCATTTTATATGTAAAAGTAATTGTTTTAGCCAATGCTAATTATGATCAATTATAAGTTTGAGTCACTACACTACATGCACTAGGGTTTAAGGTTGTTTTTTTAGCATTTCAAATTAAAATAAATACTATCTATTTTATTTTGTTTCTAATAAAAATATACTCCTCCGTCCCAAATAAGGTGCAGCATTAGTATTAAGTAGAATAATTTAGAAATTAGGTGATATGATGGAGAGGGAAATGTATATTTTATTTTTTTATTTGGGTGATGTGATGGGATAAAGTGTGGGTAGAGATTAAGTATAATTAATTATTTTCTATTTTGAAAATGTTGCAAGGTATTTGGGGCATAGCAAAAAGGAAATGTTGCACGGTGTTTGGGACGGAGGGAGTATTAATTTTTCTCACAAAAATATAATGTTAAAATATTATTTAAACAAAAACTCATACTAACATCCTATTTTAAATCAAATTCAAGCCACAACCAAATACTCTATTAATTAATATGTATGTCAACATACTACGTATCTTTACTAATTACTAATAAATCTTCATGTTCAAATTTAAATATTCAGGTTAATTACTTAGCTAGGGTATGTTTTTCTTTTTGTTTTTCTATTTTTAACTAATTTTTTAATAACAATAATAATTAAAAAAAAAAACAATAACAATGAATTATAGTAATACTCCATGATATTTTGAATAAAAATAAATAAATAAATAATATGAGAAATGCAATCATCAGTTTGGATTAAATTGCCTAAACCCTAATTAAGAGCTTTGGGTCATTTCACTCATCATTGTAATGATCATCATATATTCATATTCCTGTCTGTTATCATAATCTTGACTGAAATAGTATGTACTAAAAAACCCTAATTTAATTTAATTTAAATTAAATATAAGTTTGATTTCACTTTTCAATAATTACCTTAATTATAGTAGTGATTGAAATAATTGAATTTAATTCTATTGGTTTCTCAAAAAAATACTTTTATGACTATATATAGTAGATAAAAACAAATATAGATTTGATCGATCAATAGAGTAATGTTTTTTGCCATTTATTATTATATTGATTTATATAGTAATTTAATTGTGATTGACAAGTACGGACATGTAATTGTCATGATTAAGAATATGTACCAAAAATCTCCTATTGGACCATAAAAGATTTACAGGCTTCATTCCTAGGAAACACATACCCTTATTTACTGTGCCACGTCGGATTGAAGTGACACGTTGTCACTGTTCGTCTCAGTCCCGTGGGGCTACTCTTGCCACGTGTCTATTTCTGGAGCTTCCCCAGCGCCACGTCACCTGACTAAAACTGTTTCATTCCGGTGTACGTAGCGCACGTGAACCGCGGCGCAGAGCATAATTAAATATTTTAAATAAATATAAATATTGTTATTTATTGTTCTTATTACAATATCGAGAATATATAAATGCCATTTATTGCTACTGCTATTTTATAGTGTAAATTTGAATAACAATAATAATAATAAAAAAAAAGAGTCTAATTTATTAGGGTGAAAATAGCAACAGTAAAAGTGAATCCTGAATGGGGCCCATAGAAAAAAGACTACTGTTACCATTCATGGATTAGCCTACAGTCCTACACTGAAGATTTGCTCCCTATTTTCATTTTTCCATCACATTTAATTAAAAAATAGAAACAGAAAAATAGGTAGATTTTAAAAAATAAAATAAGGGGTTCATTTGTTTATTTATTTATTATTTTTTTAAAAAAAGTTGAATTGGAGATAGGCCCCAATAGCATTAATGGCCCATTTGGTCAGCCCAAAAGCAAGCGCAATTATGCCTTACTGGGCTTTGGAAATAATTAATATCCACTTTTTTAAATAATAATAATAATACAATTGTCAATTATACAATATAATGTTAAAAAAATATATATAATTCTGAAAAAAATAAACTGGTATATGTTTAAGTACTACTACCACTATTGTTTTCCTTTCGGGGGCGAACTCCACGAATAGCATCGGCAAATTTTTTTACGTTATAAAAAAATATAAAATATAAAATAAAAAAAGAAAATAAAATATACCAAAATAGCGACATCATAAAAATGCTGTAACGGCTGATAAAAGCAAGCCAGATAAAACCTCCGAGTCTTGTCCTAAAAAGACAATCATCATCATCATCATCCTCTAGTCTTGTCTTGTTACCTTAAACGATAAAATAAGTTGCAATAATGATCCAAGTATTAATTTGTGAACAGTTCGCTCCCGGGAATGACGGTCATGGTGCCTTCGCCCATGACCGTCGTTCTCGTCATCTCCTTCTCGAGTATCTGCTCGAGCTCGACAACTACATTCTCCATCCTCGGCCTCTCCCTCCCGGGAAACCTCATGCATTGCAGCATTACTTTTATTACATCTTTCATTCCTTCGGGAGTGAAGCTTCCCGCTAACTGACGGTCGATTAGATTGTCCGAACTCAAACATTCTTGTACCTATTTTTGTTGGACAATATATAAAAAAAAAAAAAAAAAAAAAATCATTTTTACGATTAAGAATGAATTATACGAAGAAAGGTTGTCGACGTACCCATTGAAGTATGCCGTCATTTGATCTGAAGGCCTCTTTGTTCGCGGCTTCCTTACCCGATATCAGCTCTAGTAGGAATATTCCGTAGCTGTATATGTCGTTGATCTCATTGTCCGTATCGGGAAGTCCTAACCTATCGAATTTCGACGTCGATGAAGCGATCGAATTAATTTTCAAGGTGGAGCTAAAAAAGAATGGATAATTGCTTACTCGGGGTCCCGGAAAGCGTCGATGGAGGCTGAGGTCGACGAGCCTGCATCGTCGATTCTCTCGAGTAGTTTCTTGACGCCTGCGTCGGAAACTTTCGTGACGAAATCCTCATCGACTAAGACGTTAGCTGTCTTGAAGTTGCCGTGGATTACGGGAGGTTGTAAGCCGTGCAAATGAGACAAGCCTGAAATAATCGGACGGCTCGATTTGAAAAAGCGCCGCCGAGTTCATGTAATAAGATGGCAATTGAAGATCGAACCTTTCGCCGCCGCGGTTGCTATGTTTAGCCTTTGCTTAAATTCGAGCTTTGTGTTCGACTCCTTGGCCGCGCCTGTCGAGAAACTCGTTAGCGTCAATAGAAAGACACGACAAGTTCGTTGGCGACAGACATACCGTATAAATGACTGCACATGCTGCCGTTGGGGAGGTACTCGAAAACGAGGATTTGGGATCCTCGTTCTTGGCAATAACCGAGAAGCTTAACGACATTACGGTGCTGAATTGTCGATAAGTGAGCCACCTGTCGCCAATCGGCGAGAGTCAACGACTCAACGGCATTAACGGTTAATTACGACTAAAAATAGAAATTCATTATTATATATACCTCTTCAGTGAAGTCGAGTTGAGGATGACCGGCTCGTCTCTTGATGGCGACAAAGGTTCCATCGGCGAGCAATCCTTTATAAACTAAACCAAAGGTTCCGCATCCAATGAGGTTGCTCTCATCGAAATTCTTTGTAGCTTGCTCGAGCTCTTCGAATCTGAATTGTCTCGGGACTGCGTATGAACCTGTTGCTCCACTTCTTTTCATCGTCGCAGTTGCTTATCAAGCATGAAAGTTAGAACAACGCAAGGAAAAACAGAAAAAGAAGCAATCGAATGGCAAAAAGTTGCTCGATGATCATTACCTGCTACAGAGGTATCAGAAGAGAATGTTTCAGAGCCACGATTCGAAAATTGTCCGAATTTAGATCTAAAGAACCATACCAATACAGCAACAACAAGGATAAGTATTAGCCCCCCGCCTACGCCTCCAACAACGGCTGCCAACGAGCTTCCCATGACGTGCAGACACAACCACCTCTGCTGTAGTCTATAACAAAAGATCTGAACATTGATTCACAATACGAATCGAATCGAATCGAGACAAGGCTAGCTGTTAGCTAATCCAAAATTAATGCATCCAAGAAACATAAAACCACTAAAACAATATGCAGTCTTTGATGGCAAAACTTCACATGCAATTCTAGCGGCTTTTTTGTTGCAAAATATGGCTTTTAAAAGTGCTTTCTAGTGCTGAAAAGCTCAGAGAAAAATGCAAAGTGGTTGATGTCAAAGCATCAACAAAAATACCAGGTAATGAATGAACAATGCTGCCAATTCCTATTGCTGGACAACTCACAAACACAAGCTTTTCACGGTACCCCACTGCGCTGTCCAGCCTGCGAACATGTCATCAATATGAGAAAAACAAAAACGAAATAAAAATAAAATAATAATAAAAAATGACACTTGTAGTAGAATCTCTGTATTACTGCTGCAACACACACTTTTCTTCTCCTATATAACAAAAAGGGACTTTCTTGAATTTAAATAAAAAGGGACATTCTAGAATTTAAATAGGGGAAAGAAAATGCCCCTGAATGTTGAAACATTTCACTCTCTAAATGGTTGTTTGGTAGGAATTAAGTCTTAACTAAGACTTGAGTGAGATGATATTTAGAATCATCAGACAATAAGAGTGATACTTATCGACTCCAGGAGTAAAAGTCCCTACACCTTTTACCCTCATTCATATAGGACCATGGCTATAGAAGAAATGGATCATAGATATCATCTATGGAGTAAAAATAAACTCAACTGACATCATCTGTCGAAACCCTTTTGCCCACAAACTACAACATGCTAACTTATATTTCATCATAGATTCCCTACAGCTCATAAACTTTTTGTACATTTTTGAGTACCAATAGCTTTTAGCAGGAAGACCAGCTGTGGAAAAAGATATATTATGTGGGCACTAAGAAATGAGAAAGTAAACACATACTGAAGATTTCTGGGGTCACGTTATCTCAAAGATATCTTCCTCTTTGAGTGTAAAAAAAAACCTCAAATACCATAGGAATGAAGTTACCATACTGTAAAAAAAGTAGAGGAACTTTTTAAAACAGTTGATAGGCATAATAGACTTTTATTGTACACAACTTGAGAGCATAATTATTGAAGCAAATCAAAAGAAAATGTACTGCTAAATAAGGGATTCAGAAATTTACATCAATTTGCATCTGCCTTTTGAGAGCTTCCTGTTGTGTCACTGCCCTGAAAAGGTATCAGTCACTTCCAATCTTTTGCACATATAAGTTGAGTGATTGAGCCAAGAAAGATAAAATGATATTGCAATAAAGCAATGCAGGCTTTCAGCTTCTCTTATTTGTTTGAATCTACTACACATAATCACTTATCTTTTTGCAAACTAAGCAGGCTGTATTGTTTAGAAAATTGTACATTTGTCTGCCTAGTTTTGCTGTCAGGTTATTGACCTGTACTACCCCACACACCCACTCATATTCACACTCACACCAACTCATATACATATATATATATATATTAGTGAATTTGGCTCTGAATTTGCCTAGTTTTGCTGGCTTCTGAATTTGGCTCTGGGCTGTAAAGGAGAGGATGAATTGGTGGAAAGGGCAGCCAATCATATTGTGCAGAAGTTCAGCTGGCTTTATCAGGCTACAGTGTGTGTTGGTAAATGTGGATATTTGGATTGTTGTCTGAATTCTTGACAGAAATTAGGGGTGTTTCAGTGTGGGCTGGTCAGTTGTGACCGGTGAGGCTACCAAAGTATATTTTTTCTTACTCTTTTTCTTTAATCCATTTTTCTTAAAGAATTACAGTGTTGCAGTGTATACTGTATATAAGCAAAATTTGTAATAAATAAATATTATTTCTTCCTCCCGCATAAACCAATAAATTGTCCCAAAGAAGAAGACAACAATGGCAATGGGGGTGGGGTGGTCCTTCAATCTTCCATCATAGTTCAATTTATGTCCTCCCACAATGGAAAAACATTTGGACCCTCAATTTCCTTTGAATTCTCATCCTCTTTACCAGAAAATCATACTTTCATTGTCTGAGAAAAACATAACATACTTATGTAACATCAAGAAAACAAGTTGAGCACAGAGCTATGGCCAGGAACATTTCCTATTCATACCTCGAGTGTTGTTACATCCCCTTTTTTCCTGTACTTGCCAAACAAGAGGCATCCTCTACATGTTAGCTGACAGATTATGGATTTACAGTTACAAAAGTAGCAAGATTAAATCAACAATAAAATAGGATTAAAAGGAAAGGGGAAGAAGGTAAAAGTAAAAAACTGAGCATTTGATCCCTTCTGTGTTTCTGTGTACATCCACCATTTCCTAATGGCATGGGGAAGATTAAAACCTGTGTTTTCCACACATATACATATACATATATATATATATAATATTTCTGTATTGCATGTTACTGCTATGCAAAAACCGTACATAATATGTACTGTCTGAAATTTCATCTCATGCAGAGATGGCCACAGAGGAATCAATCCTTGGCTGTTATATGGAGAATTTTGTGAAGGTGAATTCACAAAAGCATCTCATGAAAAAGAAATCAAAAGATATTTATCTTGTCATCACCCGACAAGTTGCAGACACAAAGACCTTTCACTTGCATGCCATCCTTCTCCCCTAAAGAAAGAAAAGATCTTCAAAGATTTGAGAAGTTGTTGCACTTTCAGGGTACAAGTAGTCCAAATAACCACCTAGGAAGATAAAATTGTAAATAAGAAACATTTCAGGCAAGAGACATCAAAAGAGCTAAATTAATCTGTGTTCTACTGTTGCTCTATGAAAGTAAGCTTGTTTCTGTGCTCAGTGACAAATGCTTTGATAGGAACCGGAAAGCATACTATTATGCAATAAATATGGATTTCAAGTTGTTGCTAAAAATTAATCATAAGCTTATATATATCATTGCCTTTTCTTCCTGTAGTCGATCACATTTCTAAGAGATCAATCTGTTTGTTTCACGGACAGTCGAAGGGAGGTCAGTTGGTTTCACAATATCCCAAAATTCTTCTTTTTGCACTAAACCATTGGTATGGAGTTTCTAGTCCACAATTGCGACAATTATATATCACTCAATTGAGATTACTACTACTTAATGTACATTGAGAATGTCTGAACTTCAGGCAAAATGCATCAACAGAGGATTGCTTTGCAGGATTGAATAATAATCTTCTTCTTCTAGTCAAGGACATTTAACTTTTTGTTTCAAATTCCCTCAACCTGCTTCAATGAAAGGATTAATTGCATGCTTGTCCCTTCTGTTGATGACGCTTATAAAGTTACAGCTGAAAAGGCTTCCATTCATGAAGCACATGCTGCAAGAACGGTATAAATTTCTCACTCAGTTTGAAGTTCACTGCCAACTGTGGAAAACAGATATCTATAGCCCACATGTGTAGTTGCAGATCTCCCAACTCCTCTTGCTTCTCTTAGTCCATCACTTTATAAACTACAATCGTATCATATGTATTCATAGTGAATGAGCTTTCTGCAAAGCACCTGTAAGAATTTGTTAAATTTCATCAGAATATAGCCCAAGCAATGTATGTAGATGCTAGCACAGCCGAATAATGTCACATAATTGGTATGGATATCAGTTGAATTCATGTAGCTGTAAATTGGAGGGACCAGTTTGCCAAAACAGTGACCACATTCACCAGACAGACTACTAAAATAAACAAACACCAAGTTGGAAGCCCAGGAACAGAACAATGACAAAATGAAGATAAAAAAAATGGGCGTTAAGATTACGTACCTAAGTTCATGCCAGAATAGTTCAGTCTGATCACCAAGAAAGCGACGCAGGGGTGCAAGATAATCATCTTCAATCTGACCTAGGAAGCTTTCCTGTTTCTTCTTATATATTAAGATAAAAATGGAGGTCACAACATGTACAATGACAGTTGGATCAGGATCCCCCAAAATGGCCTGCAACTCCCTTCGTATCCAGGGTTCTATTTTCCTTAGTATCCTTTCTTGTCCACCATCATTTGCGGAAATTTGCTGCAAGTTCAAAGTGTATTGTGTATATTCTTAGTAGGATCAAGAAGCACAAGCAGATCGCATTACAAGAACAGTTCACACTGCCAAAGAACTTTACAAATAAGTGTTGTGTTGTAGAAGAGGATAATAATCGCCAACATACCTTCACAACACCATTTTCCGAATTGGAAGCGAAAGGAACAGCCTTCAGCCTCTGCTCATAAATGCTGAACAAAAAAGAAACATAACCACTTTCAGATTGATTCAGAAGAAAACCAAACCATCAACAGCACCTTCAACTAACTACCTAAGGAAATACTATCAATTTGATATCAGAAACATCACCAGATAAGCAATCATATAACAATCGTACGGTTTATATATTGAACATTACAATACCTAGCACGCCATTTCCTAATTCTCTCAGCTTCGACTTCAGGGCTTTCATGGCTTGACCTTTCCAAGGATCGTTGCTTTGGTAACTCTCTTGTTCTAGATTTTACAACTGATACCTCTCTGGAAGCTCGACTAATCATCCTGTATGTGTAGAGAGACAAATTAGTACAAACAAACACTCACTTGATCAAATTTCTAATTGAACAATCATAACTGAACGCAAAACAATTCAAGCTAAAATAGAAGTGCAGCTTTATAGTGGTATTTTGGCTAAACATCCCATGTGAATTATTGGTCCTTCGAAGTTCGAAGCTTTAGCTTCCATGGTGTGAAGAACTTAAAATTTATCTAATACATCAGGCCATAAAAACAATCCCAAAGAACACAAACTAATCACTATGCAATTAATTCGGTTAAAGCTTCAAATTTTGATCTGTCAATGCTTCAAAAAGAACAGTTTCGGATACCTTCTTTGTTCGAACAATTGAGCTCTCCGTCTCCTCAACAACGTATCATCCCTAGGTAACGAACTGACCGGTGTGCTCCTGCCAACAGAAATCAATCTCTCCTCGCGAAAATCCTTATCAAATTGGCATAACCACGAGCAGAAATCCGCGTTGCAGAGAGGACACTTGCGCTTGAAATCGCTCCACCTGCGGATACACCCGATGCAGTAGGCGTGCAAGCAAGGAATAATCACGGCTGCCGATGGGATCTCGACTCTGCTCAGGCATATCGGACACCGCTTCCCGATCACTGAGTCGACGACTCGGCGCCTTGTCCGTGAGAGAGAGCCAGTCGCCGGCGGCATCATGTAATCGGGTCGGGTCGGGTCCGCAGATGTGGGCTGGGACCTTCGATTTTAAATTAAAGATAGTGTCATTACTCATTTGCTCACCTTCGATTTTTTTTTTTAAAAATAAAAAATAAAAAATCAATATATAGTATGATATATATATTATTAGTTATGATGATATCTTCCTCCCATAGAATTTGTTCTTATTTTCTATTTTCGTCCGTCTCTAATCTGTCATTTTTTTTTCTAAAATTAATTATACACTTTAATCATATTTTAAAATTTAAAATTTAATTTTTTTAATCTTAATTAAACTATTTAGTTATTTTAATCTTAATCTATAATTATTTTTACTAAATAATAATTATTTTTACTAATACATTTCTTAATTACTTACAAATTATATTGTGTACAGTAATACACCCATATTACATGGGACAATTCCCGTGTCTACAGTAATACACTCATATTACATGGTATGAGGGAGTATATTATAAAATTAATTATATTAATTTTATTTTTATTAATTATGTATTAAATTAGTAAAATTTATCAAAAATACAAATCTATCATTGTATATTAGGAGAGGGAGGGAGTATTAAATATTTCATTTATATATATTAATTTTTTCATTATTCCTCTAATTTAAATTTATTTATATTTATATTTATATATTTTTTTTTATTGCGATCTAAAATTATTTTGTTTTTTTTAAGTAAAAAAATATATATTTTTTTAAATTTTTCTTTAACATAAATTTTTTTATTTTTACTTTTTTATCTTTTATTTATTTAAGTTGTATTTGCTTGTCAAGTTAGGGTGTGTTTGTTTGAGGGATTGGATTTTTTTTATTATTCATTCAATTTTTTTCCTAAAAACATCAAATCAAACATCTATTTTTTTTTATATTATACTAAAAATCAATTTTACATTCAAAACATCACATCAACACCTATTTATATCACATCATGCAACTATTCAAATTCAAAATTTTTACTATTCAAATCTCAATTCAAAATCCAAACCTCGAAACAAACACACCCTTAATATAAATTTACATGACAGATGGAATATATAACATTTAAAAATAAAAAGAAAATATTTTAATAAATATTTTATAATTCTTAATAATAATAATAATAAAACCTAAAAAATACAAGTAAAATAATAAATATTTTTTATGAAAAAAAATAAAATATCTTTAATTATCGATTAATACAAATTTATCAAACACTTTTATATTTAGTTAATCAAAGCTAGTGAATAGAACAATATTTAATTTGATATTTTGAGGTGAAAAATATTTGAATCATTAGAATCAATACAAAAATTCATAAGTGAACAAAAATTGATTATATTTATTACTTTTTTTAAAAAATTGATTGTCCTAAAAAAAAAATAATTAAATATCTTTTTAATTTTTATGAAATTTTAATTTTAATTTTTAAAAAATTATTTATAAATATATTTAAATCTCATTAACTAATTAAGCGCACTTTATCTATTATAATTTAAAATTATTTTAATCTTTATTTTTTCATATTTAATTTAAAAATAATAAATTATATGTTTTAAATTATTACAATTTATATAGATTAATATTTAAAATATTACAAATTAAAATATATTTATATTTTCTCCATCTGATATTAAGAATTATATTTTATATTGATATAATTTCTTTTACAAATATCTTTATATTAATATTAATATTATAAGATACAGACAAAAGTAAAGGTGATTCTTAAAAAAATATTATAAAATAATAAAAAAATTATTTATATATATTATTCACAGTAGAAATATATAAAAATAAATAAATTATTGTGGATTCTATACATTAAAAATAATGGCTTGAAAGTGATTTAAGGTGATAAAAAATGATTTGAATATTAAAATAAATATAGATAGATGAGAGATAAAAAAATAAAATTACAATATTTGTTTTCGGCACAGTAATTTAAGTAGATACTATTAAAATAAGATAATTTAAAAATTATGTGATATGATAAGAAAAAAATATATATTTATTTAAATATGTGATGAGATTAAATGTAAAATAAAAATGAAATATATTTAATTATTTGATATTTTAAAAATATGTTTGAATCATATAAAAAAATAAATAGAAATATTGTGTTTGAGAGAATAGTAGATAATTAAAAAGTATATTAATAAAAATAATTATTATATATTAAAAATAATTATAGATTAAAATTAATATAATAATAATTTAATTAAAATTTTAAAAATTATAAAATTTAAAATGAATTTAAAGTAGAAAATCAAATTTAAAAAAGGAATTGACAAGTGGGACGGACGTGGAGGGAGTAGAAATAATAACTGTACAAATGTGGTACCATTTCGGGTTACAAATAAAATTTCCAAAATATTGGGGGTCTGCGCGCAAATAGAATCACCGGCACATTTTTGAAAAAGAGGAGTGCTCAACGAACGCCATTCTCCAAATTGCCTCTGCAAACACACTGCAACAGTATTCCGACTGCTATGGATGTTCCTAAGGACCAACTCTCCATTCTTTTGGATCATGGCCTCTACTCGTCTGCTCAAATGCTGGTTCACTTTCATTGACACTTAAATTGATCTATTGATTAACCTGATTTTTTGGTGGTGTTTTTTCCTTGATTATTGATTGATTTGTTATCGTTTGCCACTAGGGTTGCTTTGCTGTTTCTTCAACATCGTTGGTTCCCGAAACTAGTCCCAATCTAAGAGCCGAAAGCTTGGTTGGTATTCATTTCGTCTGTGTTTTTGGGTGAATTCACTTGAATTTCTCTCGCGGTACTTGATTGGTAATCATTTCCCGGTGGCAGGCGCTGTTTGGAGACTCACTATTTCGGGAAAAAGAGTACCGAAGGGCTATTGTAAGATTGGGAGTACTTAATTCAATTATAATGTTGTATGTGTGATAGAAGTTGAGTTTTACATGTTCTAAATGCTCCACCGTGTGTATTTTCTTTCTTTCTTTTTGGTAATAATATAATTATAATCTTCACATGCCGAGACAGGATTTGATTTTGTAAAAATGCCATTCCAAGCTGTTTGTAGTTTGTAATTAGAAAAGCATGTTTGAATTATAAGAATACATCTTTCTTGAAAAGTGTACAAATTTGGTTAGATGCATTGAGTACCAATTTACACATTTCAAGTAACTCGTGAACAACTGTAGTGCAGGAAGCTGGATTTCGGACGGCTAATGCCGATATTGAATTTTGTATGCTTACAGTAGAATTCAGACAATTTGCATTAACCCCAGTAATTGCTTGAGTAGCATATATCCTATGATGCCAGAATACTTGCATATGAATTCAAGTGCACACCTTTTTGTTTGTGTTTGCTCCTCTATTGCTAATACATTTTGGTTCATTTTATTGGAAATCAGTAATACGTATATATTGTTTGTATTGTGTTTAACAACTGTTCATTTTATTTGCTAACACATCTTTTGGACAGCAAATATACAAGCAAGCCTTGCATTGCATTAGAATACTACCAAAACAAAATGTGGCAACACCCCCAACAACCAGGAGCTCATTAACCACATTAAATAGGTCATCTTCTCCAAATGCTTTGAACTCATCAGCAGTAAATGACAACGAGGTAATACAACTCTTTTGTTTGTGTGTGATATACACGTATTTATATATTTATGGATTCACATGTGAAATACTGTCATTTTTTTGTCCAATCCTCATACAGGTGAAGTTCAAAATTGCAACATGTTACAGCATACTTGGGGAGAAGAGAGCTGCTCTGGCCGAGGTTTGTACTTATGTCTTATAGGCTTTATTTTTTTCCTTGTTGGTGATAGAAATGAGGTTATTCTGACACTATTCATATTCAAATTTTGAGTAGTAATATTGGCCTTTATTGTATTTATGTTGTGAGTGTTCTGTGATAACTACCTTTGAATGGCCTTTAGTGAACTTTGAATATATTCAAATTCTAGTTGCCCATAAAACTGAGGCTTTGGCGTCATGTATGCTCATTTAACAGATGGAGGGAATTCCAACCAAATCAAGGAATCTAGAGATGAATATGCTGATGGGAAAGCTTTATCAGAATTCTAGGCATACTCGATATGCAGCTAATTGTTTTAAAGAGTGTTTGAGGTATGGCCTTCAAATTGAAATGACGACGATGATTTTGACATTTCGTATCATCTATGAAAACCCTTCTATGCATGTGTACTTTTGCTTTCTGCTTGTGGAGGTTGGTATGACACAGGTTTAAAAGAGGGTTCTAATTATGGGTCATAGTTTGCTCTATCCTAGTGCTTTCCTTGATAGTTTTTGCTTTCTTGGAAGGCCCGTAGCAATGAGCCTGCATTTCTAAACAAAAAAATAAAAATAAATAAAAATTCATATTATTCCTTGCAAGCAAATGATGCTTTTGGTTTTCATTTATTTTCCGGGTCATTTTCCTAAGTTTCTTTTAAGCTAGATTTCAAAACTCATGAATAGTTGGATAGTTTTGATTTTGCACAAGTTTCCCTCCGAAAGAATGCTATGAATTTCTCATGCTAAGCATGCGGGCATGCCTGTGCTATGTTCCCACCTCATGATAATAGTAGGATGAGATTAAGATAATGGCATATTTTTTTAATTGACAGGATCTGTCCGTACGCAATTGAGGCTATTATAGCATTGGCTGACTTGGGTGTTTCTTCCAAGGATATTATGTCCTTGTATTCTCAGGTAAGTTTGATCAAGTTACCTCTGTCTCAAATTTCAAAATTGTTAATGCCTTTTTTTTTCTTCCTTCCAGAAGGTTCATAGTTTCCTGTTTAAGTAGGGATGCTCATGCCTACTGAACTTTCCTGCTACAAGCAAAACTATTTCATTGTTTGGCACCACTTTTAAGGCTATATGCGTATGTTATTTACTTGAACAATGCTGGCAAACCAAACAATGTCATTGTGATTTATTGTGCTAAGAGAATTAAAGCTTGTCAATGACCTATGCTCTAATGGAAGTATAAAAGATTACTTTTCTTCTACAGTAACACACCTTTTTACCCCAAAACATTACATCAAACATCTATTTTTTAATTCAAATATTATGTTTAAATTTATTTTATGTTCAAAACATCACATCAAACAACTATGCTAACTTCAAATTTTTACAATTTCCAAAACAATTTAAAACACCAAAACACAACCAAATAAAGCTATTCTCTTATTTCTATTCCACTTCTAAGATAGACCTATTTCAAAAGTTACACTTTTCAGTGACATGAAATATGGAGAACTTCTTAACATTCATAATTCCAACAGTCTGAGCAATCTCTCACAATTCCCTTGCTGGCGATTTCAGACCCCAAGCAAAGGTGGAAGAGCTCAAATTGAACATTTTGATTCAAGTCGCTGGTTGCAGGTAAGTTATAATGGTTATCCCTGCCAATTACATAGCCATCCTTTCGTGATACTGTAGGTTTAATTCTAATGAATGAGTAGTCCTCGTACATGGTTATGAATAAACTGTTCTGTGATGTTTTCCTACCAACTCTTCGTTTAATGCAGCATTACATCGAAGCTCAGTGTTGCATTGCTTCAAATGATTACAAAGGTCAGATACAGTCGAATACACTTTTCTTTTGGCAGTTAGACTTTTCTGGTCTGCTTTAAGTTTCTTGAGCATTTGTGCACAGATGTTCCACCTATTGTGTTGTAGACGGAGCTCTGTTGTGGAGCCAAATGGGTGGTTCCCCAGAACATACTAAATACTAAGATTCTGCCTATATATGCATGGGTATTTATAAGAAATTTTATGTTTGGTATTCCATTAAAAATACTGAATCTGTATTATATGTTACTCTTTACAGGTTTTAGAGTGTAAATGTATTTATTATCATGTCTTCTTGCGTTATAAGTGCATCTCATGGGAGCCCTGCATATCTATCCTGCTACTTGCAGTTCTATGTGTAATTGTTTTCTCTCGGTTAGCAGGTGGACTGGAAATATTCTCAGAACTTCTACAACGATTTCCAGATAATGTTCACATATTACTCGAAATGGCTAAGGTATTTTAACAGTTGCCTTAAGATGAGTCTTATAATGTCAAGCATGTGTGGTTTGTATGGTTTTATATTTGCATATTTCTGTCATTTAAGACGGATTCTAGAATCAACATGCTATTGAATTGCGTGGGACTTACAAATTTGATGTCATATGGTGTTTCTGATTTCAGAGTACTCATAGCTGATTATGATAAATAAAATCTCCTGGAAGCTTCACATCTTTTTGTACTTATCTAGATAAAAAAAAAAATGCTGCTGGGCATATGTTTTCTGTGATTAAGTAATGCCAAATTCAAAGTTTGTTCTGCATTGCATGCCAATTGCCTAAAGAAATTTCTCACTGCAACAGCCATAAATTTTACATCAGCGCTGACAGATTTCTCTATGATGTTAATTGTTTATAAGGTTAATGCCATAATTGGGAAAAATGACGAAGCCATTCAGGATTTTGAAAAGGTAACTTTCCACAGTTAAATATATGACCAGTTGTTGGTTTTGACATAAATTGTAAATATAGGGAATGTTTGATTCTACAGGTCCGGTCAATTGATCCATATGTTGTTACCTACATGGATGAGTATGCAATGCTTCTGAGGCTCAAATCCGATAATTCCAAGCTAAATAAGTTAGTGCATGATCTCTTGGATATTGATCACTCGAAACCTGAAGTTTTTGTCGCTCTATCTGTTCTTTGGGAGAAGAAAGATGAAAGAGCAGCTTTATCTTATGCTGAGAAGGTTAATTTTTCTTTTTATCATTTATTTTTTTGGTTGAATATTCTCTGGCGCCAATGTTACATTATCACCACCCATGACCTTTTATCAGAGCATTCACATGGATGAGAGGCATGTGGCCGGTTATATAATGAAGGTACGTCAAGCCATTTCTAGCACGAATGATTCTATTTGGTAGAAATTTTTTTTCCGAAAGCTCAAGAATGTCATCATGTGTAGTTTGATATTTCTTATATTCTAGTTTACTGTTTACAGTTTTTTAACTTCATATTTCTCATGATATCTAGGGGACTCTTTTGTTGTCAATGAATCGGCCAGAGTCAGCCATACATGCCTTTAGGGGAGCTCAAGAATTAAGGTCTGATCTTCGATCATACCAAGGTATGCCGGAAAGAAATCCTGTTTTTTTAGCGTAGTTACTAGGGATTGTTTGGTTTGGGTTTGAAATTGAGATTTTTATTTAAGTTTTGGTTTAAATAGTATTTTGATGTGATTAAGAGAAGAAATAGTATATTCTTATTGGAGTTGTATAAATTGAATAGTATAATTTTGGGTTTGAAATGCAAAAACAAACACAATCTAATCTACTACCTAAATGTGCTGTTTCAAATGAATTTCAAGAAATGAGAGAGAGCATAATGTGACTTGAATGTATAAAAGTATTTCAGGTTTGGTTCGTTCTTGTTTGCTCCTTTCGAAAATGAAAGATGCTTTATACGCTGCAAGAGAAGCCATGAGGGCAATGCCTCAATCCGCAAAGGCTCTAAAACTTGTCGGTGATGTCCATGCTAGTAGCTCCAATGGCAGAGATAAAGTATGCACGATTTTATAGATTTGATACTGAAAATTTCTTGTCATGGACTAAAAATTAGAGAATAATTGTTAAATGTAAACATTTTGTACAGGCAAAAAAATTCTATGAATCAGCCCTGAGGCTGGAGCCTGGTTTTCTTGGAGCTGCACTAGCCTTAGCTGAACTCCATGTTGCAGAAGGTCGAAATGGAGATGCAGTCTCCCTCCTCGAGCGATATCTGAAAGATTGGGCTGACGATTCATTGCACGTCAAGCTTGCTCAAGTGTTTGCTGCTACAAACATGTTGCAAGATTCCCTTTCACATTATCAGGCAGCATTGAGGTAATATATGTTTTTATTCTCTTAACATTTGCATGATTTTTTCTTTTTTCTTTTTTGAATGTGTATGAACATTAAGGCTTTGTTTAGATAAAGAGTTTTGAGAAAATTTAGAAATAGTAAAATGTTATATTTGATATTAACTTTTTTTTTAAAAAGTTACTATAGGATGAATAGTGTTAAAAGTTCTAAAATTGTCTTTGTAAATAAGACTCCATATATAGAGCCTAAGGCTTCGTTTAGAGAAATTTTTGGAATTTTAAAAACATTTGTAAAGATTTGATGTAATGAATTTGATGAATAGTGCCATAATTTCAAAAAATGTCTTAATAAACAGAGCCCAATCGAACAATAACTGTAATGACCTCTGCATTTCAGGATAAACCCTCAAAACGAAGCTGCAAAAAAAGGGCTCGAGCGCTTGGACAAGCAGATGAAGGTTTGTATAATATGTACCTAATGTTTTTTTCCATAAATGCAGTATCGTCTAGTGTTGAGGTTTGGGTTCCATACGGTATCTTTTTGTTATAACAGTCGGGATTTGAATACAGGGAGTCGATCCGGATGCCCCGGAGGACGACGACGACGATGATGATAATGAGGTTGATGATGCTGATGGAGATCAGGAGGGTGAGCTATTGTGATCCTTTTGTGCATAAAATGTATAACTCACTATTATTACAATTCTTTTGGTCTGGATTTTATACATCATTTGTATTTGCAGCTGCTTTTTTGGTTTGTTCTTTCATCACATTTTACTTAATTTTCGAGAAAACATTTTTACTTATATTTTTTAGTAAAAATATTTTACAAATATTAAAAATTACTTCGAGCACACCCTTTTATCTCTGGAGGTTTTTTAATAATAATAATAAAGAGGAATTTATAATCTAAAAAATAAAATTAACAGCAAATTCATGCATGAAGAATGTATCGTTTTGGGTACAGTAACATTCTGTTCTAAATTACCACAGATTTTGTCAGGTTTACTATTATGGTTTTAGAAGTGGCATAATTAATATATAAATAAAAATAATTATAATGTAATGCTTTTTCAAAAAAATAAATAAAATAAAAAATGTATGACATATTAAAACGATAATATGAGTCCGAGATGTAGACTAAAGGAATATTAAATACAGTAATATTCTTGATCGTACTCTATAATTAGTCAAATGAAGATTTTCTTTCTACTGTCTTAGAATAATCTTTATGGAACAAAATCATCAAATCAAATCAAATCAAATCATACCCTAGCGTTAGAGGTGGTACAATTGTCCTTTCAATTCACTTCTTATTTTTTAAAAAAAAACAAAAAATTCTTGCATTTTATTCGATATATATATATATATAACATACACGTTTATTTAAAGCTTGAGACCCAATATATTTCATGAATATAGGATATTTATATATAATTCCAACTTTATTACCATAAAAAAAACGTATACAAACTGACAATGCTAGAAAAACCTAGCTCTCATTGTCTCTCCATACATACATATATATATATATATATATATGCAAATGAGATATTCGACCTCATTCCATATATATATATACATATTCTGACAGCTCATCATAATATTCCGAACCTCTCTAAAACACATTACAATGTCCACTAAATTATGCAAGAAAATTTGTATCTTATTCATAATGTGCGTTGAAAAAAAAAATATTTAATTTAGAGCCAGAGCGCGCCGGCTCTCTTGAGCATAGGCTTAAGTGTTCTCTTGAGATGAAGGCTCATGATCTCATTGGCCCCGCCGACGAACTCGCCGCCGATAAAGACGGCGGGGGAGGCGGGGTTGCAGCCGAGGGCGGAGATGGCGTCCTCGATGTCCCGGCCCATGGGGATATCGTCGAGCTCGTATACGGTGGGGTTGACGCCAAAATCGGTGATTAGGGACTTGATCGTGTGGCTCATGCAACACGTGGTTTTGCTAAATATCACCACGGGCTTTTCCGACACCATTTTCGATATAATCTCCATTCTGTTTGTATATATGATCTTGTGATACTTTACTATGAAAGTAGTTAAAAAGAAAATGTAAGAAGTTAAAGGATTGGTGATGATGACGATGATGATGATGGAATAAGAAGTTAGGGTTTTTGTGGGTTGTGGTAAGTTGGGAGAGTTATGGGGTTTTTATAGGGAAGAAAAACTATGGGATTAAGGATTTTTTATTTTTATTTTTTTTATATTTTTTTTATTTTATTATTGGAATTGACTGATGTGTGGAAATGAAAGGAAATGAAAAAGGAGGTATCAATTCTTGGAAGATCCGGGGACTAGCGGGACCAGAGGAATGGTCGTTAGAAGTGTGTATGTATCGGGAGTTTAGCTCCCGGTGTTTCTGAGATTAAAAGGAGGGCAAACGGTGACGAATCTTGGCATACGGAGAATTGAGGACACGTGTCATCCGTACGAGCGGTTTCGGGAACATTTATGATCTTTCCATGCACTGGAATATATCTTTTTATATATTTTATATAATCTTATTCGTATTTAATTACATAATAAAAAATAATATTAGTAAATTGTAGATTGAAAATTAAATGGATTTAATTTCGAAAGTGGTCCCTTGTGATGAAATAGAATTGAATTTTTTTGTAGAAGCATCTGGTGAGGTGAGCTATTGAAAATAATAATAATAATAATAAAATAAAAAGAGATCGAATAGTAGAAGTTGGCAATTTTATCCAATTGGGACCTCCATATTCCATTACGTCTATCTTTATTTTTTCATTTCCAAAATATGTATATATATGAGATTCGATTTCATTTATATTTTTGTAGTTTATTTTTTTTGCACATTTAAATTGATTTAAATATTGACATATTTATATGTATATAGGGTACGTATTTAATTATTTTTTCTTTGTAACTAAGACAAAATCTTGAAAATGTGTGTTTGTTTTGTATTATATTTATATTCTGTGCATATTTAAATAGTAATTTAGTGCAGTTTTTGTAAGAGAAAAATATATTATAACAATGATCATTAGACCGCATAATAAAAAAAGTCCAGTAAGGGATGACATGGTGGTGTAGGGGTTGGATTTGTGACGGTGACACTTCAGAACTTTTTTTGGGGAATAGAATTAAAAATAAGTTTAATATATGATTTAATGAATACTCCATTAAATAGGAGTTTATTTGAAAATGTATTTTATTTGATTGGTAATATATATTGATAGTAAGTAGTTTAGAAGTGATGTTTATGAAAATAATACTAGCTATATTTTTATAAAAAAAAATTGTAAATAGAACAATATAAAATAATGAAATAAACTATATATGTTGTATATTATTTTAGAGCATCTTATTTCAAAGCTCAAACCGAACTTGACTCATTTGATGTTTTTTCGCCAAATAAAATTTAAACTTTTGCATATCATCTTTTAAAAATTACATTTATAGATCAAATTATATTGGATGGTAAAAAGAATAACTTCTAATGATAATTGGTGAAAGTTTTTTGATATGTAAAGATTATTTTACTAATATGATGGATAAAATTGATGTAAATAAGTAAAAAATACAATAATTAGTACTTACTCCGTCATCCAAATTTATTTTCACTTTCCTCTTTTAGTTGTCATTCAAATTTATTTTCGTTTCTTTTTTTAGTAACAAAATACGACTTTTTCTACCTTTTTTTTTTATTCAAAAAAGTAAAAGTTTTTATTTTTATCTATTTTTTTTAAAAACTTATGTCCGGTCAAATGAGCACTTAATTGGATGACAGATGGAGTATTTATAATGTCCAGTACATACTAAAAAAAATATTGTATTCTAATAATAAAAAATAACAAAATAAAAAAATAAATACATTGACAGCAGGGAAAGAAATTATTCCAAACTCGTAGTGAATTAAATTTGAAGTAGCTTAAATTGGATGGAAAGTACGGACATAAACAAAGGTAGCCCTAAAATGCCCCAAAGGGCGTTTGCCAGCTTCCTTCCCAAAGGAATATATATATATATATACATACATACATATACAAATACGAAGATATACGTATATATTGTACACATACGTGTGTACACCGACATCCACGTGTAAGTGTGTGGATGAAATTAAAGAAAAAAAAAATGGAAAAAAAGATGCCATTGATGATACATACATAATTACATATATATCTATATATATATACATACACATGCCTAAGAAAAAAAAAAAAAAACTTGTACTATATCGTGTTACGGAATGTCAACTTATTACACAATCTTTCCCACGTACTTAGTTGTATTCATATATTTTCACGAATATGACAATCCTACTTGTCTCTCTCTCTCTCTCTCTCTCTCTCTCTCTCTCTCTCTCTCTCTCTCTCTATATATATATATAAATGCATCTATTTTTAATTGTACTTTTTATTTAATATTCTTTCTGACTCAGTTAATTTGTTTTGTCTTTTTATTTTTGTTTGTTCTGAATAATTTGTCATTTTTTTTTGAAATATAATTATACACTTTGATCACATTTTAAAATTCACAATTTATAATTTTTTTATTTCAATTAAATTATTAGTCATCTTAATCTTAATATATAATTATTTTTATTAAATCATAATTATTTTCAGTAATATATTTTTTAATTACTTACTAATTACACAGTACCTAAAACTCAGTGGCTTAGTAATATTTTTGATGAAAATGAACATATGTGGCTGTGTGCTTAGTGTTTTAAAATTAACAAGGTTTTTGTTGTTAGTTATTGAGATGAATTTGTAAAAGTTTTTTGAAAAATTATAATTTTGTTTGAGTGAATTAATTTATTATTTATTAAATATTTTATGAGAGAAAAATAATATACTTCCTCCGTCTCATTGCAAGGTTATCATTTTCTATTTTCGTCTGTCAATTATCATTTCCTAATTTAATAATTGTACTACCTATTTAACATAATAAATACCCTTTCAACTTACATTATATTACACAAATGCCATTATTTTTAGATTATACCATACTAACAGGGGTATTTTTGTCTTTTACTACAATCTAATATAATACTAATATTCAAAATTCTACGTGCAAAAAGCAAACGTCACCCTTCCAACGGGACGGAGGAAGTATTATTATCATAATTTTATTTTTATTTTTTAAAAAAAGTTGTATAAAAATAAAGAAACACGGGGTTAAGAATTTTTGTGCATTGTGGAAATGGACAGAAATTGGGAATTCTCTGAAACAGACATGTCTTATTATTATTATTATTATTATTATTATTATTATTCTGCAAAAGATTATTATATCTATAGTATCTTGTTTTAAGATTACTACATATCTCTCTATATATAAATCTTTGTATTATTCGTCAATCTAATGTTTCAGACATATCAGATCATTATCAAATCTTACTTTGATTTTTTTTTTTTTTTTCATTTTATAGATATATATATCCAACCATACATCTTTGTCTTGCCCCTTTTGCTTGTTAGGTATCTAAGTCTACGTGTTTGAGGATAAATTTGTCATTTTACTTTTACAAACAACAAAAAAAAAAAACATGTTTTTATTTTTCTTATTATTGCGAGAATGTGCATATGCCCCTGTACCAAAAAAATATAGTTTTTGTATGCACAATAATTTTAGAATTTGGTCACTATTTAATTCTTTAAAAAATATCACATTATTTTATTTTATTTTATTTTTTATAACAAAATTTTATGTAAAATATTAATTTTTTATTACTTTTAAAATTTTCAAATTAAAAAAACTCTCAATTTTATTTATTTATTTATTTTGTCTAAGCAAAGCTTATGTTATATCTTATTTTTAATTCTCAAAATCTAAACCAAACATACACATCCTTATTGTTACTAGAATGTGTATATATGCTCATATACCATAAAATTAGATTTTCTTTAGCTAAATTTTGGTATTTTATAAATAGTAAGAAGTTAAATGTAATAATTGTTTAATATGATATAAATAAATAAGTAATATAATGCAAAAACAAATTAAAAAATAAATAAAAATAAAAACCATTCAAAATTAGATAATAAAAAATAAGATCAAACTCCAAAAAAAGATAACATGATACATTTGTTGTTTGAATATTTATAGTTATTTTATTTTTGATTTTATCTTTTTGTACAATATCTATAAATAAGTTGCACTCTATTATTAATGCAATTTATTACTTTTCTCCCAAAATTAACATTTGTGAAAGTGACCAACTGAATGTATATCAAAATGGATTTGATCGAATATAAGCTTCTTTATAATATATATACATCATACTTGTCTGGTCAATTTTAACTTTATATATATATATATATATATAATTTTATACGTAATTTTTTTTCCCTATCGATATTATGCCCACAGAGTTTATGCTTTTACATCTAAAATAACACAAGACAGTATACATTGCAATTTTGCATAAGTTTTCATTTACTACACATATATATTCTCTCCGTCCGGCTCTAAGCATCTCATTTATCTTTTGCGTCATTGTACTTAACATTAAAAATATCCTTATATTTGTATAATTTTTTGCAAAAATGTCATTATAATAGTAATATAAGACACTAATAGAAGTTTTTTTTACATTTTTTCTTAATTTTGTAGTACGTTTTCATATAATAATTAATATTCATAAATCAACACGTAAACAATAAACGGATCCCTTCGAGTCGGACGGAGCTAATATATATTTGATACGATTGGATTATATTATAAAGAAATAGAATATATACAATTAAAATAATATTTTTTCTGTAATTCAAATTTATATTTATTTTTCTTTTTGAATTGACATAAAAAAAGAAAATTCGTTTCTTTTCTAATAAAAAAAGTGCATTTTACTACAATAACAAGTACTACCTCCGTTCCACATACCGTGTCTGCTACACTGTAGACACAGCATTTTACGAAGGATGTAATTAGTAGATAATTAAGAATATATTAGTGAAAATAATTATTCGATAATACAAGTAATTATAAATTAAGATTAAGATAACTAATTAGTTTAATTAAAATTTTTAAAAAATAAAAATAAAAAGTTTAAAATAGAATAAAATGTGTAATCATTTTCCAAAAAAGAAAAGTGACATGGTATGTGGGACGGACAAAACGGCAATGTGAACATGGTATGAGGGACGGATAAAAACGGCAATGTGAACATAGTACGAGGGACGGAGGAAGTAACAATCATTACATATATTGTTTTTTACGAGGGATTGCGTCATATAATTTGTATATTCGAATCATATTGCATTAATGGAATCATGTTAGATATATTTTTTTAATTATTTTATCATCTCAATTATATTGTAACACGACAGATCTTGCTTAGTATTTAATTTTCGATAAGTTTCAACATGTAGGATTCGTACTTATTAAATATATATATTGTTTGTTTGTTTATGTCCTAAATAACAAAATATGTCTCATATTCATGATTCAATTTCAATTTCAATTTCATGAATAAATCATTCAACATTTCATTTACAAACATTTTTTAAATTTCGCCACTACTTAATTTTTAGCAAAAATTTAATGTCAAATATATCTTCTTTTTTTTTTTTCTCAGAAAATATTACATAATACTAACTTTTTACCATGTCATCAACAAATTATATGGTCATGGTACAATTTATTTCAGTTTTGGTCCTCATAGAGAAAATATATATGATACATTTTTGTTTCTTTAAGGTTTTGATCTGGTCTCCTATTATTTGTAATTTTATTAATTGAAATAATTATATTAATATTTCTTTTATATTTCAGATATTACAATAAATAAATAAATAAGAGTTTGTTTGGTTAGTGTTTTAGTTTGAAATATATTTTTTTTTATGAAGTATTGAGAATTGTATAAATAATATAAAAATAATATTTTATATTGAATATTTTTTTTATAAGATATTAAATACATCATATATATATATATATATCGAAAATCATATCAAAACAAAATGTGTTTAATAACAAACCCAATATTTTGTAGATTTGATTGATTCTTTTGTATGTTTTATTGATTTTTATTAGTATATGAACATATTCTAACAATAAATGGTGAAGAATATAATATAACTTTAATTTGTTACTGAATATTTTATTTTTGAAGAAACAACTCTATGAACAACCCAAGTTAATATTAAGATAATTAACATATAATATAAAACATTAATTAATTATAGTATTAATTATCAAAATAAGTACAAAATACACATCACAATATTATTATTCAACATACTATTCCTAATATAATTAGGAAAAGTGAGTCCACAAAACTCTAAATTTAAAACATTAATTACTCGATTCGATTCGATTCGACTCAAACACATTTAATTTTTTTTTTTAATATTTTTTTATTGACGTAAATCGAGATATCGGGCCGGCGCCTTCAAACCCAGATGGCGCCGGCTCTTTTGAGCATCGGTTTGAGTGATCGATTGAGGTGATGACTCATAATTTCATTAGCCCCTCCGACAAATTCCCCGCCGATGAACACCGCCGGCACCGTCGGATTGCAACCCATCCGAGCCAACACCTGCTCGATTTCCCAACCCCTCGGGATTTCGTCGAGCTCGTACACCGTTGGATTGACCCCAAAATCGCTGAAAAGTGACCGGATCGTATGGCTCATGCAGCAGCTGCTCTTGCTGAAGATCACGACCGGCTTCTCCGACGCCATTTTCGTAACCTTATCCATTTCTTGATGTAGAATTGATGTGATGAAATTACGAAAATGTGCAAGAAGAATTGAAGAAGAAGAAGAAGTTGTGAATTCTTGATGATTGATTGATGATATCTCTCGATGTTGATTGAGGTTTTTTGTTTAGCTTGAGTTGGAGGGATTTATATAGAAATTTTGAGGGGGGGGTGGACGGGTGGGGGGCTAGTGGATACAAATTATTATTTTATTATTTTTTTCAGTTTTATTAAAAAAATATTTTTTATCATAGTTAAATAATTATATACTAATATTAAAATATTTTAAATTTTTATATAAATTATAAATATATAATTAAATTATATATAATATAGAAATAATAAAACTTTCAAAATCATCTTATATATTTTTACTGATTAATAAAATATTTTTATTTTTAATCTATTATAAAATTCAAAAGAATACTTCAGATCGAGACGGAAAGAGTATGTTCATATTATATTTCGTTAAAAAAATAAAATAAATTGATTATTTTTAAAATTTATTCCAATTATTTTTTTTTAATCTATATACACCATAAATGCTACTAATAGACTCCACTTATTTTTTACACTCAACTTATTTAATTTTATTCTATTACTAATTTTATAAAAGTTCTAGTTTTATCCCTAACAAAAAAAATTCAATATTACTTTATTTTTTAATCTTCATATCCAAAAAATTTAAACACATGAATGCAACCAATGATCGGAGAGATTAAGGATGTCTGAAATATTAAATTAGTTAGATAACAATAATTAATTAACGTTTTAATTAATTAATAATTAATTTTGGTGAGGAGATTGATTGATTTGGATAGGCACTACTAATATCTAGAAAAAGTTAGCAATTGCACGATAACGAATCTCTGCATACACAAAAAAAAAAATAAAAAAAAATAAAAAAATAATTAATTTAAAAAGAAAGAATAAATTGGGACGTGTCCTTTGGTACGGATACCCACATACACTATATTTTATCGAATATATATTTATATATATTGTATTAAATATTTTATCTATTTATTTATTTTTTGTAAGATTTACTGGCAACTATTTCTTGGAATATTTAATATGATTTGTTGGGGATTAGTCAATTTTTACACCACGTGCTGCATTAATTATTGTCTACTTATTGCACATGCAAATATAATTATCCTAATGGAATTAATTAATGATAATTTATATTTTATTTATTATTAATTACTTTCTAGTTATTATGCAATTAAAAAAAAATATACATATAATTACACCACACAATTGCTATAAATTTCAAAAATATAATTAATCAATTATTAAAATGTACTTTATTAATATATATACATATTATATTAATTATATGTAGCTTTCCAGGAGGCATCTGGTGAGTTGGAGAAGGATGTTGGATTTATCCAATTGGGACCTCTTTTTTTTTTTTTTTTTTTTAAATTTTTTTTATTATACATTTTTGTGTGTGTGTGTTTTTTGTGATATTCCTTTTTATAGAATGAAACAAAAAAATTCGATTCTATAAAAGAGAGGCATGCAGAATAGTGAGGAATTTTGGTGATGAGATTGATCATGACATTGACATACATCATTTATTATTAATTATTATTATATTAATAAAAAAGAATATAATAAATATTTCAAAATTTTTAGAAATAAAATACTACAAAAGATAAGAATGAACAAAGAGGCCAATTGATCTTATACATTAGTAAATTTCAATGTAGCTAGATATAATATTATTATTATTATATAATTTTATATTAACATCTTCCTCATGTAGTTTTTGTATGTCCATATTTTGCTTTTATTCTCATAAAAATTCATATGACTTTTTTTAAAAACAAGATTTATGATAATTAGTAAGGAAGAATTACAAACATACTTAATCTTTAAAACTAAATAGAATAAAAGTAAACTAAAGATAAGAACCAAACGAGTAACAAGAAGTTACTTATTCTGTGTTGATAGAAAAATATCTTATTACTTATTTTGACATATGGTTAAAACCCTCATCCTTGCTTCTGTCGTCGTTAGATACCAATTGCAGCGATATTGACCATTTAGTTGCTGCAACAATTAGACTGCAACTTTTTTTTGTCTTGTATCTTTTTGGTTTGTGGACACACAAGAAAATATGGATGGTTTGAGGTGGTCAGCTTGGCTAATTCAGAGACACTTCATATCATTTATGTACAAAAAGGAAATTATTGTGTTTGTTTTGCATGCCTTGTATGGTTGTTGTCTTATAAGCTGTGAAGTGTGTTTTGGTTGTTTGTAGGGATTTTGAGAGTTGTGTTTAGAGGAAAAAAGAGTGTTCGATGCTCTCAACCTCAACTCATTCTCTTCTTCATCTTCTAAGTGAGTGTTTTTATCATTTTTACCTGCTGAAGAGTTCGACGGAAGAAAAAGTTATTTGAGTTTCGATCTTGAGAGATGTCCAGATTCTGAACAGCCCTGTTCTGTAGTAATTGTTGGTACAAACTTGTGACAACTTAAATCTGTGGAGGAGTTTTCCAAAGTAAACCATTGTAGAGGCATGAGTTGAAAGAGTTGTGATTTATCTTTATTCTCAGCACTGATTAGTAAAACTATACCTGGATTGGTATTCCCAGATGTAGGTTTATAACCAAACTGTGTTAACAAAGTCTTGTTTCATTTACTGTTTTTATTTCTACATGCATACGGTTGAGAGTAATGTATTATAACTATAATAACTACGCTTTGGAAGTTGTCCAATTTTAGGTGTTTAAAGGAGTTTTGATGCAACACATATTCCCCATCACAAATCACCTTGCGATCAATACCCCGGCCCGTGGCATTAGCACCCTTGTCCGAGCTTTAAACCCAAGCCATCATATCAGACAAACTTTTTGCACCTCTTTTAACTAGATTGTCTGCCGTGAAATTGTTTTTTTCTCACAACATGTTTAATCTTAAAAGCGTTTGAGTGATTCAGAATTACAATCACCTCACAGAACTCATAGTTCATTCTCCAAGGGTGAGTCGATTTACTATTTAGCCAAGACACCACTGATGAGGAATTAGATTCAATCACCGATCTTGAAAATGAGAAATATTCATTAATTTTTTTAACATTTATTTTATTTATTCAATTTTCTTATTACAAATTAAATTTTTATTCACTCAAATTTAAGAAACTAAATAAAAAAAAACACACACCAGTTGCATGAAAATTGATGTATACATACATGGCCCTCAAAATGTCCCAAAGGCCACTTTTCTATATATATAGTGATATATGTACGGCTTGAGGTAAGTAGAGAGGCCTATAGATCCATAGGTACTTTCTAAATTTGCATATATACCAAAATCAGACAAAATCTCATCCCATCACTCTAAAAAAAAGCATTTTTATTTAATTTTAAAAGCACATTTTTATTTAATTATTATTTTATTGAAAAAGCATGAGTGCATCTGAGAAAACAGACAGAAGCAAGCACACAGCATTTGATTTCAAGATTTGATGTATATATGATACTATGTCAGCTTTAGTACATAGAAATTTAAAAAAAAAAAAAAAGAAAAAAAAAAGAACCATTCTGTGGGCAGTTCTTGGCATCACATTTTGTCAAATGTTCACTGCATACTACAACTTGTTTTGTTTTTATTTTATCCACATTTGTATAACAAAAGCAAAAGTACCAAAGATTTCTAGAAAAATCAAATAAGAAAAGAATATTACGTATCATATATATATATATATATATATTCATGAGAATAGTTTTCAAAAAATATTAGAAAATAAATAAATAAATATGGCAAAACTTAGGTGTTAAGAGATATAGAATTCAGTATTCCATTACTATAACATGAAGTTTCTAGAAGAAGTCGAATCCATGGTATTGTATGGCTAACTAAACAGGGGGAAGATCTCCAGTATTCTATAATATTGTTTTAAATATTTAATTCTGATTTTTAAGTAATTCTTAATTTATTTTATTTTCAATATTGTTTTCATATATATATATATATTTTTTATTAAATGTTTATTTTTTTGTTTATGTGAAGAAATAAATATAAACTTGCTGTGGTTGATATGAAATGAATTGAATTATGAGTAACTATCATTGGGGCTACACTTTATTGGGCCTCTCATCAAAATTTAATTGGGCTTTTAGTATGAACACAAGTCGGCCCATTAATTATTGACTCTGAATCTGTGTGTCCTTTTAATTAATTGGAACAATATTTTGGATTTGGATTAAGTTCAGGTGCAGCTCCATTTAATTACTTTCTCACTCCATCAGGCAAAATATAAATATGTTCATTTGAGTTGATTACAAATTTTAATAAAATATAATATATATTGATTAATTGTATAAATTAAAAATATTTTGAAAATTATATAAATAAAATTGATGAAGTGGGGGAATTTTTTTTTATATATATTTATAAATAAGTATAATATTGAAAATACAAATTAACTATTATATAATAATTATTTACTACAAATAAAAAGTATATATTTTCATTGACAATAAAAAATTAATATATATAGATTTAACGAACAGAAGTAGTATTTTTTAGATTTGAACTTGGGAACTTTCAATTTATATATTGTTTTTAAAGCATGTTTGCTTTGTAAAATATTTTGAGGGAATTTTTTAATGTTAAATATAGAAAATTACGTGGATAATATAAAATTAATAAATATGTATACTTATTATTTTTTAAAAAATATGTTAATTTGTTTTGATAGAAAAAATACACCCTTCATGTCTTAATAAAATAATCATTTATCAAATCAATGTATTTATTTTTGTTAGTTAGTATATTTTACAATATACACCCCCTGTCCCATGAAATATGAGTGTATTATGGTAGACACAGAAATTTAGGTAAAATATAATTAGTAAGTAATTAAGAAGTGTATTAGTAAAAATAATTATTATTTAGTAAAAATAATTATAGATTAAGATTAAGATAAGTAAATAGTTTAATTAAAATTAAGAAAATTATAAAATTTAAAATTTAAAATGCGATTAAAGTTCCAAAAATAGAAAAGACAAGTTATGTGAGACAGAGGAAAATAAAAAATATGAACAAATTATATGGGACGAAGGGAGTACTAATTACAAAAGACATTATTACTTTTATGACCAAATTAACAACTAATACGAGAGTATGAATCTATTTTGTTTCTTTTGGTACTATATATAATAATACTCCATCCCATCATTCAAAATTTTCTCATTCTTGTTAATTCAAATATTTTCATTTTTAGTAGAATTATATGAATGCAAAAATATTCTATTTCATCGTTACATTATTACTTTTACATTAAAAGATATAAAGATAAAATTATCATTATATTACATTATTTATATTATACTTTAATAAAATACTAATATACATAATTAGCATGCAAAAGATAAATGAAAAACCTATTAAGGGACAAAATGAATATTAATAGAAAAAAATTACATTTGAAAAGGAAATAATTATAAAAGATGGATTGATTATTTATTATCATCAAACTCAATATATATATATATATAAAGAAATTTAAAATTGTTTATCAATAATTATTAAATATTTATTTTTAAAATTTTGAGAAATTTCAAATTTAACATACTTCGGCTGGGTTCTTCTTATGTTTTTATCCATAACTTTCCCAAAACATTAATATATTATATTATATTTATTATTTTTATACACTCTATTATAATTCATATTATTATTTATATGATTTTATTTGTTTTTTCATTTCAAAACATTTTTCTTTTACTTTTGAAAAAATTGTACACTAATACTGAAATATTTTTAATTTTTACTTAAATATCATATGTCACTCTATATACAATTACTTTATAAAAATAAAAATATCCAAATTTCTTTTATAATTTTATTAATTAATAAAATAATATTATTTTTTAATCTGCTCTCAAATTTTAAAACATATCTAGAAATGGACGAATGAAGCATTACCTAATCAATTAATGCAAATGAAAGACTTAGTTGTATAAAAACAAAATAGATCTGCTAATCCGTTGCCGGAGATCTACCGGACGGCACCGCTACCGCCACCGTCACCGCCACCGCTAAATGTTTACAAACCATGCGTATTCTAAGCCACGTGGCGGCCATCGGTAAAATTACAAGAGTACTCTTCCGAAGAGCTGCACACGTGGCGCCCGAGCGTTTACACAAGAAATTACACATTTGCCCCTGATGCGGTCGGCTTCGTTCACGCCACACGGAACAGTTCTTACACACGGATTACACGTTACGACAATTCCGAGACGATTATGCAGACATGATTCACCTAATTTCGCTCTCACATAAATTTAAACTTACCCAAAAAGATTAAAATTCCTCCTTTTTTTGACTTTCACCACTATCGCATTTCCTTAATTTCACACTCTTTGAATCATCGCGCACCACAGTTTTAGTTTTTTTGTTAATTCCAATTCTTCCTTTTTCCCAATTTTATTTTATTTCATTTTTTCATCATCTTCTTCCTTTACCTTCTTGAACAATCGGGGATTTCCTTCGATTGGGCTGATCTACTTCATCCCTTAAACGGGCAGTTCCCTGATCTCGAATTTCGAAGCAATTCGATCACAGGTGAGCTTTTTCCGCCGTCGAATTTGTGTGAAATTAAGCTCGACTGTTCTCGCAAGATGTGGTGATGTCGGAAGCTGGTTGCGCAGTTTTGATGGTCGGAATTTGGGCATATGAGACTGATTAAACAGCGAATTTTGCGGTGCTATTGATTTTTGTCGGAATTTGTTATGGGTTGCTTTCCTTGCTTTGAATCATCAAAGGAGGAAGCTAATAACGGCGGTAATGGAGGAGTGAAAGAGGTTGGGAAGAAGGACTCGTTTAAAGAAGTTTCAGCAGCAAACAATAGATTAAGCTCAGGTATACATCGAAATTTCCCTAATTCTTCAATTCCTTTTTTTAGGTCAATTTAGGGTTTTGGGATTTTAAAAATTTTTCTGTCTCTTGCTTTTCCAGTTGCTAATTTTTGTTCATAATATCATCTGATGATAATCCGCAACTAATTTTAGGGTTCTATCAGCCTTGATCTTTAGGTTTTACAAAAATTTCATGGTGATCTAACATTCTAACTGAATCTGTACTGGATTTCTTGTGATTAATGATTGGAAATGAAAGTTGTTTGAATTCTTAGAGTTTAATCAGAATTTTGGGTCTTTTTCATTGAAATTTAGCACTTTATTTATGATCATTGCTTCTAGATGAATTAGAAACAGTCTGAACATGGTAGAAGGGAATGCTGGTTGAGTTTTTTTTATTATCATTGCTTGATGAGGAATACTTTCTAAAATTGGAGTTTTATCCATCTGTAATAAGGAGGGTGTCGTTTTTAGTGTAGGTAATTTACATTTAGGCATTAGTCATTAGGTGAAGTAAGGCATTAGAGATGTTGACATGTAAACAAATTCGAATTTTCTTTTATTATTTCTGAAGGTTTTGCTGTGTAAAGAATGCAAGGAAAGTTTTCCTGCCGTGTCTCTATTCTGATCGATGTTGTATTGATTTCACTTCAGCTTCAACTTCACAAGTAGTCTTAAATTTTTTATCATTATTTTGAAAAATGAACTGTGTTTTTCAGATAAATCAAGATCTCGGAATAGCAATGATTCGAAGAAGGATACAGTTCCCAAAGATCCGAATATCCCTGCTCAAACCTTCACATTCCGTGAGCTTGCTGCTGCGACGAACAACTTCATGCCGGAATGCTTGCTTGGTGAAGGAGGGTTCGGACGGGTGTACAAAGGTCAATTGGAGAGCACGGGACAGGTCAGTAACTAAATGGTTTCAAGGCACATTTTCTTTCGATAGGATTCTATTTAGTGTGCCCTGAAACTTTAAGGTTTGATTGTTTGGGTGTTTGGTATTTAGATTTGAATTTTGAATAGTAAAATTTTGAATTTGAATAGTTGTTTGATGTGATGTTTTGGACGTAAAATTAACTTTTTTTACTATTAATATAAAAAATACTCCATAAAATAGGAGTTTAATTAAGGGTGTGTTTGTTTGGGGGATTGGATTGGATTTACATTATTCATCCAATTTTTTTCTCCCAAAAACATCAAATCAAACACCTATTTTTAAATTTTTTATATTATACTAAAAATCAATTTTACATTCAAAACATTACATCAACACCTATTTATATAACATCATACAACTATTCAAAATCAAAATTTTTACTATTCAAATCCCAACTCAAAATTCAAACCCCAAACAAACACACCTTTAATGTTTTTTTGGGGGAAAAAAGTAGCAATTAGTAGAAAATCTTGGAAAAACACCAACCAAACACACCCACCCTTAGAGTGTGTTTGTTTGGAGGTTTGGATTTAAGTTTTGAATAATAAAATTTTGAATTAGAATAATTGTGTGATGTGATATAAATAGGTGTTGATTGATGTTGAGTTAAAATTGATTTTTAGTATAATGTTAAAAAAAAAGGTGTTTGATTTGATGTTTTTTAAGAAAAAAAATTGAGGAATAGTGGAAAATTCCAAAACCTCCCAAACAAACATGGCCTTACTACTTCTGCTAAAAAAGCATGAACTTGTTTGGTTTGGTTTTGAGAATAGTAAAAAATTTGAATTAAATATTTTTACGTGATATGTATATATATATATATACTTGATGGAAAATTTTGAATGGAACATATAATTTTTATAAATAAAATTATGTGATTGAAAACACAACCAAGCAAAACTCATATATATTATTTTGCAGGTAGTCGCAGTAAAACAGCTCGATCGGAATGGCCTTCAAGGGAATAGAGAATTTTTGGTTGAGGTTCTCATGCTTAGTCTCTTACACCATTCGAATCTTGTGAATTTGATAGGATATTGTGCGGACGGCAACCAACGTCTTCTAGTGTACGAATATATGCCATTGGGATCGCTGGAAGATCATTTGCACGGTTAGTTAACCTACAATTTTTATTATAGTGTTCTGTCAAATTAGATTTTGTTTGTGAAATTGTTTAAAATAATATTTTTTCGTATATTAGGTTTATATATTTCTCTATGGATTCACCTAGTTTTACATGCTCGTCATGAGTTTATATGTTTATGTTCTAAATAATATGATAGAGCATGATTTGCAGTATCTGTTGCTGAAACATTTGGGTTGTGTTTAAATATGTTTTGGAAGTATTGTAGAGATTTGGGGAGTTTCGGGAATAGGAAAAAATTGAATAAAAATTTGGTATTTGATATGATGGTTTTATAGAAAATGGATTTTTGATATATTGTTATAAGTGAAAAATAAGTATTGGATGTAATATTTTTCTAATATGGTGGTGTTAGTGAATAGAGCCTGTAGAGATTTGACTTTCTCGTGAGATTAGGAGGTAAGCGTAAGGGTAAAGCATGTTATATTTTTTACTTTTGACTAAGTTTCATCGTGAGCGTACTCAAAATTAGGATCATTCTATAGACTAGGAAAAGACTTGGAAATGGAATTTTATAGTTGAAAATTGAATACATATATATATATATGTATGTATGTATATAAAAAAGATACGTTATTCCGGTTGCGTTGGTGAAGTTTTGGGAATACAATTGGCTGTTTTGGTGATCAATATACATTGATTTTGATTTCTATACGCTATAGGTTGTTTTCAATTATGTTTTGCAAGTATTTGTGAGTTTTGAAGTGTTTTGGAAATAGTAAAATTCTGAATAAAAATAGGTATTTGATATGTCGATGCAGTTGATGAACAGTGTCAAAAGTGATTTGAAAACATACGTAAACAGACCTTTATGTCTCTTGTCATAGCATTTGCTTACGATTCCGAGTATCCTTATGAAATTTTATTCTGTCCTGCTAAACATTGTATTGGTTTGGTGATCTGTACCTAATCTTTGTATTCTAAGTACTAATGTTTTTTACGCAGATCTTCCGTTGGATAAAGAGCCGTTGGACTGGAATACGAGAATGAAGATTGCCGCCGGTGCGGCAAAGGGGTTGGAATATCTGCACGACAAAGCCAATCCGCCCGTCATATACCGTGACTTGAAATCGTCCAACATTCTTCTCGATGAAGGGTACTTTCCAAAATTATCGGATTTCGGACTTGCGAAACTCGGCCCTGTCGGCGACAAAACTCACGTCTCTACGAGGGTGATGGGAACTTACGGATATTGCGCTCCGGAGTACGCGATGACCGGTCAGCTCACCTTGAAATCCGACGTCTACAGTTTCGGTGTCGTCTTGCTCGAAATCATCACCGGCCGAAAGGCGATCGACAACACAAAACCTTCGGGGGAGCAAAACCTCGTCGCCTGGGTACGTCTTGCGCAAAATTAAAAATGCACTCGATCGCTCGATTTTTTCTAAACTCTTTTTTCCTCTCCGTCGGCAGGCGAGGCCACTTTTCAAGGATCGACGAAAGTTCCCGAAAATGGCCGACCCTTTATTACAAGGACGATTCCCGATGCGCGGACTCTACCAGGCGCTCGCTGTCGCGGCCATGTGCTTGCAGGAGCAAGCGGCGACAAGGCCGCTAATCGGGGATGTGGTGACGGCTCTGACGTATCTCGCGTCGCAGACGTACGACCCGAACATGCCGTTTGCGCAGAGCAACAAAGTCGGCCCGTCGACGCCGCGTGCGCGGCGAAACATGTCGGACGGAGTGAACAGCCCGGGAGGGCATCACGGATCGCCGTCGTCAAAGTACAAGAACTCACCGGATTACCGGAAACGGGAGCTCAACACCGGCGCAGAGTTAGGAAGGATCGACACTAGCGGCGGCGGCGGCGGAGGGTCCGGCCGGAAATGGGGATTGGACGATCCCGATCGTCCGGGGTCGCAACGTGATAGCCCTCTGAGCGGTGGCGGCGGGAGGGCGAGAGAAACTCCGAGGAATTGGGAGCTGGACAGGGAGCGGGCTGTGGCGGAGGCGAAGGTGTGGGGAGAGAACTGGCGGGAGAGGAAGAAGATGAATAATGCCATGGGGAGTTTCGACAATACGTTCGAGTGATGGTCGCCGGGACATTACCTGTCCGGTGTTGTTGTCGGGAAACAAATCTTTGTGGTAGAGATGTGATGAGGTATGTCTGTAAGGTTTGGTATTGCCATTGGCATTTGTAGGGATGAATGGATGTTGTATGGGACGTGACTGTTGAGGAGGAGAATTAATGTTTCCTTTCTTTGTATTTAGAGATGTTTCTTTCTTTATGTTGTAATGCTCCTCTTTCGTCGGTATATATATATATATATATCTTGTCTTGTGCTAACGTTACCGTGCAGATTTGACTGCTCTTGATTAGTGGGTAAGCGGATAAAGTGTTTTTTTTGTTTTATATTCAAAATATCACATCAATATTTATTTATATTACGGTTAAATAATTATTTAAATTTAAAATTTTATTATTCAATAATCAAAACTAAGGCTCCAAATTCACAAACAAACTCACCCTAAATGTTTATTTTAAAATATACAATATTAATACTACATTATGTATGTAATAAATATTTTAATAAAAAATTATAAATTTGATTATAAAATAAAGTACAAATTTAATATTTTGTTCGTCCCATATCTATATATCCATTTGTTTTTTGGATGAAATTTTAAAAATAATAGTATTATATTAAGATTAAGTAAAAATAAAAGTAAAAAGATTAAATTAATACTATTAGTATTGTATGATATAAAAGTAATGACATTTGTAAAAAAATAGATAAATTGTTAAGGAACGTAGGGGGAGTATTATACTATAATAAATATATTAATAATAATAATAAAATTAAAATTGATAGTTTTTCATATTACGATAAATTTGAGTTATATTATGAACAATTGATTTTTTTCCTACTCTTTGTATTTCGGTTTACCTAGTATAATTTGTCATTTTTTTTTATATATAATTATATATTTTAATTATATTTTAAAATTTATAATTTATAAAACTATTTAATCATTTTAATTTTAATTTATATTATATTTATTAATACACTTTGTACTTTACTATAATACCTAAAACTCCCTTTCCAGAGGATAAATTAGCTAGGCCGGATGGCCTAATTATTTGTTATTATTATTTTTACTTATTCTATTATTTTTATTAATTAGTATATAATATTTTTCTTAATTTTATTTTCTATTTTATTTTTTAATTAAAATATTATAATTTTTTTTTGTCCTATTGAAAATTATTATTTTCTATTTTCGTACGTCCTAAAACAAAGTTACCATTTCAATTTAATAATTGTACTACCTACTTAACATAATAAATATCTTTTGATTTATAAAATATTATACAAATATCATACTAATAAAAGTATTTTTATTTTTTTATTATAATCCAATATAATACTAATATTAAAAATCTACCTTAAAAAAAAAAAAAAAAAAACCAAACGACACCGTTACAACGCGCGACGGAGCTAATATTATTTTTTAATTTTGTAATTTATACTTTGCTAAGCCTTGCCAAACTTACCGTAAGATAGATCATGAGTTAACGCCAAAATAGCAGCTACAAGAAATCCACACACGATCCCGTAATAAACTAATATTTTTGGAGGCAAAATTCGCAATTGAACTCTCTATAAATAGGGATGAACTTATCCACGCAAGTCCGCGTCAGTATTTCGATACTGTTTCGTCTACGAAATCTCAGTTACCGGCGCGCGATCGCCGGAAAACAGCGATCGAGGTGTATGATTGGAGTTTGATTCTCTTGTCGGAACATCTAATTAGGTCTTTTCCTATTATATTTTTTCGTTTCCGATTATATTTCGTGTTTTAGCATTTGATGTTAAGCACAAGTTTCTTTGTTGACTTTTTTCGCCGGATGTTTTCGTTACCTTTTTGCAGAGTATGGGAAGTAAGGTGTGGTTGATAATTGCAATATTTGGTTGTCTGTTTGCGTTCTCATCGTGTAGAGGTATGAAGCTCTTCTGTATCTTCTGTTTGTTGAAAGTGGAAACTAATTGATGGTTGAGGATTGGTGGTTGAAATTTCTGTTCACATGAAAATTTGTTGTTGAATTAACCATGGGTGTGTGAATCAGATATCCTTAATCTGTTGTGTTGCTTTGTGAATGCAGGTTTGGCTTTTTGTTGGCTCAAAAAGATTACATTATTTCCTGAGACCTTGTGCATATGTAATTTTATCTGTTTTATTTTTGGGCTTTAAGTTTTGATATTAATTTGGTGTTTTTGAGGTTTGGTTTTGGTCACCAACCAATTACAGATGATTATGATTTCTTATACGTGTTTATGTGACCAGTTCATGATTACTTTTTCTTTTTCAGTTTGCTGAAATATTGTAATATAGATGTGTTCTTAAGCGTGCAAGAAATTGATGTTTAATGTGTTGTTTTATGATTGAATATAATTTAAATATTTCTCTTTCAATTATCACTTTGCGTTGCAGAATTGAAGGTGAAGGTGAAACACAGTCATGATCAGCATCGGCAAGTGTACAATCGAACACTTGCAAGAATATTGGTGCAATATGCTTCAGCTGTGAGTTATTGATGGTCGTTGAATTGGAAATAAATTTGATGTGTTGCTTGTTTAGATTTGTACATTATGCTTAGCCCAAATATTTGATTTCCATTAATAAGTCAAAAGTAGGTATGAAACTATCCATAATCAATAAGTTTGCATAGTATGACATTTGTAATATCAATTTTACACTGCATTAAAATGAGATAATAACCTTATATTGATTGGATGATTATTTGAAGTACAGATACATACAGCTAATGTGTATTATATTCTTAGGTTTATTTATCCGACTTAACTGGGTTGTTTACGTGGACTTGCTCAAGATGTAATGGTCTAACTAAGGTAGATTAAGGTTTAAATAACATACTTGAAACTTGACTTACATGAACTTCTCCTAAATTTACTCTTTCGTTTCATTCAGGGGTTTGAATTGATAGAATTGATTGTCGACGTGAAGCAGTGTCTTCAGGTTTGGAAGATGACCCCTCAATACCCTTTCAAATTTCTTCCATTTTTATCCTCTTTACAATGTTAATAGAAGTTCTTTTTTCTTTTTTTACTTCAAAGGTTGGAATACTAATTTAATCTTTTATGTGTTGACAGGCCTTTGTTGGTTTTGCACCTGATCTTAATGCCACTGTAATAGCATTTAGAGGGACTCAGGAACATAGGTTTGCATTATTTTAGTACTTTACTGTTGTCTTAAGTTTTTTTCTGATGAAATGTTCTCATATAAGTGCAAGCAGCTCAAATTTAATGGGAACTCTTGTGTATATACTGTGCATATATTATTTAAAGCAAAGTCTGAACTTCCGAGTGCATAAAGACGATGATTTCTGATAATAAGGTAATTAAAGATAAGTGTCTAATACATAAGGTGAAATTGTGTTTGCAGTATACAGAATTGGGTGGAAGATATATTCTGGAAGCAGCTTGATATCGACTATCCTGGATGCAATGGTGGAAAGGTTTGTGCAGCTAATCTTTTTCTATATTTTTTCTCACTCATGAAATTTTACATGTTTATCCATCCATGTTGTCATTTTTTTTCTTTTCAGGTTCACCATGGTTTTTATAATGCTTACCACAACACACTGTTGCAGTCAAGTGTCCAGATTGCTGTTCAAAAAGCAAAGGAGATTTATGGAGACATTAGAATTATGGTAACGGGGCACTCGATGGGAGGGGCAATAGCAGCTTTCTGTGGACTTGATCTTCGTGTAACTATCCATTCCATCCTTGAGTATTTAATATTTTATTTTGGTGCTCTGCTTCTTAATCTTTTGAATCTGTATGCATTGGGCAATGTTTGTGCAAAGGCTGTGTAGTTAATAGCTCTCAAGGATTTCACTAATATCATAGTTAGAAATCATAACAGACTTTGATTATCACAAGTTATGTCTGCTGATGTCTGGAAGTCTGTAGTGATGAATAATCAGATTATTACTGTGCTGCAATTCTTTTTTTGTTTCAATGTTTTTCGAGTTTGTCGTAAAAATGTACTTTGCATCCTTCACAGCTTAGTCTTGGAGAGAAGAATGTTCAGGTCATGACATTTGGGCAGCCTCGCATTGGAAACGCTGCTTTTGCATCCTACTTTACCCAAATTTTACCGGATACTATTCGAGTTACACATGCTCATGACATTGTGCCTCACTTGCCTCCATACTTCACTATTTTTCCTCAAAAGACATACCGTCATTTCGCAAGAGAGGTAATGAGTTTGGTGTTGTACCCACATGTAATTGGTGTCTTTCTTGAGTTTGTTCCTTTTCTCTGTTATAGGTTTGGCTCCACAATGTTACATCCGAAAACTTGAGTTATGCAGTTGAAACAGTTTGTGATGGTTCAGGGGAAGACCCGACTTGTAGCAGGCAAGCACATCTTTGTTTAGATAGAAATTTTGTAAGTTTGGAGTTTTAAAATTTTTTAAAATAGTATAAAATCAAGCGTTTGTTGTAATGTTTTGTGAGAGAAAAGAACATGTGATGCGATATTTTTTTTAAAAATTACTTTTGATAAATAGTGTTAAAAGTTACAAAGACATATGTAAACAGAGCCACATGTGTCAAACTTACTTTTGGTTTTGAAGTTGGAAAAGTCTTTAGCTAATGAATAATTAAGATTTTTCCTCGACAAATTTTCAGGTCGGTGACGGGGAACAGCATTGCTGATCACTTGAACTACTACGGGATTGAAATGGGATGTGATGTACCAAGCTCATGCACTCTTGTAATGGACCCTCGTGTTGCTTTGTATAGCAGAAGAGATCCTGATGGGAATCTCATCCTATTCCGGGATCCATCGATGACATCAACTTCGAAACTAAACACATATAGATCACCTCAGAGCAGCACTGTATAGATGATGGGAAGCCATTCCTGTTCAATCAATCCATTCTTCTCATTGATGAAAGGCAAGCAAATAGCTAACTCAAATCTTTTATTTTATGCATTTACTGCTTTTCCATATCCTATGATTTACTGCCTTAGTAACCATAGGATTACTGCTTCTCGGTATCGAAATTATATGTGATCTTGAGAACGGTCTTTTATTATGTATATAATGACAGATCAGAACATCTAAACTGCTTGATTCATTCCTCTTCTAGGATGTATTTAACTTACTTTATAAATAGTTGTCTCTCTTTCAGTTTATCCTCACATCATCAGTAGTTGTTGCTTTGTTCTCCTGCATCATCATCGAAAATCCCTGTTAGAAACATTAATAGCTTCCTAGTTGTCTATAGTCGAAGATAATTCGAACATCATGAACAAAAACATGAAAATTTCTTACATCTTTAGATACAGAAGCTTCTTCCTTGTCTCCTACAACAACTGGAGGCTTAGTTTCATTAGCTGCCACACTTACTTTGCTTTCTGGTTCTGCAATGAACCAACAACACAAATGAAAATCCAAATTATACACCAAACCATCACATAAAAAATCAAACTTGAATAAAAAATAACCTTTTCCTTTATCTCTATCTGAATCATCATCCTCTTTGCTATCTCCTTCCCCATTCTTGGCTTCATCATTAGCTTCCCCTGTCCCTTGAGACCCATCTCCTTTATCATCAATTCCTGATTTTCCTAAAACATCTGCAGCATCCTTAGCATCATTTTCGGGCTTTCCCGAAACAACATTGGAAGCTGCAGCATCAACCAATAAATCCTGTGAAACCGCAACCTCTTCTTGTCCACTTCCAACATCTTGCTTCTCATCGTTCAGATTCAATTCCTCATTCTTGATTTTGTCTGTCTTCTCTTCTACAGGGGCAACATTTGCACCCTCCAATTCTCCCCTCTTTTCTTGATCTCCACCTTCTTTCCTGGAAATTTCCTCCTCAACATTTCCAGTTTCCTTCACTTTGTCCTTCAGATTTCCATTATCAGACATAATCTCACTCTTCTCATTCCCTAGGATCTTGATCTCATTTGTAGCCCCTGTTCCAGGCTTAAATTCATCCTCAGGGAACTTGACCCCATTTGTATTCCCAAATCCAAACTGAGAATCCTTCAGATTCTCATTCCCTAGAAACTCAACCTCATTTGCATTCCTCGTACCATCGCCTGTCGGCTTTTCGACAGGAGGGTTGCTGTCTAGGCTCTTGTTCTTGCCCTTGCTCTTGGTAATGACATTATCGGTAGCAACTGCATGCTTTGATTCCCTACATCCCATTTTGTTGATTCAAGGAAAAGGGAAATAGGAAAGAAGATGAAGGTTTTTAAGGTTAGTTTCTAAGGCTCCACAAATTGAGTGGAACCGTTTTCTCTGTTGGTATTTTTAAGGTTAACGAAAGATACAGTTTCTTTTTTTTATTTTATTTTCCTATTTCAAGAAAGCCCTTGAATATCTGCAAATATATAGTGGATATTCATGTATAACTGTCTGCCTCTTACTTACTCCTGGCCCTGGATGATTCCCACCGTCGGTCGTTATTGTGGAAACTATATCAACGGCGTGGATCATCTCCGGAGTTTAGCTCCAGGGATTGGTTCAAAATCACCTTGGAAACAGGCCTACCGACGTCCAATGCCCGCATACAGATTTGTCTGTTACTGTGAGCATCGGACTTAACGAATAAACCTTAATATTATCGTTTGTCCATTATATGACAAAAAAGTAGAAGACGACTTTATTTATTGCCCTCATTTGTCGTTTCTGTAGTAATTTATGATCATCAAATCTTGGAGGAACTATTTATTGTTCTCATTTGTCGTGTCTTTATATACTCAATCACTGAATTTGATGGATGATCTCTTGCCTCCATTTGCTAAAAATTTAATTGGCATGATATCTGCATCAAATCTTTCTTTCCCCATTATGTTGGATTCTGACAAAGCATTTGAACAGTAAATTAGGTAGGAAAGTAAAACGAAACAATAATCTCTATACACTGCTCCATATCTTTTATGCTTAGATTCTGATCATATCCATATAGAACAAACTTTCCACAAGTTTTAATTATGGTTTTGTTCGATCCCAAACCATTTTGGGGAAAGAACAACAGAAGCAGCATATAACAGAATAATCGAATCCACCTGCGGACAGATCGAAATCTTAAGTCTATCTTGTAATAGAATAGAAGAATCTACCTAGCTAACCCCATCCCACCTCCATTTTGTTCTTAATTTGTTTCTAATGCTGGGTGGATTCATATAATCCAAAAGGGATGATTGCTTATTTTTCTCGATCAGTACACTGACATACATTTATTTAATATATCATATGGTGTGTTAAATTGAAGTTAGGGTTTTCATTCATACTTATAACTGTGTTGCATGAACATATTTCTTTGGCTGAAATCAATGATAATAGGTGATATATGAGACTATGACATATAGGGTCCGTTTCTATACTATATTTGTATTATGCCTTATGTCGTGTTTTGTTTACCATTGTGTCATTGTTGTCTGTACCGTACTAAATTTTATAATCTAGTACATATTATCCAAAGTTATACAAATAGACCCTATTCTTGAATTTTAATTCAAGATTGCCAGATTAGTACTCCCCAATCCATTCATGGAACCCCCAAGAAATGGATTCAAGATCCTAATGTTCCCATGGCTAGCTCATGGACACATCTTCCCTTACCTTGAGCTTGCCAAAAGCTTAACAAAAAGGAAGAGTTTCCACATATACATCTGCTCCACAGCCATTAATTCGACCTCCATCATAAGCTTCATTGACAGGAACTTGTTGAGTTCCTCGGTCGAATTTGTGGAGCTCAAAATCGAGTCATCTCCTGAACTCCCTCCTCACTACCACACCACCAAGAACTTGCCTTCCCACCTCAAGTTTACCCTGATCAAGGCCTTTCAGGCCTCGAATCCTGGCTTCGTCAATCTTATCGCGATGCTCGTCCCCGACTTGGTTATATACGATATTTTCCAACCTTGGGCCTCAAAAATTGCTGCCTTTCATGGAATCCCTGCTGTTTACTTCTCCATCTTTGGAGCAGTGGTTATGGCTTTCGAGCACCACCGGTACACGTTCCCGGAAGTCGAGTTTCCGTTCCCCGACATCCGTCTAGAAGAGTTTGGGTTGAAAAGCTTGAATGTTCTGTCTGAGTTCATGTACAAGAATGTCTATGATGCTGATCAAGAATTCCTTTGGGGGACTTTTGAGCAATCTAAGGAGATTGTTTTGTTAAAGACAACTAGAGGGAGTGAAGGGAAGTATTTAGATTATCTATCCAAGCTTTGTAACAAGAAATTAGTGCCTGTAGGACCTCTAATTTCCGACGGAAACAACGGCGACGTCGAGAGCTCGAAAGTCCTTCAATGGCTGGGGAAGAAGCCTCGGGATTCGACGCTGTTTGTTTCCTTTGGGAGCGAGTATTTTCTGTCGGAGATGGAGGTTGAAGAAATTGCGAAAGGGCTAGAGCTTTGTGACAGTACGATTAACTTCATATGGATCATCCGTTTTCCTATCGACACAACTATAACCCTCGATGAAATGTTGCCGCGAGGCTTTCTTGATCGGGTCGGGGAGAGAGGAATGGTTATAACGGGATGGGCGCCGCAGGCGGAGATATTGGCGCATCCTAATACGGGAGGGTTCTTGAGTCATTGCGGGTGGAGTTCTGTTGTCGAAAGCATGTACTTTGGCGTGCCGGTCGTAGCCATGCCGATGAAGGTTGATCAGCCGATAAATGCTAAGATGTTGGTCGAGGCTGGTAGCGCCGTGGAGGTTCGGAGGAACGAAAATGACGGGTTTAAAGGGGAGGAGATAGCGACGGCGGTGATGAAGGTGTTTAGTGGCGACTGGATGAGACGTCGGGCGCGGGAATTGCGCGAGACGACGAAGATTGAGAAGGAGATATTGTTGGATGAAGTAGCTCAAGAACTATGGCAACTTTTGTGTGAATACTCATGATAATAATAGTCTTTGTCGGGATGACTAAGTTGGTATTACATGTGACCGGTGACTTTAAGATTATTGATTCATATATTGTTCAAAAAATTAAGGACCTCGATAAATTTTTAACAATTTGATCCTGCGATCATAAGTTCATCTGCTGTATACAAGGCCAACTAACTCTTATGGGACAATTGGGTTGATATTTTTACAATTTGATGGGAAAAATAAAAGAAATAATAAACTTCCAAATATATCTATGAAATTGTTGGAGAAACATAAACAAACGCGGATAATGGATAATAAAATATATTATCTCAAATCGGCTTTAAGGATTTTATTTAATTGATCTTCAAATATTAATTATTATATAAAAATGTAAGTACAAATAAAAAAAAATGACAAAAATATTGTGTTTTATAATACTATTATAATAATATTTGTAAAAAAAATACAAATATAATGATATTTTTAATATTAAATATAATCACCCGAAAAGTTAATAAGACTTGGACCGAAAGAGAGAATATATTTTATTATTTTTTATATATTATATTGATATATATATATATTAAATAATTAAAAAAAAACCAACTAAATGGCCAACGTCTATGTGCATCGAACTTAACGAATTAACCTTAACTATTAGTATTATTATCGTTTGTTGTTTTGTAGTAATTATTTATGAGCATCAAATCTTGGAATCAACTTTCCAGGATTATTTCCTTTAATTTAATCTGTATGCTCTAACGACAGACTTCTATATATTTTATTGTCCCATTTTTCTTAATATTTTATTCTGTCACCACATCGCTATTATTTCTTGTTTGTTTGGTGGATAGATTTTAAATACTCCCTAGGATGCCGTTTCCATTTCCACGAAATTTTTTTAATATTAGAATTATATTGCATTGTAATAAAAAGACAAAAATACCTTGTTAGTAAGTACGGTGTAATATAAAAGTAATGATATTTGTGTAATATATTGTAAGTTGAAAATGTATTTATTATGTTAGTAGGCAATAAAATTACTAAATTAGAAAATTGTAATATTGCCTTGGGATGGACGAAAATGGAAAATGGTAACCTTTCAACGGGATGGAGGGAGTACATTATTCATCCCATTTTTTTTCATAAAAAACATCAAATTAAACATCTATTTTTTATTTTTCATATTATATTAAAATTCAATTTTACATTCAAAATATCACATCAACACCTATTTATATCATATCATGTAATTATTCAAATTTAAAATTTTTACTATTGAAATTCCAACTCAAAATCCAAAAGCCCGAACAAACACACCCTTATTGTTTCCGATACAAATCAAGATTATTGAATATGTATAGTTATTGGATAAAAATATATATTTTTTTATATAAAATATTATTTAGATTATTAAAATTCAAATAAAAACTAATTAAAAAATAACCACAAACTAATGTATTCTTCTAATATTTTTTTCCTAATACATCAGCATTTATTTAAAATATAATTTTATTAAAAAAGAAAAAAGAATATTTGTGTCTGTTTTGTATTTTTAATTTAAATTAATTTTTATGTTAGGTAAAAGAAAATATCAATAATATAGAAAGTAATATTTTATGTTAGAATTGTTATTTTTTTAATAAATAGAGAGTATATATATTTATTGTATATTTTGTGTGTATATTTTTATATCATTAATCAGAAAGTATGATAAATAAATAAATAATTGTAGAATATCGTATTAAATTTTGTTGCTCTCACAACAAATTTCATCAAAACTCTTAACTTTTATTATTTTTAAATTTTTTCAAAACTTCAGAATTCACATCTAAATAGATTTTACCATTTATTTATTTAGTTATATTTTCTTCTAAAATTCGAACATAAGGCTTGTTCAATATATGAAGTGTGGATGGTCTTAATTTGGTAGTAAGTAAATCGAAGAATGATCTCTGCATAATGCTCCATATCATTCGTATGTTATATTCAAGAAATATACGCGTAGAAAAATTCAAACTTTCCAGAAGAAAGTGAACAATGATAAGTTTCAATTCCAAGAATTGATTGGTGATAAGAACAACTAAATTAGCCAAGTGTCATGAAATAAAATAAAATAAATTTGTATGAAATATAAATAAACAATATAAAATTTATATTAATAATCTAGTATAAATATAATATAGGAGTATTATAAAACCGTCAGAAGTTCTTATATTACACTCTCTCAGCTTTGTCACATAATTTTTCTTTTCAGTCAAACAAAAATAATTTCCTTTTTTTATTTTTAATAAATTTATCAATTTTAAATAACCTTAATAAATATCATTATCCCATCAAATCAACCAGTCAATCTTATAAAATGAAAGAATCCCACCCCACACCCACCCACCTTCCTTCCACCTTCTTCTTTCCTTATATCATGAACCCTTTAGGACATATGGATTCCCACAACTAATCCTTAACCTTTCTTGCATCAATGGAATCCCCAAAAAATGGATATTTCAAGATCCTAATGTTCCCATGGCTAGCTCACGGCCACATCTTCCCTTACCTCGAGCTCGCAAAAACCCTAACAAAAACAAAGAATTTCCACATATACATCTGCTCGACAGCCATTAATTCGACCTCCATCATCGATTTCATCGACAAGAACTCATTAAATTCCTCTCTACAATTCATAGAGCTCAAAATGGATCCATCCTCAAACCTCCCCCCCCACTACCACACCACCAAGAACTTACCCTCCCACCTCAATACAACCCTAATCAAATCCTTTCAAACAACCTATTCCTCATTCGACAACCTCGTGCACAACCTAAACCCTAACCTCGTAATCTTCGACGTTTTCCAGCCATGGGCTTCCAAAATTGCTGCCCAAAGAAAAATCCCTTCTGTTTACTTCTCCATCTATGGAGCCATGCTCATGGCCTTCATGCACCATCGATTTACTTTCCCAGAAATCGAATTCCCATTTCCTGACATCAGTTTACAAGATTTTGAAATGAAAAGTTTGGATCTTTTGTTCGAATTCTTATACGAGAATGTCCATGATGGCGATCGAGATCGATTTCTTTGGGGCACTTTCGAACAGTCGCGAGATATTGTTTTGTTGAAAACTACGAGAGGGATTGAAGGGAAGTATTTGGATTATTTGTCGACACTTTGTAATAAAAAATTATTGCCTGTCGGACCTTTGATTTCCGACGAAATTAAAATCGATTTTCAGAGCTCGAAGGTCCTTCAATGGCTGGAGAATAAATCCCCAAATTCGACTTTATTCATTTCCTTTGGTAGTGAGTATTTCCTCTCGAAGATAGACGTCGAAGAAATTGCGAAAGGGTTAGAGCTTTGCGAAGGTATTGTTGATATGTTTTATGGTTTAAATTATTTTTTTATTATTTAGATTAGATTTTTATAATTTGAAAGATTATTACCGAGCTAGTTAGGACAAATCGATATCATGTTAATTTGGTTCAATCGTCTGCAAATATAAAATACATATGCTTTTTACACATACTTTCAGATTTAACATCTCATTTACATCTGTTATATAAAGGTACTTGTTGTTTTATTATTATTTATTTATTTATTTTTGTATGATTCAATACTTAATATATATACTCCCTCCTCCGTCCCATATAATTTGTCCCTATTTTCTATTTTCGTCCGTCCCACATAACTTGTCATTTCTATTTTTAGAAATATAATTATGAACTTTAATCACATTTTTAATTTTAAATTTTATACTTTTTTTAATTTTAATTAAACTATTTACTTATCTTAATTTTAATTTATAATTATTTTTACTAAATAATAATTATTTTTACTAATACACTTCTTAATTACTTATAATAGTTCCATATTTTATGGGATGGAGGGAGTATAATATATACTTTATTTGTCCAGAGTCAAATTTATTGATTTTGTCAATTTCGTATATTCAAGTAAAAGATATTTGTTTTTTTTTTTAATAAAAAATACTTTTCAACTAAATATTCAAATACTCCTACTTTTATCATTATTCTTTCAATACCATAAATATCAAAGGTAAAATATGCAAGTATCTATAAAATGTCAAATGAATACCTTTGACTCGAACATAGATAGTATATTCAATTTTTCAAAAATAAAAATAAAAAATTAATATTCAATATAAAAAAATATATATATTATATTACTGATATAGTAGTTCTCTATATCTCACGTAAAAATACTTTAAATCAAAATACTAAATAAACAAACACAATACATATATTGATTTATAAAATCGAGTACAGTAACATCTAATTATATTCGGGAGTCTACTAAATAAGTAAAGACCTTTAATTTTATAAATGTAACAGGTATAATTAATTTCATATGGATCATTCGATTTCCGGCCGGGAGCGACGTGACCCTCGAAGAATATCTGCCCTTAGGGTTTCTAGACCGCGCCGGCGACCGGGGAATAATTTTAACGGGATGGGCGCCGCAGGCGGAGATATTGGCGCATCGTAATACGGGAGGATTTATGAGTCACTGTGGGTGGAGTTCGATCGTGGAAAGTATGTACTACGGCGTGCCGGTCGTGGCCATGCCGATGAAAGTTGATCAACCGATAAATGCAAAAATGTTGGTGGAGGCCGGCAGCGCCGTGGAGGTTCGGAGGAACGAAAACGAAGGGTTTAAAGGGGAGGAGATAGCAAAGGCGATCAAAAAGGTGTTTTTTGAGGAAACCGGCGATGCGATGAGGCGTCGGGCGCGGAAATTGCGCGAGACGATGAAGATAGAGAAAGAAACGATTGTTGATGAAGTAGCTCTAGAACTATGGGAACTTTGTTTAAATAATGATACTAAGTAAAGAGATTAAGTAATTTTGTAAAGTTAAAAAGTATAGTTGAAAGTTTGATTTTTTTTTTTTTTTTTAAGATTTTTTTTTCTCATCGATGTTCAGTATTGGAATTAGGATTTATTGAGTGGTGAAAATTTTTCAAATTTTTAAAATAATATTTTTTTTTTGTTTCAATTAAAAGTACAATTTTTATTATTTTTGTTTATCTCGTTCAAAAAAATTATTTTATATAATAGTAAAAATTACTAATTAATACCAACAAATTTATTACATTTAACATAGATTATAAATATACCTAATTATATATAGTATTAAGGACAAAAATATCAAAATATCTTTTATATTTTCACTCATTAATAAAATATTATTATTTCTTAATACGATACAAGATCTTAAATAACCATTTGGATTTAAATGAAAAAAATGGAGTATGATTTATTTATTGTTGGATAATTTTATATTTGAATTCTCATATTTTGAACACTAGAGAATTACAATTGTTTATTATTTAAGCAATTGTGTAAAATTTATGAGTGTGTTAATGTATTTTTATTTTAAATATAATACTAGCAATTTGTAGCTAGTGATTGTTTTTTTGTTGACTCTTTGCCAAAATGATATGTTTTCTTGAATAAAGTATTTATTTGATAGACACCTAAATCACTCCTAACAATGGAAAGTCCAAAATGACCTAATCACATGAATCCAAAACGACATTGTATCTTATTATTATTATTATTATTATTTGTGCCCTATATATAAGGATAAATGTATTTAGTTTTTATTTTAAATTAAAATTAATATTATTAAAATATTATTTAAACAAATATTTCAAATCAAATTATTTTTTTTTTTAAAAAAAATACTACTATTATTTATTTATATTTTTATTTAAAATGTTCAATTTTAATATTAAATTTCAATTTAAACGTCTCGTTTAAAATAATAATAATAATAATAATAATAATAATAATAATAATAGTGAGGACATTTTGTTAACGACAACATGTGGTTGCATACGCAACGTTCTTCCCTCATTCAGCTAATTGCCTAAATTCTGACTCCCAAACTTTTTCTATTTGATTAATTAAATATTTTGCCATTTTCAAATAATCCCGTATGTTAACATTGGGCTCTATAAATTAAATACTACAGTGTATTTGGCTGGTGACTTTTAGATATTTTTTATGGTTTATATAATTCTTTTCTAAAATATCAAACTAAATTTTTTATTTTTTATTTTTTATATTATTAATTCTGTTCTAATTTATTTATTTTTTATTTTTTATATTATTAATTATGTTCCAATTATTGAATCGAATCAATTATTAATCCAAATAAATTTTTCGTATCGACTTCATAAATAGTTAAAAATTAATTTGAATTATGTTAAAAATAATTATATATTCAAAATATTACAATAATATTTATTTTTATTATATTTGCCTTTTGTTAGGTAGAGTTAAAATAATTTTGTATTTGTTTAAAGGTTTGAATTTCAAATTTACATTTTGAATATAAAAAATTATCATTTAAAATACAAAAGTATTGTAATTATAGAATATATATATATATACTAACTATTATTTAAATATATTACCTTCAATTGATAGATTTGATTAGTGACATAATATTTAAAAAAATACTATAATTTACTAAATTAAAAATAGTAGATTATAATATTATTTTATTATTATTTACCTGAGAGGAAATATTTATATTTTTTAAATTAAAATTAATATATATGATTAAAAGAAATTTAGAATATGTATTTAGATATTTTAAATATTATATCTCAATAAAATATATTTTTTGTCTCTTAATAATCTATTTATTTTTTTATTTTGGTCCGTCCCATAACAAAATATTCATTTCATTTTTTAGTAATTGTATTATTTACCTAACATTACAAATACCCTTTCAATTTACAATATATTGCACAAATGTTATTATATTTATATTATACAATACTAATAAGGTTAATTTAGTTTTTTTACCTTTATTTCTACTTTATCCCAATACTAATGTTTCTAAAATTCCTTGCAAAAAAACAAATAGATATATAGATATGGGACGGATGGAATATATAATATGAATATGATTTTGTAAAAAATAAAATTTCATATAATAATTAAATAAAAATAGTTTTTTATTTATTTATGATTAACATAAAATAATTTTATAAAAAAATTAAAGAGGTTTAAATATAGATGAAAATAATATTTATTTATTGAAGAGATATAAAAATAAAAATATTTTGAGTAAAATACATGTAGAAATTTAATTAAATTGATTAAGGAGAGAAAAAAAATAAAAAAAAAAAGAGAGAGAGAAAAGAAAAAAAAATTGAATCTTACATATAAATATTAAAATTTTAATTATATTAATTTATATTTATTAATAAATTTATTAAAAAAATAGAGCATCTCAAATACTATATTTTAAAATGAAAAAGCGTATATTATGAAAAAGAAAAGAAAATATTATACTAGTAATTGGATCGTGTATTATGTTTTTATATAATAATTAATATTTAAATATCAATACTTAAAAAATAAGTGTAAATTTTAGAGAGGATCTTAACCTAATAACTAGCATCTGTGTATTTATTGTTTATAATTTTGGAGTATTTAATTGATTTAAGTATAGATTCTACCGAATTTGGTGCATATTCGGTTATTTTACTGGTTTGGAAGATAATTGAAAAAAATTATGCAAAATAAGAATAATAGAAGAAAATATTATTAAAGTCCAATAATTTTAAGTTGTTTTTAAAGCTACTTAAAAAGAAATTTAATACTTATTCCGTCTCCACTAAAATGTTCTATTTAGTTTAGCCACATAGCTTTAGATATGGTGTAATTAATAAGTGTATTTGTGAAAATAATTATAATTTAATAAAAATAATTATAAATTAATATTAAGATTAATGACTAAATAGTTTAATTAAAATAAAAAATAATATAAATTATGAATTTTAAAATATGATTAAAATATATAACTATATTTCTAAAAGGTGAAATGACAAAATATGTGGGACGGACGGAAGTAGAAAAATAAAACAAATTAAATGAAACGGATAAAATATAAAAAAGAAATTGGTGTGTGAAAAGCTTGTGATTTAAGCGTCAATGAGTAGTCACATAGTAGAAGCCTGCAAGAGCAATTTGTTGTAATAAATTTCTTTTCATACTTTTTATATTTATTTCACTTATGAAAATTAAAATGTTAGAAAAACATACCCGACGTATTTATAGTTTGTAGTGTTAATAGATTAAACTACGACAATTGTTCTTATTTTCCTTTTATATGTATTATTGGCCTAAAAATAACAATGTTAAAGACAAGCCCAAATCCAGAAAATTGCAATGTTTGTTACACACGATCATCCCATGTTCAAGATTATTTCGTATAGGAATTCATCGTTGCTTGTCCTAATGGATAACAAAGTCCCCCAAAAGTTAGACATATAATATGTATATATATATAATATATGCAAAATATTGTGTCGATCGAATCTCATCTTTCTCGAACAACATGGGATCCAAAAACAACACATTCACTATTCTTATGTTCCCGTGGCTCGCCGAAGGACACATATCTCCCTTTCTCCAACTCGCAAAATCGCTCGTAGAAAGACGACCCTTCCGACTATACTTCTGCTCGACCGCCGCCAATTTTGCCTCTATAAATGGGTTTATCGACGCCAATTCGTTAAATGACACCGTCGAAATCGTCGAGCTCCTTCTAGAAGCTTCTCCCGAACTCCCTCCGCGCTATCATAGCACAAAAAACGTGCCCTCCGAGCGTCGTACCGATCTCTTACAAGCCTTTCAAGCGTCACGTCACAACTTCTCGGATATTGTCGATGCCGTGAGCCCCGACGTTGTAATTTACGACGTGTTTCAGCCGTGGGCCTCGAAAATCGCTTCGTCGAACGGGATTCCCGCCGTCTTGTTTTGTACCACGGGGGCCTTCGCGTCGGCTTCTCTGCATCACCGCCACACGTTTGGCGATTACGACTTACCGTTCACGACGATCCGTTTAGAAGACTACGAAATGAAAATTCTCGATGCCGAAATCAACTACTTGCGGCACAAAGTAGTCGACGCTGGCTCCGGATTCTTCTTTGGAACGTTCGAGCTATCTCATGACATCGTTTTAATAAAGACATGTAGAGGCATCGAAGGGAAATACGTCGACTACCTTTCGACTTTGTGCCGCAAGACATTAGTACCCGTCGGGACGCTCGTCAACGATGGCATCCGCGGCCACACGGGAAGCTCTGAGATCATCAATTGGCTAAGCGAGAAAACCCGCCATTCGACCGTATTCATTTCCTTCGGGAGCGAGTACTTCTTGTCGAAGGCCGAGATCGGCGAAATCGCAAAAGCTCTATCGATTTGCGACAACGTCAATTTCATTTGGGTCATCCGGCATCCCGTCGGAGACACCGTCGCCGTCGAAGACTTTCTGCCGCAAGAATTCCTCGACTGGGTCGGCGAGCGGGGCAGAGTCGTAACGGGATGGGCACCTCAGGCCGATATTCTGGCGCACGAAAATACGGGATGTTTCGTGAGCCATTGCGGGTGGAGTTCAGTTACGGAAAGCATGTACTTCGGCGTCCCGATCGTTGCCGTGCCGATGAAGGTCGATCAGCCTCTAAATGCTCGGATGCTCGCCGAGGCCGGCGGCGGCATCGAGGTCCGAAGAAACGGCGACGGCGAATATACGGCGGAGGCAATTGTTGGGGCATTGCGGAAAGCTATGTCAGAAAATAGCCTTAGATATGGAGTTCGAGAATTGAACAAGACAACTAGAGACGAAAACGAGCTTCTACTGAATAAAGCCGCTAAGCAGCTCTGGCAGTTGTGCCTTAAGGGTTGTAAGAATAATTAGGGACGCAGCATGGCGCGGATAGTTTTCCGTCGCAAAATATATTCGGGACAATATTAAGATTAATAGAGATAAAAATCGGAAATTAGAATGAAAACTGATTAAATAATTGTGCTTTGAGAGCTTCACTCCATAACCTTGGGGGACTTTTACTTAGATGGTGTGTTTTCTTTCTTTATTTTTATTTAGTTAATTACTTTATGTTCTAAATAAAATTAAAATATTCTTCAAAATTCTGACGTCTCGGTTGTACTTGTTTTGTCAAATTTATTTCATATCATATTAAAATGTGTTATGTACTGCTAATTTGTACTTATTAGGGTGGTTTGATCCAATCAGCATGAAACCGGACCATATAAAATAGATCGAATAATTTGAACCGGATCAAAGTAATACTTCTTTCGTTCCCGGCTACAGTGTTCGTAGACACGAGAATTTAAAAATAAAAAATAATTATAATTTAATAAAAAATAATTTTAAATTAAAATTAAAATAACTTATTAAAATTTAAAAAATTCAAAAGAAAAGTGGCTGACAAAAACATAGAAAAGTGGACAATCAGAATTGCATGTTGTTGCGGATAGATATCTACAAGGTCAGCCAGGCAGCCGGCCTGCCTATTCAATTCGCATATTTATTAATTTATTACCTTCCAAATGAAAACTGCACAGGCAAATAACAACTACTACTTGCCAAATCAAACTTGTATCATCAAATTTCCACCAAAAAAAAAGAGGTGTAAACAGAATCACCAAACAAGCTAAGGAATTAAGGTTGAGCAATGGAGAAAAAGCAGCAGCATAACAAATTCAGAATCCTAATGTTTCCATGGTTAGCTCATGGACATGTTTTCCCCTATCTTCAACTAGCCAAGGCTCTATCAACCAGAAATTTCCACTTATACTTATGTTCCACACCAATCAACCTTAACTCTATCAAACAAGATGATGATCATCATGATCTAGTCAATTCGATCGAATTTATCGAGCTTCAGTTACCTTCATCGCCGGAGTTTCCTCCACACTACCACACAACCAAGAATGTGCCGCCTCATCTCATGCCTAAGCTCCTTGAGGCCCTCGGGAAGTCAAGATCCAGCTTCTCCACCAACGTCGCCTCGCTGATGCCTGACTTGCTGATATTCGATGTTTTCCAGCCATGGGCAGCTGCAGTGGCCTCATCACTAGGCGTTCCTGCTGTCCATTTCGCCACATCCGGAGCCACAGTGTATTCATTTATGTATCATCGTCTCCTGCATGGGGAGGAGCCGCCGTTCCCTTATCATGAGGCCATCTTTCAGCACGAACATGAATGGAAGGCTATCCGAGCAATGGGACTCAGAGATAAAATGGATCAAGGCACGTTGTTTCCCCACTTCTCGCTTTCCTGTGACATAGTTCTGATGAGGACCTGCAGAGAAATCGAAGGGAAGTACATAGACTACTTATCTGAATTGTGCAACAAGAAAGTGATTCCTGTCGGCCCTCTTGTTGCGCAATCGAATACCGAAGAAAATGATAAACAGATCATGGAATGGTTAGGCGAGAAACCTCCATTTTCGACTGTGTTCATTTCCTTTGGGAGTGAAAACTACTTATCAAAGGATCAAATGGAAGAGATAGCCAAAGGATTAGAGTCTTGTGAAGTAAACTTCATATGGACTCTAAGATTTCCTCCGGGGGAGAAAGTTAGTCTCGATGAGACACTTTCGGAGGGATTTCTTGATAGGGTGAAAGAGAGGGGGATGATCGTACAAGGATGGGCGCCACAGGCTAAAATATTGGCACATCCGAGCATGGGTGGTTTTGTGAGTCACTGTGGCTTGAGCTCGATAATTGAAAGCATTTATTTTGGGGTGCCTGTAATAGGCATACCTTTGAAACTAGACCAGCCATTGAATGCTAGGCTGGTGGTGGACACCGGGGTTGGGATAGAAGTGAAAAGAGACGGGGATGGACATTTTACGGGGAAAGATGTTGCAGATGCTTTAAGAAAGACAATCATGGAGAAGACAGGGGAGGACATGAGGCTTAGCTGTGCTGAATTGAGCAAGAAGATGAAAAGTAAAGAAGACGATGCAGCGAATGAAGCAGCAGAAGAACTGAAAACATTATGTACAAAGCATAGACTGCAGAAGAGAAATCAGAATGTTTCATCAAGCTAAACAGATCAAGATCATCTCAGTTACTCAATATCCAGATAAAAGCATAGATCGACAGCGAATGAGACAAGAACAGGAACAATTTCAGGAATAAAGCAAGATGTGATCTACTATGTTATTCATTAGAAGTTTACCGAAAGTGATTAATCACAATATCCAGATAAAGCATAGATCGACGAGAACTCAAAGCAAGATGTGATCTATTACGTTATTCATTAGCTCGAAACTACAAGTTTACCAAAAGTGTGTAATCAAATTCAACCTTATCTGTGCCTATAGCCTCCATATGAATCAAGAAACCTGTACCAATATCTATCATTCATCAACTTATCAAAACTTTGTGTTCAATCTGTGAACTAAATATATATATATATATACATTTATATAAAATCTATAGGGTTAGTATTTCTTCCCTTATCTTGTCGACAGCGCTGCCTTGATCACTCCCAAGCAATATCGTGGCCGTGAATGTCAGCAGGCGGTGGTCTTCAGCCTGCACTCTTGCCTCTAAAATCTCAGCCTTGTGCTTCTCAAATACCATCAAGATCTTAGGTACTAAACCAGACCTAAAGGGCAGTTGAATAGCAACGAATGTGGCACCATTTGAGACTGTAATATCCGCAGAGGAATTGTCATCTGCACATTGCAATAAAAGAGGTTTTGGATCTTCCCTTCGAACATTGTTCAAATCCTCCAACCTTTGGATCTCTGCTTCAAGATGTTTTATATAGTCCACTGTATCGCCAATGATTTTCTCCTTTGAGGGCTGCATCAAAGAATGTACATCTCAGATATTTGATTCAAATGAATAAAGTATAATTTCTCAAGGGCAGAGACAAAAACAGGATTTCGGCTCCTTTCATAGAACACAGATCGAGCCTCTGCTATAAGATCAATCAATGTTCTCCATCAAACTACAAATTGAATTTTGCGGTAAGCTGAAATTCGTTACATCATTCACTGAAATTGAAACACACAGATGAGTTAACTAAGCATATACCGTAAATCAACCAAAAAGTGATACCGATCAGTAATAAACGCACAGATAAACCCTAACTAGCAATCCTTGATCGAGAAACTTCTCAATTCAACTAACAATTATAACTACAGCAAAAATTCCAACATCACTACGAATTCAATAAACTTCAGACTGGATTATACATGAATCGACCTTGAACGTGTTGAAAAGAGTAGGCACCATAGACTGAAGAACAGAGAATTTCTGGCTCATTTTCTCCCTTCTTTTACGCTCCTTGAACAAGTTCTCCGCCCACGAAGCTTCATCCATTTGCCTCTTCCTCGAACCCGACCCCTTCTCAACATTAGCATTTGGGAATGGAGAAAAATACGATAATGGCGGAATCACATGATCGTTGTATCCCTCCATAATACCCAAAAGCAACCGCGTAATTTCATCCTCCTCGTTCTCTTTCTTCATCAATTGCTCCTTCCCTCCGTTTCCCATTTAAACTCAACAATTTTCAATTATTCCAAAATTTCACCGAAATTTCCATACACTCCCCTCAACCTTAGATACAAATATATGCGTGTATGAGAGAGAAGAAGAGAAATGTTGCTGTTGGGGTGGTTTTGGAAGGAAGAAAGCTGTTGGAATATCTGAGACAAAAACAGTTGGAGGAGAGCTCAGAGTGTAACAGTTTGCAGTTTGCATGTCTGTTGGGAGAAAGAGAAGAGGGGACCTGACCTATGTCAGTTCTATGATCCAATACTACGCAGGTGCATGAACAGCATCAATCTCCACCGTAGGATCATTCTCTGATTCATCGTGAACGTCCACTGGTTTTTGTGTCAATATTGGGCCTAGATTAATTATATTGGGCCTAAGTTTGTGACACTAGTGAACATTATCCTAAATTTTACACAGATTTTGGGAAATTTTGGAGTTTTGTAATTTTAAAAATAATAGAAAGTTACTGATATTTTAGATAGAAAAAAATTATTCGATGTGATATTTATTTTAAAAAAAATAAATAATAGTCCTTCCGTCCCATCATAGATGACCTATTTTTTTTTTTTTAATATGTCGCATAAAAGATGATCACTTTCCATTTTTTTTTAATTTTATCGATCTTAAACATATTTAACAAATATAAATCAATTTAATTAAACTTCTAATATCTTGCCCGTATGACCCACTTAAAACCTCTTTACTTTTATCTCTCTTTTCAGTTAATATAATTTTTTTTTCTACATTTAAAACTCTTCATTTTTTATAAAACTAATTATTTATGGTAATGATAAATAAATAAAAATAAATAAATTAGTTTTACTAAAAAAAAATTTATTTGTATTATATAAAATTTTATTATCTACAAAATTTTATTGCATATATTTTTTCGAGATATAATCTTAAAATTTTTTAAAATACCAATAATATTATTCATATAAAAAATAATAAACTAATATTATAACTTATTATTAATAACTTACTAATTTACACTACCTAAAAAATCGTATCCCTAATAAAATGATTCATCCCTTGCGGGACGGAGGGAGTATTAAATTTTCATAAAAAATAGACAAAAATGTTAAAAATGAACACTTTTCGTTGAAAGAATGAATATATAAAGTTAATGTATATATATATATTTAAATATTGTAAATAAATATATTGCAATAAAAATATATACAATATGAATCTTATTTTATAAAAAATAAAATTATCTTACAAATAAATATAATATAATAAGTATTTAATTATAATTAATATAAATTCATTTTACAAAATTACAAGGAATTTTGAATGTCCAATTGTTCTTCAGAGTGAACTTAGAGAAAATTTTGATTTTGATTTGATATTAAAATAATGTTGTTGAGTACAAAAAATAATAATAATAATAAATAATGGCAGTTGAATTTTGGATGGGTCTGAATATAAATCAAATGGCCCAGAAGTCGGACAGACGCGGAGGTCTGTCAAGAGGAAAGTCGGGCAAGGAAGAATACGGACAAACGCGGAGGTCTGTCAAGAGGAAGGTCGGGCAAGGAAGAAGTATGGACAGACGCGGAGGTCTGTCAAGAGGACAGTCTGTCCTTCTAAGGAGATAAGGCAAATAGAGCCGATCGGTTGCTCTGTGGTCGGGACCACAGTTGGTTGGTCTGCAGTCGGGACCGAGGTCGGTTGGTCCGTGGTCGGGACCACAGTCGGTTGTTCTGTGATCAGGACCATAGTTGGTTGGTCTGCAGTCGGGACCGAGGTCGGTTGGTCCGTGGTCGGGACCACATTTGGTTGGTCTGCGGTCGGTTGGTTCTCAGTCGGTTAAATAGGTCGGATGGTCCTAAGTCGGTTGAGCAGGTCGGGCGGTCCGCAGTCGGTTGAGTCGGACGACACGGAGGTCGGCTGATATGGAGGTCGGTTAATGCAGAGTTCGGACCAAGTGAGGTCGGGCGAAGAAGAATGAGACGGACGATACGTGGTCGGACAAGAGACCAGATGGTGGTCGCTTGACGGGGCGGCCAAGGTATCGTTTGGTTTAGCGACCAGTTAGTCTCTAGATTGGTCGGGTTGCACAGAGGTCGGGCGAAACGAAGTCGGGCAAGAAGGGACATGGCAGTGGATGTGCAGGTCGGACGAAAGGCATTTCTAGGACCGTTCAAGTCGTGAGAGGCAGTTCTTGGGCGGTTGGAGGAAGTTGCAACCGGCAAACGGTTGAAGAAAATTGCAACACGTGTCAACAGAGGAGAACTTGGTGGATGGTTGACAGCAGTTGCTGTAACCGACCAAATGATGGTTCAAACCGCTTCTTTAAGGGGTTATTTAAGGTCTGTTTTTGACCTAAAAAACCATCTTCAATCGACAAAAAATTCAAGAGAATTGTTTTTGGGGATCACCACTTTATTTTCCAGTCTTTATTTTTATTTTTTCCTATTTTATTTTATGTATTCTACAGTGTTTAGAGATCCCTAATCTCAGGCACCATCTATCAAATTCAAAGATATTTCTCTATTTTCGAATTTTACTTTTTATTGTTGAAAAAATAGATCAAAAATTTGGTGACCACAATGGGAGAAAGGCAAGATTGCTGATACTACGTCAATGGAGAATTTTATACGACTGAGGTCCGGCGGAATCGTCGGAAGGATCCACATGGCAGGCTCACAGCCTGAAGCATCTTCAGCACCGGTGGGAGAAGCAGTTTCACCACCCGTCATGTCAAATGCAGGGGAAATGCCACAAGCACATACTGATTGGGTGTCTTATGTTCAACAATTGAACAATCAGCATACTCTGGCTATGCAAAACATGTTGCGTGAGCAACAAAATCTAATGCAAAATATGTTGGATCAGGCGCTTTCCAAAGTCACACTACATTCGATTACGCCTCCAGCATTGTCTCATTCTCGCTTTCAGGCAACTTTGCCCGGACCAACGTTTGCAGGGCCATTATATGTTGACAGTACATTTCCAAGCGCCACAATTTTCAACCGAATAGATATGGGAAAGATTCCTCTAACTTTCCCAGATATTGTTCCTTTGGGACCAAGAGTTGATAATACTCAGCCGAATATCGTAAGGGAAGAGAGGTTGGAGGGACAGGATCATAATCCCATCCCAGCCGAACCAATTGTCCCCAAAGAAGAAAGATTGGAAGATCAAATTCATAATCTCACCCCTGCTGAGCCAGCCTTCGTTAGGGAACAGGTCCATAATCCCATTCTGGTGTTCGACCCTGTTCCACCCAGAATAGATCCGGAGGACATCGCTCAAGTTTTGCGGGTACATTTCAGAATGAATCCGCAAACAGTGAACCGACCGGCATATCAGAGGCCATTTCCAGAGAGAATAGTCAATGAGCATCCTCTCCCGAGGAATTACTGGCCACCAGAATTTCATTCTTTTTCAGGAGAAGATGGAGCCTCGACCATTGAACATGTGGGACGGTTCACGGCTCAATTGAGGGAAGTAGGCAATAATCCGTTTTACAAATTACAGTTGTTCGGATTATCGCTTACAAGAACCGCTTTTTCATGGTTCGCTAATCTGCCGCCAGGACAGTTGCGAACCTGGGAAGGCTTGGAGGCAGCGTTTCATACAAGGTTTTTTAACCCTTTCTCGACGGTATCACTCACAGATCTCTTGGAGATCCGACAGATGCCAGACGAGACTGCTTATCAATTTATAGAGCGGATACTTCTAATGAAGGGACGTTGCCCAATGTTCATTGAAGAAAGCGAAATGACCACTTTGGTGGTCAGGAACATGCACACCAGCCTTCGGGAGGCTTTGACAGCCCACGATGTTCGAGATCTGGCCAGTTTGGCATCCAAGGCAGGGAGGTTAGAATCCCTTTTTAGAGAAAATGATCACGACTTCCGTCAGGGGGAGGTGCTGAAGCCATGGTAGTGCAAGATCGACCAACGTGCAGGCCAGCACCAGTTTATTGGAGGTCGGGTCCAACGTAGCCTTGGACGATGGAGGTCAGATCCGAGGTTGACATAGCCTCAGATGTTGGCCTGCGAACTCCTAAACATCACGAGAAGAAACGTTTAGGAGTCTTGCGGATGAGGGATATTGTTGAGCACAAAAAATAATAATAATAAATAATGACAGTAGGATTCTGGATGGGTCTGGATATAAACCAAATGGCCCAGAAGTCGGGAAAAAAGAAGTCGGACAGACGCGGTGGTCTGTCGAGAGAAAGGTCGGGCAAGGAAGAAGTACGGACAGACGCGGAGGTCTGTCAAGAGGAAGGTCGGGCAAGAAAGAAGTATGGACTCAAGAGGACAGTCTGTCCTTCTAAGGAGATAAGGCAAATAGAGCCGATCGGTTGCTTTGTGGTCGGGACCACAGTTGGTTGGTCTGCAGTCGGGACCGAGGTCGGTTGGTCCGTGGTCGGAACCATAGTCGGTTGTTCTGTGGTCGGGACCACAGTTGGTTGGTCTGCAATCAGGACCGAGGTCGGTTGGTCCGTGGTCGGGACCACATTTGGTTGGTCTGCGATCGGTTGGTTCTTAGTCGGTTAAATAGGTCGGATGGTCCTAAGTCGGTTGAGCAGGTCGAGCGGTCCGCAGTCGGTTGAGTCAGACGACACGGAGGTCGGCTGATATGGAGGTCGTTAATGCAGAGTTCGGACCAAGTGAGGTCGGACGAAGAAGAATGAGACGGACGATACGTGGTCGGACAAGAGACCATATGGTGGTCGCTTGACGGGGCGGCCAAGGTATCGTTTGGTTTAGCGACTAGTTAGTCTCTATATTGGTCTGGTGGCACAGAGGTCGGACGAAACGAAGTCGGGCAAGAAGGGACATGGCAGTGGATGTGCAGGTTGGACGAAATGCATTTCTGGGACGGTTCAAGTCGTGAGAGGCAGTTCTGGGGCGGTTGGAGGAAGTTGCAACCAGCGAACGGTTGACGAAAGTTGCAACACGTGTCAACAGAGGAGAACTTGGTGGACGGTTGACAGCAGTTGCTGTAACCGACCAAATTATGGTTCAAACCGCTTCTTTAAGGGGTTATTTAAGGTCTGTTTTTTACCTAAAAAACCATCTTTAATCGACAAAAAATTCAAGAGAATTGTTTTTGGGGATCACCACTTTATTTTCCAGTCTTTATTTTTATTTTTTCTTATTTTATTTTATGTATTCTACAGTGTTTAGAGATCCCTAATCTCAGGCACCATGTATCAAATTCGAAAATATTTCTCTATTTTCGAATTTTACTTTTTATTGTTTGAAAAATACTTCAACAAATGTATAATGTAATTTTTTATGAAAGAGAAAAATAGAGAAATATGTATTTTTTTTTAAAAAAAAATGGAATTCAAATACTAGAAATTTGATATTTTGGTCCAAATGAACAAACCTTTAATTTAGATTAAAGGAAATTGGAGATCAAATAGCAAATCAAATTTAGAGTGACATATGGTGGGCTTAACTGTTCAATTATGTGGGGCTTTACCTAAATTATCATTTGGGCCTAATAAGTGGATAATGGGCTTACGCTTTAGATTCTAATTGGGCTTACTGAACATAATGGGCCAACCTTGTTAAATTGGCAAAATAAAATTCAACGCTAGATTTCTTGCTACAGTTTGACTCGAGAGTTCGAATTTTAGTGCTTTTTGTAGTGATTCAGTGTGGAGAGCACAACTAAAACGAAGAACACCAGCGCCGCCGCGCCGGAGAGGCCCAAGGCGGCGGCCGCCTGGTGGCAGAACCGATCGAACACGTTGCAGACCTTCTTCCACTGCACGTGCGAGTTCCCTTGGTAACCCATGAGGCCGATGGCGCCAGCCGCGCCTATGCTGGAAAAGAGTAGCGCCACCATCACAAGGTCGGCGAGGACGACTAATATGGCGATTCCCTTACTCGCGCCCCTGGTCGCCAGCGTCAGGATCAATGAGACGGCGGCGTGGCCGCACGCTATTGCGTTCGCCGTCACGAAGAAGCTGCGAAATCCATTTGTTAGGGTTATGGTTAGGGTTTGGATTTAATTTGGGGATTTCGGAAATTGAAAGTGTACTTACACATTAGCAGAGAGGTAATGCCATTTGGCGGTGACCGGAAGCTCAACCGGCGGCAGGGTGGGGACCAGGCTCATCGCCACCGTAGTAGACTGCTTGTTGACGCCGAGAACCACCGCGGCGGCCAAGCTGAGCGCCAACGCCAGAAACCTCAAAACGACGTCGCTTCCCCTCATCGTCCTCTTATTGGCCACCGCCGCCTTCTCTCCGTTGTACTGGTAAGATTCCATTTCCCCTCTTTACTTAAAAAGCACCCCGATTTAGGAATTTTCTGTAGTGTTGAAGAATTGAGGTTTTGAAATTGAGATTTTTATAGATGAACTAAGTAGGATCAAAACACTGGACTCTTGTTTTGTCTTTGTTTGGAGTTATGTCGGATATCAGCATAATGCATATATATCTTTGGAAAACTCCACACACACACATACGTACACATGTGGGTGTGTGAAAATGGGTGTCTGAAATTGACAGAACGACGTGTAACTACACCAATGTGACTGCAAATAGTATTCACATTTGGTTCTTGACAGCTTAGAGTTGGTTGATTGGACTGTGTGTAGTTGAATCAGTTCATAGCCATTTATTGCTGTCTGCAAATTATTGGTGTCTATATATATATATATATACACTTGTTGTTTGTATTGTGGGAGCTTCTAGCATTCATGTCATGTCTCAAAATAATGGGGTTTGTTTTTATTTTTATTTTGGTGTGGTTTATGTAATATTTTGAACAAAAAGATGGAGTATATTAGATGCAATGTTTGAAAAAGAAGTAGAAAGATATTTATATAAACTATGAATGTGAAAATTGAAGACACAATTAATCAAGGTCCCATTTCTCCAGCTAGTGGGAATTTAATGCAATTTGTTGTATTGATTTGTAGTTGACATGGCTAACGTTGGAGGACTTCCGTTTTGTAGATAAATAAATGAATGATTGTTATCCCTAATAGTTTAAGCGTTTAGGTGAGACGGTTATTTATATCATCTAACTGCTAAAATATTTTTATCTCTCAATCCGGTTGATACTATTGGGATGTCGATTAGAATTAATCAGTCCCATAATCAGCTTATGTTGTTAGTTCATATATGTGTTGTATTAATATACATCTTATGTTGAGATCAATTTCAATTTTATCATATGATATGTAGACTATTACTATATGTAGTATGTTCATATATTGCATTTGTGGTATTAATTTATAATTCGTGTGATGTCAATTTATGCTTTACTTGCTCATTAGGGTGTCTTGATATTGCCACTTATTGGATGTGTATAGTTTGTACTTTAGTCTTAAACTGAGAGTTATTTGATATGATATTTTGTTAAAACGAAATACTCCCAATGTCCATGATTGTCCATTCATTTGCTTTTTGCAAATAGATTTTAGAATTAAGTAGTACAATAGAATACTAAAAAGTTTCTTTTTACTAGTAAATTCATTTGTTCTTTTGTGACATTATTTGTAATTTTGTGTAAAGTACATGATTATTTTTTATTTAAACGAGGAATACGGATACTAGAAAGAGAAATGAATTGATTAATTGTTAACAAATTAAAATGACAAAATAGATAGATAGATACGTCCATGGACTTAGTATATTTTTATAGAGAATTGTCGAACGGCAAAAAAAAAAAAAAAAGATAAATAAATCTAAAAATAGAAGGCATTGTTTCTTCAAACATAATCAACTTTTCATACTAGCAAATCTCTTTTTGTTTCTTTGTTTATTTTTGTAAGAATTATGTCATCTAATCTTTATTACTGCTTTTATTTATTTCAATTAATTCATACCATACTTTTTGTCTCCTTTCATATTGTGTATAAACATAGAGTATTCTTATCAAGTTTATTTGTAATATATAGTATTGTAATCTACTTCCATGTGCCTATTTTTCTTCTACTTTGTTATTGATAACATAGTTTGGCAGTGCTTTCAAATATTCATGCTAAAGTAATTTATTGTTTTTTTTCTTTATAAAGTATCATATGATATATATATATATATATTAATTTTTACCTAAAATATAACATCAAAGATCAACTTATATGATGACATGGTTCAACATATTTATTTTCTAAAAAAGTAACCAATTTGAGTTCTCTCACATTTGTCAACTTTTTTGTTATTTACCTACTTTTTCTTCATTATTCTTATATTGTTGATTTATATAAATTTATTTATTTATTTACAGGTTACAACTTATAAAGAAATTTAAAAAAATAAAAATCTTGGAGATTTTGGCAAGTTGAAATAAGGGTATGAAAAGTATGCATTTAGTAGTCAAATTTGGTACGTACCCTTATCCCAAATTTTGTTCACATATTAGTGAACAATGCCAGAAAAACGAAGCTTCAACTTTTGACTCGATATGAAGCAGCTGCTGTCACACTTTTGCCCTTGAAGTTTTTAAAAATAGTAATAATTTTAAATTTTAAAATTATATTTTATTAATTATATGATGTAATTTTCTAAAAGATATATATATTATTAATAAATAATATTTTTTAAAAAAATATGCGTGCGACTATACAGAGCAATTATTTCATCATTAAATTTACAGTTGTAATGTAATGCATTTATGATTTGGCCACGTGTTGACAGATTTTCGTTTATTAAATATTTTAAGCGGTTATATCTTATATGCTCATTGATATAAATGGGCCTTAATATATATATGCAGGCCCGATAATATAAATGGGTTATGAATTGGCCCAAAAATATTGGGCTTATAAAATCGTTATTGACAGCCCAATTAACTGTCTTTGAATCTCTATTTCGATTTTTCTTTTTTGAATACGATAGCTAATATTTTCGTATAAATCTTATATATCATTATTTTATTGAAAAAAAAATCAAATAAAAAAATACCAATAAACAGATTGCAAATATAAGGGTATGTTTGTTTCGGTTAGCTCGGTGTCATGCTCTCATCCTTTTTCAATGTGTATTCTCTTATTTTTGTTCTTTCAAAAACGAACAAATATAGTTTTACATATTTAAAAAAATATATATGTATTTATAAACTAATTTATATTAATTATCATATATATTATTTATTTATAATATATAAAAAAACTAAAAATATATATATTTATATTCAATATATTTTAATGAATATAATTTTTAAAACATTCAAACTACATCTTAAATTTATTTCTAAATATATCAAAATATCCTATTATTATTTTCAGTTGTCCAAACCATATAGTATTATACTCTCTTTACATCGAAATCATTATATTAATCCTATATATAAAATATAAAATAATCTTTATAAATAAAAAGATATTATTAATTATTATTAAAATATAATATTAGTTACATTCTATATGAATGATATAAACAAACATTTGAAAGCAAACACATGGAGTATGTATTAAATTTTAACTCAAATTTCCAACCAAGTCCGATACTAAAGTCGAACTTTCAACCGTTAATCCCAACTTGCAATTAAACGCCCCTAATCCAACTTATGCAAATTACATTATCAATTTCTATCAATCAAATCTTGTTTTGAATTTTGATTTTGAATAGTAAAATTTTGAATTAAAATCATTGTTTAACGTAATATTTTAAATATAAAATTAAATTTTAATGTAATAAAATAAATAAAAATTAAATATTTAATTTGATTTTTTTTTTTAAGAAAAATAGTAGAATCAAAGATAAAATCTCACATGTAGTCAGAGCTATAAAAAAACTCAGACTCAAGTCAACTCAAAAAAAGAATAATCCAATTCAAAAGATCATCTTGTTATCAAACAACGATCTCATCGTAAAATCAAACTTTCAACCACACATCCCAAATTACAACCAAACGCCCCCTAATTCGACTCAATTTTCTTTCTAACAAACAAAAAAACACGACAAATTACAACATTAACTATTATCGATCAACATTCAAACATTAAAAACTCGACTCAGTTCGACTCGTTCAAAAGATCATTTGCTCCCCCAATTCTTGCCCCTCCATCCCCTCCTCCAACACCCTCTTAAAAAACTCCTCCAAAGTATCCTTCCCATAACTCGGCGTCTTCTCCGCGCTATATTCTCCCGCCTCGTCGTCCCAAACGAGCATACTCTCCGCCGCATAATACCTCCCGATCTTCCCGAACTCCGCCGCGTCCTCCACCGCCGGAAACACCTTCGCAAAAAAATCGAGAATCCCTATCACAAAGTCCATAACTTCGATCGGAACTTTCAAGAATTTCTCTTCTCTCTCCGCAAGCCTAAACAACAACTCCCCTTGTTGCAACGGCGTCATCGCCTCGCCAGGCCCGCCGACCGGCAAGATCCGATTCGCCAAATCCTCGTTAACTACGCAATCCGCCATAAATGCCGCCAGGTCAGCCTCGCTGATCGGCTTGCACGCGCACAATTCGCCGTCCCCGAACATAACGTACGGCTTCCCGTCCTTAACCAACTCGACTTGACCCGCCAAACTCTTGAAAAATGCCGTCGGCCGGACTATACTATAACTAAATCCGGCGTCCCGCCGCGCCTCTTCGGCTAACTCCGCCTCGAATTTCAGCTTTGCGCGCTGGAATTCGAGGAGAGGCTTTTGTACACAAATTGCACTCAAAAGAACAAAGTGTTTGGCGCCATATTTTTTGCCTACAATTAGGCTATTCTTTGTAGCCTCATAATCAATCTTCCAAGAATCCTTAACTCCTCCACTCCTACTAGCAAGACATGACACAACAACATCTATAGACAATCCAAGATTCCTTAAACTCTCCGAAAGAGAATCCAAATTTGTGACATCTGAAAAACACACATTTGCACCACTCAATATCCCCAATGTCTCATTTTTGTTGTTCTTGCCCTTGATCCCACTTTTTTCTCTAGCAATGGCTATCACATTGAACCCTCTTTTAACCAATTCTTTCACCACAAATTTCCCAATGTAACCCGTCGAGCCCACCACCAATACGTTGATATCTTTAAAGGGTTTTGTCCTAAACGAGGTTTCTGAAGATGGGGTGGATGAAGCTGTCGAAAAAATCGATCTTTTTCTACTAGGGTTTGAGATTGAATGTTGAAAGGTAGAAGAAGGAAGAGGGTTGTTTGGAAATTGATTGACGAATTGGGATTTGAAAAGGGATTTGAAATTAGGGTTTCTTGAAAAATTGAGTGTGATTCCATTGCTGGAATTGAAGGGTAAGCAGCAGCAAGAAGACATGGTTCTTACCTTGAAAAGATCGAAGTTTTGAGGATGAACTGGAATCTAAACGAATGGTTCATAGTTGGGGGGCAAAGATGGCAAGTTCGCAATTTGGGCGGGTCAATTGGGCGAATCTTGTCCGACCCGACCCAGTTTGGTATTAATGGGCGGGTTCAGATTTTAACAACATGTCATGGGCCTGGAAAATAGGCAATCAAAGGTGATCCAGCCCAGCCCACAAAATTAAATTAAAAATTAAAAATCAAAATCCAATCCATATATAAATAAAAACACGTGTCTTGTTAAAATTCTCCTTACCTCTACGCAATGAAGAGTTTCTTCACTGCATCACGAGATGTTTTTCTTAATTTTCTTTTCTCCCATCGTTGTTTCTGTCTCATTTTCCTCTGGAGAATCGATCTCAAATAAATAAATATGCACGACTCAATCGACCTACAGGAATCACTCCCCGTCGATATTGCTCTCAAAATCGTCTCCTCTCTTCAGGTAAAATAAACATATCTACGTATGCCCTAAATTCTATAAGAGGATAAAATTAAAATTTTCAAACAAGTTTTTTTTGACCTAATTGAAATAATTATTTGGGGTTTTGAAAGTAAAATTGAAGTTTTATGTTGCAGGTTTTGGATGTGTGTTCGTTAGGGTGCTGTTCGAGATATTGGAGGGAGCTTTGTGGTTGTGATTGTGTGTGGGAAGGTCTGTGTAGAGACAGATGGCCTGGCTTTTTTGAGGATGGAAATTCATCGGATTCTCAGAAGCAAACCCTTGTTGGTTTTGAACAAGGATTTGTCTCCCCCTATCCAAAGGTTCTTTCTTTATTTACCATCAATTTTAAGTAAATTAATATGTTACATTCAATTGTATTTCCAGTCTAAATCTTGAGGGTGTGTCTTCAGGCTGTTTTTTATTCTTTTCTGAGGATATGATTATATTATTTAATGATAGTTTCAGTGATTATTTTATCTCAACTAGGATAGGATAATTATAAAGATTGTATTGGGTAAATAATAAGATAAATAGTCTTTTTTATCCACACTAGTATTTACTTCTTTTTTTTTTAATGGCTCTTTGATAGCATTCTTGTAATATTATGTCAGGTGAAATGGTATTCCTTTATTTAAGTGTAAAGTATAGGGGAATTAGTAGTTTTTTACATACCAAAATGTATAAATAGATAGTGGATGTAAGTTTAATAATCATGGATTGCAGATAATAACTAGTTTTAATCTCTTAAAGTATATATGATTAAATGTGATTAGGGTATGAATTTGAAGAATAGTAAATATTTGAAATTTAACGAGGCAAGGATAAGGGAGCTTAATAATCATGGGTTGCAGATAATAAACTAATTTTAATCTTCTAAAGTAAATTTGAAATTTAATTAAATTTTTCCTGATATAAATAAGTGTTTTATAAGACATCTGAAAGTAATTTATTTATTTATTTATTTTAATAATACAGTATTAAATGAAAATTTAAGTGTGTTTTATTTTAACACATTCCATTCAGAATCTATTTTTTTCGAATATATGTATATGTGTGTATATATATATATATATATATCACAAAACAATCAAGCATTATTTAAATACAAAAAAGTTTCTCAAACCACAGTTCATACCTTAAACTGGTGTTTGTGCCAATTTTATTATGCATATATTTGTTGTCTATAGTATATAGTGTGTTTTTGTTTCTCGAATTGAGGCTTTGTTTTTGCAATTAGGATTTTGTTCCGGTACCTTTTCTTCGACGTTTCGATTTCACGGTACATTAGTGTATTGGTTGAAAGGATTTCTTGTGTTCTATATTCAAACTATAGGGTTGGAAGGATTTGTACATGATCAAGCATAATCAGATGTTAAGGGAAGCAACCAAGGTGACGAATTTCGTGGAAAGGTCTTTAGCAAACGGGTCGATCGAAGTTGGGAACTACTTGAAAGCTATTCGTCTTCTGAACTTATATCAGCTCAGGTTCAAAGATGTCCAAATGTTCATACTGAAACCGAACCTCAGTGTTCTGCACAACTTGCTAGCCTTGCACTACTGCATCTTCTACCTAGATGTCCCGGTATCACCGATACAACCCTCACGTTATATGTAATAATACTAATATTGTTTTGATTATCGGTAATTTTTTTTTCAGGAGGAGCAAATGATTGAAGCACTGAACAGAAACGGGATTGCGGAGAGACGAGTGGCCGTCCAATGGTGGAAGCTAGGCAGATGGTCTCAGGGGTTTCGTTTACGGGACGAGCTGCATTCCCGCAACGTGTCGTTGGCGGGCCTTGCCGAATCGAGCGACGAAATTCTCGGTGTGCTTCACCGTGGGGCGATTCATGAAGTTATTCGGATCCAGATTTCGGCTGCTAGGCCTTCTAAAAGGCCATGGTCTTGCCAAGTTGTCAACACTTTGCAGTCTAAATGACCGTTAGTAACGGCGAAATGGATTTCTCGACCGCACTTAAAAGGTAAGAAATTTTACTTGCAAATTATGCATGTTTGTGTACATATGCAGATTGGTTTTTATGTTGTAACATTTTATTCGAATCTTTCGGATATGACCAATGCTTGTGTTGTTGTAGTATTTCATCTACAATTATATAATCATATGCATTTAAAGAGAAGGATCCATACCTCTCATCAATGGTGAATCAGATGATCTCAAGGAACCGGGCAAAACTGGGGTATTTTGGTTCCCATCCCAGTTCATCTCGAGTTTTTGAGTTGTTTAGTCTTTTACCTAAAGGGTCTGATGTTCCTGCGAAACAACAGACGTTAAGACATCGATAAAAGTGTCCTGTCTCAACGAATATTTGTGACACTTTATCTTACCTGTGAAGCCCTCGAACTTCTTACTATACTTTCCACTCTTATTCGCCAATTCCATCAGCTCTTGCCTGAATTTGTAACATAACTATTAGTAAGGCCTTCGATTGAGACGTGTTGTTTCTAAGATTGGTCGAAACCTGGTTAGAGGGTTGTTATCGCAGCCGAGGAAGGTTCTGCTGCGAAGATTCTTTTTCAAGATTGCGATCGAAAGGGAAGCTGCATCCTACATTGAGAATGCTTCGATATAAATACATTGCATTGCTAAACTATCAGAATTTTAAAAACTTAAGATGAGAATCTTCGAGTTAGAATCTGCATTACCTCATAATGTATTAGATTAATGATGTGATCCGGCCGAAGATCGGAAGTTCCTTTCTGCAACCAGAATGAATGGGGGCCTCTATTTGATAGGTACTGCTAGTTAAGGTTCTTGTGCATAACTTTACATAGATATACATACATATATATATATGTGTGTGTCTGTATAGTTGTGCATAGTTTAAATATAGTATTCGAACATGTAACTCAGATGTGAATTTTAAAAAAGGATATGTATAGCCCGGCTAATCTAAGAACACAACCGCCAGCATCCAGCACCACTTTCTCTGCTTGAAGCAGAGTATCGACTCTGGGGCTCTTACCTAAAGGCATATCTGGAGTGTCCTGTAAAGTAACTTGAACCAATTAATTTGAATGGCTCTGAAAATTAAATGAAATTTCTCATTGTTGCATTTTACATAATTTCAGAGACGTATTTTTAACACCCTAATCCAATCAAACCTATTCTAAATTATAAGAATATGATCAGTTAGAATCTGAAGAAACAGGAGGACACGTTCCCAACAAAATTAGAGTCGGAAAAGACGGAGCATAAGCTTTATTGATATTGGAAAACAAATTTAGAAAAAATAAATTTGACAAACAAGAGACTGTAGGCAAGATCTCAAAATAATAATGAAATCAGAAAGTTTTGGAATTCAGATGAGATGGGTACCTCATCACAAGGTCCATTGTCAGTGCAGTCGTACGGAGCTGAGCTAGAAGTAAAGAGGAAGGAACCCTTGCCGTTCCAATTTAAAGTTGCTTCCCTAGGAATAAATTGCAACAAGAACTCTATTAATATAAACATAAAATCATTATTTTTCAAGGAGAAACAGAGATTGCAATATCAGATAAGGGAAGTTACATAAACCAGGTTCATGCTTAGACCAATGTAACGTGATAGATCAGGTTTGATATTACTTTAGTGTTGTTCATCGCTTCCCGGTAAATAATAATAACTACGAATATTACTTCCGAGTGTTTTTTACTGTCTAGTCAATTCTTTAGTTGCACCCTTTCCTCGTAGAGCTTAAATGGTAGGTTGCAGACAAGCATTCCTTTTCATTTATGCATTCCTAAGGATGAACCTGAATGATTTAACAACACTACTAATCTGCTATATCATTTATCCTATGCAGTTCTATTGAAAACTACAATGTTTCTTTCCCAAATACTGAGGAGCATATAAACCGACAAAAGGGAACTTATGCAGCCACTAGTGAATTCAATAAGGATTTTTTTAGCTACAATTTCTCTATCTAGAAACTGAAAATTCTAAATCTACATGTTGCTGCTTGCCAGTCTCACATAAGAATGACAAATAACAAATTATGAAAATAATAATAATAATAATCAAGTAAAAAATTTGTAGCATATGTATATTCTTCTGCCCACCTGACTTCACCAGGGTAATCTGGATTTCCAGACGGAGGAGCACAGAACATGACATATGGGAACTTAGCAGTTGGTTGTTCTTCTTTAAGACGGGGAGTGATCCCCATATCTATCAACTCATGATGATGATCGGCTGTTCTTGTCTGCCCACGAACTTGAGATCCCGGGTGTTCCTGCCACAGTAAAACACTCAAATTGATCAGTGATGGTATCAATATTGGAATGCAGAAGCCAGAGAAACAGGTTGCAGGTCACTCGATAAGTAACAACCACTAACTGGATCAATCACATGAAATTAATTATAAGAGAACTGACTTTAGTACACTACAGATAAGTTTTTGTATCATCTTCTTGGTAAAAAATTACCTCTAGCCATTTTTCTGCCACCATACGTCCCAGAACACCCGGCCCAACAATCAACAGGTCATTAGCACCAACTGCTCCCGTAGATGAGGCTTCTAATTCATGCATTGGCACACCTTCAATATCAAGACTGTCTTGACTAATACACTAGATGGTTTGAGACTTTTATATCATAAGAGCATGGTATCTTAGAGATGATATCTATAGATATTATAATAGTTTGGGGGCGTATGCACAGAGAATAGACAAATACTCACTGTTGGATTTAGTGAGTGGCTACTGTTTTCACTCACAAATAAATAATGCAAACACATGAGAAATTGTTACCCAGCACTCAGCTCCAAGCAATGGAGTTGAGGCATAAAGACATCAGAAAATATATTTCACAATCCGTTTTAAGCACAATTTGACCGTGTACTGAGCTAAAATGTTGAATAAGCCTAGATCGAGTTAAACTAAAACCAGGCATATGCAAATTCATCAAATCTCAGCCTGAGAAAATAACCGAACTCTCTGTTAAACAGCCTTATCCAGAAACTAGCAAGCATACTTACAGTGCTTGATTTAACATTCCTAGAAAATTATCACCAAGCAACAAAATGCCAGGCTGAGAAAAATGCATTTTGTATTTTTGAAGTACAAATTGCCTAGTACTTTCAGTATCTTCTTCTATTCCCAATGTAGATGCAATGTACCGCACAGTTATATATGACGAGCTAAAAATGTACAGAGATGGAAAACAGTTTCTATGTATGTTGGAGAGAGAAAGCTAATACCAGTGGCGGAGGACGCCTTGACTTTCATCGAAATCGGAGTAGCCACAGCTAACGCCGCCGAAAAACGTGCTCGCTTGAAGGAATCTAAATTGAAGCTTTCGCCAAATGAAAAGGCATCTGAAGAAGGCGGCAAACGCAAAAACCTCGAAGCAGATACCAAATTGACACCAATCTCCGGCTTCGGGGAACACCTCAGCAATTCAGTGGAGGTTAAAACGCAAAAACTGCCAGCGCTACTCATTTCCTGCCGGAGAAGACAATCGGCGTGAACTATCAATCTTCAACGAGTTATCAATTTATACTGTTACTATCCAGACGAAGGAACAGAAGGCACCCGATTCTCCTACTCCAATGGACTATCGACGCGTGTCACCTTAAGGTCTGGTAGCTATGTAGAAGTTTTTTTAAAAAAATTATTACGATTATGCAATAGCCAATATATATATTTAAAGGGAATTTTAAGATATTTTTTCTATAAAATATAAAAAAATATATACTGTTAATAAAATAAAATATACTCCATATTATATATATTAAAAAGTATATCGGTGGAAATTTATTTGGCAATTAAATTGACCGTATTTAAATAACCAAGAATATTGGGAGGTTAGAATTACGAATTTGACCACAATGACACGTGTGACGTGTACGTGCTGATACAACTCCACGAGCTACTCTTCCCTACTCCCACCTGTCCCTCACGATACATACATTATATGCATACATACACACGTATATACAGCATACTCCGCCATATTCCGCCGCACTAACTACCAAACATTACTCTCTCCTCCGCCGGCGCCGTCGCGACTTTCTCGGCTATGAGAATTCTCCAGCCTCCGTCGAGCCGCACGGAGCCTCATTGGAGCGGCTCGCGGCCAGCAATCGGTCTTCTAGACGGCTGCTGCTTCAATCTCTGCTCGATTCTCTCGTCCTGGTCAGTTACCGTACAATTAATTTAATACCGCCGGCGATTGATCGATTAGTCGGTTTACGAATCTTCATTGAATTTCAGTTTCTATGTCTTCTGCTGTTGCTGGCTTCTAGAAGACTGCTTCGCCGGCCGGCGTACCTTTCCCGGCGCCGCGTATGGGTCTCCGCCGCCTCCGCGGTCTGGGGTAATGGCTGGGCATGTTCATGTGGGCCATGATTTTGGGCCGGGCCCAATTGGATACCAAGGTGGGCCTCCGCCACCGCCTCCACCCAGGCATGGGCTTCTGGGCCCTACTTTCGGCCCATCAAGCGTGCCGGGCCCAGCTGGTTACCAAGGGGAACCTTCTCCTTTCTGATTATGTGCACTGTAGATTTGCTGTATGTGTGTTTTTTTTTTTTTTTTTTTTTTTTTTTTTTTTTTTTTAGATTTGCTGTATGTGTGTTTGGGACGCTGTGTTTCGTACAAGAAAATGAAAATTGAAAATGGTTCGGTTTTTAAAGTGTTTTATTTGGTTGAGTCAGTTGAGAAAAATGAACTTCTGGTCTATAATTAAATGATTTTATAATTAAATGATTTTGTATTATCTGATTTCATTTATGCTGCTAATTTTATTTTTTTTTAAAATGAATTACTTCCTGTTCAGGTTAATTATCTTATAATATCGAGCAAAGATGAAAAATAGTATTTTAATATAAAGATTAATAAATAAAAATATTTATAAAAAGTTTATAAATAATCCGTCTGTTTTTTTCAGTGAATTGATTTTTTTTATAGTGTAGAAATTTGTGTTGGCAATCTACAAAATATTATAATATTTTATATTAAATAATTTATTTTTTATGAATGAATTTATATATATTATAGTGATGTAAGTATATTTATATTATTTTAATAATAATTTATGGAAAATTATTCATGAAAGAAACTCTCTTGTAATAGAGAGGCAGAGGTAAATTAATCATTACTATTTTTATTATTTTATTAAATTTGTATGTTTTACAATTTTTTTTAAAAATTATTAATAAAAATAATTATATTTAAATATCAAATATTTTTAATTTTTAAAGAATATTTATTGTTTTATACTTGCAAGAAAAAATCAAAATATTCTATATACATTTTTACCCAGTCAAAATTATTCTAATATACTTTTTTATTTTTTATTTTTTTGTCTTTTTTATTAAAAACAAAATTATATTTCTTAAAATTATACTTTAAAAACAAAATACATCAAAATATTATATATTCTCTCTCCGTCTCACTTATTTTGTCATTTTTTAAAAAGAATTATACAATTTAATTTAATTTTAAAAAAATTGAATTTATAATTTTTTAATTATAATTATACTAATAAATTATTTTAATTTTAATATATAATTATTTATTATACACTAATTATTTTTATTAATATATTTAATTATTTATTATTTGTATTTCTTCTGAATTTTTGTATTTACTGTAAAAACAGACAAACTATCCGCTGCAATAAATTTTAGCAATCATATCAAAATTATTTCAATTTTTTTTTATTAATTAATAAAATATTATTATTTTTTAAATTAAAAATACATTATTGGGCAAGTGGGCCTATCTATTTCATAATACTCAGCATCACATGATACAATTAATTAATCATTTTGGATTTTTTTTTTTTTAATGTTTTGCCCGAATCAATTTCTAGAACTTCCACATACACATTACAGCCTTTTCCATATCCACATTTATTGCATCTTAAACTATTATCTATATTATTATTATTATTATTATTATTATTATTATTTCAAAATAATTAGAGACAAGAATGGCCTATGAGGAAATAAATCCAAAGTAGTACCACATGAATAAATATACAATGTGTGTTCAATGATTCAATGAAATATTAAAGAGATGTCCAAATAAAGACAAACCTCTACAAATGAATATGAATATGATATATATCTGCCTTATCCAAATCCATATTTATCTTTCTATTTTGGTCAGGGTTTGTGATTTCTGAGGACAATTTTGTCAATTTCCTTCTATGGTATGGAATGGATTAGAATCATTACACAGTCAAAACAAGTCAGCAATGCATGGAAATGAGTCAGCACCGAGTCATCTCCTTTCCCTACTCGGCTTCTGCCCACGTGTCGACTCACTATTGGACCTCACTTTTATCCATTTATTCTAGAATCCTTGACAGAAGATAGATAATAAACTCTACTGACTCTATATTTCATTACAATTAATATGTTTCCATTTTAGTATGCTGATATATTATTATTATTATTATTATTATTATTATTTATTATCTTATTTAAGTTGTATTTAGATATATTTTAAAAATATTGTGATGTTTTTAAGAAATTTAATAAATAGCAAATTGAATACAAAATAAAAGATTAGAAAATTTATTCTACCACCATTCTACTTGAATTGCTTTTGCTTGGAAATTTTTTGATAGATTAAAAAATAATATTTGTATTAAATATATTTGTATAATATAATTTTTTTTTAAAAAATAGTAAAATTAAGATAAATAAACAAGAGAAAATGTAAATTGGTACAAATAAATATAACTATAAATAGAAAAAGACCCACCTGTATGTGTTTTTTACTTTTGCAAATAATTTTTTTATTATTTTAATCCATTTAATATCAATAAAAACAATTATTTTTTTATTAAAACTATTCAAATTACTGTATAATGAAAATCAATACTCCATAATAAAATTATTCGAGTTACCTAAATGACAGTGTCATAACAACGCACATGGCCTGCGACCCAGTCAAAACACGACACGTGTCATCTCAATTTCTTACAGCATTTCAGCCGCCAATGGTCGGCTCTTCTCTTGCATTCCCTTCCACGCCAATCAAACATTTCTCCCCCAAATTTTCATTTCTACATATACACACATAAATCGATCCCAATTTCTCCTCCCATCCATTCCTTTCTCGCCCAATCTCTCTTCAATCTCGTAACCCTATAATTTCGCCCCCAATTTTTCCCCCTCATTCAGACCAAATCCAAATCCAACTCCAAATCTGTCTGAAACCCTAGGAAAAGAAATCCTTTATCGCATTTCCATTCGAAGCCGAAATCGTTGCTGTAAATCATTTTCGACCGTCCGATTTTGTACAGAAGATGGAGGCTTCTTTGATAGGTAGCTCACAGGTGATTCCTGGAGGGATAAACGACACGAGTTTGTGTACTTCTGGAAGGAATTTGGCTTTTATTACCTGTAATTTGAAGAAGAAGAAGAACAGCAATGATTTGAACTTATCCAATAACGTTGTCCGAAGGGAAAGGCTTGTCTGGTCTTCGGAATCTGCCGCTGGTTTCAGTGTCCGAGCATCTGCTTCTGCTCAAACTCATCCGGCTGTTTCTGCAAGCGCTTCGAAAAATAAGAGAATCAAACCGGTAAGCTTTATCGTTGTTATTATTTTTTTTAAATTGATTTTTTTTTTTTTTTTTTTTTTAGCTGTTGTTTGTGTTCTTGCATCAATTGTTTGGCTGTTTCTGTTCGTGGTTTATGTCGTGCTTGAAGTTTTCCTTAAACGACGTCCTTTATTAAGGCTAATGTTGTTTGTGGATTACTTTTGAGATTTGATCTCTCCAACTTCTGATATTTAAAACTAATAGAAAAACTCGTACTCCTATAATTTTTTATTTAAAAATAAAATAGACTTATTATGACATCAATAAAAAAAGAAAGGCTCCATTTCTAAACAGTAAAATTTGCAAAAATAAATTCCGGAGATACATCTATTTGATCTTGTTGCAGGAAAAAATATAAATATTTAATTTAATATTTAGAAAAAAAATTAAAAGAAAGGGTTCATTTTTTCTTATTTGTACTAAGTATTCAAATATCATACAGGAAAAAAAAAAAAAAAAATTAGACCCAGCCGGACTTAGGTAGTATTTTTCTTCATATATAAACAATGTGAAAAATATCTGAAGTATTTAATCTAAACAGACATTTTTAGACATCTACGTTGGGTGGTCACTGTACTGAATAAAGATATACTCCTTCCGCGTAAATATTTCATTGATTAATAGAAAGCGTACAAGAGTTGTTACAATTTTTGTACTTTTGTGTATTAAATAATTGTATTTTTAATAATATTTTTGTAATTTCAATAAAAGCTAGATGATATTTTAGTTTCAGTGTATAATTATTTTTTTGAAAATAGTAAAAATATTATTTTGAATTTGACGGAGAGAGTATTATTTATAATTATATCGTCGTTAGCACAATAACATCCGTTGTTACTACAAGCTTATTTGGTCTCGATTTAAATTAACTTTTTTAATTTAAAATTTTATTTTGTGACAAAAAAATATATTATTTCCAAATAATTTCTATCTTGATTTGGAGTAGAAACCAAACATGCATAGGCATTGTTTTTAGACAAATGGGTCTTAGGCATAAAATGTCCTAATCTAAGGATGTTCGAACTCATGAATTTCTTGCAGATCAATGGCGTCGAACTGTACGTTGGTCTACCATTAGACACTGTCTCCCAATGCAACACAATCAACCACGCCCGGGCCATCGCCGCCGGCCTGAAGGCTTTGAAGCTGTTAGGCGTTCACGGCGTCGAGCTCCCAATCTGGTGGGGAGTCGCCGAGAATGAAGCCGTTGGAAAATTCGACTGGACCGCCTACTTAGGCGTCGCCGAAATTGTCCGAAAATTGGACATGAACCTTCACGTCTCCCTCGGCTTCCATGCCTGTCGGGAGCACAAAATCGAGCTTCCGCAATGGGTTTCGAGAATTGGCGAATCGAACCCAAGCATTTATTTCGCGGATCAATCGGGACAGCCGTACAAGGATTGCTTGTCCTTGTCGGTCGACGATCTCCCGGTTTTAGACGGAAAGACTCCGCTCGAAGTTTACGGGAACTTCTTCAAGAATTTCAAGTCGGCATTCGCGCCGTTCTTCGGTTCGACAATCACGGTGAGATAACGATCGGTATTCCCATTTTCTTACGTCGTTATCGCTCGATTATTTGATAATGAATTTGCATCGTCGACAGGGAGTTTCCGTGGGTCTCGGTCCCGACGGCGAGCTGAGGTATCCGTCGACGAAGAACCGAACCCAGTCGGGAGCCGGGGAATTCCAATGCTACGATAAACATATGCTCGGGAAACTCAAGCGTTACGCCGAGTTGAACGGTAATCCTTTGTGGGGGCTCGCCGGGCCACATGATGCTCTGAGTTACGATCAATCTCCGATTTCCGGAGGCTTTTTCGCTGAAAACGGCGGATCTTGGGCGACACCGTACGGCGATTTTTTCCTTACATGGTATTCGAGCCAGTTGGCGATCCACGGGGATCGAATCTTGTCTCTCGCCGCCTCAATTTTTTACGACGTTCCGACCGCACTGTCCGGACGAGTCCCCTTCATGCACTCGTGGTACAACACCCGTTCCCACCCGTCGGAGCTAACGGCGGGATACTACAACACGGTCGATCGGAATGGATACGACGCAATCGCGGAGATCTTTGCGAGAAATTCGTGCACGATGATAATCCCCGGCGTTGAGCTATCAAATAACGACGTACCTGGCGACAATCGGGCGAACCCCGAAGCCCTAATCGAGCAAATAACGACTTCTTGCAAAAAACACGGCGTCGAGGTCTCGGTTGAGAATTCGCCGATGCCGGGCGCTTCGACAGGATTTGAGCAGACCCGAAAGAATCTGATCGACAAGAATGAGGCGGTGAACACGTTCACGTATCAACGCATGGGAGCGTATTTCTTCTCGCCGGAGCATTTTCCAGCGTTCACCCAGTTCGTCCGCAGCTTGACGCAGCCGGGTCGAAGTCCCGACGATGCGCCTGCGGAAAATGAAGAGAATCCAGGATCCCTTTCTGGTAAGAACATACATATGCAAGCAGCAGCTTAATTAAGGTTAGCATAGTATTTTCGAAGGTATAATGTAACAAGAAGACAAACTTATGAATAGAACAATTCTTTCATTCAGAAAACAGATTGTCCAAACACATTCTGTGAAAATACATACGAAAGAACTCAAGAAACTGAACATAATTACCGAAACGATCGAATCCCAGGGTGAAAACGCCATTGCCGTCTGGGAAATTCCGCAAGAACTCTACAAAGAAACCCAGATTTAGTTCTCGATATCGTTTTGAACAAACAAACAACAAGCAAGAACTCTACAAAGAAACCCAGATTTAGTTCTCGATAACGTTTTGAACAAACAAACAACAAAAGATTCGATACCTTGTTATATCATTCGCAGGCGATTTTGGTGTCGAAGCTGCTGAGACAAATGGCGAAAGCTTGGAAAGCTGAAATAGGGTACCCGTAGTCCATCGTGAATTCGTCTTTCCCGACCTTGCCGAACTGAAGGACGACGCGATCGTGCTCGGGCACGGAGAGACCGTTCTCGGGGGAGGCGACTAGCTGGAAGTTCTTCACGGATGCAGCCGTGACGCGGCCATGGAAGTTCAGACACCAGCACTGGAGCTGCTCGTGCCATCGTGGCGCCTTGTTTTGCAGAACGAGCGGAGTGTCGACTTGGTCGGTCAAATTTCTGGAGGGAGATTTGTTGAGGTAGTTCGATTTCGATCGGAGGAACGGGATTGAAGGATAGGAATCGACGGTGGTGATCGGGAAATGAGTGGGTGTCGGAGCAGCCCCACCAGGTTTAACGGCGGACGATGGAATAGCGTCGAGAACGCAGTGCATTCGTCTCGGACCTCTGAATAAATCAATAAATAAAGTCAATACCGATAGAAAAAACATAACTTTATCAAACAAATAACCGAATAAGATCGATTCAAATCGATTCTCAAATATGAAATACTTTTTCAATAAAATATTTATTTATTTACATGCGTGCCAACTCCAAATAGAATAATTTTTGCGGATCAAAAGAAATATTTTTTCAATAAAATATTTATTTATTTAAATGCTTGTGGACTGAAAGACTATATAATTATCCTACGATTATATAATAAATTTGCGCAAAGCCAAAGTACCAAAAACTAGTGGTGTGTGTTTTGCGAAATATTTAATGTGAAATATACAAAATTGTATAGAAAATATGAAAATAATAAATGTGTGTAATATAATAATTTTTTTGAAAAAATGTATAGAAAATTTTCTGCAAAAAAAACAAACCCTAGATTTTTTAAACTTCTGCAACAGACAAAAGCACAATTTTCACAAGAAACAAATAAAACTTTATTTTTACCTGGCTCCAAGAACATTCAATTCATACGAGATGTGAGCAACCGGATAGTTCCCGACAGGAACTGCAGATGAGACTTGTTTTGAGCCTACCATGACAGCGGATCGACTTTTTAACATTTTAACTCCGCAATGAGGTGGAAGAGCGTCGTAGACAACAAATCTCCTCCCGAGTAAATTGCATCTGGTAAAACAAAATGCTTTAAAGACATTCTTTTCTTTTTTTTTTTTTTTTTATAATACTGTCAGAGAATTGATGTTCACCTTAACTTTCCAATGTAAGCAGGACTTCCCTTCGACATATCATTTGCTTGTAGAGAAATCATGTAGTCTGTGGACGTGGTCCGCTTGAACCTTTGAGCAGCAAGCAGGAACTTTCCGTCGTTTGCTAGCGCTGCCATAATTATAAGACGTCAAATTCCACAAAAGATGCATTATTAAGACATACTCAAAGAAGTATATATTCGTGTAAAAGGAAACCTCCTAGCCAGAAATCGGATATAGAAAAGGGAAGCAGGGTCTATTAATTTTGAGGGAAAAAAAAGTACCTTGACTTAAACTTGCATAAAGATAATATGTTTGAGTAGATCGGTTCCGTTTTATAAAACAAGGGATAAGAGATTCTCTTGGGCCAGGCTGCAAAAAAATAAAAAAAATATCGTAAAAAATAAATCAACAGACCAGCACGAGCAAAATGTGTATCATAGGCGTAAAGAGCTTGCAAAACATTGATGAAATTTCAATTAGCTTTTTGTGACAGCAATGGTTTCAAGCAAACGGAATCGATACTGTTCCGGAAACGCAATGAACCAGTTCTTACAACACAGCCATAGTTCATTTGCCGGATCCTTAAATATTATTTAAGTCTTAATATATTTGCTTAATCATCGCAAAACAAAACTTCCAGATATCGCCAATTCATCATTTTGAAATACTGTTCATGCTACGTGAGATGCTGAAGTTCAACGTCATTATGTCGATGGCTGATTGGTCAAATGCCGAATCCTTACGAGACAGCCATAGTTCATTTGCCGGATCACTAAATATTATTTATGTCTTAATATATTTGCTTAATCATCGCAAAACAAAACTTCAGATATCGCCAATTCATCATTTTGAAATACTGATTCATGCTACGTGAGATGCTGAAGTTCAACGTCATTATGTCAATGGCTGATTGGTCAAATGCCGAATCCTCTCAAATAGAAATTGTCATTATATCTCAAAAGAATTTAAAATACTCTCTAGTTTGTTTGGGAGAAACCTAAAATACCATAAGCTCACAATCGAACAAATATGCCGAAATGAATCCTTATATTTAACCTTAATCATCTTTTAAACATTTCCAAAACCAAATAAAATAAAATAAAATAAAAAATATAATATGCACACGAACAAAATATAAGAAAACAAAGAAGATAAGGAAAAAAAATTAATCGAACATCAAGATCACACAAGCTCTAAAAAGAAACGCAAAGCTTAATTCTAATGAAGGACTCTAAATCGCCAATTTCCATGGACATCATTGCATATCATTTCAAATTCTCTTCTTTAGTCCCAACTTTGAATTCAATCCAAATTTTTTAGCACGAAAGAAACAAAATACACACGGAAAAATAATCAAACAAACTACAACATGGAAACAAACCACCAATCATTAACTAAACAAAAATGTTCTCGAATTTCCCGTCATTCCATATTCATTCCAAATTCCCTTCTTAAATCCCTAATTCAAATTCCAAAACAATTCCTTCCATAGAAACAATCAAACAAACTACAAAATGAAACAAGCCACCGGTCAATAACTAAACAAAATTCTTCTCTAATTTTTCGAGGTTCATTCCAAATTCCTTTCTTAAAATCCTACTTCAAATTCAAAAGCAAATCCTTTCTTGAAAGGATCAAACAAACTACAAAATCAAACAAATCACCGATCACTAGCTAAACTTCTTCTTGAATTATTCCAAACTCTCTTCTTAAATCCCTACTTCAAATTCAAAGCAAATCCATCTATCGAAACAATCAAGCAAATCACCAATCAAGAACTCAAATTCTTTCTTGAAGTAGTCCAAATTCTCTTCTGAAATCTCTATTTAATATTCAAAAACCAAATTCTTCTATAGAAACAATCAACCATACTCCAAAAATGAAACAAACAAATTGAATAAAAAACCACAAATTTCAAAAAAAGAAAAAAAATAAAAAATCCCAAACCTGCTTAACAGAGATAGGGAAAGTAATCTTCCCAGAAACTTCTGGAATCTTCACGAGCTCCTTCATCGTATCCCTCCAGCTCCTGCACACCCCTGCGCAAGCCACGACATCCTTCCTCGACGGCCAATTCGACTCGGATTCCTCCAATTTCATCAAAATGTCCCTCAATAATTCTGAAGGCAATGCCTCCCAGCAACTCAAATCGCCATCCTCCTCCACGTCGTCTCTGTTCTCGCCGCCGTCGCCAGTTTTGGAATTCTCCACCGCCACTGTGGTGTCCTGCACCACCCTCCGCGACCGCGATTTCAGCCCCAACTTAATCATGACCTCCTCCAACCTCCAACCAACTACTTTTCCCCCAATTTGTGTATTTCAGTGTCGCGCACTAAAAAACCCTCCCCTTCTCAACGCACAAATCACTCGCAGCAGCATTAAGCTCCATCAATGGCGGCAATCACTGTATCCTCGATTTAACAGTGAGAAATTCCAGTAAACGTCGAATAACAATGCCTCCAATTCGATTATTAGGAAAAAAAATTAAAAAATCAATGACGTCGAGAAATGGGAAATTTCGGGAGCAAATTGATGGCTACAGTGACGAAAAAAAGGTAGAGAAGATTCGTGCTCTACAGGAATTCGGAGGAAGAAAACCAAATTAAAGGTGGGAATAAATGGAAACAAATGCGTCCGTAAATAAGAAAACGATATATCTTGGAGACGATTGGGTTTTCGGGTCCCATCCCACCATTTTTATTTTATTTTATTTTTTGAGTATTTGCTAACTTTTAAAACAGACAAATATAATTAATTAGTTAGTTAAAAACAAAAATATAAAAAAGCTAGTAAGCTACTCTACAAAATTTATCCAAACCACCTACTAAATAAATTACTTATATTAAGAATTTGTCTTTTATTCTTACATAATTTTTTAATAGTTTCTACTAAAAATATATTTTACAAAACAGTAAAATTTATTTCACAAAATATTTTACAATTCTAATTTTGAATTACAAAACTTACACAAATTCTCAAATACTAAAAGTACACAATTGAAACACTTTATATTAACCTAGTATATTTTATTTGTCTTAACTAAAGCAAGTTCTTACCATTTAAGTCTATATATAAAAATTTATTCATATCATATTTAGTAAAAACATATAATACTAATTTAAATTTATATATATTGGTATTTTTTTATTTATTCAAACAAATACAAATAATTATTATTATATAATAAAAATAATTATAGATTATAAAAATTATAAAATTTTAAAATGCAATTAAAATGTATAATTATTTTTTTTAAAAAAAATAAATTGTATGAAAAGGTCGAATCAAAAAAAAAAAACCAATGAAACAGAGGGAGTAGTTGATAATAAATACGAATACATATATATATATATATATATGACTTCTTTTTTTTAGTAATACTTGGCATATGTAATTAGTTTTCTTATTATTCCAATGACAACGAGAGACATTAGCGTTTGGTGCCATCCTCAACACCTTTTTCATTATTATATTATTAAAAATAACAAATAAATCAATTCTACACCTAAATCCCATCACTTAAAGCGACCACGAACATATATAACCCCATTTTGGAATTCAACATAAAAACAATACTCTCTATTCTTCAATTACATTTAATTATTATAAAAAAAATATATATATTTTTTGTATTTTTTTTACTATAAAATACAAAACTTTACACTCATATTAAAACATGTACCGAAAAAAATATGAAAATACTTTGTAGTAAATAGAAAAAATAAAATAGAAAATAAAAATTAAATTTTAAGTCAAGGTTATTGAATAATAATTGCTGACATATATACAATGCCCAGACTTGGAAGCCATGTTATAGTAGTTGATCAACTGTCAATTCAAAGATAAAAATTCATATTTAAAATTATTGAATCCAAAACCATACGTACCAGAATTTCATCAATTTCACCACATGTAGTAATGCAGTGGGACACACACACACACACTAGCTATCAAATAAAAATCATTTATAAATTATGAATAAATCAAACCACAGTAACATTGAAAACTTTTATTTTATAGCCCATCTGGCCCAAGATAATTATATCAAGCCCAATTTTCCACTAATAGACCCATTGGACTCTACAACAGCTAAATAAATTATTTCAGTCCAACAAAATATCAAATTTAAACTAAATAAGCATATCTGTGTTTGTATGGGGAATTCTCCCCTCAAACGCACTGTTCATTTTATTTTTTCTCTTAAAAAATCATCAAATCAAACACTTATTTTTTATTTTTTATATTATACTAAAAATTAATTTTACATTTAAAACATCACATCGCCTATTTATATCACATCATATAATTATTCAAAATTAAAATTTTTACTATTCAAATCCCAACTCAAAATCCAAATTCCCAAACAAACACAAATTTTAAATTCAATATAAAATGAATTAGAAGCTTTCCACAACCATTATAAAAGTAAAGATCGTTTGTCACTTGTATATCTAAAATGAGGCCGTTATCACATTGTCTAACAACACAAATTATATATACAGTTTATTATGTATAAATTAGCATAAGTGATATGTTTATATAATACATATATAACACATACTACTATTACTATATTAGTCCATATAGCATAATACAATTTATTCCCTCCACAAGATCTACTAATTCAGCATTTATATAAAATAAAACACATACTAAACTCTATAAAAATATACTCCCACCGCCCGCTTTAAAAGTTTACATTTGCCTTTTTGCGTCATTGTACTTAACATTAAAAATATCATTGTATTTGTATAAGTTTGTATACAAATATCATTATATTTATATTATAAAATATTAATAGAAGTATTTTTGTCTTGTTTACTTAATTTATACTATGTTTTGATATAATAATTAATATTCAAAGAGTAAGAGGCAAAAAGTAAATGTAAACCTTTAAGGTGGACTGAGGGAGTACATATTTATGATGTTCGAATTTCAGTGTTGTTACTTCTATTTTCACGTGATATTAAGGCTAATCAGAATGGCACCCCTAATCAACAACCTAACAAAGGGCTAAAATAAAATTACAGATAAATAAATGTTTAAGTAGAATGCTCTAACATGATCAAGGGGGAAATTTAACCTCCATCAGAATGCAACTGCTGCAATTTACAAAATGAATCCCTCAACCAAAATGCAACTATTATGATCTTATAATGAATATGATAGAAGCAAGAAGTCACATAGATTCTTTTACATTCTAAGCAGCAGGCAGGCAGCATGATAAGATCACCAAGATAATAATATCTGTTCAAGGGTGGGAAATGTTACCGAATCGAATCGAACCAAACACATATTTACATTGTTAAGAAGGAATCCAGGGTTCCAACTTAAAACCAATTGGTATTAAGTGGAGTAACCCATCAACCTTATAAGGTAGGGGAATCCCAACATTAATTCCAATGTAGGATATACTCAACGTGAATTGCATAGTCTTAAACTTCATAAAATAGACAGGATGCAAATTAAACTCACATTCAGAAAGTCTATCATGGGTCACAATTGTGTCTACAACTTCTTGACTCAGCAGAATTCTAGTGGAATATAAGGTATTTCTAGCCAAACCAATACTTATATTTCGATAGATGAATGACTGAGAGTCTCACAGTTCAGGATAAAACTCTATCAAAACAGTTCTATTTCCATTCTCCAGAATTGGCTGATTTTTCACAGAATCAGTAGAACTCGATGTGTTACATGAAAAAATGGTAATGGTGTTGAAGATAAATAAAATCATGGCACAAAGATTTTCAAATAAAGAAGCAGCATAAATTGACCGGTAAAGCAATTTAACCAAGGTTTGTATATATAACCAGAATATTCGAATGAGTTTTCACAACCTAGTGACCGCTCTACACTGCACATTCTTAATTTAGTGGTGGGTGCAAGGGAACCACCACAAGCTGTCCTCTAAGGTTTGCTGTTCCTTCTCGAGTTCTGGTATATAGCCTAAATCATAAATTAACTATAGCAAAATGATCAATAGATTTACCGAGCAAAAATCTCCTTCAGGAGTCCTATACAACTGGCACACTTCCATTGCCCTGCTGAACAGTACCTAAATAGTTTCCTGCAGTACCATATATACATGTGAATCACAAGTTCAATAGAAATTTCCAGTGCAACTAATTAAGAATTTGCAAGCACAGAGCAACTTAAGGTGAAGATGAACATAGCAATACCATGTCCACATCAGCAAAATTCTTTGAACTCAATCTCAAACTAGAAACCGTGATCAATATCCACAGACGAATGCACTAATTTATCACCCAAGACTGATTATAAGAAATGAGTTTGTAGTACGGAGGGATGCAAAACAAGGAATATAAGAAAAAAAAATAAAATTTGAAGTACATTTTTGTCTAGTGTCTTGAAGTTCAAAATACTCAGCGTGTCATGTACGACTATGTGCATCATTCAGAATCAATTTAAATTGATTTGAAATTACTGCTCAACTACGAAAATATCAGAAACAAACTTGCCTGGATTGCCTGCAAAAGAATAAGAGTTTGGCAGGTGATGTTCAATTCTATTATTCATGGGAAGTTGAGATGCAGGATTCATGGATGGAACAAATCCTCCAATTTCGCTCTGGTAAGATTCTGAACTAGCCGCAGGAAATGGCTCTTGTGTTTGAACGTGATGCAAAAGATGGTCATCTCTCTGTGCCAACAAGAATTAATTTTAGGTTCTTGTTCCCACTAATTAATGTCCTGTTACATATAGTTTCATTAGCAGATCATATGGATTCTTTATGCATAATTTCCATGAATGTAAATCCTTTATACCTTTAGTTCCGGCTGTTCAGCCTCGATGAACTATGAGTGATGCATTGAAAAAAGCTTTGAACTTATAACTAATGCCTTAAAAAGTTTAGCTGAAGCAATACAACAAACTAAAGAATATCTCAGAATAACCTGTTGGTTCTCAGCTTGTTCATGACAAAAGTTGCTGGGAGTTGAAGTTTGAGTAGGAACTGCATTTTGCAACATGCCAAAATTCGACACCTCATTGCTAGACTCCTTGCTTGATTCCTCAAAGAACATGTGACAAATAGCTCTTCTGAGGCGATGGTTCGTTTGTGAATAGTATACTTTGGTTGCAAGGGGAGCTGGTGGATCTGAAAATTATAAAACAGATACAAAGGATTGGTTTAGACCCCAAGTAAATTGTAAGCTCTCCTACCTACAGAAATGGTTTGGGTTAAAATTCAATAGAACAGCAACTGGGGCTTTCAAATTATCCACATAGATGAAGAAAATAATACACCGGCGGAGATGGATAGAACGGAATTGGATAGATATCAACAAGAGTCTTACACATATTCGTAGTGCCCGGATTGGATGGACTCTCAGTTGCTACCCTACAAGAAGAAAATGAAAAACATACAAACAACAAACACTAAAAAAGCGAAATTTGTTCTGCTTAATTGAATAAGAGACCTCAGAGTTCACTCAATTCATTTATCAAAAAAACTATAGTTAATAAAATTAGTTGACTGTAGAAATTGTTTGAGAAGCCTGTTCTTTTCTCTTTCTTTTATTTCCCATTGAGTATTAATTTTCAATGAGTCAACATACCTTTTGAGAGTTTTAGATAAACACTTGGTCGCATCTTCAGAGCAATTCACATTACATGGACTAACTCTTGAACCATTAGTTTTAGGCTTTGAGGGCACGGGCACTCTAATGTTTCCTGAAACATAATAGCATATGAAACCCTGACCAAGCAATACAAATCACAGATTAACAATGAATTGCATACTGGTCACCTATGCACATTTAGTTGTGTTTGAAGAAAACAATTAAGACAATAAGAATGGCAAGATCGACTGACAAAATGAGTTAGGAACATAAATTGCAATAACTGAAACTTAAAGATGATCATTGATCTTTTCTAAAATGAATATTATTGAATTTGGAGCACTGTTTGAATGATCTTAGCTGAGGAAGAGGGACAAAAATAGAAAAGAAGGATAGTAGCATTGTTACTAGTTTTAGTTTCAGCGGAGAGAGCCATCTGAATCTTCTCATCCAAACAAGAATTTCTTGTAGCTATATCCTCTGAGTCCACACCTTTGATCTTTTTAGGTTCTTTGAGGGATGAGGCCTTTTCTGTTAAGAGGTTAAGAATAAATGACAAAGAACACTGGAAATTTCAAAATTAAACCAGCCCACCTAGTTAAAGTTTAGAAAGTGATCTAGATTTGTTTGTGAGAAGATTAATAATTACGACTTTTTTGAGTGGTCGGTGGTGACCTTTAATTTGAATTCTTAATATTCAACTTAACATATCATATAGAGAGCAATTAACTTTAGCCGTAGAGATAGATAAGCAGAAAAATATCATATCAATTCCCCAAAAGGCAGCTAAGGATACTGGTCTGGGTAGTCGATTTTTTCCTCTCTTTTCGCGGCGGTTTCCTATTCACTGTGGGGCCATCATGTTCCAGACCAGCATCTGGCTTAGAACTTAAAGACTTACAGAGCTCTGAAAAGATAAAGCCAAAAAAGAGCATTACAGATGCAAAAACAAAAGACGCAAATGAAGAAAATAGAACATGTATCAAACCATGCGAATTTCTCATCATCAGTAAATTGGCTATCATTTTTACCCTTCAAATGCTCATAATCAAACCAGTTGATGAAAAGGACAGGGTGGCTCATTCTATTTCTTGGTGTTCAATCTATTTAATCTGATAACAGAACTTTTGACTAAAGTTGTTCTATAATACATGACTATCTCTTATGCACTCGCTTCTTTAGCAAATGGTTCGCCACATAGGAACATCCAAAGCATTTCAATTCCTTGAAAAGTGCAGCATTTCATAAAGATTCACACGGCACAATATAGAAATTCTTAAATAAGGTAAAAGAAGACAGTTTTGTTCAACATAATCCAAGCTGTCTATCTGTATTTACACCTCATGAATAAATATAGCTTTTCCTTCAGTATTACTTTATCTGACAGACTAACATGGTCGCAAAAATGTTTTCAAACAATTAATGCAAAGCAAAAAATATTTTCTAGAAAATTAATTCTCAAATATACAAATCTTTATAAACAACCACAATTAAATGAAACCTGCATGTGCGGCATATTGACTGGCCTTGAGTGGCTTCTTACAAGCATTGCAGCAAACCTCCAAAAAAAATAACACATGTTAACTACTTTCTGCATTTGTTAGAGACAATCTCATGACATAAATCAGAGTAGTGTAAAGTGGGGGTGAAAGCACTTTGATTTTTGGGGATTCTCATTGTCCATTTTCAAGAGATAACAAGCCATTTGTGGTTAATTTCAATCATTGTGGTTAAAAACCTCATCTTCTAGGATCATGGCTCTGGTTAAATTAGAATCTTTTAAACTTCCAATGTAACTTATGACTCTTTTATCTGGTAACATTCGCTACATTCAGATTAATAAGCATATGCAAATGAATTCAACACAAAACTTCATTTCATTTAATTTGGCAGCTGTAGAATCCATATATGTATACTTTGCTCTATTACCAAAGCTCTCCAAGCTAATTATCAGAACCTATACTTCTAGTGGCAGCCAAAGAAAAAGCTTATGTCCTACACCGTTGTCTGTGTCTGTGAAAGAAAGCTTTTGGCACAGGAATTGTGTTAGTACTAAGAATAGTAATGAATTGCATTGATTGACTCAATACTGCTTTCGTCCAGCTTTAGTGCAATGGATAGTTTGTCAAAAGGTTTCAATAAGAGGAAATTTATGGAAGTTTAGACTATTTTACTTGGCTTTTATCTCTAAAGGATGCGGGAAAAACACCATCATACTTTATATTCTTTCTATTCTTTCATTTATCCTGTTGTAGGCAAGTCCACAAGGAGAGTTCGTAGTTATATAATGGTATGGCAGTTACAGAATCACAATGCAAAATAACATCCTCTAGTAAAGAAAAAAAATGAATTTCCCAATGAGGACATAATATGAGATTCTGAAATTTTAGAAGAAAAACTTTGATGAGCGAGTTTCCAGCCTTACCAGATCTAAAGGATCTGTCATCGGCCTCAAGCCAAATATATGCATATCTACAAGAGAAAATCAACCAGAGTGAAATTTATATATATCAAACTTAAAGCCATGTAAAATTTCCCAGCGGAACATACAGTCCGACACCGACACAGTTATGGTTGCTTGCAAAACCCATACAGCTCCACTATGGTAAACTTCATTGTTGGTTGGTCCCATTTATTCTAACAATAATAACAAACATCGCACAAGTGTTTCTTCTAACTCAGGGATCTTATGCATTCACACCTAGACACAGTATTAAAAAACTTACCAATCAGTTAACGTAGTCTTGTTATCCTAAACAATACTTCATTTTTAGGAATCTCTTTATTACACTAAAATTACTGTGTTTGAAAGCCAATGCCCAAACAGAGGACAGAAAGACTGACGGGGGAATAGTTAGACGTTGAAAGAGAAAGAAGACCTTGACTCCCTTCTTTAATCCTTATGACTTAGATTGAAACCTGATATATGAAGGAAGCACACAGATTCATCTAATAAAACTATTGTGACCCACAACCATATTTCTCAACACAAGAGGCTATTCTTCCGTTCCTTTAAGACACAGCTCACACAAATGACTATACTTCTTTGGCATATACTGCTAACATCAGAAGGTATTGTATTACCTTCTTCATCAAGCAAATTTGCTTCTTCAGCCTCCTGTAGTTCTCTCCTCAAATATTGTGCAGCTAATTTCTGGTGGCCGGCTTCCCCTGTACGAATAGTAACAAAGAGTAAATGCACAGAGTAAGAGATGGAAATAATATACAGATCTCTGCCAATTGCACAAAATCCAGACTAGGTATTACCAAACTAAATGAAAGTGTGATATGTAATAAAAACCTTTCAGATAAAGTAATAAAACAAATGTTACCGCGTGATTTCACAAAAGCCTATACAAAACCATATTAAATTAGGACAACTTCCTGGCCATAAAAAATCTCATCATCCAACTAATACAGAAATTCATCATTAGTCAAGAATCAAAACTCTGTAGTTGAGTGAATTGCAACTATCATATACATATTGTAACACATTCATAGTTCACAGGCTTAAAAGGAATCTATAAATAACATCATTTATTGCTCAAAGATTTATAGAAATCGAATGGGACTAAAAAATATTAAGTACCACACAAAATTGTAATCTACTAGCAACGGTTTAGATAAATAAATAATCTAATGCCAATAATAAGGCATTATGATAATCCAACTAACGGGTGATCAGTCCAACAACTTCCTTAATTTCACATAGTCAACGTTTCCTATTTTTACCAACACTTGGGGAAACATTTAACTAATCTTATCAATAGTATCAAAGCAATTTCACTTCCTTTTGCCTTTACATCTGTTTGAGGTTGTCAAAAGTATTTAAAACAGTAAGCAAATCTTCACATCATATATAAACCGATAATTATTTCCTTATACGAGGGAGTATTAATTGAACTACATTGAAGTGCTACTACAATCAGGTCGGCAGGAAATAAAATCTTAAGAAGAGTTTGATTTTATACAATACCTGTCAAAGTTTGCAAAATATTTCCCGCATCTCGAACCCTTGACAAGGCCGTCATTTCCCCACTCCAAATAGGGCATACCATAAAAAAGGATCAGGGTGTTCCTTTGAAAACTTCAAGAAGTTGTATTTTGTGTCAGATAAACAAATAGATAGTAACTAGTAAGGAGTTAAATCACCCAAAGTGACCCCATCGAATTCGTTAACTAATAATTTCATTACTTCCAAGAAAAACAACAATATTTATAAACAAACTCAACTAAGCAGCTTAGCAAACAGAAATGAATTATTGATTATATCATGATTCAAAATTACATTAGACAGTTATGCTTGGAAACATGTAGAAAAGCAATTATAAGTACATATTAACACTGATTTTTAAAATGATAAGCAGATAATACCAATCATTTCAGTTAGCCAAGAACCCATAATTAACACAAAAATAAAATATAATTCACCCTACAAGTTACCCAGACTTCTACTATTATTATTTATTAAAATAAATAACAAAGAATCTGCTTGAAACAACATAAATACAACGCCATCCTTCAGCTCTAGGTCAGTAAAACTTTTGCAACACAATGTACCATCAAATACCCCAATCTTCGTATGTGTTGGTTACTCTAGTTTGCTCTAAAAACAAATTCCCAGCTTTTTCGTCAACATTATAAAAAGCAAAGGACCAAATATGTAAAAAACGCATGCACATACCAATCCATTCCGAAATTTAACCAAAAAAATTATTGATAACAAATATGAAATTTTAAACCAAATCCAAATATTCTTTACCTTTAACTTGAAAATTTGATCTCCGCCAAAATCAAATAAAAAAAAAATATAGGAAAAAAAATCAGGAATTTTCACTGGACTGTGATAGCAAAAATCTGACGCCAATTTGAAATTCTGGCCGGATTCTCCATGATCGATAAACTTGTAATGCAGAATATATCGAATAATTTAATCGCAGAATATCACCTCTCGTAGAAATAAATACCTATATACAATTTCAATCCTCTCTCTCTCTTTCTCTCTCTTGTTTTTGGAGAGGGAGAGTGAAATACAAAGAGGAAGAACTGTTCGGTTACATTTCCTGCGGTTACACGAGTTTACATTATTAAATCTAAAGTCGTCATTTCAACTACCTAAGAAATAGTAGTCGTTTTTTTTTTAATGTACATTTGCATGCGTAATTGGGCTTCCCTTTATTAACTTTACTTTTTAGCCCAATAATTAGTCCAAAATTACCCCTTATGCCCAATATGAGAGTTTCTTCGGTCCAATAACTTTGGCCCATATTCATTTCTAATCACATTTTTTATAATTTATACTTTTTTTTTAATTTTAATTAAATTATTTAGTCATTCTTATTCTATAATTATTTTTATTATATAATAATTATTTTTATTAATACATATTTTAATAACTTATTAATTATATTTTACATTAATTCTCATATTTAAATATGAACAATTTAGCAAGAGACATAGAGATTATTATTGTTGTTATTATTACTGTTATTATTATTATACAATTTTCTGCATTAATATATATTCCCTAAAATTATTTATCATATATATATTTTTTTACACAAGAAATAAAAATAAATACTCTCTCTCTTTTCCACATACCATGTCTACATTACCATTTCTACCATGTCACTTTCCCTTTTTTTTTAAAAATGATTACACACTTTAATCTCATTTTAAACTTTTTAATTTTTTTTTAAAAAATTAATTAAATTAATTAGTTATCTTAATCTTAATTTATAATTATTTTAACTAATATATTTTTAATTATCTACTAATTACACCCCTCCTAAAATACCGTCTCTACGGTGTAGCAGATATGTTGGGACGGAAGTAGTAATATTTAAATGATAATTGTGTATATTTTTATGTAAAATTTTTGCATTGTATTTTAATTTGATATAATATTATTAATATAAATAAATTTAAGTTTAAAAATATTTATAATTTGTAATATGATCAAACTTACTAAAAAAATGTACTATCCTTGTCTCCAAATTTTGTCCTAAAATTTTTTTTGTAAGGATTTAAATGTGGGCTTTGATTCATATATATATATATATATATATATATATTTACCTTTTAAAATAATATATATATAATAGTACTATAATTTTTTTACTAAAACAATATATATGAACCTTTAGTAGACAAACAAAAATAATAATAATAACAATTTCTACTTACACTCTTATGATTCTCAATAATTTTTAATATATATTATTATTATTAAATTATTATTTTTAAAAATATACACGGAACGTCCGTGGATTTTATTTTAAATATTTTGTCAAAAATAATATATGTTGGGACTCTCGTTTCCGGATATATGATTAATGACTGCATTTTTTTAATAGTTTGAGCTTTTAGGTAAGACAATCATTCAATTTCCGACATGGTATCAGACCTAAGTTAGGTCTCAAGTTCGAGAGCTCTTAGGTGAGACGGTCATTCAACTTCCCACGATATCAATTTATAAAAGTTAATAGATCCTTTTTTTTTATTTCTAATATGAAGAAGTATGATTAATTAAGATAAATAATGTATGGAGGATGAGCAGCACAAATCATGTAATGTAATAGATATTTGTTGAAAAGACGCTACTACACTAAACTAACATTAATTTGAAGAGGCAAAACATATTTCAATTGCATTGCATGCGTGTCCTTTTTCATAATGTGACCCACCTCTGTTCTTCTATTTGTTTCAATCGTGTCATTTTCTTATTATTATTATTTTTTTTCTTTTCAAAAATATCTATTGAACAAAACTCTTTTATAAATATATATATATATATATTACGTTAAAAAAATATTTTTATATTTAAAATATTATATTAATATATTTTTAAAGAAAAAAAATTGGTGTTGAAATCATATGGACATGTTTTATGGATTGAAAAAGTATTATTTTTATCGTTTATCTCAATTGTTGTATGAAACTGATACATATTTTAATAAATGTAATACTCCCTCAATCCACAAATTAATATCTTATTTTTTTATATGCAACCTCTAAAAATAATTGTCTTATTGTTTTTTTTATACATTGAGGGTGTGTTTGTTTGAAGGATTTTGGTGGATTTTCACTATTCATCCAATTTTTTCCCCCCAAAAACATCAAATCAAACACCTATTTTTCATTTTTTATATTATACTAAAAATTAATTTTACATTCAAAACATCACATCAAACCCTATTTATATCACATCATACAACTATTCAAATTCAAAAGTTTTACTATTCAAATCCCAACTCAAAATCCAAACCCCCAAACAAACACACCCTGAATTTACTTTTTTATCCTTACTTTATTTATCTTTCTTAGATATACATAAAATAAAAGACTATTTTGTCAATTTACAACAAAAAAAATAATTACCTAAAAAAGCCTGTAAATAACACTTAAGACATTACAAAATGGACTAATGAAGTATTATATTAATTTAATGTGATATAAAGTAAAATTATTTTTAAAAAATATATGAATTAATTAATATAAGAATTTTATGGACAAATAAAATAATAATAATAATAATAATAATATAATTTTATTATATGATGGACTAATGGAGTATTATTTTATTTAAATATAATTTTTTAGGCATTTTTTTTTCTTTTTAGAGAAATTATACTTATTAATTAAGAAAATGGTGAAAAAAGAAATATGGAGAAAGAAACTCAAAAAAAAATATTACTCTTTCTGTCTTATGTACCGTGTTAATGTAATTATTTTTGTATTTATTACATATTCCATGTTATTTTTTTAAAAAAACAATTATATATTTTAATTAAATTTTTATTTTTATTAAATTAAATAGTTATATTAATATTAATTCATAATTATTTGTATTTGATTATAATTATTTTTTGCATATGCGGAACGGAGTGATTATTTGGGCAAGAGCATTTTCATATTATAATTTACATTTGTTAACTCACACACACAATGGTCGTGCCAACAAAAATGATTGATTTATTCGTGGTTTGTCTAGTATAACTTTCTTGTCGGGTCTGATTCGCAGAGTATTATGTTTGATCCAAGATTTACTCGATGCGCATTTTCAGATAGTCGCTGCGATTCCACGTCATCAATAAAATAAAATAAAATAAAAAATGATTGATTTACTTATAAATGGGTACGACTAAACAATCAATTGACATTTTATAGTATATATAATAATTTCATTATTGGAACTATTTTAAAATTTCAAAAATAAAAAATTGTTTAAAATGAAAATTAAATTATATGGCGTCGCCGCCCCATGTCCGTTGATTTTTAAAAATAAATTTACTTCCGTCAGTCAATTATAAAGGAATAGCAAAAAACCAACACGTCTTTTGAAATTAGAATTTGTCAAAAAAAAATAATAATAATAATTTAAATTTTGATGGGATTTTTAAAATATTGATTTAGTTGATCCCACAATTTTGAGTTAATTTGTTTGTATTTTAAAAAAATAAATAATTGAGAAGACAGATAATGAGGAGCTGTCAGGGGGGTGGGGCTATCAGTTGTCATTGCATGAGATTGTACCGAAGCGCACTGTAGGCATCTGACGTGCGGACAAAACAGAATCATAATGTCTGCATATCGCGGAAAAGACACCTCGCTTATATATAAGTTTGTTGCTTTTCATCATTTCTTTATTATTTATACACAATTTCAAATATTGAAGATGTTTTTGGTTTAAGTTTAAATTCTGGGTGTTTTTTTCCGGAGGATTTTTCAAAATTTTTATTATTTATTATTGTTGGGATTGAGTCAATCCAACACTAATATGATATAAGATGTGTAATTTTTTTTCCTATCCTCCCCTCAGACCAAGGGCGACCAACTCAATACTAGTATAATACTGTCCGCTTTGGGCTGAACTCGCACGCGAATTTATTTTTGAATTTCCTCTAAAAGGCCTTGTACTAGTAGAGTTTATTTAAACTCATAAGGTGTGTAATTTTCTTCGCAACTTCCAATATGGGACTTAAGTTTGCACCCGAACATCATCAATACATATTTATATCACATCGTACAACTAATATAATTCAAAATTTTTATTATTCAAATTTCAACTCAAAATTCAAACTCCTCCTAGACAAACACACTCTTTTGATTGATTGTGATTTAAAATTATTACTAAATTACAATAATAATATTTTGACATAATATTTTATAAAATATATATATTTTTATTAAAAATATAAAAAAAGTAATTTTATTTTTAATTTAAAATAATAATAATAATAATAATAATAATAATAATAAAAGCATAATACTCCCTCATTATTTTATTGTTTACATGAATAATTTTAATAAGAATTAATATATATTAATACAAAAAGTTTATAATATGAATTTAAATATTTTACAAATTATATCTTAATAAAAATAATATCATATAAATATTATTTTGTAAAAAAAAATTTATATAATAAAAAAAAATTGCTAATATAGAAATGTGTCAAATACGATTAAACAAGTTAAAATAAAAAAGAAGTTAATTTGTTTTGAGAAGGACGGAATATTATTTTTTCAGTTATAAAATATATTTTTTATACGAATTTTAATATGATGTGTATTTTTTTTATAAATAAAAATTTATATAAAACAAATAAATTAAAAAAATATAAATATTTATTTATGTGTAACCAAAATTAATTTTTATAGAATTTGAATGGTACTAAAAATTTAAAAAATACATATAATCTATTTATATATATATTATTGAGTTAATCAATATTGTTCAAAAGGGATAATTCATTATTTATTTATTTATTCATATTGAGTCTTACCGTTCTTCATTTGTTATTGTTCACGTGCAAGATTCGTATATGACATAAATTTATTTTACGCATGAAATGACGTGTTAGTTGACTGTATAATAATTAATTATGCTTATCTCTTTGAATTCAATTTTTAGATAAAACAGTCATTTAACAGAACAAATATTATAATTATATAAATATATTTTAACATAACTTCTTTAAGCTCAAGATAAAATCAAATCATCTTGAATTTGTCGAATAAACTATAAGTAACGTAATCAGAATTATTTACTAAGTTAAAATCGGTATCAAATCTAAATCAGAAATAGGTTGAAAGAAAGTTTTGAACAAAATCAAAATTATTGGAAATTGAATTTTAAATAAAGTTAAAATTGGAGCAAAAGCAATGTCAATAGAGGTCGTAGTGATGTAATGAATGCAATTATAGCATAATCTTAGATAAATGCATATACATCAACAAAATATATAAACATATGCATGATATAACAGTTACAAATGTATACAAAAAGAATTTGACTACGATAACATGATATAATTTCATACTAATATATATTATTATTGATTTTAGTGTAATAAATATATTTATACATTATAACTACAAATGTAAACCAACAATATATTGTTTATTGGCTGACAACACGGTAATCAACCTATATATATATATATTTGAAAACAGTAGCAGGGTGAGCGATTGCTCAAGCCCCTTATTAATAAAGGGTGCAAATTTTAAAATATTTCCTATAATTATTATTAAATTTTAATTGATAGTTTATATTTTTTTTTTCTTTATAATTATCCAAATAAATTTTAAAATTCTAGTTATATATTTTTTTCTCTTTCTTTTTAATTGGTCTCCATCTCATTTTTTCAAATTCAATCGTCGTCTACAATTCTCTATATAACACCTATCGTCGCACTGCGTCCACCCACTCAGACCAAACTCGCTCACCTTCTCCCTTCTTTCTCTTTCGCTCTCACTCAGTCCTTCTCGCTTTTCGAACTTTTAAACCGTTAATCTTTCATCTTTTTTTTTTTCAAATCTACCACGCACGAACTGTCACGTTAAAATTTATTGTCCAATCGATACAAATTAGTGATTTTATTTTAAAAATATGTTTTAATCACGTGTTTATAGAGCCTATAATTTATTTTTACTTATGACCTAAAAAAAGTCCGAGACGGCCCTATTTGAAAATATATATCTTAATATAATATATATATATATATATAAATAAAGTGAAAGAATGGATGGTTAATTGGGACACTCAATTATCAAAAAAAAAACAAGACAATGATAAGTCACATGGAATCATATGCACTTCCCTTATCTCTTTTGTAAGGATTTTGAGTCAAATTCATTTTGGCTTCTTACACTTACTATTTATCATTATTTAGAAAATAAAATTGCATATTCCACATCATATACAGCTGGCATTTCTTTTATATTAATTTTTTTTTTATTTTGGATTTTTCAGATTGATTTAGACATAGGTTTATAGTATAATTTTGGAAAATTTTAATAATAGTAAAAATTTATGTATTTGATGTATTATTTTACAAGGGAAATATATATTTGATATAATTTGTTTTTTAAAAAAAAATAATTTGAATAATATTTGAATATGTTATTTTATATGAGAAAACAGTAGATTAAATAATATTCCCTCCGTCTACAAACTAATGTTTTATTTTTCTATTTGGGACGTGCAATAACTATTGTCTTATTTTTTTTTTAAACACTAATTTTATATTTTTACCATTTATTCATTTATTACTTTTAATTTCTATCGTACAATTAAGAGCAAATTTGTCAATTCATAACAAAAAGACAATTACCTAAAAAACAGTACAAATATACTTTAGGACAATATAAATTGGACAGAGGGGTATTAATTTTTGTATTTGAAACCAAAAGACACGAGGAACAGAGCCTCGATTTGTTTAAATGAAAGAGAAAAAAAAATTAAACTTCATATGGTTGCATCACATGCTATTACACTTAATTGTATTAATGTATTTTTTTATTTTTTTATCATTGTATGTATTAATAATATAATTTTATTTATAACATAGAATATGTATATATACATACCAAAAAAAATATGTGCGGTAGGATTTTCCATATAAATGTATAACTTGGTGAAAGTAAAACTAGATTTCAATAAAGAGTATTGTTCATTTTATATTTTTGGATGGATGCGGTTTTATATTATGTATGGAAAATCGTATTCGTAATATGGAAAATAATATTTTATATTAAATGACTAATTTTTTTGTGAATAAAATATATATTATATATATTGTATTTTTTAATAATATTTATGAAAACCGTGCCACCTAAAAATAAATTTTGTGAAAAAAGTATAGTTTCCGTATATATAATTTTTTTTATGACGTGGGAATCCGCAGTTGAATTTAATAATCTACAAATCGGAAAAGTCATACTAGACAAACCATGTGTGACAGGTGACCTGAGGAATCCATGACCTCATGATCACAAATTCAACCCCTACACCACCAGTCATACCTTACGAGACGATTACATTATTACAATACTATTATTATTATTATTAGAATTAGTAAATTAAGAACACAGTTTCACTTGGGGAGATTCTATTTGTGATCATAAGATGTGACACATTTTTAACCCAACACAATAAATCAATAAAAACATATACTATTATTATTATTATTACAATCAAATATACATTTCATTATATATTCAGCTAACGAATTATGAACATCACTGCCACGGCCCCCACAAATTGCAATAATATCTAAAATATTATCCCATTACCACTAAACACAATGTTTGTTACATACATATACATACATACTCTGAATGTATCTATGTATTGTGAAAATCAATTGAGCAATGATTAATATGTATATTTATTTATTAATCAATATTTTTTATAAACTATAGTTTAATTATATATTATAAAATATCATAATTAAATATTATTTAAATTAAAAATAAATTTTAAAAAACAAAAACAAAAGTTGGAATAATTCCAATGGTCCGTTTACTTATTATTATTATATATTTTTCTTTTTGAGGTGAAATAATTATCAAACATATATACATTTAAAGTAAAATAAATATGGTCTAATATATATATTTTAAAAAATATTAAATATTTAAATAATATAAAAATAAAATTTTAGAACACTACCAAACAAAAAAAATAATATTATACCCCCTGTTAAATTCAATTTGTAACTTAATTAATAAATTATTTTGAATAATAAAAAAGATGTCAATAAACCCAGGATCAATGCCCTTTTAATTTCACTAAATCATTGGGTTTACTGATCAAATTCGTATATTAATTACCCATAATTTACTTACAAAATTTGATCAATTATTATAATCTAAAAAAATTATAATTAATTATATTCATTACGATAATCTCATTTAATGTGTAACTCTTCTAACTGCAGAAAAATGGCTCTCCATCGCACTCGCAGCTATAATTAGAAACCGACGGTTGAGATCACTCGAGCAAGCAGTCGGGTAAATCGACGGCCATCCGTTGATCCACGCGTCCCTTGAATTTTTCCAGATAATATTAATTGTTCTCTATCACAAACACAGTATATCTGTGTATGTATATATAGACAAGACAGACATACCTGTGTTTTGCACATATATATATGTGTATATATATGTATGTACACATTTCCTCTGTCCTCTTTCTCTCTCATGGTGTGAAGCCACGTACTCAGTATCTAGAGCTTTCAATCCTGCCGTTAATCTCGTGAAACTTCTGTATTATAATTGCCTGAACCAGATTGTGAATCCGTGACTTATCGGGAAACTTTTGCGAAATTGGCAATTTCGGTGTGTTATCGGCATTAAGAGAAGTATTCGACTTGAAATTCTCTGTATTCTGCCGATTATTAGTTGGAAATTTGGGGAGAAACAGGGAGAAGTTCGGAGCTGCAGTTAGCAGCAGCAGAATTGTCTTCTCTGTACAAAGGAAGGAAAATTTGGATTCAAGTTCTCTCTTAGGTAATTCTGTTTGCATTTTGAATTTTGAAAGTTAATCAATCTAGTTCAGCCATCTGTTTACGAAGTTAGTGGTTTCGTACTGTTCATTTGCAATGCCTTTTAGATTGCTACGATTTCTTCGATAGGTCGTTGAGGTTGTGTGATTTAGATTAATCATGGAGGATGTTTGCTTTTTGAAGCTGATGCTCCTCGCTTTGCTTTATCTCTTCTATGTGACCTTACAGTATAGAAGATTCGATTATTCGCTTCAATAGGTGAGCAGATTCATATTGCAAAGCACCAAAAAAGAAAAATAAAAAAAGAGGAAAGTGTTGGAACGTATGTATGTACTGAATTTCTTGTTTATTTGATCGATAAGGAAGATTGAAGTTCTGATTGATTATGTTATTGATTACATGCACTCTGGATTGATGCGGCCTTCAAGAATCCAGCACATACACACATACTTTACACCTTTCTGGCACTAGATTTGTTTAATTAATCACTTTATGTTCATGTTTTTGCTTATCTGTTAAAAGGAATATTGCTTTGATCGATTGTTAAGGGTGTGATAAATTATGTAGAAAGCCTTGATGTTGGGGAATTGTTTCTTTTAGTATTTTCATATCTTGACAGAGCACACACACACCAAACTGAGTGAAAAAAGTACACTAGATCTTTATGCACTTTAAATTTTGTTGTTCTTCTATCAAGAGTTCATTTAATTGCTATTTTTTGTTTACAGGTAAAAATTGTTGTGGGGCAGCTGATTCTAGCTTCACTGCCTGGTGTTTCTGAGATCAGAGATCAAAAATTTCATTGCGAACATCACCGTTTTCTGGTTTTTCTAAATATTGGACAAGATGGGGTTTGGCTTGGGATCCATGTTAAACACAGATGTATTGTCAACTTCTGATCATTCTTCAGTGGTGTCTATAACTTTATTTGTCACGCTTCTTTGTGCGTGTATTGTGATTGGTCATCTGTTGGAAGAAAATCGCTGGATGAATGAATCAATCACGGCCTTAATCATTGTAAGTATATTTGTGCTCTTTTGTCATCTTTGATCTGGAGGATCCATTTTTGCTGTTTGGTTTAATTTTTATTTTAAGTGATTATTTTGCTTATTCGATTCAAGGGTTTGTGCACCGGAGTCGTAATTCTACTGGTTAGTCGATGGAGAAGCTCACATCTCTTGGTGTTCAGTGAGGATCTTTTCTTCATTTACTTGCTTCCACCAATCATCTTCAATGCTGGGTAATTGAAATGCTTACCCTAAACCCTCTTACAGACATTTTTTTTAATATTTGTACTATGGTGTAACTGTGGCTTGTTTTTACTGCTTAGTAACTCAGCTCCTACTCAAAAGACCTCCCACAGTGAATCTTGTTGTCGTTAACTTTTTTGAACTCTCAACTGCTGTCACTTTCTGGTAATTGTTGAAAGATGAGGTGCATTAAAGAAAAACTCGAATGTTCACTTTCTGGTATTTGATGCTTAAAGAATGTTTGGAGTTTTTTCCTGGGAAACAAATTTCAGCAAAGCTAATTTATAGCCTTTTGAGTTGGAATAGAACTCAATTATTTTCAAACTTGTGTAGGTCAGTATTGCAAAGCTAACTAATAGTAAATTCATATAATTTGATGATATTTCCAACATTACAACTCTGTCAATTAGTAGTAAAATCCAAAGCTTGCTGCAATAAGTAGTTTCTTATATAGATTTTTGCCTCTTATGTGAATCAGGTTCCAAGTGAAGAAGAAACAATTCTTCCGGAACTTCATGACTATAATGATGTTTGGAGCACTTGGCACCATTATATCTTTCATCATCATCTCATTAGGTATTTATCTATTTACTATTGTCTTTTATATGAGGTATGGATTCTTCATCCTTCCATAGAAGGATCATCTCACCAGGCGTATTGTGTGTGTTAACTCTCATCGAAACGGCTGTTACTGACATCATTTTATATCTAAATTACATATTTAGCTTCTCAAGCACTTTGAGCACTTGTTCACAGCACTACTTCATGTTCATAAAGTCTTTCTAGGATTTGTGAGATAAATGGATACAATTGTGCATTCTAAGGATGTATCCTATGATTTTTTAGTTGATATTTAGTAATGAATGAGTTAATTTATTCTTCCAAAACATTTGGCAGGTGCCATCTTCGTCTTCAAGAAAATGGACATTAGGCTTCCAGTTGGAGATTATCTTGGTAAAAATCAATCTTGCTACACCTATTATCACACACATCTGCACCCACACCTGCAGACAGTAGTATAACATGTCTTTCTCTGCTGCCAGCAATTGGAGCAATTTTCGCTGCGACGGATTCAGTTTGCACGTTGCAGGTAGATGTTATGGCTGTTAACCAGATATATCCCCGCTGAAAATCATATATTAATCAATTATACATATATTCCAATCCCTAACTATCTGATTTTGCAGGTGCTCAGTCAGGATGAAACACCACTGCTGTACAGTTTAGTGTTTGGGGAAGGCGTCGTGAATGATGCAACATCTGTGGTGCTTTTCAATGCAGTCCAGGACTTCGATCTGACTCATATAAATACTTCTATTGCCTTCCAGCTGATTGGAACTTTTTTTTATTTGTTCGCGTCAAGCACCGCATTGGGGGTTGCAGTGAGTCTCTCTCTGTAAATATGTCGAGGGAATGACATGGTAACTTACTTAAAATTTTCTTACATTTCATAATTTTATCTTCAGGCTGGACTCCTTAGTGCTTACATCATAAAGAAGCTCTGTTTCGGAAGGTTGGTGGCGGTAAACTTCACGTATTTCATCCGACTCAATTAGTATGTGTAACTGATTGTTCTGTTATGTACTGCAGGCATTCGACTGATCGAGAGGTTGCCATCATGATGCTCATGGCCTATCTCTCTTACATGCTGGCCGAAGTAAGTTTCTGTATCTTTTAGCGACTAAATTTATGTCCTTTCTTTACTGACCTATTTATTGTTGCAGTTATTCTACTTAAGCGGCATCCTGACAGTGTTCTTTTCTGGTATTGTGATGTCTCACTACACCTGGCATAACGTCACTGAGAACTCGAGAATTACTACAAAGTACGTTGTTACGAGACTAATTACCACATATACTGCTTTCACAGCATTTCTTACTAACTGCTTAGCAATAATCCAGGCACACCTTTGCAACATTGTCATTCGTCGCCGAGACTTTCATATTTCTTTACGTTGGCATGGATGCTCTCGACATCGAAAAATGGAGGGTTGTGAGTGGCAGGTAATGTGTCTGCCTTCCTTGCATTGTTATATACACACATAGGTTCAGAAATTGTGTGTTTTTGTTGTGAATTTATCAATGTTACTTATTATTCTATTTTCAGCCCGAAAACATCGGTTTCTGTCAGTGCAACTATACTCGGATTGATTTTAGTAGGAAGAGCAGCCTTTGTTTTCCCGTTGTCATTTTTATCCAATCTGACCAAGAAGCTTCCGCATCAGAAGATCGATTTTAAGCAGCAAGTAAGAGCTCATATCCCTAACTAAGCACAGATAATACTATATCATTCGCTCTAAAGCTCGAAATTCCTTAAATCTCCAGATTACAATATGGTGGGCTGGCCTTATGCGAGGAGCTATTACTATGGCTCTTGCTTACAATCAGGTATATCTCTCGGCTCTTAGTTACTCATATACATTAGGCGTACTTTTCTATTGCTTCATTGGGATTAACCGTTTGTTCATTTGTTTATGCAGTTTACGAGAGCCGGGCATACCCAAGAGCGCGGAAATGCTATCATGATCACAAGTACAATTACTGTCGTCCTCTTCAGCACTGTTGTAAGTCATTGAACTACATTTCTAAATGTCTCCCTAATGAACCAAATAGCTCGTAAACCAAGCTCGACTCGACTCTTTTATAGATACTCAAGCTGAGTTCAAGTTTGAGAATGATTATTTAATAAATGATCCAAACTTGAGCTATATATTTTAATATTTTATTATATAAATATTTTAGCTCGAATCCTAAATGAGCCGAGTCAAGCCTTTACCATTCGAGTTGAACTCGAACAACAAATACTTGAGCTCACTCGACTTATCTTTTAACAGCTCTATGCATCTCCCTTATATTTTATCCATCCTAAACCTTACAGGTATTTGGCTTGATGACTAAACCACTTGTGAGATTGTTAATGCCTGCCTCCAAACATCTGGTTTCTTTCGACTCCATGAACGCGACAAACTCTTTTATCGTTCCATTTCTTGGTGAGTCCCAAGACTCTGCAGCCGAGCTATTCCCTCCAGAGGGAACAGCTTCAGAAGCTCCCGACAGCAGCCGCAGCGTCACCCGGCCAAGCAGCCTCCGAATGCTACTCACAAGGCCAACGCGCACAGTCCACTACTACTGGAGAAAATTCGACGACGCATTCATGCGCCCGGTTTTCGGTGGGCGTGGCTTCGTTCCATACGTACCGGGCTCGCCAACCGAACAAACCACCCAACACTGGGAAGGAGAAGCCAAAGAGTAACCTGACACTTTTTTCCCCAATTTGTACACACGGTTTTGCAGATTCTAATTTCTCATTCGACTGTCCCGTGCGAAAGGGAGTAGATAACTATAGTTCAAAGTTTGTTCTGGATGGTACATTGTTGTTTTGGTGTGTAAAGCTTTTAGTCGGGAGCTCTGTCGAAAGGTTTTCTCCCGTCCTATGATCGCCAGATCGGCGTTTACTATTGTTCGAGATTGTTAACAGACAGCATATTTGGCTGTGCTGCTGGTTGTGTTTTGCCTTCTGTACAGTTTTGAGGTAAAAATTTGGAATAGACTGCTTTCCTATGTGAGATTGCAAGTTTGCAACCAAGTACACTAATGTTCAGTAAAACTTGGGTTCTCTTTTCTTCTACTAACAGGCGTAAGCGCATGCTGTATGTATGTATAGATACAGAAACATGTGTGTATATATAGTAGTTGAATGAATTAGTATATACTAAGCTCGAAACCAGAATCCGAACAGCAAACTAACCAGAGCGACGAGGCACACGAATAAAGGGGGAAAGCCTACTTGAACTTTTCTAGCATCCGTTCTCGACATTGCCTGCATGGGGAGAAAACCGACAAAACGGTAATGATTCATGGCACGACGAATACAGAAATGAAAGATGTATGTAACGCGCACCAAGTCTCGTTCTAGCGAGTACTTCTCGCGAATGATGCTGCTCTTTTCTTCTTTTAGCTTATTAATTGTGCCTTGTGCCTGTAAATAAATTTTGATCAGCAAATGAAGTACTACACGATTGATGATCTAATGACACAGCACGACACTGACCTCGACCAGCTTGGCATCCATGGTGGTAATCTTTGACCTCAATTCCTCGATATCTAGTGTTAGTTTCAACTTGGCTTCTTCTACATCTTTCACCTGCTGCTTCATTTTCTCGTCTTTTCCTGGGAGAGAGGTGTTGTCCATGACCTTTGGTGATCTCGACTCTATTTCGATGTTGCTGACATTATCTGTGGTTCGTCCCATTTGTTTGAGTGCCTGCAACCGATGAAAATTGAAGGATGATATCATAATTTAGACGACAATTATTGTGCCAAGATATAAAATTTAAACAAATCATAGACAACACATGAATTATGTTAAAATAATCATAATGCAATTGCTTGAAAAAACAAGTTATTAGGGGTTGAAGAAAAGGAAAGTGTCGATGCTCATTTGTCCTTAGTCAATGATGGAAGTGATGAAAAGATTTCTCACCTGGTGGGGAGGTAAATTTTCGACGCCTTCTTTTGGCGTCGACATTTCATTGGATGATTCTGGACTCGTAACGCCGTTCACAGGCAGCAAAACAGATGAATGAGGGGGTAGTTTCGGCAAAGAGGTTTCTTTCTCTTGTTCCAAAATTACATCAGCAGGTGGCTCTGCTGGAGGCTTGGGTGTAGTCGTAAGAGCAACCCGGAGCTTGGTCTCCTCAATGTGCTTCTGGCTATCTTTCGAGAACTAACAGAAGAAGAAATAATATAAAACGACGTCGCCAAACTTATTTTCCAATCACCAGAGCATAGAAGCTAATTCAAATGTAATGCAATTTTGATCCTACCATGCTAGGTGTAATCTCGGCTTCTGTTGTACCGAATGCGACAACAGTTGTCTGAACCAGGAACTTATCCTTGCATTGTGTCTCCGATGGAGCCGATTTCTGCGCTTGCATTATAACTGCATAAGATATAGATGTTAGAAAAACGATTGAAATTGATCACATCCAGAGCATAAAATTCAAAAGTAATGATCTTGATTTGAAATAAATAATATCGAATTGAAAGCAACATGAGCACAGAGTACCTATAAAATCACAAGTTGATTTTGGCTTGACAATGCCTACATTGGGTCGCACGCAGTACTTCTTCGGTGATGTAGTCTTCACCTGACACAATTAGCACACTGCAAGTTTACTCTCATGGCCACGTTATTAATATGACATGAGAATATTATGGTTACAAAACCAATTGTAAGTCATTGGAAAATTTTAATCTAAAAACTAAAGTTGCATAATAGATGGTCAGGAGACATGGAATTGAAACCACCTTGAAAGCAACATAGTGATCGGTGACATTGGCAAGATGAACAATGCACGAACTCTGCTTTTTTTCCTCAACTATAAATTCCAAAGAAGAGACAGATAAGAAATCTTTATATAGGAAACAGATCCACAATGATTAATTACTTTACGGTGCAGTAGCTACTATGAATGGAAACACAAAGATGTCAAAAACAGCAGCCTATGAACATTGGGATTTTTACTTTGTTCGAAAAGAGCTGTTATCTGCTTTCTATTCCAATTTTTTTTTGGGAAAAAATACATTATGGCTGCTCGAGGAAACAGACATCAGATACTCATCGACACATAGATAACAAGACCAAATCTAACAGACCATACAAGCATGCCAGTGTTCCTAAAGAAGTAATTCGGAAACGACTATCCCCAAAACCGATTTTAAGCTCCTTCAAAATTTCCCTTGCACTATAAAACCTTTGTATGGTGGAATTAACAACAATGTGTGCTATAGCATGAATTCGTGATACAGGGTTTTAGGAGACTGTGAAATAATCTGATTAGGAGAGTTTGTTTCGCTATTGCGGCATAATTTGGATGCAACGGAGATGCAAGTACCAGCAGGGAAAAGCTTATAATTGAGGCAAATGACATAATCTGAGTCACTTACAGATGAACTTAAGTTCACGAGGATGAATCTCCACAAGCTGAGGATTCATGATTCTTCAGTCCTGAGACAGCCAAAACAGTTAGCTGATTGAATCAGCAATTCAACACTATTAAGATTCTGTGATCTGTTCCTCATCTAACCAATATATATATATATTAAAGTTCTACTCTGCATAAGTACAAAAGTACGTGATTTTGAAATCATATACAACACCTATCCATCTCGGATTATATCCATCATAAACTCATAAATAAATTAACAAAGAAAAACAACTCAACAACAGCAAAATTTGCATCTGTTTCTCTAATAAATCGCATCTAGCTAACACACACCTTACTTAAGAAATTCCTGCAACGCATACCATCAACACAAAGCTATATATAGTGACGAAAATGAATTAAGTACACACGCAACAAAGTTCGTGACCATGTCTTCCGTAAGCACGATCCAGTCAATCAAAGCACACTCCACGTGCCACTAACTGCACCTCGCCGCCACAGATACACCAAAAAAGACTAACAAAACAATAAATCATTCCGCCGATTCAAAACCAATCACAGAACTTCATATCACAACTTCAAAAAAAACATACAAATTAAAATTAAAATTTCCACACAATATCAGAAACCGGATGACTACCAGCACGTTTTTAATGCGATAAGATAGATGTCTACCAAAATATCAGAAACCGGATTGAAACTCCTCCCGCAGGTGCACTGTAGCTTCAAATTGCGTAAACTTCCAGCGCTGGTCGAGCAAAAAACCTCAAGGAGAACGAGAGAATCCGTGATCGTGAAAAAACGACCTGATGCGGAGCGAATTTCTTGTGACAAAGAGTAAATGCTTTTTACTCCGAGAGGAAATGCAGTAGAAACCAAGCCATAAAGTTGAGGGGAACAGTACAGTGCAGCCAAAACTGAAAGCACAACCACCACGTAGGAACAAAGGTACAACTCGTAATGCAGTAGTACCTCAAAGTACAACTTCTGATGCAGCGCCTGTAAGTCTTGGCATTAATGGAGTGGCGTAGAGAATTGCGGAACGAGTACAATGGAAATTCGGTGAATATTGGGAGGTCCTGGTCTTCAAACGTAATCAAATCTACACCGTCGATAATGCGTGATCAACGATCTGGTGTTGGAGTCCTGGGTGTGTCCAACAAATCCTTTGGGAGGTGCACCAAACAGTCGGTTGCTTGGCGGTTGCGGCACAGGATAGTGGATGCACCTGCCCGCACTGGATCGAAGGCTGTTTGGAATCCATTTTTGTCCAATCTTTTTTTATTTTTATTTGCTTTTCAGATTGCTACTTTTTTTTTTTATTCAAATTACCTTTTGGACTTTATAACATCTTTTTAATTTTTTTATAGTAAAAAACTATAGATTGACATTAATTCTTCTCTGATTTAAGCTTTTATTTAATTTTTTTAGTTGTTATAAAAAAATTTATAATCTCTTTTCTCAGCAAAAATAAATACAACTATCATTTTTATTTTTTTATTATAAACGGCAAAAAATAATAATAATAATTATGGGTCACCTTTATTAAAATTAGTGCCCAATCATTTGAACACGATAGAGTTATAAACTAGGTTAATTGGGCTGAACTTGTCATGTTTTAGTTCGATTCGTTAAGAACTCGAGCTCGATTCGTATTTGTTCGTTAATAAATAAGAATTGAAATTAGTTAGAAATATGACAAAAATAACAATGACAGAATTAGAGGATAAATGATATATATGGTTCGGTCAAAATGACCTACATCTATGGGCAAAGACGGAGCAAACTTTCACCATAAAGAGAATAACACAAAAAATTGAACTGAATAACAATTCTAAACTCACAACTCACAAACTCTAAAAAACCTTCAAACCAAAACAATTAAGCCTCAACTAAATATGGAAATACGACTTATTAATTTTGGTGTGTCTCAATATCCTACTCAAAACTACTTATTTATAAAATTATTAATTTAATTTTTTAATAATATTGTTGAACTTTGGAGAACAAATTGTCTCGTTTGTGAACATAATGAATTTAAATTTATGTTCGTATTTTGTTCGTTTAATTTAACGAATAAGCTTTTAACGAGCCTAAACAATTCAAACTCAACAAAATGTTTTTTTTTTCTTTTTTTGTTTTACATATTTATATTTGAGTAACGGATTGAGTAATTTAATATTATTGTCGATTGGAAATTAATTTTCGGACAGTCAGTCTATTTTAGACAGTCGGAAGGGTAATAACGCGAGTTCTTCAATCGTCTCAAAAAAGCCTACAAACTAATTTGGATTGAATGCATAAATAAACGAAAAAAAATAATAATAATAATAATAAGAGAAACTAGGATAATGTAAAAGAAGACTGGAATGTAAGGATGGAAAATGTAAAGTAGTTGTATAAAATTAAAAAGAACAAAAAGAAAATACAAGGAAAAAATAAAAATAAAAATAAATAAAATAATATAAAGATAAAGATAAAGTGCTGAATATTTGTATTGTTGGATGCCACTTTCATTTTGCATTTTCATCTCATAAACTTTATTAATCTCCCCTAAGTCATTCGTCATTTTATCATTTGGGCTTTCTACAAATAAAGAACCTCCAAATAAGTTCAACTTGTGTAGACTTTCTTATCCAAAATGACTATTTTCATAACTTTCTTATATTATTACTTCATCCGTCTCAGATACTGTGTCTGTTATACTGTAGACAAGGTATTTTAGAAGGGATGTAATTAGTAGATAGGTAATTATAAATAATATAATTATTCTATAATATAAATAATTATAAATTAAGATTAAGATAACTAATTAGTTTAATTAAAATTAAAAAAAATTAAAAAATTAAAAATGAGATTAAAGTGTGTAATCATTTTCCAAAAAAGAAAAGTGACATAGTATGTGGGACGGACAGAAACGGCAACGTGGACATGGTATCTGGGACGGAGGGAGTATTATTTTTGTGTGTTTTATATTATAGTACTCCCTCCGTCCAAGCTAAAAGTATACAATTACTTTTGGCGCGGAGATTAAGGAATAATAATATTTTAATTATAGTGGGTAGGTTAAAGTAGTAAAATGACATTTTTGTCCTTACTTTTTTGGTATAAAAGTAACGATGTGATGTAAAGTAGGGGTATTTGTGAAAAAAATAGGGTATTTAATGAAATTGTTATTTTGTAATTGGACGTCCCAAAATAGAAATATGTATACTTTCTAACTGGAGGAAAAAAGTATTATAATTTATTTTATATTTAATACATCACATCAATATCTATTTATATCACATTAAATAACTATTTAAATTTAATTTTTTACAGTTAAAAAATCCAAACCTAAAATCTTAAACCCACGGAGAACCTAAAATCTTAAAATAGTACTTTAATATAATATTTTATAAAAGATAATAATATATTTTAATCAAAATTTATATAGACTAGATATCAATAATTTTCATTTTAAATTAATATCAAACACTATTCAAGACTTCAAGAATAAGATCTTAAAGAATGCAAATTAATTAACCAATTTCATGGAATGAGATATTTTATTTTGGCGCTTAGGATGTTAATTGAAAATTTATTAATTTCTATGTATTAAACATTTGGATCTCAAACCTTTTCAATCTCCGGCAACGCGTCAAAGTTGACAATGATCGTTATGCACTGCAAAATTAAATTATATCTACCTACTTTTACAATAAATATAGATTTATATAACTAGAGTAAAATCGCCACCTCGTGAAATTGAAAATAATTGATCTCCAAAAGTTTAATACTCTCTCCGTCCCACATAATTTGTCCTTATTTTCTATTTTCATCCGTCCCATATAACTTATCATTTCTATTTTTGGAAATATAATGATGCACTTTAATCACATTTTAAATTTTAAATTTTATAATTTTTTAATTTTAATTAAACTATTTACTTATTTTAATCTTAATTTATAATTATTTTTACTAAATAATAATTATTTTTACTAATACACTTCTTAATTACTTACTAATTATACTTTACCTAAATTCTCGTATTTACAGTAATACACTCATATTACATGAGACGGAAAGAGTATATAGATGTAGTAAAAGGAGGGTTTTAAAAAATATGTAAATATATTGTATGTCTAATATAAATTTATATTTAATGTATTGTCTGGTATATTATTATTGTGTTAATCAGTAGTATAATCGTCGTCTTTATTTGGATATGGACCATAAAATTACACACAAAGAACTTTCAAGTGAACCACGAATTGAAGAGCATGAAAAATGCATGAGTGCACCATTTTAATTTGTTGGGGCATTTTGAATTAAATTACTTTCAAATGATTCACTTCAATTTATGGTGGCGGTTGTTTGGCTGAATTTAAGAAAAACACCCATTAAAGGCACGTAGTAAGTAGCAAATAGAAGTAATGATACCAGCTCCGGATCCAGAAATTTTTTTTACTGGTCGCACAATATATAAAGTTTAAAAGTAAAATTATTTATAAGACTCGGTTTATTAAAAAATAATAATAATATAATATTATTTTGTATATTTATGTTTAAAAATATAAATTATTTATTTTAATCGGATTGAATATTTAATTATTTGAGTATTTATAATATTTTAAAATTTAAATTTTAAATAATTCACTTAATTTTTGGGAATAATGATGCAATTTTGAATTTTAAGTGGGGGCACTCCAATTTTTTAGTGGTAGCACATTATTAAATCATAAAAATTTTCTTTTTGATATAATAAAATCACTTGTGGCACGTGCCACCATTCCATCAAAAGTGGATCCGCCCCTTAATGATACAAACACAAACGACAAATAATAAAAAGAGGCAATTATCATATAAACAATACATAAATAAAAGTATGTAATTGTGCTTTATAAATGCACTGTATGTGCTGAATTCAATTATTGATTGTGTTATCTTTAGCTATGATATGTTTTATTTGTTCTATATTAACATAAATATAAATACAACATATGAACGATTAACACATGTTATAGTAAACACATCAGAATATACAGTTGAATTCAACACAATTAGATATTCATACAACACAACTATACGCTATTATTTTTATTTTTATTTTATTTTAGTTTGGATGACTTGGGAACCTACCGCCGCTACCCGAAAGTGCGCACTGGGTAAACACTCGGCCGAACCTAATACCCTGCAAACCAGGCTCGACGGGAAAGTCACACTAGATGAACTATGTGTGGCAGGTGACCTGAGATGTCGGGGGTTTAATTATGTATGTGTTTGTTCTTCCAATACAACTATAAGCTTTTATTTAATTATGCATGTGTTTGTTCTTCCACCATCTTTTTCTTGGCATGATTCCTAATATAGATAATATGCTACTCCATATTTTATTTCTCACAAAAAATTAACATTTAATATAAAAAATTATTTTTATATTATTTACGCAATTTTCTATATGATTCATATAAAAAAAATATACATAAAACAAAAACACTAAACAAACAAGCCCTTTAAACTTGTGTTACTTCTATATTTCAAATTCAGTAAATGAAAAATAGTAACTCACAAACTTGCGCTATTTTTTATACTTCAAATTTGTTGAATAAGAAAATTTACAAATTTATCTATAGACCATTTTGAACGATCATGCAAAATTATACTATTTAATTATTTTAATAATAGATATAATATATCATTTATAGAAAATAAAATTTTATATAATATAAATAGATAAATAAAATATACTAATATTTATTTATAATTAACACAACTTAATATAAATTACATCATTATTAATTTTATAAATTTAATTTAATACACATTATATCATTATATTTTTATATATCAAATCAATACAAATCAAATATTTTATATATCATTATTTAAACTTAAGCCAAACTTATAAATCTAAAAGAATATAAAATTCTAAACTATTTTAATATTTAAATTCAATTCAAACCTAAATTCAATTTCCACTTAACTTTTAACATTTCAAAACATTGAAATGCTAAATCATTTAAATTAGAATATTTAATATTTATTCATTTAAAATTTGCCTTCAAACCCAAATTTATCAAATTAAACGAGGCCTAGTAAAATTAGTATTGAAGTAAAACAAAAAGGACAATGGAAAATGGGGTTAATTAAATGAATGGCATTCCAATATCAACTATTGTTGCAAAATAAAAAAATAAAAAAATCTATTGTTATGAAAATATTATTACTCTCCCCGTCCCACGTATGTCGTTTTTGTTCGTCCTACGTCTCATGTCTCATGTCATTTTCCTTTTTTGAAAAATATTTACACATTTTAATCTTATTTTTAATTTAACTTTTTAAAATTTTAATTAAAGTAATTAATTATCTTAATTTTAATTTATAATTATTTATATTATAAAATAAATATTTTTATTAATAAATTATTAATTATATACTAATTATACTTATTCTAAATTCCGGACAATTATTTATTTATTTATTTTGATTAATTGACTACATAAATAAAAGTATACCTGAAGTACAAAAAGTTTAAGAATGATCAGACCGCACTAGGCATTGTACTAATGCTCTTAATTTAAATAGTCGAAGTTTATATTGGGTAGAAGTTGAATAACTATTTTAATATTATTATTATTATTTTTTATATCATTCATAATAAAAGGGTGTGCAACTTCTTTAATATTATTATTATTATTATTTTTTGTTATCATTGATAATAAAAGGGTCACACGTAAAAAATTTACAATATTATCATTAATATAATTTTTTCTTTTTTTTCTTTAAAATCAATTTTACAATATAAAAATTAGTTGAAGTCTTGTTAGAAAAGGTTATAAAATACCCAATTGAACTAATTTCCCTTTATATATATTTATTTAGTTGTTATATATTCCCTCCGTTTCACATAATTTGTCTCTATTTTTTATTTTCGTCAGTCCCATATAACTTGTCCTTTCTATTTTTGAAATATAATTATGCACTTTGATCGCATTTTAAATTTTAAATTTTCTTAATTTTAATTAAACTATTTACTTATTTTAATTTTAATATATAATTAATTTTACTAAATAATAATTATTTTTACTAATATATTTTTTAATTACTTACTAATTATACTTTATCTAACTTCCCGTAACTACAGTAAAACTATCATATAAATATATATATATATATATATATTCATAAATTAAAATTAAACCCTAACGGCATCGCAGAAAATTTCGGCGTTAGGTTGCATTATTTATTGCGCTCTCATTAAATGTCCAGCTAATAGTTTTGTGGCCTATAATTTTTTTTTTATACAAATCTATTTAATTAATGTTAATAATAATAATAAGAACCAATTAGTATCCAACATTGATTATGAATTAATACCATCTATTTTAAATCTGACAAAACAATTATACATTTTCACCATAATTAATTAATCATATAATTTAAAACTTAGTTAATTAATCCTAATTAAAATTTAAAAATAATATACAAACAACCCTACCTTAAGTTAAAATTATATTCCCTCCGTCCAAAAACTAATGTCCTATTTTTCTATTTGGGATATCCAACAACTATTGTCCTATTTCTTTTTTTTTTAAACACAAATTTTACATTTTTACCATTCATTCATTTATTATTTTTAATCTCTACCATACATTTAAAGGCAAATTTGTCCATTCATAACAAAAAAACAATCACCTAAAAAACCGTACAAATATACTTTAGAACAATAGAAAATGGACGGAGGAAGTACATGTTTTGGTTTTGATTGTCACTATTCAGTTAAAGCTTTTAACTTTTACTATTAAATTTTTATATTTTTTATAAAATAAATTAATTTATTACATAACACATCATATCTAAGTCACTTTAATAAAAATATTAAACCCAAAATTATATAAGATAAATAAAAATATTAATAAATATCAATATTTATTTATTAAAATATTTTTTATTCAATTCACCGTCTCATTTTTTATCAATTATTTTGTTAATACATAGTTATATCCAAGTTGATTAATATGACAATTTTCTTTATGAATTTTATATTTCATAAAAAAGAAAAATTAATTCTCATTTTATTTTGTATTTTTTACAATTTTATTCTCGGTATAATTTTATTCTCTATTACAAATAAGCGAATTTTAAGTGTATATTTGTTTTGATGTAGTTTCGAAAATTTTGGTTTGGATTTAATGTTAAAATAATGTATAATATGATGTTTTATAAGAATTTTATTTTTTTAAAAAAATACAGTAAAAATATTAAATAAATTTGGAGTTAAAAGAAACAGACCACACCATAGAAACAAAAAATTACTAATTGAACAAAAATTTAAATTAAAATAAATAATAGTAATAAATTAATCTAAACCCTAAAAATTCTAACGAATTTCTTAAATAAAATGATATTCTCTCCTTCCTTAAACATCTAACGATGTTTAAAAGATAATAATAATTTAATTATTTCATTACTTTTTAATATAAAAATAATAATGTAATATAAAATAAAAATAATTTTATAAAAAAATATAAGATACTTAATATAATATTTTATTTGTAAATGTAAGTTACAAAATAAAAAAATATTAAAAAAAAAAAAAAGCCATAGGTAAAATGGCGAGAGCCCAAAGAAAGGCAATTGGACTAAAACTGTGTTCTTGGGAGCTCCGTAGGTTCTGAGACCTGATGAATCTGAGCCGTCGATTAAGCGGTCCCCAGAGAATGAACGGTGTGGATCTTCTGTGGTTCCGTTTCGATGGAAACGAAGTGGAGCAAGAAAGTACACCGCTATAAAACGACGGAATTGTTGTGTCGTAGGCGAGTTGCTATACGAGCATCACACTCTTCGTGCTCTCCGCCATCGCTCGCTTATAACAAACATCCTCTTCTCCAATTTCTCAGATTCATCTGCGCTCTTCCTTCGCTTTGATCTCTCACTCCTCGGAGATGGCGTCCTTTTCTGCTTCCGCGGGTTCGTTCTCGGCTGTTCCCTGCGCCTTGAAACAAAATCAGGTTGTATTCTTTGGCGATCTTGTAGAATGTGGTTTGATTTTATTGAATTGTGTTGTTTTGTTTTGTTTTATTGTATTCGTGGATGCGCTTTTTTTTTTTTTTTTTTTTTTTTTGCTGTTTCTGTGTGATCTGCGGCGGTTTTGTTATTGAGGATTTTGTTTTTGGTTTGTTCGACGGAAATTGTGTTTTTCGTTGTTGTTCGTGGCGTTCTTCTTGTGGAAATTGATGTGAAGAAACTGTTGTTGTCTTGTGTCTGTACTGAGCTGTTTGATCGTTATCAATCATGTACCTACGATTGCAATTTTTAATTGTTGATTGATGTGTTGGTTGAATTATATATATTGATATTATATCTGTGTCAGTTATCCACGGCTATCTTGAAGATTTTCATGATATGCAGATTAATGATTAAGAAAAAGTGATAGAAACTAGAATCTCCAGCTCGTAAATTGAAATTTCAGCATACCTGGTTTATTTTCATCAAGTATATCCTTACTTTAAAAACATACAGTTTTGATTTACACAGAGTACCATTTGTGAGAATTAAGCTTCTGTTAGTTTTTGAATCATTTCTGGCATGTTTATAATTTATTACAGTATATTCTATGCTCCTAACTACCTTTTTTTCAAAAAAAAGATGTTTAGTGTTTTTATGATTTCTCGAATCCAATATTGCCTTGATTCTACATAATATAATGATCGTCTTTGTTACACAAGTTTCCTGTTCTAGAAAATTGCCTTGAAGCCTTTCAACTATTTTGGCTCTTCTGTGCCCTGTAATCCTCGAACAATGAAAATAAGCTGTTAAAATATTTGAACTTTGCAGTTTGGTTCAAGAAAAATGTAATATGCTATGTTGTTGCAATGTAGCAGGTTCCAAATTTGAGGAAGGCTTCGCTTTCATTCAGCGGGAAGGCCTTCCCATCTTACAAGATGCCCGCACTTCGTTTCCGAGTTTCCTGTGCAGTATGTTTCATAATTTGCACCATTTTCCTTTTAATTGTTTTAGCCTCTCATAATCTGATTATTTTCTTAATGGTTTGCTTGCCATATGTTTTTAAATTGTCTTCTTTACAAACTGGTTCCATTTTTGCATTGGACAATCTTTCGATCAGGCCAAACCCGAGACTGTGAACAAAGTAGTTGAAATTGTGAAAAAGCAGCTGGCTCTTCCTGATGACAGAGATGTCAATGGAGAATCGAAGTTCTCTACTCTTGGTGCTGATTCTCTCGATACGGTAACTTCTATTGCCTATTAAATTAACAGCATCACAAACACAACATGTATAGTTCATAATCCACTAGTGTGTTTACTTTGTAGCATGAGATTATAATCTACTCCCTCCGTCATGCAAATGTGTGCTCATTTGACCAGGCACAAAAGTGAGTAATAATTGTTACTTTTTCCTTTTATAGTAAAAAAAAAGTACAAAAATGTAATAATTTTTTACTTAAAAAGGAAACGAGAATATTTTTCAATGACAACCCAAAAAGGAAAGTGAGCATAGAATTGAATGACGGAGGGAGTATAATATTATTTTAATAGATTATATAATCATAAATTTAATTAATACTATCATATTTACTTCCCTTGATTAAATATATGATAGTGTAGACTTTAGTATAAATATTATTATCTCCGTCCGGTTCTAAGGACCCCATTTAATTTTTGCGTGTTGATCTTTGAATATTAATTATTATATGAAAACGTAGTACAAATTAAGGAAAAATGACAAAAATGTCTCTTATAATTAGATTTGTGCAGAAAATTATACAAATATAATGATATTTTTAATGTTAAGTACAATGACACAAAAGGTAAATGAGATCCTTTGAGCCGGACGGAGGGAGTACTTGAGTTAATTAATGTATTATTCGACTGGGTTTAATCAATCTCGAGTTTTAATCTATTGAAATAAATATATGATTAGGTTGGATAAAATAATAATATTCACCTTAATCAGCCAAAGTAAACACATCCCAGAGTGTATTTGGCTTACTTATATATCTTCTGTCTCTCACTAAGCTGCATTGGTGGAACTTATTGTAATCTCGGACATTTTATACAATTAGAATACAACGAGTCAGTATTGAAGATAAAAAAATCGTGCAACGATAGCATCCCAATTTATAGTATTGACTTACTATGGTATTACTAACAGCTTACTTATATACTTTTACTATTGCTTTTGTTTTCTTGGCATTATTTCGATCGTATGTTTTCCTCCGGGCAGGTCGAGATTGTGATGGGGCTGGAGGAAGAATTTGGAATCTCTGTGGAGGAAGAGAGCGCCCAGAGCATCACCACTGTTCAAGAAGCAGCCGATCTCATCGAGAAGCTCTTGGAGAAGTGAAGAAATCGGGCTGCGCCATAAGTTTTTGCTAAGAAAGTTTCACATACATATATGGAGGTCCTCCTCACCTCTTCTCTATGAACCTTTGTTAGTTCTTTTGCGCCGCACCTGTTTTTTTTTTTTTTGGTTTCTGTTCTATGGCACTCGCCTACTTTTATTTAAATTCCTGTCTTTGGATTCGATCGATTTGATAATCTCAAGTTACAAAACTTGTGTGATTTATGTGTTGTGTTTTTATTTTTTATGACGTTTGTTTGTTGTTGGTGAAGTACATTGATTCGAGCCGAGCTTGAGCCCTGAACTTCCTCGTGAAGTTATCTAGTCGGAATAACCTTGGGCTCAACTCGGTAGTTCAATGTATTTTTTATGGTTGACTACATTTCACACTATAGGCTAAAATTTGAGGCTTTTGTAGTTTCTGTAATTTTTAAAATAGTAAAATGTTAATATTTAATGTGTACTTTGTGAAAAAAAAAATAAAGAAATTGATTTGATTGTTTTAAAAAGTTAGAATAATATCAAAGTATTCAAAGTTATTGTTTAAATAGAGTCTCATATTTAATACTATATTATGATTTCAACTAAAGAAAATGTGTACTCATGTTAAAAAATTAATATATTATACATTTATTAATTTTATATTATTAATTTCTATATCTTAAATAAAAAAATTTCTCTTCAATGATTTTTTAGTTTGGATTTTGAGTTGGAATTTGAATAGTGAAAATTTTGAATTTGAATAGCTGTATGATGTGATTTTTTTAATATAAAATTGATTTTTAATATAATATAAAAAATAAAAAATAGGTGTTTGATTTGATGTATTTGGAAAAAAAAGTGAGATAAATAGTGTAAATCCAATCTTTCAAACAAACACACCCTAAGTAAAAGACGATATATATATATATATATATTTGAAAGTTAATACTATATATGTCAGCATAAACCTTGTGTTTTTTAAATCTTCTTACAGGTCATGCAGCAAAATATTATATCATATGCAGATTTTAATTATTTATATTAGAAAAAAAGTCACTCTTAACAATAAATTTCATTTAAAAATAGTTAAATCTATAATAGTTTAAATTAATGAAAGGTGCAGCTATTGCTTCCTTCCTTCAAATTGTCATTACTTATTAGCTGCAGCATCTATCCCATGGTCCTCAAAATTGAATAAAAAGAACAATGGCATGTACACATTATCAGATGAACAAGTTTGTCAGTTTCTTCTGTAATAGTATAATAATAAATATTATAAATAATAATAATAATAATATTAATAAAAGGGTAGACAGTAGGAAGGCATCTTTTGGTGGGTGCATAATAGTCTGATTACAAATCATGTGCACTTTCACCAATTACTGTTGAAAAACATTCATAGGATGTCTTTTTCTTGAGCCACTTATTATTATTATTATTATTATTATTATTTAATATAATGATTTTTATTTCCACCCTTGTACATCTACCAGTAAAGTACACCTATTTTGACAATTTTCACTTATATGTATTTAATAAAGTAAATAACACTTTTTACTTCTACTTTACTTTCACTTTCAACATATATTTTTCACTTCTGTTTTAGTCTCACTTTCAACAAATATTAGTATATTATAGCACTTTCCACTTCTCCTTTAATCTCACTTTCAACATTAAAAAGTTGGCTTGTATTATTTCCATGTTTCACAAGTAGTATAATTTTTTATTGTCCATTATTGAAAAATATAAAAATATTTTGAAAGATTGTGAAAGTATTATCGGTGAAATAATTTTTATTTTCTAAAATAATTTAATTATGAGATAAGAATATAAAAGAACGAATCCCTAGTTTTTATTTATTACATAAAGATTGCATAATAATATATACTATTTCTCATTCAAATTTATGCCTTTATTTTTTGTTATAAAAATATATATTTTTTAAAATTTTCAGTAAAAAAAAAAAATTCTACTATTTTTGTACTATGAAAAAAAAAACTTTATTTTTATCTATTTTTCTTAAAATTAATGTTCGATCAAATAAATATAAATTTCGATAATGGAGATAGTAGTAAACAAAATCAGAGGTGATTTTAAATCTTTTTTAATTAAATTTTTATTCTTTACAAAGATATATATATATTTATTTATGAATTTGTACTATTTAAGCAATAAGTAAATGAATAATAAAACTAAAAGTTACTACATCAATTACTCAACAAAGGTGGTGAAACCTTCGTAGATCAAGCTATGAGATATCCCTTGGTCGAGGGTTGAATCCTGCGTGTGTGCATGTGTTCTTTTTTTTTTTAGTAAAAAATTATTACTTTTTCTACTTTTATTTACTCAAAACAAATCATTTAAATTAAATACTACTTGTAAGATTTTTACCCCGATTTTACTATTTTAATTTTTTTTCTCTACCAAAACATTAAATCAAATACTTATTATTTATTATATTACACAAAAATTTAATTTTATATTCAAAACATTACGTCAATACATATTTATATCACATCAAATAACTATTTCAATTCAAAATTTTTCTATTGAAAATCAAAATCTTTCAAGTAAATACACCTAAGTAAACAACCATTACTAGATCTTCAATAATCCAACTTAAAACTCTTAAAAGAATCAAGATAAAAAAGAAATGTATACACCCAAAAAAAAAAGTACTCACAACAATAAACTAACCCCATATGAATCATATCAAATCATACCGTATAACGTATCGAAAATTCACTAACCAATAAGCCAAGAAACATACACAACCAACTCCCAACCATTTTGCCAAATCAAGATCGCCGGCGGACGATTCCGGCAACGCCCCCGACGGCGCAACTGCGGCGGCATCGGGGCCGATTGTTGCGTCGGGATTAGGTGGGCTCCGGGTGGAGGGTATTGTTGGCATCGAGTCTCCGCCGCCGCCGTTGCCGCCGGGTGTCGGAAAGAGAGGTGCAATGTCAGGTGAGACTGCAACGTACGGAGTCCGAGGAGGATTTGGTAATAAAGCTGGAGTTGCTGCAATAATGGCAAAGTCATTTTTATTGAGAGATGATTGTGAACTTAGTGAAGAAGAAGAGAAGAGTGTTAGTGTTAGAAAAGACAAGAGGATGAAGAAATTTGACATTTGGATTGAAGATGAAGGAGAAGTCATTGTAGATTGTAATGATGAATCAATAATCATTCAATCATATATATATATATATATATATTTGAATTTATTTATTTATTTATTTATTTTTTTGTAAAGTGGGAAATGGGAATCAATCAAAATGGGGCAAAGTGCCAAAAGGGGTTTCTGATTAGTGTTAATATTATGGGTGAAAATGTGTGATGGAATCCATGTGTGGGCATGTGGGAAAAAAGAGACAAAGATTGGTGGCAAGTCCAGTTGGTCAAGTTTTTATTTATTTATTTATTATTTTCTCTTTTTAACTCTATAGTAAAATTATGTTGGTTTAGTTGGATATTAAAATTTTAAAAATAATGCTTCTTAATTAATCATTTTTTATGGTAATATAATATTTAAGAAAATAATGTTTAATTAGGTAATAATAATGAATTATGATATTATTTTTATTATTTTTTATATAATTAATAATATTGATAGTTAAAAATAGATTTAATACATATGATTAAAAAACTAGAATATGTATTTTAAATATTTTAAAAATTATATCGAAATAAAAAGTTGATGCAACATGAGTATCGAATAAAAATTTTTAGATAAAAATATTTATTTCTTTTAGAAGATGATGTATGATGCTATATTTTATATAGTTAACTAAATCGATTTATATTTTTTAAACATATTTTGATTTAGTAAATTTTACCTAGATAAAAAAATATCAATCATTACGTGATAAACAAAAATGAAAAAAAAGTGTCGGAGAGAATATAATTTTGAAGAGAATTGAGCTTATAATTAAAAATTCAAATACAATATTAAAAAATCTAAAACTAAGGTTCAATCAAATTGCATTCGAAGCCCAAAACTTATTGAAAGTGAGCCCACAATAGGATGGCCCAATAACTATTATTTGATCCAATTGTATCACGGCCCATTAACAGCACGCGAACCACGTGGACAAGTCTAGGCCGATTGTCGAATCCCACGCGCTTTTCTTATTTACATATTTGGTCATTTTTACGTGAACTCACGCTCAAAAAATGCGCGTGGTTCAAGTTTGGTGGGCATGACCGCGCGCCACCTACCACTTCGATAATTTCCTTCGTGTAAGTATTTTAATAAAATATACTTTAAAAAATAAAATGAAAATAATTTTTTAAATAATAAAAAAATAAAAAAAAATTTAAATTTAAATAACGGATAAAAAAGTATAATTTTATTGCTTTTAGACCAACAATAATAAATAATCTCAATTTCAAATTTTATATTAATATTATTAAAATGACTAATATTTATAAATATTATGAATATATATTTTCTTCGTCTTTTTTTCAAGAATATACATATTTTATTATTTTAAGTTATCTATAAAAATTAATAAATTAATAAATTTTCATTTAATTTTGTGAGGCAATGGTAGTAAATATGGCTTCTAGAAACACCGAATGAGACGAATAAACGGACGCACTCTGCAGGCTGCATTTTCATTCAGTGATATTTTGCGACACTCGTTCTGGAGATTCTGTTCTCGACCTGATTCTGCATCGTCAATTGGGGCGGCCTGAGGTGAGATTGTTAAAGAAATCGTTCGGTATAGTGCTGTTGAATTTTGGATTTTTGTTTGAAATCGGATGATATAGGAAATGACTCGCCTGTTTTTACTTTTGGATAAGCTTTTGTTTCGGATAAGCTTTTGTTTCGTTTGAGAGTCGTTTGTGCTGTTTAGATCTTTGTTTTTTCTAATATATTCCGTCGATGTGTTTGGTTTCGAGTGTGTTTTTCTCAGCTGGAGTGGATCTGGATCGGTTTGGAGCTAATTGTTCCGTTTTCACTTTAATTTTTAGGGTATTTTTTTGATCTACTTGTGTTTTTGTTGCTTGATCTGTGGATAGAGCGGCTTTGGTCTGATAGACTCCGCGATAGTTAATGTAATCTCGTAAAGTTTATTTTAATTTTAGATTTAGTACCAGTTCTTCTGAAGGATTTCATCTGCTTGGGCTTTATCTCTACTATAACCACGCTCGAGTAGGAGTACGATTAGTTCTGTTTGGGCATTAGACAAAAGGATTTCGTGTTTGTTGAATTTCTGAGATTTGCAATGGTAGTTTATATGATAAGGACGTTTTGTGTGAAAGTTTGTGGAAGATATTGTTGGCTGTACGTTATTGCTTTCACTACGATGATTGTGATGTTCTTAAAAACTGGCTGATTTTCGAAGCAAAATCAACGTGCTTAGCATAATTTGTTTATTCCTCCCTTTTGTTGTGCATACGATTAAAGCTGAGATAGAAATTTTGCAGATCATAAACAATCATGGTGAAGGCAGTTGCAGTGCTTAGCAGCAGCGAGGGTGTGAGCGGAACTATCCAGTTTTCCCAAGAAGGAGATGGTATTCGTCGATTACATTTTCTCGAAGCTCGAATTTCATCAGTTATTGTTCATGTCCTTAAGATCCTTATTGTCGTCTACTGTTTCCTCAGCTCCGACAACCGTTACCGGAAACCTTGCTGGCCTGAAGCCTGGGCTCCATGGCTTCCATGTGCATGCTCTTGGTGACACAACAAATGGCTGTATGTCAACTGGTAATTTCTCTTCTCTTACTTGTTATTTGGATGCTTTATATTTCTAGAAATGTCTACAAATCAAAATTGTTGATACAATTGTCAAATGAATTTGTAGGACCTCACTTCAACCCTGCTGGAAAAGAGCATGGTGCTCCCGAGGATGAGACTCGCCATGCTGGTGACCTCGGGAATGTCACTGTTGGTGACGATGGTAGTCACTTTTTACTTTGATAACAAAATTAAAAGAATTATCAATCTCTTTTTATATAAATCCTTACTTGATTGGATTTGACTATATACTATTGGAAATTCACTTTCTGCCATTTGTTTATTGCATCCTTGTGCAATGTATAAGTTTAATAAACAAATAAATTATCACCTAGTTTAGGTCTCTGTTCGATTTCTTATTCAAATTCTCTGTTCGATGACCTAAGTTTACGTTGTTGTTCTTATTGCCTTGACTGATTTGTTTATGCCCGTAACTTCTTACAGGTACTGCTTCTTTCACCATTACCGACAAGCAGGTCCTATTACTAACCTACCTTCTCTCATAACAGCTAATGATTCTAGTTCAACAATTCTTACATTACTTTCCATTTCTCTGCAGATTCCGCTTTCAGGACCTAACTCCATCATCGGAAGGGCTGTTGTTGTTCATGCTGATCCCGATGATCTTGGAAAGGGTGGGTCTCAGTTCGTTTTCTTATTTCTCACCGTATAAACTCTTATTCATTGCCCTAGTTGATCTTACTATGTAAACTACACTCACTCTTTCTATGATGTTCTACTGTTTCAGGAGGACACGAGCTTAGCAAAAGCACTGGAAATGCTGGTGGAAGAGTTGCTTGTGGTAATGCTTAAATATTTATGCTATTTCCAACATTACAACATGGTTTTTCTTTCCTCCCACCATTTTGGATATCCAAAAGGATGGCAATGGGTCCAAATAGACCCGACCCGGACACTATCCATTTACTTGGGGTTTGGTTCAAATATTTGGGCATTAAGTTGGGTATTTTATACTCTATTCGGGTTAGGTCTAGGATCTAAGGGTTTAAATTTAATCCAATTAATATATTATTAATATATCAATAATATTTAAGGAAAAAAAAAATCTAACAAGGTAATCATTTTAGTCATTTATTTCTATTTTTTTTTGCTGAGATTGATTTATTTATACATGATGATTTTATTATAATATTTTTGAAATAAATATATAGATTTTGATGTATTTGGGGTTTGAGTTTGGGTTGGGTTTTGGAATACCCGGGTCCGATGTGGGTCTTGGATCTAATAATGTGTATTAGGATTTCCCATGAGATGGACAAACACACATGCACACGAGTTAATTCTATTGTTCTTTAAGGTCTGTTGTGGTCCAAATTTCTTGATTATTTAGACTCTGTTTGTCACCGGCGGCCAAGCAAATTTAAATTCATGTATTAACTCTAACTGTGCAGGTATCATTGGCCTCCAGGGCTAAGTGATCCCACTCGAAGAGCCACAGACTCGACTCATCTCGGCTTTGTATCACTGCCCCCGACCGTCGGTACTATGTCTGTTTTCTTAGTTGGTATTCTCATCAATAAATAAAATGGCTGTTACAATGCACTGAGTTTCATCTATAATTCGAACCAAAATTTGATTATGTTTTGAATCTGGTTATAAAAGCTTGGTGTTGCATTTTACGTTCTTGTGGAAATTCTCTCCAATTCCTATAGGCTTTGAAGAATATGTTAAACCACAGATGATAAATATAGGACAAAGAAAGTGCCTAATACAACAAATAGATCTTTGGAGAGGTTATCTTATGAAAGTTAAATTTACTTATGTTTGCTAATATATATCCTGACCGTGAAACTCTCAACGCTTCCTTATACTGCCTGCCGCATGATTTATCTAGTCGTGTCGGATCTAGTTTGCAAGTTATTACTGTTGCCCAATGGTTTATCTAGAATGCATTTGTCAAGTAGAGGTTATGGATTTTTACCTATAAAAAAAAATGATTTTGTTGTGCAATTGTTAAAATATTTTCATAATGCTATCTCCAACTGAAAAAAAAAAAAAAAAAAAAAAAACGGAAAAAGAAAAAATTTTTATTGTGCAGAAATATCTTCATAATGCTATCTTGAGCGATGCGCATATTGTAGTGGCGGGAAACCATCAATAATTTCAACAATTTTATTATATTTAAAATTACTTTTAATTTTATTATAATCAAAATAATATTTTCCAATACCTGTTTTTTTACAAATTTATTAAAAAAAAATATCTGCTTCAAACTTTTGTTTATATTTTTTACTTCTGTTCATTTTTCTATTAATACTTTTGACGTCCGTCTATTTTTAAGCCAGTACATATACCCCCCTAAGTTCTAACCATAGAAAAAAATAAAAATAAAAATAAAAATCTAACCAGACCCAAAATCCAAATTCGGAATTTCACTATTCGGCAGCATCATCAAGTCGACGATGCCATAAATTCACTCAAACCAATCCACCAATGGATTTTCACTTTTCAAGTTTAATCACTCCCAAATCTCTCCAATCCAATGCATCCCAACCTCCTCCGCGCCACTTCCCGAATCGCAGCCCTCGCAAAGTCAGGCAACATCACACACGCCCGCAAGGTGTTCGACGAAATGCCTCAAAAAGACACAATTGCATGGAACGCCATCATCACAGCCTACACTCATCTCGGCTTCCACAAATCAGCCATTTCACTCTTCGCCGCCATGGACGTCACCCCCGACCACTTCACCTACACCGCAGCATTGAGCGCCAGCGCCGCCTTAAAGTCCGTAAGCCTCGGCCGGCGGCTCCACGGCCTCGTCGTCGTCTCCGGCTGGTCCTCGTCGTCGCCGGTGAACAATGCACTTATCGATGTCTACGGGAAATGCTCAAGCGTTAAGGAGGCGAAGAAAGTATTCGACGAGATGGGATCGACGAGGAACGACGTCTCGTGGTGTTCATTGCTGTTTGCGTATTTGAATTCCGGCCTTCTCGACACTTCTATCGTGGTTTTCGATTGCATGCCGAGACGGGTGACGGTCGCGTGGAACACGGTTATAGCTGGATTTGCGAAGCGGGGCGAGGTCAAGTTGTGTTTGGCGTTGTTTCGGGAGATGTTGGAGGATGGTCGTTGCGGCGCGGATCGGTGGACGTTGAGCTCGGTTATGAACGCTTGCGGCGAAATGAGCGAGCCGCAGTTCGGTTATACGGTGCACGGTTTGATTGTTCGGATGGGTTGGGGTAGTGCCGCGGAGGTTTATAACTCGGTTCTTAGTTTTTACGTGAGATTCGGCGACAAAAATGATGTCTTGAAGGCCGTCGAGGCGGTTGGAGTTCGAAGGCTTGGCGTGGTTTCACGGAACGCAATTATCGATGCTTATATGAAGATAGGCGATATTGAGAACGCGTATATCACGTTTCGAAGCGTGCCTGAGAGGAATGTAATATCGTGGACGTCAATGATTACGGGATTTATGAGAAACGGGCAGGGAGAGTGCGCGCTAAAGTTTTTTGTCGGTATGACGAGAAACGGGATTCGTCCGGATGAAGTTGCGACAGGAGGTGTATTACATGCTTGCTCAACAACGGCGATGCTCGGGTTCGGTAGAGTAGTTCACGGCATCGTGGTTAAGTCCGGTTTCCACTCCGATACCTACGTCGGGAATAGCGTGGTGAACATGTATGCGAAGTGCGGCGATATCGTCAATTCGGACAAGGCCTTCGACGAAATTCTCGACAAGGACTTGGTTTCGTGGAACACGATGTTGTTCGCGTTAGGAATCCACGGGCGTTCCAACGAGGCTCTCGATATTCTACGCAAAATCGTGGCTTCGGGGTTGAATCCGGACGAGGTGACGTTCGTCGGGTTATTGACGACGTGTAGTCACTTGGGGTTGATCGAAGAAGGCCTCGGAATCTTCGCATCGATGGCTACACAGTACGGAATTTCGCAAGAGATCGATCATGTCGCTTGTGTGGTCGACATGTTGGGTCGGGCCGGAGAGCTGAAGAAAGCGGGAGAAGTCGTGAGCAAATACGTTGAAGATATCGACGGTACCGTAAAGGAAGTTCTTTTCGGTTGTTATGCTCGTCGGGATGACTTATCGACGGGATGCGCCGTCGAGTTATCCGAGCAGCTTCGGATCGCGAAGCCTAACGACGAAATGAGCTACGTCGTGCTGTCGAACTTGTATTGTTCGACGGGACAGTGGAAACAAGCACAGGCTTTAAGGAAATCTATGGTAGAAAAGGGTGTTAGGAAGATACCTGGCTGTAGTTGGATCGAAATCGCGAACCGAGTAACTCCATTTGTCGCGGGAGACACCGCGTCGACGATGGGCGGGGACGAGCTACGATCGATGCTACGCGTTCTCGAACACGAGACGAGGCGATCGACGTCGATTCTGTGCTTCGACTGGGTGAGTTAGAACAGATTCTTGTTATACATTTAGGAAGTTAATACTACAGAAAAAACGTCGATATTATCTACACAGACTACACACAGGTTCTTCGGAAGTGTTCGACTAAATTACTGACTGTATGAACAACTCGGATGCTCTTTCAACTCGATCATACCTGGTTGGAGGTCTCGGAAGTTCGATCGCGAGAGGAGAATAATCTGAAGTAGGTATGGTTGACGAGTGCCGCGAGTCCAAGCCCAGCGATCGACGAAATCAGGATGGCATAAGTCGCTTCTACGCGAAGCTGTTCGATCAAACACGGACTGTTAGATAATTCCAACCAGATGTTGAAAAATGTTATAAAGAAACGAGTAATGGACGTAATAAATGTTTTGATTATGAAAGTCGAGCAGCGTAAGATTTCTCACCAACGCGTAAAGAACGTGGAGTAAAACGGCGACAAGAACAAACTCGATAGCTGCGTAAGCCCATAGGAATTCCCCGACTGGTGCATCGAGACAAAAGTGTGTTTCAGATCGACATTTTATGGCGAATTTACGTTGTAGCATCCATTTTTCATACCTAGAATAACTGCAAGAATTGATGCCGTAAAAGCCAATGTGAACGCGCATGGCGCTGCCACTGCAAGCGTTCGGTTCTTCATCTCCTGTATCTATAAATGTAGCGACGCCATTAATAAAATCGAAACGTTTTCTTTTGCTAAATCTTGTTAGCTGTCTTACCAGTAGCTGCTCGAGGTAGAAGAAATAGCACGTCGTGCTAACCAAGACGAGAACCACGAAATCTTGCCAGGCACTTGTAAATACGTTGAAAAAACAATGTAAGCAAAGACATCCAACTAACTAATTTCGAACTTTACGATCTCAAAGAGCAAGCTTACTCGAAAGAGTTAAGTCGGCTCTGTTCTGTGATCTCTCTTCGCGGCGCAACAGTCACCCGAAGCAAAGTTACAGGTAAGTTCAAGACTTCCTCGCCGCAGACATCGCAAAGCCTATCGCCCTTCATGCTAAACCACTTGACCGCGCAATTTTCGTGCACTAATCTGAGAGCTCCCTTACAGCAGCATTCGAGTTTCAGCGTATTTCTCTCTTCGAATGTGTCGAGACAGATTCTGCATACGGCTTCCTCTTCGAGTATCTCATGCTCTTCTTCAGCAGGGACAGTGGTTGTCGATCCACCTAACTTAGCCGAAGGCAAAGATTACTACGATAAAAATTGTAATAATTCGGGATAACTCTAATGAATCGAAAACAAACATTCGAGCAACAAAAAGCAGCAAACCTCTGTTTGGATCTGAAGAATGGTTGCGGGAAGGACTGAATGAAGCCTTTACGATAATGTAATTCCTTCTTGGAGCAGAGTGGGATCTTTGGATAATACTCGAGGCTGCCCTGTCTGCAATAAGCCGAGGAAGAAATGTTATGCTTCAAGATCACAATGTGAAAGAGTCGAAGATGCAGAATCATTCGTGTTCTTTCATTTTCACCAGTTTGAGTGGATAAGTTTCCAGTCGACAACACTGGAAGGGAGATACATCTTTTCCAAACAGTGGTATAAGAATCAGCAGGCCTTTCTGGAGTTGCTTTAAAATTTGAATTCAGTAGAGGAAAGCTCCTTTCCTCGTCTGTTACAGTTGTCTTTATTCTTTGAGCTAATGACCATAGAAAACAAGCTGCGGAAGAACTTCCAGTTAAGATGCCCGGGGAATGGAGCAAATCCTTGACGTTGCAGCAGCTTGAAAAATATCCGTGAATGGTTGCATCTGAATGCCGTCTTTTTAGCCATGAATTCACAGTGTCGCTCTCGGGGTGCTTACCATCAAAATCAACCTAAGCGCAATGCAAATCAAGGCTCCAATCAACATAAGTTCGAAAAATCCAGAACAATGATCAAAGATAATATACATGAACCTTTTGAAAGTTCAATAAACAACGAGCAAAGAGAAGATGTATAGGTTCATTCATTCTGAATTGAAGTTTCTCAACAGCAAATGTTTCTAAAAACGCATAAAACTCGACTGCAATTACAACTAGCGGCGCAAAATGAAATTAGCAGTAGCCATGGCTATAGCTACAAAAACAGAGAGATAGTGATGATAACTCAAACATAAAACATTTAGGATATAACAAAGATAATACACTTTTCCCATCTAGCAAATGCTTGATCAATGATCATGGATATTAGAAATTTAGAAATCGGTTCTTCAAACATAGCAATGATCCAAATAGGCAAAAACAAAATTCTTAAATACACAATGGCAACCATATGTATATATAAGAACCAAGAAAAGAATAAAAAAGAAGTTCCCTTGACTCCCTTATTAAGAACACAAGGAACACATATCCATTTCAATGGCAGATTGACTATTAAAACATTTAAGGGTAAATAACATATCATCATTATCCACTTATGTTTAGAAATTGCTTGAGACTTAGCATTTGAAACATATTTACGAACACTCATACAATTTTTTAGTAAAACTATAATATGTAATTCACTGAAAAGTTAAACCTAAACGTATCTGCTCAAACATGCATATATCACTATTCATGAAAGATAATACCAAACTATCAGTTTCCATATGAAATTAAGCTGTCACAACACCACCAACAGCACATCAAGAGAGCATAAATGTATAATCTCCATGTTTTCTCTACAATTTACAGCAAATTTTGAAATATCTACGACGTTCATACCAAATTCGATCCTTCCACTACATTAACTTCTCTCCAATTTTGATAAGAACGTAAGGTAGAAATCACGAGCACTACATTTCCCGTGCAAATTCAAATTATAAGGAGGAAAATAACAAAAATTCATGCTCGTACATCAACAATATTTGGTGCAATCATAACCTGAGATTTCACGCGTGCAGGAGTACTTCCGATTCCGATAACGAACCCTCCTCCACGCTCCGTGGCTGCATTAGCATTATCCACCGGTGTAGGGCAGTAGTCCATTCCTTCCTTCCTTTCTCCGCTAAATCAAACCCCCAAAAAATGGAAGGGAAAAGACATGCATCGCATCGATGAATCGGAACATGGCGCGCGACGAACATGGCCTGGATTCGAGGATCTCGTTCCATTTCTTTCCCATCTCAATTTGGACCGACCGGCTCAGACCACTGTACCTAACTTAAAATTAGATTAATTTGATATATGATATAAAAAAATCTTATTAATAATATAAAAAATAATATCTTATATTAAATATTATTTTTATTATAAAATATAATATATATTATATATACTAAAAATATAATATTGTAATTTGAGTTAGCAACATCAATACTTGCAAAGGTGGTCTTTTTTTTTTTTTTTTTTTTTTTTCAATCAAAATTTAAAGTATGATTTAAATAATACTCTTTTCGTTCAGAGAACAATTTTTTTTAATAAAAAAATATGGAGTAAAAAAAAAAAAAACTCTTAACTAAATTTAGTCAAAGAATGATAATTGGCATATGTAAGAATGATCCTTCTTCATCTTATTATTATTATTATTATTATTATTATTATAGTGTTGTTTAAATGATAATACAAATTGCCTGTTTAATTTATTTTTTAATTTGAGATTTTGTTTAAAAATTGTTTAGATTTACGTTTAGTAAGAATGTATTTTTATAAAAAAAAATCATTACGATTTTATAGTAAAAAATAAATAAATAAATAGAATCCAACTTTAAGTAATTATACTTTTTTTTCTATCTGGTATGAATGCATAATGTATTTATTTGCTCTTTGTATTTAGATATAAAAGTTTTTAAAAATATTTATAAAGATCTAATTGTAAAAATAAAACACAGATATTGATTTTGGATAGATCAATAACAAAATGAATAAATTGATTCCGAAAATAGCAAATTGATATTTTGGTTTTTTAAAAACTTAATATTATTATAAAAAAAATAGTATTTTTGTAACAAAATTTTTTATCTCTAGATTTACTCATTTTCATTATTAATGACATTAAGTACAAAAATTTAAATTCGGCCCTAAAAATTCAGGTAACTAAAGCCAATAGTTTCTAATTTTTGTTACAAATATGTAGATTCTTTGTAATGTATATATTCCTCATTTCCAACTTAATATACTCTTTTGTTTTGTTTTGTTTTTTTTTTTTCATATATTAATAAATAATAATATTTAATTGGTTATTAAAAATATATAAAAAAATTTGATAGTTTCGTCCTTAAAAATAAAAAAAATGATTTTTAAAAAATATAAGTATTTTAGTATTTATATATGATTATTTTTACTATAATATAAAATAAATATTTTTTAATAAAACTAACGAATATAATAATAGAAAAATACATTGAATTGGAACAAATAAAATATATTGTTATAAAAAAGTGTATATATATATTTAAAAAAATAAAAGAATAAAGTCAATATATAAATTGGAGTATAACTATTATATGTAAGAATGTGTGCATGAATGGAATGCACGGTATTGTTGGAACAATAATCCGACATACTTAACCAATGATTGGGCTACCAATTAATACATGTCCTAAATAGGCTGACTTATATGTATTATTTTTAATTAAGCTAGCTTCAAAATTCATCTAACCAAATTATAAACCAAAGTCAATTCATGCATCTCTACCAAATATAAAAATTAATAAATGTATGATAACCGTCTACTTGTAAGATTTTAGACGTGATATTACTATTCTATTTTTTTTTTTCTTCTAAATACAATTCTTATTTATTTTATTACACTAAAATCTAATTTTACATTCAAAACATCATATCAACACATATTTATATCACATCAAACAACTATTTCAATTCAAAATTTTACTATTTAAAATCAAAACCCAAAACCAAAATCTCACGGATAAACACAAGCAAATATTATTAATTTAGTTTGAGCCATTTCTCATAAAAGCTTTTTATGTCTTTATTATTATTATTATTATTATTATCTACGAAACATTATTATAGAATGTCTGTGGAGTTTTAGGCTGAGTTTTACTATTCCAAAATTTTATTTTTCCAAAAATATCAATTCATTTTTATCTTTTTTTAAGATTCGGGTGTGTTTGTTTGGGATTTTGGATTTTAAGTTGGAATTTGAATAGTAAAAATTTTGAATTTGAATAGTTATATGATGTGATATAAATAGGTGTTGATGTGATGTTTTGAATATAAAATTGATTTTTAGTATAATATATATAAAAAAAAGTGTTTGATTTGATATTTTTGAAAAATAAATAAATAAATAATGTATTTAAAATCCAATAATCCAAACAAACAATTGAAATAAAAGTACGAGAGAAAAAAGTCCACTTAAGATAAACTCATTTCCTTTCAATTTATTATTCAATCATATATAATAATTTTTATATAAAAAATATGTTAGTTTGTGTTTGTTCGAGGAGTTTTGGTTTTTTGTTTAAATTTTGAATAATAAATTTCAATTGAAATAGTTATTAGATGTAATATTTTAAATGTAAATTAAATTTTAGCGTAATAGTAATAAATACTTTTTATGTTCCACATAAATTGTTTATATTTTTTATTTTGGTTCATCTTACATAATTTATTTGTTTAATTTTTGGAAAATATATATTTAATAGCATTTTAAATTTTTTTATAATTTTCTAATTTTACTTTTAACTATAACTATTTGTATTATACAATAATTATTTTACTAATATATTTTTTAGTTCTTTACTCATTATAATTTATAAAATTTTCGTATCTACAGTAAATAGAACAACTAAGATGGGCGGGAGTAAAAAATAAGTATTATTATTTAAATAAAAAATTAAAATTAAAATACAAAAATTACAAGCTTGTTCACCAAACTAATTTTTTTTTTCTAATATGATTATTAATATACATAATATTTTGAAAACAATTTTCAACAAAAAAATCAATAATTTAATATAAAATATTATTTTTTATATTAACGACGCAATTCTCATAACTTATACAAAAAAAAATATCTCAAACTAAAACACTGAACAAACAAACACAAAAAGAATAAATAGGTAGGTTTGTTTGTGTGGAATTCAGTTTTGTATTATAATTTGAATAGTTAGACATGATATTTTAAGTTCATAAAAAGAATATAAGAACTAATAAAAAAAATTGAAGTCAAACTCTCTATGTGCTGTAGGGATTTTGGATTATAATTTTTAACTAAGAATGTATTAAAATAAATATTAAATTAAAGATTTTAAATAAAAATTAATATTAAAAATATTTTTATAAAACACATAAAATACTTCACTGATATATAATAATGCAAAAATAAATAAAAAAAATACCAACATACAAGTGTATTTGTTTGAATTTTAAATTTAAATTAATATTATTTAGCTTATATTTGGTTTTTAATAAAAATATAATATTATTTTTTTTATAAAATATTAAATCAAAATACTATTTAAACAAAAAATTCAAATTAAAGAAAACTCCAAACTCAAATCAAAATTAATTCTGTGTTCTTTTAGCGTTTGGGATTATTTTTTCAAATTTTTGTTATTAGGTATTGAAATTTTCCAAAGTATTATTATATGAATGGGAAAAGTATACAAACCCAAATATTCATTGAATTTTCGAAGCATTCATTCTATTATTTTAGAACTAGAGAATATCAAAAGTACCTAATCAAACCCATGTTTGATTATTTATTTATTTTTATATAAAAAAAAAATAGAATATTATATTGCTACCTAACCTTATTCCATAAATAGAATTTAAAATATTATACATAATTATTACCATTAGGATAATTTAAAATAAAAAATATATACACGAACTCTAACAATACCCACAAACCACGGCAGCTTATGCTACCAAGTTGACATATATAGATTTTTCCATTTTTTTTTATAAAAAAAATATTATTTAAATAAATTTAATAATAATGTTTTTTTATCACCCATTTCTCTACTTGGTTTATTTCTCCCTATAAAAGGAAACTTTTCGAAGAGTTCTTACACACACCAAACATTGCAAGAAAACTTGTAATAAGACTTACAAGTATTTGTAATAAAAAGCATTGTTTGTTCTTTGTGCAATTTTCTTGTGAGGATGATGAGAGGAGTATTTTTAGGGTTTATTCTCATTTTTGCGTCGGTCGCAGCAGTGGTCGGTCGTAATCATGGTCTAAAACAAAAACATAATTCGATCCCGTCTGAAAATAATCGTGGTAAAGAACGCGGAGGTTTGAGGCCGAATTATTACGCCGCGAATGGTTGTCCACAAGCCGAGCGGCTTGTTCGACAAGTCACTTGGGAGAAAGTTCGAAACGACGCGACTTTGGGAGCTAAGTTGCTTCGCTTGCATTATCACGATTGCTTCGTTACAGTGCGTATTGACATATTTTTTATATTTAATATATTTTTACTTAAATTAATTGTAGTGTGTTGTATATGACTATTGTATGTGTGATAGCTGATGTGTTGTATTTGTATTATCTTAACATATCCAACATACTGTATATAATAATATTATGTGCTTCCAGGCATCAAACAATGTGTTTTTCAGCACATTACTAAATTTTAAATTCAGCATTGTAAATGTCGCCGTCTTATATTTTTGTTCGTTATAAACTCATGCATTGTATAATAATTTATAATGTTTTTAATGTTCTTGTAGGGATGCGACGGATCGATACTTTTGGACACCGTCGTCGGGAAAAACCAATCGGAGAAGGATGCGGGTCCGAATCTATCACTCGGTGGTTTTGATGTCATCGATGCAATCAAGGATCGGGTCGAGGAAGAATGCCCGGGAATCGTCTCGTGTGCTGATATACTTGCCTTGGCTGCTCGGGATGCCATTCTTTTTTCGGTGATTATTTTTTTTCAAAACTTCACATATATATATATATATTACGCGCTAAACAGTCAAATTTTGCTTCATATATATTATAAGAAATTATTCTAATTTTCTACGTGAAAATAGTAAAAAGTTGAATAAAAATACGAATATGTGATATAATATAAATAGAAGACAGTCATGATATTTTGAATCGAAAAAACACATTTATTTAATATTTTAAATAGAAAAATATATTTTCACTATAATACTTTTTTTCAATATAAATTTAAAACAAAATTCGAGGGAATAATCGATGTTTAACAATTTTCATATGCATGTAGGTGCGGAGGCCGCTGTGGAATGTGTTGACGGGGAGAAAGGATAGTAAGATTTCTCTCTTATCAAATGTAGCCGGGAATCTCCCATCGCCATTTTCGAATTTCTCCACACTCCTCAATATCTTCTCCAACAACGGTTTAGATTTCACGGATCTTGTTGCATTATCGGGTGAGAATATATTTAATAATTAAACTTTTTGTTTACATAGCTACTTTTGAAGGAATATTGATTTTTTAGGACGGAAAAAAATATTTGAATAGTTAAAAAAAGTAAAAATAAAAATCCAAAGAAACACAATTTAATGCTCTATCTATATGTATATATATATTTTTTGAATTTTTTATAAATAATAATTTTCGTAAAAGATTTTTATAAATAATCTTATCATTTTAAATTTATTTTTATTTTTATTATTATTATTATACAAATATTACTATTTTTATATATAAATTAACACTCATAACAAGACAAAACAATCTTTATAAATATTAAATCAAATACATATTATTTATTTGCTATATTATACTAAAAATTAATTTTATATTTAAAATATCACATCTAAACCTATTTGGAATGTAAAATTAATTTTGAAAGATAATATAAAAAAAATGTGTTTAATTGGATATTTGTGTGAAGAAAAAGTTTGGTAAAATAAAATATTAACACAAAATCTTTCAAAATAACATTTGAATTTTTTATATTAAAACAAAAAATTGATACATTTTAATTATATTAAAATCACTATTATTATTTTTTTTATTTTAACTATATCGACTATTTAAATATAACAAAAAAAAATGAAATTTTAGATATGATAGTGTGACAATCTGGCCATATTGTTTCAGCTATTTCGGTTAGTTTTTAGCGGTAAAATTAAAATTGATTGAAATTATTATAGTAAATTAAAATTGATGAGTTTTAAGACCTACTACATTTGTTATTCTACGGGATCAAATTTGATTTTTTTTTTTTAAAAAAAATATTCAAAACTATATTTTAAAACGTTGTAAAAAAACAATTGTTGAACTCTGCAGGGGCACACACCATCGGAGTAGCTCACTGCGGCGCCATTTCGCGGCGGCTCTTCAACTTCACCGGCAGAGGCGACGCCGATCCGTCGCTAGATCCGTCGTACGCTGCCGAGCTGCGGCGGCAGTGCCCGAATCCGGCGGACCGGGCCACCACCGTGGATATGGATCCCGACACCCCATCGGAGTTCGACCCCAATTACTTCGCCGCCGTCGCTCAGAACAAGGGACTCTTCCAGTCCGACGCCGCCCTTCTCACCAACCAGGCGTCCGCCGCCCTCGTGCGGCGGCTGCAGTCGCCGGCGGCGTTTTTCAGTCAGTTTTCGGACTCGATGGAGAAGATGGGAAGGATTGCCGGCGACGCCAATGTCGCCGGAGAAGTTAGGCAGAACTGTCGCCGGGTTAATTAATTAATTAATTAATTAATGCGGATGATATATATATATATATATATTGTTACGAAATTATTTACATATTTATATAAATGTGTGATGGTGTTTTTCTAAGTGTTTTATTACTATTGTATTGCTAATTCAATTAATGAAAATTAGTGTTTTGTTTGAATTTTTAACATTTCCAATAATTTTTTCAAGATATGATTCTTAATACTTTTGTTTTTTAAGAAAAAAAATTATAAAATATTAGATCAAATTATTTTTACATAAAGTTAAAACTATTTACACAAATTCAAACCAAATAAACTCCACGTATCAAATAGACAAATAACACTCCGTACTAATTCAAAAGAATAATTTTTACTATTTTTGTTCGTGTCTATATTCCTTTGTTATTTTTAAAAAAAATAATTATAAATATTTTTAACTTTTGCTTAAATTACAAACATATCTACTTCCACTAATTAATAAAATATCATTCTTCCATTAATTAATAAAATAATACTATTATTTTTACAGTTGTACTCCATTTATATAAATCTTTTTGAAGTTTTAAGCTTTATTTCTAAAACACTTTTATATTTTGGCATTATTTAATTTTTCAAAACTATTATATCAATTTTTATCTTTTTTTTTTTTTACAAAATCTAACATAAAATACTGTTTTTTTATTATTTTCAAAATTTTAAAGCACATGTTTTTCTTTTGTCAATTTTTCTCAAACTTTAATATTTAGACTCATTATTTCTTGAATTTTTATTTTTTTTACAAAATATTATTTTAATACTAATTTAAACTATTCTTTTTCCAATCACACTAAAGAAGCACAAATATTTGATGTAAAATTTCAAAAAAATAAAAATAAAAGAAGTTTGCTTCACTTTGTGTTTTTTATGACACAATTTCTCATAAATATTATTTTAAAAAATATAATATATACACATATTAACACAATACAATATGTATAATATATACTTTATGTACTTACAAAACTTAAATCCGTAAGGGATGATCTGACGGTGGTGCAAGGGTTAGAGGTATTACCGTGAAATATAACAGTGATTGTATTTGTATTTATATTTCATAATTCTAATTTTTTATAAATTTCTAGGGACACATTATCATTACTTTTCCTCTATTGCGCATTCAACAAGAATCAAAGAATTTTCGAACGATAAAAATACACTAAAGTAGGATATGAGCTCATTTTATATTGTATTTTCTATGTGTTTTTTTTTAAGAGTTTTGGTTCAGATTATTGTGCTAATTGGTTAAATCAGCAAATATTTATACAGAAATAATCATGTATTAATTAATGTTATATTTTTTTCATCTCACAAAATTTGTTTAGTAAAAATATAATTAGTAAATAACTAAAAAAATTATTAATAAAAATAATTATAAATTAAAATTAAAACAATTAAATAATTTAATTAAAATTAATAAATTATAAATTATAAACTTTAAAATATAATTAAAATATATAATTATATTAAATAAATAAATATATAAAACAAACGAAAATAAATAAAAAAATAAACGAAAATAAAAAAGTATGAATATTTTATATGAGACAAATATCATAAATCTTTTGTTATATTATCCATTCTTTTGAATTGGAGCCCATTTAGCAAATTCAAAGTGAATTCGGCCTCGGACCTTTTAACGGTATAAAAATAAAATTAAAAAATAAATAAAAAATCAGTATATATATATATATATATATATATATTATAAATGTTTATTTTGCTGGGTAGCAAAAGTGAAAAACTGCGGAGTCATATTGGGTTCTAGATTGAAATGCGCGATTGCGCCTTGGCTTTGTCCTGTCATCTCTAATCGATTCTCTTCTTCTCTGCACTTCAATAGCGTTTGTTGTTTGATTCTTCCTGTTGTTGTCATCCAAGCCGAGCGGCTTGATGTGCCGTTGTCGACGTTGACGTCAGTGTTCAATCAAGTTTCGGTTACTCACTGAACCCCCAATTCGATTTTCTAGGGTTTTAATTTTGTCATGGAGATCGGAAAGCGAACTGAAGCGACGGACAACGAATTGCAGTTGCCGGAAAGCGTAATTCAGCACATACAGTCTTTTCTCAGCGGCAAGGAGGCAGCTTCGACGGTTGTGCTAGCGAAATCGTGGTACAATTCGTGGTTGACTCGTCCGAATCTGGATTTCGATGACCGCTACTTTCGGGGTCGGAATTCAGATGCCCAGAACCATGAGATGTTCTTGAATTTCTTGAAGGAGAGCATGGAAAGGTACGAAGAATTGAAATTGAATATAGAGAGTTTCAGGCTTCGTATGAATGTTAGGGATATTGATGCATCTTCATCTGCTTCTGGATTTATTGTTAAAGCTGTGAAAATGTGTGCTAGCGGTTTCGATGTTGAATATCATCCCCCATTATCTGAATTCCCTTTACCAAAGGAATTGTTTGAAAGTAAGGATTTAGTTCGATTATCAGTTTTAGGGTGTAGAATTTTGTTGGGGGAGGTTATGTGTTTGAGACTTACATCTCTCTGTTTATCTAAGGTTCGAATGGAAGAAGCCATGATTAGGAATATAATGGAAACATGTCTGATGCTCGAAAATTTATCCCTATCTGATTGTGAAGGATTCAAGAAAGTTAATGTGACAAAACTTGCTGGACTCAGGAAGTTTACTGTTACCAGTCATGTGACAAAGCCAATGCTATCTTGGAGCCCCTTAGTTGAATTTGTAAACAAAAGTGTTGCATCACTTGCCGACGATAAGATCAATGTGTCTCAGTTTTGGAAATTGAATAATTTGGTTCTCGAAAGGGTGAGGCTAGGTCAGATGGTGTTTACTGATTTCTTGAGTAAATTCCCTTATTTGGAGGATCTAAAGGTTCACTATTGTAATGGTTGTGTGAAATTTGATCTATCGAGTCCTTCTCTTAAGTACATAAGCTTGGCAGACACCGAGAAACTATGGATCCAGCTTGTTGATGTTCCCAATATCCGTAAGTTTAAGTTTTCAGGGTCTACCATACCTTTCTTGGAATGTAACACAACATCAAAGGAATGGGAGTCTGATATAAGACTTACAGTCTGGAACACTCTTGGTGCTTCGGGGTTTCTTGAGATGAGTAACTTTTTGTCAAACCTGAGTTCTTCAAAAATTTCTCTAGCTATTGATTTGCTGTCAAAACGCGTAGAGTTTGTGCCGGATGTTCACAATTTCCCTAAGCCTGTTGTGGAGAATCTGACTCTGATAGTCCATTCGTCGAATTCAGTGTCTGCCCTTTTGGACGGTCTAATCTGGAGTTTTCAGCCTAAGGTTGTGAACCATCAGTTGATTCGGATGTTCGAGAAGTGCCAGAACACGAAATGTAAACTCCTCCACCCAGCCATCTGCAAAGCAAGCAATGAAGCGCTGCGGCTTCTGTATGAAAAGCTTACAAACTTTGAAAATTCTGAATCCTGTACTCCAACTGAGAAATTAATTGGCTGGCACGAGTTCAAGGAAGTGAATGCCGAGTATTTTGAAGATGTTCTTAAAGAATGGCGGCCTCTTCCCAGGAAAAGTTTATTACCGGTGAAGGACGTACAGATCCGATTCCATCTGAGATGGGGAGAAAGTTCGAAACTCTGCGACTCTGGGAGCTAAGTTGCATTGCTACGATTGCTTCGTTACGGTACGTGTTGAGATATTTTTTTACGTTTAATTTATACTCCCTCTGTCCGGCGGTCTCATTTATCTTTTGTACTTAACATTAAAAATATCCTTTTATTTGTATAATTTTTTTACAAAACACTAATAAAGTATTTTTGTCATTTTTTTTTTAATTTGTACTACTTTTTCATATAATAATTAATATTCAAAGGTCAACACAAAATATATATGAGATCTTTAGATCAGGATAGAATAGTATATATTTTTATAATTATTTATATTATGTCGTTATTATTTAGTCATATCCGTTAGATTAGATAGTTATCACCTGTGTTTATTCGACCTGTAGACTTATAATTTAATTATTAATAAATTGCAACTTTTTTTTTTTGGATGACGTGGGAATCCGCAGCCGCTACTCGTAAGTGCTACTCGTAAGTGCGCACTGGGTAAAATGTTACAGTGTATTTTATATTTTTGTTATAATGTTTTTTATTTTCTTGTAGGGATGCGAAGGATCGATACTTTTGGACACTGTTGTCGGGAATTGTTTCGCGTGCTGATATACTTGCCTTGGCTGCTCGGGATGCCATCCTTTTTGCGGTGATTTTTTTTTTCGAAACTTTACATATATATTATGACAAACTTTGCTTCGAATATAATATATTGTTAGAAGTTATTTTAATTTTAATTTTGTGAGTACGATGTTGAATAGAAAACAAATACTCCTATATGATATGGCATAAATAGAAGTTAGAGTATAATATTTTGAATTGAAAATATATCCGTAGTTAATATTCTAAATAAAATATAGATTTTGATTATAGTATATTTAAATATAGACTTTTTGTGAGCAATGCAAAAATAAATTTGAAAGTATAAGTAAACACTGGTTGGCTAACAATACTATTTATCGACTATAATTTGAAGGAATAATCTATGTTTAACAATCTTCATATGTATGTAAGTTCGGAGATAGGGGAGAAAGGATAGTAAGATTTTCCTTTTTTTTTAGATGGGACTATTGTTTGTGCTCTTAGACTCCATTTACAAGTTTTAAGTTACATTTTGACAACACTTTTATAATTTTGGCACTATTTAATTTTTTAAAAATCATTACAACAACTATATTTTCTTCTAATAAAATTTTATATCAAATATTCATTTTTTTTTTCTCAAAATTTTAAAACACCAAAAGTCTGGTGTGTTTGTTTGTGGGTTTTAAAATAGTTGATTTGAATAGTTGTTTGATCTAATATAAATAAATGTTATTGTGATATTTTGAATGTAAAATAAATTTGTAATATAATATAAGAAAAGAAAAGTAATGGTTTAATGTGATATTTTTTTAAGAAAAAAAAATTAAATAGTGAAAGAACACAACCATTTTTTTGTCTAAACTTTAAAGTTCGGAACAAATTTGAAAAAAAATTGGATATTTAATGTAATATTTTATACAAAAAATAATATTTCATTTGTGTTTTTTAAGTGACAAATTTATTACTCCCTCCGTCCCATATCAAAGTATCTATTTTTTCATTTTAGTCCGTTCCACGACAAAGTATCCATTTTTTTTCATTCAGTAACTGTACTATCTACCTAATATTACAAATATCCTTACAACTTACTATATATTACACAAATGTCATTACTTTTATATATCACACATACTAACAAAGTTATTTTAGTAATTTCAACTTTATTTATTCCTACTATATTTCAATGTAATACTAATATACAGCGTAGAAAGTAATTAGATACTTGTTAATAGACAAAGGATTATAAATATTATAAAAAATATATTGATACAATATATATAATATATATATATTTTATTACCTCACTAAAAGTCAATCTATCGAACTTTTTAACAGTATAAATTATTTTTATAAATATATATTTTTTTCATTTTAAGTCAAAATATTAATTTTATATTTTCGTATATTCCACTTAAACATCTGAAATTTTAATCCAATGTAAACCACTTTAATTATCCCACTCCAAAATATCTAATACTCCCAAAAGTATAATTTGTACTACAACACACACAAAAATAAACAAGAACTTTAGAAGAAGACAGACGAAGGTAATATAAAAATGATCAAATTTAATCCAATGTAAACCATTTTAATTACTTTTATCCTATTATTGAAAAATTAACCGAAAATATTGGCACGAAGATAATGGACTGCTCCAGGCTGCATTCAAGCGGCCACCAGAAAGTGCCTCCCAAATCTATCCAGTTGTAGCTGTGCAGTCTAATTTTCTGACTTGGGATTGGGAGAAGGAGCTTTGATACAAAAGGAGAAGCTCTCTGCATTTGCCGTACTGCGTTTGCTCATACACCGTTGGACAATTCCGACATTTACGGAATCAGCACGAGCACCAGAATGGGCGAGCGGGATGCACAAAATGATCCAATAAAAGCACGGCCAGAAATCCCTAGTCGGATAAGCAATCAAAGGCGTCGACAGGAACTCCACCGTGAAGAAGAAGAACGCAACCTGACCGCGCCATTCCCGGCCGACCATATCTGTGCAGAGCACCAGGGAGCATATTCCGATCCCCGCCGGAAATATTCTGTTCGCACCTCAGCTGAGCGTCGGCGAAGATGGTGACGAGCGTGGTCTGGGAATCGAAAATCCGTTACAGAAATGATTAAAATTGTTTAAATTTGGACTGAAATTGTTGAACTTTTTATATTGAAAATGAAATTAATTGGTTATGATTTCAACCGTATTGTTCCCCCCTTGTATAAATGTTTATTTTGCAGGCCAGCAGAAGTGGAGAACTGCAAAGCTGGGAAGTCATCTTGGGATTGAAATGTGCGATTGCTCCTTGGCTTTGCCCTGTCATCTCTAATCGATTCTCTTCTCTGCACTTCATTCAATCGCGTTTCTTGTTTGATTCTTTCTATTCCTGTTGTCGATGTTGGCGCGAGTGTTCAATCAAGTTTCGGTTACTCTCTGAACGCCCAATTTGATTTTTTAGGGTTTTCATCTTGTCCATGGAAATTGAAAAGGGGAATGAAGCGACGGACAACGAATTGCAGTTGCCGGAAAGTCTAATTCAGCGCATACAGTCTTTTCTCACCGGCAAGAAGGCTGCTTCGACGATTGTGCTGTCGAAATCGTGGTACAATGCGTGGTTGACTCGTCCGAATCTTGATTTTGATGACCGCTACTTTCGGGGTCGGAATCATGAGATGTTCTTGAATTTCTTGAGGGTGAGTATGGGAAGGTACGAAGAATTGAAATTGAATATAGAGAGTTTCAGGCTTCGTATGACTGTTAGCGATATTGATGCATCTTCATCTGCTTCTGGATTTATTGTTAAAGCTATAAAAATGGGTGCAAGTCGTTTCGATGTTGAATATCATCCCCCATTATTATCTGAATTCCCTTTAACAAAGGAATTGTTTCAAAGTAATGGTTTAGTTGGATTATCAGTTTCCGGGTGTAGAATTTTGTTAGGGGAGGTTATGTGCTTGAGACTTACAGCTCTCTGTTTACATGAGGTTCGAATGGAAGAAGCCATGCTTAGGAATATAATCAAAACATGTCTGATGCTCGAAAATTTGTCCCTATCTGATTGCCAAGGATTTGAGAAAGTTAATGTGACAACTTGCTGGACTCAGGATGCTTACTGTTGCCAGAAATGCGACGACTCCAATTATAAGATGGAACCCCTTAGTTGAATTTGCAAACGAACGCGTGGGATCAGTTGTCGACGATAGGATCAATGTGTCTCAGTTTATGAAATTGCGTTGTTTGGTTCTGGAAAGTGTGAGGCTAGATCAGATGGTGTTTAGTGATTTCTTGACTAAATTCCCTTATTTGGAGGATCTAAAGGTTCACTATTGTAATGGTTGTGTGAGATTTGATCTTTCAAGTCCTTCACTCGAGTACATAAGCTTGGCAAACCACAAGAAACTGTCGATCCATCTTGTTGATGTCCCCAATATCCGTAATTTTAAGTTTTCAGGATCTATCATACCTTCATTGGCATGTACCACAACATCAAAGGAATGGGAGTCTGATATAAGATTTACAGTGTCGAACACTCTTGGTTCTGCGGGGTTTCTTGAGATGATGAACTTTTTGACAGAGCTAAGTCATTCAAAAATTTCTCTAGTTATTGAGTTGCTGTCGAGTCACGTAGAGTTTGTGCCGGTTGTTCACGATTTCCCTAAACCTGTTGTGGAGAATCTGACACTGAGAGTCCATTGTTGGACTTCAGTGCCTGACCTTTTGGATGGTCTAATTTGGAGTTTTCAGCCTAAGGTCGTGAACCAAGAGTTGATTCGGATGTTCTACAGATGCCAGAACATGGAATGTGAACTCCTCCACCAAACCGTCAGCAGACCAAGCGCTCAAGCACTGCAGTTCCTATATGAAAAGCTTACAAACTTCGAAAGTTTTGAATCCTGCACTCCAACTGAGAAAATAATCGGCTGGCATGAGCTCAAGGAAGTGAATATGGAGTATTTTGAAGATGTTCTCAAAGAATGGCTGCCTCTTCCAAGGAAAAGTTTATTAACGGAGATGGAAGTACACGTCCGATTCCATCTGAGATGGGGGTAACATAATGATACTGGACTTCGGCTCATATAAATTTTAGCCTTGTGAGTATATGTTTTTGTCCTTTAATGGCGTGCGAATTTGAATCTCAAGGCTTTATTTTTGCCTCAGACTTTAGTGTGATTCATAGTAGATTGAAACCTAGACTTTGTTTTCGTGATTGTGGCTTTATCTAGCAATCTGTGTAGATTGCTGAATTTTGATTCGTCATAGATTACCAATGGCGTTTCTCTAATTCAGTCATGTGTATTTTCTCTTGTTATGCAAGTTTGAGAGATCATATACTGTCATCATGAAGCTCATGCTAGGATTCATCATATGTTCTTAAATATGTACACTTCTTGCAACCTAGGACATAATCTGCAGGGCTTCTCTAGCTTTCCCTAGTATGTTGAAAACAGTGGCCGCGATATGGTGAGATGTCAGGCCTGCTTCCATCAATTGGTCTGCCGGGGATCCATGGTCGATGTATCGGTCAGGAAGAACAAGTGGCCTCCACTGGACAAGTTTCATATGTCAGAAAAGAAGGTTTTCTTCTATAATGGATCAATCAAGCAAGTTGTAGTGAGGTTCAAGGTTTGTACCTTTAATTTGCCGTCAAGGAGCCCATCGAGGGCCATGAACTGAGCTACGTGAGCTGCAAAGCCACCGACAGCCCCTTCTTCGACAGTGATCAAGACTTCATGTGAGTTTGCTAACCTGCGGATAAGACCTTGGTCCAACGGCTTGCAGAAGCGTGCATCAGCCACTGTCAACTGTAAACCATGGGGCTCCATTAGTGCTGCTGCAGTCATACAGCTCTGAACTGCTGTTCCATAGCCGAGCAGAGCCACTCTCTCCCCCTCGAGAAGTATTCGCCCTTTGCCAATCTGAGAAAATTCGGTATGTGAATTTATGTTCTCAATCATAAGGATATGTATATTATGTACCTCAAGGGGTATGCCTTTGTTTCCAGGTGGGAGCTCTACGCCAATCCCGTTGCCTCTGGGATATCTGAAACAGCTCGGTCTGTCATCAATGGCAGCAGCAGTGGCAACCATGTGAAACAGTTCAGCTTCGTCTGCAGGAGCCATAACCACCATGTTGGGAAGGCAAGCCATATAAGTAATGTCGAATGCCCCACAATGTGTAGGTCCGTCTGCCCCGACTAAACCTGCTCTGTCCATTGCGAACCTGACTGGGAGCTTCTGCAGGTCAACATCGTGCACCACCTGGTAATGGAACCGATGACAATGAGGACAAGAATTCGGAAAGTACAGACAAGACAAATATGAAGATGCATTTGGATTTCGCCTGCCTGGTCGTAAGCTCTTTGCAAGAAAGACGAGTAGATTGCACAGAAGGGTTTGAGGCCTTCACATGCCAAACCTGCGGCAAAAGTTACAGCATGCTGTTCTGCTATCCCAACATCAAAACACCTGGTTGGGAAACGACGATCAAAAAGGTTTAAACCCGTTCCCCCACCCATTGCGGCATGTATCGCTACAATATTATTGTCTTGTTCTGCTTCTGCAATCAACGCCTCTGCAAAGTAGTTTGTGTAAGCCTGAGTCGGAGTGCTCGATTTGAACTGTTTTCCAGTTGCTGGATCAAACTTTGCCACACCTGAAAAGAAACAGAATGTTCCTCAATTCAGGTAAATTTTATTTATCTGGATTTGTTGTGCTGATAAATGTACCATGGTATTTGTCTGCAGCTTTTTCAGCGTATGAATATCCTCGGCCTTTCTCGGTTACAACATGGATCAACACTGGACCTGTTGTCTTGGTACTCTTGACTTCTTTAAGAATTGCAGTCAGATCATCAATGTTGTGGCCATCAACTGGACCAATGTAATAAAGCCCTAGCTCCTCAAACAGTGTTGATCCTGAACCACTGATCAGCCCGCGAGCATATTCATCGACTTTTGCAGCTAACTCATGCATCGATCCTCCGATTTGCTTGGTAACTCCCTGCAACAAGCAGCCTTAATTGAATCAATAATTTGTAGTGTTTTTGTATTTTCCCTCAGTTTGCATCCGTCATTTTTGCAGATACTAACCTTGGCAACTTCTCTTAGTTCTCTGAGTGGCCGATTTGACTGCAGCCTGCTCAAAGCACTACTCAAGGCTCCTACTGGAGGGATGGGGCCATCTAAGTTAGCCGTGGGTAAGGAAACCTGTTTGTTGTCATTAAGAATCACGATCATGTCTGAATCCAGGTAGCCAGCATTATTCATTGCTTCATAAGCCTGGCCGGCTGTCATAGCACCATCCCCTATCACGGCCACGACATGATTCTTTCTCCCTTGAAGATCCCTTCCCACAGCCATTCCTGAACATCGGAAGATCAGATTCCACCCTACCATTTAGGAACTTGGAGGTGGCTTAAGATTGTACCTAACCCTGCAGAAATCGTTGTCGAACTGTGACCAGCGCCGAAGCAATCATAGTTGCTCTCAGACCTCTTGGTAAAGCCACAAAGCCCATCTGTCTGTCTCAAGGTTGGCATCATGTTCCTTCTTCCAGTTAAGATTTTATGTGGATAAGACTGCAGGTGCAGAATGAAGTTACTATGGAAAAAAGGACAGTAACAGAAATCCTATCAAATGTTCTTCATATGCTCTGATCAAACCTGATGGCCAACATCCCAAAGAATTCTATCCTGAGGAGCATTGAACACATAATGGATAGCCACAGTTAGCTCAATTACACCAAGACTCGAACCAAGATGGCCCCCTGTCTTGGAGACATTGAAGATAACATCCGATCGAAGCTCGTCAGCAAGCTGCTTCAGTTCCTGCATCAGAGTGAATATCTGGTAAGAGAAACTATAAACTTTTTCAAACCAAGATCTCAATGCAAATTGTTTTCTTGAAGCTTGATTTTTAAGTACACACTGTTTATAATCAGTACCTTTGTGGAGAGATTCTTCATGTGAATTGGGTAATTGATAGTGTCCAAAAGAGGAGTTGGAGGTTTCTCTGAGAAATATTCTCCTCTTTCTGCCAATGATGCAAAAATTCCACTTGACCTTTTCCTTACCTTCAGCAAGAACATTACAGATAAAAATTGAAAAAGCATCTTTGGTAGTGTGTCCCTTTTCTGACTTAGAGATTTATGAATGAAGAAGTAGGAAGCAACATAAAGAACTTTCTCTTGATCATGGGCATCCCCAAAACCATATGTATATATGTTCGAAAAGAGTTCGAACCTGATTGTTCTTGCAGGTATGGTGAGGATGCAGATCTATCCCATGTAGCCACTGATGCCATAATCCGGTATGTTTCTGAGCATCTAAACCAATTATTTCCTTGCTGCTCAAATTCCCAGGAAATGCAAATGTGCAGAGAGCCATCACACACAAACACACAATGTGAACTCACTAAACTTCACAAACCCAAAAAAATTCTACAGTTTTCTCAGTAAACACTACTAAAAGAACTTTCCTATTTCTTCCTTTCTCCAGAAAGACAAAGAATTTAACTTTCTGTGTGTTCTTGCAGAAACAGGGATTTGGGATTCTGATCCCTTTATACCACTGAGGTTTTGGTCTCAAGGAAAGACTGTTTTGGGAAAATGGCCGTGACTGAGAACCTAGTCTTTCTCTTTCTTTCTCTCTCTCTCTCTCTCACTCTACTTTCTTTCTCTTATAGCGTGTCTGCACTGCAGCCAATAGATTGAGGGTATGGCAGTGGAAGATGACAGAGGAGGAGGCAGAACCAACCACTACCATTTGGCCAACTCAGCAGAAATCACAAATGGATAGGGATATGATAATGTATCCATAATACCTACATTCATCCTCCAAGGAAAAGTATATATGGAGTGTATAGGAAAAGTATATATGGAGTGTATCTGTCACCACCAGTTTCACTGGTCTCAGGTAATTAAATGCTGCCAAATCTTAAGCCAACACCTTGCTTGATTAATTTCTCATTTCTTAAATTGCTAATTGGATTGATGAATCTTGACCTCAGTAAGCCTGTTAAAAGCAAGAGAAGTCAAATTTGCACATACTGTTTCGCGACTTAGTGGAAATCTGCCATTGGGATTGGATTATTGTTAGAAGCCCTCTCTTTTTTTATGTGCTCCAATAATCTTATCTTTCTGTCAGGTATCATTATTCATGCACTACATGGTTCACGTGAATTGGAGTATGGCAAATGTCAAGATCAGGTTTGTGTACCCCACTACACGTTTTTCTTGTTTTTTTTATATTATTATTACCGTTTTATGGAATGCTGCTTTCAATTGAATTATTATTACCCCACTACACTGCACCGTCCCTTGTGGTTCATTTTCTGTGGCTCCTGAATAAATATTCAGGAATTAATTAAGACTGTATATAGGAAAAAGACTGTGAGGGCGGGTTCAAACCTGAACGCCTCCCAGTCCATCTGCCACACATGGTCGTCTAGTGTGATATACTTAGTTTGCACAGTATTAAATTCGACTATGGGTTTACGTGGTGCTCATTTTTAGGTAGAATTTATGTTGTGGGGTGAACCGTGATTGTAAGATTTTGGATTCAAATTACGATGTTGTCAAGTCTTGTGTGCCACACATGATTGACTTGCTTTATCATACCTAATTTACATGCTATTAGGATTCGCTGGGATTTACCCAGGATGCACTGATTTCCACATTATCAAAATAAATAAATAAAATTTCGATACATAAGAGGCTGTTTTTTTTTTCACTTAAAAGCCGCTGCATGCTTTTAGACGGATAGTATAAATTAGTCAACTAAAGCTACTTCCTGACATAGTTGGACTGACAGACAATGTTTTGGGCTCTTGAAAGATTCACTGCTATCAATGTTGTTGTGGTTATAATGGGCCTATTCAGACCATAAGATCCCCTTCTTTTGGGCTAATAAATGGACCACAATTTCTTGGATGTTTTAGGACAAGAACTAAGCTTGCTATAGTGCAAGCCACATTTATAGCTTCTCATTTTGACCTTTATTGTGTGTTCTTGGCTAAGTAAATGAGTAAATATGAGGTGTCACTTAAGTATCACTCAATTATCTAATTAAGTTCTTCTGAATGCAACAACTCTCCAGCTGATTTGGTACAACTGCCCGTGGAATCTTTTTGCATTTCTTTATCTAACCAACTGACTTTTCCTAACATGTTCCAATAAAATCATAATTATTCTCATTCTCCTGATCGATAATATTTGGAAACTTCAAATTCAATAGTTGATTATACTGTAAAGAAATGGAGGGGTGGTGATGATTAGCTTTGTTTGTTTGCTTTAGGTACATATTAGTTCGGATTTCGTTGTCAAGAACAGGAGTCGTGATTACTTTAGCTTTGGAGTAAATCATGGTAGCTGTTGAATTTGTTAATTGAAATGTGTGGCTTAAGATATCTATCTGTGATTCCGTTATTTCATTTTTTGTGGTTGAATTTGAGAGGGATTAGGGTTCCCATGGTGAAAGTTGAAATCCCTGTTTTGTTGGAATAATCTGCAGACCCACACCCACACGAGATATGAATCATTCGAAGGTTGGAATTCGATCCTCCACCGATCATTTCTCTGATTAATTTTCAAGAATCTGTCGTCTTCATCTTGTCTCCTCACTCTGATCACAGCGATTGATCACAGTCGCTGAAGAAATCCCTAATTCCCCTTCAAACCCTAATTCCATGTTTTCCAGAAATTAGATCAATTTCAAATTTTCAATCAAGATGCACTCAAATTCCCCGCCTCAAATCCCAATTCCAGCCTCCGATCCCACCTCATCTTCCCCATTTGATTGGTCTGATTTCCTCGATTTCAACCTCGACGAAGTGTGGGACGCTTCCCTCCCGCAGGCCGATCCTGGACACGACCCGATTCAACCGCCAGAGATTCCGGGTCGTGTCAGGAAAAGGGATCCCCGATTGGTCTGCTCCAATTTCCTCGCGGGTCGGGTCCCGTGCGCCTGCCCTGAATTGGATGAGAAATTGGAGGCGGAGGAGAAGGAATCCGTGCTTCCGGGGAAGAAGCGGGCCCGGACGGTGAGGATTCTCCGGTGCCAGGTGCCAGGCTGTGAGGCAGACATTGCTGAGCTGAAAGGGTACCATAAGCGGCACAGAGTGTGCTTGCAGTGCGCTAACGCAAGCGCCGTCGTGCTTGACGGGGAAACCAGGCGGTACTGCCAACAGTGTGGAAAGTAAGTCCCCGCCATTAGCCTTTTAAGCTTTTCTAGAAAGATTGATATATTTGGGAATGTTTGTTGATTGCTTAATTATTGCTTCTGTGATAATGAACAGTGAATTTTTTAATTTTTCGATTTTGTTTATTTGTTGCTTCTGTGATGATGAACATTGTAGGGTTCAGCTTCTTTTGTTGCCTTGTTTCGATTCGATGTTATCATTGAGTTACTGATCCTATTGGTCGTGGTCGTGGTGGTTTAGCAGTGGTATCATTTTTGCAATCAATGTATGCGATGTCTGCTTAAGAAATTGACAATCTTTCCGGTGTGCTTATGATTTATGAATCGGTATGTTTCTGTGGGAATGGATTGTGCGAAAATTCCGTTTGTGCTTCGTAGGAAGATTTATTGTGGAAATGAGTTGTTCGTGGTGTTTTTGTGCTAACATTGCAATTTTGGCAGGTTTCATTTGCTATCTGATTTTGACGAAGGTAAGCGTAGTTGCCGAAGGAAATTGGAATGGCATAATAGACGAAGACGGAGGAAATCTAACGACTCTAAGGCAGGTACAGATAACAAAGCTCCACAGATTATCTTGACAGATGATGTTAGCGGAGATGATGATGCCGGAAAAGGTATCTTTCCTTGTTTTAATGTTGAAGTTTATGCCTCACAATTCTCATCCTTGCCCTGATCTGATTTTATTTTTATTTTTATCGAATTTCCTTCTCTAATGTCGAAAATTAATTAGGTTGTGTTTGATGCAATTCTTGATAGACTGTGTTTTTCTATGAATTCCTTTTCTGCTTCAGATGGCATACTTGAAAACCATCGGCCGGACGAAAGAGAAATATTATTGGGATCGGAAGCACATGTATCTTCTGAAACCATGCCCAGCGACAGTTTTGGATCATTTGCTGCTTCAGGTGAAATACCTATGGATGTGCAGAAACAGATTCCGAAATGTAGTCCTTCCCCGGCTTGCTGTGATGCCAACAAGAACACTTATTCTTCTCTGGTACGACGTCAGATAGATAAGCATTCTGCTTTCTGTTGTCTTTTTGCTCGTGGAATCCCGCTCAGGCTCGCTCGGTTTTCTTAGTGCCCCACCGGTCGGATCTCCTTCAAGCTTTACGACTGGAATCCAGCTGAGTTCCCTCGACGGCTTCGACTCCAAGTATTCAAACAATTCTTGTTGCAGTTTAGTATGAAATAATTGCTAATACCCTTGTCGAACGATGCAAATCCCTTTTGTTTACCATTATACCGCCTGTTTTGCAGATATTCCAGTGGTTGGCCAGCATGCCGATCGAATTGGAGGGGTATATTCGTCCCGGTTGTACGATTTTAACAGCTTTCATTTCAATGCCAAAGCCGATGTGGCTTAAGGTAATGCTCTGTGTCGTAAGTTTGTATTCGCATATTCGGATGAGCCGGTAATAGTTTTTGTGTCGGGGCAGTTATTGAAAGAGCCGACTCTGTGTATAAAAGAGCTCGTCGCCTCACCCGGGAACATATTGTCCGGACGAGGCACAATGCTTGTGTATCTAAACGACATGATTTTTCGGGTCACGAAAGGTCGGTTTTTGCATTTTATTGCGTAGTCATTTCGTGTTCATCTTCGATCGTATCAAATACTGAATTCTTCCGGAAATACGCAGATGCGAAATCCGTATCGAAAGTTACGGTGAGGGATCGAGCTCCTAGGCTTCATTATATATATCCGACGAGCTTTGAGGCCGGTAGGAATATGGAATTCGTAGCCTGCGGAAGTCATCTAATCCAACCTAAGTTTCGGTATGCTGCGCCTGAATTTGTTATCGGTTTTTTTCTTCTCGATTTTTACGGGGATGCTTGTAAATTTTCTGATGCCTTCACGGCAGGTTTCTTGTTTCATTTTCCGGACAGTATTTAGCGTACGATGTTAGTATATCGTCGTCGCTGCGCTGTAATAAAAGCGACGGATCATGTCCCGACCATCAGCTACTGAAGATTACTGTCCCTCTCGCTGATGCGAACCGTTATGGCCCTGCGATTATTGAGGTTAGACTTCAGAACTTTGTCGTTAGGACCAACTCGTCGTATTTTTGGTTTCTTACATTAATCGGATTGTCTGTACAGGTCGAGAACCAATCCGGCCTGTCCAACTCAATCCCGATTCTCATCGGCGACAAAGAAATTTGCACGGAAATGGAGATGTTGCAGTGGAAATTCGACGCCCCGTTGCCTCGTCCAGGTCGATCATGTGAAATCTTGTCGTCGAGACAGGCTCGATTCTCCGACTTTGTATTCGACTTAGCGTGGTTGTTGAAGAAACCTGCGTCGATCCAACAGTTGTCGCCGTCGCACATCCTAAGACTCAACCTTTTATTAACCTTTCTTATGGATAAAGATTCTTACATCATTTTGGATAGAGTGGTTGGCGCCGCAAAATGTGCGGCGGATTACGATTCGGTTGATGCTGTAGGAATGCGATCGTTGAGGATGAATGTGGCGATAGCGCAGATTATACTCGATCAAAAATATCGGCGAAAGGATTCCATGGTAAGAATTTCGACGCTTTGACGAAATGTTGATTAAGTATTTGTTGGAATACTGCCTGATACTTCCGCTTCAAAGTATTTTTTTCTTATTTAGAAAAAGTAATTATGCATTAATACTAAAAAACTGTTAACTTTTATTTAAATTATAATCATATCATGACGCATAAATTACTTTATACATAAATGTCCAAATTTATACACTTTCAGTCGTAATAAAATATTATTAATGGACATAAGGGAGTATGTAATTAATGATGCATTTTCTACTATTTTAAGTTTTTAGATGGGATGATCATTCTGGTCTTACAGGCTATATTCGAAGGAACGAAGAACATTTCGTCGGGTGTCGGCAAATTTGTGTCGTCTCCCGATACCAACGACGCGGCTCCGTTCCTGACGAACGATGTTGTAATGAATATGAATTTGGAGACGACGATGAGGAGGCCGAGGAAATCGTGCGGTAATGTGTTGACGAGGACATTCTCGACTTCTCGGCCGGCTGTCGTGGCGGTGGTCGCCGCCGTCGGCATCTGCTGTGCGGTGTGTGCGGCGGTTCTCCACCGTGAGGGGGTTGGTCGGATTGCTACAACCATTCGGAGATGTCTGTTTGACGGCAGGAGATTTTAGAGTTAACGGTCGTCAGATCCCTGGCTTATTGCCCGAAGGGAATTCTGAAATTCTTGTTTGGCTGAATTTTTTTGAACTCGTAATTTGAGAGCTAATTTTGTTCTTAGTTTTATTTTATTTTTTGTATTTACAATAAATGAAATTGTATGATGAAATTTAAACGTTGTGATTGATTTTCTTTTGTAAAATTATTTTTAATGATGATTGAATTACGATGAGTATTGGGGCGTTATTATTTTTTACACGAGTTATTTTTTTTCTAAAAATAACACATGTATTTTTTAAAAAAATTAATATATTATATTTTTATTATTTTTATATTATTTACATAATTTTTTATATCTAATATAAAAATATTCTTTTAAATAATTTTACAAAACAAATATACCTTTAATTTTGATTATTATTTTCTTCTTTTTGAAAATATGTGTATTTATTTTAGAAAAAAAACACACCATATTTGTCTAGGGGTGATTCTATTTTTCTATTTTTATAACTCATCTACATTACATTATTTTATTGTTGTTATAATTATTTTAGACGTATTTATTTAGTATTTATAGTCATATGTATTATTATTATTTTATTATTATCATTTTGTTGATTTTATTGTTATTTGTATTAATATTTTAATATTAATGTGAAAAGAATTAGGATATTTTAAATGAAAATGATAAAGATATACTCCATTCATCCTACAAAATTAGTTCATTTTTTTTTTTTTTAGCCGTCCCACGAAATTAATCTATTTTTCTATTATAATAATAATTAATAACTAATATTTCTAATTAAAAAAACTTAACTATATTTTATTAATTTACTAATATCTTTAATTTTATTATTTGTTAATTGTAAATTTAGAAGTTGGGCTAAAATTTTGAATAATAAATATTCAATATTATATAAATAAATATTTATTTAATTTTAAAATTAAACTTTAATGTAATATATAATAAAAAATTGATGTTTTATGGCTGAAAAATTAAATGAAATTTAATATTAATTTTTTTTCTTTGTTAAAAAAAATAAAAAATAGAACTTATTTATAAAGCAAAATTATAAACTTATTTTTAATTTCAGTATTTGACGTAAAATATTATATTCTAATACCGTGTATACAATTTAGTTAGAAATGGTTTGAGATAGTATACCGAAAATATTGAAATATATTGTATATCGTACCAAAATTTTTAATTTATTAAAAAAAAATATCGATATTGTATTAAATAATCAGTATATACAAAAATTCAATTTTTTTAATTATCTATATACACTGAAAATATCTTATTGTATACGTTATCATACTTAAAAAGTCATATTGTATCGAAATTTTGAAATTTTATCGGTATTTTTTTTACGAGTATGCTTGTTAGTTCCTTAATTCAGTATTTGTTATTCGAAAATTCGGTATACCAAAATATTTGTACGGTACGGTAAAATATCATACCAAAAATTTTGTACCGTACGTATGCGATGTGGTATTAAATTTGGTATGTCATATCGAACTATCTCTAACAACAACCAAATTAAAAAAATTTTATGTATTGTTTATATAATTTTTTTAATTACATTTTTTATTATATAAATTACATTTAAGTTATTCAAAGTATATATATATATTTTATCTAAATGCTTTATTGATTTACAATAAATACAATTATTATTATTTTTTAAAAAATAATATGAGTAAATAAAAAAATTCAATATTTAAAAATTAAAGTAAAAAATATTTTAAATTATAATTTAACATTTTATCAAATAAAAAATATTTAATGTAACACTTTATTACATCCATTAATCAAACTAATTAATTATCTAACATAATATTTCTTAAACTGTGTGCCCAAAAGAAACTGGACTAATTTCATGGGATGGAGGGAATACTATATTTTTGTGGTACAAAGAGAGAATATATTACTCCCTCCGCTTTTGGCTATGGTGTCCCCTTTAATATAGACGCTTGAACTTAGAAGAGATATAATTAGTAAATAATTAAGAATATATTAGTGAAAAATTATCGTGTAATAAAAATAATTTTAGATTCAAATTAACATAACTCATTAGTCTAATTAAAATTAAAATTTAATATACGATAAAAGTGTATAAATTTTTTCCAAAAAATGACGGAATAAGTGAGACAGACAGTAAAAAAAAGGGTGGATATAATAAGTGAGACAGACCGTAAAAAAAAAAAGGTGGATATAATAAGTGAGACAGATGAAGTATATACTACCTTCCCTCCACCTTATTTGTCCATTGATACGGGATTTTAGAAAGATTATAGTGAGTAAATGATAAAGAATTATATTAGTAAAAAATAATTATATACTGAGATTAATATAATTAATTAATTTAATTGATATTTAAAAATTATAATATTTAAAATACAACTAAAGTGTATAATTATTTTCTAAAAATTTTATGTAGAATGGAGGAAAACAATTACCATTCAATAAGTAACTATTTATTTATTTATTTATTATTATTTTTTTTTTTACGTAGAATGAGACAAATGAAGTATTATATATATATATTTTTGGTAAGGTATGTTTGATTTTTATTTGAAACCAAAACAATTACCATTCAATACGATACTATTATTAATAATATTTCATCCGTCCCGTTGAAACGGTGGCATTTACATTTTCACGTAGATTTTTTAAATATTAGTATTATATTGATTGTAGTAAAAAAAGACAAAAATACCTCTATTAGTATGGTGTAATATAAAAGTAATGAGATTTGTGTAATATATTATAAGTTAAAAGTGTATTTATTATGTGAAGTAGGTAGTACAATTACTAAATTAGGAAATGATAACCTTGTTTTGACGGAAGAAAATGAAAAATGATAACCTTTGTATGGGATGGAGAGAGTATTTTTTTCTCTCAAAAATATATTATATTAAAATATTATTTAAATAAAAATAAATATTAAACACTCAATTTCAAACAAAAACATGGAGTACTTCTCATTATTTAAATTTATATTCATTTTTTTTTATTATTATTATAAAATAATATTCTTTGTTTTAGTAGAAAATATCATTTTTTATAATTTTTTTTACTATAAAAAAATATATTGTATATTACAAAAAAATTTTAAAACTCGTGCCATATTAAATAAGTATAAATTTCTTATCCATTTTTATAATACATTTAAATAAAAAATTACCAAATACACAAAATAAATTTTTATACAATAAGATAATTTTAAAGAAAATAAGAGACGTGTTCGTTTTGTAAAATGTGTTGGAAAAATTTTGCCACCAATTTTTTATAAAAACATACTCCCTCCGTCCCACATAATTTGTCTTTATTTTTTATTTTTATCCGTCCCACATAACTTGTCATTTTTATTTCTGGAAATATAATTATGCATTTTAATCGCATTTTAAATTTTATAATTTTTTAATTTTAATTAACTATTTACTTATTTTAATTTTAATCTATAATTATTTTTACTAATAAACTTAATTACTTAATAATTATACTTTACCTAAACTCCTGTGTCTACAGTAATACATCCATATTATATGGGACGGAGGGAGTAGTATTTTATTTTATGAAATTATCAATCCAAACACATCATACAAATTCAAACAACTCACACATACCAAAACCAAACAAACTTTGGTTTTGTTTTTTTCAAGTTGTAAGGAATGGATTAGAAAATACAGAAAAATGCCAAAAACATATCGTTGAGGTGTTTGCTTTCATAATTTACTTGTACTAGTTTGTTTGTTTATTTATTATTATTTTTTTTTTAAATATTTTTTTAAAAAAAATTCTTCAATTTTAAATCACAGTTAAAATTATTCCCTACTCAGTCTCAAACAAAAATAACCCTTAGCTAAAAATAAAAATGAAAAATTTGCGAAGGGTGTGTTTGTTTTGTGTTTTGTTTAAAAAAAAAAGTTAATATAAAATATAAAAAACTGTATAAATAATACTCCCTCCGTCCCGTGAAAGATGAATATTTTTGTTAGAGACACGATATTTTAGATAGCTTAGGTTATTAAGTTATTAATAATAAGTTATGAAAATATTTTATTATTTTTTATATGTGCAGTGTTGTTGGTATTTTAAATATCTTTCGAATTATATCTCAATAAAATATATGCAATATAGATATTATCTTTTAGACAATAAAATTTTATATAATACAAATAAATAAAAAAATATATATTTATTTATTTATCGTTACCATAAATTAGTTTTATAAAAAATGAGGAGTTTTAAAAGTAGATAAAAATATTTGTTATTTGAAGAGAGATATAAATAAAAGGATTTTGAGTGGGTCCTACGTGTAAGATGTTAGAAGTTTAATTAAATTAATTTATATTTGTTAAGTATGTTTAAAATTGATAAACTTATCAAAAATAGAAAGAGGTCATCTTTTGTGGAATGTGCCAAAAAGAAAATTGGATCATATTTTGACATGACGGAGGGAGTATAAAGATAATAAAATATGTAATACTCCCTCCGTCCCCGTATCTGCTACACTGTAGATACGGTATTTTAGGATGGGTGAAATTAGTAGATAATTAAGAATATATTAGTGAAAATAATTATCCGATAATATAAATAATTATAAATTAAGATTAAGATAACTAATTAGTTTAATTAAAATTATTAAAAAAATAAAATTAAAAAATTTAAAATGAGATTAAAGTGTGTAATCATTTTCCAAAAAAAGAAAGTGACATGGTATGTGAGACGGATAGGAACGGCAACATAAACATGGTACGTGGGACGGAGTGAGTATATAAAAATGGTAAATAAAACAAACCCTAGCTACTTCAACAAACACAACAGTACATGATATTAATTGGACATGATTTTATGGTCCCATGATAGTTAAATCTTATGATACACACTTCCCTAATTTTGTAATAAGTCAAAATATACTTCCTTTGTTCGTTGATAGTATATATGCTTACCTTTAGTGCATAATTTAATTATAATAAATATTCAATATAATAGGAATAAATTTTTAGTATAAATTTTAAGAAATTATATTATATTGTCATAAAAAAAATATTTATTTCTATTTTTAATAAAAAATTATATTACTTATTATTATTATAATTTTTATTTTATTTTTTATTTTTCTTACTTTAAGAGGTAGTAAAATAATATTATCATATTAAAAAAAATTTGATATTTTAAAATTTGAATTTAAAAATAATTTATAAATTAAAAACAAAATTTCAATTCAATGTTAAATTATTTGTATTTTATATTTTTATAAATTATATTTAATAGTGTTAAGTTTTTAGTATTATTAAAATTTATGTTTTTAAATTTGATATTTAAATTATAATTTAAATATACTACATTATTTATAAAATAAAAAAAATAAAGTTATATTTTTATATTTTAATTAAAATATAATTATTTATTTTTATAGTATATTATAGAATTAATATCATAAAAAACATACCTTTTAAGATGCTTATGAAAATAATACTTTTTTAGCTTCTAAAGTGTTTTGGTGGTTGGCCAAAGTGAATAAATAAATGTATAAAGCATTTTTCTTTTACAAATAGAAGCCAAAAATTTCAAACAAAAGTCATTCCAAAAGGCTTTGTAAATACTATTTATAAAAAAAGAAAAATTCTTATTTTATTAATTTTTTGGCCTTGTACATTCTATTTATAAAAAAAAAGATTGAAATTTTTTATTTTATCCATTCATTTTTATAGTTACTAAAATATCTTGTTTTATATTTTAGTCGATCAATATAATATTATATTAATTAAAATTTATGTTCAATTTATATTTTGGAGATATAAGAATATACTTTTATTAAAAATTAAAATTGAAAAATAATAAATAATTTTTTTTATAAAGGATCAAATTCAATACATAAATTGGTATGTTTAATTGTGATATCAATTTAAAATAAATAATTTTGAACTATTTTCAATAAAAATAAATTATCTCATTTCACAACTATAATTTAGATAAAAATTTAATATTTTAAATAAATATTCAAATTAAAAAAATAAAAAACAACATAGAATGTATTTTTTAACAAAATTATATACATATTTTTCTCAAAAATGTTAATATATTTTATATATTTATTATATTTATATTTTTTATACCATTTTTATATATCACATTAAAAATTATTCATTCAAATTATTTTCATAAAACATTAGTAAAAACTTAAAAAAAAAAAAACTGAAAAAAACAGAGTTCACAGAGGAGAGAGTGCATTATAAATATAGTGACAGGATTCCACGTCATTGACAGCTCCTTTCTCATAATAATAATAATAATTATTATTATTATATACTTCATGTGTCATCCTTATTTGAGTCGACTTAAATTTTAATAAAAATAAATAATAATAATTAATACTCCCTCCATCGTGTTTTGGTCATTGTAATTACTGAAATTTAGGATAAATTAAAAATAATTAATTTATAATATAAATTAATTAAGATTAATATAATTAATTAATTTAAAAAATTTAAAATAAAATTAAAATGGATAATCATTTTCAAAAAAATATATTAGATGTGGGACGGACAAAAACGATAAACATAATAAGTAGGATCGAAGTGTATTTTTTTATAATTAAAAAAATATGTATAAAAATCTAATGATAATTCAAAAAAAAATATATTTTATAATAATCTAAATATAAAAGTGAATATAAATTTAAATAAATAATGAAATACTTGTATACAACAAAATATCTCCCAGTTAAAACCCCTTTCCCCTTCTTCATTCAGAAAAATATCGTCCCCCTTTTCCCCCCTCCTCTCTCTCCTCTTCTGCATGCCTCTCTCTCTATACGTGTATATATATATATCGAACTTGTTCCCAGTTGTTCATCACCACAGCCCACAGGGTAATGCAGTAGGGCTGATAGCCGCCCGCCCCTCCCCATTTCTTACATCAGATTAGGGCTTTTTCCCATCGGACGCCATGGCTGCCGGCGATCTGTACGAGGATGTCGAGAATGGGCTGGAGACACCATTAATTAAACTCGCCGCCGACGAGCCGACGGCGGCCGATCAAAGTAATGGATCCATTGGAATGGTTCTTCTCACCACATTTGTCGCAGTTTGTGGCTCTTTCGAGTTCGGATCATGTGTATCTCTCTCTACTCTCGCTCTCTCGCTAAAACAACTTCGATTTTATCGAAATTCTCATTTATTTATTCATTTACAAAAATTGCAGGTGGGATATTCGTCGCCTACGCAATCTGCGATCAGGGATGATTTAGATCTCTCTCTCTCACAGGTACTTTAATTTGATTTGATTTAATTTAATTTAATTTTCAATTCTCTAACAAACAATGTTTATGTTTCTTTCGAAGTTCTCAATGTTTGGATCGATCATCACAATTGGGGCTATGATTGGAGCAATCACAAGTGGCAGAGTCGCAGATTTCATCGGTCGAAAAGGGGTAAATCTATAATATATTTAATTTTTTTACAGATTAATTGTCATTATCGATTCGATCGATTTAATAATTAATGTTGTCATCTTGTGAACAGGCAATGAGGCTGTCAGCTCTCTTCTGCATCACCGGCTGGCTCGCTGTCTACTTCTCCAAGGTTCATATATATATATATATATATATATATTCATTTACTCATATGCTAACTTTAGTAGTTTAGTAATATTATACGACATGCTGTTATTCATTTACTCATATGCTGTTAACTTTAGTCTAAATATGGACATTCGATCCACACAGAATCGAAATTTAAAATTTGATTTGATTGGAGTTTTTAGTTCTCGGAATAAGTTTTTTATAAATTTCAAAATTTTTCAAATCGATTCGGATTGATGTATATTTTATATATTTAATATTTTAATAAAAATATAAAAAATAAACTCCACGAGTTTAGGCAAGATTTGGAGGTGTCTGGATTTGAACAGACCATCCATATGTAATGCTTGTGTAATAACAATGCAGGAAGCTTGGACGCTCGATTCGGGTAGATTCTTCACCGGATACGGTATCGGAATATTCTCTTATGTGGTATGAATGTCTTTTCTATTTTCTTAGAAACAAGGTTTTACTAATCTGTAATCTTTCATTACAAGTACTAGAATTGTTTTTTCTTGCACAACAGGTCCCTGTCTTCATCGCCGAGATCGCGCCTAAAAACCTCCGAGGAGGACTCGCGACGCTGAATCAGGTGAGCTGCGACTTGTAGGCACAAGACGACACTTAGCTGCAACGGTTTCGATTGCATCTTGTCTGAATCTTACCAATATTGATGTGTGTGTTGTTGGATTTCATTTTTTCTTTTTGTACAGTTAATGATCGTGTGTGGTTCGTCTGTCGCATTTATTATAGGAGCGACCGTGTCGTGGAGGACTTTGGCTCTAACAGGTAACATAGGATTCGGACACTTCTTGTAATAACCGATGTTTATGATGTGCTTATCGATGTTTCCGCAGGTTTGCTCCCCTGTTTTTTCATCCTCACCGGGCTTTTCTTTATCCCGGAATCTCCGAGATGGCTGGTAAGAAAAATATCGTATACCTGAGGATAACTACGTTTATAAGTTTTGTGTTTTTTATGTTTGACGGCTGAATGCTTACATTAGTTCAGACAATACATATTATAATTGGTGTCTTTTCTATTTTCATTTGTTGTTTGTTATATTTAGATGATTTGGGTGTGTCCGCAGGCGAAAGTCGGCCGCTGGAAAGAATTCGAGACGGCGCTGCATACGCTTCGTGGTAAGGACACCGATGTTTCTCGAGAAGCTGCAGAAATACAAGTACGCCCTGTCCGAAGCCCTGTTGAGTTTTCTTTCACCGCTGCATTCTTACAACAACCGTGTTTTCATTATAGGCTAGCATCGACGATCTGCATAATCTTCCGAAAGTCCGAATGCTGGACTTGCTCGACGCGAAGTATGCGCGCCCTGTCATTGTAAGGACAACCTATATATCCTTAATGTTTGTCGATGTTTTGTAGCGAATGATAAGGAGTTAATCGGATGATTTCGATCTTTTGTCGATCAGATCGGCGTGGGGCTGATGGTTTTCCAACAATTCAGCGGAATCAATGGAATCGGATTCTACTCGACGCAATTGTTTGTAGAAGCTGGTAACTGTTTTATCATACATTAAACTTCGCAAATATCCACTACAAAAAAATAATATATTTGTAACGAAAAAAGTTTCGTTAGATAAATGTAATTTCATCCCTAATTTTGTCTCTTACGTCATTAGACCATCTCCAACCCTCCACTTCATTTTTGCATTTGCTACAGTAAAAATACAGTTGATCTACAGTAATTTTATTTCAACGATAAACTTCAATTTTTACTTAAAAATATATTCCTTGTATATTTCTCTTTTATATTATTTTATATAACTTTTCATATTTATAAATTACACTCCAACTTTAATTTATTTTTATATAATTGAATTCTATCAACATAATATTTTATGTAATTTGCATCCTATGCAATGTGCTTTTGTATTTTAATTTTATTTGTAAAATAATTTTATAACATATATTATTTTCAAGTTTAAATAAACTCAAAACATATTGTTTTTTAATAATTATACATACATATTATAATTTTTTTTTTGTGGAAAATATATAAAATAATTAATTTTAAAATAAAAAATTAAACATAACTTTTTACAAAGTAAAATTACACGTTAATTTAAAAAATAAAATTACATATCACTTTTAAAAAATAAAAATTATATCACTTTTCAACAGTAAAATTATTTATCAATTTAAAAAATAAAATAATATATTACTTTTCAAAAACTAAAATTATATCACTTTTAAAAAATAAAATTATACATTATTTTTCAAAAAAAAAATAAAATTACATATAACTTTTTAAAATATAAAATTATATATCATCTACTAAAAAATTAAAATTACACAGTACACCAAAAAAAAACCAAAAATATAAAAAACACTACAAAAAACTCCACTCCAATAATGGTTTTTGGAGTGGAGTAACAATGTTACTCCAAAAATGAAGTAACACTGTTGATTGTTGCAAAAATTGGGGGGGAGGGGGAAGTGGGTTGGAGATGGTCTTAATAACGGAAAAAAATAAATTTAGGGACAAAAAAATTTTATTACAAAAATATTATTTTATTGTAGTGATTGAATCAAACCGATGTATTTTTTTTTTGTCGAAGTGTAGTATATATAGCTGAGGGATTGAAAATCTTACAGGTCTTTCTTCGGGGAAGATTGGGACAATCGCATATGCGATAATCCAGGTACTAAACTGAGCTAATGTTGCCTGATATCCCAGTTTCTTGCAAAACTTGTCCGAATGATGTTTCTTGATCGAAATGAATCGACACCTTTAGGTTCCGGTAACAATGGTGGGAGCGTTACTGATGGATAGATCGGGAAGAAGGCCTCTGCTAATGGTAAGAGTACGAGATTACGCCGACTTCTTGTTATCAAGATGATCGAACTTGTGTGATAACTTGTGATGGAATTTGTCCGAGCTGTCAGGTTTCGGCGGCAGGGATGACATTGGGATGCCTTATGACAGGGACTTCATTCCTACTTAAGGTAGGTAGAGCTTATGAGACATTGTAATAAGATGGAACTATGCACTTTTCTAACAGGCTTTCGACTTTCCTCAGCAGGACCTATCCTGGTCGCCTGAATTGGTCCTGATCCTCGCTGTCTCCGGCGTACTCGTATGCTCATTAACTCAGACAACATGTTGTTTGGATTGAATTGAGGAAGCTAACAACGTTGACAATGGCAGGTTTATATCACGGCGTTTTCGATAGGAATGGGAGCTGTTCCTTGGGTGATAATGTCCGAGGTAAGGTTGTCGAAATCGAACATTATTTGTGTCGTATTTTATTGCAATATGAATGGATTTAGATCGAGCAATGATATCGCTCTCGGATTGATCCCTAGTCAGCACATTGTGACGATATATACAACATATGGTTGCTGTTGAAACATGTGTCATGTATATCATTACATGTGCTCTCAGTTGTATATGATATATCCGTTTATTTTTTTCACTAAGTTTTAGAAATATTAGTATTATATCGGAATGTGGTATGAAGAAAATAGAAAAAAACTAAAATATCCTTGTTATATAGTATAAAGGTAATGACATTTGTGTAATATATTGTAAATTGTAAAGGTATTTTTAATGTTAATAGAAAGTACAGTTACTTAAAAAAAAAAAAAAAAAAAGGAAATAAATATTTAGTTATGTAACGGACCAAAATAGAAAAATTGATAGATTGTTAAAATACGGACAGAATATATTATTAGCATAATGTGTTGAGATTAATAATGACATGTGTTGAGTGAACTATTATTATATGTTGTCAGTTTGTACTTATGCTACATTGTCAGTCTCTCTCAGTGCTAACATGTAATATATGACGAGATTAAAGGTAACATGTGTAATGTGAATTTTATTACGTATTGTTAATTTGTATTTAAATTATATCAACATAAACTATGTGGTGTTTGTATTTTATTTTATTATTATTATTGTTTTATGTGTTATTAGCACTTTGCTTAATATATTGATTCAACATACTAACTACCGCCATATTACTCTATTTAATTATATTTTCAAATTTTTACTATTCTCGAATATTTTCAAAACATATCTAAAATGTTGGAAATTTGATTTGTTCCAGATATTTCCACTTCATGTGAAAGGTGTGGGAGGAAGTATTGTTGTGCTGGTGAACTGGTTGGGGGCATGGCTTGTTTCCTACACCTTCAATTATCTCATGTCATGGAGTTCGACAGGTCATTACACTAATTATCCTATCCTATCCTATTCTAACCTTAATTTCATCGAAAATTAATATGTGTATTTTGAGGTTGTTTGTAGTTATAATTATTATGTATGTCAGCTTTCGTTCATTTGACACTTATTGTTTTTAAAAAATATCGCATCAAATATATATATATATATATTTTTTACAAAAACATCATATTAAATACTAAATTCCTTTTACTTTTTCAGGGATTTTTGCAATATATGGTGGATTTGGGGTGATGACAATTGTGTTTGTGGCAAAGATTGTGCCTGAAACTAAGGGAAGAACACTCGAAGAAATTCAAGCCAGCATCAACTCGTCACCCAAATTTGACCTCAATTGAAGATCATGGCTGCTGTGGTCAAGATTTGTTTATTTAATTTTTTTTTTTTATTTTTTATTTTCTTTCTAATTGTAGGGTATGATTGGATTGGATTGGATTGGATAAGATAGAATAGGATAGGTATGGATTGGACGATGAAGATGATGATGCTGTTTTGCTCTTGACTATGTTACAAATTGATGAGTTTAATTTGGCCTATGCCTATGGTTATTTATTTATTTATTTATTATTTTAAATATTTACATTTGATTTGAATGAATATCAAGAAATTTGTCCAAATAATTAAAAATAAAAATATGCCCAAATAATTAATGTGGCATAAGTAGGCTAAAATATTACATGTCACCATAATAAGTATATATATAGGCACAACAATTTATTAAACACTTATCAACAAAAGTAACACACTTCGAAAATAAAAATATCCTTCAATACAAACTCGTTATTTGTTGGACCGTCGGATTACCAATGGTGAACAAAAAACACAAAATAATTATTAATCATGATTGTATAAGTCTACATCGGAGATTCCAACTCAGAGAAATTCACTATCAAAATATTCGAAACATGAGGATCCATCCTTTTTTTTTTTTTTTTTTTCAAAAACATCAAATCAAATATCTATTTTTCATTTTTTTATATTATACTAAAAATCAATTTTACATTTAAAACATCACATCACATCAACACCTATTTATATCACATTGTACAACTATTTAAATTCAAATTCTTTACTATTCAAATCCCAACTAAAAATCCAAACCCCCAAACAAACACACCCTTAAGATTTCCATCCTCATGACCTATCCTACTTTACCCTCTCTTTGCTCATTGATCTAAAGTCTTTTTCACTATCCAAAATCTACTCGGTCGCTTCTTCAAAGAATTCTAACATTATATTCATATTTTTCTATTTTTGTTTTTTTTTTTTCACTCAATACTCTCTCACCTCCTTTCTCGATTTTATTGTCAAGCTAAATCTAAAATATAAAAATATTAAACCTGACAAATTCAATAAATAATGGAAACTCTTTTTTATCTTTTTTTTTCACTTCTATTAAGTTTGTTACAATTGATTTTTTAGAGTATACAATGTGGCAATACGTGCCATCTTTGAAGACTTCCCCTAAATTCGGGATAAAGTAAAGCTCGTTATAATAATACTATAATCAAGAATTATTAATTTTTCACAGTAATGAATAATACTAAAGTATGATTAGTGTGTGTTTGTTTGGAGAATTGGATTGGATTTATACTATTAATCCAATTTTTTTCCCCAAAAACATCAAATCAAACACCTATTTTTCATTTTTTATATTATACTAAAAATCAATTTTACATTCAAAACATCACATCAAACCCTATTTATATCACATCATACAACTATTCAAATTCAAAATTTTTACTATTCAAGTTCCAACTCAAAATCCAAATCCCCAAAACAAACACACCTAGTACTATTTTATTTTTCATTAATACATAATTTATTATAAATTTTATCATTTAATCAAAGATATTTTAAGTTAAAATTAATAATTTTATATAATAATAATAATACATTGAATTACTTTATCATAAGATTATATAATCCATTAGAATAATACATATTAATTTTATCCTACAAAATAAATACACCATTATATAAATAAAAATATTGTACATCTTTATAATACAAAAGTATATTGTAAGAATCAATACATTATATTTATTCCATGTTTTGATAATTTACATATTTTTTATGTTGTCAGTACAATAGTGATTAGTTTAAATCGATAATGAAGTAAAAACATAATAATCAATGTTCCAAAAATTGAACCGTAAAAAAAAAAAAAAAAAATCCAAACAAAAAAAAATAAAAAATCGAATAACTCAAAAATCGAGTATACGTTGGATACGAATTCGACCCGCCACCAAATTCGTAACACCCTCCCTACTTCTGCCTTCACTGGCTCAAAAATATTTAATATTCTTTTCGTCCCTTAACAAAATATTAATTTGATTTTTTGTATTTTTGTATTTAATATTAAAAATATTTTTTATTTAAATAATATTTTATAAAAATATTATAATATTTGTATTATAAAATATTAATAGGTGTATATTTATTTGTTTTCTTTTAATTTATACTACGTATGAATATAATATTAATATTTAAAATTCTGATACATAAAAATAAATAAATATTTAGTTAAGGAATATGAGTAAAAGTCAAAGTCCAATCCAACCATGGCCCAATTCAGATTTATATATATATTATTATTGTAGCCCAATTATGGAGAGTTCATAATTTCATTTTTTAAGACACAAATCTCTTCAATGTATTTTTCTATTCAATAGTCACTCCGTCTCAAACACGGTGTACATTTGTGTTCGGTACGAGAATTTAAGTGGGTAGTATTAAGTACAAGAATTTGGAGATTAAGTGATGTGATTGGAAAAAAAAATAATTATTTATTTATTTTTATTTAACTGATGTGAGGAGATAAAATAGAGTGTATATTAATATATATATATATATATTTATTTATAATTAATTATTTTTAAATTTGAAAATGTTCCAGTGAGTTTGAGATAAAAAAAAAATGTTGCATATGGGGGAGTATTATTTTAACTCTGCAAACAATATATCAATATTATTATTAAAATTAAAATTAAAATCTACAATTTTACAAGAAATAAAATTAAAATAAAATCAATTAAGATTTAAAAGAATCCATCTTCAAATCAAATTGAAAATTAAAATAACAACTTATACATTTATTCACTTATGGTAAAGTCAAATAATAAATGCAATTAATAAATTTGATGCAATTAAAGCTATTAAACGAGTTGAACGACCAAAATATTATTTTGTTGGGACTCGACTTAATTGACTTACCTAAAATATTGTCTAAAATGATGGTCCAAACGTTTTTCCTTATATTGTACATATTTTTCTAATACATAAATTAAATACATTAATTTCATTAAAAAAATTATTATTAAATATTTTATTAACAAAACACATGTTTTTGATATAAAACATCACATATATTATATAAAACGATAGTAGCACATAGTTCAATTGAATTTTTGGCAAGATGTATTTTCACTAGTAAAATAATATTTTCTCCGTCCATTAAAATTAACAAATGGACTCGACACGTAGATAAATAATAATAATAATAATAATTAACTAATGGACTTGAAACGAGATATAGAAAATATTTTATTAAAAAAATAATAAGTAGTTAAAGGTATTTTTACAAATTTAATTAAAAATTAAAGTAAAGAAAGAGAGTGAAAATAATAAAGTTAATAATATTTGTTGTTAATAAGTGTTAATGAAAGATAATAATTAAATATTATATTTGTTGACTATAAATTTAATATATGAACTAAAAAAATGAGTGAGAATAAATTTGGCGGATTCATAAAATAATAATAATAGTAATAAGATGAAATTACACCTTTAACTCTGAAAATTCAATGTAAGATCTCTCTATTTAAAAATTGTATGACTCTCTTTTATATTTTAAAAAATATGGTATGAAATTTTACTTATATAATAAGAAAATGATTTTTTATCTATATGTTTTGCTGACGATAGAGATTTCATACAATATTTTTTTAAAAATACAAAAAATGCCATGTAATTTATACTTAATTTCAAAAGAGATTTTATGTAATATTTTTTAAAGTAAGTGTACATTTACATGTTTAAAAATTTACATTAGACTTTCAAAATCAGTTATTGACAGTTTTGTTTAATAATAATGATAATCGGTCTATATGGGCCGATAGATTTGGGCCTGGTTGGTGTGAACACTCCATTTCTGTTGTGTCAACACCCCACGCGAATTGATGCGCGTAAAGCACACTCACCTTCCGAGCAGTAGTGAAAAGCCAACCGTCAAGATAGAGCCCACACAGCGGAGAAGAAATCGTATGCTTGTGTAGGAGAAGAAAAACTGGAAAGATTCGGGGAATAATGTGGTGATTTTCGTCCGAGCAATTGGAGGTGAAAGAAGGCGAAGTTATTGTTGTAGATTTCATGAATCAACTTTTATTTTATTTTACAAAGACCTTTGAATGGATTGGATGATTAATATACTAATATGTGATTTTTGCGTGTACAGATTGCCTGTATTTTTGTTGAGTGCTCGCGTCACTGAATACATGTGCTCTGCATCTATATTCTGCTACTCTTAGGCGTTTCCTGATTGTGAAAAGTAGCGTTTAGTAGATTGTTGAAAGTTGGAAACGGCGATTGAAGCCTCGGTTTTTGTTTTTTTTTATTTCACTTGTTTGATTCTATTTTTGTTTTAGTAATTTTCGGCGAAACCTTTCCCTGCGTCGTTATTCATCTGAGGATTGAATTGATTTGGGGATTTGTTTGTGTTAACCCTTTTGATGGTGGTTGTGGCTCGTTACTTTTTTTCTGATTTTCATTTTTAATTGCTTACTTTTTCTAGGACTGTATTTTTTCAGTGTTCTTGTTCTTCCCTGTGTTTGATTACGTAAGAGGAATATAGAGGTAATGCGAATTCGATATGTGTTTGTTTGCAGGAATGATTTGAGGAAGTGTGGAGAGTTATTGGATTCTGTATTGAAGAAATGGGAAATCTAGGATAATTGAACTCTGAATTTGGTGTATAAAAGAAGTTATTTTGGTGTTTGTATAGATTAATTGAGGGGTATCGTGTCGGAAATGAGTAGGTCAAGGAGGTATCTCGACCCTTTTGATGACGTTTTGGAGCCGGGAGAATCATCCGGAAGTGTGACGCCAGGTTGTGGCGATGATGAATTTGCACAACTCACGAATCTTAGGTCAGCCCCAAACAAATGCCTGAGTAGGGCGTGGCCTAAAGAGAAAAAGTCGCCCATTTCACCGGTGAGAATGTTGCTGGGAAGGGAGTTTAACTATAGTGGAAGAGGGAGGTTTTCGTTGTCAGATTCTTGCCATGTCCTGAGCCGGTATTTGCCTGTTAATGCTCCTTCAGTGATTGATAAGATGAGGAGCTGTGCTTATGTCTCTCAGTTTTCAGATGATGGGTCGCTCTTTGTTGCTGGATTTCAGGTGTCGGAAATAAACATTTCATCGTATCAATCTTGTGATTGGAGCAGTTTGAGTATTGATAATAGCCCTAATATCCGTTTTTATTTATTTATTTTTTTTTGCAGGAAAGTCATATTAGAATATATGATGTTGATTTGGGATGGAAGGTTCATAAAGATATCCAGACCAAGAGCTTAGGGTGGACTATTACTGATACTTCACTTTCACCAGATCGCAGATTTCTTGTAAGCTTGTAAATTGAATTATTTCTTATATAACCAGGGCAGAAATATGTCGTGATTTAATCACATGAATGTTGTCTCATCTTGAGTTTGGATGGATAGACGAAGCTGAATTGAGAGCTGATGGTTTACTAGGATTTGCTCATTTATGTTACTCTCGGCTGATCATTACTTGTCATTTGGTTTGATGTGATTATGATAGGTTTATTCCAGCATATCACCTGTTGTCCATATTGTCGATGTTGGATCGGGTACAAAAGACTCTCAGGCAAATGTGACGGTCTGTCTTTCAAACCTTTCTAATATTTGCCTCAAGAAAAGCTTTGAACAATTTGATGTGGAATATGATTATTTCTGATTGTGTGTTCTTACGAATTTCAAATTACAAGTTAAGCAATTGTATGGAATTCAACACCATCAGTGTGTTTGTTCAGTGTTTATAGTTTTAGATATTTTGTTGCGAGGAATGGGGAATCGTAAAATTTTTATAAAGAAAAATGTTTTGTGTACTGTTTTTTCTTTATATTGTTATGTGTATTATATATAATATATTGAATTTTGTGGATAATATTTTTGGGAATCGTATAGAAAACACTAATAAGTGAACATACTCTATAATACTGCCCATACTAATCATATTGATGCGGAAGTTCCCTTTTGATTTTATCTATCTTCTCTCAGGAAATCCATGATGGTCTAGAGTTCTCAACTAGTGTCGATGCTTATGAAGACTATTCCTTTGGAATTTTCTCTGTTAAATTTTCAACGGATGGACGAGAACTTGTAGCTGCTAGCAGTGATGATTCAATATATGTTTATGATCTTGAAGCAAGAAGGTTGAGCCTCAAAATCCCCGCGCATACAGTAAGCCATGTTCCACTTGTGATTGCATAGGGACTTTGTACTCATTCTCAATTATAACGAGTATATTTTCAGACCGAGAATATTTCAATGTGGATAGTTGTGCTGTATAATCACTTTATGTTTTTTACCTCACGGTCGTCAAAAACCATTTTGGTGAAGAAAATAAGGTTTAGCAAAGGTGACATATTCGTGATTTGATTGCAATGCCAGATAACGTTGAAAGGGTTGATTCAAAATAACGTTTTTTGGCAGACCGGTGCTTATTTCTATGACTACAATGATCCTGTCTGTAACTACATATTTACAGTTTAATGAATGTGCTAAGTTTTGGTTTTCGTATTTACTGCAGAATGATGTCAATGCTGTATGCTTTGCTGATGAAAGTGGGCACATCATTTATTCTGGCAGCGACGATAACCTCTGCAAAGTAATGTTCATATTCGTCTATAGCATAAACCAAGCTCAAGCTTTTGAGCCTTTCCTTCCCTCATTGCATACAATTTCGTAAATGAAAGTACCCGACCATTTGTTTATTTCACAAAATCGATTTTCTGAGCTTTAATTCTTTCAGGTTTGGGACAGGCGCTGCTTTGTAACCAAGGGGCAAGCTGCTGGAGTCCTGATGGGGCATTTGGAAGGCGTTACATTCATCGACACTCGCGGCGATGGCCGGTATTTCATCTCGAACGGAAAAGATCAAGCCATAAAACTCTGGGACATACGGAAAATGTCATCGAATGCCAACTGGTACGTCCCGTTTTCTTCATTTCTGCTGCTTGTGCTTTTGCATAATCAAATACTATGTCATATCCGTATTCTGGCATCCATCTATTGAATTTTGGCATCGAATAAACTGAATTCCTGACGTGGTTGTCCGGCTGCGCTCATTTTCTGTATATAGCACTCCAAGGCGTAAATACATCGAGTGGGACTACCGATGGATGGAATATCCCGAACATGCAAGAAATCTGAAGCATCCCGATGATCTCTCGCTGGCTACATACAAAGGCCATACCGTCTTACGCACCCTCATACGCTGCTATTTCTCGCCATCGTTTAGGTAATATTCTTACAATTCATTTCTTCGACTTTTTACGTTGAACTGTGAACTGATCATGCATACATTGCCCTGCAGCACCGGGCAAAAGTATATCTACACAGGATCGACTGATTCTTCCGTGTATATTTACGATGTGGTACGCATTTTATCATCCCTGTCTTCTTTCAGCGCCAACGAAAAGATCATTGAACGATCTTTACGTGTGATGTAGGTGAGCGGCAATCAAGTCGGGAAACTCGAGTTCCATGAGGATCCCGTGAGGGACTGCAACTGGCACCCGTTCTTCCCGACGCTGGTGAGCTCGTCGTGGGATGGTATGCTTGCTGCTTGGGAATTCCCCGGACACACCGAAAACCCGGTACAGGTAAAGCGCAATCGACGGCGCCGCAGGTTTTATTACTGATTTTTTATGCATTGTATGAAATGTACAACCTGCATAGCTGCGCTAGTTTATCTATGCATAGACAGAAGAATAAATGTGTTTTAGTTACTTGAGTATTTGGATGCATCAAATATGGTAACTTTTGATGTTGGTTATTGTAATATACTATAGATATCACATGGTGGTTGTTTGAATTTCTATGTTCTATGTCATTAGCATGTGTTGTCGATTAGATATATTATTCTGTATCAATATGTGATATAGGATGAGATTAATGGTATGGACTATTAAATTGATGTATTTGTATTATATTAAATATGCGATATATGACGAGATTAATGGTATGGACTATTAAATTTGCGATATATGACGAGATTAATGGTATGGACTATTAAATTTGCGATATATGACGAGATTAATGGTATGGACTATTAAATTGATGTATTTGTATTATATTAACGTGAATTTTGTGCTTTCGATTGTGCTGTCACAACATATGATATGTGATACAGATGGGTGCAGACTATTGTCACCGGTAGTTTCTATCTTGTATTTGTATTATATTATTATAAATTACTTAGATGTATATCTTTTTGTTAATACTCCTTTAGTCCATTTTAAAAGTATACATTTATTTTTTATATATAAAAAATAATAATATTTAAATTACAGTAGATAGTTAGAGATAATTTTGCTTTTTTTTTGTATAAAAATAATGATGTAATAGTAAAACAGAGATATTTGTAGGAAAAAAAGTGGATTACATAATTACTAAAAAATAAAATAATTACTTTGTAATTAAACGATTCAAAATAGAAATATGTATACTGTAATACCCAATCTATAATCGAGTTGACCAATTACATGTTTTGTTATTTAAATATCTTAAATGTGTTATTATTAATATGTCAACTTCAGACGATTGTAGATTTTTGAATTCATATATGATTTTCATGAAATTTATGTCATTGAACAAGTTTTTAAGTTATCTTTTCAACGCTGCAAACGGTGAGTCAATCTGAGTTCAAACGAAAGAGTTAAAGCTAAAATACTAGTAAAAAATCTAATGTGTACACAAAAATGTTTCTTAAAAATATCATAGCGATTTTAACTCACTTTACAACATAAAATTTCATTTTCTTACTTATATTTTACCTTCATTTTATCCTCCAAATACCCCCGTGAAACCCTAACTCCTAACCCTCCCATCCCACTACTTAAGTTTGAGGTAATTTTGAAGCAAGTTTTTATACTTTTTTTTTCTTTATTCTTGAAATTCGATTTCATAACTTGTGTGCATTATTTTAAGCTATTTCGGTTATTTAAACCACAAAATTACTGTTTTTAAACATATTTCGATACTTCATGATTTTACCTTTACTTTGACATATTATATTAGTTATTTGGAAGAACAATGGATTTTATATAATTTTCTAAAGTTACTGTTAACTTTAATTAGCATTAGCGTCCATATTTGTTCTATTTGAATGTAAAATAGATTTTTAGTTATTTTTACAATAAAATTGTTCTGTTGTTTTGAATTGAACAGACTGTTTGAGTTAAAATGATATTTTGTATTTAATTCAAATTACTAGTTGAATTTTTGGTCATTGAAATAAAATTTAGAAATGTTAGCTTTGATTTGACACTAGTTTCATAATGTTTGGGCTACCGATGAGTTTATAGTGAATTTTATAAGATTTGTGCTGATTTCAGTAAGTTGATTGATCGTATTTGGCGATTAGGTGAAGTCCGATCGATCTAAGTCGCACGAGTCTGTGGTAGTTGAGTTGGTTAGTTCCCTCTAAGTAAGGTACGAGGTTAAATATCGATGTTTGATGATCTTCTAATTGTCACTTGATTGATAAACTATAAGAACAAAATTTATGCCAATGAGCAAGTGATATAAAAATATGATGAACATATTGTTTATGTATAGCCGAATTGATATGAGTTGGGATTTCTTGCAAAATGATTATGTGGTATACTATGCGTGATTGTTGATTTCAAATTGGCAAAATCGGTGCTAGGCTAGCTAATGAGATGAATGGTTGAGCCGGTGCTAGGTCAACTCATATGTATTGATGAGCCGGTGCAAGGTCATCCAATTGATTGAACGTGAGTTGGACTGATGTTAAACCAACTCATATGTATTGATGAGCTGGTGTTAGACCATGTGATTAATTGAGAATGAGTTAGGTCGGTGCTAGATCAATTCATATACATTGATGAGACGACGTTAGGCCATTCGATTGATTGAGACAGGGTTGGGCCGGTGCTAGGCCAACCTCTCTGCATTTATGAATGCCGGTGCTAAGCATGCATTGACTTTTTAATGATTGTAATTTATCGTGATAAGTTTTGGTTTATGCATGTTTAATTCATTACTCAACTTTTGTTGATGTTACTATTTTTCTCTATTATGCAGAGTTGAATTAAAGGCCTTCGTCCACTTGATGGATCATTGGAGTGGAATTTTTATTGAACATTCATAAATTTTTGGATTAGATATTGTCCAAATTTAGGGTTACACATTTTCTACTTTTGAGATACATTAAGATTAAATTTGTATAATGATATTCTAAGAGTTGCATATTTTATCATAAAGAAAATTTTTACGCTCGTTTTATGTTTTAGCTTTAGTATCATGGCAAATTATGTTTTGTATGGCATTGTTCTGATGTTGATACGTAACAGTTAAAATTTTTATTTGAGATATTACATATATACTTTGTGAGTTGATGAAAAAAATATGTTGTTTGTCTATATATGCGAACGGAGAAGGGAAAAGTGTACTGGTTAGGATTAATCAATATTACGATTATTAGCTTAATTAACACAAAAATTGGCAAATGTCACATAATTCAACTAATATAAACTATAGTTGAAAGAATGATACTTTGTAAGTGTGTTGTATTATTATTTTTCATGTGGGAACATCTATGTGTTGTATATTAGTATATTATATTACTATAAACTATTATTGCTTTGATATATGTAGTTTGTATATATTATATGTGTTGTCAGTATTGAATATATACTTTTAGCACAGTAACAACAATAATTTACTAATAACAATAATTTACTCCTACAAAATATAGCAATTTTTTTTGTTTATCCACAAAATAAAATATATGAACGGTCTTTTTTTTTTAGCAAAATATGTTTTTGGTAAAAAAATTCTATTATATATATATTTTAAAAATTAATATGTCATATATATTTATTATTTTTTATATTATTTATATAATTTAATTTTAATAAGAAATATTCATTCAATTATAAATAATTTGATATATATATATATTTTTAATATTTTATAGATACTCAGCCGTCATTTATTTTGCAGACAATTTTTTTATTTTGTGGTATTTCACTAATATATGTTTTTTAACAATCTATTAAATTGAGATTCGAAATTGTAGGTTGGTACTGTGAAAAATGTGTATATTTATTTAAACATTTTCACAATAAAAAACTCACAATCGACGGTGCATTTGCATTTTTTTTTTATCTGAAATTTAAAAAGTTTTGTAAATTTTTAATTTTGAATGATATTTATTTTTATTTGTTTAAGATATTGTATTTTATATTTTTATTATTGTAAATTATTATTATTATTATTAATTCTATTGCTTTTATTTCATCATATAGAATATATTTAACAACAAAATATTTTATATTTTATTTATTATTATAAAAATATTTTAATTATGTGTCGACGTGCAGCACAGATTTAAATGCCAGTACGTACAGATGAATGTAAGAGCACTTTCAATTGAAGCATAGCTTATTGAAAAGCGCAAAAGCGTGTTGTGACAATTCACGACTTTAGACTAACCGTATATTAAAAAGCGCTTTTCTGCTTCTTCGCCGACATTCTCAATCTGCTGAGACAGGGAAAACAATGGCGTCTCCCACGGCAAAGGTTACGTTCCGCTTCCTGCTCGCGGCGGCGGTGCTGCTTGCGCTGTTCTACATCGGACGTCCGCTCTATTGGAAAATCTCGGCCACCGTTCACGACATCCGTCACAACAAGCAGACCGTATCCGAAGGTTGGTAATTTTTCTTAGGGTTTTAAGTTATTAGCCTCCATAGACTACAATAGTTCTTCGATTATTCTTCGTAGAAGCAAATGTATGTGTGGTTCACAGCAATCTCTTCAATTTTCCCTTTGGTTGGTTCAGTCATGGAGGATTTTTCGGTGGAAGTCGTGTTTGGTCAATGTGCACTATTTTGGGTGAAATTTGAACAGTTAATTAGTTATGTGTTTAATTTTGTTTATGTTGAAGGTATTTCTCAAATTGTGCTGGAAGCACAGAAAACAGTGGGGTGGTTCCATGATGAATCGGATTCAGGAAAAAGAGAGGACAGAAGATCTGCTGCTTGAGATAGAAGATTTCATCTATTTACCAGGTTCTGTAAAATATGAATTTTGCTTTTGGTTAGGAGGAATTATTCATCCTCCTCCTCTACAATTTTATTCAATAATATAATTCATGTTCTTGTAGTTTGTGTTAATGTATATTGGAGGGATTCTACATATCCTGACATCATCATCAGTATTGTTCATAGTGCAGCAGATGATGATTGTGTTGTGATTTATGTTTGCTATTTTGATTGGGGAAGAATGTATTTTCAGAAGTGAAGTTCTTGAGGTCTTTTGTAATGGCTTGTTCATCGATCTTAGGATGTGTTTGGTACAGGAGTATTATTTTATTTTACCAAATATCACTACATTAAAACAAAGGTCCACATTAAAAAAAAAAAAAGAAAAAAAAAAAGGGTAAAGCTGTTTATTTTAGTATTAATCTAACCTTTTTATCATTTTAAATTTATGTTTGAAAATAGTTCCGCAAGTAAAGTTTTTTTTGCCAAAATGGTCCTCGTGCTGGATTCGTCACGCAGGTTCGCCGTTGCTGATGTAGCGTTGACGCGAGACATATCATTGTTACGTAGATGCCACTGACTTAGCGATGACACGACAAACAAATTATCTCCACTTTGATGCCATATCAGCTACACTCAGGAAAATTTTATTTATTTTTATTCTTTATTTTACAAAATATTTTGGTAAATAGATCATTTTTTAAAATAGTCTCTCAAGTAGAAAGAATTTTTGCTAAAATTGTCCTCCGATGTTTTGATGAAGTGGCGATGATATGTCAGTCACGTCAGCACTATGTCTACAACGGAAGGCAGTATGGCGAGTCCGACACCGAAGGATCGCAAAAAAATATCAAAACAATGATAAATGGGTCCGATACTTTTTCTTACCCAATAAAAAATATCATCATTCAATACACTTATATATGTCTGTTAATTTTAACTCCATTGAAACTATATTTTACTTGATTAATCATGTTTTTCTTTATCAATTGTAAAAATAGTCTTTTCTTCCAAATATATTTATTTTGTATTTTTTATTTATATTTTTCAGTTTATGTAATAAAATATTCAATTTTAATTCTCTACTGTATTATCTGTATGTAACTTCATTTTAGATAATACATGATATCATATAATTGATGGTAATATAATACAGATACAATTCATAGTATTATTATTTTCAGCACATGATATATGTTTATTAGTTTTGCAGAAAATTTTCATACAAACAACCCCTTTTAATTTTGATTGTCTTATTGTTTTATATATTTTTATTGAACAATATATTATTATTATCTTGTAATATTAGTATTAAGTAGAAATACAATTTAAATTTAAATTAAAATTAAAATATACTATCTCAAAACCAAACAGACTAATTACGTGGGTATAATTTTGATTGTGTTTTTACTCATTTGTCTTTATTTTTTTATTTATAATGATTTTAATAATTGTATTGATTAGAATAAATAAAGTAAAAAAAAAAAATTACAGATATTTTACAAAGAGAGAATCCTTGTGAATATTGTAATTCATAGTGGGCTTGACTCAAATATTGTCACATACATTTTATTTCATAGATTGTTTCTTGCATAATGCCAATTATGAAAAAATAATCAATTATGAATGTTTTTAATATTTGTAATAAAATATATATATTTTTTATTTTCATAAAATACTACAATCAAATAACATTTAGACATAAAATATAAATCCAGGTCCTAAAATAGATGCTTGCATTGAAATATAAGATACTTCTTCCGTCCCATCGAAAGGTTGTCATTTTCTATTTTCGTTTGTCTCAAAACAAGGTTACAATTTCCTAATTTAGTAATTGTACTACCTACTTAACATAATAAATATCCTTTCAACTTACACTATATTACACAAATGTCATTACTTTTATATTACACAATATTAATAGGGGCATTTTCGTCATTTTCACTACAACTCATTATAATACTAATATTAAAAAATCTACTTGCAAAAAGTAAACGACAATCTTGCACCGGGACGAAGGGGAAGGGAGTATATCAATTGAGGGCATGGAACTAGAGCTTTTGTTGTATCTTTTGATTATTTAATACAAATAATTAATTAATAAATAGTGCATTTTATAAATTAGTAACACTCATTTAATATATGTTAAATACAGTATAATTGTGATGGTTGGGATGATGCAAAGTGTGTGGATACAATTTATGGAATTAGAATATATATATATATATATATGTAAATATGCATGAATTATATTAATAATGTATTACAATTATGCCTCTTTATGTAAATCCATTAATGGAGCTGCAAAAGCTAATGTTTGACTAATTAAAAAGTTAAATAAATAAGAATAATTCTCAACAATCTTTTGAGTATCCATTGCCCTAAAGAATTCCAATATACCAATTGTTCTTATTCACTTTTGGTAATAATTACTCAATTGTATATAATATCCAAACCAAATCATCAAAGTGATTATAGATGGTGTCAAATAATTATATATATATATATATATATACATAATTGGCCGCATATTATGTGCTGATCCGGCTAAGTAAACATAATATTGATTTCACTGGATCACCATATATGTAATAAGTTATAATATAATATATATTGTATTATAAATATATATTAGTCACTTTTATAGTATATACTGATTCGGTCAAATCAACATCATGATAATCAACTGATTCATGCCCGTAATTAATCATTTTCACTTCAAATAAAACTTAAAATAAATGTAATGAATGTATGTAGAGCTCAAAGCCAATTTCCCAATCGTTTCATTTGAATTTAAGTTGAGAAATCGGGTTTGTTTGGTTTGTGTTTGATTAAATAACATATTTTGTTAAAAGGGTAAAAAACGGTAATAGTTTTTTTATTAAAAAAATATATATTTTCTTATAACAAACAAAAAAAAATGCATATATTTTTTTAGAACTAGACAATATATTTTTATGAGAACCATAAAACTAAATAATTTCATATTAATTAAATTTCGAATAACTTTCTTTTATTATTATTATGGTTTCTAAAAAAATACAATATTTTCAAAATATTATTTAAATCAAAATACAATATAATAATAATAATAAATAAAAAAAAACTAAAACTACAAAATACATTATTGTTTGGCTTGTGTTTCCCCTCTAAATATTTTATTATTCAAATAGCATGATTCTCCATAAATATATCATTATTTTTATATAATATTATATTAAAATATTATTTAAATCAAAATTCAAATACAAACACAAACTAAAAAAATTAAACCCAATTTGTTTGTAAGTTGTCTCGCTTTCTTTTCTTTATATATATATTATCATTGATATTTCTATTATTCATATAAATTTGATGTTTTATTTAAATATGTTTTAAAAGTATATATATTGGAATTTTTAGAATAATAAAAAAAAAGGGTTTGCTTTCAAAGTTTAGTTATTTATATATTATTTTTTCTAACAAAATTCAAAATATAGTTCAAACGAAAAGCAAATAAACCAAACCTCAAAACAGCACATCCATTTGATATAATGTAAATAAGAGTGAAAATGTTATACTTTTCTTTTAATATATTATCCATGAACAATGCTAAAAGTTAATTAAAAACATAAACAGCCTGAAGTTTTTTTTTTTATATAAGAGGCTCGTCAGGTTGCTATCCGTGATGTTCTTGATTCAAGTCCGACTTATTCGGAAGGGTCTATGTATTGCATGTCTTTTCTTAGTTCTTAGCTTCTGTAAGAAAACCATAAATTTTAGCTGTAATGGACATAGAATCGTCTGTCTTGATCGACGTAACCAGCCATTGTGGATCGATGTGAATGTGTTCTATCAGTTTCATTCATGTTTTGGACTGATCATCAGTTCATGCTGAAGCAAGCAAATTAAGATTTTCTGATTTTGAAGAATAGAGGCTTTGTTTGGAATTAAAGATGGGATTTTTAAGCATATGCATATTATATATAGTGATGGTGATTGGTTTAGTGGCTGTGGAGGGAAAGCCACAGAGGATTCTGTTGGACACTGATGTTGATACCGATGATATTTTCGCGCTTTTGTACATTTTGAAGCTCAATCGATCAGAAATTCATTTGCAGGTAATATATATATATCGATTGGAGTTCTATTTGAAGGTAAATCGATTGTTTAGGGTTTGCAATTTTGCTCTTGATTTGTAGTTCAATTGCATAATTTGCATTTGCATTGATTTCTAGGGCTATATATATATATATGTATGTATTTATGTAGATATATATATATATATATATGTAGGCGGTTACGATCAACGCCAATTCGTGGAGCGACGCAGGGCATGCGGTGAATCATGTCTACGATATTCTCTACATGATGGGGAGAGATGACGTGGCCGTCGGAGTCGGCGGCGAAGGGGGAATACTCGACGGCGGCGAGATATCGCCGGATGTCGGAGGGTATCAACCGATAATCGATCAGGTAATTTCTCCTCGAATTCGTTACTAATTGATTTGCGTTGTTCGTTGTTTTGATGTAAAATTGGATTAGGGCAATGGCACCGCCGGATATTGTCGATATCGGCAAGCGATTCCCGCCGGCCATGGCGGAAGACTGGACATCGATACTAATTTTGGATTCCGGCGAAGCTTCCTCCCGCAGGTATGAATTTGCTTCGATTGAACAGCTATCCATTTTGAAGAATCAATTCCTCCATGAAAATGCTCTGCAAAAGCTACTGCTACTGCTGCTTATGCTTACAAAGTGTTTGAAGAAATGTCTGTTCGATGTGTTGAGATATTATTATGTATTTAGTTTATTGTTTAGATTTAATTGGTTTATATTATGATTTGGTTATATCTTAGACGCATGGATCCGATGGAGACCCGAATCAAACCGGATGATGTAATTATTTTATTTTATTTTATTATAATATTTTAAAATAAAATACATAAAATTATATATATCTCGGGTTGTAATTCGATTTCAACTTTTAGTTAAATTATATATAATTACAACTTAACGGCATGTCATGATATTAATATAAATAATATTATATCACTAACATTACAATGTATTATTCTATTATATGATATAAAAGTAATGACTTAATATATTGTAAATTAGAATTATAGATAGTACAGTTAAAAAATTGACACGATTATTAAATGAGAAATGAAGTATTTGCTAGCATACTGTGTCCTACTCATCACTTAGTACGACCATCGTCTAGATGTTAAATTGTTCAAATTTATATTTTCTTTTCTCGATTTTTTTATATACTTTCTTTTATTAATAAAAAAAGATAAATAAATAACAATTATTCCTCATGTTCACATCTCTAATTTCATTATCAATAATATAAACAACACTGAAATTCTTATGTAACAACACGATGCTGTTTTTTCAGGCATGAAATATCCTGAGATTGTTTTCTGGTTTAAATCAGGGCAGGAGGAGATACTCGCCTCTGCATCAGCCCACAGCTCAGAGAGTGATGACAGACGCCATTTCTGCAGCTCCGATCACAGTACTCACCATCGGAACAGCCACAAATCTAGGCATTTTTATGATGAGCAATCCACATCTGAAGAAGAACATTAAGCACGTGTACATCATGGGAGGTGGCGTGAGGTCCAAAAACCCGACGGATTGCGGCCGGAAGAACTCCCGGCAGCCTCGCCAGTGCCGCGACAGGGGAAACATATTCACTGACTTCACATCAAATCCTTATGCAGAGTTCAACATGTTTGGAGATCCTTTTGCTGCATACCAGGTGAGAATTTTTTATGTCTTTAGAAGCATAATCTTTTGCTGATTTTTATGAAGGTTGAATTGAATAGAATCGAGCTTTAATGGAGCAGGTGATCCATTCCGGAATTCCGGCAACTCTTGTTCCTTTGGATGCCACAAACACCATTCCATTGACTGCAGAGTTTTTTGAGGAATTCGAGAGGAATCAGCACACCTTCGAGGCGCAGTACTGCTTCAAGTCCTTAAAAATTGCGCGAGACTCCTGGTTCGACGACCAATTTTTCACGGTAATGAAATTGTTGAGATATTTTAGATATTCAGTTTTAAATTTAAATTTAGATTTTATCTTATTCATATATTATACATCCTCATCCCTTTTGAAACGGGGCTTTTGAGTTTTGTAGTAAATTAAAAATTAATAGTACTTTATTAGTCAGTAGAAAAAAAAAAGAAATGTTTGACAGTCTTTGACTTTTTGTATAAAGTAATTTTATGGGTAATGTTACATTTGTAATTTAAGTAAAAAAGCTGAGGGAATTTTAGTAGAAAATGAATACTTTGAAATATGAAAACTACAATGATAAAAAAGTATTTTGAATTAAGACGAATGAGAACATTATCTAGATTTGAATATATGAGTCTCTTAGTTTGTTTTATGTTGTCAATAAATAGACCTCTGTTTTGATGATAAATAACGCAATTTTCTAGTTTCCATAATTTATTTTCACATAAATAATTTCTCTTTGGACATGAACATGAATACAACATTGACAATGTGAAACATCCGTTATTGCAGAGTTACTTCATGTGGGATTCATTTCTGTCCGGAGTGGCGACTTCAGCCATGCTCAAGCTTAACCCAAACAGCAATGGCGAGAATGACTTTGCAGAGATGGAGTACATGAACATCACTGTGATCACTTCCAACAAGCCTTACGGCATATCCGACGGCTCAAATCCGTTCTTCGACGGCCGGACAAAGCCAAAGTTCAACTTAAAGCGCAATGGTGTTCACAGCGGCCATGTCCAAACCCGGCTTCGCGATCCATTTTGCATTTCCGAGAGCGGGAACGGCAGGTGCAAGGTTATTTCTTGTTTCGTCGTTCTAATTCATCTTTATCTGTAAGTAAATTACAGTCTGCTGACAATGATCCTCTGTTTCGTCGATGATGTTTTAATAAGGATGGATGTACCTCAGAAGTAGCCGGTCGAGAAGGAGTGCGCGCTCTTGTCGCTGTTAGAGCCAAGCCTAATCGTCACGACGAAAAATTTAAACTGAACAAAGAATTCTTGAGAAGCTTTCTAGACGTGAGTTCGAAAAAAAGATCGATGATTTCGTTATAAGTTATAACATTCACGAAAGTAATATTGTCGAAAATGCAGGTTATAAACAGGCCACGACACGCCGGGAAGTTCAATTTCACGACACAATTTCCTCATTACAGAGAAGTTCATTACAAGCCGGATTACAAGGGGCGAAACCTCGGCAAGACTGTTGTTTTCGACATGGATATGAGTGCAGGAGATTTTCTTGCCCTGTTTTACCTTCTCAAAACTCCTGTCGAAGTTATAAACCTTAAGGTAAACCAATCTTGAACTTCCTACAGCTGCTGCCATTGTTGCACTCTGTTGAGACCTTCATGTCTGCTGTTTCGATCTCTCCAGGCAATACTAGTGACTCCGACCGGATGGGCTAATGCCGCGACAATAGATGTAATCTACGATTTGCTACACATGATGGGGCGCGACGACATTCCCGTTGGTCTAGGAGATATGTTTGCTCTTAATCAATCTGATCCCATTTTTTCAGCTGTAGGAGATTGCAAATACAGCAAAGCCATTCCACACGGCAGCAGTGGATTCCTCGATTCGGACACATTATTCGGGCTGGCTCGTGATTTGCCTCGAAGTCCTCGGAGGTTGTCGATGTCCTGTTCTTTGTATGTGACCAAGATTTGATTTTTTTTGCATACTGAACACTTGTGATTGATCATCCCTTTTAGGTACACAGCGGAGAATTCAGTGAGATTCGGAGCTCTTCGAGACACCGATCGCCCTGACCTCAGACAGCCACTAGCCGTTGAGGTGTGGGAACATTTGATCGAATCAATCGAGCCCGGATCAAAAATCACGATTTTGGCGAACGGGCCGTTGACAAATGTAGCAAAGATATTACTCTCGAGCAAAGAATCGAGCTTTCGAATTCAGGTCTTTGTCAATAATGTAATGTCTGATGTATGTTTGAAAGATTCAGTTCATCGATGTTTTGATTCTTGTTGTAGGAAATATTCGTTGTCGGAGGACTTATCCGCAGCCATAAGAATGACAAAGGGAATGTGTTCAACGTACCTTCGAACCGATATGCAGAGCTCAATATGTTTCTTGATCCTCTGGCTGCAAAGATAGTTTTCGAATCCAGACTCGGCATAACTCTGATCCCGCTCAACGTGCAGCGCAAAGTCGGGGAATTCGTTGAGGTTTTAGAATGCCTCTCCTTAACAAAGAAAACACCTGAAGCTACATTCACGACGCATTTACTTTCAAGATTGCAACGGCTAAAATCGACGCATCATAGATATCACCGCATGGTATTCAAATACAACTAGAGCTGTTAAACGAATCGATTAGCTCGTAGGCCAAGCTCGACTCGACTCGTCGGCTCATTTATAGAGATAAACGAGCTGAGCTCGAACTCGAAAATTATTTTTTTTACAAACGAGCTCGGCTCGCGAGTAACTTAATTGAGCTCGTTAGTAATAATATATTTATATTATATATATATTAATATAATATATATGATTTTTTATATCAAAATTTATATTTATTATAAATATTTGAATATTTTATTATAAAAAATTGTGAATAAAATTAAATATAATTTATATATTAAAAATATATATATAATATGTATAAAATTCAAACTGAGCTTGATCTTGCTAGCCGAGCTTGAGCTTGAATTTGAGCCTAATGAACCGAGCTTGAGGCACTATTTTGGCTCGAACTCTTAACGCGCCGAGCCGAGTTTGTATCGTTAAAAAGTTTGAGTCGAGCTCGAACAACCAATATTCAGTTTGCTAGGCTAGTTTAACAGTTCTAGACACAACTAGGAATCCAATGCAATGGTTTCGATTTCACTCATGTTTTTGTAAGTTCGTCGCAGGATATGTTCTTGGGAGAAATTCTTGGAGCAGTGATCTTAGCAGGAGACAATACAATTCTAAAGACAACCTACAAAGAAAGGAGAGTCGAGATTTTAGCAACAGGTGAAGAATCCGAAGACGGGGTAATAAAAGAGCACGACAAAGGAAGCTTCGTTAAGGTATTGGAAAACGTAGACACATTGGCTTATTACAAAGCTTTTGCAGATCGACTAGGCGAAGATAAACAGTCTGCTGTAGTCGGGAGCTTCAACGATCAAAAAAGGCTGTGGCGAAGGAGTCGAACTTGTAGTGAGTGATATTTAGTTATGCAAAGTTCTAACATGTTTCTACACCCTTTGGCTGCAAAGACAGGTCTCGACAAGGTTGTAAAAAGGCCTCGACTTGACGAGGATTATGCGCCGCAACTTTTTAAATCGACACTTACAAGTAAGTCGAAAAAAGAAAACATCCTTTTGTGCATAGTGATGGATAGAAATGCATTCATAGTTTCTTAAATACAAACTTAGAGAGGATAACAATGGAGACATATATGTGTTTGTTTAGGTCTCTGTCGGAAAAGATTCATCTGTAAGAAGTTTGCTTCTTGTCTGCATTTTTTGCTGCAGAACAAGACAATGAGACAACAAAGATTGATTGAATTAATACGAAGTATGGACTGACAACATATGATTGAATTAATACGATATGTATTGTGTGGATTTTTACTATGTTTACTAACATCGATTGTTGTGTAAACTATTACCATTATCACAGCGTGTGTTGTGTAAAGTATTATCACATATTGTTAGTTTATATGTTGTACTTGTGAATGGAGAATAAATTGTCAGCGTGTACAACATGTATTGTGCAAATGGTTACCATGTATAAATTTTTTAGTATATTCCGATGTTGTATTTTTGAGCACATGAGTATAAATTGACGGTATATGACATCAAATGATATACTCCCTTCGTCCCATAAGTAAATATCCATTTGCTTTTTGCACGTAATTTTAGAAATATTAGTATTATATTGGGATATAGTAGGAATAAAGTAGAAATGACCAAAATAACCTTATTAGTATGTGTGATATAAAAGCAATGACATTTATGTAATATATTTATAAATTGTAAGGGTATTTTGTAGTGTTAAGTAGATAGTACAATTACTAAAAGAGAAAATTGATACTTTGTTATGGGACGGACTAAAATGAAAAAATGGATACTTTTGTTATGGGACGGAGTGAGTAATATGTATTGTGTGAATTGTTACCGTGTGTGAAGTTAAGATTAACCGTACTATGTGGTTGAGTAAACTATTTATTACATTCATATGCTATATTTGTGGGCACATGAAGTATAGAATGATATTAATACAACATGTTTTGTATAGATTGTTACCATGTAATGCTGAGCATATGCTCGGTAAACTATTATCATATAATGTCGATTATGTGTTTATTATTTGTGTTATGCTAATTAACATACATTGTGTGTTATCAATTTATACCTCATATATTGTTGGTTTATACTTAATGTACTGGTTAGAACTTATCTAACACGATAGTGATTAATTATACTGAGAACTGTAACCGCAATCATATATATATATATATAATGAATCTATTGATTTAAATATTGGTTTTTTGCAGCATGCTCATGGACAGGATCCCTTGTGGTTATTTGGTCAACATTTGCACATGTTCTTGCACACACACATCCTTATTTTTTGCAATGTACAGGTGAAATGCACAGCTCATAATACTAAATAAAAAAAATAAAAGGGTTCTTGGAAAGGACAAATATGATAAGATCATAAGATAATTTTAAAAACAGGAAAATGGATTTATTAACAATGAGAAGTTCCCATGATGCTGTTGTTTAGAACAAACAAGAACAAGTAGCAGCAGCTGTTATTTTCTAATAAAAATTTGCATACAAGAGACACCACACAACCTTACTCTTTAGGACAGTGATACTATAAAACCATCACAGAAAACCGCTGTTGTTGTCGATGATGTTTGAAAGACTTTTCTCGGTTCAGGCGATGTAATCCAGCATAGGAACTGTTCCACCAGCTGCCAAAATCTGCTGCTCTAACTGAAAATATGATTGCCACTTTGTAAGGATCTTTTCTACCGCTAAAATTGTTTCCAAATAAAAAGTAGGCAAAATTACTTATAAATCACGTGTGATTTGAAAAGCCTATATTATTTTAAAGTCCGCATGAGACTATTGCATTTTTGAAACATTGCATACAATTTGTGTTTTAGGAGATTTTGCAATATTTTCAAAAAAACGATAAAGCCTTGCGTAAAATTTAGAGAATTTATGATGAAAAATTTTCAAAGTACAGTAAGTTATAAGCAATTTTTCCTAAAAAAAATACGGACCCGTAATAGTGCCTCGAGCTTGGCCTTCACTAGCAAGTATTCTTGTTTAACATTTTGCAAGCATTTGAGGCATCTGCAGATCATAAATCAAATTAGCAGAAGCTTCAGAAATCGAAATTCTTACAAATATATATATATATATATAATTAAATGTAAGAAGTCTAACCCTTCAACATTTTGCACTTCACAAAAGCTTCTGAAATCAGTGCAGGCATTTCTCACCCTCTGTGCCCCAATGCTGTTTGTTGCATCACAAAACCCCAATTAATTAAAAATAATAAAAAAATAAAACAAAATGATGATCTTTTTCTAACTTTACTCTTCTTCTCCTTCTCATTATTATTGCATAACATCAACTGAAACAGATATTGTAAGAGCAATGAAGGGTACACTACTGTACAGACAGCAAGCAACAGATCAAGACTTTCTGACATAATTAAACCAATCATTGGAACTGAATTTCACAACCAAAAAACAACAAAACAAGACATTCTTTAATATCATCAAAAAGATCCCTAATTTTGTACCATTCTTGATTTATACACAAGACCAAAAAAAAAAGGTTTTACCTTGAGCTACTGCCCTTAAGCTGATGAACATGAGCATCAATCTTCTTGAAGTCCACATTTTGCTGATCCCTGTCCAAAATTTCAATTTCAATTCCAATAAAATTCCCATTATATATATAACAAAATAAAATGCAATAAAAATCCCATTTCACAGAATGCAAGAATGGGTTGAGTTCTTGTATATATATATATATATATTTCTTACAGGGCAGTTGTAAGATCATTAAGAAGCCTCTCAGAATCCTCAAAGAAAAGGGACACAACTTCCACTACAAAATCAGGGTTGCTTTCATCTTGCAGAAGTTGCAGCTGTCCAAACTGCCCATCCAAGAAATTCTTCAAAAAAAAAAAAAAAAAATCAAATCTTTTTTTATTTTCCAAGAACACAAATTAAAAATCAAAAATCAAAATCCCATCACCAGAATTAACAAATACCTCACGAAACAAAGCATTAGTGTAATCACGAAAACTCCTCTGCAACTGATCCACCTCCATATCTTCAAAGAAAACTAATCCTCAGACAAATTTGTAGTAAAAGTGGGCTTGAAAATTGGTGTGTAAAGATTAGTTGGGATTTTGCAGATCTTGAAAGAAGAATAAGTAGGAAAGGATATCGTGAAATTTTTGGATTGGGGATTTGGTGAATTTAATGTGAAGTGCACTGACTCAAACTGAAACAGCAAACCAGTCGAAGGAGAGAAAGAAGAAAGAGAGAAAAGGATCCCTAAAGTTAATAAATATTAATGCTGTCTGTCTCAATTTTATTTTAATAACATGTATACTGCCCAAGGCATCTTCTTGTTTTTTATATTTCTCAATAAAATGATAAAAAAAAAAAAATTTTTAAAAATAATGATTACTCTATCTTAAATATCATTACTATATTTAACAATATATTTATAATTAATAATTAATGATAGCATTTTTTTGTTTTTTCTTTTTTCAAATAATATAAAATTCAAATCATAAAAAATTACACTGGAAGTGAAAAACAAAACACCCCAAAGGCTTTCATATATACTATTTTTTAAACTTTTGATATATATTTATTTACAAAATACTATATTAAATATCTAATATTTTATTATTTAAAAAAAAATTAAATCTCCAACAGTTCTGTCTACAGTCTATAGGGCTATGCAAATCCAACCAATATAGTCACTTACCTGCTGCTTTCTATCATCTTGTAAGCCAAAACCCCACATTTTTATTTTTAGAAATTTTAAATATATATATAATTGCAGATTCTGCATACAACAATGTCACCTCCAATTATATGCATCTTTATCTCTCTCCCTGCATACATATTAGAAAAATAATAGTAATAAAATAATAATTAAACTTTGATCTGTACCTGTCAGCTGACAACACACACAAAGAGACCAAAGCTAAACAAAACAAAACAAAATAAAACAAAACAATATTATTTTGTTGTTGTTAAAAGTGGCATAACCTGATCCTCAATAATCAAGATTGACTTTTTATTAAAACCCTTCACTATTTTATTGAAAAATCATTTCATTCATTATTTGGTTTCAATTTTGGAAATTTATACAATCAAATAAAATTAAAATTTGGAGTCGTTGGCATTGTTGGAAAGTACCATAACAGAAATTTGTGTAATATTCTGACAGATGGGCTGAGATTTGTGCAATCAAAACAGAAGTGGACAATACATTGAACTTGGATCCAATTCTTGATTGATCATTAGGGAGGGTTCATAATATTCTCATCTTCCAAGACGTGGGTGGGGTAATTTTTTTTTTTTTTGTTTAAATTTTATTATTTTTAAAAAAGTTTTGTCCTTGGTATTATTAAAAATTGTCTCTTTTTGTTGCTTGGAATAAAGGAATATTGAAATTGAACAAGAAAAAGTGGATCTTGGGCATAGTTTTGGATGCCCTTTAGAAAATTGTTATTTATTTTTGCAAGATAATAAAAAGACGACAAACCCTATATTTTTTTAATATATCTTTGTGTTTTATTGTTTTATTGCATGTAATGTGTTGAAAGACTAATGGCTGCAAGTTGTGTAAATTCGTGGCCATTGGAAGACTGCTGCACAATCCCAGTTGAGCACAAAAAAAGAAGGATCAAGAATAATAAACAAAAAATAAATAATTTTATTTATTTATTTATTTATTATTATTTGACCTCGTGAGTGAAATAATAATATATAATAATAATAATAATAATGTGCAAATTTCAAGATTCCAATTGAGCTAGATGAAGATGAACTTTGATTCACAAGTTGTAAAAGAAGCTGCCAATTACATGTAGTTGGACATATTTAAAAATAAAAATAAAACGGAAAAAATAGCGTTTACTGTATACTATTTGTATTTTAATTTAAATATATCAATGTGACATATATAGAATGTGTTAATTCATTTAGGATGTGTTTACATTTTCAATTTTGGTTTTACTATTCTAAATTTTTTTCTTAAAAAAAATATCAAATCAAACATTAATTCTTCATTTATTATATTCCATTAAAACTTAATTTTATATTTAAAATATTACATCAAATACATATTCATATCACATCAAACTAACTATTTCAATTCAAAATTTTAATATTCAAAATCAAAATCCAAAACCAAAATGCCACGAATAAACACACTATTTTCCAAAAATAGTCTAAAAATACAATATATAATAATAAAAATCAACAAAAAACATAGTATTTCGTTTTCTACAATACTTTTATAATTCCTCGTAAAAATACAAAAACCAAACGCAATTTGATAATCTAATATGTAATTCAAAATAGTGCATAAAATTCATATATTTTGCACACAATAATAATAATAGAATATTTCATAAGTTAATGCATTGATTATTTTATTATTCTCTCGATACTGTTTTCACACTAGACAATTTATATATAATATTTCAAACATCTAATATCTATTTTCCTGTGTTATTCTAGAGCAGTAATAATTATATTATTATCAATAGTAAAGTGTAGACAAAGAAGTCATTTCATTTCTACTGAGTGGATAAAACTTTAAAAGGGAATGCTTTCAATTATTGCGTGCCATGATCATGACCCCAAATGGGAATCTCTTCTTTATATAGATACAACACATGTATATATGTATCTATCTGTGTGTGTATATTGTCTCATATGATCAAATTGACAATTATGATGAGAATAAATATGCATGATGATTATGATGAGTGGCCGGCCACAAGAATGCTCAAATAAATGCACATTTCACCTCTCTAAAAGTATCCCAAAAGAATGCTCAAATAAGTGCACATTTCACTCTCTAAAAGTATCCCAAAAGAATGCTCAAATAAGTGCACATTTCACTCTCTAAAAGTTACCAAAAAGAATGCTCAATAACTGCTGCACATTTCACCCTCTAAAAGTAAGGGTAGCAATTTAGGAATTGTGTCGTATTTTCGAAAACATTGTATAGAAGGGCATCATACAATTTTTAGGAGATTCTGTGCAATATATTCTAAAACATCACGGAACATAAACTTTTCAAACCATAGGTAGATTATAATCAATTTTTCGGTGGACAAAGATGCAAGCCAAATATGTCACCTACCTATCAGTTCATTGAACTTGAACAGTGTAAACACACATAAAAACATAGTTTTCTCAGATTCTGCAACACATGAACAAAGGAAGAAACAAAGCAGAATGTGAATGTGAATAGTGATGGTGATGGTGATATGCAGGACAAATTGTATTGTAGTCTACTGTCGATTTTCGAAAACGCTAAGCAATTCTTACAATATGCTATAAAAATATATTATTTTATCTCAAAACATATCACATACAACTCACTATTTAAAAATAACAATAATAATAATAATAATAAATCTCCAAATAAACACACCTATTTCCTAAGCATCATCGCACATATGGCAATGTTAGCTCCAAGTAATAGCTCTAAGATTGTAAGGCAGACTCTATAATTCTAACATAGATCAAACTCGAATGGTTCACAAAATATTATCCCAGCAAAGTTTCTCAGCTTAGTGAAAAGTAATCAGGAGTGCTGATTTAATATCATCTAGTAAGGAATATTACAACACAACAAGAAAATCATGGTATAAAATCGAGGAAAATTTTAAAACCAAATGAGAACCTGAGATTGAATCATTTGCAAGTATATAATATTTGAGAGGGAGAAGTTTAACATGCCTTGCAACTCTTGCGGCAGTATCCAAGAAGATCTGAAGAACCGACCATGTACTCTGGATTTCTCGTGCATTCCCCAAGTGAAGCCCATCTTTCGCAGTTTTCATCTGCATCTGTGCAATTACCGCCAGGTCCAAGAATTTTGTCGAAGGAATCCACATGAATCCACTTTGTTGCAGACCATTTCTCGCCTGCGTCCACAGGGCAGCCGGCGTGGAGACTCTTGGGATCGGGAACTGCATCTGGATGAAGACTGAAGAAAAGTAGCGCATCCCCTTTCCGTGGCTTCACTGTATAGATGTACAGAAAATGACAAAAGATAAGGGAAACAATAGTTCAGTTTATATAGTGAAGATTTAACTAGAGCACAATTTGAGTGATTATCTCACCTGCAGGGCCTTGCCTTCCACAGTCAGAGAATTCTGAATCGGTTGCAACAGACCTTCGGCGAGAAGACTCCTGCACGATTACATATGTATTACAACCTCTTTTGTTTAGAAGAAAAATAATAATAATTATAATAATAAATTAAATTAAATCCACGTACAAAGGACCTTCTCTAAATCAAAAGTGATTGTCCATTTTAGGGTGTGTTTGTTTGGGGGATTGGATTTTAAATACACTATTCATCCCATTTTTTCCCCCAAATCATCAAATCAAACACCAGTTTTTTATTTTTTATATTATACTAAAAATCAATTTTACATTCAAAATATCACATCAGCACCTATTTATATCACATCATACAACTATTCAAATTCAAACACACCCACATGGAAACTCAACGAAAGAAATGCAAGCCTGCTATGGGTCGGTAAAGAAATTCTCAAATCTTATTACTACATGAATGACTACCTAGGTAAAGAGGAATAACGCCACTGTAGGATAAATGAATAACCAAGAAATTCAGAACCTAGGAAGCAAAGAGTTGACTAACCCCGGCAGCAGGAAACACTGTTTCACCCCCTTTTTCTACATCTGTAAGATACATTAGCACAGTGGCTATCCGGTGCCCACCACGAGCTATATTGACCTTGTCAGTAAAATAGTCATAATGAGGGTCATATTTCTGTCCAGGCTCATAGCGTAATACTTGAATGTCTTCTCCATTCTCTGTATGAAGCAAAAGCAGGTAGAGCACACAATAGCAGAAAAAATCAGTCTCTTAAGCTCATATATATTAGGCAGTTAATAGTCAAGATATAACAACAATTATAAATATAACAATTTAAACAACCTTTACGGTAAGTTTATACGAACATAAGGGAAACACAGGAAGAAAACCGAAGCACAAAATGTAACCAACTGATTATTAATTTACCCAGCTAAATATGTCGAACTTCATGAGCGAGATATGAAAATGTATAGTTCGGCCATAATTTGAATACTTGATAGTTGACTGCTAAAATTGAGATCTAGACAGCAACACGCTTGCATTACCCTGGCTATGCTGAAACTCAATCTTTTGTTCCCAAAAACAACCAAAATCCCAGAGGGTAGACGAGGGGAACCCATGTACAAGAATCATGATCAGAATAAACTCAAGAATTTGTAGTGTACCATAATCTATGTTATAACTTTCACATTATCAACAACTGTTTGTGGACGACTTCATCTCACATCAAGGTAAGGGATATCCAAAGCTCACAGCTAATGGAAGATTTACCTTTTGGTAAAAAGGTCCAGGTTGCAATCTTTTCTTCTATGCCATCAACAATAGGATCCTATCAGCAAAAGACAGAAAGAAAGAGCGTTGAACCGGAAGCACAAGACATAGTTCTCAACAGATATAGCAAGTGTGGCAAAAAACATGAAACACAAGATTGAATTTGTTCATGGTAGGATAAACTCAGTGCAATAAGTGACAAACCTTATATATATTCATAAACCTTTGTGATGAACTATTGAAATAATTCTCAGCAGATATAGCAAGGCGGCGAACAACATGAAACACAATATTGAATTTGTTCATGGTAGGATAAATTCAGTGCAATAAGTGACAAACCTTATATATATTCACAATATATTATAACGATTTTCTGTGAGAAAACTACAGAAATAATTTCAGCAGGTATAGCAAGTGTGGCGAACAACATGAAACACAACATTGAATTTGTTCATGGTAGGATAAATTCAGTGCAATAAGCGACAAACCTTATATATTCACAAAATATTATAATGATTTTCTGTTATGAACTACTTAAATAATTTCAGCAGATATAGCAAGTGTGGCAATCACCATGAAACACAACATTGAATTTGTTCACGGTACTATGAATTCATTGCAATAAGCAACAAAACTTATATATATTCACAAAACATCAAAATAACTCTGTGAGGAACTATTGAAATACCAGCCAGTGAGATCTCTACTACACTGGTTTTGCTAGAAGTTGAGTACGGTAAGTGGTAACATCACAAATAATATCAACGCACTTGAAGCATCCTCTTCCAACAAAACTACCAACAAATCCACGCAATAAAGGGATATGATTGTACCTTTCCTTTCGTAATAAACATTCCAGAGCTAGTCCGAACCTCACTTAGCGTACTCTTCCCAGTCTCGCTGTCCGCCACAGCTGATCTCTTCAGCTCTGACTTCGCCTAAATTATATTACACATTTCAAGTAAATTGCCTCGCAAATCTTAATGCATAGAAAAATTTTCAAAAAATAAATCTAAAACTCACCAGAGAAACTAAATGATTGCACTCTTCATCCGTTAGAAAACCTTCGTACACAAATGCTCTAAAAACACAGCAGTAAATTCAGCTCAAGCAACAGTCGATAAACATATCGAAATCGCAAATTCACGTCTAATTCACAAAAATAAAAAACAAAAATAGCGCATCACACACCTCGGTTGCCATGAAATGGTTTTGACTTTCGAAGGATTAACAATCGAGCTGCACGATACGTTCCTCGCGATCAAGGCGATCGACAGGAAGAAGAACAACAGAATGCGTCCAAATTCAACCATCAATACAAGATTTAATCGTCCCTTTCCCCTAATCCGAAAGCCTTTCCAACAAAGATCTTTCCGTAGATCAACCGCACCAGTTGACCAGAAACCCATATTTATATATATACAGAAAACGATAAAACGACGTCGTATAAACTGTAGCCGTAATCCATTAAATAAATACGAATATTGCATTTCGCACCCCCAAGCCCACCATAATGACAGAACAGTCCTTCCCCCTTCCAAACTCAGTTTATATATATAAAAAGCCCATTTTTGCAGAATGAAAGAAAATAACAGGTTATATACAAGAAAGTATATATATTGTCCATAAAAAACCTTTGAGAAGAAAATGCAGAGCAGGAAATCTTATCTTTCCCACAGCACAATCTGTTAAATTTTTTCAACTACCAAAGTTGCTGAGAACAAGAACTTGCAGCAGCAATGGTGATGGTTAGGACAAGGCTGTAGAACCCGATTGGATGGATGGATCAATCGATCAAAGCTGAGTTATTACAGGTTTGCGCGATCGGGTGCGCTGATGTCGTGGAGAAGGATGTCTTGATCCAGTGGCGAGTTGCATTTTTCGAATTCTTCGGTGATCAGCTCCAAGTGCGGCCTCTTGAGTGCCGGCCTTTTTTGGAACTTCCTCTTGCTCTGCAGTATGCCCTCGTCGCCTTTCAACATCCTCAAAACCTGCATTGCTCGGGCGAGGCAAATCAATTGATCGAATCATTTTAAATTTAAGCCGCCACCAGATTGCTGAGGGAAAATGTACCTGGCTCATTTGAGGCCTTTCGGCCGGATCATGATGAATACACAAGGAAGCAACCATAACCATGCTACTCAGTTGTTCGGGGTCGTAATTGGTGCCGAGTGATGGATCGACCAGCACCGTTGTATTCTTGCTGCTTAGGTGAGGTTTAGCCTGAAAAATCACAGTTCGATTCCGGTTAAATTTGAGCTCGTTAATAACTTGTTGCTAAGCTAAATAAGCCGAACACAAACATAAATATATATCATTTATAAATAAATGATAATAATTATTATTAATTGAATTTAAATTTCAAATAGTAAAATAAATATATAAATCCTCTTAATTACGAACAAAATAATTGCTTAATAACTCGAGCTCAAACAAAATTCAGTTCGTATATCTTAACGAACGAATACGAGCCACTTAACAAACTGAGCTGAAGCATGAAAAGTTTCAGCTCAGTTCGGCTCATTAACAACTCTAGCGGGAGAAGATAACTTATAACTCACCCACATCACAAGGCTTTTACTTGACTCATCGATTGCAGGGCGGCCGGTGATGATCTCTAAAAGTAGCACCCCGAATGCATATACATCGGTTTTCTCATCAACTATACCGTGCATGAAGAATTCAGGAGGCAGATAGCTGCGGCGAAAGTAACATCAGAATGATTAGAATTACAGCTGATTATACAACGAAAGGTTTCCACAGAATGAAAGCACACGCACCCGAATGTGCCTTCAAACTGTGAAGCAGTGAGGTGTGTCCATTGATCCGGAAGCCACTTTGCAAGCCCGAAATCTGAAATCTGCAAAATAACGACGTAAACCAAAGGCAACGTGAAAAGCTGTCCTCCTAGCGTGTGATCAGTTCAAAAGATTTTAATTTTCGTGTTTGGAACTCTACCATAGGTTCTAAGTCTTCGGTGAGCAAAATATTGGCCGACTTGATATCTCTGTGGATGATTCGTCGTTGACACCCTTCATGAAGATAAGAAAGGCCCGCGGCAATTCCAAGAGCGATGTTGTATCTGAGACTCCAAGTAAGCTTCTCCTTTCTGCCTGATGAGAACATAGGCCAAAAGAAAATTAAGATTGTTCGATTCTAACAATACCAGAACATGGAACAGATATTTCAAAATTCTCGTCTAGGAATGAACCTTTTAGCAGAGATGACAAGCTCCCATTGACCGACAATGGAAGAACAATATGCATTCCTCCTTCAACACAGTAGCCAATTACGTTCGCAATGTTTGGATGGCTAACGTGTACTAAAATGCCAAGCTCGGATAAGTAATCTGCAGTCATCTCCTCTGTGTTCCCCCTGGTCAGCCTTTTCACGGCTACTAATTCCCCGCTCTCCATGTGTCCCTTGTAAACCTCGGAGTATCCTCCTTCGCCAATTATGTTATCTAAACAGAATACAAGTTGTGTAAACGAGAACTCTTCTAAAATGTTCGTAATGGTTGATCATGAATCCAAAATAACCCAATGTTACCTCGGCTAAAGTTGTTTGTAGCTTCTTGAAGCTCAGGGAGGCTGAAATTGACCCAAGAATTTTCGAAGCAAAAATATAAGTCAGCATTGGAAGAAAGTTCTGGCAGACTTGGTGGATCCCTGGAAACTCTTCTCTTCGACAGGATTTTTAGGGAAGGAAGATGAGGCATGCTGGGCTGGAATGCATGGAAGTTCATCGTTGGACCCTTCTTCAGCTTGCGTATAAATCCATTCCATGGCGATCCTGGTTTTTCACTCGATTTAGGTTCAGAATCCAAAGCAGTACCGCTTGTCTCTGCAGGGGCCATTGCACTCGCCTCTGCCTGATCTTGATTTTCTTCTTCATCATCTAATTTATTCACCTCGACTTCTAATGATTTGTACTCTAGCAATGGAATTGCACATTTCAGGATTTCAAATTAGCAATGTACGATAATCAACGAATTAGCGTCGAAATTACCTTCAGCAGAGAGGGAAATGGAGGAAGTAGAAAACAGAAGTCTCTTGCCAATTAGGAAGAACTGCCCTGGACTTTCATCAGTATCCGGACGTGCATTTTCACTTTCCCTGTAATTCAGACAAATTTGCAGAACAAAAATTTACGAATTAACGGCAGAAAAGGGAAGAATCGCGCATTCCTGCAACATAAAGTCAAAAGCCATATAACAATTTCATGTTCTTCTTTCTTCAACAACAATGCCTTCTGCTTTAGGGTTTCTTCATTTTGCCCCAAAATTCATTTCTCACGAACCCTAATAAACATTGGCATTCAATTCACAAAGGTATGCTTTCTTCGAAAAATCATGCAGCCATAACACCGTATCTGCAAGGAAAAGGGATATGCATGCAAACAATAAGACAAACGAACAATCGATGGTTCATTACCGTGCAGAAGACAAAGAATCATGATCATTTTCCATGGTTCCTTAGAGACAGCAGAAAATAGGTGCCTAAGGAACCAAACTAATTAAATTTAGGGGTCTGAGATGAGAAGACAAAGGGAAAGAGAGATCATCATGAAAAATAAGTATATAAATGAATATTTATAAAAAAAAATTTAATAAATAAAAACAAATATGGAAGGAATGGTGGTTTGCAAGCATACGTATTTCTCTTCACTATATAAATGCATCATCTCCATGCTAAAAATAGGCTTCCCTGACATAACAAGACAGCAAAATTATTAATTAGGACAATAATTGAAGTTGAATAATTTATGTAAAATCATACCTTGCAATCAATATTAGACCTAATTAGGACATTTTCTATTTTCTCAAATAGGAGAATATCCGCGGACCCTTTTTAGTTCATGCATATTCTGCTATGTACACCTCTTATTATTGCTATCGCTCTGTAATCGATAAAACTCCAGAGATACAAAAGCATACATACGATCATAAGTTTGAAACTGTCGCTCAAGATCAGAATTTTAATACAGACTAACGTTTGGATGGTTCTGGCATCATCATCACATCATGGTTCATCTGATGTGCCGTTAGGATGTGTATCTGCTGATGCGGCAGAAGCGCTTCCATTTGATAGATGGGAATTAGAGTTAGGGGGTTGGGTGGAAACAGGGCTCCCACGGGCGTGCCGATTCTGTGCAGCGGTGGTGCTTCTTGTGGCCTTGGGACGAGCTTTTCTACCCTGCAGCAGTGTGTTTGATCATTTTGTGAATTGGGAGTGCATCCGAATCCATTGAATTTGTGATCAAATAGAAGGGGTGGTTCCAGAAACTAACCTTGCCCATGCACTTCTCCAAGTGAGGGGCAAATCGGCCTGCCATTACAGACCTGCCGCAGTTCATGCACTCGAATATTTCGCTTGCGATGGCGGGGTGAGTCTGCCCGAATATGTCGAGCACATATTTTCCATTGGCTTCACTGTTGTGGCCTGGATCGGATGCCCTTGCTCTCGCTTCTGCCGACAGCCTCAGCTCCTCCTCTTCTTCATCCAAATTACGGTCAAGTCCTAGCTTTGCAATTCGATGCGACTCCGATGCGACATCAATGATGACTGAATCAAGAATGTCTTGGAAAACATGGGATGCCAGCTGCAATTCAAATAAAAGTGCATTGATCTATCTCAATAGGACATTGCAATTCAAATAAAAGTGCATCGATCTATCTCAATAGTACATCGCAATTCATCGACAACCACTTGAATACAGATTTGGCAAAATTATTCCAAGAAACATTAGCAAAAGCCCAATTTGAGAAACCGAATTATTTCCCTTTAGAACATACAAAAAAAGCTCCTTAAAAGACCTAAACTTGTATGTCTATGAAAAAGTTCGTCTAATTACAGATTTCTACTCCCTATTTGGATGAAATAATCAACTGGAATCGTGATATGTATTCAAAATATAGTTGTCAATCTCAGAAAGCATCAAATAGCAGTCAACCTATAAAATGCTATAGCAGAATAGTATATAGCAGAATGACCGCTATTTGAAAATTTAAGTATACCTATAGAAATTATTATATATACAAGAATATAATAAAAATGCATAAGAAAAACCTATAAACTAATTTTATAATTATCAATTAAACCAATAAAATGCCAAAACTGCATACGATCATAGTATAGTTATATAAGCAAAAATAATTACATCTCTACTACTTTGATAGATATATTATCAAGTTAATTTGATTCAAAATCTGATAAATAAATTTTTTCTCCATTTTCACCCTCTTCCCAACTCCCAGTACTCTTTTGCATATAAAATCCTCTTATTTATTTTCATTCATTTTTTCTATTGTATATTCGTCACCATACATAATGTTTTTTCCCGTTCTATGGTTAGAAGTAGTTATAGTTTTCTTTCTCATTTATGTTCACTTTCTAGTGTAGATAAGAGGCTCTTGTATAAATATTATATTATACTATATGATTTAAACAAAATACATACAACTTTTTATACCTAAATGATTCATACATTGATTATTACCAAAATATAACTTAAATACACAATCTTACACATAACGGAACCAACACTAAATGGCGCCTAGCGGCAGATTGCTGCTCGGCTACTCATCATCGCATTTATTGTGCACTATTGACAACTATGATTCAAAAGTGGTCTAAACTGATCAACTGAAGAAACCGTGAACCCTGTCGGAACACTGTAAAAGTATGCCAGCTCTAAGATAGACAAAAAAGATGATTACCTCGGAGTCGGATGAGAGATCATCCTGTTTAAGCAATGACATGACTTTGCAATGAAATCTCTGAGCTGATCAAGATAATACACATATCGAGTGGAAAAAATTAGGGTAAAGGAATTCCTTATTGAAGTGGTGACAGAAACAAAGAGAGAAATCAAATATATATATTACTGCATCATTCCTAAATTTCTTTCTTATTCGATAAAACCAAATTGTATATGAAACCATACTCCGATCCCATTTCAACTCTTCCGCAAAACCGTTCATCCTAATATCAATTCATTACGAAGAATACTGATACTATTAAGTACTTGAAGCTTACACTTCGAATTTTATCCACAAAAAACACATAAAGCAGTATGAAAAGAGGTACAAACACCAATATATATATATATATATACACGACAATAATTCAGAACTTCAGAGAAATTAGAGTGAACTTAACTAACAAAATTATGACCATGCCACTTCAAATTAAGACGAATACAATCAAACGAAACGCAGAAAACATCGACATTGATATCGATTCAAAGATAGAAACCAGTAACTCATTCCAAAAGAATATTTTACAAAAAAAATATATATATGTTATAATTTTTTAACCGAAACTGTGTATCCACAATCAACAGAATTCCTGCAATTCAAGCAGCAATCGGTAAATGGAATACTAAAACCTAAAAGAAACTTACACAAAGAACCGCGCCTCAACTACAGCACTTTGCGATCAGTCGAAAATGGGGAGAACGGTGAACCCATATAACCCAAACTACCCTTTCTAAAAACGCTTACATCATAAATGCGACTTTAATTAAAGGTAGAGAAGCGTGCTATGCCATAGAAAGCCCAAGTACAATAAACGGGCTGAGGCCCAAACGCCTTTTTGTTTATGTTCGAAATTTAATAGAATTAAGGGACCAATATTCAAAACCAATTATTAAGACTATATATTTATATAAAGAATTTGGAAATTTTTAACATTATTCAACAACAATTTTAAAATATATACTATATTAAATATTTCTTTTCACAAAAATAAAATCACATAAAATAATTTTTTATTATTATTTCTCAAATGACGGAACCTAGTTTGCATGTTGGCATGTTGCTAAAGATTTTATCCGAGGGCACTCTTGGGCCGCGGCTGCAAGTTCAATCACATAAAAAAATTAATTTATAGTAACTTTTAAAGAAAAACATCACATTGATATTATTTTTTTATAAAATATAAAATCAAATATTTCTTTAGTATTGCACAAGAAGGTTGTCATTTGATTTTTTATCATTGTATTTAACATTAAAAGTATCTTTATATTTGAATAATTACTCGACAAATATCATTAAAAATCAATGGCAAAGGTTGTCATTTGATTTTTTGTCATTGTATTTAACATTAAAAATATCTTTATATTTGAATAATTACTCGACAAATATCATTAAAAATCAATGGCAATTTTTTTTGCTGAATAGATAGAGTATATATTTTTTTAGTCTCGTAATTGGACCCTTATCATTTTAGTCCCGTAAATGGAGTCTGTCTCAGACTAGTCTCAGAAGTGAAAAATTTTCGTTGTTTTAGTCCTCCGGCGCCGGAGATGCCCGCGTGGCTCGCCGAAGGTGACGTGTCCGCCAGGTGTCGCTAACCTCGCGGACACGTGGATTATTTTTTTTTTTTTAAATTTTTAAATTTTTTTAAAAAACTTATTTTTAATTTATTTTTAATTTTATTTGTATTTTTTTATTTGGTCCAATTAAAAAAAATTTAAAAAATTTAAAAAAATAAAAAAAATAATAAATCCACGTATCCGCCAAGTGTCGCTGACTTGGCGGACACGTCACCTTCGCGCGAGCCATGCGGACGTCTCCGGCGCCGGAGGACTAAAACAGCGAAAAATTTTCACTTATGGAACTAATTTGCGACATGCTCCACTTACGAGACTAAAATAATAAATGGTAAGTTACGAAACTAAAAAAAACAGTTTACTCATGTTTTTATTATTTAAAAAAACTTTCAATACTCTAAAACTTAAAATATTGGTATATATATCTTAATAGTTTAAAAATGGATTTTAAATCAAATTAATTCTTTCATAATTGCAAGGCAATTATTCAGTCCAGCTCAATGGTTAATTATTGCAAATAATTATCATAATAGCAACAATAATAATAAATACCCAAAATTGATTTTATTTATTCCAAGTATCATTTCAAATCCCAATTTATTTAATTTAATCTTTCTTTGAGGAGCCTTAGAATAATTCAAGTTGTTTCTTTTTAGGAAGATGTCTCCATCAAGCCCTACCATGCCCAAGATAAGTATAATTGTTTTTAAATTTTAATTAATAATATACATGTAAAAATATCATCAAGAATAATTTTAAATACAGAATTATTTTTTTTTTAAAAAAAAAAAAAATTGCAAATAGACCCCTTTAATAAAGGGCTTTATGCTTTTGAGAAATTTCATAGAAATGGTCCCCATTTTATTTGATTATTTATTTAAAGCTTTTAAAAATTGATAAAAGACTAAAATTATAGCATTGAATTATTCAACTTTGAAATACCAAAAGTTGAAGTCAATTTAAGCTACCAAATATTTATTTTAGATACTCTTAGATTTGCATTTGTGTATGATATAAGCATCCAACCATATAGTTTGTTTGATTTTAGTTTAAATTTAGTTTAAAATAAAATAGTAAATTAAAATTTTTATTTAAATAATATATTGATGTAATCTTTTATTAAAAATAATACTTGCCCCTCTGTCCCATATCATTTTTTATTTTTATTAGTCTCAAAATAATGGTACTATTTTCTAATTTAGTAACTGTACTATTTATCTAACATAATAAATACTTTTACAATTTATAATATATTACACAAATATTATCACTTTTATAACACATCATACTAATAGGGACATTTTCGTCTTTTTATCACATAATAATTTTCGTCTTTTAATATTCAAAAATTACGTGCAAAAAACAAACGGTGCTCTTCTTGCGAGATAAAGTAATTATTATATTATTATTAAAAAGGTACATAATAAATCGTAGTATTAATTTCAATTTGAAATTACAGTCAAATACCTCAAAATTTACCAATTTAGCATATTTCCGCTTGTTCACATATATAAGAATACTCATAAATTTAGAATTAATACTATGATTTTTTTATCATTTTGGGTAATAAAAATTATTATGTAATTTAATAAATATGGTAATATATATTTATATTTCATTACTTAATTATATATGAAAAAAATAAAATTTGGGGATATTTTTAAAGATAATTTCACATGTTTTTTTATATAATTTCATAACATAAATTTATAATAGTTAATTAAATAAATATATTTCGTTATCATCCGATTATAATTTGAAAAGAATAGTTATAATAATACAACAATTAAAAATAACTAATTAATTAATTCGGCATGTTGTACTATTATACAGTGCGAGCTGGTGCATGCATACATGAATCTGTCTTGGCTGCACGCGCTTCAAGTGACACGTGGCGAGAGATGATTGGTTGTACTATAGACGAGTAATTTACGTGTCGCTTTGTATCCACCCCACTTGTGATTTTATTTTATTTTATTTTATACTTTGCTCAAAACTAAATTATTAACTATTAATAATTAATGTTTGAAGCTAAGAATCACGGCGTTAATGTGTGACTCACGCCGTCAACGTGAATTTTAGAAAGAAGATTAAGGTTTGTTTAAATATGAATTTTTGATATTTTATGGGAGAAAAAATGTATTTAATATGATATTTTTTTTAAAATGAATAACGGGTAAATAAAGCGTTACAATTAGTTTCTGTCCCATTATCTAAATAATTGTGTTTGAACAAATGAGTCATATATTTCGAAACGGATAAAGTATAATTTGAATTAAATTTAAAATAGATTCTATTATTTAATTTGAATTGATTACTATTAATAACTTAATTTGAATGACTTGTTAAGAATTTTAATGCTCCTCTTAAAAGGTTTTGGAAGAAGTTGACCATTGATTTGATATTGTTTTGGAAGATTTGATTTTCATGAAGACGAACTTAATCTTGGAGTTGGCTTCGATAATTTTGTTTTTTTTATGAATTTGGTGATTTGATCTTTACGGGTGAATTTAATGTTCTATAACATCGAAAAGAATTTGACTGGTGATTTATTTTAAAATGTAAAGAATATTTTGAAACTTTGGCATGATCTTTGATGAACATTTTTCTTGGCTTTAATAGATTATTCAACAGATTTTAACGGTTTGATCTGTTCACCATTGTATATATATTCTGAAAAATGTTAATCCATTGATTTATTAACTAATATTGATTCATTTGTTCAAAATAGTAAATTTCAACAAAAAAATATTTCGAGTGATACGAATAGCTTGAAGAAAATTTAAGAGAGAATTTATAGAAATTTACCTATTTATTTGAGTTTTCAAAAATGTGATGAATACTTATAATCCCTATTTATAGGTGATGTGTAATCTCAAATTTATTTTTGAACAAGATCACATGGCGTGTTTCGGTTAATTGACGAAAAAAAATGTTTTTACTTTTCAATTTTAATTGAATGTCATTTTTTTTTTAAAGATATTTGATTAGATTCTTTCATTTTTCATTGAAGCATTTGTATTGTTTTCATTCTCGTAGATGTTAATTATAATATTTTTATTGACAAAATCTATTTTGAGTGTGTTCGATTTGACACATTTTATTTTTACTATTCATTATTTTTTTTAAAAAAAATATCAAATTAATACTTATTTTTTACATGTACTAATTTTAAAAATTAATACTACTACCTCCGTCCTATAAAAATGGTTACATTTTTTTTTTTCGTCATTGTACTTAAGGTTGAGAATATCCTTATATTTGTATAATATATCATTGTATTTGTATTATAAAAGATTAATAGAGATATTATTGTCATTTTCTTTTGATTTATACTATGTATTGATACAATAATTAATATTCAAATATCAATATAAAAAAACTCACGATACTCTTCCTATCGGACAGAGGTAGTAATTATTTTTAAAATACTTAAAATAATACTTTAGATTTATTTTAGTTATAAATATACGTTATAATCAATATTAATTAAATAAATTTCACCTTACCCGACTTTTCCAACTAATTTTAAATTATAATCACGTTAATATTTTTGTATAAATAGAAAAAGTTTATGAATTAGTATTGAAAAAGTTACAGCAAATAAAAAATAGTTATTCATTTATTAAACATTTTCCCACCTTTTTAATAAAACAAAAGATTCTTAATCATGATATAAAAATATTTATCTCAAAAGATAATCCCAACCAAATCACTTACTAAGGTGTTTCCGGTCATCCTTTCAATTCAGGTTGTTATTATATTCTTAATTTATTTTATTTTCAAAAAAATATTATATTATATAAAAGTACGATTTTCAATTATTTTTAAAATTTATAAAAATATATTCATAACTTGTTTGGGGTTTGAATTTTGAGTTGAGATTTGAATACTGAAAATTTTGAATTTGAATTGTTGTATAATATGATATAATTAGGTGTTGATGTGATATTTTGAATGTAAAATTGATTTTTAGTATAATATAAAAAATGAAAAATAAATGTTTGATTTGATATTTTTTTGGAGAAAAAAATGGGATGAATAGTGTATTTAAAATTCAATCTCCAAACAAACACACCCTTACTTTTTTCTTTTTGAAAATATAATTATACACTCTAATCCCATTTTAAATTTTATAATTCATAATTTTTTTAATTTTAATTAAATTATTTTAATTTTTAAACTATAATTATTTTTATTTACTAATCATATTTTTAAGAGACGAAAAAAGTTTTTTTTTTTTTTTTCAATTATATGTTGAAATTAAAATCACACAAATCACTTATTAAAAAGAAAGAAAAAAACTCAGAAGAAAACGACAAATCTGACGGAGAGATCAAACGTCGTCAGCCAATAACCGAGTTAAAGACCGAGTCGAGTGGGCCGAGTTGCCCATGTCGTAAATTTATTAATTAATTAATTTTTAATTACTCTAAAGTACAGTTTTGATTCGAGCGTCGTGGCGAAGATGGGTTTGAAGCCTCGTCCTCCATTATCTGATTTTCTCCCTCCGCTTTCTATATATAACCATGGCAGCTTCCGTAGAAATTTCAATCTTTAATTGACAGTTCCGAGAGGGAATCTGTAACCCTAGGAAGAGGAGTTTGGCTACAAAAATAGGGGCAATCCTGCTCTTCTTCCGCACCTGCAAAAAAGAAAAGAAGAACAAAACTTGCATAATTATTCGTAATTTCACCATCTTTTCTCGAAGAAAGCCTGATTTCTTAATATTGGGGTTTCAATTTTGATTTGTTCGTGGTTGATTTATATTGTTGGCGAGCGAAGAAAAGAAATGGGGACGGAGGTGTTGTGGCCGCAGGATTTGTTGGGGGAGAGATTGCGTGGCCCGCACGCGTCGTCTTTCCAGCGCCGGAGGAATTTTCCGGCGAACGGGAATCTGACGAAGCTGGTCGTCAATCGGAGGGCAAACAACGGCAGGAAGACGTCGCCGCGAGGCGAGAAGAAGAGATCCAACGTCGATAACGGTGCGGCGACCAACAACAAGCCAGAGACGCGGCGGAAGGACGAAAACGGCGGCGGCGGAGCCGCCGGAAAGGCGATCGGAAGGGTAACCCTATTGAGAAGAGGCGAATCTTTGGATTCGTTGATTTCGAAAAAGAGGGGCGGCAGAAACCCTAACCCTAACCCTAGATCGAAGCCTCAACCGGTCGACGATCTGGCCGTTTTGGGAACCGGTCGGATCGGACCGGAGTCGCCGGAAATGATGCCGAATAAGATCCTCCTATCTCCACCACCGTCGCTGCCGCCGCCGCCGCCGCGTCCCGTCTACGCCGGATCGGCCTTTTCCCTATCTCCATCTCCAAAGTCATTACCTCTCCCTTCTTTCTTCAACAAGAAGCAGCAAAATGGCGCCAGCAGCACAGCAAATTCAGCCACCGATTCAGCAACCAGAGACTTGAGGCGTTTGCTTCGTCTCGATTGAGGTTTCGGTAAAAAGAAAGAAAAAAAAATCTGTGAAATTTGATCTCTGTTTTGTCGGGCTCTGAATCTTCCAGAACATCCATCCCATCCGTATATATTTTTTTCAACATACGGGAGACAGGAAAGGGGATTTTCTGGATCAGGATGAGCTCAGGCTCAGGTTCAGCAATGGCAGAAAAAAAATCACAAGCTAAGTTTGATGTGTCTATCAATATATACATATAATTTAATTTCTGTATGGCTCTTTGATCTGATCTACTTTTGTAGATTGATTTCTGAATTTGGGGTTTATATAATTATCTATATATATATATATGTATATACACGCACACATACATATATAGTTGTTTTAGTCTTGGGGATCATATATCATATCATATCAGCATCCTTCGATTTGGTTTGGATTATGGTTGAAATTTGGGTTATGTATGTAATGATTTGCTGCTGTCATTTTTAAATTTGTTTGTATTGTGAGGAGTTGGTGGTGGTGAAGTGGGTTCTGTAAGATGTATTGTCGATGAAATAAGTTTCAGTAATAAGATGACTACTTTGTGGGAGAATTCTTGGTTCTTGATCATGTTCTTGTTCTTGATTTTGGTTCTTGATCATGTTCTTGTTCTTGATTTTGGTTCTTGATCTTGATATTGTTTGTTTGATTGATTTAAGCTTGTGGTATTTTTAAAGGGTTTTGATTAATTTTTCCATTGGAGGGGTGGGGTTAGGGACAGGTAGGTGGATTGATTCTGTCTATATCTATGGTTGGGAAAAACCAGAAATGGAAAATGGTTTGGGCAAAAACAGTGGGTTCGAAGAGTAGGTATGATGAATATGATGGGAGGTGGAGGTGGAGGTGGAGGTGGAGGTGAAAGGTGAAAGGTGAAGGTGAACCACATTTTATGACCTAATAAATTAAATTAAATTAAATTAAATTAAATGATTTAATTTGTAATTGGATTGGTTATGTCATAAGATGAGGTCCACACAGTCCTTCCTGTTTGCGTGTTGAAAGTAGAATTTAATTTGGTTTAAATTTCATTTCATTTCATTTTCTGGTGTTTGGCTGGAATAATGCAGTCTGTGAACAGACAGAATCCAATGCTTTGAGAATTGACAGGACCTTTTGTTTCTTATAATTCGAAGTTGTGAGATTATTTCAATGAAGGGAAAAATTAAAGAAATAATTTTGTCTTGCAAGAACTTTGTCACGTAGCCTTTAGGCTTGCTCATTTCTTCGTTACACAATTGATACGATGTCGGAGGAAATATGAAATAGGGCATCCACAAGTACCCGAATTAAGTCGAGCAAGTTAAGCCCGCCGGGAAAAAGTCGAGGCCAAAGATGGGATCGAATCAACACAATTATCTGATTATCCGTCCATCTTCGCTAACATCATCCTCCTCGACACATCTCTACAACGTTAATAACCTCAAAATAGGACCTTACATACACAAATGACAGCTTCAAAAAAAAAAAACATATGCCGAGAGAAAAAGAGAGCCTTTGATAGATCATAAAAGCTCGGCGTCTGAGGCGCAACACGGCACTTACAAAACAGGGTTCGAGTCGAACATTACTACTTAAGCCCATCAAGAAAGCAACATGATAGTGATCTCAAGTCTTAAACATTACATTCTTAGCTTACAAAAACAACATTTTTTGATCTTGATCTTGTCCTAACACCACCCCCCTTCAAAGCTTTCTCTTTATTCTTACACAGCAGCAATTTAAACAGCAACTTGAGCTGCAGCAAGCCTTGCAATTGGCACTCTGTATATGTCACAAACAAAGTAATACAATCAAGATCCAATTTTTACATCTTACGTCGATAAAAATCATCCTGGAAATTCACCTGAAAGGTGAGCACGAAACATAGTCGAGACCAGCCTCCACGAAGAACGCAATCGATGAAGGCTCGCCACCGTGCTCCCCGCATATCCCAACCTGTCGGTATTATTACAACATTGTCATTAGCACATACATACATACATACATATATATATATGTATGTACTAATGTAGCGCGTCGGGAAGGTATACCTTGAGGTTCGGGCGAGCCGCACGCCCTTTCTCCGTCGCTGTCTTGACGAGGTACCCTACGCCTTTCTGGTCGAGAACCTGACAAACACGCGCCACATTCGATCGATTCAAATTTGATTCGACGATTTTACGTTTCGATCGAAAAATAATTGAAGCAAACTAACCTCAAAGGGATCATTTTGAAGAATGCCCTGAGACAAGTAGACAGGGAGGAATTTCCCGACGTCGTCGCGGCTGTATCCGAATGTCATCTGCGTAAGATCGTTCGTCCCGAACGAGAAGAACTCGGCTTCCTTCGCAATCTTCATTACAAAAAACCTGAATGTTTCGAGTTTCTAGTTCGGATACAAAGCTGGATTAAGACAATGTGCTTATTCTTACCTCATCTGCAACTAAGGCTGCTCGAGGAACTTCGATCATTGTCCCGACTTTGTAGCTCAACGAGGCTCCTGACTCCACCAGCAGCTTCTTCGCCGCTCCCCGAATTAGACGCACTTGATGGCTAAGTTCCTACAACGTCGAAACAACAGCTGTTTATAAACCGATGAATTAGTCGTCGTGTAATGTTAGGACACAATGTTCGCGACAAAACCTCGGGTGTCCCGACAAGCGGTACCATGATCTCCGGGTAGACGATAACGCCCTGCTTTGTCAGAGATATCGCTGCCTGAAATATCGCCCGGACCTGCATTTCCGTCAGCTCCGGATACGATATCCCGAGCCTACATCCTCGGAATCCAAGCATAGGATTCACTTCCGAGAGGTTTTCGATCCTCGTATGTATGTCTTCTGAAGACATGCCTGTGTCTGCGGATAGGCCGGCGATGATTTCGTCAATGTCGCCTTCTGGTAAGAACTCGTGGAGCGGAGGGTCGAGGAGTCGGATTGTCACCGGAAAACCTGACAGAGACACTCATGTTTGTTTGTAAGAAGATCATCGATTTCAGACAAAGATCGATAACTCACCATCCATTGCTCGGAAAATTCCTTCGAAGTCGGATCGTTGGTAAGGCAACAAGAGTTCTAGAGCAGCCTTCCTCTGCTCGATTGTAGCCGCCATTATCATCCTTCGCACGGCCTTGATCCTCTCGTCGGAGGCAAAGAACTGAACGAGACGCCGGTTTAGTACAACCTCGGAAGATGTAGTAAAATTCCTAGAGTCGACAAGATTGAAGACAACTCACCATGTGTTCTGTTCTGCACAGTCCGATCCCTTCGGCTCCGTTCTTCCGAGCCGTCTGCGCGTCGATTGGGCTGTCGGCATTCGCCAAAACCTGTCAAAACGATCGGAAAATCATCGATCGTTCAATCGATCCAAGATTGTAAGATGAGGACAATGTTGTTGTTGTTGTTACCTTGATTTGCCTAAGGTTGTCCGCCCAAGACATGAAGATCTCCAAATCCCCTGTCAAAGACGGTGGCGCCAGCGCCTGTTTTCCGAGGATCACTTCTCCGGTGGAGCCGTTGAGCGACAGCCATTCGCCTTCTTCAACGACTTTGCTTCCGAACAACAATTTCTGCAAGAAAATATCATTTTTGTAACAAAGTTTTTTCGTCCTTAAATCCACATGATATTAGAGACGAAATTAAAGATGAAATTGTATTAGTTACGTGAACTTTTGGGACAAAATTCCGTTACAAATACCAAACCTTATTGGAATCGATCACGCGCATATCCGAGCAACCGGAGATGCAGCATATCCCCCATCCGCGCGCCACCACAGCGGCATGCGACGTCATGCCACCACGTGCTGTCAGAATCCCGACAGCCGCGTGCATTCCTCCGACATCCTCGGGACTTGTCTCCGTCCGGACAAGAATGCAGCTCTTTCCTTGCGCATGCCAAGCCTCGGCTTCCTCCGCGCTGAACACGACCTGCCCGACCGCCGCCCCCGGCGACGCCGGCAACCCCTTGGCGACGACTGAGCTTTTGTACGCGGAAGGATTCTCAAACTGCAAGAACATCATCAATCGACTGTGTCCGAATCGAAGTTTTCGAGCATCGTTGTTTTCTTACAAACCTGCGGATGAAGAAGCTGGTCGAGATGCTGCGGTTCGACCTTTTTTATCGCGGCGCGACGATCGATCAGCCCTTCTTTCACCATGTCGACGGCAATCTTCACCGCGCCTCGACCCGTGCATTTCCCGACTCGGCATTGCAGCATCCACAACCTCTTCTCTTGCACGGTGAACTCGATGTCCTAAAACCGAATCGATACGTTCAATCTCCTAAAAACGGTGCAATGTACGTAAAAACTCATCGTTACCATCATATCCTTGTAATGTGCCTCGAGGATCTCGCAATTCTCGACAAGCTCCTCGTAAGCTTCGGGCATCGTCTTCTTCATTGTCTCCAAATCCTCCGGTGTCCTAATTCCCGCGACAACATCCTCTCCCTGCAGAATCACGAGCGTTATAATCGAGAAACGTCGAACAACCTTGTAACGCAATTGTAAGAACAAGACAAGGTAATCGAACCTGAGCATTGGTAAGAAACTCGCCGTAGAGCACCTTTTCGCCAGTGCTCGGATTCCTCGTAAAGAGAACGCCGGTCCCTGACGAGTTCCCCATGTTTCCGAACACCATACATTGAACATTAACCGCGGTTCCTTTCAAACCGGTAATGCGGTTAATGTTACGATACTTAATTGCTCGGGGGCTATCCCACGACTCGAAAACCGCCTTGATCGCCAACTCGAGCTGCTTTTTCGGATCTTCGCGAAAAAACACAACCAAACAGAGCACTAAATCGACGGTAGCATAGTCGAAACGACGAACATTATGATGATAATCGATAAATCGATGTATCTACCTGATGGGAACTTTTTGCCCTTCGTTCGAACATACACGTCCTTGTATTCTTCGACGAGCTCCTTGAGATCGGCGGCCGTCAGCTCGGTGTCGAGCTTCGCGCCTTTTCGACTCTTCATCGTTTCGAGCTTATCGTCGAACTCGGAATGCGGAATTCCCAAAACCTTACGATTCAAAAAAAGTCGTTATATTATACGGTAGTAAATCGAACATTCATCAACTATTATTACAACAAACTTACGACGTCTCCGAACATGTCGAGGAATCGGCGATACGAGTCATAGGCGAAACGCTCGCCGCTCTTCGTCGCTAACCCCGCCGCAACTGCGTCGTTGAGCCCGAGATTTAGCACCGTGTCCATCATTCCCGGCATCGAGATCTGTATCGATCGTTAGAACAAGAACACAACAACACAATACGGTACAAACACTACAAGAAAATATCATTTTTATAATGAGATCTTTTCGTCTATAAATCCACCTTGTTCGTTACTAAGGACATTAGAGACGAAATTTATGATGAAATTACATTTGCTACGTGAACTTTAGGGAAAAAATTTCGTTACAAATATACTACTTCCTCCCTCCGTCCAAGAAAGTATACATATTTCTATTTTGGTACGTTCAATTACAAGGTAAATATTTCATTAAATACCTCATATTTTTTCACAAATACCCTTATTTTTTATCACATCATTACTTTTACACCAAAAATACCACGCCAGAAGTAAATGTTTACTTTGTAAGTGGACGGAGGGAGTATCATTTTTGTAACAAAATTTTTTCGTCTCTAAATCTACTTTTTCTGTTAGTAATTAGATTAGGTACGTGAATTTTATGGACATAATTTCGTTACAAATATACTATATTTTTTTGTAGTGAAATAAGATAAAAAAAAAATATATTGACGAGATTAATGTGGTAAGATTTCGAGGGACTTACGGCGGCGCCGGAGCGGACGGAGACGAGGAGAGGCTTCGTAGGATCGCCGAGGGCAGCTCCGATGTCTTCTTCGACAATTTTAAGGCCTTCCAAAACTTCTTCCCACAGCCCCGGCGGCAGATTCTTGCCGGAATTTTGATATTCTTGGCACGCCGCCGTTGAGACAGTGAATCCCGGCGGCACCGACAGGCCGATGCTCGCCATTTCCGCCAGGTTCGCGCCCTTACCTCCGAGCTAATTAATAAATTCGTGATCAGAAGAAATCAGATTAAATTTCAATTACAATTACAACAGGAATCATTCGATGATACGATGAAGGAGACAAATGTGGTAAAAAAAAAAAAAGAAATAAAATTGTAATATTTTTGTTGGTGTTCTTACGAGAGCTTTCATGTCTTTGTTCCCTTCGCTCCTTCCCTTTCCGAAAGTGAAGACTCTCTTCACAGACTGGAGAATTAGAACGAATCGAAACGACGTCGTGTTAATTGATTCTGATAATTGGATTGAGAGACACGAACAGATTATGTAATGTAGTGTACCTTAATCATCGTCGTCGTCGACATCGGAAAGCTCGAAGCAGATGAGTTTGGGGGGCTGAGGGAGAATTGTCGATCAGAGGATGGAAGGAGCTTTGGGTGTGACTATGGGTTTATAACGATGGTGAGGGTTAACCAGAGATTGACACGTGTCACGCTGATGCAAAACCCTGCGACGTCTGTAATAAGAGGGCCCCTGGAGCCGAGATCCAGATCTTACCAGTCGGGTTAGTCCTGGACCTCCAAGATTTAGTCGAGGTTTTCTCATAATTTGAAAAAAAAGAAAAAACACTTCAACAGGACACCAAAAAGAGTGGAGAATTTGATGGTGGAAAATATTTAAGACGTAACTGCCCTAACACCTAATCACCTGCGGTTTCGTTGTTATTCAGGACCTATTCTTGTTAGTGGATCCAGGACCTCAAGAGACAGCACCATCCACGCCATTCATGCAGGTTTCCATGGCTACAGATGTGTTCGGGAGTGGAGATCCGGGAGTGGGAGAAAACTAATCGCTGCCGCTCACGTGCCATGTCACGGACGGAATTAATGAAAAATAAAAATTTCTTACAGAGACAAAACCCCAATTCTCTATTACTTCAATTCTGTCTTTCTAAAAAAATATATATATATATATATATTTTTTTTATAAAATATTCTATTATATATTATTTTAATACTTCCTCCGTCCCAAATATTATGTTCATGTTGCCGTTTATGTCCGTCTCACATATTATATCACTTTTTTTTTTGAAAAATGATTACACACTTTAATCTCATTTTAAATTTTTTAATTTTATTTTTTTAAATTTTAATTAAACTAATTAGTTATTTTAATTTTAATTTATAATTATTTATATTATAAAATAATTATTTTTATTAATACATTCTTAATTATCTACTAATTATATCTCTTCTAAAATACCGTGTCTACCGTGGCAGTCATGATATCTGGGAGGGACGGAGTACTAAATACAAATCAAAGTTTTTTAAATGTACGAAAAGAAACAAACAAATGGCAATAAATAAGTAGTCATATATATTACTCCTGTTAGGTCTGTTTCAGAAAGTGGGGCCCACTTCTGTAAAAAATTGTTATTTGTTTCGATAGGATTTAGGATGTTTTGTCACTTGTATTTTGTTTACGTATAAATGTTCAACCAGTATCTTCAAAATTACTCCCTCCCTCTTATGTAATATGAGTGTATTACACATGAGAATTTAGATAAAGTATAATTAATAACTAATTAAAAAATTTATTAGTAAAAATAATTATTATTTAGTAAAAATAATTATAGATTCAGATTAAGATAAAGATAAAGATAAGTAAATAATTTAATTAAAATTAAAAAAATTATAAAATTTAAAATTTAAAATGCAATTAAAGTGTATAATTATATTTCCAAAAATAGAAAGGACAAATTACGTGGGACGGACGAAAATAAAATATAGAGACAAATATGTGGGCCGGAGGGAGTAAAACGTAATTGAAAAGAGTGATGATTTCAATGTCTTTGCACAAAAAATTATGTAAGGAACGTTTCGGACGTGAATACTAATTTAATACTGTATAATATTTTGTAGAAAAAATATGGGTATATTTTTTTTTGATGAATTTGAAAAAAATTTAGTTTAAATTTATATTAAAATAATTCATGATGAGATGTTTTGCGAGACAAAAATATACTTTTTTAAAAAATAAATAATCAAAATAGTAAAAACGTGAGTTTATTGTCAAAAAAACAAACTTTATTATTCAAATTTATGTTTAATTTTTTATTTTCATAATTTTTAATTAAACTTTTTTTGGCAAAAAGTATATTATTATTTTTTAATATTTTTTAAATTATAAAAGACTATTTTTTTATAAAATTCGAGCTCAAATATTTGAGTCTACAATTGAATGAAGGAAGAGCTATATTTTATAGAAATTTGATAAAAAAATATAAAAAAGAAAAAAATAATCAAGAAAAAAAATTCTCAAAGATTTTTGTATTTATATTTTGAAATTTGATCTTTTTAATGTGAAATAATAATCGAACATGATTTTATTTTTTTTAAAAATAATATTGAATGTAAAAATAATAATAATAAAAAAAACAATATAGATATAATACCTGTAAATACTATCTTCGTTCGGCTCTAAACAGTTCTATTTAGTTTTTACTTGTTGATTTTTAAATTGGCAAAAATATTTCTATTAACGTCTTATTATACTATTATAATGACATTTGTGCAACAAAATATACAAATATAAAAATATTTTTAATTTTAAATATAATGACACAAAAAGGTAAATGAGACTCAATAAAATATATTGTATCACTAATACCATGGGATCGTTGATAATTATTATATAATGGATTAATTGAAATTATATATTGATATTTCATATAATGAATAGATCCTATGAATAATAATAATAATAATAATAATAGTGTATCGTTGTATATTGTCAATTTATATATTGTATTTGTATTATATTAATATAAATTAAAGATGTAAAAATGTATGGAAAGATGACACTTTCTAAATTAAAGATGTCGGTAGTTTGATCTATCGATGAAATAAATGAAAATCGAATAGTCCGTTAACGACAATATGATGACAAATAAAGAGAATAATTTTGTTTGTTGGTAGAAAATATCATTTTGAAAATTTTAAATAACAAATTCGTTACGATGAAACAACATTTATAGTAAAAGTCTGTGAAACACGAAAATCATTTTCATATAAATAAAAAATAAAATCGGAGAACAACTGCCGTAATCAAATCAACTTAGATCGATACAACATCAACAAGAGCATTATATTCATATTTAATAGTAGACCATGATGTATTTGTTTTTTTATAGTTACCAAAAAAAGAAAAAATTATCTAAAAAAAATTAAATTGATTGATCGATAATAAGTACAACAATCAAATCAATCAAATTTCGAATAATCAAAGAGGATCAATGAACAATAGTATAAAAAAGAAATAATAAAGTCCTTAATATAGTTTAGGATATTCATGATCGATATATGGTTTTAAATGTTAGAGAAAGTATGAAGTATTGTAAGAATTTTTAAAGTCGAAATTAATAATTTTTAAGTTGTTTTAAATATATTAAACTAGAATATGCTACGAAATTAAAATAAGATGTTCTAATTAGGTGAAACTCAACATATTTGATGTTAGAAAAATTTGTATCGTAAGCTCATAGTTACCACAATTTTATGATATGAAACAATATTTTTGCTTTGCTTTTTATATGATGTTGGTTACTTTGGTTCAAGAATATTGTATCTATGATATGTATAAATATGTTTTGTTGTAAGAAAAATAATCCTTTTGTCCAAGACTAAATTTTTCGTTTATTTTTTTATTATTTGAATATTAATTATTATATCAAAATATGTGCAAAATAAATAAAAATAAAAAAAATACTTCTATTACTGTCTTATAATACTAAATGACATTTATATAAAAAAATCATACAAATATAATGATATTTTTAATATTAAAAACAATAATTCAAAAATAAATAAAAAGTTTAGTTTTGGAGGAAAGTAATAGATATTATACATTTAAAATTTTTATTAGTAAATATTATAATTTTAAATAAAAATTCAAAATTTTTAAACTTAAACACATTATACAACCAATTTAGTAAAAGATCTCACTAAGATTGCAAATATAAATCTATTTATTTAAATATGTCAGGTTTGAGTTATAAGTTTTCTAACTCATTTACAATCTCCTATTTAAAATTGCAAAAAATAAAAATAAAGAAATTGTTTAATTAGTGTGTTAATTTGTGGTATTTTTTTAAATATAATATAATCCGTCTGTTCATTTCATTTTTAAATGAATTAATTTTTTGTGTTAATAATATAAAAACTAATATTTTATATTAAATAATTAATTTTTTATAAATAAATATATATATTATATTATTGTGTATATATTTATATTTTTTAATAATATTTATTAGAAACAATCCCATTGAAAAGTGCTTAGTAAACCTAATATAAAAATAATATTTTTATTTAAATATTGATTTTTTTTATATAAAGTAATAGAATATTATATATATATTGACAATAGCAGTACTCACTTCTTCATCAGTTAATTTGTCTATTTTACTCAATTACAAAATAATTAAGAAATATATTAATAAAAATAATTATATATTAAAATTAAAATAATTAAATAATTTAATTAAAATAAAAAATTATAAATCAAGAATTTTAAAATAAAATTAAAATATATAATTATATGTTAAAAAAGAACAAATAAATTATATGGTATTGACTAAAATAGAAAGAATAAAAATTAAATGTGAGGAAAATAGTATCATTTATGATATGTTTTTTTAACTCAATTTTTCAAATTTTATTATTTCGACTCTTTATTTTTCAAAAAAATATTTTTTTTTTCTCATAAGATATTCCATTAAATATTATTTTAATATCAAATCAAACAAATTTTTTTCAAATTCAAAAAAAAAAAAAAACACACCCTAATTTTGTTATATTAACAAAACCAAAAATTAAGAAAAAAAATCACGAACAAGTACATCCGAGAAGATCCGGGACTTCCACTCCGCATCTACCTATAAAATAACGACGAGAGCTCCATACCACAAAGGAATGGCTTGGGTCATTCCAAGTCCAGGACCTCAAAATAGCCTCTTCTTGGTCCAGTGGCGAATTATGGCACGCATATCAACACCAAATACAAAAAGCCCATCAAAATTGACGTCACAAATATAAGTACAAACCATAATGTTTATTTCTAATTTTTTTTTTTTGGATCTGTTGTTTATTTAGAATTTTAAATATATATGTTTTTATTGTAAATGGCATAACATAAAAATAAATTTAAAATTTATTCTATAAAAAATGTCTTATGATACACATTCCAAGGCTCTTAGATAAAATTGACGTCATTATGACGTCATATATGAAACTGAACTTTGAACCAAACTTACAACTGCTGGAAATAAGAATGCGTATCTTTTCGATGTGGATTGTATCCCAAGTTTGAATTATTTTTTTATTTAAATAATATTTGATATTTTTTATAGATTAATATATCTTTTTATTTTTTTTTAGTCCATTAATAAACAATATTCTTTTTTCTGTTAAATTTACTTTGAAATTTTTTTGTCCGTTAGTTAAATTTAATTTATCATTAATTTTACCAAAATTATATTTTAAACACTTAATAATTATAGTTTATTTAATATTTATTTATTACAATTATCACGGTCTCTATTTTATTAGCATCAAATACTAACTAAATTTTCAAATATATATCCAACTATTATTTTTATTTTTATAATTTTTTTAATTAAATATCTATTTTTCATATTTTTTATGTCGGTCCAAATGAACTATTTTTACCGAAAGAAAAGAATAGTAATTAACTGTATTAGCAAATAGAAATATATAAAAAAAAATTGATATTTTTGTCTTTTTATATTTTATACAAAATAATACTCCCTTAATCCTATAAATATAGTCTTAATTGGGTTGGACATTAGATTTAAGAAATATTGATATTATATTGGTAGTTGGTAAAAAGTATAATTAAAAAACTTTTTCTGCCCTTGTGAGTTTAATAGTGTAAAAAGCAGTGACAACTGTGTAATAAAAATGAAAAAATATGAGTAGTTTTACGGTGATATAGTTATTTATGGAAATAAGACTATTATTTTGGAACGAACAAAAATGGTAAACATGACTACTGTATTGGAACCTAGGGAGTAATATTTATAACAATATATTTTATAATTTATTTAAAAATTAACCGTATTTTTATTTTTATATTAGTATAAAATGAGTTATATTATATTAGGAAAAAAAAAAACAAATTTAGAGTAGATTTGATCTTTTCCAATTTTATAATTATTTATTTTTACTTTCATTTCTATTAATAATATTTAGTATCACGATAACTGAAGAGCAGAGATATGCACAAAAGCCCAATCATAAAAACCAAAACATATCCCAAAGTTGAGTTATTGTCAATACAATCTTGACAATGCACAATACAGAAGAAACCCAAACTATACTCTGAATTCAAAGCTTCAATACTTACCAAACCCACCTCAAATTCAACTCAACTCGACTCTACCCGAGTCTTATTACATATATCTCAATATATATATATATATATATATTATATATTTATTATTTTCGGGTCGCGTAAACTGCGCGCCCCGACGACATCCCGTCGCTCACGGGTTTGCGTAGCGAACGCTGACACGTCGCTGGATCGGGCTCCGGCACGACGGGCAATCCTTCATCCCCTGCTTCTCATGGAGCTCGTTGCACGTCGGGCACACGACCTGGTGCGCGCACGGCAGGAAAACGACCGACATTTCCTCCGACAAGCACATCACGCATTCCCGGTCGCGCTTCACCCCGCCGTTCCCGGAAAAGTAGTCGAGGTCCGCGCTCGTCACCATTTTCGACAGCTCCTTAAGGGCTGCTGCTGTCGCCTTTTTCGAGTCCGCGATGTAGCTCCCGTCGATGCCTCGACGGAGTGCCGCGATTTTCGACGAGTCGGTCTTCATCCTCAGCTGAGATATGTCCTTTTCGAGACGTGCGATGTCTTCTTTATACTTGTGTAGACTCGCTTCCGCTCGAGATTTGATCGTCGCCTCTTTGGATTCAGTCGACGCTTCGATTTTCTCACGTTCTTTTCTCAGCGTATTCGCCTGCGCCAGCAGCTCCTCGTTTCCCTGCACTTCCTGATTCAGCTTCCCCTGCGATCGCAATAAAAATCCAATCTTTACACAGAGCGACAAAAATGTCGACTCAAGAACGACGTTCAAAATACAACCGGCACAAGAACGAGCACTAAATGCAACCTGAAGGGATCAAATTTGATTAATTTTAAAGAACCAAAATGTACCTCGACTTGATCTTGTATTTCTACCGCCTGTCGAAGCTTCTGTTGCAGCTGCATCATCTTCATCTTCTCCGCGGAAAGCTCCTCCTGGAAAATAACTTTCTGTTTCTCCCACGACTGAAACTTCATCAGCGTATTCTTCTCCCTCTTCGACACCTCCCGGCAGCTTGCGGCCGACTCTGCAGCGCACAATTTTGCAGCTTCCATTTCCTGTCGCAACGTAGCATTCTCGATTTCAAGCCGAGCGCCGGCAGCATTATACTGTTCAATCTGCCGGCCGGCCTTGCGCAGCGCGTTTTCCATCTCGTATATTTTCTTCGTGGTGCTTTCTTCCAATGATTGCTTTTCTTTCTTAACCTTCTCGATTTCTTCCTTTTCCTGCCTAAGCGACTTCAGCTCGGCCTTATCTTTGCTCAGCCTTCGAGCCGCTTGCATAACCTTCTGGTTCGCCCATTCCGTCCATTTTTGGAGCTGATTTTGCATGTTTCGAATACGTGGAACCAACCTCACGATCACATCATCCTTTCGGATATGCCACGACCACTTCTCGAGAGTCATATCATTCGTCGAATTAAAATTATAAATCGAACTCTGCGCGTTGAAACTAATAGCCGGCAGATTAGCGATGTTCTTGGTCGTGTACGAAAGAGAAAGCTCGGTATCAGTGACAGGCGACGGATTGAATGGAACCATAGGTAAAGGCAACGACGAGACGCCCGATTTCTTCGGAAATAATGAAGAATGATCGCTACTTTCCACACCAAATGTCGGTACTGAAGTAAATCCATTTGTCGACAAATTATTATCTGCAGGCGTGTCAAATCCAACTGCTTTTTCAGCCGTGAAGGGAGAATTCTTGGCATTCAGAAGCGTCGAATCTGCGACACCTTTAAGCTTCTTATCCAAGAATGGACAACTGTAGCTTCTAAGCTTACCCGATCTGGACGCGCCTTTCGGACGGTTGTGTGTTGCATGACGCACCCCCTTCTGCTGCAAGATATAATCCGGTCTGGACAGTCCAGAAGCTTTCCGACTAGCCACAAACTTCTGAACCGAAAGCGTCGATTTGGACATTCCCGTCGCACAAAATGTCCTCTCAGGAGCACCGGAATTTGAGCTCAGATGATCTTTTTCTGTAATCAGTCCATTCGGAATAAAACTCGGCTTTAACTCAGATTTCACGGTAATCCCATCATTCGATGAAGCCGGTGCCTTCGCTTTAAAATGGATCGGCCCATTGGATTCAGATCCTCCGAGCTCAGTTGCCAACTGTCGAGGAGGAGCGGAAAAATTTTCATTCGAGGTTGAAGTACCCGACGAATCACCATCAACAGCACAGGCGTGCGACACATTCATGTCACATATCAACAAATGCCACATCGCATCTCCTGTGCTAAAAAACGGTCTAACTTCCTTGAGAAGACAAACGAGCTCCGCCAACACATACTTCTCCATCTGCTGAAAATCGTCGAAGCAGTGATCCACTGAGGGGTCGATTTCTCGACCACTTCTGAGGAATGAAAGAGCGTTGTCGACAATATTCGACAAAGTATCCTTGCAGCCGTACCAATTGCCGGACCTCAAAATAGCCTTAGCAGCGACTTCTTCTTTGTAGCCCTCTGCAACTACTTTCTTCACTGAGCTTCTGAAGATCGTGTCCAGATTCTTCAACACAAGCTCTTCCAGCTCAGTTTCGGAAAAATCACTCCAATTAGCGTTGTGGGGATCATCTCCCGGCTCTCTAGATCGACTTGCGGCAACTGTGGATGTCCCCAATCCGAGGTCGAGCTTCAAAGCATTCGATGTATTTTGATCCACACAACAGAAATCATAGCTATTTGTATGGTGACGGTGGCTATCAAACTTCTCAGCCGAGAATTCGAAACTTGTGCTTTCTTTTGTAGGCATTGTGATGGTCTTAGTTGGATCCGCCATTGGAGGATCAGCTCGGAATTTACGTTTGTTTCGACTTCCTTTATCGCAGGCCGACATCGCCACTGGCATTTGACTGGAAGTGCTGCTGCAAGCCTTTGCAACCATTGATGCCATATCTAATCAATCTGCAGAAGAAAGGTTTTCAGCAACTTCGCCCAAATTCAACCAATCTAAACTCACATAAACAAGATTGCCCAATCTAAAATCGAATCAAAATGGTGAAAATCCAGCTCTAAATGAATCTACAGCGCGAAGAAATTAGGGCAAATTAACGAAAACAACGAAATCATCATCAAACTAGCGAAACAAGTTCAATCAACGCAGATTCAGTGACAAAGGAATGTATAATTGACGATCGAACAATTAGGGCAACGAAATTGGAGCAGCAGATCAGTGCCTCACTCACTGACATTAACGATTCGAGAAGAACACAGATTTTCTACATCAGAAATTAAGAACGAACACGATACAGAACGGATACACAATCCGATAATTAAAAAAAATTCTAATCCACACCGATCATTGATCGGATCAACGGATTCAAAATCGAGAGATGCCCACACAACCAAATCCCAGGAAGAATTAATCTCTACAGAAGATCCCAGAAACCAAAAATTAAAAATTAAAAATAAAAATAAAAAGAGTGAAACAAATCGAGATAGAATTCTTCAACAAATCACATCACCGCCTCATACCCGATTCGATTGGAGGGGCGATGAAGCGTTGGGTAAATCTAAGAGCATCAGATGCAAAGGTACAGAGATTACAGATTGTTTGTTTGTTTGTTTTGTCTCCCTCTTCCTCTTTTCTTTTTAGCCTAATTTATATTCAATTCTTCATCTCGCCATTGAAAATTCCCCTTAACTGTGCATATTCATTTTTCTTTTTCATTATTATTATTGATTTCTTTTTTTTTTTTTCCTTTTTTCTTTTTTTTTTTCTTTCTCTTTTATGTAATATATATATATATATATATATAAATGCGGTAATTTCTTGTATATTCATTTTTCATTTTTTCATTCTTTGAGTCTTTTTAAGCCTATATCTATAAATAAAATAAAATTTTACATAAATGTCATAGTTAAAGAAAATTTAAGGAGGGTATAATTAATAAATATTTTAAAATATATTAGTAAAAATAAATATAATATTATAAAATAATTAATTATTATAATTTAAATTTTAAAATTATCATTTAAAATTTTTTAAAAATAATTAAAATATATTTTAAAAAAAAAATGACATAAGAAATCAGATGGATAAAAAAAAATATATTTGATATGATAAGTGGAATGAAGTTAATATATCTTTTATTTGTTTATATCCTTTTAAGCCTAAATAAAGATAAATAAAATAACATTTTATATAGATACATTAGGTTTTTTTTTTTTTTTTTTTTTCATTATTAATTAAGGTGCTCTTACAATATTGAATGATACTCCCTCCGGTTCAATTGGTTCATTTCATTAGTAACACCTTATATAAGGTAACGTAGTTTAATTAATTAATAATATTATATTAAAATATTATTTTATTATTTTTTATGTGAGTAATATTATTATAATTTATAAAAAATTAAAATAAAATTTAAATATGTGTTTAAATATTATATATTAATAAAATAAAAAAATTAATTTTGGTTTCAATATAATTAAAATTTATCAATTTTGGTTCCAATATAAAAAACTCATCAATTTTGGTCAATATAACCAAAATAACGCGGACGTGACGGAGGTGACATGGTAGTTACCTGGAAAGTACACGGCCCATGTACAATTATACACGGACATGTTGTTACACATCCGTCACGTGGCAGTTGATTTGGAAAGTACACGGCCATGTACAATAATACACGACCATGTTATTACACGGAGGGACCGAAATTGATTGAAATTATTTATATTGGGACTAAAATTGATGAGTTTTTTATATTGGAACCAAAATTGATGAGTTTTTTTATATTTGGACCAAAATTGATAAATTTTGGTTATATTGGAACCAAAATTAATATTTTTCCCTAATAAAATATATGCAATATAGATATCATTTTGTAAAAAATAAAATTTTAAATTATACAAATAAATTAAAAAATTATTTTTTTATTCAAATTAATTTATATTTATTAAATATAATTAAATATATTAAATTTTATCAAAAAAAATAAAAATGTATCAATTCAAATGACGAAAAAAAAAAAAAAAAACTGTTGAAATGAGATAAAAGAAATATATGTAAAACTCTACAGCACTTTCATATATGCACGAATACATGTTACAAATAAATAGACATTCATAATTTATATTAATATAATATAAATACTATATATATATATGAACATATAATATATTTTACTCTTTTTGTCCCACTAATAATGTTCAGATTTTTTTTATTTTGGTTTGTCTTTATCTAATTTGTTTTGTTTTTTTAAACATGATTTATATTTTAATAATATTTTAAAATTTATAATTTAATTTTTTTAATTTTAATTAAAATATTTAGTTATTTTAATCTATAATTATTAATATATTTTTAAATACTTTTTAATTATATTTTCCGTAAATTCATATATTTACAATAATACGAACATATTGTTCAACACAAAGAAAGTTTACATAAAATATGTAACCATTAATTTAAATACATATTAGCACAAAAAAAAATACATAATTTATATTAATATAATATACGGTATCATATAAACTAAAAACACATAATACTGATTTTTTCAACATACCTCACCAATAATCTCGAACATATATCACATGCTAATATAATATAATATATTTTGCTCAAGTTTGAAAATTTTAACCTCGTTCTTTTGTATTTTTACTAAAAAAATAAGACTAAAATTTTCAAATGGAAAGAGTAATATTCCTTCCATCCAAATACAACAGTTTTATTTACCATTTTTGTTTATTCCAAAACAATAATCTTATTTATATAAATAATCGTATTACGATAAGACTATTCATACTTTTTCATTATTATTACACAATTGCCACTACTTTTTACACTAATATACTCGCAAAGGCAAAAAAATAATTTATCTTTATTTTTTACCAACTATCAATATAATATCAATATTCCTTAAATACCGTCGAATCCAATAAAACTATAGTTACTGAGAGAGTATATAATTGATCATATATACTAATGACACACTTCTTCCTTTTGGAATGTTTACATTATTCTTTTATCCATTAAATTTATATAAGTATATTATGTTTAAAATGAATAATTTTATACATTTACAATTTTATTATTTATATTTTAACAAATAATAATTAATTTGATATTATTTTTTATTTACTTTGTAATTTTTTTATTAATTTTTTAATAAATATCTTATAATACTTATATTTTATTTATTTATTTTTGTATCCAAACAAAATGATATAAAAAGTGTGACATGGAGAGTGCAAAATATGATTTTATTTAAATATTGCATTTAACAGATAAATTATGTAGATTTCGTTGGATACAAAAATTTAAAAATAATAATGTTTCAATGTTAAAATAAATAAATAAAAAGTGATAGTATTATAAAAAGTTAATTAAATGATTAATAAAAATAGTTAAATAAATAGAAAAAATAATGAGAAAAGTAAAAATATAGAGATAAATTAATTATTATTTATTAAAATAAAAATAATAAAACTATAAATAAATAAATTTCTTTACTCTAAATAAAATATAATATATATTCCACCAATTATATAAATATCTTACACAAATTTTCAAAAATCACATGAGACTGTATTTTTTTAAATACTTATATATGTTTCTTTTTTTAAAAAAAGTTATATAATATTTTCAAAATATAAAATAAATCTCAGTATAAATTTTAATTTTAAAAAAAGAAATGCAAAATTTCCAAATAAGAGGATCCTAAGTAATTTTTCCTAAAACTTATATTTGTCGCCAAACAGGGCATAGAACATATAAAGCGCGGATCTTTGGGTGAGGGGCACGACAATATCATGAACCCATCGCCGAACACCAGCGAAGGCCCGCAGGCGCCGACAGGACTGCACCGGAGCGATGCGGATGAGGACGACGAGAACGTGAAGCAGCTTCGTGAATGCTCTTCTCTCTACTTAGCGTTGCAGGTAATTTATATTATACGGCGGGGGTTTGGTGTTTCAGCGGATTGGAAACTTCAAAAACCCTAAACCCTAACCTCCATTAATAGCATCGAACTATATTCTGCAGGATTGCTTGGTGAATTCAAACAGGAACTGGAGATCTTGTCAGAAAGGTAATTTCAAAACTGTTACCGATTTTTTGCGTTTCCAATTTTGATTAGTTTGTGAGATACGCGATTGGGGCTCATTTGCGTAATTGATTGTTCTTGAGCAGAAGTTCTTGCTCTGAAGACGTGTAATGAGAAGCTGAAGAAATGACCAGATGTGATGATGATAATCACTTTCCCCATTGTTTTCTTACATTTTGATAATAAACTAAAATGCTTAGGAAATTTTCTTCTTCATTGATTTGTAAATTCTGTTGAAATTCTATGTTAGAAGTTGCAATTGAGGCAATGATGAACTCAGAGTTTCGAATTTTCTATGCCTAAGGAAATAAGTTTTGCATAATCAGTCTTTGGAACAGTTCTTCTGTAGATTATATAGTGAGTTTCTATTGAGAATCATCTCTTAGCACCGGTTAGATAGAAGTTTCGAAAGTTTTGAAACTTCGACAAATCGATGTGATAAAAAGTTATTGTTGATGAATAATGTCAAAAATTCATAAAGTATTTAGGTAAATGTAGCCTTGTACATATACTTCTTGGAATTAGGTGTTGTCGACAGTTATGCGAAATGACAGACTGTTGGCATTTTTTATAGCCATATATCTTTCTGTGGCGAATGCCGGAGGAACAGGGGACGGCACAAGTTAAAATTTGTACTGTCACCAATAATGGCTCTCATTGTTAGCACTGTGTGGCTGTTGTTTTTTAAGACATGTCCCGACTGCAGCATTAGAAAACCGAAATTGTCTCTGAAACTATAGGAAAGTGTTCGACAAGCAGAGGTGTCACCGTTATTTTTGCGAATTTTCGACAGTTATGGAAAAGGGTAACACTTTGTGCTCGAAAGTTTTAACCCTGTTATCCGAAACATTTGCCCATGTTTGTTTTCGATTGAGGAATGGTATGCTGTCGTATTATCGTTTCTTATAATTCTTGCTAACAAGTCGAATAAATGTTTGCAACGCTTGTTCGCGAAAACAGAGCACACGAGAGGAACAAAGAAACATTGATTGAGCACGGCTAGAATCGAGTATTACAGGAAACGACATCTTTAAGAAGTTAGGGCTAATCTGAATGTACATTACTACATTATATCATTGCAGGTTCTTCTTCCTCGGCTCGGAAGATAATCTGGCGAATGAATACGAACGACCAATTCTGCGGGTTGCAAGGTATTCGTTCATACTTCATCCAGGTCTTTCATGTGTACGATGATGATAGTTATATCATCCGTCCGGTTTTCGTTCTCTAACCACAGTTTGTACGATTCTGCAGCGATGGCTATGCAAGCATCCCTCGGATCCGCGAATTTATTAACCTGCACGGAACACCGAAGGAAAAAGATCATCGATCATCAAACACGATTGGATTGCAGAAACGACGAATACAAAAAAATGTACCATGTCCACGACGGTCTGGCTCGATAAAAACTCGAAGACCCCATCGCTGGCGACGACGAAGAAAGGATGGCACGACGAAAGCTGCACCGTCGACACCTCGGGATCGGCAACGACACCGATCTTTTCCGCCGTGCTATCGCCAACGCTTCGAGTAAACGCAGTCCCGGGGTACATGCCATCTTGAACCCATAATCGAGGCGGATCGGTGCCGTCGCTCTCCTCGTTGCCCCAAGATTGGATCGTCGGATCTTTAATCCCTTCGATTTGATCGCAGCTCAAAACCCGAGCGCCGCAGAGCTTCACTCTCTCGAGCTCATCTTTCCGAAACGGCGTCTGATCATAAGACAAGTCCTGCGCAAGAACTCCGTCGCCGTCCTTGACGGCGATAACCGCTCTCGAATCACCGACATTCGCGATGTAAAGCATGTCTCCAACGACGAGTGCCGTGATCGCCGTTGTCCCGCTCATCAAATCATCGATCGGGCTACCGTGAAGCTCCTCATTTGCCGCCGAGAACGCTGCGCTGTATGCCCTGATTGGATCATCCAGCAAGAATTCGTCTGCGGACAACAGCTCGATGAGGCGTTGCGAAACGAACGTCGAGCAATGCCCGCCGGCTGCGCCGTGGCCGTCGAACACGCCGAAGAAATGCACGTCCGGATCGCCGCGGACGGCGGTCCTGACGCAGAAACTGTCCTGATTCTCCTTTTCCGGCGAGTCGGGGTAGTAACCTCTGAGAGAAAGCACGCAGTAAGACATGGTGAAGTTGTGGGAAGGGACATGAACAACGTCGAACGATACAGGCGAAGGATTTCGAGGAGGATAAGGAATGGAATCGTCGCCATTAGAGGGGAGTGAAGGTCTTCTGCAACATTTGGTCTGAATGCAGCCCATGATCCAGCGTAGACGCAAGAATCTGGAGCAAGAACGCAAGGTGTTCGACAAAATGCCTGAAAGAGAAACAGGCATGAATGAAGAAAATTCTTGGGGAGAATTGGGCTTCTTCTTCTAATGGAGTCTGCAAACCAAACATTGGGGAAAGGATTGTTAATGAAAAGGTAATGTTATCTTCTTCTTCATCGTCTTCTTCTTCTTCTTCTTCTTTATTTTTTATTTTCAGAGATATGGAAATGGAAGCAGAGAAAATTGGGGAAGATGAAGAAGTAAGATTGAGCAGCGAAGAAACCCTACTTGCAGGGGAAAGGAAGAATCTTTTTTTGATTTTGAATCCTAACGATGGAATTTGCTATTTTGTGTGTGGAATTCGAATTTAGGTGGGTCCCACGCAAACGAAGGAAGGAAGAAAGAGCAAGGAAAAATTCGAGGTATGTTTTATTGCGTGGGTTTTGGGTTAATTTTTAGATGCGTTTTGAATTTTTTGAGTTCAAAATTTTAAAATAAATATAAAATTGGGTATTTGATCTTAATTTTTTGTTTTAAATTATTAATGAACATTGTCAAGATTTGTTAAAAGTAATGCAAATAGTCTAGACTTTGCTGATAAATAGTACTACCTCATACCTTTTTATAAAATATGTTCATATTTTTTTAATATAACTAGATAATATAAAAATATATATATATAATGACAAAAATTAAATACATATATATATTTTTACTTATAACAATATACTTGACAACTATATATATATTTAAAATAATTACATCAACTTATTTTTGTTAATTATAAAACAAACGCATAAGTAATCTATTAATTTATATACGGGCTGAAAATATTGAACTACTATGGATCCAGCGGACTACTCTACCCAGGCCTAATCGGATTCAAACCGAACCCGACCCGAACACAAGGTCCGCGGAAAAGTGGACCTAACCTCTCTTGATAGAAAAGCGCAAAAAGTCGTTGGAGAGGAGAACGAGAAGAGAAGGCGAAAGTCGTCGAATTTGTGATCGGGAAAATGTTTAGCTATACGGCGGTGGGGACCGGAGACGGCGGCGCTTTGAAATCTGATGAATTCGATATCGAATCCGGAGATGCTCTGTACCCTGGAATAGGGCACGGCGAGAATCAGTTGCGGTGGGGATTCATACGCAAAGTGTATGGAATATTGGCGGCGCAGATCCTCCTGACCACAGTCATCTCCGCCGTTACGGTTCTTTACGCTCCGATCAATGATCTCTTGCGTGGAAGTTCCGGCTTCTTGCTTTTCCTCATGTTCACCCCTTTCATATGTGAGTCTAATCTCTGGAATTTATTGAATCGGCTGTTCATCTTCCGTTTTGTTTTTACTTTGTTTATTATCGCTTAATTTAACAATGTCTGTGCTGGTTTTTATATTAATGTTGCATCGGTAGGTAGTTCTAAATGGATGAATTTCGTAATGGCGTTTTTTAGGGTTCTAAATGGTTATTATGGATTTAATCATAAATTCATATTGTTATTGTAGCTCTGATTGAATGTTCATATCTATTTGCTTGAAATTCTTGATCTAGTAACTTTCTTGGAGCTTCGCGTTGTTTATTTTGGTGGTTGATAATTGAGAACCATTGAAATTTTTTTGTGCTTGATCCTAATCTGAACCATGATTCTTGAATTAATGATTTAAAAATGATTTCTGGTTATGTATCAATCACCTGCATCAATGAGTTTTGATAATATTTTCAGCACGTGATTAAGTCCCCGATTTATTTCGGTGCTTATGAAAGATATTTTACTGTCACTGGTGCTTCTGCTATGCGTCTTCTGGAAGATCATTAATTAGCATCAAATCTGGTGGTTGAATTGTATCATAGTCAGTTTATCCTACATTGTGCCATTTATGTGTTTCTGTTTTGTTTTAAGATATGTTTAGGTCATCGGTGGTTCTTTTATGTTTTGTTCCAGAAGATCACCACCTATTAATATTTTTATTAGATATTAGTATCAATTCCGGTGGTTGAATTTTTTCGTACTCATTTATCCCATGTTGTGCCATTTTTGTGTTTATGTTTTGTTTTCGATATCATTTAATAGTGTTACTGATGGATCTGTACAATACTCAGTATTGTGGCCCTTGCATGTATATCAACAAAGGCACCCACTGAACTTCATTTTCCTTGGGCTTTTTACTGCTTCTTTGAGTCTTACTGTCGCCGTGAGCTGTGCAAATGTTGAAGGTTTGTAGTAATTAAGCTTCATATATATGTATTTCAAGATTAAAATGAAGTAGAGTTTACAATTGCTTATCTACCTTGTTACAGGACGAATTGTTCTTGAAGCCTTGATCTTGACATCAGCTGTAGTATCGGCCCTGACTGGATATACTTTCTGGGCTTCTAAGAAGGGCAAAGACTTCAGTTTTCTTGGACCGATCTTGTTCACCAGCCTTTTTGTATTGTTCATGGCCGGTTTGATTCAGGTCTATCCCTCTCTCGTACATTATTATTGCACATTTCTATTATAATTGCCATTAAAACATACTCGTTCGTTGTCCAGGTTTTCTTCCCACTAGGATCCACCAGTTCCACAATCTACAGCTCAATTGGAGCAATAATCTTCTCAGGGTACATTGTCTACGACACTGATAACCTGATCAAGCGCTTCACATATGATGAATACATCTGGGCTTCTGTCACCCTCTACCTCGATGTTCTCAATCTCTTCCTCACTATTCTAAGGATGCTGAAACAGGACAACTGATGCTGCAACGTGCAATTTCTAAGATTCTTCTTTACCTGTGAATATATATATATATATATGGTTTTTACTCTGCACTCATACGTACTCTATATACGCCTAACAAAGTATTATCATGATATTTCTGCTGCATAATTACTAAGTTCGCATTTTCGTCCCATGGATTTGTTTTTGTATGAAATGAGCTGAATAAACTTCAGCAACTAAAATTTTACAATATGAAGCTTCTTTTCAATACTAACTTCCAGTCTTTTATCTATGATTCTTGCCTCTTGATCTAACGAGCAGGACTGTATGCAATGGTCCCGGGGTATTAGTCTCCTTGCTTGAGGCACGCCCGGAGAGACTCGAGGCTGATGAGGGTGTGGACATTGTAAGTTGGGATTCCTAAGGTTCTTGTTTCTTTAAATTATTCTTGATCCTCCTCCCCCCCCTTTTTTTTTCTTGGAATAATTTATTTGGGAGGATTTAAAATGTGTCAATATAAGGAAAAGAATGGAGTTTAATGAGGAGAGGGATTTTTGAATGAAGTTTTGGAGGCAACGAATGAGGAAAGAATAAAATAAAGTGTTGATGTTTTGTGTTGGTACATTTGGTTGTTAATTTTGGAAGGGATTAGAGTGGTGATTTGGAGAAGTCAGCACGTTTTTGTCTAAAACAGCTTGTGCAAAATAAAGAAATGTGCTTTAAGAATGTGTTAAAATTAATTTATACATGAGCTGAATTTATATTATATTAAATTTGCATTATATTAATATATACTTCTTTTGTTCCAAATCTATAGTCTTAATAAAAATGAAAAAACAGATATAGTATTATGGTGATATAGTTATTTATGAAAATAAAATTATTATATTGAAAAGGATCATATTTCACTGAAGCTAATATTTAAATTATTTTTTAGCGTGGAGCAGCTAAGGGGTTCTCTAATTTTGGGCTTATTGTGACTCTTTAGTATTTTATTGTCTTATTATTACTTTCTTTCGGATTGATCTTGTGGGGTTTGTTTGGCCCATTTTATGAGCCCTTTAAATATCTGTATTAGGGCATTACAACAATCTTTTTGTCATTTGAGAAGAGACAACTAGGGTTGGGCGGGAATTATTCCTAGTAACGCTAGAACGTGTACTTTTAATGAAAATAAGTAATTCAAAAGTGTAATTATAGTGAAAAATATTATGAAATATGAATTTTAACGTATGATTGAAATGTATAATTGTACTTTTTTGCAAAAAAATAATAAATTAGATGGGACAGATGAAAATAAAAAAAAATGAATAAATTATATGGAATGAGTATTGTAGAATGTTGTAGAAGAGTGGGGGAAGGTTCTAAGTTGCCTATAACATATCCACTAGTGGGGGCAATTCTAGCCTTTAGATTGATTTGATCTCATCCCTCTGCCCATAATGAAGTGTATATAAATAAGTGGGTGGAGTTCATTTTCTAAATCATGAAGTGGAAAAGTGTTCTTGAGCAATACTAATTTCTCTCTTTAGAACTTCTTCTTAACTATGGATTAAAAAGTGTTATGATAGCACCCATTATACTTTGGTGGCCATGGAGAAGTTTTCTTGAGCAATACTACTTTGCTTGTGTAGTGCAAAGATTGTGAGACTTAACTAGCAAAGTTCTTTGATTGTCTCAAAAAGTTGTTTGGTGACAAGAACAAGTTCTTAGGAGAATGTATATGGTTCAAAATTAAAAAAAAAAAAAAAAAAAAAAAAAAAAGAAGATGGTAGAAAGTTCATGTACATATAAGACCATTTAGTGATAGATCTCCCCAACCCCACCCCACTAATTAAAAATTTTCTTGGCATGCCAAAATTGAGTGGGGTGCAATATTATGATGAACCCAATACAATTTCAATTAAAATTTATCTAATACTTATATATATATTTTGAAAATATATTATATATTGTCATCAACAACACATATGATCAATTTTCATGCACAGCCCATATTCATATTTTCCCCTAACCCCCAAATTAGAAAAAAAAAAAAAAGCAAAAAAAAAAAATCCAGCTAAGCCCTAAAAAGTTCAGCATTGGCCTCACCCACACCTGATCATATCTTACTCCTTTAAATCGCCGGCGATTAATTCCGGCGAGAGGAAAATGCCTGGAAAACAACAGTTCCGGCGCCGGGAAACTCGTCGGCAGCTCGACTCCTCAGACGCATACCCAACGATTCCATCGTCTTCGCCGTGCCTTTCCAGAAGTCGTTTCCGGTGGGGCACGTGGTGGCGACGGAGAGCTTCGCCGGCCGGAAAACTTTCACCACTTTCTGAAGCAGCCGGAGGAACTCCTCCCGGTCGTCGTAAACCGATCCGACACACTCGAAGCTAGCGTAGCTGAAATCGTCCTCCGGCGTCACGTGCACCGTCGAGTAACGGCCGCCGGCGAGGCCGTTCATGGAGTACCCGCAGGGGTCGAAAGCGTAGTCGCAGATCAGCGCCTTCCGATTGACGTCGCGGATTCCGGTGACGTCCGTCATCTCCTTTCCGACGGAGTCGCCGGTCCGGCGGTCGTCGAACCGGCGGAAGAATTTCTTCGCCAGAACCCTGTCCAGCTCGGTCATACAGATCTCGACAGTGTACGAGTCGTCTTCCATGAGTGTGCACGAATCGTCGCACGCGCTGAACACGTGCCATTTCTCGCCGGCCGCGGATCGCGGCCCCAGCACGGCGGCTTTCCGGTAGACCAAATTGTCCGGCAGATTCTCCTCCAGGTAAAAGACTTCGTCTTTGAAGCTGGTGTGGGGGAAGGGCTGCACGCCGGGGAAGATGAAGGTGCCTCTGGTGTAGCGGCAGCCGGAGAGGGTGAGTCCGACGGTCGCCGCCGATTCGACGAGCGGCCGGAGGGATTTGAGGAGCTGAGTGGTGCCGCAGGTTTTGATGATGATTTTGGTCGGGTAGACGAAGAGGCTCGATTCGGACAAGACGTAGGAATCGAAGAAGTCGTTACCGACGGCGGAGACGACGGTGCACTGTACGGTGTGGAGGATTTTCTCGATAGTGTAGAAATTGAGTCGCCGGAGGCCATTTCCGGCGGCCGGATCGTCGCCGGAGAAGTATAGCTCGAGTCTTTTTTCGAAACCCTCGAAGCCGGAGACTGCCATTAATGGTTAAATTGAATTCTTGTTGTTGACAGTGAATTTGGAATTGAATTGATACAGGAGAGTGGAGTGAGTGTGTGTATATATATGTGTGTGGGGTTGGGGGGTGGGGTTGGGGTAGAGGGGGGCAAGAAATGGGGGCATAATGAGTGGGAGATGATGGATGATTATATTTTGTGGGTTTTGGGGAGAAAGAGAAAGAGAGAAAGAAAAGATGGATTATGTCTTTTTAGGACAGCAGCAAACATGAATGAAACTAACTTCATTCATGTCCACGCCTATTTACTTTTCATTATTATTATTATTATTAAATGAATTAAATTAATATGTAATGTATACAGCCACTGTAAGTTTTTATTTTATTTTATTTTTTTCGATGTGTTTGGTTGAATGATTTTGGATATTTGAAGTAGAGACATAATAATAGAGAAAGATGGAAGAATGGATGGCAATAATAATTAGACTTGTAGAGAGAGAGAGATGTATATATATATATATATATTTTATATTTATATATGTATACTTATGGAAGGTGATAATGAATAGTAACATACAATTCTTTGGAAATTTCATGCATGCTAGCACTCATCGAATATATTCAAATCTTGAATTGAATAATTAAATTAAAACTCACACATAGGTGGATAATTAATTAATTTGGAAAATTTAAATTTTTTTGTGTGTTGATGAAAGGGACAAGTATGCATGCATGTCTTTGGCAGATAGAATTGGCATAATAAAGAATGTTGGTCATGCCCAAAAATCATCAATACATTTATTTATTTTATCAAATAAATTAGTAAAATTTGAACAATTTATGTACAGGTAGGCAGGCAGGCGTGGCAACTAAAATAATAATTATTATATGTATATTATTGATATATTTAATTAACAATATGCTGAATGAGAATGAAAGAAACAGCCCCATAATTAGGTACCTACCTAGACCATATTGCTACTAGTGTCTAATTAAATTAAACTAAGATAATAATAATAATAATAATAGTAATAAATTAAATAGTAAGAGTAATTGTGTGAATTTTATTTACCCTTAGCTTTGAAGTCACTGCTTGATTTAATTTAATTTTATGTTTTTACATATATATATATATATATATGATTACTATTCTGATCTGACCAAACTCTGATATATCTCTAACTTCCTTCAATCATAACAGTAGTAGTGTCTTAATTAACACCATGCCCAAATTTATCTCATTTTTCTTTTATTTATTTATTTTTCTGAAAAAATATATATATATATTTATATAAAATGGAGGCATGCGTGAGAGTGAGAGAGAGAGAGAGAGACTGTGTGATGATATATATATATTATATATATAGAGAGAGAAAGAGAAATAGAGTTACATCATGCATGCTCACATCTCACATCGCATATCTCTTTCGCACGCCTGCCCTGCAGATATATATATATATATATATATATAATATCCACCAAACTCCACTCCCATCCCCCACATACATTTTCTCATCTCTTTCTCTCTCTCTCTCTCTCTCTATATATATATATGATGGTGTGTTTGTTCGAGGATAGGATTTTAAATCCACTATTCATTTCATTTTTTTTTTTTAAAAACATCAAATCAAACATCTATTTTTTATTTTTTATATTATATTAAAAATTAATTTTACATTCAAAATATCACATCAACACCTATTTATATCGCATCGTACAACTATTCAAATCCCAACTCAAAATCCAAAGCCCCAAACAAGACACTCGTAATATATAATGTGTGTGTGGTCAACATCATTTACAAGTTATAACCCCACTACTAATAGGCATATGGCATACAAGGATTAAAATGAAATTAGAGATGAAAACATATCTCTAAACAAAATTTAAAATTTAAAATTGACAATCGAATGTCAAATATAAATTTTATTGAAACCAATGCAAAAATTAATTATAGATAAGTCAAAAGTAGCAACGGAATTTACAAGAATCTCCTAGTACGTTCCAAGATGTGTCTAGAGAAAATGTAATTTTGATATTTTATTACATTTTGTAAGATTTTGAAATTGTATATATTATTTAGAATGAAATTAGATACAAACTTAAATAGTAATAATAATTTAATTTAAACAATATCTCAATATATAAAAAATAAATCAGACAATACATACTATATTGTATAAATTATTAGCATGTAATGTGTATTCTAGTTTACTGTTATATATTGCTAATATATTTGATATGTGTTGTCAGCACTCTACTTAATATTAGCATAATTAAAAAATTATTTATATACCCCGTCTATCTAAAAGAAAAGTTGTCTTTGTTTTTTTATTTTTGTTTGTTTTAAAACAATAGTCTTATTTCTTTAATTAGTAACCGTGGTTTCAACTTTAAAACAAAATTATTCATACTTTTTCAAACCACTCGTAATTATTACTCTAACTTATTTTTTAAAATATTTCAAAAAGTAAAGACATTTTAATCTTTTATATTCTACTTTCAGTAAATACGTCTCTTTTAGAATGGAGGGAATATATGTAACGAAGAAATCATATAATTTATTTATTTATTATTAATTAGTATGAAGGTAGAGTGGTCGTGTGCAGAAGCGGGCAGGCATGCACTTTTGAGAAGATCGACATAAAAGGTGTGTGTATATACATACATACATACATACAAATATATATGTATGTATATATTTTGTAGGGTAGATGGATGACAAAGGATGCCCCATTGCCAATCCAAATTGCACTCTTTTACCCAACATATCATATCATACATATATATATGTATCTATATATACATATATACCCACTCACTCACTGCACTTTTCTATATCTACCTATATATATATATATGTATATATGTCTGTGTGTAGCCGCCATGGATGTTGTTGCTGTATCTGTATCTGTATCTTCTTGCAAGTCTGACTACGTAATTACTACACAGTATATATTGATATTATATGATCTTCCTTTCTTGTCTGTCTTTTGCTGCCATCAAACTGTAATTAGTTTTAGAGAGAGAGAGAGAGAGAGAGAGAGAGAGAGAGAGAGAGAGAGAGAGAGAGAGAGAGAGAGAGGGGGAAGGGGATTGAGTGGGACTGTTTCATGCGCAGAAAAAAAACACCACAAATATATATATGTATATATCTTGCAACCAATTAATTACGTGTCCCACTTCTTCAATTCAATTCAATTCCACCACTCAATATATATATATATATATATGATATAGGCGGTTGTTACAGTGCTGAATTTAATAACAAATAGTACACCGTAATATTACGATTGACAATACATCATTTATATTAATATAACACAAATACAATACATGAACTAACAACAGATGTTATAATCATATACAACACACACAACATTTAATTTTAACATATGACATATTATATACTATACAACATAATATAATTCTGAACAAACAACACAAGCCTTTATTACAAACAACATGTTTTTGTGTGTAATAAAAACACGTGTGATGTTTGTATATGTTATATGTGTTGTGCTAAATTTTTCAAATCAATACCGTAACTATTCTCATATATATATATATATAAGTTGAGCTAATGACAATCAATCATCATTATTATCACTCATCTATTATCTTATCTAATCAAATAATATGTGTAATCCAAGTATATATATCACACATATTATTAACTTGCATGCAAAACACACACACACACACACACACACTCATCCATCAACTACTTGAATCTTGATTATATATATCACATGCAAAACCCTAATTTCATGATCAACTAAACTTAACTAAACACTATAATTAGACACACATCATGATGTTCATCATCTGTCACACAACACAACTTAAACTCTCCTCTCTCCTCTCTCTCTCTCTCTCTCTCTCTCTCTCTCTCTACAACATCCAGATTAATTAATTGGAGATTTCATTTAACCCCACTAAATTAAATTAATTAACTCTACTAAAGTTAGGGTTTAATTTTCAGATTTTCAGATAAAGGATTGGGGACAGTTATCCTCAAAGATGCAATTCAAGATTTAAAATTTATACAAGTTTCTTTACTCAAATCTCCCAAACTTTATTATTTACATTATGCATTTTCGAAAAAAAAATACATTCTTTTATTTCACAAAATATTATATCAAATATTATTATAATATCAAATTCAAACCAAATCTTCCTAAACTTTTAGGAAAAGAAAGGCACAATTCATGATTGTTAATGGTAGCTGTGTATATGCAAATTAATTTAATTAAACTAAAAACCCTAATCAACAAATTGATGAAACTAATTAAGCAAATATATATAAAATAAAAAAGAGATGGAATTAGACATGTTAGAAGAGTTTCGAGTGGTTACAAAGGCTTCAAAAGTACTTGTCTACCATCATCATCATCATCATCATCTTCTTCTTCTTCTTCTTCTTCTTCTTTCTTTCACTCCCTTTCCAGATGGACACCACACACACACAGATATATATCTGTATGTATGTATGTATGTATATGCAGCCTCGAGCCACCAAACAAAATCTCTCTTGAATTTCTTTTTCGATCTATTGAAAGCCCTTTCTTTAATTCACGCTGCCATATCTCTGCATCATTGTATCTGTATATATATATATATATATATGTTTTGTGATGAAGGTAGGGTAAGGTAGGGAAGTGATGATTCATGATCATTTGTTCCCTTTCTGTCCCTCCAAACATTAATTCACTGCTCACCTATATATATATATATATTTGTTAATTTCTCCCAATACATAATAATATATATATATATATATATATATCCATCCAAGTGGCTTCTTCTCAACTCACCATCTTTAATTAATTTGCCCCCACAATTCATATATATATTCATAAAAAAAAAAAAAAAAAGATGATCGAATTGCTCTCTTGTGAGATCTATAAAGGCTTATGTTAAGAATTTTAAATTTCGTATATAATTAATTAATACTTCATCCGTTCACGAACTAATGTCCTACTTTCCTTGGGATGTCCAATAACTATTATCCTATTTCCTTTTTAAAATACAAATTTTATATTTTTACCCTTAATTCATTTATTACTTTTAATCTCTATCATATACTTAAGGACAAATTTGTTCATTCATAACAAAAAGACAATTACCTAAAAAATCGTGCAAATATACTTTAGGACAATAAAAATTGGACGAATAAAATATTAATTTAGAGTGTAGATTACTATATGTAAAATATATAATATCTATTTATTTTGTAGTATTATATTAATTGTGTGAGTTAGATGAAGATTGGATGAGTGGGAAAGAACGAACGTATATGATGATTAGGGTGTGTGGGATTACAAGTTTAAGTGATTTCATGCATGAACTACTTACTTAATTATTAATTACTATACTATACTATACTATACTAATGGGCTCAATCATTACCAATTCTCTCTACTATATATATATATATATATATATATTCCTTCCATCCCGGTCCAAAGGGCCTATCGGGTTCTGTAATAGATTAAAAAATAATAATATTTTATTAATTAGTGGAAGTGTGTAAGATATTTTGACATTTTTGCTATTTGATTTTATATAAAAAGTAACTGTATGTGTATGTTTGTAATGTAAGTAAAAATTAAATGTATTTTGATATTGACGTATGATTACTTTTATTAAAATAAAAAAAATACTTTAAAATAAAATAAATAAAAAATGGTAAAAAAATACAGTTTGAATTGAAATCGAGGGAGTATATATATAATTAATTATTATATATACAAGTAGAAACCTCATTTAATTTTAATTAATTAATTATATATATGCCTTGAAATTCAATTATATGTATGTTGTAATTTGTATATACGAATCTTAATTATCGACATACACAATATTTTATTACACGATGTATGTCGACGTTTGAGAGTCTAATCCATGTCGTAAAGAAGTGAGACATCATAATAATAATAATAATAATAATAATAATAATAATAATAATATTATGTCACGTAAATTGGGCCGCCAAAGGCCCATTTCTCAGTGCTGCTCAATTAGAGAAGGAATGGCCTTTTTACTTTATTTTATTTTTTACTAACTCCGTCCCAGATATCGTGTAATTAGTAAATAATTAAAAATATATTAATAAAAATAATTATCCTATAATATAAATAATTATAAATTAAAATTAAGTTAACTAATTAGTTCAATTAAAATTTTTATAAAAAATAAAATTAGAAAAATTAAAATGGGATTAAAATGTATAATCATTTTCCAAAAAAAAAAAGTGACATATTATGTGGGACGGACAGAAACGGCAACGTGGACATGGTATGTGAGACTGATGCAGTACTATTTAACTAAGGTAATGTTTTTTTTATTTATATCAGTTTCAAAATAAAAGTGTTATTTTCTAATTGTACTATTTATATAATATAATAAATACATTTATAATTTATAATATATTACACAAAAATTATACTTTTTTTTTGTTATTTTTACTAGAAATCAATATAATATTAATATTAAAAAATTCATGTAAAAAAAGTTACCTTGTTCTTTTTACGTGACGAAAGTATTATTTTATTTTATAAAATAACACTGTTTATATGTATATATTTTAATGTGCTTGCGTTTTTTTTTTTTTTTTAAACAATGTGTTTGCTTGAAAATATGTAGAATTTTCTTGCAAATAAAAAAAAGAAATAATTTTATAAAATTATGGTATTTTAGTATTTGTATATAAATTATTTTTACATATATATATATATTTGAACAAAACAAACAAAAAAAATATATTTAATTGGAATAAAGAGACTAATTTGGAATTAGATTGTCATTATTTACTTTATAATTTTTTATATAATTATAAACTATAGTATAAATTCTCCTTAATCCCACTCAATTAATAACTCTCCCTCAAAACTTATTTTGTTGTATTTAAAATTGACTTAAAATAAAATATTTATTTGAGTTTTTATTCAAATTATATTTTATTATGATATTTTATATATAAAAAAAATATTATTAAAAATTATATAAAATTAGTAGTATTAATTTAAATTTTAAGTCACAATCAAACACACCCAAAAGTATAAGACAATAAAAAATAATAAAAATAAATTTTCAGCAATACATATTACTATAATTACATCTGTGAATTTTGAAAATAAAATTACATAAATAAATTGATTAATCAAGAATTAATTTAAATTAAAAAAATAATAAAAAATTAAATGAAAGCTCTTTCTCTGGCAACAACATCAGCAACTCCCATGTTGATAGCAGCTGTGCAGAATAGTTGAGTCCCACTCAATAGTATCAATATTGTCTCCAAACTTCTCTATAAAATAAAATTCAACCAAACAAATAATTAATAAATAAATCAATAAGTAATATAATTTTTTTTTGGAATGTTTTGAAGTTTTACAATTTTTAAAATAGTAAATAAAAATATATAATTGCCGTAATATTTTTTGTTTTAAAAAATTAAGTAGTACTTCCTCCGTCCCACATATACCGTGTCTGCTACACCGTAGACACGGTATTTTAGGAGGGATGTAATTAGTGGATAATTAAGAATGTATTAGTTAAAATAATTATTTTATAATATAAATAATTATAAATTAAGATTAAGAAAACTAATTAGTTTAATTAAAATTAAAAAAATTAAAAAGTTTAAAATGAAATTAAAGTGTGTAATCATTTTCCAAAAAAGAAAAGTGATATGGAACGTGGGACGGACAGAAACGGTAATGTAGACATGGTATGTGAGACGAGGGAGTATCAAATTTTCAAAATTTTTGTGTAAATAAAACCTAATGTTTGATGAAATATTTTTGTAAAAACAAAATAATACTATGAATGAATAGTATCAAAAATAATTTTATTGTACTTAAATAGATAATAGAAAATAGAATCACAGTGATCTTATTTATTTATTTATTTATTTTTTTGTATAGAATTATAAAAGAAAAAAAAAATAAAGTTTCTTACCAAGTTTGATTGTGTCCAACCGATGTCAATCTCCTTGCAAGCAAACCTGTAATACAAATGTCTTCATTTATCATGACTATGTTTATTTGAAATTTAATATTTTCAATTGTAAATTTTCTTTTGGCACGAAAATTTTTAATAAAATTTAAAATAAATAAAAAGTTAAGTTAATGTATTGTTAAAATTTATTAAAAAGTTTATTAAAAAAAAGAAAAAAAAAAGAGTAAAAAATAGTGATACAATTATTACTATTTGTTAAAAAATAAATAATGAATTTGTAAGTGTACAGTGTGTTTATTTATAGTATGTTTAACAAACAACCAAAAGTAAAAAATAAATTGATACTCCATCCGTACACAAACTCTACTTTCTTATTTGGCACATCCAACAACTATTATTCTATTTCTTATTTTAAACACAAATTTTACATTTTTACCCTTCATTCATTTATTACTTTTTATCTCTACCATACAATTAATGACAAATTTGTCATATTCATAACAAAAAGACAATCACCTAAAAAAATGTGCAAATATATTTTAGGACAATAGAAATTGGACGGAAGGAGTATAATTTTGACATAAGAAAATAATATCATTAATTAATATTTTTTCAAAAATAAAATAGTATTTATTTTCATTAAAAGCATTATATTAAGAATATATTTTTTATACCTGAATATCTGTTCAACACAAATTTATATTACATTAAATATTCGACTTTTTAATATTTATCACTCTAAACTTCTTAAATTCTTTAAATTGTTATCTAACCAAAGTCGTGAGTCTTGACTCTGCTTAGACAAAAAAAAATTGAATTTTTTAAAACTTTTATGAGTATATATATATATATATAAAGTATTTAATAAAATACTTTTAAAAATATATATATATTTTTTTAATATAATATTTTTTAAAGATTGAATAGTCCTAAGATTCGAAAAGTATAGTGTAAAGTGTAAACATACGCCTTTATTGAGATGTTCTTTTAGATATTTTGAATTTTTTGTTTCAATAAAAATGTAATTAATGAATGCAAATAATACAGATGTTAAAAGTTATATAGTACCTATTTCTATGAGAATATAAATGCCTCCAGAAATTATACTCATAGAATATAAAATAAGATAATAGATCCATAATTTATTGATGGTGATTACGGATACAGTGCTGAATGAAAAAATTAACATTATATTATTATTAAATAATAAAGAGGTTATCAACAACTATATTTATACAAATATGACATACAATGTTAATTTGGGCTTACCCCATGGCTAGCATTGTCAGCACCAACGAGACGAGCGACGAGGCCGCGGCCGCGTGCAAATTCGGGCCATCCCACCGGACCACATTACCGAGCCCGGTGACGGACGCGGCGAATCCCACGACGCCGGCCAAGAGTGAAAAGACGACGACAAAGCCAGTAGCCATGTTCCCGAATGGGAAATATATCGGGAAGATCCGCGCCGGGAGCGACAACACCGACGCTGCAAAAATCCGACAACAACCATAAGAACAAATGTCTGAACCCTTACAACCTAATTGTTGTGACGGATTAGAATTAATGATCGAATAAAAAAAACGTAATTCACTAACAACTTATTTGATCTGTTTTATTGAGGATGACAAGATTACAGATAACATATTATGTATATCTAAGTCTATTCAAATAAACTTATATAATGCATAAGATGGACTTAGCCGAATGTGAACTCAAAAGCCCTAATACTGCATACCTTTAGGCCAGGGGCCATTCGGACCCAACTTGCAAGGGGGACTTCGCTCCCCTTGACCCCCGACTCGTTAACCGGGCAACGAAATTCGTAAAAACTCAGCAAAGTGATAAACTAGATTTAAAGTATATAATATTAATCTTCACCAATGTTGCTTTCAAGAGGACAACAATTTGTACGTAATTACGTCCGTCCGATAGTTTATCTAATGCGTATTTGAAAAATAGCGGCCGTAGATTTTGATATTACTAAAAAAAACACAATAAACACCTGTTTCGTGGGATTTTCCGATCCCATGGTCGACTGCCCACGACGCAATGACAATGACGATGAGGTAGAGAAACGCATTGAGGACCAAAAGCGCGACTGCCGCCGATTTCCCTGCTCCGGACGCCATCGATTCGATTCGATCGAAAACCTCTGCAGACTGTACAAATACAGACACGTATATATACATATACATGTAAGAAAGAAGGTTTCATTCTTACACAAGTTCTTTTCGAAGGTTTCCTCAAGAAATGGAAAGGAATATAACTTACCTTTCATGAACTTAAAGAAAGCATCTTTTATTAAAAAAAGAACATTCGATAGAAATCCTCCAGAAAAGCATTCAGAAACATGAGACGTAAATAATCTAATTGTCCAAGATAGTAATGAATGCCAACAATGGAAGGCAGACAATTTTTTTTAAGGTAGAGAACACGGCAAGAGCCAAATTTTTGTCCAAAATACGGCGAAAATCGCGGTCGTCGAGCTGCTGTTCGTTCGATCCGAGCAATTTCGAGGTGTCTAAACCTTCAGCGAAAGTTTCTGAGCTGCAAGAGCTTCGGCTTCGAGTGTAGGCTCCCACAGAATCGTCGTATCAGCGAGTAACGACGTCACGACGTAGGGGTCCATGTTCGAAGCCGGGCGCCTGTCTTCCAAATAACCTATCGGAAAAATTGAGATTACGAATTTATTTCGATAATAAATGCTCGAAAGCGTAGCGCGTGTTTAATTAATACCTTTGCCGCTCTTCTCGGTGTCTCGTCCCACACGGATCGAGCAGCCGCGGTTGGCAACGCCCTGCGAATAACCGACACCGAATAAACATTTCCACACATTCGGAAAAATTTATTACAACTTCGGAGTTTACCCATGAAAAGTCGTTGATGCTCGCCGTTTCGTGTTTTCCCGTCAATCTTCTCTCGTTTCCTTCACCGTAAGCGCTGATATGCTCTTTGTGGCGAAGCGATAGGTTCAAGATCGCCTTTTTTATCGCTTCAAATCCGCCGTCTTCTCTCATGGTCTTGGTGCTGTATAAATCGAAGAAACCAGTTCAGTATCTATACGATTTTTCACTATTTGAACTCTGCATTTTCTAAAACTAAATATATCTTTCTCCTCTCACAAAACATCACATCTAATATCATACAAATAAGAACTCGAAACCTCGAAACCCAATTCAGACCGAAAATAAATACTCTCTTTGTCAGCCTTTAAGGGTTACATTTAATTTTTGTGTCATTATAAGATACTAATAAAAGTATTTTTGTCGTTTTTCCTAAATTTGTACTATGTTTTGATATAATAATTAATATTCAAAAATTAACATGCAAAAAATAAATGTAACCTCAGAGCTGGATGAAGGCAATACAATGTATCATTTATCACTCGTCATGTTTTAGAATCGAATGCTCGTCTAAACTTACCTATAATTGGTGTGGCATCCGGCTCCGTTCCAGTCGCCCTGGATTCGGATAATAGAGAAGAATTAGATAACCGATATTTTCGACAAGCTTTGGACTTAAAAAAAGACTCGATTGTACCTCGATCGGCTTCGGGTCGAGCGTCAGCACAACTCCCGCTTGTTCTGTAATTCTCTATCAATATCGCGACGTAGATCGGTTAGGGTCGAACATATACGTACGAACGTATTGTCTGAATTCATAGTATTAGATCATGACATACCTCGAGGAGGTACCGGCCGCACCAGATGTGATCCGCAGCTTCGATTCCGACGCTAGGGCCGACTTGAAACTCCCACTGCACAAAAAAATCGATCAAATCAATTCTATCATTTTACCGTACATCGTAAACCAAGACGAGTCGACAAAAAATACCTGGCCGGGCATGACCTCCCCATTGGTACCGCTAATATTTATTCCGGCGTATAAACAAGCTTTGTAATGTGCGTCGGATATGTCCCGACCGAACGACTTATCAGCCCCGACACCACAATAATACGGACCCTATAAATGCGTCGTAAATTCGACGATTATGTAAAAGATTCGAGCACGAACATTCGATGTAAGAACACGATTCTCCCTTCGAACAAAAGAGAACAAAGATCTTACTTGAGGACCGGGATATCCTCCGGCAGGCCACCCGAGCGGCCATTTAACATTAGTCTGAAGTAGAGTGTATTCTTGTTCGATTCCAAACCTTGATCGAAGATAACCAAAGTTTCGATTCCCGTTACTAACGAAGCGAGAAAACATAAAAGAGCTAGCTCGACGACGATCGTTACCATGGAATTTCGGCGGAAACCTTAGGATCGCTGAAAATCTGCGCAGCTCGGTGACGCTTGTTCGTCGGGATCGGCTCGCCTTGGGGAGTATACGTATCGCATATGACCTGATTTCTCAGAGTTAGAATCGATTTGGCACAACAATAATTCGAAAGTTTTTGAAATTTAAACCGACCAAAATGTTGTTGCCGCCGCGGAATGGATCGCGGAATATCGCCTGTGGGCTGTGAAATGGATCAAGACAGGATTTTTATGCAAGAATCGAAAATGTAATGTGAAATTAATATCGAACATTTTTCGATGATAAAGTTCTTACTATAGGATCACTTCGCTGTCCTCTCCGGGGGCCTGTCCCGTGCTCGATCCGTCGTAGTTCCACTTCGGGAGCTCGGAAGGGTGCTCGACTGGCTTCGCGATGGTCTGAAATAGACGAGAAAACGGATAGGACAAGAAGCTCTACGCCAAACAGTTCGATGTAATGAAATACATGTAAGGTGTAATTTTGAAGCAATTTACCCTCGACTTACTACGGAGGTCGACACCTGATCCTCCAATCCTGTTCGAAAGTCGGAAAAAAGATCGATATCAAGAATGCAATTTAAAAAATGGATGAATCTACTACAATTCATCTCATCAAATATTAATTTCGATAAACAAAAAAAAGGAATGACTTCTTAACACACAATGAAGAACATATTTTACCAATTACGGAAAAAGATCGAAATCACCAATGCAATTTTTCAACAATGGATTGTTCAAATCCAATTCCATCTCACTAAACATTAATTGATCCAAAGGAATGACTTCTTAACAAACAATGTCCGAAAGGCCGAAATAAAGATCCAAATCAAGAATGTGATTTCAAAAATGGATCAATCAGATCAAACTCCATCTCATCAAACATTAATTGATCAAAAGGAATGACTTTTTAACACACAATGAAGAACATATGGTGCCAAATACCTCCAATCCCGTCTTAAATGTCGTAAAACGATCGAAATCAAGAATGCAATTATAACAAAAAATCACTCAAATCCAATTCATCTCATCAAACATCAATTGATCACTAAACAAATTGTACCAAATACCTTCAACCATGTCCAAAAGGCCTAAAAAAGATTGAAAAATCAAGAATGCAATTTCAACAATGGATCAATCAAATCCAATTCATCTCATCAAACACTAATTGATAAAAAAGGAATGACTTCATAACACACAAGGAAGAACATATTGTACCAAATACCATAGATCATGTCCGAAAGCCTGTAAAAAGATTGAAATCAAGAATTTGAATCAATCAAATCCAACTCCATCTCATCAAGCATTAACTGATAAAAAAGGAATGACTTCATAACACACAAGGAAGAACATATTGCACCAAATACCTCAAATCATGTCCAAAAGCCAGTAAAAAGATCGAAATCAAGAATGCAATTTCAATAATGAATCAAACAAATCCAACTCCATCTCATCAAACACTAACTGATCAAAAGGAATGACTTCATAACACACAAGGAAGAACATATTGTACCAAATATACTCGGCGATAATCTTGTCAGTATACGGCTTCACATCCAAGTTCAGGAGCTGTTCGAGACGGTTAACGGTGCTGTTGTCGGAGCTAAGAGCACAAATTCTAAATTTTGTTGAGCTTTTAACAGCCCCTCTCTTGTTCTGCTTCACAAAAAGAGAGCTCAATGACTTGCTGCTCAATGGACTTGCATCTGCTGATCCCTTTGCAGCCCTCAGCTGCCATTGTACGGATGGAGCCAAGATTTGTGCCATTCTCAAAAACCCCTCACTGAATCAATCAATATACACAAAATTGAAACAATTATGCAATCAATTTTCTATGCAAATCAATCCTCAAATCTCATATAACCTAAATTTAAAGCTATTCTTCCTTCATTGTCACATAAGCCCATTTTCTAAATATCCAAAAAATAGTTTTTATACATAGCCAAGCAAAAGGGATTCAAAAATCACTAAATTTCTTCAATCTCTAGTGCCTAAATTTAAAGCTATCCTGTCACATAGCCCATTTTCAACATATCCACAAAGAAAGAGTTTTTATACACGGCCAAGCAAAAGGGATTCAAAAATCACTAAATTTCTTCAATCCTACAGTACCAAAATCACAAAACTGATAAAGGGTTGCATTAGAAAGACACAAGAAAGGTTAAAGAGAGCATAAAACTGACCTGGGAACTGGACAGTGGCTTTGGTTAGCAGACCAAAACCAGAGAGACTTTTTTAAAAAACCCTCAAAGGATAGAGGAGATGGGAAGAAGAAGAAAAAGGGGTGAATGGATTTTGGTAAATGGATAGGGCTAATGGTTTGAGTGGAGGAGGAAACAGTTTATGGACTTTCTGGGGTCATCAGAAGGATCTGCCACAATACAGAAACAAACAGAATTGAGTAAATGCTGGCCAAGAAATTATTTTATCAAAACTAATCTACAGAAATAAATAAATAAATAATAAAGGATATTGGAGGATCTTGGTGATGAATTGATGATAGTATTTTATGCAATTAGGTTTGTAAAGATTTGACTTTTTGGTTGGGAGGTGTGTGATTTCAGGGCAGAGATTCCAAATTGTCCAATTAGGGTTTGGCAGATCATACTCCTATTAATTTCTCACACCTGTTTAGAAATTTTGTTTTCTTAAATTTCAAATTTTAGTTAGAGAAAACCATAAATATACACTTTTTTCTTTTTTAATGACAAAAATAGAAAAAAAATTTACATAATTAGCTACTAGAATTAGACCATTGGCACTCTTATATCATATATATATATATATGGAAAGTTATGTAATGAAATGCCTTAATTACCTTTGCAAAATTAATCTAAACTATCATAAATAACTAACTAATTAATTTAAATATCTGGGGCAGACAAAATTAATCATTATGATTGTAGGAAACGAAGGGCAGGTCAAAAGGGCCTGCTTCAAATTTCATTCTTTTTTTTTTTTTTTTCTCTGGTAAACATAGGAATCATCGAAAAGGGCCCTTCTTCAATGCTCAATCGATGATTCTTGTTTCTAAATTTCCACATTTTTTTATTCCCTCGTTCATCGATTTTCTCGAAGAGTTTCTTATCCATTTTTCGTAGATCTTTTGTTGTCTGAATCTCGCATGGAACAGCTTATCAATTACATTATAAGACCACCCAGGTAAGAAAATTAATAACAATAAAAATCGAATCTTTTTCTTGTTCTTACATTTCTTCTTTGTCCCTTTTGCAATCTTTTATAAGAAATTTCCAAGCTATTTTATTCAGAAATTCTCTGTTTTCTTAATCTAATTTGATTAAAATCTTAACAATGAAATCCATTTTTAAAAAAATTAAATTTGTATGATTTCTTGCAGAGCTGAATACAGTCCAGCCGATGACTTGTTAGATCACAAATTCAAGCTAAGGGAAAGCTATTTAGAAGGAAAGATTTGGAGGTATTTGATCGCCTCCGTCGAAAAAAATTCATAATTTAATTAGTGTCGAAAACCATAATTAAACTCGACTATGTATTATTTTTCATGTTCTTCGTTCTGCAGATTGTAAATAGTCGTGCAGATATCTTGCAATGTAGCCATTACACGCCCGTTATCTGTCCCGAGGGCGAGCCATTGCCCTGTGTAATATATTGTCACGGAAATAGGTTCGCGTCGATGATCATTTTAGAGCGTCGACAAATTTTGTTTCGACGTGGGTAATTTTAGTGATTTTTTTTTTTTTTTTCCGACAGCGGTTGTAGGACAGATGCTAGTGAAGCTGCGGTTATATTGCTTCCGTTGAACATTACGGTTTTTGCCTTCGATTTCTCGGGTTCGGGACTCTCCGGAGGCGAGCATGTCACCCTCGGGTGGAATGAAGTAAGCCATGTCGTGTGATGGCATCGCAGCTCGTTTTTGTTGTACAGTTTTTACGAGTTCTTGATATGTTCGTTGCTTTTTTTTTGGTAGAAAGCTGATCTTAAAGCCGTCGTGGATTATCTCCGCGCGGATGCGAAGGTTTCGTTGATTGGCTTGTGGGGTCGATCGATGGGCGCCGTTACTAGGTTTGATCTTCGGTTTGGATATGTTCTTTTGTAGTGAGATCAATAGCAATATATGTTGTATTGACTATTGTTACGTAACTATATGAACAAATTTCTTTGGTGAGATTAATGATAATATGTGCTACTTGAATTATTGTCATATGTTATTACTTCGTATGTTTTCTTGTAGTGCGATCGATGATAGTATGTACTATGTGGATTGTTGTCATTTAGTGTATCATGTAAACATGGTAGTATGTAGTATGTAATATGAATTGTTATCATATGTTTGTCAGTTTATATATTGCAATATGTATTTATACAGATGTTTTGTTATGAACATATTTTCTTTGATGAGATTAATGATATCATGTGCTACCTGAATTTTGTTAGTTCATATGTTGTCAGTACTATGTTGAATGATACTAGCAATAGTCCTCCGACTTTTTAATCGGTTAGGACTGTTTTTCGAATGGTCATGATATTTTGCTTCCTATTTTTCAGCTTGATGTACGCCGCGGAGGATCCGTCGCTCGCCGGAATGATTCTCGACAGCCCCTTCTCCGACTTGGTCGAATTGATGATGGAATTGGTCGATAGCTACAAAGTTCGACTACCAAAATTCACCGTAAGACTATTTCGTCGATGCATCAACAAACAACGTCACGATCCATCGTTTCTACACTTACATCTTTCGATTCGATCCGCTTAGGTGAAGTTTCTAATCCAATATATCCGAAAAACAATCCAGAAGAAGGCGGGATTCGACATCATGGACTTGAACACAATCAAGGTATGAACGACGAAACCCATCTCGGCTTCGGCTGCCCTCGAAAGTAACGACGATACGTTCTCGTGCTCGCAGGCCGCGAAGTCGTGCTTCGTTCCCGCTCTTTTCGGGCACGCGACCGATGACGATTTCATACGGCCCCATCATTCCGATATCGTATACAACGCTTACGCCGGTGACAAGAACATCATCCGATTCGACGGCGACCACAACTCCCCCCGCCCGCAGTTTTACTTCGACTCAATAAGCATATTTTTCAACAACGTATTGCAACCTCCGCAGACCCAAAAGGCGCGATCACCGTCGTTATCTTCGACGAGGGGGCGATGGGGCTTGCTCCGATCGTCGAGCGATTCCAAAGAAACCGTAAGTACAAAAAGATTTCTTCGACGGACCGGTTTTACGTACAATCACGCCATGCGAATGCAATATGCAGGTCAAAAACACGGCATCTTATTCATCGCCTTCGTCTTCAACTGCATTCAGGTTTGACGACGAACACGATCATCTACAATGCCTTCTCGATCCCTCGCCGGATTCCCCTGCCAACACCAAAGACGAAGAACAGGTAATTTGTTAGTCAATAGAAACTTTTCGATTAAGCCCGATAACACACAACAAAAAAATAATAATCGTAACAAAATTTCATCTCTAAAATTTATGTAATTAATGTAATTTCATACCTAAGTTCGTCTCTAATGTCAATAGTAACAAAAAAAAATGGATTAAATTCTTCAGATGATCATGGAGGCCGTGCTTGAGTCTCTCAAGGACTTTGAGCGATCAAACGGCTGTAGCAATCTCCTCGGCAGCACGTCCTCGAGTATTGATGACCATTCAAGCGACGGTATCAAGAACCCGACGACGGATGCGACAGATGAAAAGAACACATCTGCGTCGAATAGCAACGTTACCTCGGAAGCTTCGAAAACTTCGGTTCCCGATGGCCTCGCATGCTGCTGGGATCTCAACTTCTTCCGAAACCAATGACTTACGACAGAACAGAAACGACGATAGCATACAAGCTAGAGCTTGCTGTCCATTACCAGATTTAAGGTTGTAAATAATGAACAGCAACAAGTTCTTACAAATCGAATAACAGTAGAGAATCGAAAGAACTAACGCAGAAAAAACAGCCAAAAGTAGTTTCGAATACACTGCAGAGAATAACTCTTACGATAAACAAGATACGACGACGACAATGATTCCCCGAATCTCGCTGCAGAGATGAGATCTCGACCGTTGATTCGCGAAGGTTCCGGCATGTAAGTCGTTATAACTATACACAAAATGCCTGCTTAGCATGCGAGTGTTCGTCTCCGTTGATCGAGCCGAATGCTCAACCCGGCAGCTCGAATCAATTCCAGTCGGCGATTGTAAACGTCTCGAGACGTCATTAATACCAATGGCTGCCATTAACGCCGTGAGCCGCGACTTTCCTTGCAATGTATACGTCAGGCTTCGGCTGCATACCGTTGGATCCTTCGTTCGTGTCGTCGCCCGGATGTTTTCCCTGGTAGGATGCGCTAGGCCCGATGTACTGCACCGGGATGCCGGGATTTCGAACGACTCGTCGCTGCTCGGTAATTTCGGTCGCTCCGTAGCTGTTATAATGCATAACCGAACCGATAATTTTCCCGGGTCTCGCAGCCCCACCTGCTGCTGAGAAATTGATAATCAGAAAAACGAGAATTCCGGTAATAATAGCGACTACGAGAGGTGTTTACGCGAACGAACGAACTTACGTTGAACGTTTTGAGGAACTTGTGTAGGAAATCTAGGGACGGGTTGCGGTTTCTCGACATCTTTGATGGAGCATTTGGAGAGCTCATTTGTAACGTCCGTCGTGCTCGGATTCGAGTTACCCGAGTACAGCACACACGGCCTGCATCGAAGACGAATCTTATGGTATGATTTCGAGAATTACGACATCGATCCGAGAATTACGAATTTCGTACCTCGGCAAAGATGAAGAATGTTGTCGCTCGCGCGGGGCGGTGCCTCCGTTCCCGTAATGCTCCTCAAGAAATGCGAATTGCTTCTTAAATTTGTCGACGGCGCTGCCAACGCAAACACGGCAGAAACACAAAATTCAGTACGAGTCGGGAATCGTAGTGGCGCGGAGTTCGTATACGTAATTAATTTCTCGAGAGTACCTTGGATACATGAAGCCGGTAGGCTCGGCTCCCTCCAAGAATTCTTTCAACATCTTCGGATGATACTCGAGAATTTCACGATATATCAGCTCTCTAACATCTTCCTTCGTGATCCTTCGCCTTTCAAATTCGAATTCCATTTTCGTGACTGGCTGCGCAGAAGGTTCCCTCTCGACTCTAGCCAAGTTTCGAAAGTATGGATCCGCAAGAGCCTATCGAACCCCACTACAATAACGATTCAAAAAAATATGGAAATTTTTAAAAAATGAAATCTTGAAACAGAAAATTTTCGACCTCTTCGGCAGACGGTCTGTCCTTAGGATCAAAAGCAAGCATTCTTTCTAACAAACGGAGAGCAAGCGGATCGGTGGTCGGGAATTTGTAGGACAAAGGAATCGGCTTCTTTTTCCTCATACTACTCAAGTATCTTCGAGCCTTTTCATTTCTTATCTGTCGAAGAACAACGAGAATAAATTAAACAACACCAAGTTCAAATTAAAAAAATTCAAACAATTAGCTAATAAGTCGAACAAAATCTTTACCCTTGCGATAGTTTCGGGAGGTGGAGTTCCGAGCAGATCGGTCATGAGGTCTAATTGATGAACTACGTTCTTTCCGGGGAAGAGAGGTTTTCCGGTCAAAAGTTCGGCGAATATGCAACCAATACTCCAAATGTCGATTGCGGGAGTATACTGTCGAAGATACATCGCGAAAATAGTTTAGAATTATTTCACGAAAATCCCAAATTCGGCGAACAACATTAAAGCCTATACAAAAGAAGGAAAGATTCTACCTTGGAGAAAAAAGATCCGCACAATTCGGGAGCTCTATACCATCTCGTCGCAACGTAATCCTTAAAGAATGTACCAAATACCGACAACATAATAAGTTGACGTAAGAAACGAAGCAACATGCAAGAATATAGTTACGAGAAAAGTGTCATACCGTCCAAAATATCGCCGTTGGTGTGTCGTTGAAGGCGACACGTGCGAGTCCGAAATCGCAAATCTTAAGCTTGCAGTCAGCATTTGCCAATATGTTCTTCGGCTTCAAATCCCGGTGGAAAACATTCGCTGCATAAAGAACATATTCGAAAACTCGTTAGAAATTCCAACGTTCTCGGGTCTATTCGAAAATCGCCGTAATTGAATACCTGTGTGTATGTATTTCAAGCCTCGGAGAAGTTGATACAGAAAGAATTGGTAGTGTTCGGGAGTCAAATCGTCGTTCGCTTTAATGACTTGATGAAGATCCGATTCCATCAATTCGAAAACTACATATATGTCTTTGAATTCCCTTCTCGACGGCGGGAGAAGGATATGCTTAATTTCGACTATATCGGGATGACGAAGGAGGCGAAGCAGCTTAATTTCTCGAAGAATACGTGTGGCGTCCGATACATGTTCAAAGATGTCGTTAATCTTTTTTATGGCGACTTTTTCTCCGAGATGCGTATCGTAAGCCGAGCACACAACACCGTAGCTACCTTTGCCGATAACTTCCTCGATTCTGTACCTGCTGCCCTCGCCATATTCCGTGAAGAAATCTACATCAACCTACGGGGAAAAATAAAGCCGAATTAGAATGAAATTAAAGCTCCAAGAAGGCTCGCAACATCGGGTATGAATTCATCTATAAAAATGTAAATTTTGATTCTACATCACATAACAATGGATCTAAAGAATTCCGGGTGTGTTTCTTTTGAATTTTTATCCAATAATTTACTATTTGGACTTCACGTCTCCGAAAATATACGTTGTTTCATCTCACAAAACATTACAGCAAATATTATTTAAATTAAAAGCTCGAGCATCCAAACTCAATTTAGATTAAAACAAAATATACCCGTGGAAATTAATCTAATTCGATTCCAAATTCTCGAACTTGTGGTATGTTTCTTTCAGTTTTTATCAAGTTTTTTTACCATTTGGACTATACGTCACAAAATATATACTTTTTCATCTTGCAAAATATAACATCGAACATTATTTAAATCAAAAGCTCAAGACTTCCAAACTCAATCCGGATTGGAGATAAATCTAATTCGAAATCCAATTTCTCGAGCTTGAAACTTCAATGAAATCAGAATCGGAAAGCAAAAACTATCACTTAATATCTCAAGATCAAACCAAACAAAGAAAGAAAACACCACATAGTTGAATTAAAAACATCACATCAAACGATATTTAAATCGAAAGCCCAAACCTCCGAACTCAATCCAGATTGGAAAGAAACATACTCTTAGAAATAAATCTAATTCGATTCCAATTTCTCAAGCTTGTAACTTCAATGAAATTGAAATCGTTCCTTACCTTGATGTACTACTACATTAGGATGAAATCAAATCGAAGAGCGTAAACTACAGCAAAAACCATCACTTAATATCTCAACATCGAACCAAACACAGAAAGAAAACACCAAAGTTAAAAGCCACACTATAGCTAGCATTATCTTGATGTATGATTAATTCTACATCTTCATAATCATTCAAACTCTGCAAAATCTTGTGCCATCTTCTCCAAGTTACTAAAACCACAGAAAATTCCAATAACAAAATTCCCCCAAGTTCATAACCTAATGAAGCAATGGAGAGCAGTTCAAAACAAATTCATAACCCTAATTTAAGAACCATTCTGAATTAAACCAAATCAAGATTCAACTTGGATGCACAAATTCTAAAATCACGAAAAAATGCAACAACATCATCCATATATACATATATATATATATATATTTGAAATTTACCTTTTTCCTCTGGTCAGGCTGCATATTATGGCCCAAAATCATCCAAAAACGAGTCGAAACCAGGAATTAATCAGAAGAAATAGCAAGAAATGTTGACTTCAAAGCCTAAGAGTCAAACACTATTCCAGATCGAAAAATGGGCAAAGGATTCAGATCGCGAAGATTTAAGAAAAGCTCGGTTAGGATTTTGATTTTCAAGTAAAACAAACAAACAAACAAACAAACCACGAAGTCGGTTTTCAAGAACTAATTTCTTCTGGAGCTTTAGCCGAATCTTGCAGCTGAAAAATCCCACTTTAATGGAGGAGCAATAGAGGAATTTTTTTCTTTTCCTCTCTTTTTCAATTGGGAATTGGGAAATGGGAATTTCTCCTAAAGAATTGGCGATGATTTGCAATGGCGAAAACAAAAGTGGGGTTGAGGAAAAAGGGTTGGAGAGAATCTGCGGAGTTTGCGTGTTGGTAATTTGTGAACACGTTTGCCCTTCGTTTGTTTCTCTGCTGCTACTGCTCGACAGCTTCGACCATGCCATTGCTAATTAGTTTTAAAACACAGATGCCACAAGGAATTGTTCAATTTTATTTTTTTTAAAGAAATATTATATTCCCTATTTCTGGTGTGAATTTGTCCGTTTATTATTATTATTATTATAAAATTATTATTATTAATTTTCATATCGATTTTGGAAAATATTAATTTAATATTTTTGAAAAATTGAAATTATTTAGAGTATGTTTATTTTGTAAAAAAATATATAAAATAATAAATATGTTTAATATATTAATTTTTATTGAAAATTATTTAACAGATTTTTTAAAATATATATATATACACTCATTTGTTTCAATTCAAAATATGATTCTGATTATTTATTTTTTTATGATAACATAAACAAACTATACTGCCACAAGAAATATATATATATAATGATATGGTTATAATTTATATAAAAAAAATTACATATTTTTACTATAATAAAAAAAATAAATAACTTTACTCTTTTTTTTTTTAAGGCAACTGTTGAATTGCGGTGTTTTTTAATTTTGATTTTTTGGAGTTTATATATATAGTAACATTTATAGTTCCTTCACCTTATATATGTATATATATATTTATTTTCGTTAGTCTCACATTAATATATGTAATTCTATATTTTTTTATAAATATTTTTATTTTACCATCACATCGTTATTTTTACATTAAAAAATAAGTATAAAATAATTTTTACATTACTTTTAACTAATTCATTTAATTAAAATATTATTATTACTTAAATATTGCGTCAAAAGTAAATATATATTTTACACCGAGCCAGAGAGAGTATTATATTTTGGGGAAAAAATTAATTATAGTTTCAATATAATTAAAATATATCATATTTGGTTCAAATATTTAAAAAAAAAAACATTAATTTTAGTGTCATTATAAATAATTTTTAATCAATTTTTATCTTTACGGTATAAAATACGACCGTGTTTCATTTTACACGGCCGTGTATATATATATATACGGACGTGTATTGGAATGCTGTTAGAATACAACTGTGTACGATAAAACACGTCCGTATTTCTTTCTCCGTCGATTTATAATTTTATTATTATTTAATTGAGCTCTACAAAAACATATTTTTTTAGTAAAGTTGTGTTTTATTGTACACGATCATGTTTTGTCAAGATCAACTACCATATTGATTAAGTTACCTTACATTCACATCGGTAATTTTTGTTGATTTTTGAACGGTGAGATCAAAATTGATTAAAATATTTATAATCAGAATAAAATTGAAAGAGCTTTTTATATTGAATTCAAAATTGATATATTTTGGCTATATAAAAAAATAGTCATATCGTTTTCGGCTCCGCTGGAAAGTCAACTGTTATTTTTATTTGTATTTTTTATGGAAAAAATAATGAAATTGTATTATTGATCATCAAAATAAAATAAACGATAATACAAAACGAACTTAAATCTAAGTAATCTTATTTATGAATAAAACCAAATTTAATGTAAATCTACTGAATTTAAAATCGAATATTTAAAATATTTTCTCATTCGATCTCAAACTAAAGTGGTATAGTTTGATAAGAAATTATCCTTATATTTGGATTATATTCTTTCAAAAATGAAAAAATAATTATTTACTATACAATGAAATGTATTGTTTTATATTAATACTAGGATTGTATCTTATTATGAAAATAATATTTTATATATATATATTTTTTTTTATGAAGAGTATATATATTTTATATTATATATTTTTTATGATGTTTATAAAAAGATCATATTATCCAATTTATAATTAGGTAAACAAATTCAATATTCTTTTCGTTCCAAAAGAGTTTGTCTTGTTTTTCTATTTTTGTTTGTTCCAAAACAATTGTCTTATTTTTTTATTTAGTAATCGTGGTTTTCACTATATAACAAAATTATTCATACTTTTTCAAATTACCCCTAATTATTACTCTAACATACTCTTTAAAATCTTTAAAAAAAATAAATGCATTTTAGCATTTACATTCTACTTTATACCAATTTTCAATTGAATATTATTATTTATTAAGTCACGTACCAACTTCCCATAAGACATCTTTATTACGACGATGGAGTAATTCCATATAAATACATTGCTTCCTTTCATTCTAAACAATCAAAAAAAATATTTTAGAAATATTTAAACATAAAAGAATATATATATATATATATATGTAAATTAGGAATGGATTTAATATTATTAAATTTTAAAAAAATGATTAGTGATATTATAAAAATAAATATTGGCTGTCACTCACGTGTTTGTGCTAATATTTTTCAACACTTAAACATCAGCACAATCACATGATCTATACTTCTGCTATCCATATCCATCCATTTTATTATTATTATTATTATTATTGTTATTTTCCACTTCAATTTATTGCATTTTCTTATTTTTCTTCACGCGTAATTGAACATCAATTAAAATGTATATTTAAACAAATACTGTCAATGTAATATAATTTAATAAATGATATACATATATTGAATAATATTGTCACTTTTTTTTTATTATACTATAATTAATATTACTTATATATTTTTAATAATTTATTAATCGTATTCTTCTTAAAATATATTTTAAATAAATAATATATATTTGTTAGTGTCTTTTATATGTATATATATATATATATGATATGAAAGTTGAGAGTTATTCTTATTTATAAAGGTGAAATGCAACCTTTTTATTAATAATAATAATAATAATAATAATAATAATAATAAAGAATGTTTTATAAGTGGGTTGAAATTGGGGACAGGATTCGGAAAATGCACGTGTTTGTGTTGGATGGAGGGACACCCATTTTTGACATTTCAAAATATTATTATTCTCTACTATATTTAAATACTGAAAATAATTATTCTTTCCGTTCCATTTGGAAAAGTGACATTATTTTTTGTACGTAGATTTTTAAATATTAGTATTATATTAAATTATAATAAAAAATACAAAAATAAAAATATCTTTATTAGTATAATACATTATAAAAATAATGATATTTGTGTAATATAATGTAAGTTGAAAGGGTATTTATCATGTTAGCTAGATAGTACAAGATGGTAACTTTGTTTTGGGACGAACGTAATATAGAAAATAGTAACCTTTCAACGGAACAGAGAGAGTATTATAAATTAACTTGAGTAATTGTTTTACCTAAACTTATATACATATGATGTACATATTTTTATGGATAATATATTTAAACAGGTAAAAGTAGGAGCGGATCCGATTCTATTATTTACAAATATGTAGGTATTTGGTATTTGAATCGAACATTCGAAATCGCAAATCGAATTCGAATTAAAACTTTTAATTAATCGAAAATATTTACAATATTTACAAATAATTTGAATCGGATCAAAATTAAGAAAAAATAATTAAAAAGTTTCAATTAAATAATAATTTTTGCAAATATTCCAAACTGTAAGAACCGAAATCAAATCAAATATAAAATTAAAATACAAATATATAAATATATTCGATTCGATTAACCAAATCGAAAAAAATATGAAAAAATTAAAATCAAACTAAATCGAATAAATATCAAATATATACTATTTATATTCGAACCGAATTTGCTCGGTTAATCGATAATTCGATTCAATTTAGTTCGACGATTCAGTTCGATTTTTTTTTGTCTACCCCTAGACAAGAATGTATTATTTAACATATTTTTGAACAAAATCAAATTTCTTCACCGTATTTATGTAAACATAAATTATTTCATTTCGCGAAACATTACATCCAAACTACTATTCGAACCAAAAATACAAAACTAAGTAAACAATCCATAGGTGTTATAGTAATAGCACAAGTAACACAAGAAAATACAGACAAGCTTACCTTATTTTATTTTGTTCATCAATGGCAAGAAAAGTCACAACACAGAAAAGTTTCAGCAACAAAGAAGACAAGCCAAGCCAAGCCACACAAATAAATACTCACTTGATATGCTTATGAAGCCATTCCAACGCGTCCTTATGGGCCTCCTCCGCCGATCGAATCTCCGACGCGTCTTCGTCTTTGTACCGGCAGCTCCACCCGTGCGTCATTCCTTTAAATATCTTCACGAACCCGTCGACCTACAAGCACCATCGCCGACGTGATTTTCTTAAGCCGATGGTATGTCAAGAATTTGAGCTGTAAAACGAACTTGATAGCTCGCGAGCTAAGTTCGACTCGGCTCAGTAACAGCTTGACTCGACTCATTCATATAAATAAATGAGTCGAACTCGAGCTCGAAGTTCATTATTTTTGTAAGTGAGCTAAGCACAGAGAGCTCGATTGAGATCGTTAGTAATGGTGTATTGTATTATTCTATGTATTACTCCCTTTGTCCACAATACATACGTTTATTTAAGTTGGACACGAATTTTAATTAATATAGTATTATACTATTAATTTATTATGACATAAAATAAAAATATTTTGAAAAATATACAAGTGAATCGACGAGACGAAAGAAAATTTTAAAAAAATAAAATTAGTGTATAAATGATTGTGACATACTGATATTTTTTATGGACATAAAAGAAAAAAAATACTTGATGGACTAAAAGAGTAATACTATAATATATAATGTTATCTAATTTTATTCACTATTTTATGGCCTGACATTAAAAAAAAAAAAATCTTTTTTGAATAAAAATTACTATTATAATTTTTGGAAGTATAGTTTTTTATATAAAAACTTATGTCCATTTATAAAATTTGAATATTTTATAATAATAAATTGTAAATAAAATTAAATATATTTAATTTATATACTAGAAAAATATATAATATGTATAAAATTCGGTCGAACTCAAACTCGATCCGAGCTCGAGTTTGAAGTTGAACCTAGCGAGCGAGTTCGAGCCGTTATTTCAGCTCCAATCTTAGAGGAAACGAGTCAAGTCTGTACCAGCATCATATCCGAATTGAGCTCGAACAATAGATACCAAAGCTCGGTTGGCTCATTTAACAACTCTATCGAACAGGAAGAAGAGAAGATCTCGTTGTTTACCTCAGGGTTAGCGTTTAAGATGTCTTCGAATTTCTTCACCAGCTCCGGCGGAGACATTTGGTCGATCTCAGCTCCAAGCACCGATATCGGAACCTTCACAGCTGATAGAATATCGAGTAACGCCGACGAGTCAGTAATGTGTTCCCGGTTACAAATTTTGTATGGGTAATAGAAAGGAAAAAGCGTAAGTAATGCGGAAAAAGGTACCTTGAATGTCTTCTGTTGTAACGAAGGAAGGATGCAGCAGCACGCCGGCTTGGATGTATGCGTACTTTGCAAGTTCCACGACGACCTTAGCTGAAATAGAATACGACGACATTATAGACATGAAAATTACGAATTTTCCGAATTCAGTGGGTGTAAAATCAGCTAACCTCCCCAGCAGAAGCCTAAAGCTCCGATCTTGGTTACGCCTTTGCTTTTTAAAGTTTCAATCACGGGCTTTGCTGCCTCGAATCCTTGATCCTGCAAAATTCAAGAAAGGTGTTATGGTACGATCCCGGAAATGAATATGTTTACATAGACAATTTTAAAATTTTTTATATTATTCATCATCATATCGGATGTTTTTTCCCTCTCATAGAACATTATGTCGAATATCCAGCTTTTTACTATTCAACAAAATTTTCAAAATTCCAAAATTTCCATCTAGACGGGAATGCTCGTGTTTGTTCACATTTGATTAGAACAGCTTACCGGGCCATGACCCTTAATCCATTCCATGATAGGTTCTTTAGTATCATATGCATTGCCATGGAAGAAATCCGGCACCACAGTGTAATATCCAGCAGCCCCAACTTTGTCAGCAAAGCTCCTATATTGTTAGCGAAGATTAAATTAAATCAATTCGCAGAAACACAAATATATATATATATATATATTTCATATTTTGCAAGTTGTTATGAACAACAAGTTGACTAGTACCTTAGTTTTGGAGCTTCATAACCTGCATTCAACAAACAGAATTAGTACAAATTCAACGCGATAATAACATCGATAGCTAGAATTTCAAACTACACAATAAATAAATAGATAATGCTTAAACTTCTAGATAAAATGATCATTTGACACTGTCTACGAATCAAAACTACATCATATAGTGCATCCTATATTGCAATATGTTGTCAAAAACACTTAACCAACAAAAGCAAACAGAAACTTGTGGTCTTCGAAGAAGCTTGATTCATATAAATGACGAATCTACTTAAAAAATGGTGGATCAGGTTATAGTAGCAAGAATTAATATCCAAAGTTTCCGAACTACCCGAATTACTACTCTTAACAAACATATCAATCAAAGTCTAAACAAATATTTTCCACAAACGATTCAACTTCAACAGGAAATCGCTGCAGAGACACCTCGATTCCGAATAATCGATAAACAGAGGATTACAAGAAATCAAAATAAACCCTAGATTGGAAAAAGTAGAGCCAAATATCCACACAAAACCTCATCATCCACAAATAACGAAATGAAATCGATGCGATGTATTCATATCCAAATACACAAACAGAATTAAAAAGCAGAAGCAACTGCAAAACTCAAACGTTCGCAAGAAGACGAAATAGTTGAATTAAAAATCGCACCAAAAACATCCGGGACAAAAATCACAGCGAGCTTGGAATCAGGCGGACCGCAAACGTAGGAGCTGAGACCGCCGATTTGTTCGACGTGGCCAACTCCGGCGCCGGGGCTGAGAGTCGGTGGATTGTCACAGCACTGTTGTCCTGCCATCTGTGTAGATTCTTCCAATTTTAGTTTAGATTGGAGTCTGCGGCTGTAATCTTATGCACATATTTATAGAGATAATAGGATGATGATGTAAGTTGACTATTCGAAGGGGTAAAAGTGTAATTTTATTCAAAAATAGAGTGATTGTTAATGTTAGGGGTGTCTTTATTTGCTACGGAATTTCTTTACAAATGTGGAAAGCGGTATCCCCCTCAATTACGCCTGTACGATCAGATCTAGAAGGTCAATTATGGGCTTGTTTGTTTGGGGTTTATATTTTGAGTTAGGATTTCAATAATAAAAATTTTGAATTTGAATAATTATATGATATGATAAATAAATATTGATGTGATATTTTAAATGTAAAACTAATTTTTAATATAATATAAAAAAAATATATGTTACTTTGATATTTTTTTTTAAAAAAAATGAAATGAATAGTAAAATTTATTTAAAATTCAATTCCCTAGACAAACACATCCTATATTTATTTACTTTTTGAAATTTCTCATATTACCTAGAAGGTCAATTATATTTATTTATTTTTTTCTAATTATTATTATTATTATTATTTTAATCTAGAAAGTCAATTTTGAATTCATACAATTACAAGTGTAACCGGAAAAAATAAACACAATAAAAAAAAATCCTGACGAAATGAAAATTAAATACTTCCTCCATCCACGCTTATCTATCCGATTACTTTTTACATATAGATTTTAGTATATTAATATTATATTAATATATGATACAATTGATTTACATAAAGATTATTATATACCTTAATATTTATGGTATTAAGTAGTATTATTTGATTATATTTATGTAATATTATATAAAGGGTGAGATAATTATATATTTTAGTAGAAGATATATTTATTAAAAAAATAATATATTTGTGATGAACAGCCTAAAATGAGATAAATAGATTGACCGTAACTGAGAGAGTACTTGATTTTTAAAAAGTAAGCTGGAAAAAATTTTCAAGTCGGATTAACCTGGCATGGTTGAAAACCTAGACTGTGTCTAGACCTTGTGCGAATCGTATTGTGTGTCAGTACGCTTTATTTAATTTATATAATAAAATAAAAAGTAATTTATATTTAATTTAAAATTTTTAATTATCAATAAAAATACTTCATTTTGGATAATTAGTTAATCAATAGAATTTGATTTATAAATTAAATTCATAAATTTTTTTAAATTAATTATTTGATAAATTAAAACGCATAGAAGCTATATAATGTTCTGCGAAAATATGATTTAGGCATATATATATATATTAGCAGGAGCAGAGTGAGCAACTGGTCAGGTACTAATTAAGAGAAGACATTTTTATTTTTTTTAAAAATATTAGCTTATTATAATTATTAAATTTTATTTTATATTTTATATTTTGTATTATTATCCAATTCAATTTTAAATTTAAAATTCTAATTATATATATATATATATTTATCTTTTATTTGTGACCACACTGTCATTACATCTTTCCAAATTACATGGTCGCCTACACCTCTCTTTATATTTTATACTTTGTATTATTATCCAATTCAATTTTAATTTTAAGATTAAATTTAAAACTCTAACTCTCTTTCTTTTTTATTTAATCATATTGCATTACATCTTTCAAAACTCTATCGTCGCCTACAGCTGTCCCTTTTCACTTTCACGTCTTTGCCGCGCTGCGCCCACCCATCTACCCAAACCAAAACCCACTTCTCTCTCTCTCTACTTTCTCGTTCACATTTTCTTAATTTTTTTTCACTATTCAAACTTTAAGAAAGCATTGTCAATCTGATTTCCATCTTTTTTCTCCTGAGTCAACACTATTTTCAGACCACTGTCTTTACCTTCTTGTCTAGTCGACGCCAATGCCAAGCCTAAAATCTATTTTATACTCAGGGCTCCGAAAAAAAATCCGAGATGCCCTGGATAGACCATTTTTTATTGTGGGTGGAGACTTTGACTTAGTTAATAATAAATTTGGTGAAGCCTACTATGCTTCGTAGGTTAATCGAGATAACAAATATTTTTTTTTTTTTTGTAAAATCCAAAGTCCAAGAATTTAAGATATTGTTGAACCAAATAATTAATCCAAAATAAATGAAAAACGTGCATGCATGCATACGAATGTAGCAAGCATTTTAAAGTTTTACTGCATATATAATGGAAGGAAAATAATAAATTGAATTACAAGTATAAACGCATGATTCAAAATTTAAATTAAATGCAAGCAATTAAAGTCTTTTATATGACTAATATTTTGACAGTTATGTTCTTTAATTTATTGAAATAATTTAATCGCTATGCATTACCTCCTGTGGATGCCAATATTATAATACATGAATGTAAAATTAATTTTTATTATAATATAAAAAATAAAAATTAAGTGTTTAATTTGATTATAAATCCAATTAAATCTTCCAAACAAACACACCCTATATATATTTCTTTTGATGAATTTGAAAAAAAAAAATGTTAATTTGAAGTTGATATTAAAATAATGTGCGATAAAATATTTTATGAGAGGAAAAATAATTTTTTTTTTTTTTAAAAAACGCATAATTTAAATAATTGAAACCTCAAGATTGATTTGGAAAATAAAGAAACAAACCCTTTCTTCTTTTTCCCTTATTCCCAGTTGGTTCTCTTTCTTGTTTTCTCAGAAATATATAAAATTTTATTTTAAAAATAATTAAATCTATATATTTAAATAGCACAAATAGAGTAAAAAACTATATATAAAGTGATGTGGAAGTAAAACTCAGAACGAATTTCTTTGATGAAGATGGTGGTCTTAGTATCCAACGAACTTTAGAAACCAATCCACCATTTCCTTGTGGCCATCGTCGTCGTCCTCCTTGTATATCTTCACACTGCCGCCGTCGACCTACAGGCGCCGGAATTGACATCGGAGTGTTTCAAGAAAATCGAAGGAAAGAATTACAGAACTCGTCGTCCTCAGCAAAGTGTTACCTCAGGTTTAGCATGTCGGCGGAGACCACTCGTCGATCTCAGCTCCAAGTATTGCTGCCGGAGCCGTCGCCGCTGACGGAAAGTGTCGATCGAGATTTCAGCAGCACGCTCAATGCGGATAATAACCAAGATGTTCCGCGACCACCTAAGCTGAAACAAAATACGATGATGTTACAACAGACATGAAAATTTTTCGATTTCAAATCCAGGATCCTGCAAAGTTAATCGAATGCCGTATAGTATGATCCCGGGAATATAGTAATGGCTAATCATTTCGTTGATCATGGACAAGATAGAGTCGGAATAAGGATTAAACTTGCAATGGATAAACGGATTGCTTACCGGGTGTGACGTTTTAGCCATTCCATGATCGGTACGCGCTTCCATGGAAGAAATCCGGCACCAGAATGTAAAATTCAGGGCATAGAACGAAACTTGAAGAATCAAAATCAGGAATTGTAACCTACATTGACGAACAGAACATCACAAAAACGTCCACGAATCACAGCCACTTCACATAGCCCGTCGGGAATTCAAGAACAAAACAATCCAAATACAATTCACTATGTTCGATAGTAAAACAGAACCCTCTGTACAACAATCAGACAATCTAGGGTTTCGATTTGAGTTTATTCAACTAAGGATCTCAACTTTCCACCAATAATAGGTTTTTGATCTTGCACGATCGAAACAAATATTGGATCAATCAAATTCGACTCCATAAACAAGTGCACCAAACAAAATCATCCTTCGATTTCTTCATAAATTCAAACACATTAAGTACCGGACCAGATTTGGAGATTAATTGTTGCAGTGCAACAGAAAGATAGAAACTTTGTCGAACCAAGAAGAAATAGTTGAAGTTCATACCATGAACATCTGCGACTAAAATGGCAGGATGCTTGGAATCATCAGGCCCACAGACATAGGAGCCGAACCCCCCCACCCCATTTTTTCAACTTTGCCTGCTGTTCGATTCTTAAAAGTTTCAAGGCAACACATTATCTCTCACCTTCAGCAATACGATAAGATGGCTGCTGATCACATTTTAACGACCCTGGATTGCTTCAAGACAAAAAAAACCTAAAAATGGATGTGAAGCTGTAAAATGTAATAAATCGAATGTCTATATTCACCTGTCGAGCAATATAGAAAGATAAGTAAAAACCCCACAACTGGAAGCATAACACAGAGTCATGAAATACAGATGAAGATGCGAAGTTTAGGAAGTTTCGACGGCTTAGTTAATTCATGTATTTACTGTCATCAAATTTTGTATATAATGTATTATATGTTCCGTCAAGACTACATTCTATTATGGTGATGAATCAGTAAAGTTCGAAAGGAAGCTTCCCTACTGATACAAATATATAGTAAAACCAGAAAAACCAATAGCAGGTGAGGGGCGGGCGCAAGGTCAGGGATGATCTCCTCCTCCGCTGATGAGAGCCATACTCCTAAAAGAAATTGAAAGGCGAAGATCAAAAGAATTAGATTTTAACAAATGGAAATAGACAAGCAAAGTAATGCCAAATTGAACGAGCAGGAATACAAAAACATGAAATGAAGGGGGGAATGGAAGATCAGCGGCAACAGTTGATTTAGTTAGATTTAAATTATACGACGCCGACAGATACATACAAATTGAGCTTCAAACGCAGTAAATACATGAAGTGAAAGGTACCAACCGGATTTTGGCAAAATACTACTATTCATAAAAAAAATTTCCAAAAAAAAAATCAAATCATACACTTATATTTTATTTTTTATATTATACTAAAAATTAATTTTACATTCAAAACATCACATCACATAACACCTATTTATATCACATCATACAACTATTACAATTCATAATTTTTTATCATTCAAATCCCAACTCAAAATCCAAACCCCCAGACAAACACAGCCTAACAGACATTTCAAAATTTTCAATCATGCATGTACTAGAATCGACATGAATTAAACTCTAATCCATATTAAGTGCTACCAAATTATCCTCAAATGACAAAATTTTTCTGTAAAACTAAAAATCCCTCAGCCGAATACGTAAACAGCTCACTCAATTCAATAATCAATGCTGAGAATCGGAGAGACACTTTGGCAATAAAATAAAGCCAATAATCAGATCAAACAAAAAAATCCCCAATGCCCATGATTGCGATTTCTTCATATTATCAACTACATCGGAGATCAGATAACCAATTTTCGACATTGTCTAACTATTCATTAACTTCCAATATAAACCAAAACTCAAAAGAACAGCAGATTTCACTCAATTCAAGAATCAATGTTGAGAATCAGAGCTAAAGCCGATAACCAATCCCCACCTCAACAAACAAAGAAAATCCGAATGCACACGACTGCAATATCTTCTTATTATCAACAGAACCAATTTTCGACATTAGCTAACTACTCATCAACTTCCAATATAAACCAAAACTCAAATAACAACGAATTTCACACAATACAATAATCAATCCACGACTGCAATTTCTTCATATCATCAACTACAATGGAGCATCAGATAAACAAATGTTCGGCATTGCCTAACTATCCATTAGCTTCCAACATAAATCAAAACTCAAAAACAACAGCAAATTTCACATACTCAAATATCAAAATCACTATAAACGGAAATCAAAATCCAATCAATAAACCAGCAACATCACAGCTTAAAAAAACAACTGATCATCGATGAACACTTGCAATCATAGTGAATTTTGGAAGCAGGATAAGATGCAATGTCTGCAATCAAGTATGATCTAAATAAATAAATAAATAAAGTTTAAAACCCTAAAAGGAAACTGACTTCTTATGGCGGCGGCCGCGCTTAGGCCCCCAACCTTCGAGCTTGGCGACGGGGCAGCCACATTTGTCGCGAAACAACAGTACGGCGCGGCCATTAGGTGGAGCCATCTTCCTTAATTCGATACGGAGACAATCGTAATCAGGATTGAACTCACTCCCACCTTTCCATGGCAACTGATTCACATCTCTCACCGCCTTGTTTCCATCCCCAATTCGAAGCATATCCTCCCCCTGCAACTGCAAATCGAATTCCAACGATTTCTTCAACCCCCTGCACGCTTTCCTCCCGCACCTCCTCGATCTGTGCCCGAAGCAGATCTCAATCGAAACCAGAAAAGTTACGAAGAAGACAACCAAACACACGAAGAAAATCACCACCGCCTGCGGGTTTGAAACCATGTGGTAATGAAGCTGGGAAACGATTGTTGAGAAAGGGGGCAGAATTAGGGTTAGGGATTTGAACAGGTAAGAGAAATAGGAGAGGATCAGAAAAGCCCCCGAGAAGAGGACGAGGACGAAGATGAGTATGTCAAGCGTCGCCGCCGGGGAGTGCCGGCAAGGAGGAGGGCTTTTCGCCGATGGGGGTTTGGCGGCGACGGGTTTTCTGAGAGCGGAGGAGGAGTGTGCCATGGAGATGATGGTGGAGAAGATGGAAGATCAACATGGTGGCTGATGAGTATTTCAGGCGGAGATTTTGGGGAGGGAGGTGCGCAAATTAGCAGGGCGCCCCGGTGCAGCCGCAACAGGGACACTGCGCACGTTAGCATCGGGTTGCGAATTCAATGTAAAAATTATTAGTTCAAAATCACTGTAGTTAATTAATTTATTATTTTTCTACGGACTTGAGATTTATTTTATTTCACTTTCTTTTTTTTTTTTCTAATTTTAAATTCAGAATGTTGTTATTTCTACTTTTTTTTCCCCCTTAAATTTAATAGATTATTAATTTTGGTAATAACACAAAATTTAATATTTAAAAATGTTATGTTTTTATTCAATATATTTACTTCATTATTATTATTATTATTGCATACTCTTATTTTTCTGTCGTCTTCTTTTTTTTACTGTTCTCACATTTTCTATTCGTTGAATTTGAATGGTTTCTTTGGGCAAGTGATTTGAGCTCTATAGGTGTTTTTTCAAACTTGTTTATTAATAATGTTTTTTTAGAATATTATATCAAACAAATAAAGTAAACCATTTGATTGGAGACTGAAGAAAAATTGAACTGAAATAAATTTGTAACGTTGATAGAATTAATGGATAGTTAAAAAAAAAAAAAAAAAAAAAAAAAAAAAAAAAAAAAAAAAAAAACTATAATCTATTCATTTGTTGGGTTTGGGCTTCGATTGAAACAAAAAAAGTGTTTGGCCCAACATAAAAGTAGAAATAAGCCCCATAAAGGCCCAATACCGAATACATTTTCAAGGATATAAAAGCAAATCAGAAGAGACAAATGGGCAATATATATAAATATATACTGTAGTATGTATATCCATTCTTAAATCGTTCACGCGTTTAAGTACGTTTCTTTAACTCAAATTTTATTATTTGGACTCTGAATTTTTTGAAAATAATATATTTTTTTCTCTTACAAAACATTCCATCAAATATTATTTTAATATCAAACTCAAACCAAAATTTTACCAAACTTATCAAAAACAAATGAGATTAAAATAATCAGACTATATATTTAAATATTTTAAATATTATATGTCAATAAAGAATATATAATATAAATATTCTTTCATGAAAAATTAAATTTTATATACTATAATTAAATAAAAAAATATTTTTATTTATTTATAATCAATATAAAAAAATTTCTAAAAAAAAATTTAAAAAATTAAATATGAATAAAAATATTTATTTATTGATTAAAAAAATTATTATTATTTTATCTCATCATTATTTATACTTCATCTATTCCAAATTCAAATGAGTCATTTGAATTTTACATTAAATTTAAAAAATATTCTTGACATAAATTAATTATATATATAAATAATAGTATGTACAATTTATGTAAAAATTAAATAATATTCTAATATTAATATATAATTATAATAAAAAAATCAATATTTTTGAATGAGAATAATTTATTTCGAACAATACTTGTCCACAGTAAGGAGCAGCACTGTCCCAACGTGTTATTCATTAATCAGACTTGGAAGTGATGAATGAATAATAATAATAACAATAGTATATGAATTGTGTGTTTTATTAGCTGGATTTTGTGCTCTACACTTAATATATTATATATAATACTCTTTCCGACTCATTTATTTGGTAGTATTATTTTTATTTTAAGATATTCTAAAATATTTACATCTTTCTTTACTTTATACTCTCAAATTTTCCTATTTTACTCTTATCAATATAATTTATAAAATCATCCCAAACAAAATATAACAGCAAACTAATCAAAATATTATCAAAATTATACTACCTAAAAAATAATAATTAAAAAAAAAAGGGATAGAAGAATATAGGTCCACTTTGATCACATTGTAGTGACCAAGATCTTATCTTTGATTCTAATGCTTTTAGCAGATCATTTATTGTTTTGTTTACATGATAAGATTATACATTTACACATACACATATCCATCACCCTTTTTTGTAAGTTCTTCCCCATAAACAATAAAATCCCGCGTCGAAACCATCAATTTCGCTCGAGCTCACAATAGTTAGTTAGTTAATTCTACCCGTATCCCTTGTATAAAATCAAGTTCACCTATACATTGTCGTTGCTCTTGTTGTCATCACATCCATCAATCTTATAGCGCTACGTCTATCTATCTATATTTTACATTTTATTCTCGCAGTTTTCGTCAAAATGTCTATTTGTGAAAACTATTATTTTCAAGTATAGTATCTAATAGCTATTTAAATCATATCATCAAGCATCAAATTGCTACCACTCTAGAACATATCTAAATTGCTTCAACTCAATCACATATAGAAACTGTAGAGAGAGAAAGAGGGAGAGAGAGAGCTTAGCTGTTATCCAAGAAAAATGGACCCTTTTGCCTCAAAAGTATGCAGATCTCTCTTGGGCCTCAAATTAGTTGAAATTGAATAGTGTCTGCAACAAAAGATAATGAAATGAGATTGTCCACTCTTCTAATTTTAATAATCACAATTATTGTCATCCACACACATGTATATATATATATATATATAGAGAGAGAGAGAGAGAGAGAGAGAGAGAGAGAGAGAGAGAGAGTAAATTCCACATCTGGAAAATTGATGTATTGAACTCAAAACAGAGTGAAGATGGGGAGAGGGAGATGAAGAAGATAGGGTGTGTGCACGTGGTGACTCTGTACTGTGAGGGTACATACGGTCCCTACAATTTCATCTCTCATTCAACACTTCAATTCAATGCCAAACAAAACAAAACACTAATTGAACTAAATTCCAATCCTTTCCCCATCTCATCTAATGCAAGAAAAAAAAAAAAAAAAACAAATTCAAACTGAATGACTTCCTACTTTCTCACTCAAAAGAATTTAAATAATATTTCCATTCAAGAAACCATAGTTAAGAAGGCTACAATAATTATAAACCGGCATATCTAAAAAAAGAATTATTTCGAAGTCATCAATAAATGCGAATGCAGTCCCCCGACAGCACACCAAATTTAAGTCACCAACACACATATATAACTCACAATATTCACACACATGATGATGATGATGATGATAATAATAGAATCACAATCTGAAATCCAGGGCTTGAGCAAATGAAAGTCGAGACAGGAATAAGAATAAGTTTACCAGAAGAAGATGAGTCCCTTTCAATGGAGTTTGGCAGGGAGACAATCTGATGTCCCTGCATATTCAAAATGGGACCCTTTGCAAGTTGGCACCATACCCCATGATTTGCTAACCACCACAAAAGCCAGCACCAGTTCACCAATATTCATACCTGCACACATATATATATAGATATAGATATAGATAAATACGTGTCTGTGTGTGTATTGTGCTTCAATTTCATACCAGCCAATATTCCTGCACCAATCAGAATATTGAATCATAAACCATAGCTACCAAATACAAGCAATCCAGTGCAGTTTTCGATATAAAAAATCAGGGGGGAGAAGGTGGGGGGGGGGGGGGGGGGGTGATCATAATACATATCGTATCAGATTTGGTACCTCTCCAGCAAAGCTATAATACACGAGTGGGTCGATACCTGGTTGATCGAAAGTATTAGTTTGTTGCCATGGCCTTGACTGAGGAGCAGAAGTGTTTGTCATGGAGAAAGTGCTCACGATACATCCAAGAGCAGCGCACTCGTCTTTACATTGTCTGGAAGTGCTCAATAATTCTCATACGGTGGAAGCTGGAAGGGATTTGCGTCAATGAATGAGAGGGGATAAGGGACTGTCACTTGCAGCACGGAGAAGCTGTCAGCAAAAGCCGTAAGGCTGAAGATATACGTTATGGATGAGAAAGTGCATTTCCTGCGGGGGGGAAGACCAGAAGAAGACCTGTTGTGCAGCAGAATATGATGCCTAACAAGATTGATACTAACATGATGATGCAAATTGATTACCTGTGGCGAAAATGTCAATACCGGAAGAAAGTCAAGCACAAAGAAACGCCAGCCAACTCCATGCAAACATAAACAGTAATTTCTATGGTTTTTGAGATTGGTATCTTCCCCTAACATCTTATGTAAAAGGCTTTGTTTAAATGTATTATCAATCAACAGTAGTGCTATTATATTGCTTGAAATGGTTAAAAATGAAAAATAAAAACCCTACATTTCTTAAGAATCCATAGGTGTACTACAGTACTACCATTGTACTCTACATTCCTTTCTAGCAGGAGCATTTACGAACTAATTCATTGCTAACCACATGCTTCCTTATACCTAAATCTGGCCCTGGCCATCTGGCTTAGACAGTTTTTCTTTTTCTTCTTTTTTATCTGGTATCGATAACTGATAATAATAGAAACTTGGCATCTTCATGCATCGAACAATAGTTAATAGGCTCTAACTCAGCGACACTGCCATAGTTAAGAACAATTGTAGGGTAAACCTCGATGTCAAAAATGTTCTATAAATTGTACACTGCCGTAATTCAGAGTCTGTTGACGTCTCCTCTTAAAGCTATACAATAACTAACTAACCGAGAATGGATACAGAGCTATTTTACCTGGATTTGTGCACCATAGATATAGATTGATTTAGAGCAGTCTACTATGGAGATTGAATAAACATAGTTCTTTGTACGAGTATTATGCATATTAAACAAGAAATTAATGATTTAAAAAAATGCAATCAATCAAACACAAATAAATTAACAGAAAAATAACACAAGTGAATTCGAACCATTCTATATACATTTTTAACAACCAATTGCCAATACATACAGAGATGATGTCGCTAATAACAGAAGGATCGAAAACTTACTGGCCTAATCAAGTAGGCATAATTACCTCAAAAAACCTATCCATGTATTGCCCTTGTGAAACAACACTTAAAGAATGCACAAATGAGGGCTGGGATTGTACCGTACGTAAAAGTTTTAGACAGGCACAAAAGAAGCACCATTCGAGACTGCAAAAACGAATTTCAACATCATTGAATATCTAATTTTGTACCGACACATTGACTTGTAGGCATCTGAATCTTCCTCTGGCCTACAATCTGTATGCTGTCTAGAATTTATAAGGTCTAGGCCTCGGACGAGGTTTGCAAGATCCAGGCTTTGCAATTTCCACTCGTATAAATCTACCCTCAAAAAACTGGAAACAGACAAAGAATTCCCAATTCAAGACGAGTCTAATGATTAATTAAACTTAGTTGAATCAAGATAGAGATGCTCACATTTCCATTCATTTTATCCACGACAGCTCGTGCATGCTCTTCTCTTGTAAACCACACATATGCAAATCCTAGTGACTGCTGCGTCTTTTTATCGCTTATAATTTTTACTGCCATTCAGCTTTCCCAGATTATTTATCACGATTGTAAAAAGGATTGTTTACAGAAAACAGAAGAATGAATTGCACCTCGACAGACTTCTCCAAATTGTGAAAATGCCTCCTTCAGTGCTCCTTCAGATGTTGATTGAGCCAATCCTGCATGATGAAAATTCAAGGCTTTGCTCATTTGAGTTTTCACTATTTTTCATAAGGGTGTCAAAATTGAATACGACATAAAAACATGAACTTATTCGACCTAAAAAGTTTTAGGTTTTGGTTTCGTGTTGACCTGATAACTTCAAATATAAAAATCAAGTCATCTGATAACCCGATAACCAAACTCCACCTATTATTGACCTGATTTTACAATAATAATTAATAATTTTTTTACTTAATTTTGAATTAAATTAAATTAATAAATAATTGTTATTGAAAGTTTTGTAGTCGAAAATAAACTAAAACTCCTATTATTCATTTCCATTTGCCTATTGTCATCTTCTCCCTGATCTCCGTATTCTTCTTGGTAATTTTTTTTTTGATAACTTACATTTTGTTATGTATGTAACTTTTAATTATTCATTGTTTTAATAAAATATGTTTTTGAAATTTCAAATTTTTTTCATATTTTTGGGCCTATTATATTTTCAAGTCTATTTCGTGTCGGATTAATCGAATCCATTCCGGTTATGAGTTTACCCTAACAAAATCAGGCTAACCTAAACCTGATCCAAAAGAATTCATGTCGTGTGTCCTGGTTGGTAGGCAGATTCTTTTGTTATAGCCTAGCTTAACTCGACATGAACACTGCCCGAAAGCATGAATTGACACCCTCTAATTCTTCACTCCAAAAAATTTAAATCCAAAACATCCCTAAACAAACACTAATGTTTGTACAGGCAGAGTAAAAGGAAAACTGAGATAATTGCTACGTTATTGAAGCATTCACATTCCATTCTCCCAATTACGTAATCGAAACAAACTCTTCATACTATGTTATAATCAACACCTAAATTCTTGCTGAATAAACTATTCAACATCATTTCAATCATCAACAGAACAACTGAAATTATTTCCCCCGGCGGGTTAACCTGCCGGAGCACTCATTTCTTAGCTACCATAATAATCGAAAATCACAAACAAACATCTTATACAGTTATAACACAACTGAGAATTCGGTACCTTTGACGAAAATTACAACATTGGGAGGTGCTCCTTCTCCTTCTGATGCACCAGAAGAATCCAAACTTGAGCGACATTCAGCTTTCCGAATAAACGGGTTAATCGTTGTGCCTGACATGGTAAATCTCGATATTTCACCTTTACAAGCATTGGAAATCAAACAATTAGATGAAATCGGCATTTGAATTGCATGATTTTTTCTGGGAAAATTAGGGCACAAATTTGGGGATTTGCAGGGTAAACTAAAGAGGGCCATTAATGGTTTACCTCCAGTTTTCGTCTTCCAAAAGCCCCATCTTAAGATGCCTCAAAAATTCCCCAATCGTTAATTATTACTACTATATTGGGCTTATAAGGATATGGGCTTTTGAAATATCTCCTAAATTATAAAGCCCATTCGAGTAGAGGGCCCTGATTTCAAACAAATATTTTTTTTTCTTTTATTTATATTAAAATATTATTTAAATAAAAATATAAATTAATATTTTATTTTAAATTAATTTCAAACTAGGATTAAAATTATTTGATTTTGATTTTGGGTTTGTTCACCTGGTATTTATAAAGGACTACCAATTTTCATAAATATTAGTACTAAAAAAATATAATATAATCATATTACACACCATATAATATATACATTTTATTCACTAAAAATATTAATAAATTTAATATATTTGTTGATATTGTCAATAGAATTTTTCATATCTAATATAAAAATATATTTATTTTAAAAAAAAGTGAACAAATCTTTTGTACTGTGCTTGTCTGGCGGTTTGGGATTTTGAGTTGGGATTTGAATAATAAAAATTTTGAATTTGAATAGTTGTATGATGTGATATAAATAGGTGTTGATGCGATGTTTTGAATGTAAAATTGATTTTTAGTATAATATATATAAAAAAAAAATAGGTATTTGATTTGATTTTTTGAGAGGAAAAAAATAGGATGAATAGTATATTTAAAATTCAATCCCCAAACAAACACTAATGTTCAATATAATATAGTAGTCTTTTTTTTTTTTTTAAATGCATATAGTTTAAGAAATCACTTTGTTTATTGTGTTGATGTCTCATTATTAAATATTTATAAAAAAAATAGTAAATATCGATATAAAATATAACAGATATTTTAATAGCACGGCTAAACAGCCATAAGTCAACTATTTTATTTTATTTTTTTAAATCATGAAAAATAAAATGAAATTATAATTTTACCATAATAATAAATAAATATTAAAATTTAAAAAGGACAATACATGCACATAATTCTTACGTACAACTGCGTGTCCTGGGCATATCTATATATATATACTAGAACACACTCTTGCGCGGTATACCGCGCGACTATTCTATAATGTAATGTAGTGAAACATTATTTATTTGAAATATAAACTGTAAAACAAAAATACAATCGAATTATTTGCGCTCGGGTCGGTTGGTCCTCGGTCGGTTGGTCTGGTCGGTTGGTCAGGTGGGTTGGTTAGCTGTCGGATAGGCAGGTCGGAAGGTCCTCGGTCGGTTGGTCTGGTCGGTTGGTCCTTGGTCGGTTGGTTAGCGGTGGGATAGACAGGTCGGAAGGTCCTCGGTTGGTTGGTCTGGTTGGATGGTTGGCGGTCGGACAGACAGGTCTGATGGTCAGCAGGTCGGACAGACAGGTCTGATGGTCTGCGGTCGGATAAAGTAGGTCGGCTGGTCTGCGGTCGGATAGGCAAGTCAGCTGGTCCGCAGGCGGATAGATTGAGATAAGAAGGGTGACCCTGCATCTCTAGTTTTGAAATGTCAAAAATAGCAAAGATATTTCAACTTTGATAATTGTTACGCACAAATAATAATAATAATAATAAAAATAAGGATAGCAGGATCTTAAAGGAAGTTAGATACAAAGTCGGGTGGAAATGGAGAAAAATTTGCGCTCAGGTTGGTTGGTCGGATGGTCAGATGGGTTGGTTAGCGGTCGGATAGGCAGGTCGGAAGGTCCTCGGTCGGTTGGTCTGGTCAGTCGGTTAGCGGTGGGATAGGCAGGTCGGAAGGTCCTCGGTCGGATTGTTAGCGGTCGGACAGACAGGTCTGATGATCTGCGGTCGGATAAAGTAGGTCGGCTGGTCTGCGATCGGATAAAGTAGGTCGGCTAGTCTGCGGTCGGATAGGCAAGTCAGCTGGTCCGCAGACGGATAGATTGAGATAAGAAGAGTGACCTTGCATCTCTTTATGAGTTTTGAAATGTCAAAAATAGCAAAGATATTTTAACTCTGATAATTGTTACGCACAAAAAAAAAATAATAATAAAAATAAGGATAGCAGGATCTTAAAGGAAGTTAGACATGAAGTCGGGTGAAAAAAGAGAAAAATTTGTGCTTAAGTCGGTTGATCAGGTGGGTTGGTCGGATGGTCAGGTGGGTTGGTTAGCGGTCGGATAGGCAGGTCGGAAGGTCCTCGGTCGGATGATCAGGTCGGTTGGTTAGCGGTGGGATAGGCAGTTCGGAAGGTCCTTTGTCGGTTGGTCCTCGGTCGGATGATTAGCGGTCGGACAAACATGTCTCATGGTCTGCGGTCGGATAAAGTAGGTCGGCTGGTCTACGATCGAATAGGCAAGTCAGCTGGTCCGCAGGCGGATAGACTGAGATAAGAAGGTGACCCTCCATCTCTTTATGAGTTTTGAAATGTCAAAAATAGCAAGGATATTTCAACTTTGATAATTGTTACGTACAAAAAATAATAATAATAAAAATAAAAATAAGGATAGCAGGATCTTAAAGGAAGTTAGACACGAAGTCGGGTGGAAAAGGAGAAAAATTTGCGCTCAGGTCGGAAGGTCCTCGGTCGGTTGGTCCTCGGTCGGATGATCAGGTCGGTTGGTTAGCGGTCGGATATGCAGGTCAGAAGGTCCTCGGTCGGTTGGTATGGTCGGCTGGTCCTCGGTAGGATGGTTAGCGGTCGGACAGACAGGTCTGATGGTGGTCTGCAGTCGGATAGGCAAGTCAGCTGGTCCGCAGGCGGGTAGACTGAGATAAGAAGGGTGACCCTGCATCTCTTTATGAGTTTTGAAATGTCAAAAATAGCAAGGATATTTCAACTTTGATAATTGTTATGCACAAATAATAATAATAATAATAATAATAATAATAATAATAATAATAATAAGGATAGCAGGATCTTAAAGAAAGTTAGACACGAAGTCGGGTGGAAAAGGAGAAAAATTTGCGCTCAGGTCGGTTGGTCAGGTCGGTTGGTCGGATGGTCAGGTAGGTTGGTTAGCGGTCGGATAGGCAGGTTGGAAGGTCCTCGGTCGGTTGGTCTGGTCAGTTGGTCCTCGGTCGGATGATCAGGTCGGTTGGTTAGCGGTCGGATAGGCAAGTCGGAAGGTCCTCGGTCGGTTGGTCCTCGGTCGGATGGTTAGCGTTCGGACAGACAGGTCTGATGGTCAGAAGGTCGGACAGACATTTCTGATGGTCTGCGGTCGGATAAAGTAGGTCGGCTGGTCTGCGGTCGCAAAGGCAAGTCAGCTGGTCCGCAGGTGAATAGACAGGTCGCTTGGTGGGTGCGGCCAAGGAGTCTTTTGGTCTACCGATTGGTCTCTAGATTGGTTGGGTGGGCTATTTGAGTTCTGGAACTAGTGGAGGCGTTTGGCGAGGCGGTTGATGTAACTGACCTGACGACGTTCCAAAACGTTTCGTCTTGGGGGGTTGACGACGGTTCCAAAACGTCTTTTCAAGCCAGTACAAAGGTAGGTTAAGGGCTAAATTGTCATTTTTGAAATGAGGGGTAAGATAGACATTTCAAGTGGCAGATCCGTACAAACTCGTATTTATAAGATATAATATATATAAATTTCACTGCCCCGTATAAAACTTTTACTATAATATGTATTCTAATTTTTATTTTATTTTTTATTTGAATACATTTTTTCTTCTTCACTTTTTTTTTTAAATATATATTTTTTCAAAAATAAAATAATTATTGAAACTTTATGTTTTGATGTAATATTTAGGGTTTGTTGGGCAATTAGCTTAACTTTTAACTGTTATTCAATTAATAATTAGCAGTTAATTAATTCAATTGGTTTATTTAACTAGCTAATTTAATTAAAATTGATATATTGTGTTTGGATAACAAAAAAATATACTTACCAAATAGGCCGAGAGTATATCTTATAGAAAATTGTAACAATTACATTTAAAAAGAAAAACTAGGAATTGAGTCTACTTATTGTGGGGGAAAAAAATAATTGAAAAAGTTAAAAACACAATCAAACATGACCTTAGAATATGGGTTTGCATGGACGCATATAGTCGAGTACTTATGAATATCATGCATGACGTGACTCGTGGTGTTACAATCATTTACAATAGAATAATTCCAATACTAAAATTTTTGAATTTAAAAAAAAATATATACATATATATCTAAAATAATACTCCCTCCGTCCCGAACTAAATATCCATTTGCTTTTTTTTACGTAGTTTTACTAGGAATAAAGTAAAAATGACTAAAATAACCTTATTAGTATGTATGATATAAAGGTAATGGCATTTGTGTAATATATTGTAAGTTGTAAGGGTATTTGTAATGTTAGGTAGAAGTAGAGTTACTAAAAAAGAAAATGAATACTTTGTTATGTGACGAACTAAAATGGAAAAATTGATACTTTGTTATGGGACAGAGGGAGTATAAATAAATATTCATACGATATTTTGGAAGTAAAATTAATTTTTAATACTTCATCTGTTCCAATTCAAAGTATTCCTTTTACCATTTTTGTCCGTCTCACTCAAAAATATCTATTTCATTTTTTTTAGTAAAAGCAATCATATATTAATATCAAAATATCATTAATTTTTATTTAAATTACAAATATACCATTATACATACAATTATATTTTACATAAAGTCCAAGGACAAAAATGTCAAAACTACTTGTACACTTTCACTAACTAATAAAATCTTACTCCCTCCGTTCCATGTAATATGAGTCTATCACTGTACATACGAAAATTTATGAAAGTATAATTAGTAAGTAATTATAAAATATACTAGTAAAAATAATTATTATATAGTCTAAGTAATTATAGATTAAAATGACTAAATAGTTTAATTAAAATTAAAAAATATAAAGTTTAAAATTTAAAATGTAAATAAAATGTATAATCATATTTAAAAGAAATAGACAAATTATGTATGACAGAGTGAATATTATTTTTTAATCTATTACAGAATCCCAAAAAGGCCATTTCAAATGAAACGGAAAGAGTATAATATAAATATAAAAAAATAAGTATTTGTTTTAATATTCTTAAGGGTGTGTTTGTTTGGGGGATTGGATTTTATTTCCACTATTCATCCCATTTTTTTCCCAAAAAAATATCAAATCAAACACCTATTTTTTATTTTTTATATTATATTAAAAATCAATTTTACATTCAAAACATCACATCAACACCTAATTAGATGATCTTTTTTTATGAATGTAATAAAAATAAGATTCAAAAGTTCTTAGGTTGCCTTGTAATGACTTATAATTAATTTTGAATTAGGGAATCTTAAACTAACTTATCTTTAATTTAATTAATCCGTGTATTCTTCGCGTGTGTATTAATTATAGCTTTATCTCGAAGGGAATCTAACACCGATCGAGTTTAGCCTTTCGGTGTGGAATATATAATTTTTCGGATTCAAAGGACCAAACAAAAAAAAAAACAGACAATACATTCTTGTCGTTTAAAGCCTAAAAGTGGCTAAGAATTTTGTAGACGGAAAAGACACCGATTCCGATTCCGATTCCTGTATTAATCTACACCGTTAATTGATGCCACCGTACGTCGAATCAATGGTGTGGATGGACTCACAATTTAATTAATTAACTAAGGAAATCAAATTAAAATATATTCCCCCTCAAATTAAACTATTAATTGCCCATGAGTTTCATTGATATTGATTTCATGTTAAAAATATTATTGTGTTTTTCGATATAATTATTTATTATAGTAAAAAAAATATTGAGAAATCATGTATCTTTTTGCTAAATAAAGAAGCTAGACAAGTTGAAAAAAAGAATATATATATATATATATATCCTATAATATACATATACCTTAAAATTTTTTGGCTACATAAAATTACATTAATACCCTTTATTCAATAATCTATTTTCTTTCTCACCCTTTTCCAAAAAACTATATTAATATAATTATTTATTTTGTTATAAATATTTCATTCAACATTATTAACTTTATTAATTCTATTCTATAACAATATTAATTATTTTCAAGTAGAATTTATTTTATTATTATAGTACAATAAAAATTAATGATAGAGACTTTTCTTAATTATTTTTAATTTTTAAATTTTTTTTTATTATATGAAAAATTAATCTTTGTTTTATTCGGTAAATTCTTTTCGGTCATTAAGTTTTTTATTGACAATTATTGAAATAATACAAAATAAAAGTAATTAATACATATGAACATTCACTCTTATTTATTTATTTTACTCCTTCGTGACCGTATTATTGAAATAATAATCAATTAGCATAGTAAAAAAATAAAATAATTTACTATTTGGGTAAAGAATACTACTAATAATGATATAAGTTCTGTATTTTCTGAAATTAATTTATACTCCCTTTCGTCATATTTATCATGCATACATTATTATTTTCATTCGTTCCACTAATTTTGTCATTTTGAAAAAAAAAAATTATATATTTTAATCTTATTTTAAATATTTTTATTTTTTATTATTTTTTTTAAATTTTAATTAAACTAATTAATTATTTAATCTTTATTTATAATTAATTATTTTATAAAATAATTATTTTTACTAATATATTTTTAATTATTTAGTAATCATAATAAAGAAGACATAATAGCAGCGTAGCGCAACAAACAAGCGACTAGTATATATATATAGAGAGAGAGATTAGGATTGGGGATTAAAATAGGCCAGACCTGGCCTGCTTTAAAAATATGTGGCATTGGCCCTGTAAGCCTGAATTTTTTTTTAAAAAAATCTAAGTCTGACCTACAAGCCTATTTAAAAAATTACATAATATTTTTATTTATTTATTTATTTATTTATATACAAATTTAGTTAGAAATAAAAAAATAAATAAAGTATAAACAATTATTTATATATACAAAAGTTAAAAAAATTCTATTTTTTATAATAAAATTATAATTAAAATTATTTAATAAATATTATTATTAGATAGAAAATTATTTTTAATATATAATTATAAAAAGTATTTTTATAAAAAAATAATAATATTAAATAGGTTGGCCTGTTAATTAAAAAGGTTTTTTTTTTTTTTTTAAGCCTAAGTATGTTCTATTTAAATAAAAAGACTATAAAAAAATTTATGCCTTATGTCGGCTCTTGACAAGCGGTCCGGCCTATTCTCATCCCTAATTAATATGACTAGTAAAATATTTATTTTGTTCATTAGAAATATACTCTCTCCGTCCCATAACAAAGTATCCATTTTTCCATTTTAGTCTGTCCAATAACAAAGTATCAATTTCCTATCTACCTAACATTATAAATATCCTTACAACTTACAATATATTACACAAATGTCCTTTATTTTATATCACACATACTAATAAGGTTATTTTAGTCATTTATACTTTCTTCCTACTATATTCCAATATAATACTAATATTTATAAAACTACGTGAAAAAAAATGAATATTTAGTTTCGGAGGGAGTATCTTATTTCAATTATATTTAATTTTTAGTTAGAACATAATATATTCAATTAATGCTATATATTTTATTTTTTTTAAAAAAAATATCACGTCTATTTGTTCTTTTAAATTTAAAACATATCCAACATATTGATTTTCTATTTTTCTTTTTTCAAATCTAAAATACCATCCTTAAATTTGGGATGTGTTCTCTTCTCTGTGTGTTTTTCTTTTTTTAAACTTGATATTTTTTTAAAAATAAAATATAGTGGGATATGATATGTTGTATAGAAAATAAATATTGGATGCTATATATATATATATATATATATTTAGGGTATTTGAAAGATTGGTTTTTTATTTGAAAATTTTTCTATTTCTGACCATAAACTCAAAACTCAACTCTCCATACACAATAATATTACAATTGAATTATTAATGTGTTCACTTAGTGTTATAATATTACATGTTCTTTTAAATACTAACTAATAATTAATATAACAAAAATGATGTGACTAACACTAATAAAATTATACAATATTTATTGAAAGAATCTAGAATCAAGAGATGGATGGAACTTCTTTGATCACTTTTGGATGGGGCAAATTGGGTGTATTAATTATTATACTTATGTGATATGATATGATGTTGATTTGTGTTAATTAATATTGATCCCATATATAAATTAAAAGAATATGATACTCAAACTTTTCCCTTTTATTTTTCATTTAATATAATTTTCACATTACATATACATACATACATATATATATATATATAGATAGATAGTCATCGTCAAGCTTGCCAAGAGATTAACAAAATTCGAAAAACCACTCATGAATAAAAATATACATATATAAATGAACACCATGCACGCCATAGGACTTGTCAAATCCGCGAATAATACAGCTCATTCATTATACAAAATATATATATATAGAGAGAGAGAGAGAGAGAGCTTTATGCACACAGACACCCTAGAGAGAGAGAGAGAGAGAAATCTAATTAAAAATAAATAAAAAGTAAAAATAAAAATAAAAATTCTTCCACTCCGACTCCGATCCCTCTGCTTGATTAGTAACGGCTCTATTTTCTGTAATTTTTGTTTTTTTTTGTGAAAGTTTTTATTTGGACAGAGGAAGGGTCTTGTGAAATGCATGCTTCCAACTGTACGGCCGACAACAAACTTGTCAAGTCAACGAGGAAGAAAGAAAGAAATGACCACGACGATGATGACATCATGATTACGATAGTAAGATATTTGGGTGTCTGCCACGTGGCACCCCGGAAAAGATATCTAGCCTTCTGTGTCCGCCCCAGAACACAATTTCGACGATTTATTTATTTAATTTATTGTTTATTATTATTGTTAATTTTCGCGGGAATATATATATATTTATACCCGCCAATTTTAATGGGTGGCGGCGGCGACGGCGGCGTTAGTGGGGCCGGACAGAATCACCGCGGCGGCGGCGGTAGAGACAAGATCTATCTGGTCCTCGCAGAGGAACTGGCCCACGATCCGGGTGCTCGGTCCCGCCACCAGGCGCTCCCAGGCCTCGTCGGACTCCTCGCCGCGGCTCAGGAACGCCTCCGTGGCGTCCACGCGGTGGACCCGCCACTCCAGGACCTCGCAGAGCCGGAGAATGTTCTGGAACTGCGTGCACGCCAGCTTGCACGTGTTCGCCTTAATTTTCTCAATCCCCAATTCCAGAAGCTTCCCGGCGGCGCCGCCGCCCTCCGCCCGGAAAAATTCGTCCATTTCCGGCACTCCGATCGCGCGGCGGATGCCGCGGCTGTAATCTCCGGCGGGGTCGTAAAACTCACGCGCCTCCTCGACCAGCCCCGCAGCCACCATCTGATCCACGCGCTTGGACACAAACGAGTGGAGAACCGGCATCGAAACATCGACCCAAATAAAACAAACCTCGTACTTCTCGAAGAAATCAATGTGGTCACAGACAAGCGCCTTTATGCAAGAATTCGATCCTCCGGCGAGGATCGGCAGCCGCCCTCTTCCGGCGATGTCCGCCGCCGCGATGGCGGCGTGGCAGGCGAATTCGGCGGCAGAGAAGTCGCGGTCTGGGTCCACGAAGCCGAGCAAGTGGTGCGGCACGCCGCGGCATTCGTCGCCGGTGACTTTATTAGTGATTATATTCAGGCCTTTGTAGACCTGCATCTTGTCGGAATTTACAACCTCGGCGTCGAACCTGGTGGCCAAGTCTATGGAGAGCCGGGACTTCCCGGTCCCGGTGGCTCCCATTACAACCACCGCCTTCTCCTTCCGGCGCTGCCGGGGGATTATCAATTGGTCCATATTGATCATTCCGCCGCCGGGAAAATTCATCAGCGGCGGCGGCGGCGGCGGCGGCTGCTTGCACGCCGACATCGTCGAAATCCTCATCATCAGTAAATCCGAAATCGATATATGTATATATATAAATCTGTATGTATATGTGTATGTGTGTAGACGATCTCCCTTTATGACACCTGCTGGATTAATTAATTAGAATTAAATTAAATGAAGCAAATTAATTTCTGCATTAATTGATGTATCGATTAATTAATGATCTGTACCTTGTCGGAGAGTACGAGGTGGGATTTGCGAGGAGATTAAGGTAAGTTTGTATTTGAAATTGAGGTTTGAGAAAGGGGGAGAGGTGGGGAGGTATTTATATATGGGGAAGAAGATGAAGACACATTAGTATATCATATAAATAAATAAATGCATATTCTCAAAATAAATAAATAAATAAATAAAAATAAATAAATGCATATTCTCAAATTGAAAGCGGGTCAATGCTTTACACGTGTCAATGCATTGTCTCCTACCTTATTCTCTCTCTAATGTGTAGTGTGTTTTAACTATGTATTTTTATTCTAAAATATTATGATTATGATTGAGTTGTGTTTGTATTTAATTTTTAAGCAGTACTTAAATTTATTTTTATATCAAACTGTAGTAAACAAATTGAAAAAAAAAATAGACATCTCAATTTAAAGTACAGATATTATTATTTTCATCTTTCTCACTTAAAAATATTTACTTTTTATTTAAAAAAAAATAAATATACACTAATACTAAAATACCTTTAATTTTTGCTTAAACTACAAACATACAATTACATGTATAATTACTTTATACATAATATCAAATATAAAAAATATCAAAAATTCTTACACAGTTCGCTAACTAATAAAATATTATTATTTCCCAATCTACTACTCCCTCCGTCCCAATACAATAGTCTTGTTTACCATTTTTGTCCGTCCCAAAATAATAGTCTCATTTTTATAAATAATTATATCACTATAAAACTACTATTACTTTTTCATTATTATTACATAATTATCACTACTTTTTACACTAATACATTCACAATGGCAAAAAAGTCTTTTACCTGCACTTTTTACCCACTACCGATATAATATCAATATTCTTTAAATTCTGTGTCAAATCCAACCCAGGCTATAATTTTGGGACGGAAGGAGTACAAAACTTTTGAAAAGCACACACTAATTTTTAGCTTGGATTTATATTCTTTTTTAGCTAAAATATTGCTTAAAAACCCTAAAACTTATAGGAAAAATAATTGTAGTGTGGTTCATGTTCTAGAAAATAAAATAAATTCAAAATTGTTGTGATAATTTTAAAGTTTATCGGGTGACATTAGATATAGTAGGTGGTCAAACATCGTGTCAATTTGATTAAATTAACGTACTAATATAAAACATCATATGACAAAGTTAATATACTAACCTGAAACAATTAATATTTTGTCTCAGAACAGGTAGTATATTCTATGTTGTATAAAAACATATATTGTATGAATCATATATTGTACTGAAATCAATATATATTATAATTTAAATGAAATTGTACAATGTTCTCTGCTATATATTGCTTAATATTTATTGTGTAAATTACATATTGTGTTGTAATATAATTTATTTATTGGGCTGAAATTAAAATATATTGTTATATATGTAATGTAATTATATAATGTATTATCGAAATTTGTACTATATTGATATATACTAATTTTTATTTTTTATAAATATGTGTTAATTTGGTCAAAATCGTACTTATGCTAATTTCACTTAATGAGCACACTAACCAAAGCTATATATATATATATATATATGTGTGTGTGGGGTGCAATAAATTTGTTATATGATTTTTACAAAAATATATTATACAACAGTCACAATTTTCTTATAAAAATATATTTCTCCCATGAGCTAAAATTATTCGATTTTCTTTTTTATATATATAAAGAAAGTCACTTAATTTTGATAGACAAAGAAAAGATTATTTTCTTTTTAAAAAATTAATTTCAGTATATCAAAATATAAATCAAACACAACTTTATATGCATTCTATATAGTTCAATTTCAATTTAGTTAGTTAGCAAATTCTTTGTATAGTTCAATTTCAATTATTTTCAATTATGATTACTAAATTTTTTTTAGTATTCAATACCTACTAATTTAATATTCATTTAAAATATTACCTTCATTATTTTTATATTATTTATATAATTTTCTGTACTTCACGTCAGAAAATATCATTTCAAATTAGTATTTAACAAAACAAAACACCAATCATTTTACACCACTATTTTACTTAATAACTACTTCCTCCGTCCCATAAATAAATATTCATTTGCTTTTTACACGTAATTTTAAAAATATTAATATTATATTAGGATATAGTAGGAATAAAGTATAAATGAGTAAAATAACTTTATTACTATGTGTGATATAAAGGTAATGACATTTATGTAATATATTGTAAGTTGTAAGGATATTTGTAATGTTAGGTACATAGTACAATTACTAAAAAAATGGATACTTTGTTATGGGACGAACTAAAATAGAAAAATTAATACTTTGTTATAGGAAGGAGGTATATATAAACAATAGGAAGAAAAAAAATGAAGTAAACAAATGAATCTATTTAAATACACTAGAAAAGATTATTGAATTGATTATTATTATTATTATTATTATATCATTTCTCCTCAAAATTGATTAAATTATGAATTATAATATATTTAAATTGATTCGCCCTATTCAAGACAACTCTATAAGTAGACATCCACATGGATTCTTACATACATACATACATATATATATATATATTTAGTATATACTTTTAGAGTTCGATTTTTTTTTTTTTTTACTTGATTTCGATTAGAATAATTATTGAATAAAATATTTTTTTAAAAAAATATTTTATATATATAAAAAAATTCAATATTACTTACATAGTTTAAAAAAAAAAAGGAAAAAATATATATATATTTTTACCAATAATATTATCCCTAGAAAGAGTACCAAGTTTCAAACGAGATATGGAACAATTGATTTAATATTGGTAATGCGATTTTAATGGTGTCATATCATTTGATTTTTTAAATTTATTTTTTATTTTTTTTACATATATAAGGAAATCCAATAATTAAATAAACCAAAAGCAGCCCTAAACTTTTTAATAAATGTTCTAATTAAATAAATAATAAATTAAAGCTTCAAAGTATTTTTGTCCTGTCTAAGTATCATAATTTTTTTCTCTCAAAGCTGTCAAACCATAAATTTTATTTTATGTACATATATTAAATAAAAAAATAAATATATTTACTTAAAATATCGTATTAAATATTATTTTAATTTAAAATTTTATTATTTTTCAAACTAAATTCAATTAAACATTAAAGAATTCCATCCCTCATCTATTAATTTTATTATTTTAAATTTATGTAGTGTATTTTTTTAATCACTGAAAGCTAAGTCACTAAAAATATTTGTGTTGGTGTTATTGACAGGTCAGGTCATATCAGATATTTATTTAATCACTAATATTTAATTAATTAGGTCTGTAGTTCAATACCAACCTCTAATTTATTTTAATTATCACATAAATATACCTAATTTGGATATTTAATATTTAATTTAATTCCATTTTTGAGAGTAACAAAGACCTTGGTCTACTCTACTCTAGGACTAGTTGGGCAAAATGTCATATTCTATATGTTATTCTTATTTATTATTTTTAAATAATTTTTTTCCCTTTTATTTTTTACTAAAAAATTTGGGGTCATTTAGTTGTAAGTTAAAAAGTATAGTTGATTTGAATTGAAAATTGAGTTAAGAGTAATTTATTTAATAAAGATTAATTTATGATACTATACACTTCCTTCCAATATAATAGTCTTATTTACTTATCTTTGTCTGTCCCAAAACAATAGTTTGTTTCCATAAATAACCATATCATCATAAAACTACCTCTACTTTTTTATTTTTATTACACAATTGTCACTGCTTTTTACACTAATACACTCACAAGGGCAAAAAAAGTCTTTTATCAATATTTTTTACCAACTACTAATATAATATCAATAATCCTTAAATCTCGTGCCCAACCCAATTAAGACTATATTTTATGGGACGGAGGGAGTATAAGATTATTTTTTAAGAAAAAGATATATGTTTAATTATTTTAATGACTATATTATGATAAAATATACACAATATGAATATTATTTTGTACATAATAAAATTTTATATAATACAAAAAAATAAAAAATATATATAAATATTTATTTATAATTAACATAGAATATTGTACTACATAAATTGAAAGTTTGAATGTATATAAATATATTTGCTTATTTTAGAGAGATGGTGTATTCTTTTACTAAAAACAAATTAACACATTTTTTTTCAAAAAAAAATTAATATATTACACATACTCATTATTTTTATATTATTTATACAATTTTTCTATCTCACATAAAAATACGTTCAAATTTTTGGGCATAAATTGTAATATGGAAGTGTATTTTTATTTTTTACAATTTTTTAGTGAAAAAGTACAAAAATTGTCTAAGTTTTTACTCCAAAAAAATGAACATTTTTAACTTCAAAAAATAATAATAATAAAATAAAATTGAACATAACTTTAATAGTATATTTGATTAAAAGTCATATTTTAATAAAGTACGTAAATTGAATATTAATTTATATTTTTAGTAAGTATAGACGTACTATATATTACAAATATGCTCAAATATATATTTATTTACATTAATATTATTGCATTAATTTACAGATTAAAGATAAAATCATCTTTAAATATAAAAATATGATAAATTACTTTTAAAATATATCTAAAAATAATAGTATTTTATTATTAGTAAATGTTTACAATAATTTTAAATTTTTGTCATTTATACTTTATATATACGTCTAATAATATATTTATAATTTATGTAAAAGTTAAAAATATTTTGATATTAATGTGTAACTAGTTTAACTTTTTGTATGTTGATATTTGAATATTAATTATTATATCAGTACGTAGTATAAATCAAAATAAAATGACAAAAATACCTTTATTAGTCTCTTATAATACAAATACAATGATATTTGTGGAGTAAATTATACAAACATAAAAATATTTTTAATGTTAAGTACAATGGCACAAATGACAAATAGTGCTCTTATTATGGGACGAAAGTAGTATAATACTCCCTCCGTCCCGCGAGAGATGAATCATTTTATTAGAGACACGATTTTTTAGGTAGTGTAAATTAGTAAGTTATTAATAATAAATTGTGATATTAATTTATTATTTTTTATATG